GCCCCCCCCCCCCCCCCCCCCATAGCGTTAGTCCATGCTTCAATTAGAGCATCCAGGTGTTTAGATATAGTTTCACCTAAGGTGGTTTTGTTAAATATCCGCAGTATTGTTGAGACACAGCTTAATTTGGGTCGCGATGATCGAGCAAAAACATGTTCGCTTGAGCTAACAGAAGGGTCCCATTCGAGATGTGTAGTTCTCTTGATCTAAGATGTGTAGTTCGCTTGAGCGCCATGGGATGCATCCGTGATAGCATACATGTCTATATGGCTGGGTAATTCAGCTCGTTTCCATTAAACCTTCTTGTTTAGTGTTTCACAGATATTGAGTGCAATAAAGTGCGAGTTCAAACACCCGCCAGTAATGCCCGCGAGTAATACCCGCGAGTAATACCCCCTTACATGGAAACAAGATGTGCTGTGCGAAAATGTTTACGTAGTATGGCATTTATGAGAACATAAGTAATCCCAGAGTCTCAACAGAGTAATCGTGGTAAAGCCGCTACAAAGAAAGAGGTTCAGACAGTTTCATTTAGATATTGGTATGTGATAGACCACACAACCGGAAGACCCCCTCACTATCTTTGTACACAAGAAATAAGGTCGTAAGTCGTTTGTTAGAAATAGCTTTAGTTTACTGCTGAAGTTGAATAATGCTCCTCATCATTCAAAAATGCTACTCATCATTCAACACAGCTACTCATCATCCAACACAGCTACTCGCACCTGTCCACCGACGACCTGCCCGCGGCTTAGCGTGTTCCGCGCACAAACCCTGTTCGAGATCCACTTGCCATATGTGTTTCCGCAAGGTAGACACCAAAGTCATTTACACACGCACACCCAGACCCATTACGTAAGACGATCTACGGGGTTGGGCTTTAAACCCGTATATAGTGACAAATCTGCGGGGGCGTTTATCCCCTGGTTCCAAGTGATATGAGAGCACTGACACTTCCTTGTGCCCCGTCAACCATGGTCTCTGTCTACAAGCCCCAAATAACCCCTACCACAATGACCTACCACCTTACATCGCTGTTCCATCAAATAAACATGTACACTTTACCTTTTCAGTTCCACAACTTGTGGTGTTTTGTCCATTGTCGCGCGTTTCTCTGCATACCACGGTGGACGTGGCGTCCCTTTCTCTATGTAATGACCGTTGAGTAGGAACACCCGGACACCCCGGGTGGTGGTGCGCCCACTTCGGGTGGCGTGCCCGGGACCCACCGTCTCCGGGTTGCTTTTTTTGCCGGTGTTTCTGGCTCTCGCGTCGTCTTCTGTGTGTTGTTGGTTTTGTGGTCTTTCTTTTCCTGGGCAGTTTTTCCGGTGTGCGGCTGCGGTGTGCCTGCAGCAGACCGGGTTTTTCCGGGCGGGTGGCGCCCGGAAAAACCCACTACTCAGAAAGAGGCGCGCACTCCTTTCTGTACGTATATCACGCTACCGCTCCTCCCTGGCTCGCGGGGTCTTTTCTCCTCCTCCCCAGTGAGAAAGAACCGCACATCTCACATAGTTAAAAATACAGCGGAGACAACAACAACTAAAGATCAGACAGAGAGAAACAAGCACAACAACTACGCATACACCGTCAACCCGAAATCACTCCCACTCTGTTTGCTTGTCGGGCAAAGCAACGGGGAACCACCGCCGCTGGGCAACCTGTGGGCAATCACAAAAAAAAATGCGGGACGACACTGCGCAGTGGATAATGTAAATCACACGGAAATTAAATGGGGCAGCAGCAGCAGCTCGAACGAGAGCCGGAAAAATGTAGTTGTAAATGTAGTTGTATAAAAAGAAGTGGGAACAGCATACGTATCTGGGGAAGAGATTGTCGGAAACACTGGTAGACCTGGTAGACAGTGGGAAACACGGTGAGAAACACGGTGAGAAACACATAGAGCTTTTCTGAAGCGTTGCACAGCCATTCTACAGTCGTTCTACAATCGTTCTACAATCTTTCCACTATCGTTCTACAACCGTTCCACAGTCGTTCTACAGACTCTTGTACATGACAGAGCGGACTCCAGATTCCCGGCCTTTCAAATGCGAAGCTTGCGGAAAAGGCTTCCACCGCATGGAACATAAACGTCGCCATATAAGGACCCATACCGGCGAAAAACCACATTCCTGCAATTTCCCAGGCTGTTCCAAGCGGTTCAGCAGAAGCGACGAGCTCAAAAGACACCTCAGAACACACGTCAGCACCTCCCGACGCAAGGGACGCAACGGGCCCAGTTCTGGAGCGTCCTCGCCGTTATCGCTATCGTCGTCGTCGCCGTCGTGTCTGTCGTCGGCCTCCGCTCTTTCCATACAACAACAGCATCCCGTGGTGGTGCATCAACTGCCCCCCATCCACGCCCCCAGGGCTACCGCCCTGGTGTCGCCACTGATATCGCCAGCGGTGTCCCCAGTAGTATCGCCAGTGGTGTCACCGTTTGTTACCTCTACCGCATCGTCCATGAGCTCGATCTTCTCGCACGAAACGGCCTCGTCGCTGGCGTCGGCGTCGTCACCTGACCTCAAGACCTCTTTCAAGCTACCTTGCATACCGGCCGCATCGGCTCACAACACTGCATTGGCGCAGCCTGTGCCAAGTGTGGACCGTATCCGCGTTTTGCCCGCGGCCAAAGTCCATGTCAGGGGTCGCAACGCCCAACGTGCCAAATTCCAGCTCACGGATGACGACGACAGCGATCCAGGTCAGTCTGCCGCAGAAGTAAGGTTACCACCGTTAAGATGCATGTTGGATAACATCCAGGCATTCCAGGAGCGCGATTGAACCGGCACACGGTGGGGAAAAGGGGAAACCCAGGGCGCATTTTATTCATGAAACGAAGTTACGACAAATTATATATATATAGAGAGAGTTTTTCAGTTGAAATTGATGTTCGGTCATACAAGAGCGTAAGATGTAGAGTGTGTGGAATGGTAGCCATAGAATCGAGTTTTACAGCTATCGCGAGATCCCGTGTTTATCACGTGATGTAAAATACACCATTTTCATCATTATGAACGAAAGATGGCTGATTATCTTGTCTAACCTCGTGGAAAACGACCCAGATGCTCTTGTCTTGTCTCCCTCAATATAAGCCAACTCACAAAACAATCTCAACCTTCAAAGCATTGTCTTAACACCTATTTCGTTTGTACGTAAAGAACTGCCTTCAAAACTACAACTCCTGATTGTCTGTCTTTTTCGAATCAATCCGGAGGTTCTTGACTCGCAACTTCACTTTTCAAGCCTTCTCAGCGTATGGGGAACACGCACAGTAGGGGCACCATGTCAGACAATATTAAAGACGTTTCCATGGTAGACGTGAGTTCCGCTGACGAAAGCAACAAAAGAGGCTCTCAGAGAGCCATTGTGCAGAGCTTTTCGAAGCTAGATATAGGGGACCACAGTGAATCACAGCCGCCCTTGTTGCGGCGGAGATCAACGCTGATTTTCGACGACGAGGACGAAATTCCCAGACACGAGGAAAATGTGGGCCATCGATCCGAACTAGACGTATCGGAAAATCCCCTTTCAGGATCTTCGTCCTCTGCATCTGTACACGACAATCGGCTGCCTCAAAGAGGCAGCGATGTAGTGTTCCAGCAGCAGCAGCGCCAGGGATCTGACGACTCTGCTTTCCAACAACACCATTTACAGCAACAGCTTCAACAGCACCAGCAATCACCAGATCCAAATTCAGTACTCTCACCTCAACAAACTTCGCCATCTGTCTCCAGAAATGGCAGTGAACCTCCTGCGGAAAGTCCCAAGACTATGGTTCCAGTCGAGATCACATGGCAGCAGGGAGGCTCCAAAATCTACGTAACAGGCTCTTTTACCGGCTGGCGGAAAATGATTGGGCTGGTACCAGTATCAGGACAACCGGGTTTATTCCATATCAAACTACAACTGCCTCCGGGAACGCATCGATTTCGGTTCATCGTGGACAATGAGCTGCGATTCAGTGACTACATGCCTACGGCCACCGATCAAATGGGCAATTTCGTGAACTACCTCGAAATCGCATCGCCAGCGGAATCCCAGGACCAGTTGCAGCACCCACAACTACAAGAAGATCTCCGTGACGGAGAAATACAACCATCACCTCTTGTCCCGGGCAAACAGCAACATCACCAGGCATCGCCACTGCCTCTGACAACTGCAGACCAGAAATTAAATGAGAATCGCACAGCTCCTGAACCCCTCAGCGCCCGTTCGAAATTGGCACTTCAAATCGAAGAAGAACCCGATGATATGGGCGACGGATACAGCCGATTCCACGGCGCCCACGAAACTAGCCCGCTTTACAGCTACATAACGGATATTCCCGCCGTTTTCACAGATTCCTCGGTTATGGAACAGTACTATCTCACCCTCGATCAACAGCAGAGCAACCAACAGAGCATGGCCTGGTTGACTCCTCCACAGTTGCCTCCTCATCTCGAGAATGTGATCCTCAATAATTACTCCAGCGCCTCAGAACCCGGCGATTCTGGCAGTGAGAATAACTCAGGCGCTCTGCCCATTCCCAATCACGTGGTTCTGAATCATCTGGCCACTAGCAGCATCAAACACAACACACTGTGCGTTGCCAGCATTGTTAGATACAAGCGCAAATACGCCACACAGATGCTATACTCTCCCTTACAATGATCTCACGGGCTACCAATGCAAAGGAAGAATCGTAAACGCACTACCACACGCCAAATTTCATGATATACTATGTACTAGAAAAATGTTGATAAAGAATAATAAGAGAAACAACAAACGAATCTCAAGAACGGCAATGATGAAAGTCTCCTGTGATGACATATATTCAAATCGATAACTGCAATTGGAAATGGTTCTGCTTTACCATGTCGCACGGGATTAAAAGACTAGTCCCGTGCCAACCTCGTAGATAATGACCCTGGTGTTTCGTCATATTACTGCCTAAATTAAAGCTTATTTGACCATCGATCGTCGATCTTCAATAGCCTACATCTATTTCGTTCGCAAGACCATAACAAGAAGCCATCAGTGGATCCCAATAGCCTGCCATGTCAGACGTCGAGATCAATCTGAAAGCACTTCAAAAAAGACTCGTGCATTTGCACTCCAGTCTCTCCACTTTTGAAGGTTCACCGTCTTCTTTATTGTTCGTGGTTGGATCTAGCGACGAGGAAGATCCTTACAAGAAAAGCACGATTTTGCACAACTGGCTTCTTGGTTATGAGTTTCCGGCTACTTTGATTGCCCTCGTTCCCGGAAAAGTTGTCTTCTTGACCGGTGCAGGTAAAGCCAAGCATCTAACAGGAGCAGTTGACCTTTTCAAACAATCGCCAGATTTGGAATTGGAATTGTGGCAAAGAAAGGCCAAAGATGACGAACACAACAACAAACTATTTACGGACGTTGTACAACTATTGAAAGATGCTGGAAAGACGGTGGGTACTGCCGTTAACGACGAATATCAGGGCAAATTCATTGCCCAGTGGAAACCACATTGGGACGAAGCATTGTCAAAAGGAGACCTTGAGGCCATTGATATCGCGCCTAGTCTTTCACGCGTGTGGGAAAAGAAAGACGAGCAAGAAATCGCATTCATCAAGGTGTCAAGTAAAGGTAGTGATCAGTTTATGAACTTACTGTCGGATGAAATGGTTACCGCAGCGGACGAAGAGTTGAAAATTACTAACGCCAAACTATCGGACAAAATTGAAGCCAAGATTGACGACGCGAAGTTCTTAAAAAAATTGTCTGGTGAACTGGCTCCATTGTGTCCGCAGGATGAAAAATTTGACGTCAACCTTTTGGACTGGGCCTATTCTCCAATCATTCAATCGGGCAAAAAATTTGACCTCAAAGTCTCCGCACGTTCAAGCAATGACCAACTTCATGGGAATGGCTGCATTCTCGCTTCTTGCGGTATCCGCTACAAGAGCTATTGCTCTAATATAACTAGAACATTCTTGATTGATCCAACTGATGAAATGGCTGCAAATTACGACTTTCTGTGCACCGTGCAGAACCAAATCATTACATCATTTCTCAAGGTCGGCCAAACCCCTCAACAGGTTTACGAGGCCACGGTTGATTACGTGAAAACCCAAAAACCTCATTTGGTATCTGCTTTTACTAAGAATGTTGGCTCTCTCATTGGTTTGGAGTTTAGAGATTCGCAGTTTGTCTTAAATGCTAAAAATGACAAAAGAGTAATTTCAGGCGGCGACTGCTTCAACATTTCTTTAGGTTTTAACAACTTGAAGGATTCAGAAACTGGAAACAATTATGCTGTTCAAATCGCGGATACAGTTTTATTGGGTGAATCCGACGGTGCGGCAGCTGTGCTCACCAGCTACACCAAACTCAAGGCTCAGGTTTCATTCTATTTCAATAACGAAGAGGAGGAGAAGCCTGCCAAGGTAAAGGAAGAAAATGATCTTGGTTCCCCTCCAATTTCGATTAAACAAGACGGCGGCTCCAAGATCTTGAGATCTAAATTACGTGGTGAAGGCCGCGTTCAGGAAGATGGTCAGAAGGAGCAGATTCGTAAGGACAATCAGAAAAAGCTCCATGAGAAACTGCAGAAGAACGGTCTTTTAAGGTATAGCGCAGCAGACGCTAATGGGTCTGGCGATCAACCAGAACTTCAGTTCAAGAAATTTGAATCCTACATTAGAGACACCCAAATTCCAAACAATGTTCGGGACCTAAGAATTCACGTTGATTGGAAAAATCAAACCATAATTTTGCCGATCTATGGTCGTCCTGTCCCTTTCCATATCAACTGTTATAAAAACGGTTCCAAAAATGAAGAAGGCGAATACACATATCTCAGATTGAACTTTCATTCCCCGGGTATTGGAGGGATTTCAAAAAGGACCGAGGAGCTACCATATGAAGACTCTCCTGATAATCAGTTCGTGCGGTCTATAAGTTTCCGATCTAAAGACGGGGACCGCATAAGTGAAGTCTTCAAACAGATTGCAGATTTGAAAAAGGAAGCCACCAAAAGAGACCAGGAAAGGAAACTCCTGGCTGATGTCGTTGAGCAGGCCAAACTAGTGGAAAATAAATCCGGAAGAACCAAAAGATTGGATCAAATTTTTGTCAGACCTAGTCCCGACGCGAAAAGAGTGCCAGGTACCGTCTTCATCCATGATAATGGTATACGTTACCAGTCCCCTTTGCGCACTGATAGTCGCATCGACATCCTATTCTCCAACGTGAAGAATCTAATTTTTCAACCATGCAAAGGTGAATTGATCGTCATCATTCATGTTCACCTAAAAAACCCAATTCTGTTAGGTAAGAAAAAGATCCAGGATGTCCAGTTCTACAGAGAGGCTTCTGACATGGCTGTTGATGAAACTGGTACCGGCAGACGTTCTAACATGAAGTTCAGAAGGTATGGAGACGAAGACGAACTGGAGCAAGAGCAAGAGGAGAGAAGAAAAAGGGCAGCTTTGGACAAAGAGTTCAGGTATTTTGCGGAAGCTATCGCTGATGCGTCTGATGGTTTGGTGGACCTTGATACTACATTCAGGGAGTTGGGTTTCCAAGGTGTGCCTAGTAGGTCTGCCGTGTTCTGTATGCCTACCAGAGACTGTCTTGTTCAATTGGTTGAGCCTCCTTTTCTCGTCGTAAATTTAAGCGAAGTGGAGATCTGTGTTTTTGAAAGAGTTCAGTTTGGTCTCAAAAACATAGATATGGTCTTTGTCTACAAGGACTTTGCAAAACCCGTTACTCATATCAATACTGTGGCCATAGAAGAAATCGAGTTATTGAAGTCGTGGTTGACAGATGTTGATATTCCTTACGCCGTGTCGACTATCAACTTGAAATGGTCGAGCATCATGAAATCAATGCAGGAGGATCCCCATCAATTTTTCTTGGAAGGGGGCTGGTCTTTCTTGGTGGCCGGTTCTGATGATGAAATGTCGGATGAGAGCGAAGAGGAAATCAGCGAATACGAAGCTTCGGACGATAATCCTTCTGATGAAAGTGCAGGTTCGGAGGAAGACAACTATTCTGAAGACATGAGTGATGACGCTAGTGGTGCCAGTGGTGATGAAAGTGAAGAAGAAGAAGAAGGCGAAGACTGGGATGAGCTCGAAAAAAAGGCAGCAAGAGCTGATCGCGAGAGCAGACAGAATGAGTGAGTAGCTAGCCTGTAATATTGAATTTAAGAATTATTCTACAGCGTTTTGTTTTAAAGTTAACTTAATCTTTATTCAATTTGTAATATGTTCTACATTTGAGAAGCAGTAGTGAAACAGCTCATGACGCCAGTTTGAGGTTTGCCGCTGATTTCAGCCACCTTATATGAAGTTTCCAAAAGCCTGACCAGTGGCCTGGTAGTTCACGGATCCATTTGTGAGCAGTAAAGGTTCATCGCCGTTCTCCCCCGCACTTGAGCTCTCGCCCTTTTCTGATTTTTTCAAGAGTTTTTGGACTGTAGCAAACTGCTCCGTCTTCACAGAGATTTCATACGGCTTTATTTGGTCCGTCAAAGAATGCAACCAAGCCAATTCCAAAACCACATCGTACCTGATCAAATGGTAAGCCGTGTATAACAACGCCACAAACGCCTCCTTATTCTCCGTTTCAACAAAGTAGCTTAATAGCTCTTCGGCAACTTCAGTAGTTTGTGAAATTGCCGCAGTCTGGATGGCATCGGCCCATAACTTTTCTTCTTTGAATATGGCCAAACTTCTGGCCCATTTTTTATTTCTGCGGTAGAGTTGGGCTGCGATTTTCTTGAAGAAAATGAGCTCGTGCTTCTCCAAACGCGCAGCCAAATCAAGTTGATCGAATTTGTCATAAGAATCAACAGCGTCTTGTAGAGCTTTGTAATCCTCTTCTTCGATCATCAAATCGTGGTAAGCTTGATTGACGACGGAGTTGTTCGTAGGAAGAACATTAACCAAAAATGGTTTGATTAGTGGCAGATTGTCTGACTTGGAAAAGATTCGGATGGTTCTTGGAATATCTAATCTGGAAGTGAGCACAGTCATCAAATCAATCAATAGAGAAGGATGCTCTTTAACATAAAAGTTTATTGCCTTGTAATAGATTTCTAGGTTGGAGACCTTCACTACTATCTCTTTGAAGTATGAGTGGTCGAAATCTTCAGCAGACTTTTCGATCATCGTAAGAGCAGCATTGTCCCATTCATCGTAATGCGCATAGAGAAAGATGAGCTCTTTCCACAGATGAGCGCTCTCGACAGCCCTGATTACCTTGGGGATGTTGATTCTAGACCAGAACAATTTGAGGTGTTCATAAGTCTTTCTAGAGTCGTACTTTGTGTACAAAATAGCCAGTTCTGTGAACATTCCCATGTGAGCCCTTTCTAGACCAAGCCCTGCTTCAAAGAGAGAAATCAACTCTTCGAAATAGCCATGAGATTCGTACTTGTCTACTAGCTCATCCAATTCTTCGGCATGGACAATCAAGTTGAGTCCGCAAATTTGCGCAAGTCTAAACTCCTTGTTGTCGACGCAGGCATCACTGACCTCCCTCCAGACTCTAACATTCGAAGCCTTTCTTGCTGTGTCGACTGCTGCCTGGTAATCTTCCAAGTAAACAAGAGTGGTGGCCAACTTGGAGTAGTTGGAGACAGCGGAAAAGCAGAGTTTGGCAGCTTTGTAGTCCCTCTTCTCGAATAACTTAACACCGACAGACTCCAAGTCAGCAACCGTGGAGGTGTTGAGCAAGTTTTCAATCTCATGTAACTTGTTTAATTCAGCATAAGCAAAAATCAAAGCATTGTCAATTTTGGCTTCTTTCAGAGACGAGCGAGCCATCAACAAGTATGGAATGAGCTCTTGGTATTTCTCAGCTTGTTCAGCTACTTCAATCACACTTTCATAGTTCGATGGATCATTTGCCTTGATGTACGATTCAATAGCCTCTGGGATGCGTAATCCAACCAACTGGGCCGCACCAAGCTGAGGCCATAAGTCAGATTTGTTGAGCTTTTCGACATAACTCTCAGCACGATCCAAAGACATGATGTCCTCGACCAATACCTGAAGGGCTTTGCTGTGCTTCTCGTTTTTGTCGTAAATTTCAAACGCTTCCTCATTCAAACCGTTTTCAACACACATAGGGGCAATTTCATCAATGTCGTAACCATCAAGCTTCTCAATGTAACTAGAGACCTTTGATGGATCATATCTAATGGCAGATAGCATCAACAAACCTTGTAGCGCTGGGTTGTCATTAAATGGTGAAGGCTCTAAAATAATCTTCTCCAACAGCTTGATCAAGTCGCCTTTCAAATTGTTGCTCATAAAGGCCTGCACAGTAACGGAGATGAGCTCAGGATCAGTCACTTCACCGATGCCGACGCCCACCACCGCGTCGATTACTTGACGCCTGTGGATATTGTCTTCGCCCAGCACCGTATTCCATAATTGATGGTCTGATCTCTTCAACAGATATCTCGCCTGATACTTGTACATGCTGTTCTCGCTTGTAATTCTGATGAGATCAGCATCATTGCTGCCTTTTTCGTAAGCAATATAAGCAAGAAAGGGGTCTCTCTTTTCGCAATAACGACCGACATCCAATGTGTCGTATTCGTTGTTTTCCTTCAAAAAGGTCTCGGGTGAGTTGTTTGAATCGATGTAGATTTTAGCCAGGGTATTGTATACGGCCTGATCTTGCGTGCCAAGACGTAGCGTTTCTTCTAAGAATGGAAGCAAAAGCTTGAGTCTGTTTCGCTTTTCAACTTCTTTAGTGAGCTCACCAATGGGCACCTGGCCGACAACCGTCGCCAATAGATTTTGAATAGTCTTTTCTTCACAGTCTACATCCAACAAAGCTGCTACCACCTGGGGGGTTTTGAGAGGGTTCACTTGCTGCACATAGACTTCAATGAACTTGAAATCCTGAGCTTTGTAGAGATACAGGACAAGGTCATGAATGTAGCCAAAACGGTCAGCAACGATTACTAATGGCATCTGGTCTGGTAGCTTCAAGTCTTTTAGAAGATTTTTCACTCGTTCAGGATCATAAACGTTGTTGCTTCTGACAACCCTTTCAACTTCTTTGTACTGCCCCACCTTTGCAGCGGCTTGGATGAACTTGAACACAACATCCTTGTCTTCGGTCAAATTGACTAAAGAAGCCAGGTAGTAGTACAAACCCTCTGTGGCACGGTATTCCTCGAAAAGTTTGATGAGTACTTGGGCACCCAGCAAATCAGAATACTTCGTGGCAACTTGGATCACAATAGGGAGATTTGCTTGGAGGTTATCGTCCAAAAGGGCCCTCAAACAAGCAAAACTTTGTTCCACATTGAGCTGTCCAAAAAAGTTGACAAGCCAATCGGCAGGTATTGAGCTGCTATGAATAATACAGCGCTTGATATCCTTTATATCGGTACTGTTTTCAAGAGCTCTTTGGTAAAGACCTGCCTTCTCTGCGAGAGATGCGATGGTTGGTTTGTCATAATGGCTAAATATGCTGTTGCCGAGAATGGCATCCGCCACCTGTGGCGCATGAAGCAAATTAACCTCGAGAACACGAGTTTGTAGATGACCTTGATCGGGAGTGTCACCTTTGAGGGCGTCCAATAAAAACGAAGTACCCTGTTGAACGAAATTCTGGTTGAAAAAGATGTCAGCAATCTTTTCAATATCCAATTCTGAAGAAGTAGTTGGTGATTGCAACAAGCTTGTAGCAAATTCCGAAGCTTTGTCTGGTGAGGAGCGCAATAGGTTGGAGATCAAAATCGCGTAATTTGGTTGAAAACCCACCTTTTGGGCATAAGGCAGGATCTTGTCAAATTGTTGAAGTTCAGCCAAGGCGGTGATAACCTTTGAGTGCACCTCAGCTCTCAGGTAGCAAGCAAGAGCCAACGTTGTATCAAATGGCTTTACAACGTCACCCAGCTCTTCAGAGCACTCAAGCTTATCCTCTTTCAACCATTTCTCAAATAGTTGCTTCCGATCTTGTTGTAGGACTGGCTTGGCCAGCTCTATTGTCTCGTACTTGTTCAGTTTGCCTTTGTCCAACAAAGTGGAGAAGTAGAGTAAAATTGGAGAAATAGCACCTGGAGCGGCCTGAATGTTTTTGAGCCTGTTGATAGTGGTCTGGGTACGCAATTCTTGAGAAGAGGCAGCAACTTTAGCCGCATTTTGATAATCACCGGAAGCCAACAAAGAATCAAATTGTTTGATAAAAAGATCATCTGCGCCAGGTAGTCCTCCTCTTGACGCCATTTTCAGAGCCAGAGACACATTTGATAGTTTCTCAAGTACGTAAGGAACAATTTGCTCCTTTGAAATTTCCACGGCCAACACCTGACCTTTACGATTGATGCACGCGATACCGTTCTTTTCGTCGTAAGTCGTGGCGGTAAAAACAGGCTCGACTGTGATTCTGTTCACAAATAGATTGGCACCTGTCTCAAGTTCGTAAAGGTGAATGAACCCATGCTTGGTCAACACATAAATGACACCATATTTTTCCGAAACTTGTACGGAAATTGGAAAATCGTTGACAGCGTCTGGTGGGAAAAAAATATCGACATTTTTCTTTTGATACGAGACTGGATTCACCGCATTATGATCAATTTCAATGATACGCAGTTCACCAGAGCCAGAGGCGTTCTTATTGCCGGTCACAAACACTTGGACTGGACTAGAGTTGCCCTCGAGCAAAATTCTAGAGAAAATCGCCACGTGACCATCAATTGCTTGAGAAATTCCCCGAGCTTTAGAGAAAAGCTGGATTTTACCGGCAATACGACCGTCTTCTTGAATGATCCCGACCACTGCAAACCAGTCAAGTTGAGCATTGGCTACAAAATTGATGATCTGGGCATTGCTCAAATTGGCGTGTCTTTGTGCCAGTCTTGTTGGTTGTTTTGAAGTTTCTCCGTCAAACACATTCGAGATATACAACGAGTTAGCACTCACAAACCCTAGTGTTTCTTGATTAAGCCATTTCCAAAACAGCACCGGTTCTTCCAACGTGAACGATTTCAACTTGCTCTTGGTATCGAGATTGAAGATTTGAACCACTGTTCCCTGTGCTCTGACAGAAATAACATTTTGCGTTGGATGCATGATGGCAGAATCACCACCCATGTTCTTGCGGTTTACAGAGTTCCCATTTTGTAAATCCACAATTGCCACTGAATTGGCCCCGTTGTTTGTTTCTCGAACTGTTACAAACCTGTCACTTTCGAAAGTGGTCGATCTGAAGTCCAGCGATTGAGACGAGATCCCAACCGATGTCAGATCCACCAGCTCCGTAAAGTCAATTGGCAAATCACTCATTCTTGGTGTGACGCTGAAGAGTCAGGAATGAGCTTTAAAACCAAAAGATGCTTGTTTTTTTGCTGATCAATTGCTTACTGGGAAGTTTAAGTTACTGACTAGAATGAATTTCCTAAATTTTCGGGAACTTATGGAACTTTTATAGGGGGAACCATTTTTAGCTCAAAAAATTGAGGTCTCCGTCGGGTGTGATATGATCCAGTGTCAGCGTCAGCGTTTTGAGCCCGCTGGGAAACACGGTTCTATAGAAGATGTTCGATTTACAGGTTGTTCGATTAGCACGCTGGCATTGAGCTTTGGGAGATGGATCGGGGGAGCTTGGCTCTGGAGATCGTGTTGAATATTCTTGGGTTGTTCTTCAATGATTCTGTCTATTCGCGGATTTGTTTGTGTGTCGTGACGCGTGGCTAGCCAGGTTCGATTAACAAGCGGCAATTGTGGCAGTTGTGGCATCTAACAGTGTTGATTGTTTGTCATGTTGTGTGGCCCTCACCTCGTACTATTTAAGGGTTGAATAAAAGGATGTTGTCAGACTTTCCTGGTGTGGACAAATTATTAGCACAGGCATCCGGCCAGTCAACGTTTTTGGTCAATTTAACTACCTTCCGCTCAACGAACAACTCTTGGCTTCTTCCGAGGCTGGCTTTTGCTAAGGTCATGTGTTGCTGCCTGAGCAGATATAAATGACTTTGAAAAACGGACTACGTCAATTGCTGCTGTTGTTCTTGCTTGTTGGGACCAACAGTGACTTCTTGAAGTGTTTCAGTACACATCTTGTTCTCTGTCTTGTAATGTTTGTACGTATAGTTGAAAAATTAAGAGCGTCGGTTACGAAAGTATCAGCAATCGATTGTGAAGAGTTGATAAGCCTGTAAGCTTAGTAGAACAGCTGAGATCGTTGGTGATCAGTTTTAAATAGTAGGGTACAGCCATGAACGTACTTGAACTCAACATCAGCAATCCGTTGTGAATTTTAATTATAGTCATAAGCGTACTTGAACTGAACGCCATCGATCGGTGTAAACAAGCTACAGCAATTAATCAGCATTATTTTTGAAGTAAGCCGCGACGCGCGATTGAAAGACAAGTTAGAAATTGAACCTACGATGTTTGTCTAGAGACGTGAAAGTGTATTTGAGATACTGATAGGTTCATCAACCAACTGACGGCAATGATGATACCGGGGTATAAGAAATTTAAAAAAATTAAGTGTGAGGGAATAGAACAGCAGTGTCGTTGAATATAAACACCCTCGCTTGATGCGATCATGAAGTCATTTGCCGATATCGTAGTAATTGTGTCTATTCCACCAAACGTGTTACGTCCTAGCTCTTTGGTGATTTTTTTCCATTATTTTGAGTTTATAGTTGCTTCTCCACGGTGTATGTAGATGAGCTTGAATAAAACTTCTCTCCTTGTACAATTCTTGGAAATGCTCGGTTGCCAACGGATGTAAAGATTTTCAGATATTTCGAGCGCAAGTATGTCAACCAGTTAGTACCGGCGTATGTATTTCATTCCCAGGCCACTCGGTACAATTGACGTCTTTCCTGTTAGATCAGTAGTTATTCTAGATTCCTCAATTTTGTCGCTGTCATGGCGTGTCACGTTCTCATATACTCGATTCTTCAGAGCTGACGCTAGACAAACAGCAGGTTCCGATACTTTCAGGCTTTCAATACGTTTAGATACAACTTGGTACTTTCACACTTCATGGTCTATTTGTGGTAGTCTAAGCGTGTCTTGGGATTACTTCTTGTCAAGTTTATCGCTGCCATCTCCTCAGAGCGCATATTATCATCGGTTTAATAGAGACCTTGTAACACATCTGGGTTAAGGAAATCTCAATTTAGCAAGTCACGTTACTTGGTTGATGTGTCAACAGCTCTCGTAACACATCGACAAACTCACGTTCAGGAACCGGGCCGAAAAACGCGTGAGGTCGCGTGAGGTCAAAGCATCGACCACCAAAAGCTTTGAAGGTTTAGGTGGATTGCATCGCGACTTTGAAGCTTTCCTCGGTTTTGTATAAAACGCATGTGGAAGCATATTACTTGCAGGTTGAGTTAAATAAGCATCCCAGTCTAGTTTCTGTGAAATGGACTCCTATTCGTTGAGGTTGCTGGAAGACATTCGGGAATTAGGTCATGATAGGAAGTATATGAGATACTTGCTCAGGCATTCGCAGTACGATGACCCCTCAGACTTCCTGAACAATTGTACATCAGGGCAGTACCTGTTACGATACCAATGGGGTAATTTGAATTTTGGTAATGCAGTAGGTAGCAGCGCGAAATCGCCATCGCAATATGCATTTAAAGCTCTGGAAGATGAGTTGGTACTTACTCCAAGACAACAATAGGATCAGCTAATAGATCGACTTCAATTGCAGATCAAAAAGCTTACAGCGGCACATTCCAAAATACCAAGGGCTCGAGGTAAAACTTTCCGGTACAACCGTGATTATGAAAGAGGCGGAGACTTCATGTTGAAGTATACAGACGTTGACTTTCGTAGATTAACAGGCTTTCATAAGAATCAGTTGACACAAATCGCGAAAGCGTTAAAAATACCCCAAAACGTTTCCAACTTCGCGTTGGCACCTGATGAGTCCTTTTTCATTTTCCTCGTTCGTCTTCGCAATGGCTACACTTATAGCGTTCTTGCAAAACTTTGCAATCGAGAGATATCTACTATTTCCAGAGTGGTCTCATTTCTCACTTGCTATCTTTATCATATCATAATGCCGAAATTAATTGTCACTAGCGCGACTCGGCTACCAGAGCGATTGAGAGACATAGATAGGGCGCTTATAGAGGATGACAGATCAATTGAAGGCTCAAATGTCGTCGCTTTCATTGATGGTTTTCATGTAAAAATTGGTCGGTCTCATAGCCACGCCCGGCATGGAAGTGGAATTGCACAAAACGCTATTGACAATGTGCATAAGAAAACTATTCTTTTGAGGTATCAGGCAGTAACGACGCCCGATGGGCTTTGCATTGATCTTTCAGTCTCTTTGGCAGCAAGTCAGAATGACCCATTCATGCTGTACAGAGTGTATGGGGATCCTGCGTACAGAAGCTCTAACGTTTTGGTAGTTGGATTCGAAGGCCAAATGCTGACACCAGACGAAGAAACGCAAAACAAAACTATGTCAGCATCTCGGGTTTCGACTGAGTGGTTCTTTGCAGCAGTGAAAAACAATTTCCGGATCTTCAATGACAACGGTGTTCTGAAGGTAGGTGGTGTGAGGGGATGTGGGGCTTACTTTCCTATAGCGATATTTCTAACAAATATTAAGCACTGTTTGGAGGGCTCACAGGCTTCGAATTACTTCCAAGTCGACCCCCCCCCCAACAATGGACGAATACATGAATGGAATGAAGTTTCCCGAATTCTTTGATGATCTTTTGATAGGTTCAACTGGAAGCGGGAACTTCTATTCGAAACAAGACAGGAGCATAGAATTTGATCACTTGAATGAGCTAGGGGTGCAATAAGTACATGCTGGATTTTTAACGCAACAAAATCGTGCCCGCGCTCTAATTTCATGACAAACGATTCTTCTCCTAGAAAGCATGGCACTGGTCACCTATGAACTTTGCCAGGCCTAGGTTAGTGCTTCCAAACTTTTCATGGTATTGCAAATGAGTTGTTAGCACTGAAGCCATTTGAGAAAACTTGATTTTGTCATTCTCAAGTGCGATCTCTTCTTGCTCACTTTGTTCTATACTATTCATCATAGTTCGAAAAGACTTAAACAGAGAAGATTGGTTCTGTTGCATCTCTGAGCGAAGAACACATAACAAAAGTATTTAAATCTGGAATCAAGGCCTCGGTAGCTTGGTTCACGCTACGTGTTTTGGCGATAGCTCGCACGTTGGGCGCATTAATATCGTCAATAGCTGAAGAAGAGTTTTCCGATTCTGAATCACACAACTTGTGGAAGAGCATTGTTACAGGGGACGCGCTCTAGATCCCGTCTTCTGGACTGGCACTGTATCTCTGGAGCTTGAAGTACTGTCCTATGTTTATCAACAGCGTTTTTGAGCCATGCTAAATCTTACACAAGCTCGTCAGTCTTGTCATCAAGAATCCTCTCATCTCCCGTAGTGACGACTAAACTTTTGGAGATAGCTTTTAGGTGTCATTGCACGATAAACGTTTTATACTCATACTAATGTCTTCTATTATTCTAAACTATTACTTGATTGAAGTATACTGCTATCTCTCTCCGCTCTTTTGAATGAAAAACCATTCGGTCGCGCATGTCGCCTAAAGCATTCCTATTTGAGCATATGCGAGAGTTTTCACCACTCAATTTAGGTGGTATGACTGTGAATCAAATTATCACAAGTGGTGTCCGTTGTGAACCAGACCATGGTGCTGAGAAGTGGTTAAAATGGTATTTCAAGTTGACAACGCTTTGATTCTGACGCTGTCATTCGTCACGTGACATTAATCTGACATCCGACAGACAGAGGATTCCTAAGTCACAGTACCGAACCGCAAGAACATCTTTTCCATGAATAAAATGAAAACGTACTTCAAGTACCGTCCATCTGAACTATTTTCATCCAACTACCAAAACATAATATGATCATTTCATCAATTCCTACCTTCGATCTTTTTTAAAACCGTTTCCCATTCGAACCTCTTCTGAGACGTCATTTCACATATTTCCCTTTCTCGGAAATGAAAGATCATCACTTTAGCGTCACAAGCGGGATGACATAAAATGAAATAAAGTTGGGGAAACGGAAACGTATATAAAGGACGACGTTTTGGAGGTCGAGACAAGACACTGCTTGAGTTTTGGACTTCACATTTGCCAGACAAAATAAGAACTAGTGAACCTTTGAAGGAGTAAACCATTTAGACGGAGAACTCACGGTTGCAAAAGTGAACGACTTTGAAAACCTGCGCGTACCATTATTCTGCACAAAATGACAAGAATTACAGCTAATGAATTCTCAGGAGCAACGTTCCGGCCACAACAGTTTGTGCAGTCAGAACGGCAGAATTCTAAGCTCAACATAGAGCAGCTCAACTTGTTTTTGGAATCTAGCCCGGAAAATGCGAAACTGACACACGATCTGATCACACAGGTTACCACGGATCCGGTTCTCAAAACAGGATCCGATTATTATGATTTGGACAAAGCCCAGCATCGAAGGGCAACGGCTTTGAAAATCGCAAAAATGGCACTTTACATGGAAGAGGATATCCAAATGGCATTCAAAAAGTATCGCAATCACGATGTGGTGAAGGGATTGCAAACAGACGAAAAATACCCAATCCTCACTGCTAAAGATTTGGGCATTTTCGACAAACGGCTTTCAATCATCTCAAACCAGGATCCGCAGCTAGGAACTAGGATTGGGGTGCATTTAGGGTTATTCGGGAACTGCATTCGTGGTAACGGAACCGATGAGCAGATCAGATACTGGCTTCAGGAAAAAGGTGCCCTTTTTTTAAAGGGCATCTACGGATGCTTTGCCATGACTGAGCTTGGACATGGTTCGAACGTGGCACAGCTACAAACACGCGCGATTTACGATCCTAAGACCGAGTCTTTTGTCGTAAATACTCCAGATTTACCTGCCACAAAATGGTGGATTGGTGGTGCCGCCCATTCAGCCACGCATGCCACTGTTTACGCGAGACTTATAGTTGAAGGGAAGGACTATGGAGTGAAAACATTTGTAGTTCCTCTCAGGGACCCTGAAACGTTTCAACTTTTAGCTGGTGTATTCATTGGTGACATCGGAACCAAGATGGGACGTGACGGCATTGACAATGGATGGATTCAGTTTCAAAACGTGGTGATTCCACGCGAATACATGTTGAGTAGGTATACAAAAATTGTCCACAGCGGCAGTGGCGTGCGTGTGGCTACGGAACCAACATTGGACCAGATCTCAGGCTATAGTGCTCTTTTGAACGGCAGAGTAAACATGGTGATGGATTCTTTCAGATTTGGTTCCAAGTTTGTCACGATCGCTGTTCGTTACGCCGTGGGGAGACAGCAGTTTGCAGCCGACAACGATAAAAGCGGAAATGCGCCTGAAACTCAGCTCATCAACTACCCTTTACATCAATACCGAGTTCTACCACACCTGGCCATCGTTTACTTGATCTCTCCTGTTGCTTTTAAACTCATGGATACTTACCACTCCACTCTGGACGAACTTTACAAAGTTTCATCCGCTGGAGATAAAGGCCAGTTGAAACTCGTGAGCATGAAACTAAAGGATCTCTTTATTGACAGTGCCAGTTTGAAAGCCACCAATACGTGGCTCGTTGCTGCTGTTATTGATGAGCTTCGTCAGGCATGCGGCGGACATGGCTATTCAGCCTACAATGGATTTGGTAAGGGATACAATGACTGGGTTGTACAGTGTACCTGGGAAGGTGACAACAACATTCTGTCATTGACGTCAGCGAGGAGCATCTTGAAAAAATACGCCGATCTGGCGAAGGGCAAAGTGCAAGAAACCGAATCGTTCAGATATTTATCCCCGGAGTTGGTCATGGCTGTCTTGAGAGGTACCAAGGCTGCAAAGTTGGATACACCAAAGGATTATTTCGAAGTTTGGGGTATTATGCTGATCAAAATGTTACATTTTTGCGCTAAATTGGTGAAGGAGACCAAAAGCGCGGATTCTATTTCGAAGCATCTAGTTTTGATTTCCCGTTTCCATGCATTTCACTCTATGTTGAGAGCTTTCTATTTGAAATTGAAGAGTCCTTCGGATTCGCATGTTTCGGACGAAAGCTCTCAGGAAGTTTTGTGGAAATTGTACCGGTTGTTTTCGCTCTACTTCATTGACAAGCACTCTGGAGAATTTCAGCAATTTAAAGTCTTCACGCCTGATCAGATTTCAACATTGGTACAACCCAAACTTATGGCATTACTACCAGAAATTCGCAAGGAATGTATTGCTCTTACAGATGCATTCAAGCTCCCCGATGCAATGCTGAACGCACCCATCGGTTATTATGATGGCGATATCTACAACAATTACTACAACGAAGTTCTCAAGAACAATCCACCGGAGGCGGACGGGCCTGGGAAACCAGAATATCACCAGTGTCTCACCACAATGCTCAGACGCGGTTTCCAGGGGACCGAAAATTTAGCGAAGCTGGGCAAATAGCTATGGTTACGGTCTCTACTTATGTCAGAGCTATATATAATGTGTGTCATGAATGAACGTATGGAAGTTAAACTGATGTGGATCGCGAAAGTCACTTTTCAAAAACAAAAGCAGAGTGGAAGCGATAATGGTATATTTAACTTCTAGCTTCGAGCAGCTCGCACTGCGTGTCGAATTTGAAGGCACTCCCTTTTATACTCTCTTTCCATCGAATCTTTTCTTGGTTGATTCCCCACAATTTATACTGGGTCCTTCACTCGATCCTCGACCTGATCCTCTAGTTGATTATTTAGTCGCGCTTTCAGAGTTAGTTTTCACGTGCGGCGAATAAGGCCTCTGAAAAATTCCTGGAAGCAAAAGGGACTTGTTCCTGGCTCAGACCCTCAGTTTCAGCTCTATAGATACAGGTCTGCAAAGAGCTCAAGATCCTTTCAACAATTCCGTATTGTTTTCGCGATCTTCAATTTTCATACAATCGAAAAGGTTCTTGATCCAGCCCTCCCAGTTCGCCTTGGATCTAAAAGTAAAGATCGTCTAAAGACCCTGTAATCGAAATTGCATATATGACAGATTCACATAAGTTCAGCAAGAAGCGGGACGCTACAATTAGCTCGGACGCCGAGGATGACTCATTTGCAGCCAGCAGAACCCCGAGTAGAAGAGCCAGCAGCATTTTCTCGCTCGAGGATCCAGTTTTGGAACCACCTAACGAAAGTGACATCAAGAAATTCACAAGCGATGAATACCATTTTAGTATGATCCGGAACTTGCATTTGGCCGATTTGATAACTTTGATGAATGGGTTTAGTGGCTTTTACTCGATCGTGAGTTGCCTACGCTTCACACTCACGGAAAAACCGCACTACGTGCAAAGAGCGCATTTTTTCATTTTGCTGGGCATGTTTTTTGACCTTTTTGATGGCAAAGTGGCACGTCTCAGAAATCGTTCGTCACTAATGGGTCAAGAGCTGGACTCGCTTGCCGATTTGGTATCGTTTGGCGTGGCACCCGCGTCTATCGCGTTTGCCATTGGTTTCCAGTCTACCCTGGATGTCTTGATGCTTTCGTTTTTCGTTCTGTGTGGTCTTACCAGGCTTGCCAGGTTTAACGTTACTGTGGCTCAACTTCCTAAGGACGTTTCGGGCAAATCCAAGTATTTCGAAGGTCTGCCCATCCCAACTTCGCTATTCTTGGTGGGCTCGATGGCGTATCTTGTGCATCGTGGCTTGATCCTGGATAATTTGCCACTGGGAACATTTGCGAAAGGTGAGTGGTATGAGTTCCACCCCATCGTGACTGTCTTTTTCATTCAAGGGTGTGGTATGATTTCCAAGAGCTTGAAGATTCCTAAACTGTGAACCAAACCGACCCCCAGTTCCCCGGTCGGCGTCAAACCTTAAAAGAACCCTGCGAAAAGGTTGATGATCTACGTATCTTCCCAGATGTATGCATAACAGTTCATATCTTAGCAACTGAAGACCCTTAACTTCGTGGTTTCCGTAGCGCTGTATCTGTAATTCTCAGTTTGATCTACATGCTTCAAGAATTTAATGGACGAAAAAAGGAGAATGTGCCATTTTCTGGATTAGACATAGAGTTTCATCGGCCGCAACGATGTGTCCTAGCCAATATACTAAAATGGCGAATTTGGACTTCGGCGCCAAAAAAAAAACAAGTACATGTAGCTAGAAGCGAACGATTTTTTGAGTAGACCACTATTCAAGCCGTTACTTTAAAACAAGAGAACAGAGGATTTGTTTCAGGAGGCAAGACTCTTTACCACTTTTGAACCTTCATAAAAATCAAGCATGGATGTTATTAATCAATGATTTATTTCAAGGACTCGTCCACTCGATGCTTTTTACTGAGCAACCATTTTTAGCTCTTGTGCTTTCATATATGGTGAGTTTGCGACAGCAAAAAGGTTCCTTTCACCTTGTCAAATTCATAATCAGAACAGCCGCAAGTGACGTTATGATAAGCCATGTACTTTTTATCAGGGTGCTTCGTTACAGAAATGTGAGATTAAAACAATTAGCTGCTTCCTGTCAGGTCATCATATTTGTGAAACTGCACTTTTATCAGGAATAGATCGACTACCAACTGACGATTCATTCGCCTGGTCAACATTCTAAGGTACTCACTTTCTCGTGACGAAAGATGAATTGTTCAAAAGTCGTCGAGCTCGAAAGAACCTCTAGACTCTTGTGCTGGGATATTAGAGTATCCATCTTTCCGTTTCGATCCTGACGTCGGATCTGTCAATTCGGCCGGATCCTGCTCTAAATCTGAGGCCCAAGAGACAGTTTTTTTACTCTGTAGGGATCGACTATTTGGATCGACTAGTATGGCACGAAGCTTGGGGCGAAAACGTTCCCGGAAAGTGAAATACAGGCCTATTAGAATGACTGCTGAGATTGACATGGATACGATTCCGACACTGATCCTGTGAGAGATTTTGGAGTGATTCAAGTCTTCTTCACCGCTGTGGTCATTTTTGTTATCGTCGTGCTCATTGTTATCTTCCTCTTCTTCGTCATCGTCATCGTCATTCTCATCATCATCATCCTCTTCCTTATCCTCTTCATCACCATCATTTTCATCGTCGTCGTCATCATCATCGCCTTCATCGTCGTCTTCATCCTCCTTGCCATTATCGACTGCATCCGTATCAGTTCCCTGATCATCCTCCTCGTCATCTCCTTGAATAGTAGATGCCTGGCACCTCTCTGAGTCTTTATCTAAACCATCGCAGTCCAATTGTTGCGAATCCCCGGTATTAAAGCTCTCACTGATCAAAATATCTTCACCATTGTCTTGAACAAGCTCAACATCGTTAAAGTATATGTCAACGATTCCCCTGCTCACAGCACTATTATCGACGGGTACCATGTGAGAGGCATTGTAAACGCTGATAAATGTTAGGTTTCTCTCATATTTGACAAAACCTGCTGGTACAATATCGTCGTTTTGATCATCCCTGTATCTCCAGTCGTAATATTGCATGTTATCGGTGAACCCCTTCTCACCACCCCACGAAAGTGTGCTGATGAGTGTTTCGACACCAAGATTATTGCAAATAATATCTTTATCACCATTGAAAAGAACTATTTCAATACCGGACTCCAAAATTGAGGGCAGAAGATGCACAGAGGCTTTTGAATTTGAATTCGTCAAATACTTCGAAACTTGGTCATCGCATTCGTGCCAACTAGGGACTTTTTCCGAATCCAGGTGCAGGGCTTCCATAACCCCAGGAGTGTTGAAAAACTTCGAAACATACGGTAAATCGTCAGGCCAGTTCATCCCGCAAGATGGGTAGGAGTCCTTCAACCGCAAATCGTACATGTTGGTGCATTGCTGATTCGCGTCAACCTTGTTTCCATTTGAATCTTGTGTTACCCTAGTAACATCGAGCAGCACGCTCAATATGTTATCACATTCAGGAATTACAAATACGTCGTCATGATTTGCGTTTAGCTTGTTCTGGCACAGTTCTTGTTGATTCAGAAGCTGTGAGAGCTTAGGGTCTCCTTTCTGGATAAGACCATTTTGGAAAGCGAATGGAATGTACGAGAGAGCCTGTTGATTGGGGTCTATGTATCCATTGCCGATAAGTAGCGCCTCCAAATTTACTTGGTTGTTTTCTCCGTTACTGTTATGATCCAAGATGGCTTGTGCGAAGTAGGGAATGTATTGACCGGCGTAGCTCTCACCAGCGAGAATTACAGTCTTGTTGGAATCATCAGCGAAAACCTCGAAATAGTGATGAAGGAAACTCAAAAAATGTTGTGACACATCCTGCAAGTCTTTATCGTACTGGTTGTTCGAGCCCACAGTCGAGAACCCGGTTCCCACGGGTTGATCTACGAATACGATGTCTCCACGCGTATGCCAGCCTTCGTCGTTCAAATATACCTTTCCATATGAGTCGACTCTGAGGGGACCAGATTCCATTAGTGCCCCATCCATCGAAGAGCATCCAGGGCCTCCGTTTAGCCAAAATATCAGGGTATTTTTGGCCCTTTCGCTGGTGCGACCAGCATTGTCATGAAATTTCCAAAAAAAATAGTTCCCCGCGTTCTCATCATCTTCTTCACCTAGGGAGATGTGTCCAGCAAACATCTCGGGTATCAACGCAGGGTCTTCAACATTGGAAAGTCCAGGTAAAAGCTCGGGCGAAACTGCATAGTCCCCAACCGCGTAAAAAGCGCAGGAAAGCCGTGTCAGAAAAGCGAGTGCCACCCATAAAAGGTATGTGCAACATAACATAGCGACTTGAAGGGGTCTTGACTACACAGCTCTCTGGACCAGTTCTTCGAGGAGATGTTGAGATAACGTGTGAGAGCTTCTATTTATTGATGTGCTCAGCCGTAAATAGCGATCTCGTCTCATCTGGTTGTGGACACCGGGCGAAGGGCTCGTTTCTCGAGAATTAACGATTCCAATTGCGTAGTAGCTGTCCATAAGCTTGATTTCTGAATTTGAAATTATTGTCAGCTCTTATTCTCCATTTTCGGATGCTATTCTCGCCCACTGGCAAAAATAACGGAGTGAGCTCGAGAAGATGCAAGCTTTGGCTAAGTTGAGTTTATCAACGTATAGGATCTCACTTCTAGCCAAATCTCGGGATGTGTTTGACTTGTTTCCGCGTGGACTGCAGAGGGCTTGCCATTACCCATTATCACTCTGTACTAATGTGCCATTCAAGATACTACACTATTTGAAAGTTGTCACAGTAAAAGACTAGTCGAATATTAACGATAACGTTGAAAGGAGAGACCAATGTTGTACAGTTTTTGTGTGAAAGGCGTGTTGTAGTATTGCAGGTGATCATGAAGAAAGATCTACGATATTTTGATTTCAATGATCATGAATTTTTTGACGAAAAATATACCTCTAGGGACGGCGTGTTTTTGGGCTCAAGAGCGCTACAGTAATACCACCGATGGCACTGCTGTTGAAGTGGGCCAAAACGGTTGGCCTCGGTTCAAAAGAGGTGATCTTTGCGCTACTCGGTCGTAACGCGTCAATACGTTGGATTTTGGTCACTAGGTACGTATACTGGCCATTAAAATTCAAGGTGGGCGGCTAGCGACTTCTTTCCCTTTGAGCACAACATCAGAAACACTAAAACAACTGTTGGTGACCGAAAATCACTGTTAGACACTGCTTTGCTCTCCTCAAATACATTTCTTGAAGTGGCTGCCTGGTTTTCCCAGCGAAGATTGGTGAAGACAACTTTCTGGCGAGAAGAATGCTCGAACAGGACGTTTTTCATTCAAATTTACGACCCTTTAGGCTCCAAAAATGTTAATGCTAGCACAAGTTCGGTATTAGTAACGGGAGGCACTACCAGACAGCACCAACACTGCTTTTATTTTCAATAGAATGACATGGCTCTGGGCCCCTTACAACAAAGTGAAAGATCACAAACAGAATCGTTCTCCAGTGGCACAAACTTGGGAGAGGGTTTCGGCAATAACGATCGTGGTTCATGTTGGAATTGTTACAATTTTGTGTCCTGTAATAACGCTGACATCACTGCCAATCCGTTCGAGAATTTTCCGTTGGAACTTTATCAATCGTGTCATCGTCTGGTTTCCGCATGCTGAAATGCTCACTCAAATCCACTACTTGTCGATAACCTTCTCTACTTCACTTTCACAAGAGCATAATTGTTTGCTTGTCTAGAAATGCTTTAGGATATCTTCGGGATGAAACTTTGCCCATTCGGACTCAACCGACTACACAAGATCCGCACCGAGCGATGCATCCGAAATTCTACATTATTCGCATACTTGAAGTTACAGATGCTCCGTCGCTGACCATTATTACCCAAAAAGTCGGTCTCGGGTCTCTCGGCTCCGCGGCCAGTGTCAACATCCCGAAACTCCGTCGCAACGTGACCGTCCTATTTGATGTTTCTCTACATTTACTCTTGGATGCATTGTCTTGAACGGCTCTTCCCACGTTGATAAGCGATCGGCATGTCGAGTCACTATCTAAATTTCAACTGGTATCAAACATCATAATCAGGCCCAGAGAGGAATATTAAAAAATTTTACCCAGTGGATTATGAGTCAAGTCAAGTGAGAATAAGTGAGAATAGGTGGACTTTAGAGGTTTCGCTATTAACTTGAAAATATATATAAAAGGGAAGCCAAGCATTACACTTTAACCGCCAACTTCAATTGGTATTTCATTTTCGATTGGTTAGTAAAATATCAGGCATTAAAAACACCTGAGTACATCTAATATCTGAAGAAAGACCAAAATTCAACCAGTCATGACCGTGGGTGCAGCTTTAGATTTATCTCACCATTTTTCAGTGGAAACTAAGTCGCGTAAGGCATCGCCTCTTAAGTCGTGCATCCATCTTTTCCATGATCCGAACATTATTTTTCTTGGGGGTGGTCTACCTATGAGTAAATACTTTCCATGGGACAATCTCAACGTGCAATCACCTCTTCCTCCTTTCAAAAACGGAATCGGCGAAGTGCCTTCTGGGACCGACAAGGATACTTGTCACGTTCAAATTCGCAGAGACGAAACAACTAAAGCCGGTGATACTATCGATGTTCCTCTGTCGCGTGCTTTGCAGTACGGCCATAGTCAGGGCCAGCCTGAATTCTTGTCGTTTGTGAAAGAGCACACTGAGCTTGTGCATAAAATGCAGTACTCTGACTGGGATGTGTTGGCGACCACTGGTAACACCGGTGCGTTTGAGTCTGCGCTAAGAATCTTCTGTGATAGAGGTGACACCATCCTTGCTGAGCAATACTCTTTTTCCGCTTCCATTTACGCTGCTGAGGCTCAGGGTATTAACGTTTTTCCCGTTCCGCTTGACGATCATGGGCTGATTCCAGAAAGACTAGCAACGATCTTGGACAACTGGAATCCAGAAGTCAAAAAGCCTAAATTATTGTACACCATTCCTACAGGTCAAAACCCAACGGGATCCTCTTTGAGCTATGAGCGTAAAGCCGAGATCTACCGCATTGCCCAGAAGCACGATTTGATCATCTTGGAGGACGAGCCATACTACTTCTTGCAAATGGATGAGTACCAAGAGGACCCATCCCAAAGAAAAACTACCACCTACAGCTCCCACTCGGAGTTTCTGCAATCTTTGGCCAAATCCTTCATTTCCATGGACACAGAGGGTCGCGTAATCAGAATGGACTCGTTTTCTAAAGTTTTAGGCCCCGGCACCCGTTTAGGATGGATTGTGGCTTCCAAGCAAATCGTCACCGCTTTTCTTCGTCTGCATGAAATGTCAATTCAGAACCCTTCTGGCTTCAGTCAGTCTATCGTCGCTGGTACCTTGAACCGTTGGGGTCAAGATGGGTTTTTGGACTGGATGGTTGGCTTACGTCAGGAATACAATGAGAAGCGTGATGTTGCCATAGATGCGCTTCACAAATACGTTCCAGAGGATTCAGTTTTCCACGTCAATCCTCCAATTGCCGGTATGTTCTTCACTATCAGCATTGATTCCTCCAAACATCCAGAATTTGCTACCAAGTATGAATCTAAACCAGAGCTTGTGGAACAAGCTATTTACAACAAGGTCGTCGAGTCTGGTGTGTTGATTGTGCCTGGTGCATGGTTCAAGGTCGAGGGTGAAACTCAGCCACCTCAACCTGCCGAAAGCAAGAAAGAGCTTGACCCTAACCGTATCTTTTTCAGAGGTACATATGCCGCTGTTCCTTTGGACAAACTGCAAGACGGTATTAGAAAAGTCGGTATCGCTCTCAAGGAGGAATTCCAGCTTTGATGGCCGCTATACAAGGACACTGAGTACAGCCGCATAGTCCTGCATAAATCTTATCCAAGTACAAATCACTTCATTTCGGTATTTGTATACAATCAAAACAATAGGAAGATTAGACACATGGTGACGAATTATTATTGAGAAGCAACGGGGCTGTTCTTAGGCATGTAGTTTGCAAACTATACAGGAGTTTGATTGCTTGGTGCATCAACTCTGGCTATGTACTCAACTGTAGGTTTAAAAGCAGAATGTGATGAGTCGAGTGATCCGCGGTGTCTGAAGTGATGGAGGTCGTCTTGGCGGTTTTCGAGGGAGCCACGAGAATGAAGAACCTGTTCGTCGACTACCACTTGCCCGCCTTTGTTTTCCGGTCCAAGCACAGTAGTTACCAGTAAGCCTGCAAACACGCAACCCATGAATATGCACATAACCTTTCCATATTCGAATGCGTCTTCTTTTCCTTCGATGGGGAAGCGCTCACCAATGGTAGCTTCGATGGTTGAAGAAGCACTGCTGATCATATTACCCATTTGATAGGCAACTCCCGTTACAAAAGCGCGAAACTCGACCGGTGAAAGCTCAGTTAGGTGAATTGGCACTACCCCCCAGGCGCCCTGAACAAAGAATTGTAAGAAGAATACTGCTGGGTTGAGCCCTCGAGGGCTCGAAACAAAACCCCACGGATAAAGCAGAGCCCCTCCACCGATACAACACAGGAATATGGCGCATCTGCGTCCTATGAAGCTGGAAGCATGCGCTACTATGATTCCTCCAACCAAAGCGCCAATATTGGCAACCGAGTTGGTGACAGTAGACGCATTTTCAGAATAGTCGTACTGGTTTGTGAGCATGGTGGGGAATAGGTCCTGGGAGCCGTGGGACGAGAAATTAAACATCGCCATGAGGATAACCAGATACACCATTGTAATCCAGTGATGAATTATAGCCGCTTTGGCATTTGACCAAAACCTGTCGGTCGATTTTGGGGAGCTGTGTACTTGATCTGCATTTGGCTCATTGGCTGAGGTTAGAGCCTTCCGCTTAGCAAACTCTTGTGACTCTGGCAGTAACAGTCTCCAAACGATGAATAATACAGGTGGACCAGCACTGAACCAGAAGAAGGCTCTCCAACCGTGAGGGGAATTGTCCACGATGGCCCTCTTAAACACAACGCCCAAAAGATACCCCAGAGCGTAACCTTCTTGGAAAATACCCGACAAAATGGACTTGGCTTCTTCTGGGGCGTTCTCCAACGATGTGGCACTGGCTACACCGTAAATGGATCCCATCACAATGCCGAAAAGTGCGCGGCAGCCCAAAAATGCCGGGAAAGTCTTTACAAAACCGGTGGCTATTTGGATCACGATAATGAGTGCCATTGATATGCAGTAAGGAAGTTTTCGGCCAAATCTGTCGCCTAGATAGCCAAAAATGACGGCTCCGATGACCCTTAGCAGCAGAACTAGCGTTATGGCATGTGTGACGTCCTTGATAGGTTTGTCGAGGTCTTTTGCGATGCCTGACATGTTCAAAGAAACGGCAAAGAAATCCAGGGCGTCCCAAGTCCATGCCAGAAGCCCTACAACAAAAAACTGCGTCTGCTGAGCATTCATGCATGCCAACGCGGGGAATGGGTTCAAAGGATATTTTCGGTAGTTGTCTTTGAGCTCTGTTTTTGTCGGGAACAACGTTGTCAACCGGGTCTTGAGGTACTTCTTCACCTGAATCCATGTAACGTCATGCTGCGCTTTCGGCCGCGGCGTCTTGAAGCTGTTCTTCACTTCTCTTTCTATAAATGAGTCTGAGGACGCAATCGCATCCTTGTCTCTACGCATTTTTGTCAACTTTAACTGCTACTACTACTACAAGATACAGGTCGACCTCATGCTCCAACAATCGTCTGGTGTCTTACCGGACTCAGCACTTCCCATATATATACGTATGATCTCATGTATCAGTGAGCGCCGCTTTCAAGCCATGACTACGGCCTAAAGCGCTATTGCCAACTCCGCAGACTCAACAATCCCTTGGCATGACCACCGGTATTCTATCGCTGTAGTTGTTGTCGTCTTTTCGACCCTCACGGCTCGACCCAAACGAATTGAAGTGGTTGCAAGCCAGAGCTGCAACTTATGGCCGGCCACTTGACGTTCTTTGCACAGTTTGCGGAATTTGAGCGGTGTTCCCGTGTTCCGTCAACGCCAAGAGAACGAACCCTTTGTTCGAAAGCAAGACCAAGATGGTTTACCGGACATCAGGACGAGTACTCGAGCGAAACTTTTGGCAAGACGATTACAGCTGAGTCATCAAGACCGGCCAACGGCACAGTGATGTGGGCCTTTCATGTATATACACACACATGTGTGTAACTACTCTACAATCAGTAATGTCATCGTGCATCCTTCATCTTCTTACACAGTCGGTACATGTATATCTGTTTAGTATCATTCGTGTCTTTAGTCTTATCTATTCTGGTTTAACGGGTTCAGCATTCCAGATGGTTTCTGCATACTCCTCGATGCATCTGTCGCTGCTAAAAAATCCAACATTCGCAACACTCAAGATACTTTTCTTGAGCCACTCCTTCTTGTCCTTGTGGTATACTTGGTCGACCAGGTCTTGGGTAGCAATGTACGAGTCGAAATCATCGCTCACCAAGTAGTAGTCACCTTGATGTTTGATGCTGTCGATCAAAGGTCTGAACTCAGAAGAGTTCTGGGGCGAGAACGCACCGCTTTCCAAAGCGTTGAGCACCTTGACAAGACCCTCTGGTAGACCTGGATTTGAAAACTGGTGCTTGTAACGCAGCTCTTCCACGTTTTCGCTCAGGTTCCCAAACAAGAATATATTATCTTCGCCAATTTCTCTGGTGATTTCGACATTAGCACCATCCACAGTGCCGATAATTAGGCCACCGTTCATGACAAACTTCATGTTTGACGTTCCGGAGGCCTCGGTACCGGCAGTAGAGATGTGTTCGCTCAAATCGCTCGCAGGCGTAATAATTTCAGCCTTAGATACGTTGTAGTCTGGAATGAAGAACACCTTGAGCAAATCCTGGATCTCGGTATCAGCATTCACCACTTCCGCAACGGAGTTCACTAATTTGATGATAAGTTTCGCCATGTAGTAACCGGGCGCACTTTTGCCTCCAAAAATCGAAACTTTGCGAGGGTACCGCTCAGCAACTTTTTCAATAGACGCACCAGACTGCAAGAGCTCCTTGATGCTTAGGTACCTGTGAATAACTCCGAAAATGTTGAGTTGTTGCCGCTTGTACTCGTGAATACGCTTAACCTGTATGTCAAATAGCGTGTTTCTGATGTGCTCCCTATCAATGATATCAACACCATCATTCAAGTGCTTAATCAAGTCCGCAAGCCGTAATTTGTTGAACTGTTTCACGTCATTCCACTTGGTTTGAAAAGCTTCGTCTTCGGCGTACTTGGAAAGTGCTGTGAGCTTGGACATATCAAGCAAATAGTCGTCGTCAGGGTCATTGATTGTCTCGCTGATCAATTCTGCCAGCTTTGGATTCGCCTGTTTCAACCATCTTCTGGGAGTGATACCGTTGGTGACGTTGGTGAACTTGTTGGCACCATAAATCTTGACAAAATCCTGAAAAATTGTAGTCTTGATCAAATCCGAGTGAAGTTCCGCAACACCGTTAACTTTGTGGGACCCGATGATGGCCAAGAAGGCCATGCGAACATATCTTTCTTGAGAAGCTTCTTCAATGACCGAAACCTTGGACAATAAATCCACATCGTGTGGGAACTTCTTCTCAACGGATTGTAAGAAGAACCAATTGATATCGTAGATAATCTCCAAGTGTCTTGGCAACAAATGACCCAAGAGACCAACCGGCCATTTTTCCAACGCCTCTTGCATGACTGTATGGTTGGTGTAAGCAAATGTTTTGGTCACAATATCCCAAGAATAGTGCCACTCGAGTTTTTCCAAATCCACCAAAATTCTTTGTAATTCTACAATGGCCAAAGTCGGATGGGTGTCGTTCAACTGAATGGCAATCGCTTCTGGGAATTCCGACCACGGCTTTTTGTTTTTCTTGAACCTTCTGACAATATCGTGCAATGAGGCAGCGCACCAGAAATACTGCTGCTTTAAACGCAACTCTTTGCCCTGGTCAAAGTTATCATTTGGATACAAGACTGCCGTAATGGATTCAGCCCGCTGCTGTTGTTCAACCGAGTTCTTGTAATCACCGTTATTGAATTTGGCAAAATCAAATTCCGTGGTAGGTTTGGCGCTCCAGAGTCTCAGGTTATTGACCGTGGAGGTCTTGAACCCTGGGATAGGCATATCATGAGCCACAGCAAGCACTCTTTCGCCACCAATCCAGTCGGAGGGCGAAATGGTGGTCTTCTCCTTGTCTGAACGGTCTACGTACCCATAAAAGTTGATAGGCACCTGAATTTCCCACCGGTCAATCTCCCATGGGTTACTGAAGTTAAGCCAGTAATCGGGGGTCTCAACCTGATAACCATTGATAATCTTTTGAGCGAAAATTCCGTATTGGTAGCGAAGACCGTAACCCCACGCTGGGTAATTACCGGTGGCCAGCGAATCAACAAAACAAGCAGCCAAACGGCCCAGTCCACCGTTTCCAAGGGCTGCATCTGGCTCTTGTTCCAAGACATCTTCGAGCTTGAAACCCAGTTGTTTCATGGCGTTTCGAATCATTTCTCGAGAGGTGTTGCCCTTGGTCAAAGTCTCATCTGTGGACCCAACATCGTGCGTAGAGGTATCTGTACGCATGTTGATGAGGGCGTTATCCAACGCCCTACCCATCAAAAACTCTAGTGACAGATAGTACACTTTCTTGCCGTCTCTTGCGGTTTGTCTCTGCTGTGTTTTGTTCCAGTCGATGACCAAATTGTCCCTTACAGACTGCGAAGTTGCCTGGTAAGCAGCAATGTCGTCGCAATTGTACAACGAGCGAGCCAGCGTCCATTCCACATGGGAGATAAACTTCTCCTCGAACTCCTCAGCCGTCGAAAACTTCTGCACCTTGTGTTTATTCCACACTTCTCGAGATTGTGCTGGAATTTTGGTCTCAATGGCTGAGATTTCCTGCGGCAAAAATCCTGTTAAGCGTCTAGTTAGACGAGGAACACGAGGGGCGTTAGGGTCCTCACTGATAAGGTCGCTTGACAAGCTTTTCCCCACAATTGGTCTGTTAGAATTGAACATTGTCAAAAGAACTTGTAACAAAAAAGAAAAAGACCTGGCAGAGGTAAAACCTGATGAGACTTGATGAACCAAGTCACAGGACCTCCAATTGTCAAAGCCAAACGGAGGAGTCTTGCTTCTTCGACACTTTGGAGAAACAACTGGCAAGTTGACCCACAATTTCCCTCGAAAGATGCCGCCCTTTTATACTTTTTCCGCCCCACCTAAAGCGTTCTCCGAGCATGTACCCCTAATTTCACATCCGTGCCGCTTTAGCGAGCGCGCCTGTTTCCAAGGAAGGTATTACCCCTTGTTGAAATGGCATTCGGATATGAGGAACGTGATCTGGGATCGTGCTCGCGAGTACAGCGGATCGATGAGCATCGCGAGTACAACAAGCAAGCTCATCGGGTGATGATGACAGCTGGCCAAGCACGACCCTCACGATCCAGCAACTGATGTGTTGCGAGTTAGGCTTTGGTCTCAAGCATTTCTTTCGGTAGATGATCCAACAATACTGTCGAGAACGGCACAATTTGGATGGATGACGTAGACGATCTTTTCGGACGTAGGATGCGCAGATTCGTGCTCTGCTAGCTCTAACATGTTGCCGTGAACTTGCATGAGAATCTTGTCTTTCACGAGTCTTTTGATCACTTTGAAGGCCAGTTTGCGTTCTTGCCAATACTCTGCCTCGCTGTTGAGCTCATTTTCACGTTGCAAGAGATACCAATCAACGATAGCGGTGGCCGTCAGCTCTACACCGCCGTCGCGGTCCTCTTGAGCTACTTTCTGCACGATGAGGTTGATCATTGCGGCGTATCTGTCGTAGGAAATGGTGGTCTTGTCCTTGGGCTTGTCAGCAGGAGCATCGCCGTGCGGTGAAGGCGAAGAATTGCCTGTTGTGTGGCTAGCAGCGGCCTGTGTAGGTCCAACGTTGGGACCATGACTATCGTTGTTGTTGATGTTGTCGTCATCGTCGTCGTCGGACTCGCCCGTGACGTCGACGTCTTCGACGTCGACTCGAATGATACTCTGTCGCAGCAGGTCAAAAGCCTCCGCAACGAACATCGGGGTGATCTCATCAACGCAATTGGCGCGTGCGATTGCCTCTGAAAGTCGTATCATACTCTCCAGTTGTCTTACGGTGATTCTATAGCTTGACTTGCTGAACCCTTGAGCGTCGTCCTTACGCAACTCTTTGTATTTGTTCACTAGGTACGTCCGTGCCTCTTCGTTAAGCACGGGCTTGAACGTTCTGGCATATTTGATATACCGTCTCAATTGTTCTGGGGTAAATGGAGGATCGATTGCCTCGTCTCTTTTCATGTGCAAGTCAACAATGTGCGCAGCAAGTTCTGTGTCGATCTTTTCGTTGCAATCGTCCAGCACCACGAAAAACAGGTCAAAACGCGACATAATAGGGGCCGTCATGTTAAGGTTACCTCTCAAGGTCAGCTTTCTGTTGTAGCGTCCGCCTACGGGGTTTGCAGCAGCAAGAATTGACGTCCGCGCGTTTAAAGTGGCATGAATACCAGCCTTTGCAATCGAGATTGTCTGCTGTTCCATCGCCTCGTGAATGGCAACTTGATCGGACAGATCCATTTTATCAAACTCGTCGATAGCACAAATTCCATTGTCCGCCAGCATTAGGGCACCTGCTTCGATGGTGAAGTCCCCAGCCTCTTCGTCCTTGACTACTGCTGCTGTCAAACCTGCAGCAGACGAAGCTTTTCCAGACGTGTATACTGCTCTCGGGGCGAATCCACAAACGTACTTCAAAAACTGAGATTTGGATGTCGATGGGTCCCCGACAATGCAAATGTTGATGTCACCTCTCAGGTTAATTCCTTCGACCGTGGTCTTGTGAACACCGCCCAACATTTGAAGTAATATACCCTTTTTAACGGTCGTATGGCCAAAAACAGCTGGTGCAATTGACCTCACTAACTTGTCGTAGATTTGTTCGTCTTTAACCATTTCTTTAAGCTCGTTAATTTCTTGTGAATCCAAACTATTCAAAAATATCTCCTGATCTCTTTCGCCATCATTGTCAAAATTACCATTTTGCATGTTAAGCAAGTCTACATTATCCTCTTGATCTTTTGACCCACCGCTGCCACTATGTTGTCCAGTCGATATGACGTGACAAGCCAAGAAATTGATCTTATACGTCAAATCCCGTACTCCCAAGCTCTTTAATCCACTAACACCTGTGTTGAGACCATCAGAACTTCTGGACATTCCTCTATTATCCATTGACCCACTTGGCTTAACTCCCGGTAGTCCAAGCTGGGTAATGTCGGGTACAACTATCTCTGTACCGGTAAATTTGCACCTATCTCCTGGTTTTGCCCTTTCCACGCAATCGCCCCGTAAAATCACGTCCATCGTCCGGGGCATCGAACCTGTGGGAATTTCATTTGCATTCTCTTGAATTCTTACCTTTTGCCAGTTCAAAAATTTGGATCTACCCACCGTGAGGGACCAAAACGCCTGATTTTCACAAGAGGGATTAGGGCAATAAGTAGGCTCTGTGTATTTGAAAACCTGTTCAACATTGTCAACAACCGCACGGCACATCTCACAAGAGAAACTAGCCTTAAAAAGCTCGGGCCGAACTTCTGATGTTCTGGTAACCGTTCCAGAAATCGACATTAAAGAACCGATTTTTTCAGCTCTTATGTCACGAATACGATGAACTGTTGGTAAGTTGAAAAAGCTTATCTGGAAAACGCGTTCTGTCTGTTCTGGTGAACTTGTGGTGGATCCACCTGTGGCAAAACCGGAGCTCGGATTCCCCGTCCCAGCACCTGTCACACCAGTAGCCTGGCTTCCTTGGGACAAAGAATTGAAACCTGTATCTGTCTGGGTGTTCAGATTTTCTGAGTTTTGAGAATTGACGACCGAATCAGATGTTAAAAGTAGTTCCGGTGCATATTTACGAATTACTCGCCGCAAACCTCTTTGTAAAAAGGGCAAAAAACGGTAATATTGTTCGGCAATAGCTGCAGCCAGCACACCATTTTCTCGTGTCGATAAATGCTGATAATCGATGTATATGGTGCTGAGATCGTAAATCTTCATAAACTGTATCTGCGACCGGTACGCTTTCACCGGCCCCTGCTGGTCATTGTCCTCAGAGGGTTCGAAAGTGAAATCTTCCAGGAAATATTCGAACGCCTCACGAACTTTTTCACCGGTTACATCGTCGACTTTTTTGATAGTGTTAAGATTTCTTGTTCTCACGCCTCCTAAAGGCAAGTTGACGTCTTCAAATTCACCCCCGTTATCGTTTTGTTCCCTTGCAAAGCTCTCGCTACTGTAGGCCTGGTTCTGTTGAGCTTGACGATTGATGTTTCCCATGGATGAGCTGGGAAACACAGGTGTAGCACCAGAATGACCACCAGAACCGGTATCATCTCCATATGCCCCTTCAATCGATGAAAAAGGAGGAGATGATTGATGGGCAGGCGGTACAGACGATGGAATGTTCAGCCCATCGTGACTGTCCTGAAAGACTCGATTGTTCTCATCGCCAAAAGTAGAGCTTGGTAGGTCGTTTTGACCACCCGGTGGCGATGACATCGTTCAAGACCAGTTGTGCTCGTCGCAAAAAGCTTCGATTAGCAAGCCAAAAATGCTGGATAAACACCAAACAATCCGCACTAGTTAATTCAAGTTTTCAGGATTCAAGATGTCACAAGCTGTTCGAGAGTGCATCAATGATATATTAATTTTTCAATTAATCAAAATTGAAAAAAGATGCGCAAGCCCGGAATCGAACCGGGGGCCCAACGATGGCAACGTTGGATTTTACCACTAAACCACTTGCGCTGTTGTTGAGATACATAAAAACTTTATTTTTCTTGACGACAATAGATAGTCAGGTGTAATAGCAGCTAGTTCCAGTGGTACGCGGAGATTGTTAACAACCCTGTCACTCTGGCCAGTGTGTGCTTATGAAAGAGCTTTAGCAAATTGAAATAGTGAAGCTTCAAGATCGTGATCATTGCTCTAATCATCTACGTTTGAGCTTTGGAAGCGATACCAGTCAGGTAGACTCAAGTAATAGTAAACGAAGGCCCGGCAACTTAATCTTCAACATCATCGAGGAGAATGCCGCTGTTGGCTTAAGATTACGGTATGAAAGATGATGTTACACCATCCGGAATCAGCAATAGTATTATCTTGGAATATGTAAGGTTTCCAAGTTTTCGCTAATTTCAGCAATTTCTAAAATTAAATGCTGGATTGGAATCTACCATGGACAAAGAAAACTAATACATCTGGGCCATAACAAGCGGGAGAATCTTACAACACTTCTGACCGTCCTTTCTTTCAAATATAGCAAGAGGTTTGACGTTATATGGGTTGCCTAATGATGTTAGCCAACTACTTATTAGCCATACAAAAATGCGTCTGAATTCATCACGCCTGGATCACAACTCATAGTTGCTTAGGAAGTCTTGTCACGCGACTTCTACATTCCCATGGTTAATTTTAGTAGCGCTGGAATTTCAAGCTCCATCCGATATAGTGTAACGGCTATCACATCACGCTTTCACCGTGGAGACCGGGGTTCGACTCCCCGTATCGGAGCTTTAGTTTTTTTTTAGATTTTGACGCGTATGGATGACGAGCTAAGAAGTTTTAGCCAAAAAAGCAAGTTGAATGGAGGTCAGTTTCACACTCCTCCGTCCCCAGATAGAGAGATTGTCGAAATATCATCAGACAAACCAAAACAACGTATAAGAAACTTCTAATAATGATGTCAGTCCTTTAAAGTGGACAAATATTTATACTAATATAAGAACGAGCGGTGAACGTTTATAAAAGACCGCTAAAACCTCACCGACTTCAAACGGTGAATACACTCATGCAGATCGCCCTTTGCACTCTTTCCCTGTTTTTTATATGACTTTTGAACTTCTCCTCCTGGTTATGCAAATTTATCCTTCTTGTCGGTTCCTCTAAGAGTTCTGAGAAAGCGAGTACTTCGAACTTTTACAATTTCCTGTGAGAATATTTTTCGGGAAGGTGTATCCTGCATCCTCCCAGCTGGTCAAATTTGAATTGGTGTAAGCGTTTAAGTGCTTCTGGATGTAATCATAAGTTGGATAGCCAGCCGGGTCGCAATTTATGTTAACCGCGTCGCTTGGTTGATACACACGCACATAATCGATGCTCATCGTGACTGGGAAGAAAATAGAGTTGAAATCGATGTACGCCCAGTTGGTTGAGAGACCCAAGTTCAAAATGACAGACATGGGCTCTTTACTCAATAACCTCCAATCAATGTTTCCGTTGGGGTGCAGTGCCTTTGAATATATGGTGTACATTGGTTTGTCACCAACGAACCATCTTAGATATCCATTGTCAACGTCATTTATCAGTTCGTAGCCATAAGACTGGTAGTATCCAGCATCAGGACCAAATTCGTACCATGATGAATTCAAAGTAGAAACTGCAGAAACGGCTTGTTGGAACGGACCACCACAGTAGGTGTTCATAACAGTAGTGGACGTGTTGTAAATTTCGATGAACTCATAATCTGGGATATACCAAATATCGAATGGAGCAATTTGAAGAGACTGAGAGGCCAAACCAACGCCAATCGTGGTATCTGTCTCGGCTTCAATGATATCGATTTCAGGAGCACCTCTTCCGGTACCTTGGTTGGGATGGTCTTCATTATCGCATGTGCACACAGATAGTCTCTGGCCCGGTAACATGGAAATACCGTCGGGAGAACTTTGGTTAGGTGTTATGCCCGCATCACAAGACGAATAAGAATACGGCCATAACCCTTCAGTAGATGCAAGATAACCTGGTCTTGCTAGATTTCCCATAGTCCACATACCGGGCCATAACCCCATAACACGACCGTAATTGGGCAAATTGGCGGATGCTTCAATGTAACCTTGCGTAAAACACATTTTATTCCAACTTTGAACCATACCAGACCTGTAGTATAGGCCGTGGTTTTTGTAGGCATCCAAAGTAAGCTTTAGTGTACCGTTTGCCGTTTGTGCCGCATCTGGAGAGTACCATTCCAAGTCATGAGTAGCGTCGTAGTGGATATCTACAGCAGTCCAGAACTGGTCATCTCCCTCGTAAAAAGTTCGACCTTCAGCGTTAAACTCATCTGAAAAGACCAGGGGCCACGAAGAACCGTCTTTGGCAGTGAAATTTTTAGCGCTGTCCGGTGTATCGGGGTCCACTAGAGACTGGCGAATTGCAGAAAGTTGTGGATATTCGTAAAGCGAAAGAAAACTGATGGTTTGTGGAGAACCGTGACTCACGGCACCTGTGAATGTCAAAACAGGCAAAATGATGAATATAGCCACGACACCGAGGAACAACAGCAAAAAACTGATATAGCCTCCGGCTGATCGTTTGTCCATGTGTTTGAAATCAAAGGCGAAACGATTTTTGTCGAGTCTGGCCTCTTCTTCAGGGTCCGGGTTGTGTAGATAATCGTCATCTTCCTTCTCTTCGAGATGAAGTGGGAAAGACGATGCTGGGTAGCCTCCAAAGGGCGAAAAGTCCTGGTCGCTTATGAACGGGTCCGAGGATGTGATTGAGGCCGACGAGTTCGTGTTACTGGGACCCGGTGGATGGTGCGGATGGTGATGTGCAGCACCTTCGGTGACGGGAGCCATTGACGAGACACGGGACCCGCCTACTATCGGGTATCTGTCGAAACCGGGCGGGGCTGTGATGTCGTTGTTGGAGATGCCCAAATGAGAGCTTAGACTGGTGCTGGAGGGCAATGCAGCGGGAGCTGCATTGAGACGACTGGACGGCACATTTGGCCTGGCACCGTTTTGACGCGATCCTGTCGCACCGCGGGAATAGTAGCCTCGATAATCGGACGTGGATTTCAGCCCGTTACCGCTGCCAGCCAGGGTTTGGCTTTGGCTTTGGCTTTGGTTTTGACCTTGGTTTTGGCCCTGGTTGTTGTGATGGATCAGCGACGATTCGCTGCCACTATACGACCCGTAGGTGTCGTCTTCGGCGTCGTCTGCGAACGGGTTGTGAGCTGGATGGCTGGCCGAGGGGGCCGCGCCAGCGGCCCCGGTTTGGGCCACATTATCGCTGGAGTTTGACCCGGAACTGCTGGAAACGAGGTGCTGATCTGTGAGATTACGTTTCGACATTTTGACGAGTTTTTAGCGACTGGGAAAGTTGAAAACGATTGAAAAGAACAGACCGATTATTGTTTCTTATTATCTGTATGTGTCTCACTCAGTGTGTGTCTCGGTGTCCGTCTCTCTCTCTCTCTCTCTCTCTCCCTCTCTGTGTGTATATCTCTTCTTGAGCGGTATATTTCCCACTTTTTCACTTTCTTATGTTGATCTATCTGTGTGCTCTGAAGGAACCTCGTAGAACAGCGAAAAGACCCGGGTAAGAAGCGCAACACGGTTGAACAGGATAGCGAGCTGGTATTGAGCGCGATAAATCGAGACAATAACGAAATCTAGCGAGGCTTTTTACGCGTTGATACTGCTGAGGTGCTTAATTAGTTTCCTTTTGATGCTTTTCCGTCCTTGTTTCTTATAATTCTTGCTTAGTTTTGTTTCTCAAGTATGTGTTTTTTATGTTTCCCTAGTGATATCAATTTTTTTCGATATAACAGAATATCAAGTTGTACGGGAACTTTGTGCGCGTAGTTGTCGTGGGAGCGAGAACCGCGTGGATTGGGGCGGAGGCGTCTTTTGGTTATTTTTTTTCGTCCAAAAATAGATAATATGTGGGGCTCTGGCGGGATCGTTTAGGGTGATAGGTGTGCGAAGGTTGCAACTGAGACGAGTACGAGTACGAGTACGAAGATTGAGAGTAGAACCATTCATCATCAGCGGTAACGAAAAGATGACGTGCCACGCTCATTTTTTGTGTATGGACGTTGTGGTGGGTAATCCAGTTGAGTGAATAATGTGGTTAGAGACAAGTCTATATACAACTACGTGGTTGGAGGCAAGTCTATATACCACTACGTATCTTACTCATTACTGCTAGGTACTCGGGTTCAGTAAATACATGGTTGGAGGCAAGTCTATATACAATTACGTATCATACTCATTACTGCTAAGAAGGTTCATTTGCAGCGACCAGGTACTCCAATTCTATAGTCAAGACGACTTGCCACCTTTTTGTGTATGAGGGTTGTGGTGCGTGATTGGGTTCTGTAAATACATGGCTAGAGACAAGTCTTTATCCAATTATGTATCTTACACATTACTCCCAACAAGCTTCATTCGTAGCGGCTAGGTACTCCGGTTCTGTGAATGCATGGCTAGAGACAAGTCTTCATCCAATTTTCTATCTTACACATTACTGCTAGGCACTCCGGTTCTGTAAATAATGTGGTTAGAGACAAGTTTACACCCAACTATCTATCTTACTCGTTACTGCTAGGTACTCCGGTTCTGTAGATAACGTTGTTAAAGAAAAAGTCCACATCCAACTACCTATCTTACTCATAACTGCTAACAAGCTTCATTTGTGGCGGTTGGTACTCCAGTTCTGTAATTAAAACAACTTAGCACCTTCATTCTTGTACAAAGGTTGTGATAGGCACTCCAGTTAAGTGAATAATGTGGTTAGAGACAAATCTATATACAACTGCGTATCATACTCATTACTGCTACGAAGGTTCATTTGTAGCGGCTAGGCACTTCAGTTCTGTAATCAAGACGACTTAGCACCTTCAGTCTTGTACAAAGGTTGTGTGGGTGATCATCTTTTGTAAATACATGGCTAGAGACAAGTCTTTATCCAATTATCTATCTTACACATTACTCCCAACAAGCTTCATTTGTCGCGGCTAGGCACTCCAATTCTGTAAATACATGGCAAATACAAGTCTTTATCCATCTATCTACCTTACACATCACTCCCAACAAGCTTCATTTGTCGCGGCTAGGCACTCAGCTTCAAACATCAACAAGAAATAAACCACTTCTACGAAGTGAGCACCGAGCCACTGACCCTGCTTATATTTCAATTACTATGTGTTTATACTCAGGTTAAGACTCTATCGTTGCACGATAAACGTCCCATATCTTGAGTGATTCTATCCTTTATTGGTCAAGATATGAAGCGACAATACGTCAACCCTTTGCAAGCAATCCACTACTTCTATTAAGTAGCCTTTACTAATGCAGAGTTCCAGAACGTTTCTTACCCCCAAAATCGTTTAAATATTCGTGGCGGTCAAACAGAATGTTCCAAACTTATAACCAAGAGAGCCACGGAAAGATAAGTAGAATCCATAAACCTTAATCATGAGCAAACGAAGCAGCTTAACAACTCGAACACTGCTGACGTAGTCGAGTCTCAATAGATAAAACGTTCCTCCTTATACAAATTCTCGGAAATGTTCCGTGACCGACGGATGTAAAAGTTCTCCAGTTTTCGAGTACAAATGGCGGAAATGGCTGATCTGTAAGCCATTTGATCAATTGAAACTGATCTCATTTGGTTCAATCAATGTCATTCCTGTTAGATTAGTAGTTTTCTAGATTCTTTGAACATCTTGTTGATTCTGACACTGTCGTCGTGTCACGTGCCTGTGATCACTTTGTCACAGAGTGGAGCTGCACAGGTTCCGACACTACGATCACTTCAATATACCAGTCATTTGAAATATGAAACCTGTTCTTGAGGCTATGTGAGAGGTATTGTTGGTGATCAAAACGCTTCACGCACCGCAGTAGACAGTCTACACGAATACATCCACTCGCGGTAAAAATATGTACTCAAGTCTACTCTTACCGAGTCCTGGTATTTGTACATCCAGGAGGTAGTTTGTACGTGTTCAATGAAAGTGGTACTCATTGCTTAATATCAGGACTGGCGACGAATCACGAATCCGGGCGCGAATCCAGTATCCAAAGGTTAGCTTGTTTACCTGACACCATTATGAGTCACGTGCCACATGGTTTTACGCCGCAGCAACACCGGACACCATTATCTACAATCTCAGAAGATGAAAGAAAACATAGGAAGCCATCGATTAGCATAAGCAGGAACATCTGTCAAGTATGTTAAAGAGATCTGAGCATTATTGTTTAACAGCTTCCGCCCCAGGTGTCCATGGCGTATATGGTGATGGATTCGTGGCCAAAAAAGTCGGATTCGCCGGATTCCTCCCCACTTCTGCCCCATATGTTAAGACAACACCCATCACATAGTCTCAGAGATAGTTTCCACATTCGTAAGGAGTAGTCAGTTGAAATGATTCAAGTAGTACAAATAAAAGCAAGGTCATTTGTGAGCGGATTCTGGCTCAAGCGCAGGACTTCGTTGAAGTTTGATTTCGATGTCGGCATTTGATGGATAACAGAGTCGGAACACGTGGAAGCTAGGTGGATAGATCTCTCTCTAACACAACTAGGGACGAATTCGCTGATTCTGTCGTGTTATACGGTCACAACGAATCCGTCTACTGCATACGCGGTGGAAGCTTCAAGCCAGAGCTGTTAGACAATAATGTTCAAATCTTTCCAACGCAGATGGGCCAACTTACTTTAACCGATGGCTGTCTTCATCCTCAGTTTCCTCGCCGCACGTGCATCCTAGCATTGGTATGTGTATGTGGATGCCTCGCTAGTGAGCAAAGTACTGGAAATTGGCTTTGGTTTCAGAGCCAGTAGTTCAAATATGTAGCGCCTTTCTCAGATGGCTCCCTTGAGTATACTTCCCATTCTCCCAATACTGCAGTAGTTCCAGCGTCGTGGTCAGAAATCAATGATGTGACCTTCAATCATTTTTGTTCAGAAGTGTGAACCCTGGAAGGAACTCCATCTTCGATGCTGGAAACATCTTCAAGCCTGTTTGCAACAACTCGGTCCATACTGCTCAGTTAGCTCCATAATTATCGTTTTAGAAGCATTCATCGAAAGCCGCTAAAAGGCGATCTCCCTGTAGGCAACAACCGAGTATTTCTCAAATTAAGGACACGTTGCATTTTCTGAGACCACGCCTCGGCTCATTATAATCTCTTTCCTTTCCTCTTCTGAGATGGTAAATAATGGTGTCTGGCTTGTAGCTGCTCAAAACAATTCAAGCTGCGGCGTAAAGACATTGCGAGGAGGAAAGAACTAAGTGACGCCTGAATCTTTAGAGTCTCAGATAAACAGGTAAACTTTTAGATGCTGGCTACATTGACTGAGTCGAATTCATGCATCGTCCCGAGTCCTGCTTTCTACTAGCGGCTCTACCCATCATTCAATACGGCTTCTCGCAACGGTCGTCCATGTATTGCGAGGAACTGGCATGCCAGTCACAATCGTCATTCTAACCACTTCAATTCTATTTTTCACAACGTCCGTAGCGCTCCTTTCTAGACCCCGCTTGCTCGTGGAAAAGCATCTCTCAAAGCAAGGCGAGACACCTTAGTGAAATGATTAATAGTTTTTATTCAACAGGTGATATGATCATGTCTGTTGTCAAGCGGTAGATTGTTGACTATTCATCACTGGCCAACTATGTGCTCTTTGTTAAGCAAACGCTGCTTAAAACTTTTCAGATATCTTTATCATTGGCTCTGGCTCAAGCGCTTACTTCGTTGCGATTTTTCATTCTGATATTGACACCTGATAAATTGTAGTAATTTGATCAACGTCTTGCATGAACATAGTCAAATCCATTAAAATGTGAGTTGGCTTGAAAGAAGAACGTTTGTCGGAACGTCGGATCCATGACGTGCACGTGACACGGTGACAGCGACAGAATCCGGAAAAACTCTACTCATCTAACAGGAATGATGATTACGTTGATGGATAACTGCATAGGTAATACCGTGAATGCAAGCTCCACCCGGGGCACTTTAATGTTTCGAATTCCTTCAGAGGCGTTTCCCTAGCTTACAGATCCATCTTGATACATCACGGAAAGATACCTCTTGGCTCAATGGAACGGCAGTTTACACTTCGCAGTAAGGAGAGAATCACTCAAGATATGGCACCTTCATTGCGCAGCGACACACCAGGGACAGTCTCAACACGAGTGTCTAACAACTTTTAGGGCAATATATCAGAAAATATCACTGTCCTCTCTTTAAGTGCGGTTGTTGTAACACTCCTGAGAACTGTGCATAACGAGATACGAATCTTGTTTCGGTAAGCTTAAGAATCGATTTGGAGGCACATTGCTTGAAGTGCTCAGTGAGTAGAACATTGGGCGTAATCCTAGATGTATCTGGGTCTGGTCAGTCGTGTCGATTCTCGGGCTTCTACAATGTCTTTGAAAAGTATATTTTAATCGTGGTTCGAAAATCGTATTCTTTAAATTCCTCCCTCTTTGTTCTCCTGCAAATTCGATTTCTAGATCAGCCGGTATGGCAGTGGTGTTATCAACGGTGATAATCATACGTTTAGTCCTTATCTCTCCAAAATTTCCGTCAAAAACTTACTTCAATACGCCACCTGTATAGCGTATAATGGAATTCAATAATATGTGCATTGGAATATTTTCTTCATGGAACATCTTCTTTTGTACATTGTTCATTCGGCAGATTTTTTATCACAATCGCGAGGTAGATGCCATAATATCAAGCAAACGTCGACCTTAAACGGTCTTCTAATTGTAAAACGCAGATGATACTTCTCCGATTGAATTTCTGTGGGGAACAACGTTCTTCATTGTCGTAGGGGTCAGTTTGGAATGGATGGTATCGTCATCATGTGGGTGACTTATTCATATATGCTTGATAACCTTTTAAGCCATTCGATTGGTACTTAAATTGAGTTTTCAATCAAAATGAGCATATTTGTCTTCAGTGGTATGTTTTGTTACTCATAGAAAGGCCGAAATTGTCAATCATTCGCTGTTGTTTGCTGATTTCTCGTGATATGATTATTTATGGTGGTACAACTTGCGTCTTGATCTTGACTCGAGTAAATGTTTCCTCATCAGATGAATCAAGAGGCATGCCTGCATCACAGTGCGCTTCAGAGCACCGAAAGGTCTGTAGGTTATCTTGTTTGTAAGAAAGAAGGCGGTAACTTGTCTCTGTCAGAAATAGCTTTCAGGTTACCGCTGAAGTTGAATGGTTCTTCTCATCGTTCTACACAAGATACTAGTGCTCGTCCCTCATACAGCATCGTCGAAAGGTACAGGATACTTAACACACCTCCAAAAATAATGATACCCGCGAGATTCGAACTCACGCCTCCGAAGAGACCAGGACCTCGACCTGGCGCCTTAAACCACTCGGCCAGAGTACCTTAATTGTGAAAGAAGAGGTGGAACTTGAGAGCCAAGAACGTTGATACAACGGGTGTGCCTCAATGCTACGAATAATCATGAGAACGAACGAGAACGTTCTTTAGAAACAATTGAGATGATAAACACTTCAAGGTTCGTCAGTGTTTTACAGCTTTTCATTTAATGTTATTGTGTTGAGGTTGATGTTTCCTTGAATTTTTCTTGTTTGTGTCAGCAGTACGCTCATTGAGATGTCAAAAAAATCTCAACAACTTGTTTTGAAAATCACTCTCATATCTTTACTATTTACACTGAATACTTTGGTATCTTTATTAAGGCGCCTCTGTTGCCAACTGAGGTGCCAGCACCCACGCTAAATTCCAGCTGCCGTTCAAAGCGGATTTGCGCTGCAATTGTTCTTCGCGCGACATACGCTTCCAGGCCCGGTACCAGTGCTGCAACACATGCGAGCTGTATCGTATACCCTCGATCACACAATAGTCGAATTCAACCACGTACTGCAAAAATAAACCTTCAGAGACGTCGTACGAAATGTGGCATTCTTCTTTGCTAGCCAAATAAGGGCCCCCGTTAGCGTGCGAGACTGCTCCTTTGGGACCCACAACCGTATCCACGGTAGCTAGCTGTTTCCCAATACCACCACCAGGGTGCATTTTCTTGAAATACCTTAGCCGCTTCTCGAGATCGCCGTCGTAATACAATTCAGAAAGCGCCAAACAAAATGAGTCCAACACCGATAGCATAAGCGTCGTGGAAATGGTGGGAGACGGCAATCCGTGCTGCAAAGTCGTCTCGCGGAATCCGTGTGGCTGTGGGACGTACAGGACTCTATCAACGAGTGTGTGCAACGTGGAATGCGTACCTGACGACACCAGGACAGTCAAGGACGGCTCCAGCACGGCTCTGGCATGTTTCAGGAACCTCACGAGTTCCTGGGTCTCGCCGCTGCTGGAACACACCAACAAGGCGTCGCCAGGTCGCACCACACCCATGTCACCATGGAGCGCTTCGCTTGGATGCAGTTCGCGGGCGTCTATTCCCAGCGATGTAAGCATCGCTACGGACTTCAGTACGATCTTGAACGACTTTCCAGTGCCCAAAAAAATCAGTTTGCGGCCGCTGCGTGCAACTAAAGCTAAAGCTTCCAGAAGTGCCTGAACGTCATTGTTCTGAGACCCATAGTGCACCGAAACATGGCTCATGGCTCTGGCGTGCTGGTACAACGAGTCCTGAAACGTCAAAGTCGCATCACGACTTACAGACCTCGATTCAATTGCAGGCATACTAACACTTTGTTGGCTAAATAAGAGTGTGGTGGTATGTGGTGATGGCTTTTACCACTGTAGAATGACTCTTCCAAGGGTTCAATTAAAAAAATTAGGCAAAATGGAACGATAGTGGTATCGTTCGGTAGATCTAAATCGCCAGAAATCAATACAATGACACAGCCGCAGCGGTCGTGGTTTCAGATACCCACCAGATGTGTTGGAAGTGTCATTTAGGATGCATTTGTGGAAATGTTCTGCAGGGTCGTAGCGTTTTATTATATAGATGCAATTACTAAGTATGAGATTAAATTAATGTCCATGGAGAAAACAGCAGCCTCGTGACAATCACGCTCATATCACGGGACACTATATTACAGCCATACATCATTGCTATTGGGATTCTCTTACACGATGTAATTTACCCTAATATGAGCATACTGAGCCCTCTTTCGTCACCAAGCGCATAATCGTAATTACGAATGTCCGTCTTTCGAGCGATGCAGATGTATAAGTGCTTTTTGACACGCGTAAAAAGCAGGTTTTTAATCTTCACTGTTGGCAGTCATTATCGTCGTATTTGCTTCGCATTTGTCATATTACACCAGGGTGCAAATTGACATTTGATAATTTACGAAAAAAATAAAATCTTTGGACGAGACCGGAGTCGAACCGATGACCTCTCCCATGCTAAGGGAGCGCGCTACCAACTACGCCACACGCCCAGGATTGAGAAATGATGGAAAATTTAGAGTTTTTGTCACACCTTGTAGTACTCGTGATGGAATCAGGTTAAGGTCTAGGTCTGAAGTAGTGAACATCTCTTGATCTATGTACCTGTCCGTCAACGTGTTTCTCATCACCTAGCAAAATTGATTTACCGATGACACCCTTGGAGCATGGTCTAGCGATTGGCGATACAATCTTTGATATTCTTCTTTTGCGTCGTAAAATTCATTAATCTATTTTTTTGGTTTTAACTACACTATTATACGTTGTCAACAATCGATGATCCTCTTGGAGTATGGTCTAGCGATTGGCGGTACCTTTGAAGTTCTTCGTCATCCACATCCTCCAAGACGGGCGAGTGCGAACGACCCCTATCCGCTTTAGCAGAAGCTGTCGCAATCGACTTCTCTTGAGGCGCACTAATATTGATGTTTATCACAACAGGTGAAGGAGATGGAGTTTGAGTTCTCGATAAAGTAGCAGCACCCGCTTCTTCAGCCTCTTTTTGTTCACGAAGCTTACGTTTCTGCTCGACCAAAAACGCTTTCTTTTCCATAACGGCTTGTTTTTTGTTCCGGTGAGCGATGCGCTTCGCAGCTTTGGCCTTAGCAGCTTTGGCCTTTGCAGCTTCTTCCTGGACCTTCCATTCAGCTTCGACAGCCTCTTTCTTAGCCTTTTCTTTGCGCGCTAGCTCCCCTCTTTGCTGTAATTTGTAAGCTTCTTGCGCTGCCTTCTGTGACACTTCATAATTTGCGCGATCATCTTCTTCCTCTTCATTAGACTGGTTTCTCTCGAGCTCCCTCTTTTCGGCGCAGTTGTCAATGAAGCTGAAATTCACGGGCAGCATATTCCTTGAACAAGGTTTTCTTACACCCACTCTGAGGGCTGCGACGTTATCGTTCACCATTTCGAAACCAGCAATATAGACATCCTCAAATTCCACGCCCAGCGCGAATTCTTGGTAGAATTCGTCTCTTTTGCTCACGACCACAAGTTTGTCTCCCCTGTGATTTAATGTGATTTCGAAATCTTTAAAACTCTGCTTGGAAACCTGAGCTTGGATCGAAGAGAGATCCAATGATGCCATTGCTTCACGAATAAAGGCGTCATTGTCAAAACGATTTTCAACGTAATATTCGTTTCCAAAAAAATCGCGAACGATCCGGTATGATGGCTGACGTTCTTCTCTCAATTTTTGCAAGTGGCGATGGACCGCATTGCCTAAAACATCCCCGTCCAAGCGCTTGAAAAATGACACCACATATTCGTTGTCCTTCTCTGTCACATCCCATTTAACTGGAGCTTTGGCAGGACGAGTGTTTGGATAACGCATTCGTTGACAATCCATTCTTCTCCTTTTAGGGTCAGGAACCATACTCAAAGGCGAAAATGTATCGAGAGTAGGTTGCCGACATTCGTAGATGCAAGGAGATTGAGCAAATGAAAACATATTCTTGTTTCTGGTTTGATTAGATTGGTAGTTTTGGTTGTCGTAAATCACCGCTGATGATTTTCCTTGGTAGCTTTATAGATGGTAGTTCAGCTCTGGGAGAAGCGAGACTCGCCCTTTTATACTTGCCACCTAACCTGCTCCCACTTGTAGTGGCGGTTCACCACTATTTGTCATTCCTAGTTCTGGTAAGGTCTACCTGAATCTCGAATTTTCTGTCATTGATTACGTCAGCATAGAATAATCTGGAGATATGCAGGTATTTTTCCAGAAAATTCCGTACATGTTGGGAACATGGGCGGCTAAAGGCGGTTTAAACACCCCCCCTTCATAAATTTCCCCAAATTAGGTAAATGTATGAAAGTTGGTTATATCGCCAACCTTGTTTAAACGAAACATGCTTACAATGAGTTAATTCCTCAAGTCGAGGTAACCAGCTTGTTTAGTGCAATGACCATCGTTCATGGACCAGTGTGCGTACGAGAGCTAACTAACGGACCTGTGAGGTCTGGGCCCTGTATGAATGTGCGAGCATTAACCGGTAAAATAGTCCATGACTAAGCAGGTGACTCCTCGCCACATAACTAACCTCGCAACAGCCCTCAGCCATTTGGGACGAATTCTGTAAAGTAAAATACCACAATTGTCACCCACAAGATCATTATGCTCGGCGTCAATGCCCTGCCCCCGCTTGATACTTCTTCTCGCGGGACACCCGCCCCAGAAATTCCACCATTTGGGACGTTGACAAAGACCCGTTCGTTCCAAGTTCTTCGCAAGGGGTCCTCTAGGTCCATCGATGTAGCGCCATTGCACAGGACACCACTTCTGCCGTGAATCTTTCCTATCCAATTGTCTGTCTCCCCAATGACCCAAATAGTACAGCCACTCACTGCCAATCTCGCTTTCACGCTCAGTCGCAGGGGTAGCAGCTGTGCCGTTATAAGTGTAGGCCAAATAATTGAGTGACGGGTCCCATAGAGGGCCGCGGTCTGTGAAATCGCTAAGGGCAGAGAAAAAGAACGGCACATCGTGGGCGTGCTGACCAACAGAGGCGTAATTCGCATGTGTGCCCCGGGCGCTGAAAATCAGCGGTCTTTCCTCGATCTTGGAAGTTGGCTCTGTGCCACTGTAGCTAAGACGGGTCTTTTTCTCGATAGCGTCGTATTTGTAGCATCCTCCACCGCCATGGGCGCTCATCCATAGATACTGAGGCTCTCCTTCGTAAAACCGTACCAGAGAGTGTTCCCAATCGCCTACATGGTTACCCCAAGGCCCATAGCCCATGATAAACGCACCTAAGTTGAAGGAGTAAAAATAAAACCAGTACGCGTCGACCCAGCCGTTCCCTTTGTCGACTACTATCAACACTGCCGGCGCATCTTTGATATGGCCCGTACTGTAGTCTGGTTTGTGTCCCAACAGCCATCGGGGATCTTTGGCAAAATCGTCAACGGATGAAAGATACGTATCTTGGCTTAACACGGATTCACCGGACTCGTGAGACCCTGCAAACTTAGCGTTCAGATCACTGATTCTCACCGGTGCATCCTTCACAATCGAGTCGTTATGGACGCGGATGTTAAAATGCTTGACGAAGTCTGAGATGTCTGCAGGATAATAAACTTCTTCACTATAGAGATGCACTAAAGGGCAACTGTCTATCACATAGTCAGGGATAAACCCTTCGTGGGGCAGACTTCGCGTTTCGTCTGTTATCTCGTCCGGCGGTATTACTGGCGGGCGACCGAACCCTAGGTTCTCGGTTTGCACTTGGCTTTCGGTAAAGGGATCATTATCGAGCCAGGGAACAATCACCGCAAGAGTGCTTCGTAGCAAATACATGAATAGTATGTGCGTTATCATATCTTTGAATATTATTGAGTTCAGAATTGGTAAACCATGTAAAAGCTTTGTGGGCGTTTGTACTTGGTAATTGTTGAAGCATTTGAACAGCTTTGTTCGTTTAGTTGATATTTCCCTCATTATTAAAATGATGCGATGAGGGAACGTGGGTCACGTGATGCATATCGTGTTAGCCAGTATATCTCATCCCTGTAGTCAAATTAACCTAGGCCGTCAAATTCATTGTTATGCTGCCTTTTCCATTGGCGAAGTTTGTTACTGAAGGCCTCCAGAGATTCACTACCTCTTAGGTTTTCGCAAACAGCTACTGCTTTATATCTGTCCATCTTCCTTTGGTTTACGAGACAAATATAGAACTCAACGATCAGTTTGCGCTGTCGGTAAAGCTCTGATGTCTTGGATGATGTTGTTCTCCAAGTCTTACCGAATTTTCGGTTCATGGTGTGCACACATTCGTTATTCATCTCTGGATTTGGCGTAAACCACTCCAGCACGATGTCTTCTATGCTATCGAGTTGCGAAGAAAGCGTGAAGTTTTCCTCATCTGGACTCGCCTCTAATGGTGGCTCAGAATCATCTCTCATACGCTTCTGGCTCGTATTATTGTCATCCAACAAATGTGGGGTAGGTGACCGGGATTCCTGATTCATGTACTGCGCCAATTGTTTGCGTACTTCTTCTTTGACCTGAACGGCAATCAGCTGTCGAAGTCGAGACTCAGTTTCCAATGTATGCTTCTCCAGTTCGCCTCTGAATTTACCGTCCATTACCTGAGCCACGAGAGTTTGAAGTTCACTTTGTAAGTTGGAATTCACGTCTTCGTCATCATCTCCTTGTACTTGCTCCGAAACGTCTTCATTGTAGTCCTCATCATCTTCTGCATCGCTATCGTACCCTGTCCGCTGGAAAGGCGCTTTATTAGGAATTTCTTCTGGTCGACTTGGTGCCAAAGTATCAGCACTCGAGTCTGCTTCTTTTTTAACGTCATCAGGGGCGCTACGAGCAATACGTTCCTGCAATGATTGTTCCAGTGAGCCCAACTGGTAAAGTATATATTCCCGGGTACTTTTTTTAGTCTCCAGTTTTTCGAATACGCGGCTTAAGGACTGCAACAGAAGATGAAAGTTTGTGACGGTTTGATATTGAACCATGCGGAAGGTCTGGTCGCGAAGAAAAGCGTGAAGGCTTTCTGTATCTGAATCCTGTGGTATGGGCACCACAGATGGTCTAGAAGTACCCATTTCTGTCTCTAGCGGAGCTGAAGCTTGTCCGAAGCTGGTTTCGTCTAAAGCTTCCGATTCAAATTTTTGCAGCTCATCCTTAGCGCGCAATTCCTCGATCTTTTGTTTACAGTAGGTCTGAAACTCTGTGTTTTGGAAAACGGACTCTCGTAGAAGATCGTGCTCTGGGTAAAAGTGATTGATAAGCGGCAAAGCTGCAACCAGACAGTCTCGCAACAGCTCTAGCACATTCAAAAATTGCTTGGCATCGTCACTCAACTTGTCGAAAACCCTCTTATAGGATTCTACCTCTGGAAATACTTGGACAAGTAAAGATTGCGGTATATCGGATGTAGGACGCTCACGAAGGGCTGATGCGGGTTTGTAGACTGGAAATCTGTTCATATGCCGCAGAAAGTCAATGGCAATATCCTGAGGGAAAAAAACGCGTTGTTTACCCAAACCTAGGTCGTCCAGTCCCTTCAGTTCAGTGCGTCGTACGCGAGGGTACTGATAATTATCGGCTACCTTGTTATAGAAGTATTCTCTCCTCTTGTAAGGTAGATGGCAAGTGCGGAAAACATCAGCGTAATAATTGGCCATTGTTTCTTCGCGCGGATACTTGTCTATGAACTTACCACGAATCAGCGGTAAAAAGCGCCAATCGTCACTATCCAGAAGATCTGGGAATCCGTCTCCTCGGTAAGTTTTCGGTACTCCGTAAAAGCGTAAAAAAAAGTAAGCAGCGAGTGTGGTTAGAGGACATTTCCAAGGGATGTCCTGCGGTAGCAGAGCCAGCCTTTGTAAAAGCGATGGTGGCCCGTCTATCGTTCTATCTGTCATGAGCATTTGAGACTCTGGAGCAGCAAATAGGTCCCCCAGAGTAAGCTGCGATCTATCGGCAAAGCTGAGGTGCCAGTATTGCTGCAAATGGAAGTCAGCTAAAAAACGCAATTTTTCGATGCCGCCTTTGAAGAACTTTTCTGAGAATCGTTTCCCGTTGGGCCTCCACAGATTGACTGAGACTATTTCGAGGGATGAAATTGGAGCTTTCTCGGCACAAGCACTGATATGCAATCGTGCCACGTCTTCTAAATAGTCGTTATCGAGCTCGTATGGATACTCAGGTTCATACGCTTTGCATACACGATGCAGGAATTTGAAAGCGCTGATCATTTTGCGGAGAACAGACACAGTCAGTTGCGAATCTTTGGCACACACAAACTTGGAAAGTACAAACCAATGTACGAGTGTGGCAGTAACGATGACATCTTTGTAGGGATGATCTGCTACCGGCGTGCGAACCAGTTGATTATCTCGACACCATTGTAGAAACTTGGTATGATAGAGCTTGTATTGATGGGCGGTCCTTGGTGCCAGTGTATCGACCAGCGCTTTGATCTGGAGTTCCGGGTCCATCGTTGTATCTTGGATTTTGGTTGGCGGTACGCGAGTTGTGATCAGGAACACGAATTTGATTGAAATTGAAGTCGCGTTAAAGATTTAGAGCCGAGTGGCCGGGTAACTGTGTGCTGTCAGAAACTCCAGATTAATTCAAGAGTATATAAAGAGACAAGAAGATGTGGACGACAGGAGTCTGGGGAAGGGAATTGGTATTAGCGTGAGAGTAGTTATAGTGTGTTCGGCGGGAGTATCGCTTGCGAAGATGGGTAGGCTATTGAGCTGGGAAGAAGACTTCAGTTCTGAGCCTATCGGTAAGGCTGAAAATGTAGATTTCAAAGTCTCATTTGCCGCAATCTTGTATGGGCGGAGACTATTTTTGGAGTATCAGCGATCAATTGTGAAAATCGGGGGGACTTAGCGTCTGTAATTGAGTAATTGAGAACGTCGGTGGTCTGCTGTGAATAGTACATATTGTAGTATCAGCGATCGAACAATTGGGAAAAGTTGAATTTGTAGCGTCTTTAGTTGCGCTATTGAGAGCACGAAAACCAGTTGGGAAGGGTGCCGAAACCTCTGTTCGTGTAGAGTCAGATGCAAGACAAAAAGGTCACAAACACGTGACAAGATGACAGCGACACAATCTGGAACAGCTACTGTTTTAACAGGAGTGACATCAATGCTACCGGGTGGCACTTGCGTTGATGGTGTTAATTTTGTAATAATCCATCGACGTAATAAACCCGGAGCGCACGGACGTTTTATCCAGCTTACAAGCTCTCTCGATACACCCTGGAGGGAGAAGTCTAGACTGAATGAAACATAGTTGTGGAAGGAATTATCCAGAGGCTGGGAAGTTTATTATGGAAAGACACCTCAGAGGCGACATTTTTACGTAGGAAATGTAGTATCTATAGTTGAACAGTTGAGAGCATGGCAATTGGTTGGTAATAGCAGAGTGAAATATGTATGATAGTATAATTGAGAGCATGGCCAGTAGTTGAGCATATTTGAAATTGTAGTGTCTATTATCGCAATTGAGGGCACGAAAACCCCTTGGGCATGGCAAGTGGTCGCGAATAGTAGAGATTGTAGTGCCGATAACTGAGCAATCAAGAGCGTCAACAATCAGCTTTGAATTGTAGAGAATTTAGATACAATAGTTGAGCAATTGAAAGTACGCAGCCAGTTGGGAATTGTAGAGACTCTAATAAGCATGGTTGACGATACGTTAGAAAATGGTAAAGATATTACTTAGCACATTCGACAAAACGATGGTGAATGGTAGAGACACCAATAAGTACGCTGCAAAATATGTTGGAAAATGGTAAAGATACGAATAAGCATGGTTGAACAAAAATACGTCAGGGAATGGTAAGAACACTTATAAATACGCTGCAAAATACGTTAGAAAATGGTAAAAACACTTATAAGCGCGTTTCACATCCGTTCAAGAACGTAAAAACACCAATAAGCACTCTGCACAATGCGTTCATTCTTCTCTAAACGTTACCATAAGTGTGGAAACCTCCACGTACATAATGATACACTTTCACACTTACCAATTTCAGTGTGTTTACAACAGTGTTTACAGATCCTGCCCAGAATGCTACCCTGAATGACCACGCCGTGCTCTCCTCCAGTGGGAACTCCATTGCCGTATTCGAAATACGTGTCACATCCACATCGCAAGTCCGTAAGTGGCTACAAGACTCACCCACCCACACACCCTCCCGGTTGTGTCTCCCGGAGTTTTTCATGTCGTGCATCGCGAAAAAAAAAGTCTCGGTGTCAAAACAACCGCGCCTCTTTCTTCTTTCTCGTCGTCGTCTACTCGCCGTCGTCTATTCGCCGTCGTCTACTCGTCGTCGTCTACAACTTCAGCTTTCCCGAAAGAGACTGCCGTAGTCCAAAAAAAATAAATAAAACACAATAAAATAAATATCGCAGTGCCTAGTAGTTGTTAACAGTCGGAGGGACCCTGAAAGACGCAGCAATTATGCGTGAAAATGACATTGCGTCGTTTAATGTAGCTGGATCAAACACATTGCCGGGCCGAGAAGCCACGTAACCACCATCTAAAAGTAGCTCACAAGGCAAGGTGTGCAAGCAAGATGTGGTGTGGTGGGCCCTTTCTCGTGGCCCTCGATGTTCAAATGGCTAACCCAATGGCTCCTCTCGCACTTTCTTCCTTCTGGAGGAGAAGTCCTCTGAGGGAGACCCTATGAAGGAGGCCAGCCTAGCCCTTAGCAGCTAGCTACTCAGCATCTCACTGTTCTGTTCTTTCATGGATCGGAAAAAAAAAAAACAAAACAGGGGTGTGGGAAAACACCCAGACACCACGCCGTGTTCCGCGCGTTTTCGCTTACCCTCCCGAGAATTTGCGGCTTTTTTCCGGACCGGTCATGTAGCAGTGCTAGCGCTGATATAAGTACAAGCAAGCCAGCGGGGCAAGCAAGGACTTTGGGTTGGAGATGAGGCATAGACAGCGGGCAGTAGCAGCATAAGCATAAGTCTCAGCATAAGCATCAGCATAAGCATCAGCATAAGCATCATGGACGACTCTGGTCAGGAATCTATAAATTCTTACAACTCACGAGACTCGCTGGGTCAGGTGCCGCACACTTATGTGCCCTCGTCGTCGCATACGGACGGATCACGTGGCCGCGCGGGGTCCGAGTCCGGATCCGAAGGTCGTTTGCGTTTGGTACCCACAGAAACTGTGCGATCCCTGCAGGAGCTGGGTGTTTCGCCTGTGGCTCCCATTCCAGACATCAACGCGCCCACCAACGTGGGCCCCGGGAAGGCAATTTTCCCCGAGGAGTACACCATGGAAACCGCCACAGGGCTCGTTCCCGTGGCAACGCTGCACTCGCTGGGGCGCACGCAGTCGGGCACGCAGGCCGCCACGCGGATCCGGACCCGGCGTCAGTCGCTAGCCGCGGACCTCGGCGGCGACGCCAACTCCGTCTCGGACGAAAACAAAATCTCGCACGGCTCGGACGACAACAACATCAATAACAACAACGACTTGGACGATACCACACCCGAATACGACCCAGATATCGAGTTTGTCACCTTCGTGACAAACGACCCCGACAATCCTCACAACTGGTCCCTCAAGACCCGCTGGCTCTACACCATTGTGATGTCTATACTGGTGATTTCGGTCGCGTACGGATCCGCGTGCATCACAGGTGGTCTGGGTTTGGTAAGCGATAAGTTCAACGTTTCGCTTGAGGTATCCATCTTGACGTGTTCGCTTATGGTCATCGGGTTTTCGTTAGGTCCGCTGATCTGGTCTCCGGTTTCAGATCTGTACGGCCGTCGTGTTGCATATTTCTCATCGCTTGGACTGTATGTTATCTTCAACATTCCCTGTGCGATTCCACCCAACATCGGGTGTCTATTGGCTTGCCGCTTTCTGTGCGGTGTGTGGGCGTCGTCCGGTCTGTGTCTTGTGGGCGGTTCTATCGCGGACATGTTTCCTCCAGAGACACGTGGACGTGCCATCGCGTTTTTCGCCTACGCGCCATACTGCGGACCCGTGTTTGGACCGCTTGTTAACGGGTTTATCTCCGTTTCCACTAAGCGCATGGATTTAATCTTCTGGGTCAACATGGCGTTTGCCGGAGTTATGTGGCTAGTAGTGGCGCTTATCCCTGAGACGTTTGCACCCGTTATCTTGAAGAAACGCGCTGCCCGTTTGCGCCGCGAAACCGGAAATCCGAAGATCATGACAGAACAGGAAGCGCAGGGCCTAAGTGTTCGCGAAATGGTAAGTGCGTGTCTACTACGGCCTTTGTACTTAGCCGCCACGGAGCCCGTGCTGGACCTCATGTGTTTCTACGTGTGTCTGATCTACTCGCTGCTTTACGCGTTTTTCTTCGCATATCCGGTCATCTTCGGCGAGCTGTACGGGTACAAGGACAACATTATCGGGCTTATGTTTATTCCGATCCTGATCGGAGCTTCGGTGGCCTTGGCAACCACGACGTTTTGTGAGAACCAGTATTTGAAAATTACGCAACGCCGAAACCCTACACCGGAAGATCGGCTATTGGGCGCGATGATCGGAGCTCCGTTTGCCGCCATTGCACTGTGGATTCTAGGCGCCACTGCGTACAAACACATCATCTGGGTCGGACCTGCGTCTTCGGGTTTGGCGTTCGGGTACGGGATGGTGCTAATCTACTACTCGCTGAATAACTACATCATTGATTGCTACGCAATGTACGCGTCCGGAGCATTGGCCACCAAAGTGTTCTTGCGTTCTGCCGGCGGCGCAGCGTTCCCATTGTTCACCGACCAAATGTACCATCGGCTGGGTCTGCAATGGGCCAGTTGGCTGTTGGCGTTTATCTCAACGGCAATGGTGCTCATCCCCTTTGGGTTTTACTACTACGGCAAAGGCTTGCGTGCTAAGCTATCCAAGAAAAACTACGCGTTCAGCGGGATGGAGTAGACGGTCACTACACACGAGATACCACCACCACCATCATTACTACCATTACCTTTACTACTACAATCACAACCGGAGAGTTTGGAAGAAAGAAAGCCGCACAGAAGCGGTACGTTGGATATTTTATACACTGTTACTTGCGTTTCGGGCGCACCTAATTGCAACAAATAATCATATAATCTAGTCATTTTTTAATTGAAAACGAATGCAATAACAGCTATCGGAGAGTGTGAGGGAGGGGTTGTAGGAGTGCATGTCTGAACCTAGGTTGTTGCGTCTCGTAAAGTGACTTATTTGCGATGTCCACAGTCGAAAAATCGTGTCACTTTTGGCTTTTGTGTCGCGAGAAAGTTATCTGGTCACGTGTTACGATGCCCGGGGTTTTTATAATACGTCATCGTCTCTCTAACGGCTCTAACGACTTGGCTATTAACTATACGATTATGCTGGCCCATCAAAAATGTCTAGTCAAAGTCTTTGGCACTAAGAGTGATATCTTGCAATACAAGCGAAGATCTCATGCTGTCTGCCTTACAGCGAAAAGGAGCACTTACGCTTTTCAAAAGATCTAGAACTGGCCTGCCTGCGAAAGAATTTCCCTGCTGAGGACGCCAATGGAAATCGACCTTTACAAGAACGCACACCATTGCTTTCAGTAACCGGTTACCGTTGAGCGCCAGATTTGCATGTATGTAAGATCCCACGTCACGTATAAAGTGTCAGTTAAACAATCTCATTATACCATATAACCGCTTGCTTAAGGATTCCTGTATAAAAGGGCCACGATTCTTCTCAATGGAATAGCACATCAGATTTGGAACCTGTCTGCTGCGAAGTAACAAGTTTAAACCGGAGACCTCTACTCATATCGATTCCATTTGAGAGCCGCATATTTTGAGCAACGTCACCAGGGTAAAAAGGACAGATTAGAAAAACGACCATTTCTCGCCACAAGACAACAGAGATCTTTACGCTTGAACGTACATGGGTTCCTCTTGAATAACGGTACATAGGCTTCGCTTCTTGGTGTCCAATTGTCGCAAACTTTCTGTACACTGTCACCAAACTACCATCTGGCAACGACAGAGACTTTTTGACTCTTCAACTACACTACGAAACCAATCTTCGGTTCACAAAAAGACCAACCGCTTTTTTTCCTTTGAATTCGAAAGCCAATATCCCATTCCTATCTTCATCGGATCTCTATTGTTCAACTCACGCTCCAAAGCACCTCCCCCCCATGAACCGTCATGCCACAATTGCGTCGAATCTACATCCGTTAACTTAGCCTCCGAGGATATTAACGAAAGCAACAGCAAAGCATAGATGAGCCGATACTCTCGGATCACGCAGGTTTGCCAAGCCTTCAAATTACCTACCAAGATTCAGCCATCCTTGAAATCCCACTCTGAGCCTTAATTGGTCCCTGCGTGGAATCCATGCAAAGAGTCTGAAAGCAGCATTACCACCTTTTTCGGCTCTCCAAGAAGGCGCAGAATAGAGCCAAGCACGCCGTCCTACACCCCCATATCTACTGCGGCCTAGTCTGGCTTGCCAGCTGTACAAGGGTCGACGCCCCTTCGTTTTTCAACTGCGGTTGGTCTAGTGCTCTTCCTAACGTCACAATAAACGTTGATCTTGGCTTTTTCAGCCTCGAGGGCTTCTTTTTCATGAGCCCCGCATACTGCATCCAAATTACGTATTTCGTAATTTAACCCATCCCAGTAACCCGAACGTTGAATTAACAAGATTGATTAACACGCTGTAAGGGTCTGAGGAACAGGCATATAAGAGCCAAACAACAGGTGTGCAGCTCTTGGCAGTAAATTACTTTCGAGGAAGACTAGGTCATTGAGCCATCATCACATCAAGGTCAATGCTAAATTTTACAAATGAACTTTCAACACGAACTATACTTGCACCAAGCACTGTGGTAACCACCGTAGCTGCAATGAATGAGGAACTTCATGATTCTGAGTATCTTAATTCAACTCTAAGGTGTAATGCTACTGCTGGATCGAATAACGATCAGTTTTCTCCAGAGTGTCTACTCCGAGATATAAATATTGAGAGAATTGGTGGAAGAGGTGGTGGCAGCAGTGGAAGTAGTGTTGGAAGCAGTGGTGGAAGAAGTGGTGGAAGTAGTGGAAGTAGTGGTGGAAAAAGTGGTGGAAGTAGTGGAAGCAGTGGAAGCAGTGGAAGTAGTGGTGGAAAAAGTGGTGGAAGCAGTGGAAGCAGTGGAAGCAGTGGAAGCAGTGGAAGCAGTGGAAGTAGTGGAAGTAGTGGAAAAAGCGATGGAAGCAGTGGCAGCAGTGGAAGCAGTGGCAGCAGTGGAAGCAGTGGAAAAAGCGATGGAAGCAGTGGCAGCAGTGGCAACACTGGCAGCAGTGGAAGTAAAGGCAATCTTGGATCGGGTGGAGCCGTCGGAGTTGGAACGTACCAACCTAAAAAGGGAGGAAGTGGCAACTCTGGAACTGCTGTCCACAATGGTGGCGACACTCCTGCTACTAGAGGAGGTTACCTAGGAAACGGCTGGTTCGGTGCATATGGAGGGTACGGTGGATATGCCGGATATCCGGGCTACGCAGGTTATCCCGGCCTCCACGGTGGTGTCAGAAATGGCACTATCTCTCTCCAGGCCAATTCTGCCATGTCAAAAGAGCCAAACGTCATCCGCGTTTTTACCGCCATTTTACTAATGCTTTTCTTCTTTCGTGCATACGAGTGAGTACATTATTTCTTGACCTGTCCAGATTTGATGCTGCTTACCGAATAATACCAAAAATTTAATACGTAACAAGTCATCCTCCTACTTTAACTTATTCAAACAGTAATGGAAATTCTTTGATTTAGAAAAGCATCGATTCTAGACTTCTGGTTAGCCCTTTCCAGCTGCATTAAGAATTATCAGCATTTGCTGGCAACAGAACTAGGTCTTGTAAAACTGACACTTCAGGTTAAGCAGAGACTATGGGCTGCAAAGCCAAAAAATCATCAAAGCCGCGAAATCCCCAATCATTGTTCACTTTTATTCCTCCAGTGCGTGCCTACAAGCTCAATGAACACCGCAAGCGCGATTAAGTCAAGAGCGACAGTAAAGACCAAGATGACACCGACCGGTCGGCTACATATGCAAACCTTTTGATGGAGTACATGAGCTAAGAGTCGTTGAGATATCTGGAAAACTGGGAACAAGCTATGATATCATACATCGAGATTCAAATCGTGACAAGTATTCAGTGGGCTTGATATTACTTCATATGAGACTTGCTAACGTGACCATAATAGCCAGTACCTTGAAAAACATCATATATAATTTCTTAACTCGCCCTTAGTGCTAATATCACACTAGGGAATGGTCGATAAAAGATCGTAATGATAGCCGATCAGCACGTTTTGGAAGCGTTCGAAGGAATCGACAAGAACCTTGAGCTTTCCTTCCAGCAGTCCGCTTTAGTTCAGGAAGATCGGGTTCCGTCTTCCAGGAAATATCAGTTACAAGAATTACAAGAACAACTGTGGCTCGTGCAAAATGAGGTATCTCAATTGAAGGAAAGTTTAACTCATAGTAAGAAGCCTCGTCCAGTGAACTTCTCAACGCTGGAAAAAGTACTTCACAAGCTTCAGGAACATAACGAAGATACCCCTAGCGATTTCGTTTCTGTGTCTAGCGACATCGAGGGATCCGTTCGCACGGCAATAGATCAATACATTTCGGTATGCTTGTATTATTGCGTGGTCCAAAAATCTCTGCAAGAATTGCCTGTAGTGTCTGATACAGCAAGATATTTCGAAGATGTCTACGATACAACACGCTGGTCGTTGCTTTATGCTCTACAGGTATTGCCCAAAAGATTAAGTGATTTTATCAGGAAAGCTTACGTCAGCGGTAACACACGTGACCTAAAGGTTATGGGTCAACGTGGGTATGAGTATCTACTGCGACAGGCCGATCGAATGGTTATGGTCCATAACTTCCAGCTGGTGGGGCTTCCCAAAGATGCCAGGAAAATTGCCCGTTCGATTTTGTCGCTTCCGCTCGCCGCTGTCCGCGAAGAATTGCAAAGCAATCATACCGCTACAGATACGCTATTCAGCGATGCCACAAGAAACTTGGGAAGACTCATTGGACAATTTCCTCATACAAATGATGTAGATGAGCGGACAAAACTGTTAGCTTCGTTTCTGGGAAGCCGTCAAAAGCTCGGTCTTGAAAATGCACCATATGGTTCAGAAAGAATACTTTCGAGCCTAATTCCCAAGGCAATGGGATATTTGGGAACCGCTACCTACGTCAAGAGACCTAACTTCTGGACTCGTTATTGGCCGACATTTTTTGCCGTGCTCGCCTACGGGCCAGCATCTGCCATCGCATTATGGAAGTCTCGTTACAGAATTGCTCAATTTTGTCAAGAGAACGTGGTAGATTTTTGTGCCGGCCTTGTCCACAACTGGATATGGGAACCCTTAAAGCAGGTTTGGAGTACGGTTCGTCATGATGAGAAAAACTCCACCATTGCCATTGCTTCGAAGGGCTCTTTGGATTCGGAGTTTAGTTCCTTAACCAGGATGGTGGTTCAGCTTGTAGCAGAAAACTCAAGCGAGTCCGTCGACCCCAACGCTCTCGTGGCGCAGGTCCAAGCTGGTAATCTCACAGAATTCATGCAAATTTATGAGAACCAACTACATCACCCTATTAAGAACATTCTGTCCGGGAAATTGGTTCGCTCTCTACTAATCCAGGTTCAGAAAACAAAAGTAGATGGTTCATTAGCGTTGAGTGGAATTGATCAGTTGCTGCAGTCACAACAATTGGTGTTCGGAGTCGTTGCTATGTCACCTGCTGTGTTAATTTTATACACGCTGTGGACTTTTACTTACCGGCTAGCTAAATTGGGACGTTTGTGGTCGAACGCAGCGCAATTTAGACTCAAGCTTTCCTCGAGCCTTGACAACATTGAAAGACTTTTGAACTACAATCAACACGATGTCAATGTCACAGACAAAGATTTAAACACCGGCCTGTTAGCATTGGAGGTGGTTTCTGCTCGAACGTATGGTGATCGCTTGATACCAAAAAACCGCAGGACAGAATGGGTAAGAGACGTTAGCGAACTGGTGGATACAAACTTGAGTTCTACTGCACGACTAAACGTGATGAACAGAATATACCATGTTTACGGTCGATTTTTGACCTAAATTTACCATCCTGTGATTTTTGACTATGTACTTAGCTACAGGAGTTTTGAAATAATATTCCTAGCATAATGACAATTGAAGTTGTATTGACCTAACTCTAAAAGATGCCGTTGACAATATCTGAACCAATAGTGGCACCGGCACCGAAAATAGCCGCATTTCCTAGCTTGCTACCAAATTTTTTAAAAGCCTGGCTTCCTGCGTGATGCTGTTGCTGCTGTTGTTGTTCCTGCACAGGCTGCTGCTGCATCGGAGGTGGTGATTGGTAGTAAGCCTGCTGCATCTGATTTTGATATTGCTGCTGAGGCGGATTCTGATAGTAGTTAGTGGAAGGTGGCGGAAACTGTGGTTGCGAGTAGCTTGAATGAGCACTTGCGTTTGTTTGCTGTGGCTGGAGTTGAAGTTGTTGTTGGGCCTGGGGCTGATATTGAGGTGGCGGAGGAGCCAGCGAATTCAACCGATCCGTCCCTTGACCGAGGGAGCCGGAAAATGCCGGTTTAACGTAATTAGAAGGGAACATACCAACTTTTCCGTTGCATCTGCCTTTAAACCACTCTGGAGATGGTTTTTCGAGCACCTCTATCTTGTCACCAACATGGAAATCCAGATCGCCATCTTGCTGCGCTTGAAAAGCGTAAACGGCTTCGACAAACTCGTTCTGAGACGCTGCCGTTGTCGATGGGGTTTCTCTCCTGGCTTCTTCCGGACTGTACCGTTCGGGTAAAGCAGCCATTATATCCTGGAAGGCTTGTTGAGAGATAACATTGGATTCCTGTAGAAACTCGAGCTCGGTCTTGACCGTAGCCAAAGAACGATTGATGGAAGAAGCTGACATTTTTTGAACGTTTGAAAGAATTTGGGTGGGTTGGAAAGTAACCTTATTTTTTCTTTGGAACGAGTTTTACGAATAACTTGAGGAAGGAATGAGAATGAGAAGAGTTCAAAATCAAGAGCTTAGTACCACAACTATGTTTTCTGGTCGAAAAGGTCCCTGGCTCTTTCTTTTATCCACCTGATTCTGTCTTTACCACACTTGTCTCCTAACTAGGGTGTGTTAGGTTAGGTTAGGTCTTGGCTCGATTGATTCGTCTTCTATCCGTCTCTATCTCAGCCCATGCTCACGTGACACCAATTAATTGATTCCTTAAAGATCACGTGCGTTAATTCTAATCCATGATCACGTGATACACCCTTTTTTCCGTTTTGGCGTCCTGGTTAGGCGCCTAAATAATACAACCGGCCATTGAATAGGTAGTGCTGACATGGAACAAGATGAGGACAACAGAAATGCACAATGGAATCCACGTTGACATTGCGAAAAGACCCGCTTTGTATGTCACTGCAAGCCTGTTTTGTTTTAGTTAGTAAACTTTTAGTGTTGAAAATAAGTGGTGAGCAGCTCCGTTTCGACACATACAATAGTCCAGCAACGGTTCCAGCAGCAATAGCTTGAAATCCACCGGCCACGAAATAGACCACCATGATCCACACACCGCCTGCGGTTTTTCTATGCGAAAAACTGGCCCACAAGCCTGCTGCAACGTAAAACGTCAAAAACAAAATCAACGTCCAGTAAACGGTGTATTTCCATATGTCGGTCACGTAGTAAAGGTATGATAAAGTGTATTTCTTGTTGTTGATCGGCCAGAACAACGACGGGAACTTTGGCGTCACATATCCAATTGGAATGTCACCGGACGTGACAAAGGATCTGTCATCAAACGGTAATTTAAGTTAGTATGGAAAACGGCGAAAGGCGGGGTATTCCGATCAAGCAAAAGGCATACCTCATATTGTGTTTAGATGTTTCTCCATCTACTGCTGACCCTCGCTAGGTCTTCTATCTGGTCCAAATTCAAACGTTACTCACCGTTCGAGCTGTGTTTTGATACTTAGTATACATAATTTAGAAGATTTGATAAGTCTGTATCACTATAGACGTACAGAGATGATGCTGTTGAAAGATGATGGTTGGAAGAGGGAAAGAGAGACAATTCTAGAGGGCGCAAGAGGCATTATTTTGTTGTGTCGTATCCATCCATTTGTTTATATCTTTTTTTGTTCGTTTGCTTCTTACCTTTCTTTCTCTCTCTCTCTCTCTCTCTCTCTCTCTCTTTCTCTTACTTTTCTTCTTCTTTCTTCGTGGCTCCGGTCTTGGTTAGCAGCGTTTCGATTTCCTGAGGTCTGAACATCTTTTGCACAATTTTACCATCATCGGTTCGGGTGATGGTAGCAAACTCGACCCTCTCGGCGGTCAGAGTGCTGGAATCGGTTGTTTTCGAAAGCGTTTTCAAAGCCAGTTCCATTGCAGTCTCCATGGTGATATCATCCTTGTAGTCCATTTGCAGCAGCGTTTGAGCAGCAGACGTGTTGGCGCCTACACTGATAGCTTTCCAGCCCGAGTAGTTGCCCGAAGGGTTGGATGTGTACAGCTGATAGCCGTACCTGTTATCGTAGCCTGCGTATATGAAAGACGCACCAAACGGTCTCAACCCACCGTGTTGGGTGTACCCTTGCTTTACATCACTCAAACGCCTCACGAGAATCTCCACGGGGATCTCCTCGTTGTAGGTCTTCAGATAGTTTTGGGCATGCACCCTGGCTGTATTTATCAAAATTTCAGCGTCAGCGGTCAACCCTGCGACCGCCACCGTGATATTATCGTTCAGCTTGTACAGTTTTTCCGTCGAACTGCCTTGCTCAAGAAGCTTGCTCGTTACTTTGCGCTCCGCAGCCAATGCAATGCCGTCTTTGGCCATAACCCCAATTGCCGTTCCGGCATGCGATATCGACTCCAGGGCATATTCGACCTGATATAGTCTACCCTCAGGGGAAAAAATCGTTGTTCTCGAATCGTACCGTCTAGATCCCATCTTTCCAGTCGATAGCTATCAGAATTGTCAATCAACAAACGATTAGACTGAGTTTCCAAAAGTGAGAGTTCTTAAGTCTTTGCCCGTTTATTGTATTAGGTTGACGACTGTGCAGAAGTTCCCAAAAACCAGCAATTGTCAATCCACAAGGTAGAAAAAGCCCAACACAAATGTGATACTACGATCCCACGTATATTCAAGAGCACGTAGTGGCGTTGATACTTTTAATCTTGTTACCCTTTGGTATTATATGTTTTAAGGCCGATATTCAAACGGCATCGTCACGTCTCGCTGTTTAAACATATGGGTTCTTTTCGCCACCTTAGCTTTGTTGTTACCCGGATCTGGTGATAATTGGAATTTTGTCAAATTGGGTCAAAAATAGGCCCTAGGATGACGAACTTTGACGGGGCCCTGGGTTAACAGAAGATTTCAAGATTTGTTTGTAAGGTTAGTAAGAAACCCCAATTTTCTTAACTGCTCTTCAAGCTTGTCCTTTGCTCTCGATGGTTCGATTCTGGAGAGAACATAAAACACCGGACGGATCGAAATATTATTATAACATCAAGACTAAACAAACAACAAGAGAGCGGCCTGTGGATTTTACAGATCAAGAAGTGGAAAAGAAGAAAACAAGGTTGCAGGAAAATCGACAATCTGTTGTTTTCAGTTTGGATGTTATAAATGGGTGGAAACTTATTTTATGCCAAGATGGATCGAGACATTACAGACACGATAGGAATGAAAAACTTTTGGACGACGTTGATGACGAAACCTGTAAAGAGCTATTGGCACAATTGGATCAAGGAAAATTGAACCAATTGAGCGAGGCCGCTAAAAGTAGGTATAATAACAGTGGATCACGCCTGTATGAGGAAATCGTGGATGCTATAGCCAAGATAAGAAACGGGCCGGAAGAAGCCGCCGAAGGAGCCGCCGAGGAAGGCACTGAGGAATCTGATTTTCCCAGCTTGGAGTCACAATCGAGTGCGGAAGAAGATAACTTGATTGCCGGCTACGGCACTTCAGATGACGAAAGTGACGACAGGGACGACACCGATGACGATGTCAACAACAACGGCAACGATCAAGCTGGCACTGATGCTATTTCAGGATCTGAGAACTTTAAGAAACTGTTCGAGTCGTATTCGCTGGATCCGTTTTCGACGTGGAAATTACAATCCCGAAAGATTCAAGACGATCCCAACTTTTACACAGTCCACAAAGACTCGTCAAGAGAACAGATTTTTGAGGAATGGTGCGCTGACCAATGCAAGGGTGCAGAGAACAGCGTGGACGCCGTTGGGGAAAGCAGTATTGAATCGGAATCAGAGCTGGACTCTGATACGCTGGAACCTACGAAATACCATTACTTGTCACACATAATATCCAAATCTGCTATAGGGCCCACGACTTTGGCCAAAGACATCAGAGGCGAGCAGAAAGGACTTTTCAAGCAGTATAAGATTAAAGACACTCTCAATGGGAAAGCTCAAGAAGCTTTCATATCAAAACTCCTTTTCTATTACAAGAAACTGGATGACAGTCAACGAGTAGATATTTTTGAGAAGTTCCTGCATATCAAGACCAAGATCATCAAACGCGGTCTTAGAAATTGCGAGAAATTGCGTGAAATTTTAAGCAGCAGCTTGCCTGAAGAAGCGTTTGCCATCGAGACGCAACTGTTGGAAATGGAGGATTGCATAGACATTCACGGCATAAATCGGTCATTGCAAGAGGATGTACAGTACTACGTTTTGGGTTTGAAACCCAAGACAACTGCAATGAGGGCATGGTTTAGCAAAGAATTGGATGTATCGTCATGACCATAAAATACGGTGTTATTTAGAGCTAAAAAGCTTACCACTTATCAAAATATTTCTTGATAGGATCGAAGTTCGGATTCGACACGTAGTAGTCATCCTTATGGGTTAGTTTCTCCATATCAGCGTCGCTGATCTCGAAATCTAAGGACTGCAAGTTCGAGAGCAGCCTCTTTTCGTTGCTTGATTTTGGAAGCGGCACAAATCCCATTTGAAGCGACCATCTAATCAAGATCTGAGCTGTAGTTTTTCCAGGATACGATTTCTCAATCAATTCTAGTAACTCAGGGTCTTCCAACCGATGGCCCCTTGTGAGTGGCGAGAACGCTTCGATGATGATGTTCTGCGCTTTGCAAAACTCGACCAGATCAGGACGAACGAGCCATGGGTTCAACTCGAACTGGTTGACGGCTGGCTCAACTTTAAGTCCGTCCCAACCTAGCAGCTCTTTCAACAACAGCACACTGTAGTTGGACACCCCTATAGCCTTTATTTTCCCTTCTTCGTAATATTCCTGGAGAGCCTTCCACATGTTCAACCGCTGCTGTTTCTCAGCTGCTGGTGCATGGATCAGGAAAAGGTCAACATATCCGATCTCTTTCACCTTCTGTAAAGACTCCTCTATTGCGCTTTTAGCTTGCTCGTAAGTAGTGTTGGTTGGGGCCAACTTTGTTGTGTAGAAAACATCGGCTCTGGACTTTCCTGGTGTATCCTTCAAAAACTTGGCAATTGCCAACCCGACTTCTCTTTCATTGCCATAGAATTGAGCAGAATCAATATGTTTGTATCCTTGCTGTAACGCCTTGTAAACTATAGTCTCTGTCTCGTCTTTAGGGGCCTTGTACACACCCAACCCTATGATAGGGATCTTGACACCGTTTTTCAGCGTTTTGGTCGTAGCAGCAGATAACGACATTTCTGTTGATATACTTGGTAATAATCTGAGTAACACTAGCTTCTGAAAGTGATCTTTGTTGGCAATATTCGTCTACTGTCACTCAATCAAGCGATTATATATACCAATATATGTTGATTAATACTTAGATTGCTATTGGTCTGTTGGATCTCGACTGGGATATCATCCCGGAGGCTCTCGAAGAAGCTGCTTCTTTTATACATCATCTCTAATAGTACTCGATCCTATGCAACGCAACACTAGGGTTGACTCTTGTTGAGCATAGTGGTTACCGGTCTCTGTTTCCGCTATGTCCTATATCCGATCTCTTTTGATATACCTACCTGGACAAACACAGCAATGATGAAAGCGTTGCTGTAAGCTTGTAAAACGGAGGCTCGACATATTTCACTTTTAAATTAATTGTAGTCGAATTCGTCGTCGTAGATTCCGTCCTGGAAATCGTTGTAGTCAATACCAAATTCTGCCAAGAATTGGCGATTATCCATTTCTCGGTCGGACATGTACATCCCCAAAATTTCGTCATCTTGGGAGACCACGCGACGACCAAGAACCGCAGTCTTCATTGTGAGTGAATGCTTGCTGATGAAATTGCGTAAAGCGATCACCGCACTGTTTTGACTTCCACCAACCGCGGGCAGAAGTGCAAGCAGTTTGTCATTGTAAATCGATACAGCAGAACCCACGCTGCTGTTTTCGGACATGGTGCTCCAGCTTGGTGTGGTGACGTCAAGCACATCCGTCTTTTCGCTCGAAGGCCTCGCAATTGAGCGTTCTGGAGTCTTGGCGTCTTCATTGTGAGACTCCTCAACAGTCATCGATTTGAGTTCGAAAAAAAGTTCGCGGGCGTCTGGCAAAACGCAGATCCAACTCATCAACAAAGTTTGCAGCTCGAATATATAGTCGGGGTCATCGAAATCGAATTTTTTCTCTGCCATCAATCGCTTGATCATGAGGCATACTAATCTCATGAAACCCAGGATTCTTGGCGGTATCCCATGATCAGGATCTTCTTCCGGAATTTCGGTGTCCGAAATCTCAGCAGTTTCGCGTCCGTACTTCGAAAAGAAGATCGCAAAGTTCGTGAGAATTTCTTGCAAGAGCATTTTTACTTCCACCTCCGAGAGTTGCAGTGACCCTTGCCTCGAAAATGTAACTTGATCGTAAGCCGCTTTCTCCTTTGGTTTGTTCTGGCCCCCATTCGAACCTTTTGGTTCTCCTCTTCCACCCATTATCAGAGTGAATATGTATTCAATCATGGACCTATTGACCTCTAAGTGAGTAATGAACCAGATGAGGACGCGGCGATATCCGCTGCACATCAACATTTCATCCATCAAGCGCCAAACGAGAACCTCGTTGTATTTCAAAGTTCGCTCAAAGAGCGAGTCCTCGCACCAATGCTCGTAAATGTAATCTGATGTCAAATTGCCATCACCAACGAATTTGTACCTGCTGTTCAAATCTTGATCTCCTTGGCTCGAGACAGCAGACTGGAGGACAGTTTGTTCTTGCTCTCGAGCAACGCAAGTGGCCGTCATTGTCAAGAGCAATTTCCCTTCATCAAACGACAACTTTCGTTCTCCCGCGATCTTCATTAAGGGTCCTGCGATGTCGATGCTCAGATTCGGCTCGAATGGGTAGAGTTCATTAAAGTAGAAATTCATACCACGAGGAATATCTCTCCAATCTCGCCCGTTGAAATCAAATTCAACACCATCTCGTCTTGACCTCTGGGCAACGGGTTTGCCACTGGACGACAAGCTCACCCTACTTTCTGGTGGAGCTTCACGGAAACTCCTTACTTTAGCCGAGGTTGATTCAAAACATTCCTCATCATCAGGTAACAGCTCGTCGTCGTCAAAGCGACAGTGGCACCTTTTGTAATAGGCCCTCATTTCCTTGATCCTCTCACGAGATTCTGCATCTTCGAGCTCTTCGTCATCCAGATCTTCGGTATCTACCTCATTGTAATTGTCATACTCATAGTCGAACATGTACTTGACGTCCTCGTCGAATCTGTCTCCTGGTTGCAAATCGCTCAATAGGCTTGTAACGTCCTCAAGGTCAATCCCTAGAGCTAACATAGCCGCCGCATGCGATCGAACATCTGTGTATAAGGCACCGTGACAGAGCTTGCGCCCGTGTGGGGACATGAATATGTTTATAGGTTCATGCTTGAAGTCGTGACGTTTATAGTCCACATGGCCATTCAAAATGGTAGCCACAACGCTTCTTAGCGCCGAAGCTCCTCTGATAGTGGCACGAACGATCACGGGAGTTGTATAGGTCTCCTGCTCCTCTTCGAATCGATCAATCTCAAGACCGAGTAGGACCACAAATGTAAGGTTTTTCCAAAGTGATATCATTGGACCTAGGAAAGGGTTCATCTGGACTGGCAAGTCACGATATAGTTTGTAGAGAAGATACACCGCCAAGAGGTCCACCATGTAAACCAGCTCAAGATCCTGTGTATTCAAGCCTTGCGGGAGCCACTTATGGAGATTTCTCCTCCAGTCAACAGAATCGTCGCTATTGTTGACCGAGTTAAGTCTTTCGAAGTTATCGCAATTGAGACGTCGTAGTGATGCGTGCACGATCTTGTAAAGATTGAAGCAAATATGGAAACGCCAGTTTAATGAGAGAGTTTCGATCTCCTTGCTTAGAAGGCCCAAAAACATGTCTGAAAGCAAGTCAATCGAAATGATGTGTGAATCGTTCGGTATTGGCTGAGTTACAGGATCCAGCAAGGCGCACAAAGTGTAGAATTGGGCTTTCAAAAGTGGAGATGAATTTTGTTCGTGCAGTCGCAGGACGTAGTAAAGAGTTTGATGCCTTTTCCGGGTTCGACTGAAGACGTTGAGAGTCTCCAAAGTACCGTCGTCATTCAAGTCAAATGAATACACGCGATCTTGGAAGGCACCGCCCTTCTTGACTGGCCAATCTTCTGTGTCACTTCCCGAGTCGTTTTCAAGTATTTCTGAACTAGCACTGTCTACCCTAGAGAAATGGGCAATTTTATTAGAGTTCATAACGTCGAAAAATGGTTGCAGTCGCGGTATCAAATCTTGTTGAGCGGTGAGCTTGTCGGTTAGGACCGTTAAATACTTGTAAACGATGTCTGAAGCCTTATTAAACTCTTGGGCATTTAGAGTGTACCATGTGTATCTCCCGCTCAATTGATAGATGCGCTGCTTTTTGCGTGCTGCCTTGAAAAGCAAAGACGGCAGATTTCCTTGATTAAGTGCTTGCTCGATCTTGGGTCGGCAATGAAGAAGAAAATCCAACATCAGGTTGTAATCGTCGTCCACTATAAGCACCTCTGTGTTTGCATCCAACAAGAATCGCAGCGACAGTTTATGCACTGGTTCGCGGTATGAGGTATAGTCCATGTACTCCAGCTCGTTTTGCAGCAGAAAGTCCATCAACTTGCAAATATACGTATATGATTCGGTCCATTTTTTGACCATATTTTTGTAATGCTCATCATCCGAAGTGCCACGATGCTTCGCGCTTTGCCACTTCTTATATTGATGAAGATTGACATGACCGCAAGACAGTCCGTAGTATAGATCCAGGATATCATGACCGGGCCGAGTGGTAAACAGCGCCAACATTAACTTTTCTTGTACATTCCCCAGTAGACCAGACTTGAGTAACTCCGACTCGTTTGCACCGTTCTTTCCAGGCGTATTACCTGCTGAGGGTCCTTTTGAAGGTTCAGAATACACGGCATTCCTCTTTTTACCTACCATGGGCGGTTCAGGGCTTTGTCGGTTGGTGTCATACCGTTGGCAACAGGTCCATCCGTGTGCCACTTTTAAGTAACGTAGTTATTTGAGATCATGTGAAACGAGGTCAGATTTCAGACCGCTAATGTGAACTAGCGACTCCATAAAAGCACATTAGCTGAGACCGAGATGTGGATTATCGAAAGCTAAGGGGTCAGGTTTCGTGTTGGATTCATTACTTAAGCCTTATGTTTGAAAATGGCTAAAATGAGGTTAGTTCAGACATTTGCTTGTTTCTGGACCCTTTTGATATTTTCAAGACCAACCCACCCTAGAGAAAAATCACTGTAGAATGAGATCTATGCGATAAATTTGCTGGAATTGAAAATGAAAACACTTTTGAGACCCTGCGCATGATTATGCGCTGGAGACCGCTAGGAATTGAAATAAGGGCTTCGTGCGATTTGCAAAATGTGTAAGGTAGAAATGCTACCCCAATCTGATGGATAAAAAAGTACAACGCTTGGCTGAACTTGTTCAAAGTTGAAGGAATCACTTGAAGCTTATGATTTGGACCCTGTACTGCGCTTTGATTGATATAGTGCATATTAACGGTCACGTGCCTGGTGAAAACAGTATGAAGAAGGGAATGGAAGAAGAAGGGTACTTCAGGAAAAGAAGGTCAAGATCTTGAGAGCAGTTCAAACTTTCTACAAAACATTCGATTGAAATTTGATTATCGGGTCTTTGATGACTTCCTATTAAATCTCTAATAGAAGTTCAGCCACGTGACCTAGATAATTGATCGTTGTAATATTCAAAATGGCCATCATATAGTGACAGCCTTGGTGAAAATGACGAACATAATCCCCAGTTTTAAACATAGGCTTCTAGAGGAGCGAGGCGATCGTATAAAAATTGGAGAGACACGGTTTTAATAGCTATAATCACTGTCTCATAGATTACTCGCTGACCATATGTCTCATAATATCATTTTCTTGTCTTCTTAGAGTTTCCACCAGTGCCATCGGCTCACCAACATCAGATGTCCCTGACCAACTTCCCAACGCGAACCAAATTCACAAACCAGGACATAAGGCATCAAAGACTACCTTTTAAATTCACCTTTCAACGTGTGCGCTACATGTCCAATCGGTGAAGAAACTTTCAGTAAAACTTTCAATAGTTTCTCGTATGTTTTCTCGTGCCCGAAGCATGCCAAAACCGAAAATAATAACGTGTTCCAGCTAAAAACCCACCAGTAGCAGCTACTCTCGGTTAAAGCATCTCAAATGTCTTTGGCTACATTCTCATCACCACCTTTTTTGATGTTTTCTGAATCCGGCGTCACACGCGTACAGAGTGACCCTATTCAAAGTTTTTCCATGGCTCTTGAATTGTGTTAACCTATCAGAAGAGCTTGTTACAGCTACCAATCTTTCCTCTAAAACCATTGAAAACTCCAAATCAAGCAGCAAAACCTTGTCTTTAGATACCTCAATTGACGTGTTTTCGACGTGTTTCTATTGCCCCACAAGAATTGCAGCTTAAGGTCTAAAAACTTCCCCGTTTCAACCCATCAAAATGCTTAGATCTGTGATCAACAAGAAGGCTAGCACTAAGCTTGGGAGTAGACTCTTTTCCAGAGATGCTACCCCTTACGACCAAACCATCAACAACCTACGTCTGACAAAGGATACCAAGGTCATCATTCAGGGTTTCACAGGAAGACAAGCTTCTTTCCATGCCAAACTCTCGCAAGAATACGGCACCAACATTGTCGGTGGAACGAATCCTAAAAAGGCCGGTCAGACACATTTGGGCCAACCAGTCTTTGCTTCTGTCGCAGAAGCCATCAAGGAAACCGGCGCCACTGCTTCCGGGATCTTTGTGCCTCCTCCAATTGCCGCACAGGCCATCAAGGAAGCCGTTGAGGCTGAAATTCCCTTGGCGGTTTGCATCACTGAAGGTATTCCTCAGCACGACATGTTGTACGTTGCAGAAATGCTAAAATCTCAATCCAAGACTCGTCTTGTGGGACCCAACTGTCCTGGTATCATGTCTCCAGAAGGCCGTGTCCGTATTGGTATTCAGCCATCGAAGATCTTCAAGCCAGGTAAAATCGGTATTGTTTCCAAATCCGGTACTTTGACTTACGAAGCCGTACAGCAGACCACTATCACAGGCCTAGGTCAATCTCTTGTCATCGGTATTGGTGGTGATGCTTTCCCAGGTACTGACTTCATTGACGCTCTAAAGTACTTTATGAACGATCCTACCACCGAAGGTATCGTCATGTTGGGTGAGATTGGTGGTAAGGCTGAAATCGAAGCTGCGGAATTCTTGAAAGAATACAACTTGAAGCGCTCCACTCCAATGCCAGTGGCTTCCTTCATTGCCGGTACTGTCGCAGGTCAAATGAAGGGTGTCAGAATGGGACACTCTGGTGCTATCGTTGAAGGTTCTGGCACAGATGCTGAATCCAAGAAGGCTGCCTTGAGAGAGGCCGGCGTTGCTGTTGTCGAGTCTCCAGGTCGCTTGGGTGATGCTCTAGTGAAAGAGTTTGCTAAGTTGTAAAGCAGAGGCTGCATTACGTTAACTCTATTTAATAATTCATATTCGTACTCAAAGAATACAAAAACCAAGCATAATAGCTGTGCAATGGGATGAAATGAGTTGAGAAACCCGTGTCCGGAAGAGGATTCTCTCTCTACGTAGTTGATACGAATCTGTCAAACTCGAAAAAAATATGCGCGAGCCGGGAATCGAACCCGGGGCCCAAGTATGGGAAACTTGGATTTTACCACTAAACCACTCGCGCTTACTTGTTAGTGTCATTTACAACACACGGCAATAACATAACCAAGATCATGCTGAAAGTTGTCATGGAATGACTAAAGACGAATGAAGAAAGGACCGACCGAAACAGAACGAACCACACGATGAACCTAACCTAGGTACGGAGAGGTCGAGATGAGGATTTAACGATCTACGTAAGGAGCGGAACCTCAACAAGAAACCAACAACAGAGGTTCATAATGAACCTCACAAGGAATCAAGAGTAACATATAAAAAATAGGCCTTAGGAAAAGGCAAAGTAAGATAGGATAGCGAGAAGGAAGGAAGCAAGTAATAGGAAATAGAACGACGTATTAAACTGAATTAGAGATCTTTTATAGATTCCAGTAGTTCGTGATAGTTACGCACGACAGTTACTGACTACCAGATTTCTAGGCTCCAGATTAGTGATCGTGTCATTAGATACATATGTAGTCTCTGCGGCATGGTTTGAATTTCCGTTTACGAGATAAAGTTCATCGAACAGAGCCCAGTCGTCATCCATAATCTCCTGTGCTGACCTGTGTGAATACACCTCAACTTGTATTCCAGTTACGTTAGCTAGGCAGCGCTGAACAGAGGTGACTCCAGTAGGCTCCAAGGTGATATTACCTGACAGTGGCCGCACTGTGATGGTACCATCAGCACTCAGTCCCAGTGAACACAGGATGCCTGCACGGTCCAAGCAGTTGGCTAAGTTACGAACCTGAATCATGGTGTCCGCATCACTGCTGACACCGACGGTTACGATCGCCTTGGCTAGTGGCATGCATGTCATCATTAGGATGTACTTGGTTATGTTAGTGAAAAAATTCATATTGTCGGGCGGCGCTACCAATTGTTGTGTACTGTGTAGTATCCAATCTAGTTGGTTCTATAGAGATAAAATTCTTTATAAGTTAATATACGGCATAATGATTCCCCTGATCAGCGTAGAACTCGAACCTAGTTTACGGACGATTCTGCCCTTCCATATTAGCGAATCAGGGCTCAAGTTGGAGGACTTGGGTCCGGTATTTATACCTTCCGTTGTCGTATAACTTAGGTTGTTTACGACTTCCCGAGCCGTCTTTTCAACTCATTTCATATCTTGAGTACCTTGAATACAAGTATTCGTCATGTTAGAGTTTCTCCATGACATTAATCTTGGCGGAACCACAGGTACTAAATAACATACTGCAGCAAATCTGAAGTTCGTCGTGCAATCACAACAATTTTTGGACTTGAACCACACTTGTGTATAGAGCATCCTATAATAATCGCCGTTCTAATCTAGTGTATCATTTCTATCGTCATTACCTATATAAATTCGTGTAGTTTTGGAAGCGTGAGCTCAATGTTCAAAACAACTGGATCCTTAACGTCGATATAACAACAGTCTTCTCCCACGAACCTGTTGCTGCTACTGACTTTCCCTTCCATTATACTAGTGTGCCAGTCTGATACGTCCCATTTCAGTCCCCTAGTGGAATTGATTACTGTGGGGCCACCCAAGGGCAGAAGACCACAATTTCTGATGCATTGCGTTTTGAACTGTTTGTCGTACCTGATCAGTGTGCCACCCGTGGGTACTAAAATGATGAGATCTGTAGACGTCAGGTAACACAAACGGTAGTAAGCGTCCGTTTTCGAAGCCGTATACAGTTGAGTGATCGAGTGTATTGTTTGGTCGAAACGGCCGTCAATGGCGTTCAAAACCATAAGATTGATGCTTCGTGTGTTCCAGCTTGCGCGATTCATTTTGTACAATTGGAAGAGCCCGTCGCAATTGTCGATCCCGTAGTTTTCTTGGAAGTTATTAGCTTTCACCATTTGTTGAAAGCCTGCGTGATAAAAATGCAGAGAAAGAAGCCGCAAGCTCTTTGTGAAATCCGTAGAGTACTGACTTGTCTGTCCTATGATGGTGACTCCTCTTTCCAGGTAAAAACTTAAGATTTCATCTCGCACAGAGTCCAAGTCTCCAACGATGTAATCTGGCAGAAACTTGGAGCGTTCAACATCGTGCGAGAAATACTCGTAAAGCCGGTTGGCACCACCATCCGCACAAATGCGAACTTGGTAGTTAGCCCACAGTTTTTCGAACAACTTTCCTATGGCTATCTTTTGGTTCAAGATCAGTAGCGCTGAATCATGTTTGTTTGGTGAAAGCAGCTCAGTCAAGTCCAGCTCGTGCGAATAAGAAGCAGGCTTCTTCACGACCATAGAATCCGGGTTTTCTAAAACCGCTTCAGACATTTCACCGGTATTCAAACGGTATAGAGGTTTCACTAGCGAGCACCTGAAGTCGTCAGCTTTATAATTTTCGATATCTTGAAATATCTTGATATTAGCTGTTATATGTCTAATCATTATATATTACTCGAGAAACACACCTTTCGATGCCCAACTTCAGTGAAGAATTCTGAACCCAAAGAAGCTATAAAGAGATCTTCATTTCAGAAAACTTATCTTGTGCTTGAACAGCACAAATTGCGAATAAAGATTGTGTGTTTAGTCAAGGGTTTCAGTCACTGTTCAGGTTTTACTACTACAACGTTCATCCAGATTATAGCCTAGAAAAATGGATAAATACAAGTACAGAATAGAAATTCAACAGATGATGTTTGTCTCTGGCGAAAACAGTGATCCTCCTGTGGAAACTACATGTATCATTGAAGACATAGTTCGTGGGCAAGTAATAGAGATTTTACTGCAGTCGACCAAGACTGCACATACTAGAGGCAGTAAAAGCATTATGCCTGAAGATGTCATCTTTTTGATTCGTCATGATAGAGCCAAAGTCAACAGACTGCGAACATATTTGTCGTGGAAAGATCTGCGTAAGAACGCCAAAGATCAAGACGCCAACGCTGCTGCTGGCGGTAACGCTGGCGGTGGTGCAGACGGCGGAGAAGGTGCCATGGAAGACGACGACAAGAAGGGCGATAAAGACGGCGGAAACATGATGCGGGTGAAGAAATCACAGATCAAGCTCCCGTGGGAGTTGCAGTTCATGTTTAACGAGCAACCGCTGGAGATGAATGAGGATGCAGATGACCTGGATGAGGATGAACGTGAGGCAAATGTGGCGACGCTTAAACGACTCAAGATGGCCGATGACCGTACTAGAGACATGACAAAAGAAGAATACGTGCATTGGTCCGATTGTCGACAAGCAAGTTTTACGTTTCGCAAGGGTAAGCGGTTCAAAGATTGGTCTGGTATCACTCAACTTACCGACAGCAAGCCTCACGACGATGTTATTGATATCCTCGGGTTTCTGACTTTCGAAATTGTGTGCTCTTTGACAGAAACTGCCCTCAAGTTTAAAAAACGGGACGAACTTCTGCAAAGAAAGCGCGACAAGTCCCAAAAGGCACAACTTGATGTGGTTTTGGAAATCACAAGAGAACGAAAAAAGCGTTTATTTGATGGCCCGGACAATGTTGTCAATCCTTTGAAACCAAAACATGTCGAGGAAGCGTGGCGAGCACTACAGGCTATTGATATGAAGCATCGAGCATTAACGAATTTTAAGGGCGGCAGGCTTAGCTCAAGGCCGGCAATTATGTAAATATATATGAGTTTCTTGGTCACATATTTTTATTGAATGCGTTTAGAGGACTTTTCCATGCCTCGAGTACAGGGCTGGGTTCACCATTGAACCAGATTGGATGGAAAGCGTGGTTTTGCAGAAGCACCTTTACCACCTCTGTACCTGATAGAGATTCCTCCCTTTGCAAAGCGGTCTCAAAAATCACTTTGTTTTTGTTCTTTTGGGCCTGATCATGTTTTGCGACCTCAACGACATATGGTATGACCTCTTGACTGATCTGATGTCTTGTCATCGCTGCCTTCAAGCCTAAATATACACCCTCAAAATCTGAATTGCTTTCTATCGGGCCGTCCGAGAACCGATCTAAAATTTCCCGTACTTTTCTTGAGTTCCTAGTCATGCGAACGGGTGCTGATTGTTCTCCATTAAGTGACATTTTATCAGGTACCCGGCTTCCTAAGTAGGATACAACCTCGGGTGTAGTTTTGTCCATGATTTTATTGCAATCCAAAACTTTTCCTGTGTGGGGGTCATCGATACTCTGAAAGAGACTCTCACTGATATTTGTCTCGAAAGGTAACAGCGCGGTTCTCAAGTGGTCATGCAAATGCTGTCTGTAGTCGACCATATAGTCCAATGCGAGCCTCTCTTCGTCAGACAATGCAGTAAAGTCTTTTGAAGAGATGGGATAATTAAGAGTGCGATCCTTGTCCCCAACTATGTTCGATTTCCATTTAATGCTATTGTTTATCATGTCCGCATATGACAAAAGATCGGCCTGAGACATGATTTCACCAACGTGCTTGTTATGACCGATGTTCGTCTGCTCTTGGATTTTCGTGTCATTAGTCTTCTGTTGGTCGGCCACAGCTTTCCATTGAAGGTTCACTAGACACCTTCTTATATCACCGCCATATTCTTGCAGCAGCGCCTTTGAATACTCTGAAGAGAAGTTGAATCCCTTTGCGTTCAGAAATTGAGACAGTTGGGCGTTCGCTCTGTTAAAGTCAATCTTTTCGGCGTGAAATAGCGAGTTTTCTTCGTCAGCGACCTGAATGAGATTGAATGGAATAAAACTGAGGTCACGGCAGACTAGGACTACTGGCCTCCGCGAAGCCATGAGCAATCGTTCTACCGTAACCCAGAATAGCTTGTCGCGCTCTCGAAATAAGATGTCAACATCATCAAAAAGAATAATGCCTTTAGAGCCCTTATTCTTAACGTAATGAGAAGTCGAAAACTCGAGCAGGCTGTCAAGAAAGTCTTTCTTGCTTCTGTTCCCAGAGCTATTGATCTCGAAAATCTGACCAGACACATCATTCATGATGGCCTTCAGTAACGTATTCTTACCCACCGCTTCACCAAACAAAATCAGTAGAGGTACGAATTCTTCCATTTGATCACTAACATCATCATTTCCATCATCAACAATGAACATGTCCATGCCGTCTATGTCGAACTTTTTCTTCGACAATTTGTTCCTTGTCGTCATCCTTCGTAGCTTTTCAAAAGCCATTCGTAGCCATCGATCTACCTGCGATTTTAGCTCATCCTCCAAAATGACATTTTCAAGGTTTTGTGGTGAGAACTCGTCAGTCCAAAGAGATTCATTTTGAGTTTTATTAGTGATGGAAATGTTCTGTATCCTATCTTCTTGTTGACTTGATGCTAAGTGAATCAAAGACCTAAAAATCCCGGGACTTTCAACCACATCGTTGTGGTTCAAATTCTGAGCTTTCTTCGATAGCGTCAGAGGTCTGTGCGGTATTTCGTCCCCCAAAAGTGAAATTCTCTGGAATTTGGGAAGCGGCGTTTCTAAACTTGCAGCTTTGGAGGCTTCATGTGCCCGCTTGAGGGATCTTCGAGTTTTGCTCACCGCAGGGAGCTCATTTGCGCTCGTCTCACGCAATTTTTTTTTAGACCCCCCAAAGAGGTCTCGAACAGTTGTCTTCTTGGCACTGTCAAGTGCAGATACAATACGTTCGTGTGCTTCCCGATTTTTGTTTGGATCATTAACTTTTGTAGTATGCACATCATTGATTATTTCAGCAGTATCAACTGTTTTAAGCCTTCCAGTTTTATCCTTACCACTCAGAAGATCCTTCAGTGATACTTTTGAAGGTCTCAGCTCCTCAACTATCTCACAGTCACTGGTTCTTTCATCATCGTTGAAAGCAGATATTTTACCATCATTAGAGGTTTTTAAAGGTGAAGAGTCCTCTGTTACCCAAAGACCCTCGGAGTCTATCACTGTAGAGTTTTCTATGCTATCCAAGAAATCTTCAGCTGCCACCTCAGGTTGTCTTTCTTCCTTGTGCACTTGATTCTGGCTTCGAAATCCATTCAACAGAGTCGCTAATCGCACAGATTTCTTGGGCGTCGACGAAGTCATTACTGTTGACCTCAATCATACAGATGAGGAGTATCCTAGCCCTTCAAAGAGAGATTCAGCGACTGTGGGACGCGACTTGTGCGTTCAACGTCAGATTTGTTATGTTGTCAACAATCCGAATGTGAGAACTCGTTTGAAGAGATCAATCTCATCATCCTCCAGATTTAAGATTATATCCATTTGACTAGTATACATGGGGTTGTTTGATTTATGCCAGCCTGGGGGCTTCTAGTATCGTTCTTTCAGTCTCGAGGCAACTGTACGTAGGTTTCCATAGACCTTGCCTGGAGGCGAACCAAGAATTAAGCTGACGACTGATTCACGAGCCATGCGGATGTGAGTGAAGCCACCCAAGATGTGAATCTTCGAATCCGCAAGCACGATACGCGTACGGGTTGCGTTCTCGATGGCAAATTTAGTCTTACCGTCTTTTCCGGCGATTCTGCCGATGGCACGAGACAAATGGTCACCGTTGAGGGTCTTTACATCTTTGATTTCAAAAGTCTCGATATAAAGATCGTCCAGCCTCAGGAGCGCGATCGAGTCGTCAAGATCGAATCCAAGCGTGAATGCCTTGATGAAATCTGCACCCTTTTGCAGCGCCCCTGGATCGGTAGTGTGTTTGGGGTGCGTTCTCAGCTCAACCGTTCTGGTCTTTAGGTTCATACGGACTTGTAGCTTCAAATGGTCCACCAGAGGCGGATATATCTTAGTCCAGTTGTTTCTTAGTGGTGTCATGCGATGTGGGGGGACTGAAACTTTCCGAGACTCAAGCTTCACTTTGTTTTCTCCCGCTTGAGCAGCGGAAGGGAAACGAGGCTTTCCGCGTTCATCAAGAACTACTTCTTGCAAAAGCTTGGCGGTCTCATTACCTTTACCTTCTTGCGGCGCATCCTCATCGTCCATGTTTTGGTCGTCTACCAGGACTTCATCGTCATCATCGTCATCGGCCACTTTGTGAGACACATCGCCACCGAAAATCCGAGAGCTTGAAGTAGCGCTAGGTTCAGAGGCATTTGGCCCGGGTGTACTTTTTTTCACAGCGGTAGGTGCCACCATTGGTATGTTTTCAGCTCGTTTCTTGATCGCGCTACTTGCTGGTTATGAAGCTCATCGCATGAAGCTCATCTCATCACCTACTTCTTAAAATTTTTCTAGAGCACGTGATATCCTGAAGATGTTGGATAGAGGATGGAGAAGATTATTGACTAAAGAGCTGGATAGCTGGCAAGGGCATAGAGAAACGGACATCTTAGTGGACGCATTCCATACAAGATAGGGTCTATGAAAACTTACTTGCAATGCTGTCCATTCAGGGGAGCTGCGAGGTATTTATACTTTCGTTGTGGGACTCGAAGTGAATCCCTCGAGTGTCTTTTTACGACAGCCGTTCTATACCTTTGACGATGTTGTCCATAGTTAATGAGTTGATGGTCTAGTATATGCGGCTGATAAGGGTATCTGTCGATTTAGTTGGGCAGAATATGTCCTTTTGCACCGTTCTGGATATCATTTCATCATCAATGGAAGTGAAAGATTTTCGCTTGAATTGCGTAGCTAATGGCGAATAATCAAACTACTGAAGTTCTGATACCATGCCCCTCAGCACTAATAGATTCATAATCGTTAGATCACCAGCAACTTGTAATTGTCCAAGTTTCTTGTTTATATTTGTCAAATTCTGTTACTGTCATCTCATTACGTATCGATGTTCACTTTGTAATAAAATTGATGCCAGACACACGAAAAGGATCAAATGTAGCACAATTTGGAATTGAAACGTCATAGGTCCAATCACACCTCTAGCCTCTAAATAGAGTGTATTGGTTTCGCTATGGCAAAGGCCAGTTGGAGACCCGCACACCCGTCTACCGATCTTCTTCTGTCTTCTACCCGTTCTTCTACTCTCTGACTCAAAGATCAACTCAAAGCCCAATTAGATATTTATTTTTCAGATGAGTGAAGAGAGGATACCTGAAAAACTATTCTTCTCATCCCTGCGAACTTTGTGAACGACACATTCGGAATATCACGAAACGCAAACCTCCTACGCGGCTCAAACAGTAGACTCTTATGTTCAGACATGGACTACTGCGTTGCTTCAAGCCATGTAGTTTGGTTCGAAGTTCGCAGCTTCACTCTTCGCACTATACCCCAGGTATTGCGAGCAGAGTAGTAGCCGCATCGCGGGTTAATTTCAGTCAGAAGAGTGTCCTGCGAAGTCCACAAAAGCAGTTCGAAGAGCTTGCAAAAAATACAGATTTCTTACATACGCAGAACATTCTTTTGCAGAAAAACCAGCAACGTCTCAGCAAGCAGAAAATGCTTGCAGAAGCCACTAATTTTTATGAACGATCTAAGATCAAAACGAAGTGGGTCTTGATCCGTGGAAACCGACCCTTCAGTACCGACGAGATAAGTACACTCTTTTCATGGCTAGTCATATCGCAGATTTTGTGGGTCGTCTTAGGCACCACGACGTTTGTGTCCCTTGTTCTGTTCACATTCAATACTGTCTTTGCGAAAGAGATGGTGGGTCAAATGGTTGGACGTTTGCTCAATGGATACATAGATGGCGTGGACGTACGATTTCAAGATGCGTTGGTACCTGAATGGAAACGTGGGTGCATCAGCTTCAAACACGTTCAACTGAAAACGACAAACGAAGACCGGGAGGGTTCAAAAGCCAAAGCAAAATTGAGTTTCGACCTCACATTCAATCAAATCGATATAACGCTATCGTTCACCAAATGGTTGCGCGGTCACGGTCTCATAAACGATCTGTCTGTTTACGGAATGAAGGGTGAAGCCTCAGTGGACGATAGTAAAAACCATGAAAAACTCATAACTTGGTTTTCCAATCCAAGGTATAGGATAGGGCGACTCAAGATTCGAGATTCCCGCATTAACGTTCAAGACGAAAGCTTGAATCATAACTACCGCCTCTCCATTTATAACATGGACTTGCCCCAGTTCAGATTCAAATGGGCTTTGGTAGATGTTTTCAACGCCAACGTGATGACAGGTGCTGTCAACCATTCGCTTTTCACTATACATAAGCGACAGCACAAGTTGGCATACCTTCAAGACTTTGAGCACGATATGGCGCCTTGGAAGCGCATAACGAGACTAAGGTTGGACGAAATATCTGTAAAGGATGTGGGTCTTGACAAAAGCAAAGCTTTCAATTGGGTGGAGGACGGACAAGTGGAGATCATCGCGGATTTGATGTTGCCCGACATTTCAGATTTTAAAGACAGCAGTGCTGATTATGAAAATAAGTACGTTGTCATGGATCTCAAGTTCAAATTCAAGGATTTGACAGCACGCAGCCCTTCTGAGGAGCCTAAATTAGCTAATGGAGACCTCATTGCCACTTTAGAAGAACTGAGGCCACTTATCGCTTTCGTCAACACTCAAAGAGGACTTTTCCACTCTTTCATGAACATACAGAATTCAAATTCAGCATGGAACAGCATGCCCAACGTCTCAATAAAAAAAAGTAGGTCATATCCGGACACGACGGTTATACCATCAAATATAAAATGGCCATCTTTTGAGGACAGTGAAAGACCTAGTCAAGAGATCATAAAGTACCACGACCAACCTAACCACAACAACAATGAGATTATTGTCAAATCCCGGATTGTAAAGAACATTGATGACCTAAGGGATATGGCACTTTTCAGGGAAACTGGCATCTATGATACTCTCTGCATGGAGATACATGTTGATTTGATGAAAATGGTTGAAGAGTGGGAACACAAGAAAAAAAGCGATTGGGTGAAAGTGTGGGGTACCACAGTAGCTTCCCAATTAATGATTCTAGGTCTTGGCGCTATGGTTTGAAGCACTCAGCTTCACAAAGGGAACCTTCCTGATATAATGAATGTAACGACGCTTAACGAATATAGGTATTTGTAATTTGGTTTTCAGGTTTTGAACACATCAACCGTTTGATAGTTTTTTGCCAGTTTCTTTGCTTACCTTAATAACTGGCAGAAACGCTGAGGAGCCGATCCTTTCGTGTGTATTTGATCTTCGACCTGGCTTGGCTCCTAGTCCTAGCAATGCGGGTCGAAACTTCGGAGCCGAGTTTGCTGGATTTGACGGTCCAGTTGCACTAGGGGTCTCGTCGGTGTCATCTTTCCCATCCCAACCCATTCCTCGGAGTAAAGCATCGCCAAAAGCCTCGATCGGAACATCTTCGTAGTCTTTTTGGTCTGTTGTTTCGTGCTGCTTTTCAGACTTCGCCGACACTTTGTCAAATACTCGACTCTTGGGTGTATCGGTCTCAGAGACCTCTCCTGTATTTAATCCAAACTTCAAGTCATTGTTCCCAACTGGAGGATCGACCAATGTTTTTTCGAAAGGCCGCGAAACCCCAATAGGCTTTATCACAAGCTTTTCCTGGTCCGGATGTTTATACTCGTCGACATGGGCTAGCCGTATCTTGGTTTTCTTCGCCGCCCCGGCTTCACTGTCGTTGAATACATTGGTTCTCTTCTTTTTGCCGTCCGATTTCCCACTCTTCTTACCAGGCTTTTGGCTTTTCAAGTTGAGGGAAAAACCAGACATGGATTTGCTGTGGTTTGTGAACCTTCCTCGAATACGGCGGAGTCTATCTTTTTTTGGTCAGAACTAACTTGAACTTAGAGATTTTTGGTTAAAACATTGGTTATAACATCTCTTATATTCTGTCGATAAAGACTGAAAAGAAGGCCTTACTTGAGCCAATGATGTTGCATCGAAGCTTCGCATTGCGATGTGCATTTCGGCCGGTTGTGATCGTAAGGTATTGTCCGTACAGTACATCAAATGGTCAAAATGAGAAGATCAAAACAAGAACAATGGATGCCAACTCACTGAAGAAGTCATTGGAACCTTACATTTCACCCATCCAGGCGAAGTGGAATGAATCAAGTGAAGGGATCAAAAACTACTCTAAGAGCTTCAAAAAGCACGTCGATAAGGCGAGATTAGCCATTCAAGAAGCAAACAGAAAACTGGCAGCCGCAGAACAGGCAGAGAAGGACAAGCGACTTGGATTCGATACAGATATGGAGACCAAGGGCAGAATAGAGGGACTTCCTTCTGAGCGCGAACGCTCTAGGACCCAATGGGCGAAACGACTGGAATTCTATTTTGATTCTCTCCAAGAAACCATATTCACAGCAACGAGAGCTTTGAATGACGTTACGGGCTACTCAAGCATCCAAAAATTGCGTAAAAGCATTGATGTCATGGAAAAACAGTTAGGGGACACGAAGGATGAGGTGAAAAACGCGAAGGTCGCCTATAATTCTGCCATCGATGTTCGAGCACAATCTCAAGGCGAAGTGAATGAGCTTCTGCAACGGAAAAATTCTTGGACGCCTCGGGATCTAGAGCGGTTCACGCTCTTGTACAAAGACGACAGTGTCAATCTCAAGCGCGAAACAGACGCAAAGATCCATTTGGAGCATGTGGAGAACCTAGAAGAAGAAATATCGGAAAATCTGTACAGGGCAATCCTGACTCGGTACCATGAAGAGCAGATCTGGTCCGATAAAATCCGTCGAACTTCCACTTGGGGGACGTTCATCTTGATGGGAATGAACATTCTGCTCTTTCTAGTTTTCCAGCTTCTCCTCGAGCCTTGGAAACGACGCAGACTTGTGGGCAGCTTTGAAGACAAAGTCAGACTGGCTCTTGAAAAGCAGGCCGCAATCCAAAGTACGCAGTTATCAGAAATGTCCAACCATATTTCCACCGGCTTTGAAAGAACATCCCAGCAAAACGACACAGGTATACCAGAGACTGTATCTGCGCCACTTGCACCAACGAAAGATGAACCTCTTCTCACAGTTCCTCTGGCAACCGCAGGTCTATGGTCAAAGGCCTCCTCTACTATCGCACTATACCTACAAACCCTGTCATCGTGGTCCAAAAGTTTCGCCAAGAAGATTTATGCGCTCCCACGCAACAACTTAAACTCTACCATCACGCTGACGAATGCTGAGATTTATACATTAAGCTTATTGTTCAGCTTTGCCGGCTTTACGGTTTCCATGCTACTGTGACGCCAACCAGAACACACACGTGTAGAATGATACTCTTGTATTTCTGAATTGAAATTAAAGCCATCAAATACGGTGGCAAAACCAACTTTAAACCTTTGAAGTTCTAAGGAATCCATCGTCAAAGCGAGTCTGATTCTTCGTGAAGACAGCACTGAACAATTGCATTTACCATTTGAACAAGTACCGCCTTTGACCCCAAAAAATGGAGGATATCGGAGTGCTGAATGCCCCTGTGACAACAACAAACGACAGAGCTGGAAGTGAAGGAGTGACAAACGGATCTTACGGCTCGCTTATAGCCCAACTCAACAATAATAACAGCAACTTAAGCAGTGGCGGCGCAGATCCATACTTGAAGCTGAAACGTCTTGACAAAGAGCTGGAACTATTGAATTTGCAAGAGGACTATATAAAAGATGAGCAACGCCACTTGAAAAGGGAGCTCTTGAGAGCCCAAGAAGAAGTGAAGCGTATCCAATCGGTTCCGCTTGTGATTGGACAGTTTTTGGAACCTATAGATGAAAACACAGGGATTGTGTCGAGCACAACAGGAATGAGTTATGTTGTGAGGATTTTGTCAACACTCGATCGTGAGCTTCTCAAACCATCGACGTCAGTCGCTCTACATCGCCATTCCAACGCCTTGGTGGACGTTCTTCCTCCAGATTCAGACTCCAGCATATCCATCATGGGAGCAAACGAAAAACCAGACGTTTCCTATGCTGATGTGGGTGGGCTTGACATGCAAAAACAAGAGATTAGGGAAGCGGTGGAACTGCCATTGGTACAAGCCGATCTATATCAGCAAATTGGTATTGATCCACCCAGAGGTGTTCTTTTGTATGGTCCTCCAGGCACAGGTAAGACCATGCTTGTCAAGGCGGTAGCAAACAGTACACACGCGGCTTTCATCAGAGTAAACGGTTCGGAGTTTGTTCACAAATATCTCGGCGAGGGTCCAAGAATGGTCCGTGACGTTTTTAGGTTGGCGAGAGAGAATGCGCCTTCTATCATTTTCATCGACGAAGTAGATTCCATTGCCACAAAACGTTTCGACGCTCAAACAGGTTCAGATCGTGAAGTGCAACGTATTCTGATCGAACTGCTCACACAAATGGACGGTTTCGACCAAAGTGTCAACGTTAAAGTTATCATGGCAACTAACAGAGCTGATACCCTGGATCCTGCTCTGTTAAGACCGGGTAGATTGGACAGAAAAATAGAATTTCCATCTTTAAGAGACAGACGTGAGCGCCGTCTAATTTTCGGTACTGTGGCTGCTAAGATGGCATTGGCACCTGAGGTTGATTTGGATTCTCTAATCATAAGGAATGATCCTCTTTCAGGCGCACTTATTGCTGCTATCATGCAAGAAGCTGGTCTACGCGCCGTTAGAAAGAACAGATACGTCATTTTACAGAGCGATTTGGAGGAAGCTTACGCAGCTCAAGTGAAATCGAGCAGCGATGTTGATAAATTCGAATTTTACAAGTAGACGGACCAAAATTGAAGACGTAAAAGATAAAAATCTGACGTCTTGTACATCAAAGGCATCTCCACGCATTACAAATAGAGCATATAATTCTGACTTTATTTCAAACTTATATCGTAAACCGTTAAACCGGGTGTCACGGTAGAAACGTCTGTGAATTCCAGATGATCTAGATCCAAACTGAGATAAGTTTCCCAGGTCTTGTGAACTTCAGTGGTGTTATTGTCGATGTCGATTTTCTTGAAAATTTTATCGGTTGATTTGGGGATGAAGACTCGGATGCTGGCGTTGTGCTGGAGAAATCCAGCAACGGCGTCTCCAAAGAGTTCGTAGTCACAACCTTTCAAGTCTACAACGTGATTGGTGAGAATCCCGAAATCCAAATTGTCGAGTCTCTCTTCTCCATCGTAGACGTTGAGAGTAGACACAACAAGTTCTCTATTTGAGTACAGCCATGTTGGTGGAGAATAGGTTTTCCACCATAAATGAACTCCAACGTTAGCATTGTTTTTAGTAGTTTCTTCTATGGCTGTTATGACCCCTCTTTGGTGCAAAGAACCCATAATTATGCCCAGAGTAACATTGAACATCAGCCAAATTTGGGTAATATACTTAGTTCGCCTTGCCGAGTTGTAGTTGGACAAATTGATGGAGGCGCAAAACAAGGGCATTAGCGGGACTAGAAACCGTAATTCTTGATGCTGAAATGCTGACAGGAAAACAAGCCCAGAAACACACGAGAGCATCGCTAGATTCATTTTCTGTTTCTTGGAAATGAAATAAATCAAAAGAGGGCCCACCATTTGCGGAATGTTAATCAGGATATGCGTGTAACGCGGGTGAACACCATGTAGAGCCAGATTGGAGCTCTTTAGGTTGTACTTCAAGTTGTTGAGCGGGGCAATGCACCATTGCGGCGATTGGAACATGAGAGTGTCGAAATAAATGAATGCACAGCAGGATATAGTGAAGGTGGTTACGCAAATGCACAACGACTTGAAGTGGGCCAGATAAAACTTCTGCAAAGTGAAAATTACTGGCAGAGCGATGAAGCCAATAAATGTTATGCGGTTGAATACACCGAAAGCTATAACCATGCCAAGGATGGAAGATGTGCGGTAGTGGTTGTAACGTGGCACCCTGGCGTCGAGGACCAGAACCTGGAATAACGATAGTGTTACCAGCAAAACGCATGTTTCGAGCGAGTTAGAAAACGAGTGGCTTTGATACGTCCATGTCACGTAAGAAGTCGAAATGTAGAAAGTGGCTTTAGCACGGTCAAGCTTCGATCGCAGCAGGAATTGAAGTGCCAATTTGTAGATGCACGTAAAGACAATGTAATTTTGCAAACGCACGAGGTAAAGCAGCGTAATGGGAGACAATTGAGATCCTATTTTCCCAAATATGTAGAAAATCGGGCCGTATGCGAGATAAAGCGGCCCAAAACTGCGAGCCGCGTTACTAGGATGGAATTCCCACGGTATCGTGATCTTCGACTCGTAGAAGTGGTGCGCCAGTATCTCCAAACTTTGGAAGTGTTCATCTGGGTGAATGTATGATGGTTCTAGTGCGAAGAACAGGCCTACCAAATACCCCAGGATGTGAATCAGTCTAAGATCCATGTCTATAGTTAAACCTGCTAAAGAAAAAATACCAAAAAAAAACCGAAAAAACAGTCCAAATTTAATGCCGAGATATGCTATATGGGTTCAATTAGCCCGTGGCATACCGAATTTACAAGTTTTAAGAGTGAAAATCTACTAAGTTTCTAGATTTCCACTGTTTATAGACTTGGCATCTATTTGAATAGGCTAGATCAAGGCATAGATTGAACTGAGATATTCAAAGTGGTCTAATTAATTTCACTTCATTTCACATGACTTAATAGATTACGTAATACAAATTAATATCACATGATCGGTATTACGTAAGAAATCTCACAGGTCACGTTCTCAAAGTTACGTAAGCATTTTGTCCAGAGTCACGTGCTGTAAGAAAATGAAATATTTTGAATAATTATCGAAAATTTTTTGAACCGCGCGCTCGCGCCCGCCCGCCTTTAAAAAAATTAGAGCTTTTGATGAACTTTCGAACTCGGACAACGAGCTCATCAACTAGAAAAAAGAGTCCAAAACCAGATCAAAATAGCCAGAAAATTGACCTGTGTAGCGATTTATTATCTCAGGGCTAAAGAACACTTTGAAGTCTGATCAAAATGCTGGATCAAAGTGCTGTTTTGGGTGCTTTTAGCCGCACAATGGCTGCAGATGCTCGAGTTATAAAAGAGGCCGAACAAGAGCTTTATCAAATGCAAAAAGAGCCAGGTTTCACGTCTTTCCTGCTAAGTGCGGCAACAGATGCTTCAGTGCCCCTAAATGTGCGAATTTCGTGCGCTATCTACATGAAAAACAAGATCCAGCGGTGTTGGAGTAGTAAACGTGAAGACGCAATTGTACCACAGGAGCAAAATGCAGTGAAAGAAGCTTTGGTTCAAAGCGTGATTATGCACGCCGAAAATATGCAGATCAGACCGTATTTAACGGAATCTGTGCGTGGAATTTTGGACCACAGCGACCAATGGGACCTGAGTGGCGCCATCCAGGAGCTTTTATCTAGCAACAAACCGGAACTCGTATATCCAGGTCTCCTTCTCCTGTTCGAAGTGTGTATCAAGCACCGCTGGGACATGCCAGAGAATAGACAGTACATCGATAGCGTTGTGGAAGCCGTGTTCCCATCCATCGAGGCTATCTCTGCCCAGCTTGTCAATGAAACTGATTACAAGTCGAACGAACTACTTTATCTGGTGCTCAAGTGTTTCAAGTATGCTTGTCTCAACAATTTCCCGCGCTACTTCGGCAACCCCGAAAAATTGCAATCGTGGGTTGAACTGCATCTATTCTTGTGCTCGAAGCCCCTACCAAAAGAAGTTTTGGACTTAGAACCGGCCGACAGGTCTCTAGACAAAAGAGTCAAGTGTAATAAATGGGCTTTTGGCAACCTGTCAAGATTCTTGATAAAGTACAGCAGGTCCACGAAAACTATCACCCAAGAGTACGTCAAGTACGTTTTTGATCAAGTTGTGCCAACAATCTTAACGGAATATTTCAAAATCATAGAACTTTGGGGATCTGGATCTTTATGGCTAAGTGATGCGTCGCTATACTATCTGATCGAGTTTCTTGAGAAGTGTATGACAACTGATTCGCTATGGTCCATGATCGAGCCCCATTTGGAGTCCATCATCACCTATGTGATATTTCCTTGTCTGTCAGCTAACGAGGATAGCGTTGCCCTTTTTGAAGAGGACCCTGAGGAATATACTCGTCGCTATTTCGACGTCAACAAAGAGGGCACAACCGCAGATGTGGCCTCCACTGATTTTATTTTTGTTGTCGGTCACAGAAGGTTTGAGGAAGTCACCAAAATTTTACCTCTGATCAACAAAGTGTTCAATGAATTTGCATCGAGAGGCGACTTGGAAAGTGCATACCAGGAAGAAGGCGCTTTGAGGCTGCTGAGCTCGCTGTGCAGCTTTCTTGCCGAAAAGAACTCTCCAGTCAAAAATGAGCTAGAGGGCATTTTCGAACATTTCATTACCCCCTTGCTAAAGCAAAACAAATATCCTTTCCTGATAGCGAGGTCCTTGGAGACAATAGCCATCCACCAACAACAATTTCATGACATGAACGTTCTCTCTCAGGTATATGAGGCCGTTTACATCAATTTTATGAACTCAGATCAACTCCCTATACAGGTGGAGGCAGCCGATGCTTTGAAAACCCTAATCGTCTCAAACCCTACAATTCATCCACACATTTCATCCCAAGTTCCGGGGATAATGGAAAAATTGTTGAAGTTATCGAAAGAATTCGAGATTGATCTTCTATCAGAAGTCATGGAGTCGTTCGTTGAGAGATTTGCCGATGAACTATCGCCATTTGCTAAAGATTTGGCGGCCAGTCTGGCGGAGCAATTTGTTACTTTGGGGCAGTCTATTGTGGAGAACTCAAGTGGTTCCTATTCGACCGCTGACCAGGATCAAGAAATACAGGCCAGTGCGCTACTTCAAACTATGACAACAATGGTCATGTCCATGAACAAGGTCTCGCTGATAGACAAGTTTATGCCGGTGGTGAAATTCATCATCGTGAATGCTCAAATCACGTTTTTGAGCGAGGCCGTTGATCTTATGGATTCCTTAGCGTTATCGTCTAAAGCCATGTTCAACACATTTTCACCAGAGGTTTGGGAGTTGCTACATGATGTGATAGATTCATGCCAGACCTACGCCCTCGAGTATTTCGAAAGTTTCCAAGTTTTCTTCGAGACAGTAGTCACTTACGGCTTCCCGGTCGATCAGACCTATGTGCCTCCTTTTCTAGAGGTTCTTTCGCTTGCGATGGACAGTGGTGTTGATTTCGATGTTGAAAGTGCACTAGACATATTGCTGTTCTACATTTTATCCATGAAAGACATTCCTTTGATCGATAAGGCACTAAAGCTGGCAAACGAAGAAAATGATGACTTGGAGGTAGAGGATTTCACGTATGTGAAGGTCTTTTTGGCAGGCCTATTTGTCAGACCGCTGGAGACCTTGCAAATATGCGAGGACAAAGGAGTGACACTTGAAATGCTTCGCAAATGGTTCTCTTGCAAGTTCAGCAGTGTTCTTACAATCAAGCTACAACTGGTTGCTATCATCTCGCTATTGGGACTTCCGGAACTACCCAGTTGCCTGAAAGGGTTCATTCCGCAGCTGTCTAACAAGCTGATAGACCTTACTGTTGCGCTTCCCGTGGCCATCAGAAAAAGAGATGCGATATCGAAGGGCGAGGTTGGTGATGACACGTTTCAGGACGACGGCACCGAATTTTTCGATGAGGTAGAAGACGACTTTAAAGAGTCGTGCTTGGATGATATAAACTGTTTCCAGCAAGTGCATACCCTTTTTTCGCAGTTACAGACTTCCAATACCGAGTTGTATGTGCAAGTCATGGGATCACTTTCGGAAGATAAAACGGACACTTTAAAGACAATTCTAGAGTTTGTAGCGCAAAATTGAGCTCTTGAGTTGATCAACAGAAAAAGTGGTATATTTAAACAACAGCATGCAAAAAAGACACAACAATTTACAGTACCAATAATCTTACAGAGCACTAGTGTGCAAATCTTGGAAGGGAAAAAAAAAAGATGAAAAAACCCCCAAGTGCCGTAGCCCCCATTTTTTTGGTGCCTTGAAGTGAAAGACCAATATCATTGAGACAACTAGTAATACATTTGAGGCGCGGCGATAGTCTTGATTTTGACTTTTAAGTTTTTGAGTTTTTCAGTTTTTGATTAAACGCAAACCTATTCTTCGGCCTTTACAGACCCTGGAGGAGACACCTCACTTGCTGCGTCTTCGCCCAATTCGTTTTCTGGCTCCAGTTCCCCGTCCGGCCCGCCTGTGGTAGAAGTTTGCTGGAAACGTGTGCGAGATTGCCGGAAAAGCTCTTCTTGTTGTCGAAGTAGCTCCTCTTCGGAGAGACCTGATTTTTTGAACTTGGCATCCCTACGTTCTTTGATGCGTTGTGTTTCTCGGTGCTCCACCAATATCTGCTCTAGATATGGTATGAATTCATGGTACTCCAGCTCTTCTAGGGCCTTGATCACGTGGTCTGGTGCAATTGTCTTTTTAGCTTCTTTATCGGCCATCTCGGAAGCCATCGATGACAGGATCATGATGAACTCGATTCCGGACTCGATGATTATTTCTCTGGCCTCTTTACTAAACGTAAGGTCACTTTCCAATGCTTCTGATATTATCTTTTGCACGGTTGCCTTGGGCAACGATATGTCTTCCTGCTCGCCCATGATTCCACGATAAATATGACAAAGTGAAAGTACAATATGGATGAGGGAAAACCGCTTGGGGGATCTTGGTTAATACAAGCTTGCTGATACTCGTACAAATTGGGATCTGAATTTGGTGTTAATTCCCATTTTATGGGGAATCAGTCCTTAAAATTATTCAGGGCTCCATTTAAACAAAGTTCATGGCGATGCCTCCATGCTGGCTAGGTTTATATATGGATTTTTCCCATAGTAAAATTGACAATATATATAGAGAAAAAAAGAATGATAGTGAAAACGCGACTGTCACATGGGAAGAAAACAAGAAGAAGAATAAATGAGAACTGCAACCATGCTTGTATGAATCGCAAAACGTATTTTAATCCTTCCAATTATAACCTCGCACTGGGGACTTATATGAAATCTTAAAACGAAGTATTGAGGTAAACTAGCAATATCACTTTGCATTTTCATGACATAGTCATGTGACTAGCTAAATCTGATCATTTTATTATTTAGCGTCGTTTCAAAGTTGTAAGCACGTGACTGATCACTTTTTTATTTCGTGGCGCAATTTCATGGAAAATTAAAAACGTCAAGATATCACGTGAGCAGCAAAGTACACCGACAAATCAAAAACAAGATCGTTTTGATTTCAGTGAGTATCTTGAAACTAGTTTTTACCCAGCCCCTGCACCCCTTTCTACCAGTCAATCTCCCCGGTTTTTGCCACTTCGCTTGTTTAGTTTACTTTTTGAACATTGGTATCGCGTCACACGAACTTTTTTCAGTCGTGGGTATAAAATTTTAAAAGGCGTCTATATATCTCTAGAATCATGCGATGAGCTAGATTTCAATCTGTACAACCTGTTCTTCACAAGGAAAGACCTCCGATCATGGCTAGCTCTCCAGTTGTACTGTCTCGATATGATCCGAGCGGTCAGTTTCTGGCCTACGTCACGGTAGCTTTGGACAAACAACGAGTCTCGGTAGAACCTATAAGAACTGCCAAAAGTGATGGTCTGGTGAATGAGAATTTTCTATATTTGGAAGAATCGAATTTGCGAGCAACGTGTTTGGAGTGGGTCACGCTAACTTCCGGCGACTCTCAAATGGTCGCCATTGGTCTAAATTCGGGCGAAATCTGGATATATGCGCCTGCCGCGAACCAAATTATCTACAAATTGTCAACTGGCAGCATCGATGCAATTCAAGATTTCAAAATTCAAGGCGACATCGCGTGGTGCTGTGATCGTGGCGACACGATATATAAGTTCAGATTGACCGATTTTACAATGGAGAAGAAATTTAAAGTCGACGGCTGCGATAATCTACAAAAATTATGCATTGTGGACGCTGATCATATTCTTGTGGCATCTCATTCCGTTTCTCTAGTGCAAGTCCACACTCACACCGTGGAAAGAACATATCCAGGCCATATAACAGCTGTCACAAATATCAAAATGGTCAACCCCAGTACGTTTTTAACCAGTGCATCAAATGACAGATTTCTGAACCTTTACGATCTTGCAAACGGTGGTACCAGCTCCGTTTTGGTATCACAGGCAGACGTAACCCAGGTGGCCCATTTCAAAGATTTGGTCGTAGCAGTGGCATTAGAAGATGGTTCTGTGGAAATTTTCCCCGATCCACTCGTTACCACCAGCAATAAAAGACGCAGGGTGGTTTCGAAGCAATCGGCACATCGCTTGAAAATACAGAGACCCACCAATGAAGAAGTTGTGGCAGTGGTGAACGTTTCTATAAGCGCAGACATTATCAATTTTGCGTGGCTCGAAAATGCCACCGTTCCTTACAGTGATCAAAAGCAATGGCGTGAATTGCCCACTTCAAGCTTAATAACAAAAGAACGTCCTTCTGCTGGATCTAAAAATGTGCATAAATCTCTACATGGCCATGATCAAGCTGCACCCAAATCGTATGTCGAGGGCAATGCAACTGTCACCTCCGGTGACAATTTTAAGCACGTCAAAGAAGCTATTTCTGAGCTAGAAAGAAGTGGAGATGATTTTGAAGAGTCTCTTGCCGAGAAATTGGCACAGTCGTCCATAGGACCAGACCGTTTTGATTCTAAAAAATCGAAAAAACGTGCCACCACAGGTACACTCACAGTAGTTCTTTCTCAAGCTCTTAAATCTCATGATCACTCTCTCTTAGAGACGGTGCTGAATAACCGTGACGAGAAAATCATCAAAGGAACCATTGGTCGCTTGCAACCGTCGTTGGCGGTGCTTTTGCTGGAACGGCTTGCTGAGCGTATCGCCAGACAAAGCAATCGACAAGGTCCGTTGAACGTGTGGGTTAAATGGTGTTTGATCATTCATGGTGGATATTTGGCCCGGATGCCAAATTTGACTTCAAGTCTGGCCTCTTTGCACTCAACACTACGGAAGCGAGCGGAACTACTGCCTCGCTTGCAAGCTTTAGAGTCCCGTCTGGAGTTTTCCCTGAACCAGCTTGACGCTTACCGTGCTCGCAACGCTATTTCTAGTGAGGAGTACGAAAGCCGTGAGGGCAAGGCCCAGGAATCAGATGACGAAAATGAGGTGGAATACAACGAAGAACTTGACGATGCGGGTCTGATAGAAGATGGAGAAATGGATTACGACAGTGACGTTGAAGAAGAAGACGCAGGCTCTGTATCGCCACTACCGGTCCAGTCCGAAGAACAAGATTTCATTAACGATACAAGCCTCAAGCCGGAACTCGACGAAGGATACAGTGACGTCGAAGTCGAATGACTTTATAGATATCCCGGTATCTTTCCCTACTGCATCGTTGTATTTTCCAAAGCATTACAGTATTATATTAGTATTATTATCATAATTAGTATATAAAGCATCTAATCATTGAAAACTGACTCTCCACCGGTACCTCCGGCCGGGTGCCCCGTTTAGATTAACTTTTCGTAATCGATTAATCTTAAAAACCCAAGACTATTTAAATCCATCAAAAAATGATAACATGGGTTTTGGAAGAAAGAGGGATAGGAATGGGCTCGAGATGGACAGAATCTCCATCAAATTTCTGTCTCCTAACGAGTAGTTAAGTTTGACCCAAATAGTTTGTTCCCGGAGCTCACCGATCAATAATGGATAAGCAGTATATCAGTTATAATAACGTCCATCAGTTATGCCAAGAAGCATCGACAAAAATCAAGCAATTCAAGCCTGATTTGATCATTGCAATTGGCGGTGGTGGTTTTATCCCAGCCAGAATTTTGCGTACGTTTTTAAAGGAGCCTAATGTTCCCACAGTGCGTATTTTTGCCATTATTTTATCGCTGTACGAGGATTTGCAATCTGTTGGGTCCACCGAGGAAAAACCTGGCGTGAACGTGCAAAGAACTCAGTGGATCGATTACGAACAGTGCAAGCTGGACTTGGTTGGTAAAAACGTTTTGATTGTGGACGAAGTGGACGATACACGTACAACGCTGCACTATGCCTTAAGCGAATTGGAAAAAGATGCAGCTGACCAGGCTCGTGCCAAGGGCGTCGATTTGGAACAGCATCCGGAGCTGAAGACCACTTTTGGTATATTTGTGCTCCACGACAAGCTAAAGCCCAAGAAGGCAGACTTGCCTGCAGATATACTCGACAACGAGCTGCGTTACATTGCAGCCCGTAAAGTTCCTGACAAATGGTATGCGTATCCATGGGAGTCCACGGACATTGTTACCCATACACGCAACGCCATGGAGCAGGACAACGATGTGTTTTTGGATTAGCTGGGATTTCAAGAGAGTTGCATGGTTAAACAGACAATGAGAGCCCAATTGGAGTAGTGATTGTTTCGTTGAACGTGTAGTTTGTTGGTAATTTAAAGATAACATATTCTTCAGGTGAATAATTGTGTATGCATCCGCTGTGATGAATTAGAATGGGTGCGTTACGTAGTAGCTAGAGTCTCGCGTAAAAGACGATTTCTAGACGTATTGATGAATTGAGAAGTCAAGTTACTGTTGCATAATGGATGATGTGGTGGTGTGAACGAAGAGTGGTGATGAGATTTTATAACACAGATAATGAATGCATTGCCACCAGATTACGTGACTACATTAGCGTGACTCTACATCTCAAATATCTATCTTTCTATCTATCGATCTTGCATTAGAACTTTCATAAACACGTCTGTCTACACAACCACACAAACTTGTCGCCTTTTATACTTTATTTCCATCAAGTTTTGTGTCACTTCAAATGCGACGTGGTAAACCCCGCACTTTGAACAGGCCTTTGGCCCATTCGCCCGGGGTCACCTTCAAATGCAATTCGCCGTCGTCGAACCCGGTCTCGGCGGCTACGGCCACTTCGTCCCTTGCGGCCAAAAGGCCCCGCAGAAACCACAATGCGAGCACGGATCCGAAGTACATCATACCGGCGAAAACCGCGGTCTTATAGTAGCCATTGAGTCCCGAGGACAAGTCTGCGATTTTGTCTGCGGGCACCCGCAACTCCAGTCCGATGATCGGCGCCGTGATTCCCCCGGCGCTCAGATAGATCCAGATCATGCCTAGACAAACGCCCAGCTTGTGCAACCCCACAACGCGCGTAGCGATCGGCGCTATCACGGACCAAATAGTGCCCATGAACAGGCCTACAATCAGGGCAAACACCAGCGCGGTAGCGAAATTCTGACAAGGGATCCACATCGCCAACGAGAAAATGGTCACAATCAAATGTGCCACGATGCTAGTCGTTACAGGGCCAAATGCGTCCGCAATGAGCCCCATAGCGGGACGTCCAAAAAAAGCGCCCACACTCACCATCGATGACACTATGCCGCCCTGGTACCGCGAGTATCCCAAAGACACCGTGAATGCAGAGAGCGAATACAGCAACACCACGTATCCAAGCATGGTGCATAGCACGTACACCACAAACAGCCAGTATCCCACGCTTTTGATGACCTGCATGTCGAACATGCGGTACGGTCCTGGCGCGCGGTGCGCGGCTATCTGGGCCTGGCGGATTTCTTTGACGCGCGTGCGCGTCATCGCCAGGGCAACCACATTCAGGAACGTGCAGATTACGCACTGCGTGATCAGCGCGTACTTGACCGACCGCTCTTGCATGATCTTCTGCATCCCGAGATTGAACACCACACCGCCCATCCCGGAGCCCGAGGCGCCGATCCCCATTGCAACGTTGCGGCGTCTGCGGAACCACTGTGGAAGCAGCGCAATGCTCGGTATGCAGATAAACGCCAGTCCAAACGAAATCATCACGCCCTGCGTCAGATACAGCTCCCACAAACGCACCGAGAAAGCGGCAAGTAACAGCGACGCGCACTGTAGCACAAGTCCGATGGCAATAACTATCTGGGCCTTCGTGCGATGCACAAGCCATGCGATTGCGGGACCGAAGAAAAGGCCCGATCCGAACGCTAGCCCGCCAATAGCCGCGTAGTCCAAAGCACTGGAGTTGGCAAACTCATTGGTGGAAAGGTACTCCGCCAAATACACCGCATAACCAGCGTTGGCGCCCCATTGCGAGAAATTGTAACAGAAATAGGCCGCTACCACAAACCACCCAAATCCGCCATCAGGAACATCCACGGCATTATTGTCCGTTTTGTGTGTCTTACCATCTACGGGCGCCAAATTCTCCGGATCTTGCTGGGGTTTTTCCGAAGACGACTCAGACATCGATTGTTCAGACATAGTAGGGAAAGAGAGAGAAAGAGAGGGAAAACGTATGTGTATTGAAACAGAAGGATAGTCACGACCAAGACGTAGTGTTGAATGGGTATTAAAATGTTGACGCGATAGAAGGGTCTTTTGGCCTATGCTAGACTTTGTTTCTGAATTCTACCACTAACGGCTAATATTGTAAGTCCTCGAAGTAGATTTAGTGTGTTACTTTATATTTGCTTGACTTCAACGCCATTATTAGTAAGGGCCAAGGTTACGCATCCGCTGGTGCGTCGACAAAAGCGGCAGCGCGAGTCTTGGCACTAGAATGGGACTACGTGTAGTAAAATAAAGGCAAGGGACACGCACTACGCAGCTACAGTTTCGGTCGGTTAGGGTTTACAGTAGAGTAGTTCTTAATAATCGGAAACGGACGCGGAAGCGGAATCGGGGGTGGATCGCGGCGTTAGACGGAAAACGGGGTTGAGCGGCGAGCGAGACCCGTGTGTGTGTGTGGGTGTAGGGGTGTAGGGGTGTAAAGGGTGTCAGATTGGTATGAAGTGATTAGAGACACGTGACTGACACTCAAACAAAGAACACAATTATAAGACAACAATACCCCTTTACATAGAACTAGTTCTACCACTGCAACGGTATTACACAAATCTATTGTCCTTCTGCAAAACAATCTTTTCCGCTTTTTAACGCATCACTGTATACGAATGTGTCGTCCGGTGTTTTTTCGTTTCAGTTTTACTTCTCCCACATACCCAACAGCCGAAACAAAACCAAAAAAATTCCACGCCTAGCCTTGCCTCACTTGACCCAAGCCAACTCGCTACTTCTCTTCTGACACCCTCCGCCCGCTCTATACTGCTATCTACCCTCTGGGTGACTTCTCGAGACTCATCATTTAAAGTTAATTAAACCTGCCAAGATATGAAAAATGACCCACCCAATGATTTTATTGAAAATAGACTCTGCACATCACCACGTCATATCCTTTCAAATTCTCTTTCAACTCCTTGTTCTCAACCTTTAAACCTCCAAGTAAACCTTTCGTATCGTAATCCATCACAATAACTAGGTATGACACTAGACTCGAAGGATTCTTCTTATTCTCAAATCCCAATCTGGCTGGATTGTGATCCAGGCCACGATGACGCTGTCGCTATCTTGTTGTCGTGCTTCCTCCCGCAATTTCGTTTGCTAGGCATCAGTGCGTCTTACGGCAATGCTCCACTGGACAAGACTGCCTATAACGCTTTATCTCTACTCACTGCAATGGGCAAACATAACCAGATACCGGTCTATGCTGGGGCCCAAAAACCATGGTCTCGTGAAGCTATCTATGCTCCAGACATCCATGGCGCTTCCGGTCTAGATGGTACGTCACTGCTTCCCGTGCCTAAAGCTCAGCTTTGTACGAATCAAAGCTACCTGGATGCAATGGCCAGTGCAATTTTGGCATACCCGGAAACCATCTCCATCGTGTCTACTGGTTCATTGACATCTGTGGCCACACTTTTTCAGGAAAAACCACATCTCAAGCCCTTGGTCAAATACATAACCGCTATGGGTGGAGGCATCAATGAAGGAAATAGGAACGAAAATGAAACTGCAGAATTCAACATCTGGATAGACCCACACGCCGCTAATTCGATACTAAAGGATACAATACTTAGCCCCAAGTTTATCTTGGTGCCAGTGGATCTGACCCACAAGGCAATTGCTACGAAAGAAATTGAGCTCATGGTTCTTGCAGATGGGACGTCCAACCTCAGAAGACTGTTTTACGAGCTTTTTGTCTTTTTCGGGCGCAGCTACGAACATGCTCAAGGTTTTGAAGATGGTCCTCCAGTACACGATCCTTTAGCGTTGATACCACTACTGGAATTTTACGGACTTGAAAAACCTGAAACTATAGATTTTGAGTACAAACGCTTACAACTACAGGCTGTAGAACAGGAAAACAGCCCTAACCTGGGCCAAACTAGGGTGCTAAAAGAGTATCCTAAAGAGAACAATATGGGATCCATCGTGGGGTTTAACCTCAACATGTCTTTTTTCTGGCATCAAGTCGATCTAGCACTTGGATTGGCCGCAAAGAATGCCACAATCTAGGACAATTTCAAACCCATATATAATCTATCATGGACTTGCGTGTTTGGGTCAACCTTTTCGATTTTAGAAAAACATAATTTCAGGCCAGCCGGACACAATGGCCCTGCAGGCGTGACTTTGTCAACCCAGTTTGGCGACAAGCTCCACTCAAAGTTCCGAAGCACAGCCGCCATGGTTATACGTACTTCCATCAATGCCAGCTTTTCTCCCAAACAGGCACGCCTGCCACCATGAAAAGCACTCATAGCACAGGTATTCTTCCTATGCCTCCATTCGCTCATAACGTCAGTGATACTATCACCCCAGCGTTCGGGCAAAAAGTCATCCACTGTGTCGCCCCACGCAGCAACATATCTACCAGTGGAGATGTTATTGTAGCCGACATATGCTCCTTTAGGTATGAGAAAATCTTTTCCTAGCATGCACTTCTTGGTGGTGCAGCGGTTGATGATTTGGGATAAAGGCGGATAAAGCCGTATGCATTCAAAAATGAAGCTGTTGAGCAGAGGCAGCTCGTCGAGATTTTGTTGTCCGCATCCTTGCACTTCAGCTCGAACCAACTCCTGCCATTTTTCTTCTTTCGCAAACATATAAAAACATGTAGTCAAAAGTAATTGCGGGTTTTCGTGGCCGGCAACAACAATGATGACTAGGTTGTCGATAAGTTGCTTCTCGGTAATCTCACCGCGATTGAAACTACGAATCAAATCCGAAGATGCAAATTTTGTCTGTTCAAAAGTATAATTGTCAATCATGCTATCTCGAACAGCTTTGATCAAGCATCTTCTGAAATCCTCAACATAATCTCTCGCTCGCTGCCGCGAAGGAATTGGCAGAAGATCTAACATAGGAAAATTCAAGTACAGTGGTTTGAAAATGTTGCTCTTCACGTTTTTTAGCTTAACATGAAGTTGTGAGTTTTCTCTCGTTAATGTCCCGATGTCTATCCCGAGCGCAACTTCAGAAATATTTGCGAGACTCAGTCGTTGAATAAGCTCCGGCATCACAACTTCACTGCCAGCAAAACTCAATTTGTCACCGTTGTTGTCTCCCAATTCTGACATCTTCCTTTCATCTTTTCTCAGTTGCCGCTCAATTAGTCCACAAAAAATGGAAGCATTTTTGACCAGAGGCCTTTGATCAAAGAATTGAAGTCCTGGTGTGATTGCCTTTCGAAAGCATTTCCAAATCGCACCATGAGCAGAAATGACGTTTTCGCCGGTATATGCTGATATGACACCATATGGAATCTTTATATGGTTACCACTTTTTGCAAAAGTATCTTCATCTTTGAAAACTTGTGCCATAAGTTCAGGGCGAGAAACAACGATGTTCCACCGCGATCCAAAAAAGAGTTTGACTGCACCATACTCTTCGAGCGGTTTGCGAAGATAAAGTTCGAAAATATCTTCCTGGTCAAAATCAAAAATTGAAGGCAACAGTGTAACATAGAAGGGAATAGTGGGGATGTTTCTGGGATAGTCCCACGGAGGAAACGCGACCTTGAATATCACCACTAGTATTATCACGCCCAGTACAAGGCAAAATGCACTCAACCCCATATCAGTAAATTGTCACAGCCTTCGTGTTCCTCAAGATTAGACGCTATTACGCACGTATGCTCGATTTTATAAAGTGTCTCTCACACCAGCGAAGTGGAGACATTGATCCTAACCCCCTTGTCGAAACTTTTTCGTACATGGTCTTTGCCAATATTGTTACTGGGAAGGCTAAACTGGTGACAGTTCGCACCTGGTACGCGAATTGATTGCTCTACCATGGTCGCGACAATTACAGCCGCAGGAGCTGGAAGTTTGGAAGGTAGCCTTGACAAAGTTTCACTAATGTTCTGGAACCTCACGGATTTGCCGAGCCAAAAGAGAATTGTTCAATGGGCAACAAGAAACATACACAAAGTTTCACCTCAATTTATCTTTTTTTAGACCTGTTCAGTTCGTGACATGCTGCGCTATAACAAAGTCACCATTCTTCAACGCAGGTCAAAAATAACTCTGGACATGGCTACAGTGGAATACCTCCCAGCTAATAAGTCCAGTCCCAAGTGAAGAATGAGACAGTTGATGTCTTTGCGAATTGTCCAGACCTGCAATTTCGGAGAGCACGCAATGACTTCCCAATTTAGTCTATAGGCAGGCGCATATGCACGAGATGAGCGGTTACGGTAGCCATTCCGAGGAGACACAATCTTTGATGGAGGTAGCAAAGGCGAGGATACATCCAATTTGTGGTACCATGTGTGATATGCAGTTTCCAAGTTTTATCCCGACGGCTGGACATTGGTACACGCCCAAAAAAAGGAGAGGCAAAAGGTTTACGAACGTCTGTCGGGAGTGAAACCCAGCCATATGAATTTGCAGAACTTATTTAAAGAGCCTGTCCTCGTGTAACAACTCTAGATGATGTCCTGCATTTTCATCTCATGAACCCAGTCTATTCCTTCCGCGATGTTGCAGTCTAGCGATGAAAGTCTGCGCAATTGCATTGACGTAAAACAAGGTACCAAGGACTTGTCAACCTTTAGCAAAGTTCTTTGCATTTACACAAGAAAACCAGACTCTTTTGAGCTCAACTCGATAAGGGACAAGCAAAACTCCAGGTTTTCCGAGAAATGGAATGATTTCATCAAATTTTTGAAGGAGGCTAAAGTTCTCGAGGTCGGACCAGCTGGATTGACGGAGCGAATTATCGATAATGCTAAGATTGAAAGCTTCACTAATCTTGTAAACTCTCCTATCAAAGTCACTGAATTTCACCAAGCAGGTGAGAGCCAAATTCGCGGCATCATAACAACCTTAGAGAACGAAAATCAGTTCAATGACTGGCTAATCGGTCATATACTTGAACAAGCTCGCTTAGATTCCGATGAAAAGCATTTTAGATTGAACGAAAAGCCCTATGATGAGTTATTCACGAGTTATTTCGCGGACAATTTGAAAAATACTACATTGAAAGACGAATGGGAATCAGGAGGACGCGAGCATTTTCTGGAAAGGGTTAAGTATTTCACCGATCGATATTTGACGATTGAATGTATCTTACCAGCCTTCCCTTGTAAGTCTTCTAACGTTAATAAAGTTCATGGTGCGATACCAGATAAAGGCGAGGAATTAGCCTTGAGACGGCTTATTGCGGCCACCCGAGAAGTTCAGAGCTTTTACCCACCGGGTATGAAGATTTGGATTGTAAGTGACGGTCATGTATTCAGCGATTGTATTGGCGTGGACGATGACGTTGTTGACAATTACACGGCGGAGCTTCATGAGCTCTACAAAAGGCTGGCTATTCCGGGAGTCGATGCTATTGGTTTCGTTGGTTTGAAAGAACTGTTTCTTAGTGATGCGACCATGACAAACTTTGATGAGTCTATGGTTAGCGAGATCGATTTGCCTCATTACACTGGGTCTAAAATATGTGAGGTTTCGGAGCTTTCGAGACGAATCCTCATGAAAGGATTTGACACTGATGATGGAACGTTAAGACAGCAAATCTTAATTCCCGGCCACCCGAGATTACACCTATTCAGAGGTTTTTCGAAATTTATGATGGACGACCTTTCCCACTTGAGCCACTTCAAAGAATCTTCGAAAAAGGGTTTCAAGAAAGTTGTTTCCAAAGTGGCATTTGAGATGATAAAACGCAACGATGCCTATTCAAATCTGGTCGAATTACTGTTTCCACACCACTTGCGATTCTCTATCCATGCGCACACGAACTCAGGTCCCAAATTTGGAGTAAAAATCATTTCGAAGCACCAATGTAAAATTGTCAAATCCTTAGATGCCCAAGACGAGCCATCTTTCGAAGATTTGCTGCATATCCCGACTCCTTGGCATAATTGCGTGATCAAGCTGCACGATGTCTATTATTTGGCTAAATCTAAGGTCGCCATAGATGCAATAACCAGCGGCCATTATGATGGCCAATGGGAGGATGGAGGTGATGAAAAGGACGTCGGAGGCCATTTCGTCATCACAAAAAGCTTGCGCTTACAGAAACAAATGTAACTTTTCCGTATGGAAATGCAGGAAATGGCTCCGACTGGAATGTTTTTCTAATCTATTAATTCCTTTCCTATGGCTGTAAGCTATCTGATCAACACAGATGGAGCCTTTTCAGTTCGTTAGCAAATAATTTATGCCCCCGTCCCTGTTTAGTATACGGTTAATAATATACACGTAGATTTCGTGATAGCGGCGCCGCCAAAGATCCTTCCGGCACATACAGCAGTCCTATCCTTTTCTTTTCATGTGATAATGATACAGTGTGGACGCTCTGAACTTTTGTCGAGTCTCATATAACACCCAGATAATCTTCTTTGATACTTCCAATAGCATAGATCGAATTTACCTCACTTCTGGCACCAACCACCTTCAATCTTACCCTCGAGCCCTTGGTGATAATTTGCTCTGAACTCTGGTATGACGGAGGATTTGACCCGCTGTTGTATGCTAAGTCTTCCGGCATTAAAAAGGGCGATACAAAAACCGAAAGGGGCCCCACGTCTACTTCGAATCCCAGATTAGTACAGCTCGACACAACGCCATCTACTACTTCGCCTTTGAATGGTTTCCACACGACCGCACGGTATTTGACTGTGAATTCCGCAGAACCATCACCTGGCAAAATTCTTCCTCTTTCGATTTCAACGTTTTCGCAGTCCAAAACGCACAAAATGTATCCAAATTTACCTGTACACGTACCCTCTACCTCTTGCAGCAGTTTGGTACGCAAGTACTGTTTCATTTGCGGACCAAAAAAGGAGGGATGCAGTGTGATGTTGAGCGAAAGGTCTTTGAAGAAAAACATCCTTATACTTCAGCTAAAAAGTTTCTAAAAGTGTCTGAAAAAAGCCTTCAATCACTTAAACTGCCTTGAGCAAGTAGCTTGTATTCGATTGATACGACACGCGAGCTTTTGACGGCTTTCTGTGCTCTTTCTCGTCTTGAAATCAGCATTCAATCTTTTCTACGTGACTTGAGTATTGGCCAAAATATGGCTAACTTTTCCAAATTGGCCCTTCGTACAGAAGCATAAAAATCTGAAAAATCAATAACCGGGAAAATTGTATGAAATCCATTCGATTTGAAGTTAAAAAGCACAGACGATCTAGTGTTGAAACAATTCTTCTGTCCATACTTAAAGCACTGGGACAATCAAATCAATATGTCACAGAAGCTGGGACATACGGGGCTGGCTTTTGCGCGTCTTTGGCATCACGTCGACGTTGCCCAGGAGAAAAGAACGTTGGGTAGATTGGCGAGTTCCATAGCATTAACGTTGATTGGGAAACACAAGCCGGTGTATCATCCAACACAAGATTGTGGAGACTACGTGGTGGTTACAAACTGCCAGTTTTTGCGTGTCTCGGGTCAAAAATTTGATCAGAAGAAGTACTGGTCTCATTCTCAAAAACCTGGCCATCTCAAGCTTATAACGATGAGAAAAATGGTGGAAAACAAAGGTCACGGTGAAATATTAAGAAAAGCAGTCAGCGGTATGCTTCCCAAGAATAAACTTCGCAAACCTCGTTTGGAGAGGTTGAAGGTGTTCAGCGGTAGTGAGAATCCATATAGTTCCAACATCGCAGCTTATGTCGACCAACGGCCCAAGATCGAGAAAAAGCTTAAGCTTTTGGAATCTAACTAGCTATTGGAGCTGGGTAGTAGAACAGGTAGTCATCAATTGATTCTAATTTGTAAATAGTACGCATAAACAAGGCCAATATCAGCCATTTTGCACTGAGAAGAAAAGAAGGGAGTCCTGATACAACCCCGTCCGCTACTCAAGGACGAAGCTCCACTTCTCCATAGATTTTACGAAAAAATTCATATTATAATACAAGACTACCTTTTTTTTTTTCATTCGATAACTTCTACACTTCCACGTTTGTCCACACGCTTTAAAAGTCTCTTGATCTATCTGTGTAGAGACGTGGTGCAATGTTCATGGCCATCAACTCCTGGAATAGAAGCTTGGCTGCGTAAGGGATGTGAATTTGATAAATGTCAATCTTGTTCTTGCAGCCCCTACACTCAAATTGGTTGTGTTTCAATTTCGCAATGACTGTCATTAGTCCACAAATACCACAAATGTGTACTCTGAAAGCGTCAGAAGCCTCCATCAGTCTTTCCTTTAAGAAAGATGCAGCACCATGTGCAATCATACAATCACGTTCCATTTCTCCGAATCTCAAACCACCATCTCTTGATCTACCTTCCACAGGCTGTCTTGTTAGGACCTGTACAGGACCACGGGCTCTGGCATGGATTTTGTCATCGACCATATGTCTCAGACGCTGGTAATAGGTTGGACCGAAGAATATTTGAGCCATTAGTTTTTTACCCGTGTGACCATTGTACATGACTTCAAAACCACGCGACTGGTAACCATGTTCACGTAGAAGTCTGGAAATACCGTCAACTGTAATGTCAGTGAATGGCGAGGCATCACCTTCATTACCTGACAGCGCGGCTACTTTGCTCAGCAAACACTCAATCAAGTGAGCAACAGTCATACGAGAAGGAATGGCGTGTGGGTTGATGATCAAATCGGGGACCACACCTTCTGCAGTGAAAGGCATATCCTCCCTGCGATACGTAATACCAATAGTACCTTTTTGACCGTGACGAGAAGCGAACTTGTCACCTATTTGTGGTACTTTGGTAGTTCTGACTCTTACTTTCACAAACTTCAAACCCTCTTGATTAGTTGTAATCAGTACCTGATCGACAATTCCGTTTTCGGTACTTCTTAGAGGTGTCGAAGCATCACGCTTGGAGTGGAATGCTGTTCTTTGACCCAGCTCCTCTGCATCGGGAGGAATGGGTGTTGTTTTGCCTATAATCATATCGTCTCCGGAAACTCTGACACCCGGCGCTATCAAACCGTCGTCGTCTAGCTTGTCGTATGTTCCGTGCTTCATGCGCAAAGTGTTTGTACGTTGCGGTTTCTCAAAAGATTCAGTGATAGACATGCCGATACGTTTTTCTTGATCCATGTAAGATCTGAAAAACAACGATCTGAATAAGCCGGAGTCGATTGATGACTGGTTCATAATCATCGAATCTTCCTGATTGTACCCTGAATAGCATGCAATGGCTACAATGGCATTCTGACCGGCTGGAAGTTCTCTGAACTTCAAATACTCCATGGCACGCGTAGTACCTAATGGCTTTTGAGGATAATATAAGATATTGGCCATAGTATCCATACGGACGCTATAGTTCGTGAGGAATACACCCATTGCCTGCTTACCCATAGCGGACTGATAAGTGTTACGAGGAGATTGATTGTGATCAGGGAAGGGAATAATAGATGCAGCAACACCAAGAATCATCGAGGGGTGAATCTCACAATGCGTAAAGGTATTAGAGTGGTGAATGGCCTTGATACGCTTGGCAGGATCCAGTTCCTCTTCAGGGTCGACTGGACCAATGTTTGGGTCGAGATCTTCATGTTGCATGGCTATCAAGATGGTTTCTTCCTCCTCTGCATCAATATATTCTACCAAGCCCTCGTTAAGTAGCGAGGTCCAAGTGTAATTCAAATCTTCTTCTTCAAAACCTCCTTCAATATCTTGATATTCGGTCATCATTAATTTACGGACGTGTCCCTTTCTTAATTTGAGTTCCTTAGAACCCGTTTCCTCATTTTCATCAACAATAAACAGTGGTCTGTACACTCTACCAGCATCGGTGGATATTTTTAACTCCTTCTCACGAATGTCTCTGACAATCGACACTTCTGAAGTGACATCACCTTTTCTTCTCAATTTTCTGATCGTGTCGACAAGCTTAGCAGGATTTCTGTGGATACCGTGCCAAACACCGTTGACAAAAACCCTAGTAGCATCAGGAGATTGATGTGGAACGTAATCTTCCAAAGGTTCCATACCCCATTCATTCAAAAATGTGATAATGGGCACAGGATCAGTACCAACCGATATGCAGGACATGAGTGACAAGTTCTTCACCAGTCCACAAGCTTGACCTTCGGGCGTTTCAGCAGGACAAACAAGTCCCCAATGTGTATTATGCAGTTGACGAGGTTTTGCAAGTTTACCATCACGCCCGATAGGTGTATTGGTTCTTCTCAAATGCGACAGGGTCGAAGAATACGTGTATCTATTCAAAACCTGAGACACACCGGCTCTGGAAGTCATGGCCTTCTTTTGTTCACCCCAATTACCAGTGGCCAAAGCGTACTTCAAACCAGCGGTAATTGTAGTGGCTTTCACGGCTAGCTTTAAGTTGAAGTCCTTAGCTTCTTCGACGGAACGCTGCATGAATCTCAGAATATCTCTTGTCAATTTTCTGAAGAGAGTTTTGAAAAGCTGTGCTAGTAATGGACCAGCCAAATCTAATCTTTTCTTACCAAAATGATCACGATCGTCTTGATCTTTACGATCAAGGGCACATAGCAGCAACCTGTTGATCATGTAGCCTAAGAAAAAAGCCTTTCTACTTTCGAACCCCTCTAGTTGCGTGATGTGGGGCAAGAACTCTTTTTGTAAAATGTCTTTCGCATACTGGATTCTTTTCTCTTTCTTGATACCAAGCGCAGTACCACGACGACCGATGAAATCCAGTGCAGTTTCTCTATCCTGAATAACAAAACCTTCTTCGACACATGGCTTGAGCAACTCAAGCATCTGCCAGTCGTTGACGTCGTAGCAGATATGTTCTAAGATTTCACCATCTGGAATGATGCCAAGCGCTCTGAAAATGATAACGATTGGTATATCTTGCTTGATGTAGGGAAGTGTGGCCTTGATTGTACGGTTTGTGCTTCCTTCACGACCATACAGCTTCACCTGAAGTGTGCTGATAAAACGGGAGCCCTTTTCCAGGGCAGATCTGATTTCTGCAATGTGAGAAATCGGGGAAGGTGCAGATTTTTTGAAAACTTGGACGATATTCCCAGCAGATCTTTCTTGGGCAATAAGCACTTTTTCCGACCCGTTGATAATAAAATAACCACCCATGTCAAACGGACATTCTTTGAGCTTATAAAGGTCACTTTCTGTAAGTTCATCCAGCAGACAATATTTGGACCGCAGCATGATGGGCACTCTGCCGATAAAGATTTTGCTATCATCGGACATCTCACTTTCTTCGTCGATGACTTCATATTTCAAGTCTCTGCCTGGGACGTCGACGGCCTCGTAAGTACGTTTACGGATTTCCACGAAAAGACCCGACGCATACGTCAAATTTCGCAATCTGGCCTCTTGGGGATACATGGCATGCGACACACCGTCCGATTCGGTCATGGACGGCTTGGCCAGATAGATTTTACCAAAGCTGATTTCGTATTTCCGGCTGATATTGTCAGTTTCTGTTGTGTGTTGTGCAACCTGCTCCAAAATCAACGTGGAGTCTTCCATGATCGAGTCTTGGATCGTGTAGTTGATGAACTGGTTGAAAGAGTCCAGCTGCTGCGATACAAGACCCTTTTCCCGGAAAAAGGCCGAGATCACAGTCCAAGAGTCTTCCGCTGTGATTGAGGACTCATCATCTTCATAAGCGTATGGATCTTCATCATAGTATTCCTCGGACATAGTAATGTATATGGGGGGCCCACAATTGGATACAGCAGTCTTTGGAAGTTCACTTAGATCTGCAGATGCCACCGATCTTCCAACCCAATGCCAGTAACAACACCAAATCCAAAGATGTAAACCTTTAGGCGTTCCACTTCTTTCAATTGTAGCTTTGCCACTTATAAAATTTTTTAATTATGGGTAAGCGTTAAGGCGTGCGGGTAACGCGAAATGGCTATATTAAACTGACACTGTGTGGGAAATAAGAGAGCAACGACAGCGCTTTTTGGCGAGTCTTGGTGGTGACTTCTAACGCTGAGAGAAGCTGGATATTAGTATTGAGGGCGCTTTGGAAGTATTTTCTTTATTCTGCGCGATTAGCACAAGAACTGAGCCCGTTACGCACGTAAATCTGGTGCCCAGGAATGTGGGGATACTAACGAGCAGACGCGCTTAAAGCGGCCGGATCTCATCGTGGGTCCCAAAACACACCATTTGAGGGCTCCACATACCTGGAATGTTGTGCAATTCGCCAATCGTGAAGCTTCTCGAGGTTGAAATTATGGCCGGAGTTTGATACGGTATTCTTTAATTATATTTTCAATATAGCGTCAAAAAGTGAATCAGAATGCGACAATGTTGGAAGAAGAGGAGATCCAGAACAAGATGAAGTCAAGATATTCTCCATCATAAAGATTGAGGTACTAATGGGAGAGTCATCATTGGGCTCATATTAGCGGTTTTTTTATGGGGTGAAAAGTGTCAATAATCATATTTCAAATTCTTGTTAAATTGATAAATGAGCTTCGTGCGACGTTTGAATCGAAGACATTTTGTGAATGTTGGGGCCTTTTCTGTGCATTAACGATCCAAATACTCAACAGAGAGTCCAAATGTTAATACTGTAACGCGTGGCTCTCGTGTCCTCTTCCCAATCGTCAACTCGACAATGAAATTCCAAAAAATGGACTGCTGCCCGTCCTATTACTAGACCCGTTATCTTAATGGATTTAACATCCCAGTTTATATACGGCCGCTCGGGTGTGAAGGATTGTAACGTTGGTTGAGGGCCTTCATAGTTAACGCTACTGTCATTGTTTTGTCACTATCCACGTATTAGCTAAATCACCCAAGTATCAAAAACTTTTCTAATTGAGATACTCACATACAGACGTGAAAACGCTGAAATTTAACCTCCAGAGTCAAGCACCAGCATCGTTTCATACACAATGCGGCCGGTATCAGGTCTTTTCAATGTGACGGGAATGACTACAAAAAATCTGCCGGCAAGATTCCTGTCCACGGTGGTTCCAGGTCTTCCCAAATTCGAAAATACAACAGAGCCAACGAGAGTCAGTGACAAGATTCTAAATTGGTCCACAGAGGCCATAGAGCAAGGAAAACCACATTTCAAAGTTGGTGAGACGCAGCTTTATTTCCCCAAAGCAAGAGTGATTCTGCTAAGACCCGGGGCCAAACACACACCTTACCAAGCCAAATTCATAGTCCCCAAATCGTTCAACAAACTCGATCTTCGAGACTATCTGTACAACATTTATGGGCTTCGAGCACTCAATGTCACCACTCAGCTCCTACACGGCAAGTACACGCGTGTGAACCAGGTCATGCCGCGCTACAGATCCGCTCAGATAAAAAAAATGACTATCGACATGGCTGAGCCGTTTGTATGGCCCGAAGAACCCGAAAACAAGGACCCTTGGGGCGCTGCATTGGTTGAGGATCTCAACAAGTACCGTGAAGAACAAACCAGAATAGGGTCTGACAAATTCAAGCCCGGAACCGCATTTGACGGTGCCCTAGGTCCATACCAACCGGCCGCACAGCCATTCATTCCGAAATTCTTGAAGAGAAGACTAATAAATCAGACTACAAAGGCTAAGCTGAATGCAGCACGCTTGGAGAAATTATCAAAGGTTGATTCCTTGGTTCATAAATTGAACCGGGAGTTATAAATCAACAACAAATAATGGGTTGTTACACTGACGGGTTGTTACCACTCACCAAATGCATAACTTTTCTTGGTTTTACCCACTTTTTTCCATTCCATAAGAAACCAGTTACACCTGTATATAATAAAAATAAACCTACTTTCGAAGTTGAAGAAGAGTTATTGTTGTTGATATTGTCTTGGAAACGTCCCCGCACGGTCGTAGCCCAGCTATGACCGTTTAATGTCCTGAATGACGTCTTCCAGCAAATCGTATTCCTCTTCAGTTTTGCTCGACTGAGCGGCGGTTTGACCTGCAAACCAATTGTAGTACCATGTCCAAGCATTAGATTGGACCGGCTGCTGCAATGGACCTTTGGACCGTAGTTGAGAAATCCACCCCATCACCGTGCGGAAACTGGAATCCAGCACCTGCAAGTCCAGCGGCCATCTCTCTATAACCGCAAGACTGTAAAATGTTATATGCCCAAAGACATACCGGTCTGTTGGTGGTCGGTTGGAAATCGACATAAAATAGTCCGTCCACACAAACTTCTGCTGCTCTCGAGATGCAGGTTTCCCTTTGGACTCCACCCGGTATCCTTTAACAGCTTCTAGTTTCCCAAACTGGCTCACAAGCTCTCTAGTGAGAACCAGCCATGCTCCCAACTCAATTACGTTGGAGAGTGGTAGTGATTGGAATACATATACCAAGGGGTTGGGAATTACGCGAGTCATTGCGTGCAAGCACCAGAATTTGAGCAGAAGAATACTCAGAGCAGTTGGCTCGGGCCCACTGCCACTCAGATTTAAGTATTCTATGGTAAATTGGAGTGGAATAACGGTTGAAACGAAGAGACTGCATCACACATACGTTTGGTTAGTACACGTCACTTGTACGGAGTTAAAAAAACCACCCTAGCATTCGGAAGCAAAAGAAAAGTAGAGAAACATACATAGCGGGGGTTGTTATAAGTTGAAGCATCGTTGAGTGATTGACTATACACAAGCTTTGAATCGAAATCGTTTGGTTGAGTAGTTCTGTTAGCTTTTGTGAAGGGGTTGGTGTCTATCTCATATATAAGAATGAGATGAGATGAGATGAGTTCGTGATAGTTAATTAAATTAGATTTCTATGGATTTTATAGATTACATAATCCGATCAGCTAGGAGCGTGACTTTCATGTGACGTTTTCGAGATTCAAGCTTTTAGGTCCTTGCGGCTAGTATACAAAACGGGGACGTAGGAGGTCCCACAATTCCATCTGGTTTCCACTACTATTTGTAATGATCGAAACCTTGAGCCAAACACCGTAAGACTTCGACAGTTTCTTGAGGCGACGAAATCCATACCGTGCTTCCGGACATCCGGGCCTTGAAGTCGTTGGCAGATCCCATGGGAGCAAATTGGTCACCTATGTGGAGCGTTTGAGATGGCTTGATCGGATTGTCAGGACTGAAATAGTGTTGTAGAGCAGCTACACCGAGATCTTTGCCCCCAATGTCACACCAGACGTCACTTCCACCATCGAAACAGCTGAACTGAATACGACGTGCGGGTGCAAAGTTCTCAATGTGGCGTTGCAGAGTGAGCACCATCTCCTCGAGCTGCTCGCGGTCCATCTTGACACGAATTGTCCGCTTTGTTTCTGGGTTCCACCTGTTGCCTGGAACGATACCCACGGCCCTTGGTTTGCGAATAATGGTGGACTCTTCGGGCAAGTTTAGGGTTGTGCGAAAATCACGTAGTAGCGACTCGGCCAAATCTAGTGTTTCTGTCATGTCCGATTCGCTCCACTCACGCATGGGGGACCTGATCCACTCGTGTGTGGGGATCGCGACCAATTTACGCAGTTTAGCATTGTACCGGAAAAGGTAGTTCGATTCACCGCCCAGAACTGCCATGTTTTCCTTAAACTCGTCGCTTATGCTCTCGTCGTTCTCCAGAGCACTCATGAACCCGAAAAGACGCTCCATGTATTTTTGGGCCTCATCGTAACCGGCAGCGGTCACAATTCCAACGTAAACGCCTTGTCTCAAAAGGTCCAGCAAGAACGGTACAACTTTACTGTGTTCGGTGAGCGAACCTCCATCTTCGTACAATGTCACGTCCCCATCAAAGGTGACCAGTTTGGCATTGTTGTATTGACGCAATTCTAGGATTTGGGCCGTATTCAGGATGTGACGGATATCATTGAAACTTGGTGCGACCATGACCCTAGCCGAAATGGCTCTCTTGTGATCTTCCAGCGCAAATGCATCTTCCAAGGGTAACCTCGTGAAAAATGCCCCTACTGAGGGGACGAGTTGTGCCAATCTTGTTCTTTGACGATGGTGAAGGAAATCTTCAGCTGGAACCTGTTCTCGAACCTCTACTTGCTCGTTTACGAGTTCCTCCACCGCTTTAAATGTCTCTGCGTATCTCTTGCGTACCAGTTCTCTATTATTTTTGTCGTCCGCAGCAGAGTGCAAGACGAAGGGCACTGCCAACAGGCCCTTGATCCATTCGATTAACTCATCCTTGCGATGAGATTTCAATTGGTATTCAACTCTATATCTGGAAACCATAGTCGTGGGGTCTGGAAAAGCTTGATGGGTATTGAACTGCTCGAGAAAAGCTGAGTTTATCTATAAATCGAGCGGTGCTCGAATGATTATATTGTCCTGATTGTTATCAGCACATGGACCCATCGACGACACGAAATAACTGAAAAAACTGAACCAAAAATTTGAGTCTGTGAAATATGTGGTATCGCTTAAGAAGATATGCTGGAAATCATCGCTAGGGCCGGGGCGAAGATTGACAAAGACTACTGATGGAGTGGAGTTGGTTTTTTTTGGTGTGTGAGTGGAAATGCACTGGTGGTTGTCGATTCGTGAAAGAGGCGAAGAAGAATCCGGGGGAGCTAGATATTAAGCAGGGAAGGGGAGGTTGCCATTAAACAGGAAAGCCAGTCTCTTCTGAGCTGTGAATACGTTGCGTATATGTCGTTAGTGTTGGAAGTCACGTGACACATGCGACGTTTATTTTATACAAACTACCAACGCTTTTTCGAAAGTAGTCGCACTGGTTCGAGTATCGTGAAAAAAAATGGTATCCGAGAGCCCGCTTGCTACACCTCACGTTCACAATCCGCACTCCTTCAGCATGCGTTCCACTTACCACCACGTGACACCATCGTCTTAACCACTTTATCCAGTTGTCAAATGCATCACCACCCACAACTCGCCAATCAAGTGCCACACTACCAGTGTCTCGTACTCTACACACAGCGCACCTCTCTTTCCCTTCACTTCATATCACTTTAGCGTCTCTCCGTCGTCAAACTGAAAAATTACATCACGAATGCTCAGCAGTCGTCATCACCTCTGATCTTCTGGGAAAAAAAAAAAATACGCGGGAAGCCCGAACATTCCAGCCACGCACGACGCATGCACTTACGTGCGAAATTGAATGCGTAGTTAGGTACTCCTTCGATGTCGTCAAGGCTAGCTTCCAACAACGGAAAAAGAGAAACAAAAGCCAGAGACGGAGAAATCGACAAAACAAGCTGAAAAAAATTTTTACAATTCCCCGCTCGAATGTGCTCAAGACATCCTCAATAACTAGAAGTATCAAACGTCATCTCCCCGTTCGGTTTCCAGTGTGTCTTTAATCGATCGTGTGTAGTATTCTTTAGTATGTAGCTCGAGCATTCGATACCTTAGTATAAAACGATATTTCTAACATTAATTAGATCACGTGACTTAGTTGCCGTCATATTTATCTATGCAGGGTAACGCATATATAAACAGCAAACATGCATAGAAACCTTTCGGGAAGAGCCTTAAGGTAGCAATTGCGCAAGAACAAACTCACCTCATCTCTTACTCCTCACTTGCACATAAAAGCCCATTCATATATCGAACAGTCTAGACTTCAAGGGCGGTAGTTTTATAGCACTATTTTTTGTATATATTGACGACTTCTCGCGGTTGAAATAGCCTTAGTTTTGGTATAGTTAGGTCCCAGTCTAGTTCTGGTCAGTCAAGTTAAACTAAGTTGGCACTTAGCTAGGTTTATACAGCTATACAACAACAGATATGTCTGAAAAATATGGAAGGCCTGCCCAGCCTCCTCCTTCGTACGGTCCTGATAATGGACACCAACAGGCTCCGGAACAACAGGGCCAAGACCACGCGGGACAGCAACAGCAGGACTACCAGTTCAGACAGGACCAGTACTATAATCTGAACTCCAAATCCGATGGCGCACCCATCGGATCCTTCGAGGAAAGTTTCCCCACGGAAAATGACAACAAGTTCAGATTGAATGACTGGCCTTTCACAATTTTCTTCCTGGCAACGGTTTGTGGGTTTATTGCCATTGCAAGCATCACGTTGAGATCGTGGGCGCAAACTTATTCCGCCAATGGGTCAGGGATCTATAATGCGGCAGAAACCGGGACATTGGACACAAATTCGGCGATTTTGCTGGTTTTTGCATGCATCATCGCACTCGTATTTTCAATGTTGGGTCTCATATTGATGCGTGCATCTCCCAAGTGGTTTATTTACTGCGGCATGGTGGTAAATATCATTTCTGGACTGGGTACAGCCATTGCTTATTTGGCAATGAGGTACTGGTCTGCAGGTATTGTGTTTCTGGTTTTCACACTCATCACCGCATGGTGCTACTGGGGAATGCGTTCGAGAATCCCACTCAGCGTTGCAATTCTAAAAACAGTGGTAGATGTTATGAAGAAGCATCCACAAACTTACCTAATCTCGTTCTTCGGAGCCATCGTGGCCAGCGCATTCGGATTTTTATTCTCCGCCGTCATCGTGGCCACATACATCAAATTCGACCCAAAGAGCAACAATCCTGGTTGTTCCACAAGCGGTGGCTCGTGCAGTAACTCCAAACTCATTGGAATTCTGGTGTTGGTATTTTTCTGCGGCTATTACATTTCCGAGGTTATCAGAAATGTTATTCATTGCACCGTTTCCGGTATCTACGGCAGCTGGTACTATTTGTCGAAATCAGACCAGGGTATGCCTCGTTGGCCAGCCTTCGGTTCTTTGAAAAGAACACTGACCATATCATTTGGTTCTATATGTTTTGGATCTCTGATCGTGGCATTAATTGAAACTCTAAGGCAAGTGTTCCAGCTTTTGAGAAACGGTCAAATTACCGATATTGGGGGCTCGCAATGGGCGCAGATCATCTTTTTGGTGATCGATTGGATCATTGGGTTTTTGCAGTGGTTAGCACAATATTTCAACCATTACGCATACTGCTTCATCGCACTGTATGGGAAACCTTACCTCAAAGCTGCCAAAGAAACTTGGCACATGTTGAGAGAAAAGGGTATGGATGCTTTGATTAATGACAACTTAATTGGAATAGCATTGGGATTCTTTTCTTTGTTCGCAAGCTACATGGCCACTTTGTTCGCCTTCTTATACTTGAGATTTACCCAGCCAAGCTACAACTCCTCCCATGGATACAACGTTCCACTCATGGCGTTCTCATTTGTCATTGCTTTGCAAATCTGCAGCATCGCGTGCGAAACCATACGTTCTGGAACAGCTACGTTCTTCGTGGCTTTGGGCAATGACCCTGAAGTTTTCCGCGTGTCATACCCAGACAGATTTGATGAAATTTTCAGGGCGTACCCTGATGTTTTGAAGAAACTCAGCCATCAAAACGTTTGAGTCAAGATTGATTTGGTTTGATGGCAAGATTTAACTATCATTTACTAATTCCCTCGATCATTTAATTCACCACTTTATGAATTGTAATGTGTCTTGTTCATCAAAATGTATGCAAAGATAAATATTTCAAATGCAATTACTTTCTTGACGCGGTGTACACGAATTTCCGCAAGCATTCCAATTCTGGTACTCATGTGTCTCATTACTTTTGTGTCCTCGGTGATACATTCTTCCTCAAGTACCAAGTTATGAAATCCTTTAAACCATTCCTTACTCTCCTCATGTCTCTTTGCGGTAAAGCGTTTCCGACAGTGGTTAATAGATTTGACCTCTCTTGATCGGTGACTTTTCCAATAACATCCATTGCCCCACTCAGCCAGCCCAAAGCTACGGTAGGGTCTCCGCCAGAACATTGTAGGCATAATCTTAGGGCTCTTACTATACAGCCAATTGCGTCGGGGTGAGAGTCACTATTAAAGTTGGTGACGAGGCCTAACATAATTGCCTGAATCAATGTAGCTCCTTGTGCGTCTACAATTTCGCGTAATACCTTCTCTCTCCATGCTTCAGGTACAATATCGAGTGCCGCGGTAGAGATTGGTGGAGTTTCAAACCCCCAAGATAAAACATCATCAAAAAAGCGTATCACGGTAATGTACGCATCATAGTTTTGCATCTTCGTGACGCATGTCAGACCCATCGAAAATGAAGGTCCTAGCAGCGCGGTGGCTTGAAGGTAATGCTCAGGAAAGAACATGACGATATCAGTTAACATCATAAAGAAGTCCTGAACGGATTCCTGGTACTGTTCAAGAGTCTCCGGGCTTGCTGTGTTAAACGTGTTCATAAATGTCAGACACTGAGTGCATGAAAATTGCCACACAGCTTCTTTTGTTTGAGCATCGATCGGAAATGACTCGTCATCACCGAATACAGCTATAATAGAACCAGAGCACCATAAGTATATTCCCAACCCTGTCGAAGCATAGGCCTCCGCAAGGAAATTAGCTGTCGAGGGTAGGATGGGTGTGGCAAAAACGTGGAAGTTCAAGAAGACCTTCCGCACCCACTTCATGGCAATTTCTGCTATCTCATGATTGCTCATTGCCCCTTCATCAGCAAGAAGTGCCCGAAGAGTATCCCAAATGGTGTTTATGCAGGGCTCAATTGGGTCGTGACCCAGTTCAGGCCTTTCAAAGCGAGGTTTGAGTTCTTCGAACACAGCAAAAATCAAATCAGTGCTCTCACAAACAGCGGTTGTCGTAGTGCTGTTAGCAGGATTCCGTTTCCACTGCACAACCTCAGTGTTTAGTTTCTGTAAAAGAGGCGAGAGAAAGAGCTCAAGGGTAGGGCCTATACGCTCATTTGATTGTCGGTCTATCACACAGCTCAAACCTTGACCAACTTCAAACAAAGACTCGGTTTCGACCATTGGCTCGATTTTCCAGAAGAAATCGATCAATTGTTCGACGTAGTCACTCAGCAATGAGCTGCAATCTTGACAAAAATACATCAAGGCATGCGAGGACGCTGTGAGAATGTCAACATTACCGTTGGCGTGTTGAAAACCATCAAAAATGTAATTTAGTTCCATTTCAAGAAATTCGGAGTGTTTTGCAGTCCACTCAGTGTATCTCCCCAACACCAGCGTTGAGGCATACCTTATCTTTGGATGTTCTGGTATTTTGCAAAGGATTGGAATCAATTGGGGCAACATGACAGATTCACTTTTTGAGACTTCATGAGCCATCGTTCTCAGGGAAAAGAGTGGTGCTTCTATATCCTCCCAGCGTAACAATGGCTCAGGTTGATTCAATGCTAGCATGATTTTGTCATAGGGGCGGCTTAGGGCTTTAGAGGATCCAACAACTGCAGTACAATCTTTCAACACTCCTCCCATATCGTATCGGAATTCTTTGAATTTGTCCTGCTCTTCTTTGTTGGAAAACCCATCCCGAGGATAATGCAGATGAGCTATTATACCATCAATCAACTCACCGTAAATATTCTCATACTGTGAGCGTTGCTCGCTGAAGCGCGGCAGAACAAGCATTTGTTTGAGGTTAAACCAAAATGGGAAAGTGTATTTTACAACGTCGAGATCTGTGTTCTTGCATGTAAGAATTAACAGTACGGATACCAAGGGTTTGAAAACTGCTTGCGACTTGGCGATGAAGACGCACCAAGCTTCTCCAGCTTCAACGAAAATCCTGGTAAGTCCGTCCATGGTCTCAATATGATCTTCAAAGTCATCTATGCTGCCTATGGGAAAAATGCGTGACTGCAATGCCATGAGCTGTTCATACAAAGCAGTGGTGATAGTTTCGTCTGCAACTTCTCGAGTTTCTTTTAGTATGGTGCAGAGACATTCAACGGCAACATCAAATGATTCTGGATCTGCGTCCTGACCCTGGTTCAGTACTTGAAATATGAGAGCCATAAGACTGTTAATTCTAATCAACTTGTCGATAGGAAACTCGTAAGCCCAGGAGTTGATGCAGTTGAGTAACTGAGGCACAGTTACGACGGACGCAGGGGTTCCCAGAGACTCTATTAGACCAACCAGATATGTCATAACATCGGTTGCTATGTGATCTATGAGTTCATGTGTCCTAGACTGAAAGTCTTCCTCACTCAGCGGGGTCGATCTGATATCCAGCGTTTCCTCTGGCAGAATTTTCAGAAACTCTAGCAGTCTATCGGGGTTTTGGCTTAAATTTTTGATGATTTCCGAGATGGGAGCTTTCCACTCCAGGAACTGAATAGCAAGTCGTGCCAATGCCACACACAATTGTGTAACAATAATTTTTTGCGAGTGTTTCGTGATGAGCTCCAAAAGTGAACTTTTGAAATCAACCAACTGGCCTCCTAACTGAGCCAAATCATAGGTTACCTTATTTCGCAGAGTTTGTGCTGCAAACACCTGGAGTTCTGCACCGTACTGAGTTTCCTGTGATGCAAGAATATGATGACAGATCGACCATGCCTCCGATGACTTTTGGTACTCTTCCAAAAAATGCAGCGCTTGTTTCTTCGTTTCGCGATCAGACTGAGTCGTAATACATTGTAACGCCGATTGAACACTATTGATGCTGTCGTTCATGAAAGATAGAGTCTTCCTAAAGCCAGTTTCTTGATCTTTTCTGTGGTAACTTGGGATAGGCTTCGAGTTCATGGTGAAATCCATATATTCGATGACGATCTTAACTCACTGCAGACGGAGGACGGAATCACATACAAGACTGGTCCCTAAAGGGCTCCTGATTTCAGTGCAATTCTGTGCGGTATTCCATTAGATTGCGCCAAAACATTCTAAGCTGACTGGCTAGGTGTTTATGTGGACGAATGTTATTTTTTTTTTTGGTCCACGTCGCTGTGCGCTCAGCATAAGAATTCCAATAAGTGGATAGTTCCCAAACTTGCAGATTTTTGTAAAAAGTCAACAGCCAGTAGCTACTTTTCCACATTGGTAGATGCTGATGTAAATTGCAGAGAAATGGGCAGATTTTATCAGTCTATTTTGACTTTACATTTCTTTCATGACGGTGTCAGCGGAATTCCAGGTTAATACGATGGAAGTAAGCTCTTTTATGGTTCTAAGCGAAATCAAAAACCTGGCTCTTGCGAAAAGCTCAAACATTCTACCGCGAGTTTCTTCTGGAATGACTTGTAGACTTAGAGACGATCATTAGACTCATTGACTCAAGTTCCTTTGACGTGAAATCGATAAACTCGTGTGCAGTGCTAAGAGGTTTTATATTGATTGATTGATGAGCTAGCGAACTAACACTATTATTGACCTGAGGATATCAAATCTGAACCACTTGACATCTCGAAGGTTTGAATTCACTGAGTACTCGTAAGATTGCTCAAAGAAGTGCTGGACTTTAGTTTGATTTCCTAAAGCTTTTGATAACAAAAAAAATGTCATCTAACCCGGGAAAACTAACGGTACCGCCTATTAACTGCATTTTCAACTTCCTCCAGCAACAGACAGTGGTCACTTTTTGGCTTTTCGAACAGGTTCAAACAAGGATACGGGGAAAAATAAGCGGATTTGACGAGTTTATGAACGTGGTGATTGACGATGCACTAGAGATACCGATAGACCCCAAAAGTGGGTCAGAAGTGTCTGAGAAGGCCGTTCAACTAGGGCGGATACTTCTGAAAGGTGATAACATTACTCTCATAACACCCGTTTCGGATTAGAAGCTGAAGAAATAATGCGGTGTTGAAGCCAGCTTAAATTTATCCCCAGTTCTCAACAACTCAATATATACAACATGTAAAAAAACTAGACAATAATTAATGCATCACATCACACCCACCTATTGCAAAATGGTATCCAAGTCTTGCTGTCTTTGTTTCAGCATAGCTTGATTTTGCGTCTGAACGTCACTGGCAAACGCATTCATCTCGCCAGAAACGTACTCCTTGATGGTAGGGAGACCAACATAAGTTCCGCCACCAAGAGACCCAAATAGGGCGTCTCCGATTTCTCTTTCGTTGCGAGCCCGGGGCTTGGAGTTCCCAACGCTCAATTTAGTCCTCAAGGCTTCCGAGGATTCGTTTGCGAACACCTCATCTATCTTTTTAAGAAGTTGCGTCTCTGACACTATGAACTCTTCGGAAACATGGTAAAGTTTTAACAGATTCTCCAGTTTTCTTTCCTTGGCTCTCAATTGCAAAACGTCGCGATTTTGTTTTCGCTTCATCTGCAGCATTTCCTTCTCTTCTGGGGTTCTTTGCCGCATCAGAGGGCCTTGCAAAAGCTTGTCCAACGTTGGGATTGTCAAATCACTAGAGCGACTCTCGTTCAGAGCAGATAACTCCACTTGTCTTTGTTCAGCCAATTTTGCTTCTTTTTCTCTCAAAAGCTCCCCCTGCTTCAACACACGCTGTTCCTCTTTTCTGAATGCATCTGATAGATATTCTCTACGCATTTGTGCCTTACTTTGTCTTGTTTCCTGCTGAAATGTTTTGGGGACCCTCGAGTGTTGCGGATTCGGAATTGTATCTGAAATCAGTTTTTCAACATCGATAAATTCCATTGTGGGGGAGAACCTGTGCGAACCCTTAGGATGTGCAACATTTTCGGCGTATCCAACACCTTCTGGACCTTTTGGATCGGGACTCTGCAACTTTTCCACCACATCTAATTGATTTATGGTAGGCCTTTTGAGGATTGAGCGAGCACTGGGAAGCATACCGCTTTTGAGCCCATATTTAGCCGCACCTTTACCCATTTAGAAGCTTTGGAAACAACCTCTTTGGACTTCAATGGTACTTCGACTTGAACCTCCGATGCTTGATCCAGAACAATTTAACTATGTTCAAATTTTTTGAACAAACCTTGTGAATTGAACTAACTTGACGAACTTTCCGTCAACATCAATTATGGTCGTTCGACACGAAAGTAGACTGGCTGGTCGTTGAAATACAATGAATTCACGCAACAACCTACTTCGTACTCGCCTGGATCTACCGGTGTGATGTCCAGTATCACTGGGTAGTCACTACTTGGACTTGTGAGACAGGAGAGCTGCCCGTTGTAAAGAAGTCTTGTGTTTGAGCTTGGAAGCGCCAGTCCAGTGCGACGATTGTAGATGAGAAACTCCACTTGAACCTGTTTTTTGAGATCCGAAGAATGGTGGTAATCGGTAATAGTGACATGAGCTTCTAGCCTGATGTTTTCTCCAACTAGAGCTTTGGTCGTGGACGAAAATAGTTTGACGCGATACGGAACATCGCGCTGTTGACAGAGAATATCGACACTTCGAGGCGAAATCTTATCGAGAAATTGACGGAAATACACTGTGCCGCAAGTTTCTGTGCTGTCGTGAAGCTTCCACTCGCATCTGAGGGACTCCATGAGCAGTTCACGACACCAAAAGCTGCGACGCATTGCCACAGTTTGATCTCGCGTAAGACCACTATTCACGAACTGCCGACCACGCACAAGGTTAGGTATCTCTCCCGTGCTCCAGTAGACGGACGGATGGAAGCTCTGGATAGGCACAATAAACCTTTTCATGCTATGGGAACATAGCGTTTCTGGCTTACATTGGAACTCACCAAAACTGATGGAAACAGTCGCATTTTCATCCCAAGAATTACGAACGTCCAACAGCAGCAGAACTAAGTTACCGGAATCGGATATATGAGCGGGATGTCTTTCTGTTCGTAGAAAGGAGCTTTCTGCTTGGAGTAGTTCCTTGGATGCAGGCACTACTTCAAGACTTGGAACCTCAATGCTTCTCCGTAGTGAAATTTCAAAAGGCACTTTCAGTGTTTTTGTATAAACGGAGTCAATGTTTGCGTTGTCCTTGCATCCGTATACTAGCATGATTTCGAAACTTTTTAGTTGGAAAGAAGCTTGGGACACGTCAATATCTATGATTAACGTTACATTACTATTGGCTGGGATCTCTGCGGGAGCATTTCTCAATGTTATGCACTTCTTTTGTAACCATTCGAGCTTCTTTTCAACGTCATATAAATCATCCGGTGCAAGTTTCTTCCAATAATCTGATCCCAACTCAGCCTCAACATTAGTGACATGCGTAAACTCAAGATAGTTGGCTGCTTTGCTGAGTGATTGGTTACGCAGAACAACTTCAAATGATTGCGTGGTGCCATCAAGCATCATAATAGAATTTTCATTGAGAGTACTACTCACAAATTCAATCTGAGGCTGTTCATTGATGACAAAAAATTTGTAATGATCGAGACTTGCTCTTGTGCCCTTCGACCCGTACTCTTCCTGCCGCCTTTCTGCGTCGACAATGTCGAAAGATGTTGGGTGAAGCCCAAAAACCCCCACTTCAAGGCTTGCAAGCTCATGAACAGCTTCAGTTTCCTTAAGAAACGTGACGGGGAGGTGAAGAGATGCCATGGAATTCGGCTTTATCGTGAATGGGAGCTCCCGTCTCACACTGCCGCTTAAAAAGTCGACAATGCTTTCGTCTTTTTTGCAGAAAGCCAAATGTGTTATCTCAAGATCAAATTTGAAAGGATTTTGAAACACTACGACTAGCTCCGCTGTTTCACCGAGGAGAAACCTTGTGAATGTCTCTTCAGCTTTGGATTTTTCGGTCAAATCACGAATACCACGATCCTTATATGGGTTGAAAACCTGCGAGTGTCGCTTAGATTGTCCCTCAAATTTATTTACCACAATGCACTTTTCTCGTGGTATCTCTTTATGGTTCTCCAACTGGATTATATCCAATTTTCTCAACAAAAAAGGATCCCAATATGTGACATTTTGATTCACATGAGTGTATGCTAAGATATTCTCTCGAAGCAAGTTTGTCTGTTCGCTTCTAGTGAGTGCATGCGAGTATTTTTGTAACAGTGTTAAGGAAAATTCGCACACTTTTTCCGGAAGTTGGGTTTTAGCGGACAGATTTATGGCCAACATCAGTATGTTCTTTTGTATTGTTACCCAGCTGCAATTAGCCGCATCTTCTATTAGAGTTTCAGGCTGTTTGTTGATACCATATGTTTGCATTAGTGTCAGAAGCGAATCATTATGTGTGCTGTTTAAAACACCGAACACACTATCAGAAACACCCCGCGGCAGCAAGCTGACGAGCAAAATGCGTAGCATGAAAGCATTCTTTCTTGTGAATCCCATCTTGTTGTAGAGAACAGCCAATGATGCGAACACTTTTACCTGACAGAAAATGTCCATCTCTTTCAATTGTAGATCAAAAAGTTTGTTGGCCGTGAAGCATATATCCAACCTGGTGAAGTACTCTGATAATGAGCTAGAAGTATCCAAATCTGTGTTGGCAGATTTCGAGGGCTCCGAAGACGTAGCCGATTGTAATAAATCTTTCTCGAATTCGTTGTGAGAATGGCAATACGCCATAAATCGGGCAGTGCGCATTACGTGTTCGCAGTAAACAATCTGAGGAACATACTCAGTATTATGAGATATACTCATCTCATAATAATGCAGAACCTTATCGCTGATGGACTTGAACAAAAGTGGTATGGCCACATTTTGCGAGTCTATGGTATTAATCTTTGATGACTTTGCGCTCAAGGAATTTCTCGGTGATTGAACTGTTACTGAGGACATACTATTTCGCTGGGAGCCAGTACCAGTTGGTTGAATTTCAAAATCTTTGGGAGAGCAAATAGACGAAATTATCGAAGGAACCTGAAAGGGAACTTGCAAATATGTTAGGAGAACCATGGAAAGCGCCAAGCCCTCTAGAGCGCTTCCTAGCCAAATGTTATCGTGATATTTGTGCAATGTACTCGCAGCTTCCGCGAAGCTGTTCATAGAGTCGAGATATTGTCCTGCTAGCAGTTTGAAATTTCCCAATACCTTGCACTGTCGTGCTTTGGCTCTGTGTTGGTCAGAGGATGCCGTAGAGCTGAGACTCAAGGATTTGAGGGAGGCGCTACGCTTGATAGTATTTGGGACGCTAGTGTCAATGGGACTGGAAGTTACTCTCATTGAGGGCGGGGATGAAAGTGCTGCTGATGGCTGTCTCATGAGAATAGTCTTTGTAACAGACGATCCTCCAATGGCGCCAGGTGATCGAAGTGTTACGTGCTTGTAGGAAGCATAATAGTGACCCAATGCTTCCAAAAAATTCTTTCCAATGTCACATACAATTGTCTCAAGATTTGTAGTAGAGGACCAGTAGACGTTAGGAGTAGGAGGCTGGTGCTTCCCGTCAAAATACAGCAGATTGTGAGATATCGGATCTGGATATCTTTTTTGCAACGTATCGAGCAGCTCCTGTGGATTTTGTTCCTCCGCATTGACAAGACCCACCACCACGAACGTCTTTCTGTAGACTTCGAAATCGTGCAGGAAAAGCGACTGTTCTTCTTCAACCAGGCTTGTATGGAAATCAAACAAAAGCCTACCCTGCGGGAAGCCTTGTGGGTTGAAATTGGGGTCCTCAATGGGCGTGATATCTACCAACCGGGCCTCAAAGCGTTCCTGCAAAGCGCCAACCTTTGTCATGAAGCTTGAACGTGTCCATTGGCCGATTGGCACCAGCAAAGTTCGCACTTTTGCCGGTTCGACCAAGGAAATGTCCTGAGTCATTTTCCAGGGACTGATGCGGTAGAAACGCTGTCTTGAAGCACTTCAAGAATGTGCACGTACCTTGGTTTTAGGAACTTGATTGTAATGTAGACATTATCAGACCTGAGGGCGAGTCCAGCGAGTTCTGCTCACGAGTCCTTTCGTTAATAATGTTCGACGATCCAAAATCAATAATAGTAGATGATTATATGAAGGCTTTCGATATCAGGACGAATCCCGCTGGTTAGCTTTGATTAGTTGAGGATAATTAAAATGAACACTTACTAAAGACTGTAGTTCAATCTTCCATATGAAACTTTGTGCTCTGACAGGTTGAAATTACGTGCCAATGGCTTATTAGGTCACGTGATGTGCTACAAAGCGCAAGTGTTAGGTTTTGTTGGTGTGATACTTTTCCAATGACACGGATAGCTTTTCATGCGAGATCGGGGCCCTCTCAGGCGCTGTGATTAAGGTGATTTGCCTTTGCACGTATTTTGTTCGGTGGGGCTGTACGTCCTGATTTAAGAATTAATTAGTAGGCAATACTAAGATGATCATCACGAATGTATCAATTGATAATATCGAGGGTTGAAGTATTCTAGAGACACAATTACGTCTGCTAGTCTAATTTTCACGAACCCAAACCAGAACATCCCATTAAAATGTATCTGAACAATTCCAAAAGGTAACTTCAATGTCATGGTAGAACAAGTATCACTTTACACGAAATGAAAATGGTCAGGAAATCTAACTGGACAGTTAGACTATTTGAGAGAGAGATCGAAGGGTCTCCAGGGAACTTCATATTTGCTTTAAAAAACCTGAGCTTGTAATCCTCATGGTTCAGAATCGATATTCAAAAACTAGAATTCGTGATCTAGTATCACGTTTGACGAATGCTCTTACAATTAAGGCTTCTCAGGTAATAATGTGATCTTTTGCCACCTCTCATCATACTTACACCGATTAATCGAACAAAGCAGTCGAGGCGTTGACATTTGAGAGCCCAAATTCTAGCCTGCGTATCTTACAATGGCCGGTTTATCCTTTGACAACTACCAGAGAAATCAGCATCTCGCTCAGCGCTCCAAAACGGTGCCTCAAGCAACATCTACAGGTACAACGATCGTGGGGGTCAAATTCAATGGAGGTGTGCTAATTGCTGCTGATACCAGATCTACACAGGGTCCAATCGTGGCAAACAAGAACTGTGCGAAACTACATCGTATCTCACCAAAAATTTGGTGTGCGGGGGCCGGTACAGCAGCGGATACAGAGGCAGTTACAAGACTAATCGGTTCTAATCTGGAATTGCATTCACAATACGTTTCTCGAGAGCCCAGGGTGGTGTCAGCATTGCAGATGCTGAAACAGCACTTATTCAAATACCAGGGTCATGTCGGAGCGTATCTTATCGTTGCAGGATCCGATCCAACTGGCGCACATTTGTTTTCCATACACGCACACGGTTCCACAGACGTAGGATTCTACCAAAGTTTAGGATCTGGCTCGCTGGCTGCAATGGCCGTCTTGGAATCCCAATGGAAGCAGGATCTGACAAAGGAAGAAGCCATGAATTTAGCGTCGGATGCTATAGAGGCGGGTATATGGAATGATTTGGGTTCTGGTTCCAACGTGGACCTGTGCGTAATGGAAGTTGGCAAAGATGCAGAATATCTAAGAAACTTTAGAAAACCTAACGAAAGAGAAGCCAAACAGAGAAGTTACAAGTTTGCTCGCGGCACGACCGCGGTTCTAAGCGAAAAAGTACTTGACATCTGCCAGGTAGAAGAGGAGGTGGTTGATATCGAGCTTGAGGCTTGAGACGCTAAATAGAAAATCATCACTATATTACACTTTGTGCATTGAGACTAAATCTTTACTATACAATATCGAAGGGCTGACTGAGTTACAGGCCAAATATTTTTTGAACTGCCTCGACAATGGCTACATGTTCCTGAGCATGTACTCTCTGTTCATACTCTTCCAGAGTGTCCTGTCCGGGCACTATCTCAATTTCCTTGACTATAACCGGTTCTCCACGATCGACTTCTTGAATTACGTAGTGCACCATGCAACCGGCTGTCAATGGAGTTTGGTCTTCTTGACATTTCTTCCAAGCCATTTCAATCGCATGTGTGGTACCATCAAATGCTCCTGGCAGTGCCGGATGTAAATTGATGATAGGAATTCCATTGACTTGGTCCAAGAAGTCTGTTCCTAAAATCAAAAGCCAACCGGCACATACTATGAGATCCGGCTTGAATTCCATGATAACAGGCGCCAGATCTTTCTCAAATTTCTGCCTGGCCAAAGATCTACCAGTCTTATCATCTTTGACTAAGCCTTTAGTGTAGGGGTATAGAGAGTGTACTTTGGTGGGAATGCCATTCTTCGCTGCTCTTTCCAAACCGTAGGCTTTCTTGCTGGATGAAATGACGCTTACAATGTCAACTGGAAGCTCGTTCCTCGCCTTAGCGTCGATCAGCGCCTGTAGGTTGGAGCCAGATCCAGAAATCAAAACAACTAATCGGGGAGCCATCTTCTATTGGGGTCAGTTAGCGTTTTATATCGAACTACCCATCGGTGATGAGCTTTGTCAAATTTCATAGGTACTAGTAATTAACCTTGAGCTTGGAATTTTCTATAGAGTGATGGAACCGCTCGAGCTTAACAGTGCAGCGGGACTAACAATAATTGAAGGGCCCTTACAAGCCTGCTTAAATGCACCAAATATAGACACTAAGCTTAAACTATTTCGCTTTACTACCACTAAAAAACAACAAGTTCGTATGCATCTCGTACAAGTTTGAAGTTCAAACGTTTCACAACTAGCTCACCAAGATACAGAAAAAGCTCAAGTGCCATGTCACGAATTAGAACCTCAAAAATAAGGTAGATTTCTATAGACAATCTGCTTGAAGTCATGTCCCTCATCGGACTTCTGTCTTTTACTTGTCTGTGTCTTTAAGCTGACGACACGCTAGTATAAAGTGATGACATTTGATCAAAGATAATAGCGGTGACATTAACAGACACGAGACTCATAGGAAGCATCTGTTGGCAAACCATTCTCATTCAATCGATCTCAATTTGGTGCTCTGCGTTAAACAGTGCATTCGTAAACGTGGGAAAGCTCCCCCACTGAATAATCGAAATGTCATTTTCAGTGAAACAGCTCAACTTCGTTAAATCTAGGATAGGTTAACTCTGCTGTAAGACAAAGTGAAACTGAATCAACGAATAAGGTACTACAAATGGATATCATAACCTTGCAGATGGATCGACCTGAGTAAACGTTAGAAGATATGTCAATCCCGTGTAGAATGATCACATACAAACCTGAATTGTATAAGCTCATCTCCCATATCCCAGTCTTCTTGGAACGGTAACAGCAACGTATCACCTTAATAAACCATTCCTTTGGCCACAATACCACCTCACTAGCATCCCTGTATCATAAGCTCTCTAACGATGGTGGTATCGTCCGCAGGTCTTCACCATGAAATCGAGTTTTGCATACAAGAAATGGAACGCTTGAAGGTGACGGAGCTGAAGTCACTGTCTCGATCTATTGGACTTCCACTGAGTGGTAGAAAAGCTGACCTTCAAGACAGAATACGTGCATATCTAAATGGCTCATGCCGAGGCAACGCCATTGATCCATGGCGACCCAAAACCATATTGTTACTGATGGACAAAGTGCATCAAAATGATGCCCTCCCGACATATGAATCTCTATGGCTAGGCCTCAAGACCGGAAGCTTGCAAAACAACCCCGTGGCAACAGGTCATCAACCTCCTAGCTCTTTGGGATCATCTTCGCATGTGATGCGCACGAAAGTTGAGCAACAAGTTCCCAAAAGTCGTTTCGCACTACAGTTTGAGCAATCGCCTTTCTATAGACTCAAAAGAATGCTCAACGGTAGTCCTAAATTTGCTCCAAAGAATAGCGGTAGAGGTGTTTGTTCCTATCATTTCACTCTCAACAAAGAAGAGGCAACCCTTTTCGAACGTGATGATAGCCATTCCCGAATTAAACTGTATCTTTTCTGTGGAGTTCTTCCTCCAGTGGCTGATACTAGCGTACCCAGTTCAATCCAGTTCCCTCACCCAAACGACATATCTTTCAACGGCATAACGCTGAAGGATAATGTACGAGGACTGAAAAACAGACCCGGTACAGCAAAGCCAGCAGATTTAACACCATATCTCAGGACCTTTACCGAAAATCACTTACAACTGACGTACGCATTTACCAAGGAAGATTACTTGGTATGCTGTTACATAGTAGAAGTGTGTTCACCGCAAGAAATTCTAAACGAAGTTCTTCGTCATCCTAAAATTGTGACACCCGCCACTCTCCAGTATCTAAGAGAGTCGTTGAGTGAAGATGAAGACGAAGACTTGGTTACAACTTCCACGGTAATGACACTTCAGTGTCCCATATCATACTGTCGCATGCGATATCCTTCAAAATCGGTGCATTGTAGACACCTTCAATGCTTCGACGCTCTGTGGTATATTGAATCGCAACAGCAAATTCCTACCTGGCACTGTCCTGTTTGCCAAAAAACGATAAAAGTCGAGGATCTTGTGTTGTGTGAATTTGTCGAAAGTATTATCGAACAGTGCGATGACGAAGTTGAACAAGTGGAGATATCAAAAGATGGTTCATGGAAACCCATCTTCGAAGACGAAACGCCTGCACCTAGAGATAATAGCAAAGTTCATGTCAAGTCTGAAAACGGACAAGGTTTGAGCTCAAAGGAAAATAGCATGCCTGACGAAGATGGCGGTGATCCAATCTCAGCAGGGCGGGCTAGATCACAACACCCTGATCCTGTTGTTATTTCTCTTGACAGTGAAGATGAAAATGAGGAGTCTGAACGTATTGACCGCACTCGAGGTTCAGATGGTGGTTCACGCCCAACTTCTACAGCTGCTCTACAGACCACGGCGGAGAAGCGGCCTGATCCCCCATTCCCTCGAGATAATACATTGGGTAACATTTACAGTACCTATATGGATGATGCGTCTGAGCCGCTTCCAACGTTAGACCCCGGACGCGCAAATTCAACTCCAATGGGGATCAACTATCAATCGTTAGCTGCTCGTTCTCCTGGTGAGGAGGGCGAACCTAACAGTGCGGTTTTTTTTCCTCGTCAACGCTTAGTGCCAAACATATTAGGAAGGACGCCTTTAAGGAATACGAGCCAAGGCAACGGTCACAGCGAAAATCACGGAGATGTCGAACATGGGGCTGATAATACTCCATCACCCAGTCCGACTACTAATAATACATCATTCATACCAAGGCTAACTAATCCAGATAGAGAGGTACTTTCAAGACACGAGCACGTGAACGAAGGTACTACTTCTGTGGGCACAGCGGCCAACGGGAATGGAAATAATTTGGGTTCTGTTGGTCCATCCGAGTATCAGCCAGCCCAACCCGAAGACTCTCATGTTTCTGGAAGGGAACGAAGGGCTGCCGAATGCGCTAATATGCTTGGATTGGGTGATGAAATAGGTGCCATTGATCAACTGGAACAAAACAACGGCAACTTCAGTGATGTGGCGCCGTCGAATGACGAAAATAGACAGCAAGGAGATAGAGAGCTCAACAGTTCAGAGCGTGAGGAGCACTTCAGCTCTCATTTACAAGCTCCAAGAAATTTATTTGCTGGCTCAAATCCAAGCCCATACGAAAATCCGCATTTCGGCACTGATCCCAACTCGAATTCACGATACTCATCGGTACGTCCACCGCTACCACCTGTTCCGCAATCAATGAACAGACTTTCAAATACAGCTAAACCAACTCCATCGTCATCTATGCGTCACAGGAAACCTATTGTTTCTCCTTTCATACCTAAAAAGTCTTACGCTAACATGCTGCCGCAGAAACGTCAAATTTCAGTTGATTCGGTGAATAAGTCCAACGCATCTGATAATAACAGCGTTTCGAGTCCCTCTACACCCTTTGCAGACGGTGTCTCTGGGTCCATTTCTCCACCGCCACCTATTTTACATCGCTCCGATGATAATGAGCTGGATTTCATTGATCTGACTTCGGACGAGTAGTTATGTAGGTTGTATTATTTCTAGTCTTTGAATGAAAAACAATTCTCACATCAGAATGCCTCCTATTACGATATGTCGACTTACATGAATGGTATCCCGACGCCGACGTTACGGGAGTAGTCAGAGTACTGTTTTCCAAAAAATTGCAGTAAATATATCTCCTCGTAGCGTATCCGACTATCAAAGAATTTCCACAGCACTACTGCAAAGATGACAAAGGAGAATGGATTGAGTAGCAGTAACTGTGTTCCAAGAGCCCACCAAAAATAACCAAAGTAGCTTGGGTGACGCAATTTGCCGTAGATCCCATCGGTGACTAAAGAGTGATCTGAATTTTGACTTGTCTTAACTTGATGAGAAAACGACTTTCCAGCTGTTACCATCGCTGCAGTCCTCACATATTGGCCAGAAATCAGCAGTATTAAGCCCAAAGTGGAGATCAAAAGATTGGTTTGAGAGTGGAAACTAGATTTCCATTGTGGGAACAAAGTTGATTCGATGACTGCCTCAACAATCGCCAAAATATGAGAAAACAGATAAGCTCTGCCGTTGTTGAACAAGAAAGAATCCTTGGTTACTTTTCCAGGGTTGAATCTAGCTGTGACGTAAAATTCCAAAAAATGGAACAAGCCAATGGCAATTAGGTACAGGTTGATGTTCACGAAATGTGAATAAGGTACTAATGCCGAAGAAATTCCCACAAACGTGCCAAGACAGAACCCAGCCAATGATATCTCGTCCAAGGGATTTTTTTCAATGTGAGGATAAACTTTACCTTTAATCACAACCCCCAAATCTGAGGTCTCTGTTGAATCTTGATCATCCAGCGTTTCGCTTTCGGCTAGCATTACGATAACTTGATATGATTGATATCAGAAGAACAGGTTTGGAGCTGCCCTTTGTCCTTTCCAGACGGGGTTTTAACAGGTCTTTACCCAACACCTCACCTCATCGCATCACGGTGATTATTACCAGTAAGGCCATCACCATACACGTTGATGGGGACCCTGGGTTCAAGGATTTAACGTGACGTCCGAACGATACCAGCCTCCGTAGAGTTTACCTCCCGTTTATCGTCTTGTAGGTTAGTACATTTGAACCAGGTCTACCTTTTGCTAGCTCGTGCAACGGGTGTCGTTGTGAAGATTGAAACATCGCAGACTGCAAATCTTATTCCCGCAGTTCACACAACTAGAAATGCTGTTGTATCCACCACATATGGAGCAGGTTGTGATCACTGGAAGCACTTTGAAAAACTTCTTATTATAAACGTTGTGGAAGATGATGCTGCGGTTCACTTGATCAAGGGCATCGACGTAACTGGTGAGTGGTCTTCGAGAAGCTAAGGTTTTCTTTAGGGCAACCACTCGGTTAGTGTTTTTCTTTTTGACAACTGGAGGTTTAGTAGACTTGTATAGAAGCTCAAGATTTTTCGGAAGCTCGAATTTGTTTCTGCTGGATCTGTTAACATTCGATGAAGAGCCACCGCCGGAATCTGCGCCGTTGCTGGAGTCGATACGATCTTTGCTGATACCGGTTATGCTGCTCATCACAAAGGGCACGTCTCTGATATCTTGTACGTTTTCTGTGTCTAGTTCCATAAGTCTTCGTCTCGATTTCAGAAGCTCTTGCGGGGTATACCTTTCCAATGCGCTGTTGGTGGTTGTGATGAAGTTTGAACTTAGGGATTCTGTATCCTTCCCATTTTTCTGCGCATAGATCTTGGCTTCCAAATCCGAAAGCGAGTAGTTTACCCGCTTGTTGTTTCTGACTCCAGATGCAGTTGTAGTCTTTGTTATCCTATTTCGACCGGAGGGCCCTGCAGCGTTTACGCTCGTGAAATAGACATTCGGGTCGTGGCTCTTAAGATTTATCTCCTCTACGAAAGGCATGTTAGACAGGCAAAGTGGCGGTATACAGTCCTGTTTAGATGCTCGATTTGGTGAAGTTGGTGCTCTTGATCGGCTAGTCTATGCTTTACAGGTATTAACTTTGACAAAATACAGAGAGATAAGCGTGACTTGTTTTACTGTATACTTGGCTGTGGTTTTCTTAATTAATCCATAGTCGGTTTCGTGGTCTAGTCGGTTATGGCATCTGCTTAACACGCAGAACGTCCCCAGTTCGATCCTGGGCGAAATCAACTTTTTTGGATTTGTTTTGTTCCAATATTCGTACAATTGATCTTTAATGTGTATGGCAGGGTGGTGCTGTTCTGTTGAGTACATTTATTTGTTTAAGCTATTAGTGGTTATACAATTTCATTAGAGTTTGGACCGCATCTTGTGTTCCTTTACCAGCAGAGCATGTATTTCGTCGGCCGCCTGGCCCAAATAATAGTGCAGCCGGGCAGCACTTAATCCACTTGCAAGCGGTTTGTTGACAATATTTATGTGAAGCCAGTCTTTGTTGAGCATATAGGCCAGGCCAAACCCATTGTCATTAACTTGCGACCATCCATAGCCTTCAAAATATTCGGAAGATAGCTGACTTGTGGAAATTAGCCATGTAGACGAAAATCTGAACAATGTGTCTTTGAACAGTTCCGGTACCTCCTCATCCGAACGTAACATGTTCTTCAAACCAAAAAAATGACGATCAACACCTTGACCAGCAGAGGCAGTTTTGAGGTATGCTGAATGGGCGGTCGCAGAAGCACGAAGGCTTACAAGTTTCTGTTCATCCGTCACACTAGGATCTTCCCAGTCAGCAACGAATTTAGCTGATTCGACACTAACAGAGCGACCTGTTTCCGTGCGTCCCTTAAAAAAACGCCTGGTAGATGCCGCTTCATACGTCGGTAGCTGACGATGCAGGTACTTATAAACGCCAAGCTGAATGATCTGCTGGACGAAAGCATCGGGCGAAAATCCTAGTGTCTTGATGACGGCTTTACCATACTTGTTGTAGTGCCATACCTTCAAATCGTGCTCGCTCATTACAGCTAGGAATTTGCGCTGTGCATTTTCAATGCTTTCTTTGATAGAGGGTGTAATTAGGAATGGAAGGTGCGAGGGCTCCGAAAAAGTGCGTTCTGGGGCCCGGCTCAGCTCATTAATAAAAGAGTCCGGATCCATGTTTGCAATATGACGACACACAAAGTCGTTTAACAGAAGTGTAGGCGTTCCGTCCATTTTAGAATGTTCGGCAAGAAATGCAGAAACACCATTTTTGGCAACGAAGAATTGTAAAGGTTTGTCAAAAAACCTATTCACACCGTTTCCATGCCAAGCAAAATGAGATTTTTCTTCCAGAGTTACAGGGCTGGCGTCCAGATCCAGACACAGTACAAAAGATGACTTTTGAATAGTTTCAAGAGACGCGCGTGAAATAGCATGAGACTCAAGCTCCTGGTATGATTGATGCCATTCATTTCTGGGCAGTGATGTCAAAACTCCGATCCCAGAGCTCGTGTTTTCCGGAAAGCGAGCACTACTTACATTTGTGATGTCATACAGTTGCTGCCAGATCGCGGATGGTCCCAATGGTTCACCGTGGTCATTATGAGTGCGCAGAGTGTAGAAGTTCCCGCGTAAGGCCACTGTGATGAATTTGTGCTCGTGAATAGAATAGAAAATGTTGGAGTCTTTGCCTTGGCCTGGAATACGGGCATTGTTGAACATGAGGTGGAAGCTGTTCATGCAGAAGGGATGGTCTTTTACAACGTCGGCCGGCAAAGACTCATCTTTGATGGCCTCCAAGAATTTGACCACTGTGGTGATGATCGCCGTGGATTTAATAAGGGGATCCGCCTGAATCTTGTTATGCGAGATCGGGAGCGGTTTGTGTACGTAAAAATACGACACGTACGGCACCACCGGGTCGTTGTACTCCAAATAGGCCTGGTTATCCCAAAATTGAGAAAGCCAGTTTCTGGATTGTCCAGCGAATTTTTGAAGCCGATTTTGGAGCTCTGGGCCCTGGTTTGCTGCAAACTCCGCACACAGTTTTCCTTGTTGTTCCAGCTGCTCTTTGGTGCGACAATAGGGTTTAATTGTTTCAATGTATTTGTGCAGCGTTTTTTCAAGTTCTGGAACGGGCAGGGACGGCATTTTTTGCTGGTTTTCGAACGTCAATCCTTGAAAACCTTTCCGTTTCTGCTGGTAAAAAGCGTTTGGATGTTGGGCCAAGTAATACTCGCCATTTCGGGTTTCAAACGGGAATTTTTGTAAAGTAGACATCATTCGTCTTGGCACTTCTAGCGTTCTCTTCATCCAAAATTGTAGAGTCTGAGTTCCTGGGATATATGCCAAAAACAGAAAAGTTCACAGTAAAGCTACAATAACAACAACAACAACAACGCTTTACCTATATTTTTCTGCAAGATGCTGGAGTTAAGGTTCATGTCTTTTTCGCCATGAAGGTTCGATTACCTTTCACAAGCCTTTTATATACTTTTTGGTTCGAATGTGCTTTCGAGCGGCATCTTGCCTTGTTACACAAGAGAGACCTGTCATGCCTCTTAGCTAGAATAACATGACCCTTATGAAACCAATAGAAGGATCACCCCCAATGGCGACGACACAGACGTTGAAAGTGATCTTGACCTTTGGATCTGCTCGCCCAGAAGTGTCAGTTTGAGAAAAAAAGTGGTAGAGTCGATAGGTTTACTCCGTATGGCGTGGTTAGGTCTGGATCTGCTCCTGTTCGTACTGCCTGCTAGCACATGTGTTTGCTTTGAATAGAGTTCTTATGCTAGTCTTGTTTTAGTTGGACCCAACACGCTGACCAGTCCCGCGAAAATTTAGGTTATTGGTAGAGTCAGTGGCACTAGCAGCTGTCCTTTGTTCTCTAGCAGCAGCAGCAGCAGCAGCCCTGTCCATCCGGGTCTTGATAGATTCGGCTTCGGTAGTCTGAGCTGTTTCCTTTTTGCTTCCCAGTTTGCGACCGTGACCTTGGTATGCATGCGTATTCTTGACTATCACGTTGACAGTGCGGCGCCGGTTGTTCGCCAGAAAGCCCCAAATGCCGGTGAACCACCTGGGAGCCCGGAAATGACCATCGTTGACAATTCCGTAGCCTAGTGTCGAGCTTCTAATGTAGCCGTAGAGCGGTCCCAGAGATCGGGTGTCCAGACAATTGTACACGTACCCCACAACAAGACCGGTTACTATGAGCGGAAAAGTCCGATGTTCGTCGTCAAAAAGGTACGATAGAAAAAGCTGCAGTAAAGGGTTGTATTTGCCCTTGATTGGGAACAGCCCATAAAACATCAAGGGTGTATTCCAGTTTTTGATGCTCCATAGACAAGTCAAAGAGGCCATGAATCCATCCGCAAGCGTGTAAGGACACTGGATTTGCGAGACCGTTACACAGCTTACCATGCCCGCCAGCAGCACCGCAAGCAGATATACATATTCTGCGTTTTCTTTACTGCTGAAATGATGGGTTTCCAAATGCGATGAGTGAGTGTAAAACTCAAAAAGCGTAAAAAGAGTCCCCATTTTGCCCTTGTTGATGATCAAGGGGCCCGTAAAGACCCTCCAAATCTGCATTTTCATGAACGCATCGTAGGGCCAAAAAGACATCCACTCGGGTGACACAATTCCTGACCTCATGAGTGTGTATAACACGAAAAACGCCAGCAGCACCGATCGGGTCACAGGTGGGATCTCGGCGAGCAATTGAGCCACTTCATTGGGCTGAGACGTTTTTTTCATGTTTGCCATATCTGAAAGTTACAAGTTTAAACTTGATGGAAGAGTTTCGATATGGGTTAAACGTCGTCTGAGGCACGCCTACCTTTTGGTAGACTCTTAAATCTCGAAGATCAACCTTATTATATGGATAGAAGATATATATTACTTGAGATTGAGTGCCTTAAAGAGTCACATGACTAGATTCAGTGCGTTTAGCTATAGCTCCTATTTTAAAGGAGACGTCAATGACGAACGAAAGATCAATGTTCAGGCCATGAATTGATTGTAATTTAATCTAAACTGGAACTATCCGGTTCTCGCGGTGTCTGTTCCTATTCTCAGATCTGATTCTCATATCCGGCGTCATATTCGTGTAAGAGTGATCCCATGCGCATGACACGATGACAGCGACAGGTATGATCAAGAAACTGGAACGACTGATACCAGTTGAGCAAAATGCTGAGAGAAACTTCAGTAGTGAATTGTCTGATCTATCTTTACTGCACTGAATTGCATGGTTTACCTCACTTATGATATCTTCCTCTGTACGGTACAGAAAGATCATATGGTTGGTTTTACGAAGTGAGAATATTAAGTCACACTGCAACTGTTTCGTACTTATACTTTGATAGTCTCGAAACTCACCTGTAGTCTCGAAAATCGCTTGTAATCTTGCCATTATCACCCGAACTTCTTCTCTCTCGAACAATCGTCTTTCCTTCGAGGCTTATCGATTTAGTAAAATACATTATTTACTGACGTTGGTATTTCTACAGCGAAAAACATGACTCTCCAGACAAGTATTGAGTTTGTAACATGTGTAAGGCTCATCATGCAGTATGAGCCAAATTTCAACCTGTAGTTTAGCTTTCACCAGTACGTAAACTTCAAGCTGTTCAACCGATAGGAAGTAAATGAGTGTTCAATTGAATTTGCATTTTGATAAAACAACGAAGTGCAGAGCATACAAGAATAAACAGAGCTGAATAATGTATGCGCTATGTGGATGCCTTAACTGGACAAAACACTCAATAAATTTTGAGCCAAGAGAATCGTCGCAGGATTCTCCAAAGTGTACCCAAAAAAGAATAAATTGAATTTCGGGAATGCTTTAACAGAACACATTTAACAGTTGTTGCTGAGTATTCTAACACGTTCTTACAGCCTGTTCTCTCGTTTGTTATCTGCTTTCTTCTCGAAAACTGGTATAAAATGTAGAAAGTGTCAGTTTCTAGTATACTACTATATCAAAAAATTTTATGATGAGAATAGCGCATTTGATCTCATCGCGGACAGTTTTCTCCCACACAGCCAGTTCCGGTGACTTCAAGCATGGCACCACGCAGCAACAGACAGATCCTTACTCAAGGTAAAAACTATGTGGCTAAACAAGCGAAGAAATTCGGTGCAGATGAGGTAACTTTTGACAAGGACTCCAGACTGGACTACTTGACAGGATTCCATAAACGTAAGCTGGAGAGGCAGAAGAAGGCTCAGGACTTCAACAAAGAACAGGCCAGACAACTCAAAGTTGAAGAACGTAAAAAACTTCGGGACCAGCGTCGAAAAGACGCGGAGGAACAAATGCGAAAATTCAAAGAAACCATGAAAGAAGTAGGCGACTACATAGGATCCGATAACGACGATTTTGACAGCGAGAAGCAGGATCAGGACGAAAACAATGACAAAGAGGATGCAGACGCAAACGAGGTACCCTGGGATGGGTTTTCAGACCATGAAGACGGTGAAAATGGTGTACGGCCTATTTTGAAGAAGTCTCAACAGCATTACGAAGACGACACACTAGTAGATATCGAGCCACTTGAACCCAACGAGAATTTCGCATATATTGCGTCTCGAAACAATGTGAAACTTGAAAAATCCGCAGAAGTACTGGATGAAAGTATTGAGCGCGCTGCCAAATATGCCAAGTTCTTAGGAATGGACGACAAGCCTAAAAAGAAGAAAAAGTTCAGGTATTTGACCAAGGCAGAAAGAAGACATAACCAGAAAAAGGCGAATACGAACAAACGCAGAAAGTAGATAATATATAATGCAGTTTCCCTTTTTCCTTGTCGGCTAGTGCGCAAGGCCATGGCCACACCACGCTTGAAAATAAATTTTATAGTAGCTTGTACTTTGGGTAATTGATGTTAGCGGATTAGATACTCTCCAGGTAATTAAATGTATCGAGTTTTCAGTTTGAAGAGTCTTCTCCACTATTCTGGAGTCTTTTCGGAGCTTTCGCCAGCGCTTGCCTCGGCCTCAAGCTTGACGAAAATCCATACCCATCTCCTGAGTAGTTCAAGTGTTTGGAGAAAAAAAATGTTAGCTTCTCCATCGAAAACACCGGCCCCGCTTATGAATTCCCATAGCCAGGCAAACCGAAGAGTGAAATCAATAAACATCGCTATGCAGTAGGCAAATTTAGGGTATATTCTGTGACCTCTCAAAAACTCATTACGGTCCATGCCTTGAGAGCTAAAATTGAAAATACCCAGGTTCCAATCCATAGTCATATCCCACCAGAACCCATAAGTGGAACTCATCAGCATAAACCAGTAAATGGAGTTTCCAGGTTTTTCACCAGGATGTGATCTTGAATAAACGGTGCACATCAGCATCGGTGAAGAAAATGAGTACTTGATGGCATTAAAAAGTGCAGCATTAGCCTCTTTTCTTGTAATCGATCTTTGCCATTCCCGAATACACTGTGTAAACCGGAGCGTGACTGGGGTGATGCCAATGATCAAATCAAGGTTGATCGACGCTCCCAAGGCGCCGCGTGTTACGATGCATTTTTCGTCCAGTGGGTCAAGTACTAGGTGGCAAAGATACAATCCAAAATCGATAAGCGGTTTGCTGTATGAAGTCAACGAATCCGTGATCAGGATATAATTGAACCTGAGAGGTTTGGGCTCGATGTTCCCGAACCACAGGATGTTTTTGAAGCAGCGAAGCAGCATTGCAGAGCTTGAGAATAGAACTGCAAAAATGGTGATAAATTGACACGCTGGCTGGACGTTCAACAAACAAACTAACCAAACCTCGGGTGCATAGTGTTGATCACCGTTGCATTGGTGCAACAAATAGCAGGTGAGTATATGCCAAGGAATTATTATTTTAGTGATTCGAGTTACCACACGATGAGTCGAATCGACCAGTTTGGAGGGTGAAGAGCGAGGCGTGAACTCCGTAGGGTCATGCGAAAAGATTAACTGCGAAATGTCAATGTGGAAAATCTTGACAAGAATTGAGATTTGCCAGTACCATAACCACAGACCGGCCACCAAAAGGATAATGCAGCGCTGCGGCAGTGGAAACAAAATCTGAAACTGCGATAGCGCTTCTTGTACCATTGGAACTTGACGTTTTTCTTCGAAATACTTGTTGTTCTAGTCTACTCCACATTATTATAGGTATAAACAAGATGAGTTACTGGTGAAAAGTTACATCACGAGGACAGCGGTCGCGAAACAGCGAGTAGTACGGGAAATGAAACCATAAAACGACTCGAATAACGCCAAAACGGTATGATCAACAAGTGCCAGCCTCTGAAATGGGTCCTGGAAATAAAGACAGTTTGGTGTTATTTTCTCAACTATAGTTTAGGCCTTACTTTCAGCAACGTATCGATTTCTAATCCTCTCCGCCGGACGTGTCCTGCGGATTCATGATTAGCATGGAATCTCGAATTTTGTTCATCACCAAGTACAATGGCTAACAAGATACCAGCAAGACTGCTACGTAAGAAGTTCAGTACACCTCGATCAAGAAAAAAAAAGTTGATGATAGATGAGAATTTACCACTTGGCGGGAGAAGGACTTGAGCAAGTATAAACAGTCCCGGCCAGTCTCCCTCAACAAATTTGCATCACACACACCATTGATCAGATATCTATTGTGTTTGGCTAATATGGTCGAATCGTTCATAATTTCGAAATCCGTTTGGGGCGACAACTTGTCATCATAATGGAGGGTGTATGAGTATGATACTCTTTTTCCAAGCACAAGGCTTGGTTGTTGCAAAAGTTGTGATTTTTACCTCTGTGGTTCATTCTCATCTACAGAGGACGCCTGTCCTCTTAACCTCCAACTCTTCACACCGCCATCTGGCGATCCAAAGTATGGCTTGAAAAAGACGTCAAGGTGTTCAAAGTCTACAGTATCCTCAGTCTCATTACGTTTCTTGTTGTTGTAGCTAATGCTTGTTCAAACGTGAAGGTACCTCGTTCGATTTTCCTTCGCTTTTTATAGTGTAATAATCTGAAAATTTTAAATGCCTGTATAATCATCACGCTTTAAAGAATAGCTGACACCTTAGGGCTTGACGAACCCAACGACGACAGAAGCCATAAACTCGATCAAATTCACTACAAGAATGTGGACATAACACGATCACTTCAGTGTCTCGAACTAGCTGTTCAGGTTATAATTATGTATTCCTTTTGTTAGGTGATTGCTAGACATAGATATTCGGTACGTAAAATCAGATTGGTACTGTCACAGCTGTGAAGTTGAGGCTGTGAACACTGTTTATCGGTGTTTAAAGAACGAACCTACCGGGAAGATTCATTAGAGTTTGTGGTCGTACCACTGGATCCTTTCCAATTTGTATACGTTGCTCCAGTGGGTTTGTGTTCTCCTCTGGTCTGCTTTGGAATTTCAGGCGACCGGCTCCGAATAGTAAAGGCAAGGGCAGGGTCCTCTTCGTCTTCCCCGATTCTCGAGGAAATAGCATGTAGACCATTTTCAGCGTGGAAAGTGTCTCTTTCTTCGCGGAAAAACTCCACATCTTGGAAGCTCTCCATCCATTCGCTCTTGCCAAGGATATTGGCCACTGGAGCACCAGGAACAGGGAAAAAGTAGTTCAGAGCCACATAGATCAGGAAAGAAACAAAAAATCCAACCAGATAGTTGAGATAGTACAATTTGATCGCACCCATGGGTACATGAATGTTGTTGCCAACGGCACCCACAAATCCGGGCATATTGGGCACAATACCGGCCAAATATGCAACCAGAGCTCTCCAGTTAATCCCAAATCTATTGCCGTACATGTATTGAGAGATGTTTTTGTCGGCACAGTACAAATGCTGCAACTCTAGCTTTCCTCTGCGCACCACGTAGTAATCTGCCACCATAACGGCGGCGATACAACTCAAAAATATGGAGTAAGCGCTCAGCGCCATCGTGAATTTGCTGGAACTTGACAAAAGGTTCCAAGGACATATGCAAAGAGCCAAAGCAGCGCAAATAAAACCACCACGTCTGATGCTAATAAATTTGGGCAACAACGCTGTCATGTCTGTACCGGCAGACAAAGAGTTGGCGCTGATGTTAGTTCCTAGCTGGGAAATGGCGAAAACAAAGGAGATTAGAAACACGCCCGCGCGTTCGCCTTTGGTGAATCCATCGCCCAAGAATCTGCCTAACACGTCCACTGGTGACCAATAATTGACCTGGTACACCTTATAAGCGGAAGAAGTGACAATAACACCTATCAAAGAGGTGATGGAGAAGAAGAATGGAATGGAAAAGGCTTGGGAGTAGGTAGCCGATAGTTTGGTCTTCGAGAAACGAGAGAAATCCGGCGCATTGACGATTAATGTGGCAAAATTCCCAATACATGCCAAGATCGACTGTACCCAGGCCCAGCCACGCTCACTAGAAGACAAAGGAGGTCCCTCGACTAGTGACTCTAGCGCGATGTGGCCATGGGATTTTTTCAAAGACCAGATCAAAAAACCAAATGCTGCAAATGGAACCAAAGCGGCTTTCACGGTGAAAAGATGGCGGATTTGATGTGGATGAACGTAAATGAAAGGTAGTTGGAATACCCAGAAGATGAAGAAACACATAAACTCATATGTGGTGGCATTAGGGCTTCCTATGTGGTCTGGAATACGGTTGGGGAGGTCATTTCCGAAAATACTTTTGAGCATCAAAGAAACTGGCGACAGGGCAATCCATGTTTGCACGGAGTACCACACAATGGCCATTACTACACGGTTTAGAACCGGCCACAGCGAGAAAAAGATACCGAACGAGGCTCTTGCGGTGATGGGGAACGAAATATGGTAGACAGAACCGATTCTCGCCACTGAAACGACAAACACGGCAACCACGGAGTAGCCAATCCAAACTGTAATCCAAGTTTCCCACCAGCTGAGACCCAATTGTAGACCAGTTGCGGCCACCTGCCAAGTGTTGATATTGAAACAGTCTGCAATCCAAAAATATACAAAGTTGAACCACGACCACAAACGACGGTCACTTTCCACAGGTTTTAGGTCATGATTGTACAGAAACGTTTCCTTGATGCTTGCGTTCCGCCCGTCTTGTTCAATTTCCAAAGCACTCAGCAGGCGTCTCCAAAATGGTGTTTTCGAGGCTTCCAGATGGCCCACCTGGCCAATTCCACTAGACTCATCGTCGGAATTCGTGTTTTTGACGTTTTCCTTTACCAGATGTTTTTCTTGACTAGACATGATAGTTTAATCAAAAGGTGTGTCTAAGACTATCAAGAACCTTGTAGAGTGGGATACTGTTGAACTTTAGGATAGAACAGACAAAAATTAAACCTGTAGACAAGCAAACGTTGGGAAAGGGCATCTTCCGGTTGTAAAAGTGACACCTATATAGTGCATTCTTCGAGGTTCTCATCGTAAGCGTTCCCTTTACAGGCCGTTTCTCACGTCAGCACAGTGGGGCCATTATAGATTATCAGTCATTACGCCGTGCTATCTATTATCATAAGCAAAGGGCATCTAGTCCGCTTGCTTGTACTGACGCAGGCCATCACAACCATCGCGGGACTTGGTGGATACGATGAGCATTACTTCTGCGAGACTTTCTGCGGCGTCACTGCGCTTAATTGCATTTTTTAACTATTCTTCCAGTAAGGGTATTCTCTCCAGAATGACAGACAGACAATTGCGACGCTATCCATCGAGGTTCAAATTAAGTTGCGGAGATTGTGATAAGAAATTACATCAACCTATACCGGAGGTGACCGAAATCCCATATTTGTATGGTTCCTATGGCTTTTCGGCCAGCTCCGTTTGATAAGTTTTGAAGCTTGATAATTCGTAGTGCCCATAATGAGGCAAATCGAGATAAGGTATGTTGATAGTCCAGTCACATGAAGCTACGGAGGACAAAGTAAGGACCGGCGAAAGCCACTAAATGCAAGCATTATTGAGGTTCAAGGTAACTAAGTGCATAACCGTTGAAATTGTGAGCTGACTTCTTGGCACAAAATGCGAACGTCGTTTTTAGCTAATTATTCGCCTAGAAAAAACAAACGGGCTGTTAGCAACGTTTTTCGAGGGCACAATGCTTGTTTGCCATAGTTGAAAAAAGAGGCTACAAATCTGGCAATAAGTTAAGGCCTCGACTCAGCAATATCCCCGGGTCACCCCTGGTGGTATAGCTGGGACAATAGGGAAAGCGGTAGCTGGGACGCGAAGCGACTGAGGGTTTGGAGAAACTTATTTGAGCAAACCACGCCATTCGAATGCTTGGAGCTTTGTGTGAATCACTTTCGTATGGTATAGAGATTGTGGGATGGACGACACTTTAGTAAAAAGTGATATCTCACAAGCATTGTCTAATTGTGTTTCCCCTTCTAACAAGGAAGAAACAAGGTCCTGTTAAGTAGTTATTTACACAGCAGTTGCATGGTATCCCAGCACGATTGGCTCTCTGAGGTGATCGCTGGAGGAGGGTCGTATAATATTGCAATCACGCGGTGTATAGTTGCGCGACAGTTTGGAAAATAGTGACAAGGGATTTGTTGCAGGTCCGTCGGGCAAGTGTCCTCTCTGCATTGAGAAAAGCTTGGAAAGGCCAGCAGCTGAAAGAGATTGTGATTATGCTTCGAAGGCTGGATTAGGTAGCCGAAATTTTAGGTTATTCGATTTCAGCAGCATTTCCACTTCTTGCAGCTAGATTTCCTGGGACTATTTATTAATCAGTGACTTGGGACATTGTGATTGCTATTCTTGAACAGGAAACATGCCTTTCTGACCAAAATCAGCATCGAATGATAATGGTCTCACGAAGGAACAATATTTCAGTACAGCTTGACAGGAAACTGAATAGAAAGTCCTTTAACGCACGTGACTTGAAGAAGGTGAGAAAGTGCAGCATGGTGGAAAAGGTGGACTGAATAACCATAGACACTCAACAATGTGCCAGATTTCTGACACCATCTCGGATAATGAAACTACATCTGTCGGGTATCATTGCCCTGCTACATCAACAGGTCAAACTCATGGTGAGCTGCATCACTATTAACGTAATGGAACATTATCATCAGTGCGATCAACGTAACTGAAATTGCATGAAACGCTTCATCTGCGTCATATCCACCATCAGCTCAGAAATCAATTTCTATGAGCTCTTCTACTAATGCAACAAACGGAACTGACAAAACTCAATTGATATAACTTTCGGTCTCACGTGATATAACAAGATTTTCAAAATTTCAGTGTCTCGGACAACAAAATACATAAATTAGCTCAGCTTTCCGAGGTACTTCGCATCAAATCTCTCCCAGCGAAAGCCCAGCCTTCCATTTTTCCACTACAGTGACACAACCTCTCAGCAGTGACGAAAAACTCAATTTAAAATTCAAGATCACGTTTCACGAAAACAGATATCAAAAAATTTTGGTGAACATCAAGTTAAACAACCCATTATCATTGATGTGAGAATATCGAGACAAATTCACAATTGGATCACCTGGCCGGTGGCTATTCGACCCTTATGAACCTTTTTAGAAACCTGGGAACGTCGTTCAAGCGACTCCCGGCGCTTTCAGGGCTCCAAAATGCCCGGCAGCTGACCACAGGCGTACGTTTGTCCCAAATGGAGACTAAGACAGATCCAACGCCAGTCAGCGCAAGGATGCTGAAAATTGTACCGAACGATACTGATCTGGTCACGCTGGAGAAACAGGATGCCCTGATAAAGAGAAGACGGAAACTTTCGAAAGAAATCGTGAAACTGAAAAAGCTAAAGCCTGTATCGCCAGGTCTAAGGTGGTATAGAGCGCCAATTTATCCTTACCTACACAATGGGCGTCCTATCAGAACTTTGACTATTGCCAAGAGGTCTAGCGGTGGTAGGAATCATTCTGGCCGCATTACAGTGCGTCATCGTGGTGGTGGTCACAAACGTAGAATCCGTTTGGTTGATTTCACTCGTTTTACTCCTGGCGAGCAAATCGTACAGAGAATCGAATACGATCCTGGTAGAACCGCCCATATAGCTCTTTTAAAGCATTCTGAATCAGGAGAGCTTAGTTACATCCTTGCATGTGACGGTTTGAGAGCTGGTGATGTGGTGGAATCCTACAGAAAGGGAGTACCTAAAAATTTATTACAAGAGATGGGTGGAAGGATTGATCCCGCTATTCTTAGTGTGCGAACCGCTCAGAGAGGAAACTGTTTGCCAATATCAATGATTCCAGTCGGCGCCATCATTCACAACGTTGGTGTCACACCAATAGGGCCCGGTAAATTCTGTCGTGCAGCCGGTGCCTACGCGCGTGTTATTTCAAAATTACCCGAGAAGAAAAAGGCCATTATTCGTCTTCAAAGTGGAGAACAGCGTTTAGTGGCATTAGAAGCATGCGCAACACTGGGTGTTGTTTCAAATATTGACCATCAAAACGAATCTCTGGGAAAGGCTGGTAGATCTAGATGGAGAGGCATTAGACCCACAGTGCGTGGTGTTGCTATGAACAAGTGTGATCATCCTCACGGTGGTGGTAGAGGTAAGTCAAAGTCGAAAAAACTTTCGGTTTCTCCTTGGGGCCAGCTGGCAAAGGGCTACAAAACCAGACGCGGTAAGAACCAAAACAGAATGAAGGTCAAAGATAGACCTCGGGGTAAATCTGGCAAGGCTACAAGACAATAAGCACTCTTAAAATAAACCCCGGCTCTCTTTTTACGAGGAAGAACAAAAATCCGGTTCCTGTTCATAACGTTATCCTTGTATATATATTACAGTAATAATGATCCATCTACTCGTTACTTAATCGTTCAAACCGCCAATTTCCTAGCTCCGCAATAGTGCCAATAATCAGTTTTACATGCTCAGCCATGTGGTCGAAGCTTAAGCGATCCAATGTATCCATCGTCGTGTGAATATACTTGTTCTTCTTGGAAAAATCACTCTCAATGACTAAAGCGGCAGGATACCCGTTCCTAGTTGCGCTGCTATGGTCACTGCATGCATAACCGCATTTAGTTTCAACATATGGGATGTTCAGATACTTCTTGATTACTCGCTTAAGAAAGTTCGTCAAAAGCGGGCTTGTATGATCGGTTATGAGTCCTAAATGCTCATTCTGAGAGTCCTCTACATACCCCGTCATATCCTGTTGAATCATTGCCACCACTGTCTGGTTCTGCTGCGCATAATGGGTGAAAATGTCAAGAGATCCAAGAAGTCCTCCCTCTTCGGCTGAATAAAAATGGAATTCAATTGTATTTCTGGGCCAATCTTGAGTTTTGTTCAAATAGTAAGTGTATATTCTGAGTGCCTCAATATTCGTGACTGTTCCAGAACCGTTGTCGTCCGCGCCCGGTGCTGGTAAACTCGATGGAAATATCAAATTCATAGAGTCCTGATGGGATCCAAACACAATCAAATTTTCTGGAGTTTCAGAGCCTTGAATTCTAACTATTATGGAGAATTGTTTCCAATCGTGGTGGTCGACATGAAATTGGGTAGCTCTATCGCCCAGCGATTTCGTTACATTTCGTAGTCTGTTAGAGAGCCATGTTGCGGACTCGTAACCATATTCTGATTTGTAGTATCGAGTGTAGAAGTTTGTGAATAGTGCTAGATCTTCAAACATTGCCTTAGTGTCACATCTTTCTAGTATTTCTGAAACCTTCTTTTCGTTCGTGAGTTGTTTAGGGTATGAGTAGTTCACAACCTTTGAGCCCTCCTTAGACCTCAAAAATGATGGAAAAGCGGTGATATCAAAGAATCTCACGCCCTGACGCTTAAGCAAAAGCTTTTCGTGGTCTGTCACGTCTAAAACTTCTGTTTGTGAAATTTGTATTGTTCGCAGTTCTTCATCTTTGAAGCGTGGAATGACCCATGAAGCTAGTGAGAGAAGGCTGGCTACTTTCATCCCTATATGTTTGACCCGATGGTAGGTGGGTGGGGGGACACCTTGAATACAGGGGTATACCTCTAATCTTTGTTTTCAAGTAGCCGGTGCTACATTGTTCTAGTACATGTCTATTTCAAATTAAGTTTTATGTGGTCCTATGTCATCTTGGTGAGACATACTAAAGGCTAGAAAATCACATCGTCTTCGTTCTCAGCAAGGACGTCTGGGGCGTCTTGAACTGTTTTAGCGTTTGTTTCCGATTTTGGAGCTGTAGGTTCTTCATCTTTGGACACTTTACCTGAACTGCCAGCTTCTTCGGCAGAACCAGCTTCTCTCTGCAATTGAGCATCAAGCTCTGCAGTTTGCTGCTGTTTCTTTTCCTGGACCTTTTTCAATCTGTAGAACTCTTCTCTATCCAACTCGTCGAGTTCACTGTTGATGTACGCAATGGTGTTCTCAGTCCGTGGAATAATAACGTGCTCAATAGCGTTGACTCTTCTGTTGGTGACTTTGATGACCTCATCTAAAATCACAAAGGCGGTTTGCAGCGAAGCAAGCTCCACCAAAGTCTCTACGGCCCTCGAATAGATTTCCTTTGCACGTTGGACTTGCTGTCCACCACGACCCAGACCGGTCAATTTGAAATCGTTGATCTCTGGATCGATAAAACTTTCAAACTGTGGCAAATACACACCACTGACGTTCTCCTGGCGAGCACGCACCTTGAATCTGGCCGTGGAAACATTTTCTTGGACCTGATACCCAATGTTTTCGCCAGTAGCATAAGTAACTTCGGCCAGCGAAAATGCAGCAGTCTGCATTACACGGCCCATTTTTTGTTTTGCATCGTCAATACGTCTTGTGATGTCCCTGAACCGCTTTGTAAGAGCTTCGGACTTTCTTTTCAAAAGCGAATGGCCCTGGTTGGCTCCCTTGAGCTTAGATTTCATCAGTCCCAACGTCATACGCGTTGGGAACACCTGTTCTCTATTGGAAGACATTTTTTGGGCGATTAATGGCTCTATGTAAAGCTAAAATCAGCTAACTAGCAGATAAGATATCTTGGTGCTATATAAGCGCTTCCTCCCGCTGAATGATCTTTAGTTTACGGCTTTTTACACTGCCAAATGTAGTGTTCTAAAACCATTTTCCCTATCTTTAATGGGTTTTCATGGTCTCGAGTACTTTTATAACTCAGACTCACGAGTACTTCAATTTTCAAGACGAAATAAATACAATCGATGAACTCATCTCATCGAGCTCATCGAGCTATCAAACCCATTGTTTCAACCTTCATCTACCCGTTTAAGTTCGACCTTTCAGCTCTGTTGGTGGTGTTATGGATGATACGATTGCGGTATATGTGAAAACCCAAGAAGATTTGGCTTTTGAGTATGAACTACAATCAAACGGTGACGATATTGTAGTGTGGAAACGCTACCTCGAACACCGAAAGGCATGCGAAAATCCGGCCGCTTTGGCTTGGGTTTACGAGCGCTGCTGCTACCACTTTCCTGGCGACTGTAGTATGTGGTTAGAGTATTTACAATGGCGCGTAGCGCTTTTGGTAGAAGCTAACGCTGTGATTTTCGCAGGCGAATTTGAAAAGTGTAATAAGCTGTTTGAGAAGGCCATGTACTTGTGTTACCAAGACGTGGGAATATGGGAGCTATATTTAAGACATTGCGTCAAACAGCGGAACTTAGGTTTCATACGAGACGTTCTGAACCGAGCGCTTCAAAATGTGCCTCTCGAACATCACATTCGGTTATGGGCTCCCGTGGTTGAACTTATTGAAACCCTGCTTCAGAATCGACCAGAGCATGAGTTTGCGGACCCCGATTTGGAATTTATAGTGCAGCAGGCTCTAAAGGAGTCTTCCAGTGATCTACACGCTGTACCGAAAGACTTGTGGTCGTCCCATTTACTAGCACGGTATATTCAGGTGGCAGAAGAGCAGGAGCACATACTGCGTCTGATCGGTTTGACAGGCGACCATCATACAATTTCCAAAGTCTACAACGAAAAAATCATCCTACGAAAAGACTTCAAACCAGTTGAACGCCCGTTATTTGGCTTCTACGAACTCTACCTAAACGCACTGGAAAGCACATGTGGCCACCAACGGTATAATCAGATTATGGCTCAATGTCTTGAAATGTTTCCAGAACAGAGTTCCACGCTGGTAATAACCTTGAGCATTTATTTCATAAAAAGAAGAAAATTCAACGAGGCGAGAAACGTGCTGCAGGATTCTCTGTCATCTACCACTAGCATGAATTCGTTTTCTCGAATTTATGACTTTTTGGTGAAATTTCTGGAAGTGTACGTCTCTAGCTGCATGGATTTAGCTCAACACGAGGATGGCTATGAGCAGCAACATATTCAACTCGATCGTGAAATATCCTTCAACATAGAGGTCTTAGAAAATCTGATGGATTCTCACTCACTGTTAGTGAGTGATCTTAGATTGAGACAAAATGTCAATGATGTCAAGGTTTGGATGGACAGAGTCCAGCTTTATTCAGGTCTGCAAGAAAAACTTCATGTTTACACTGATGCTTTGGTCAAGATTAATCCCGCTTTGGTCACCGAACCCGCTGTTCTTGGGAAACTGTGGTGCAATTTGGGTGATCTTTACATTAGCAATGGCCAGATTGATTTTGCAAGAGAATCCTTTGAGAGGTCTACCCGAGTTCCTTTTCGTTTTCTTCAAGACCTTGAAAATGTGTGGCATAAATGGGCAGAGATGGAGGTAGAATGCAGTCGTTTACCAGACGCGTTGAAGATTCTAAAAAGGGCACTTGTGCTTCCTGAGTCTCCAGACCTTGTGGTCGAGAAGTACGAGTCAGTAAAAAGCGGGATCCCTGTTCAGGCCGTGCTTTTTACTTCTCTGAAGCTTTGGTCTTTCTACATTGATCTGCTTGAAGTCTCTTCAAATACAGCCAAAGTCGTCGAGGCATATGAAAACATCATATCTCTCAAGCTAGCGACTCCGGTACATTTTATAAATTACGCCCACTTCTGGCAGGAACGGGATGGGTGGGATGACAGTTTCAAGATATACGAGCGGGCTCTGGTCATCTTCCCGGGCGCAGTTCGTTTAGACTTATGGAGGATTTACCTGAAAGTGTCCACGGACCGATTAAGACCCGCAGAAACTATGCGTGATCTGTTTGAGCAGGCTGTGCTACTTGCGGGTGAGGGCATGGATTGTTCAGATGTTTTTATCCAATACGGTGAATTTGAAGAAAAACAGGGCATGCAAAAAAGATGCATCGATATTCTTGTGAATGGGAGTACTCAGATTCGTGACGAAACTTCCAAGCTGCGATTATGGAGTCTGTGTCTTGAAAAATGCAAAAGCTTTTTGGGACTGAAGGCATCGCGAGATTTGTACACGAAATGCATTCAAAATCTGCCGAACTCCAAAGTCATTCCTTTTGTGCTCGATTTCGCTGGATTGGAAGAGACGCTCGGTGATATTGCGCGGGCTCGGGCAGTGCTTCGATTTGGCGCACAATTGGCGCATCCGAGTTCAAATACCAAATTGTGGGACTACTGGAACGAACTGGAGCTCAGACATGGGGACAAGATTTCATTCAAGGAGATGTTAAGGACCAAAAGAGGATTGTCCGACTCTTTGAAAGTTTCTACTGAAGACGTCTCGAGAGAAGACGGAAACGTTGAATTCGTTGTTTCCAAGGCCGGTTCGAACCTCGAGCCAGAACAGACAACGGTCAATCCTGCTGAGATCTCACTAGATATTTAAATAAGAATCAACCGCAGCAAAACTAAGAGCCTTTTGAAGCAACCAATGACAGAGAACCGTTCTTATATGTTATAGTGACGGTTTGTTACGGAAGCCGCGTTATTGAATATCATATCAAACGTGACAAAGCTTGAAATTCAAAAAATAACGACAACTGCAGGATTCGAACCTGCGCGGGCAGAGCCCAAAAGATTTCTAATCTTACGCCTTAACCACTCGGCCAAATTGCCCGTTTTTTGAAATTTCAAAATACATTTGAAACTATAGCAGCAAAGCTTACCCCGTGGCCTGCCCAAATTTAAAAACCTTCCAAGATAAGTATCAAGGCACTGTTTGATACAGTCAAACGTAAAGCTCTAAACCAGCAAATGCTTTGACTTACTACTCAGTTTATCTAGCTTATCTGAAGCTTACGCTCCCGGCTCCGGGGTCCTTCATGGTCACGTGGTCCTCGGAAGCGGGATAATATCGTCCGATGCGTTTTTCGGTATACGAGAAATATTTCACTAAATTCACATATAATGTCAACAGCTTCATCGTTGCCGACTTTTGACGTATAAATAGGATCATATCTTGACGTCTCGGAAAGTTTAGCTCGTTCGTAACGCAGATTTCAGAACTCTGATTGTATTCAATAATTGTATCTGCTAATCGGTGTCCAAAATGACGACTACCAAGACGCTACCGCTGTATACAGCGCAACAGCTGCAAACTCACAACTCGGACAAAGATTGCTGGGTCTCTCTATACAACCGCAAGATTTACAATGTGACAAGGTTCTTGGATGAACATCCAGGTGGACCAGAACTGATTTTGGAATATGCCGGGAAAGACATCACAGACGTTTTGAAAGATCAGGTAACGCACGAACACTCAGTCACTGCGTACGAGACACTTGACGAGAATTATCTGGTGGGATATCTGGCCACACCGGAAGAGGAGAGTAAACTGTTGAATGGGACCGCCAATGGAGCGCCAATGGAGGTAAAACTAGAGGAAGAATACGATTCCACCGTTTTCGTTCCTGAAGTCCCACCAGAAGAAAAGTTGAGCATTGTCACAGACTACTCACGTGACTTCACGCGTCACAAGTTTCTGGATCTAAACAAGCCTCTGTTAGTCCAGATGCTTCGTGCGGATTTTTCCAAGGAATTTTATTTGGACCAAATCCACCGTCCCCGTCACTACGGTCGTGGTTCGGCGCCTTTGTTCGGAAACTTCCTGGAACCACTTTCTAAGACTTCCTGGTACGTCATCCCCATCGTGTGGTTCCCGGTTATCCTGTATCACATCTACACTGCATTTCAGAACATGAACAAAGTCTTCGCTACGTTTTTGTTCGGTGTAGGGCTGTTTGTCTGGACACTCATTGAATACGGTCTACATCGTTTCCTTTTTCACTTGGACGAGTATCTGCCACGCCATCAGGTCGCTTATACAGTTCATTTTCTACTGCACGGTGTTCACCATTATCTCCCCATGGATCGCTATAGGCTTGTAATGCCACCAACTCTGTTTGTGGCTCTCTGCACGCCGTTCTATAAGCTTGTTTTTGCTCTGTTACCATATTACTGGGCCTGCGCTGGTTTTGCAGGAGGCATGTTTGGATATATGTGCTACGATCTGACACACTACTTTTTGCATCACGCCAAACTTCCAACGTATTTGCAGAAGCTCAAGAGATACCACATGGAGCACCACTACAAAAATTACGAACTAGGTTTTGGTGTCACTTCTTGGTTTTGGGATAAGGTTTTCGGCACATACCTAGGTGAAAATGCGCCATTGTCTAAAATGAAGTTTGAGTAAGCCATAGTTACTCTGCGAGATATATATTTAAAACACAGTTAGTATGCCATGGTATTGTGGGCTGAAAGACAAGTTTGAATATAGTTCTTACGCACTACAAAAATCATTCCATTACTATATGACTAGAGGGTCTGGTCAACGCTTTTGCCAAATCTTCAAGTCGCTGATCTATGTCGACAATTTTAGGTTTTTCAATCACCGGTGCCAGCATCATTTGTACAAGTTTCGACTCATCGTGATACTTGCACCACTTCGCATGTCCTTTGAAGTCAGGGTCTTTGAAACTCTTTACAAATGCCCGATGGTAGCACCCCGTGCATTCTATAACAGAACTACTGATCAAGGTGTAGCCCTTCAAAATAAGACTCAGCTTATCGAGAGAAGGTAAAGAATGTTCGCTTCCGAGCATAGACCTCAAACGGCCCACCGCCTCCGCATCAAAATGCACTTTTTCCTCCAAATCCCAAGCCACCGATCTGCTCAGTTCTTCTAAAACTCTTCGAAACTCTAGGCACAGGTTCTCGTGGTTCAAATAGTAATTTCTTTGGATATCGAATCCTTTGGAATATTTTAAACACCCGACTTTATGTGCTTTAGCCAAAAGTGTTGCAGCTTGATTTTTGAATCCATTGGTACTCAAATAGTCCTCTACTTTCAAATGAAACACGGTGGAGCAATCGGAACACTTAAGTGCCAAAATACGTTCATCATTGATGATCTGGAGCGGAATTGCAGACCATCCAGCCGCTGCTACCACGGCAAGGTCGGCACTGTTTTCGACAGCGGCCAACCTTCTAGAACTTTGAACCAAAGATTTCAAGGAACTTTGGAACTCTTGGGCCCCTAGCCGCCAAGTTGGGACACTATATAATCGTTCATACAAGTTCCCCACTTTCTGGAATTTCTCCGGTAGTAAAGCGTTTTTCTTTGACCTATGAGTCTTGGTCCTGTATTTGTATTTGTTGATGATTCTTCGAGCTTCCAAAGGAGGCCTTTGAATTGGTCCTGGGATATTGAAGTCCTCTACTCCTTTTTTAATCGCCTCGAGACGCTCTATGAGCTTCGAATCCATATTTCAATGTTTTCCTGTGTTGAGACCTTGAGTGTAATATCTTACCAAAGAATGCAATTGACGATTTCAGAGCAGGGTGCAATTGAAATTGTACTCAATTAAAATACACAGAAGATATTACAAGTGGATTGGGAGTGCCGAGTAGAGCCGGGCACGTCTCTGGTTCGAACTTATATTCTCGAGCCCGATGCTCCAAATCGTGTATATTATGTATATTACGCTTTAACGCTTGAGTTATGGTGACGGGAAACAATTTAATGATAAAAATGCTAGGGCACCAAAAGACATTGGCTACTTGACCGGCTTAGGGGAAAGTGTATTTCAGAGGTTTGACTGGCAGAGCATAGTTGATGCTTGTCATACTTCTTTCAAAAATTGCATTCGTCGGGCTGTTTTCAGAGTCGTTTTGCATGGGAAATTGAAAAGATAGATAGCATCAGTTTCGCCGGTTATGGAATATTCAGAACATGACGAATTTTTTGCAGTGGTAGGTAGCAAAATTTTGCATCTTTAGTGTTGCGTTAGAAGGCGTAGTGATCAACAATTGACTTATCATATCTTTTGGGTTTTCTGATATTTTACTCAATAAGCTGTCCAGATCGAAGTCACTTTTTGTTTGCCATCGCGCTTAATTGTTCCTGCACGCGACAGATAGCAAGCATCTATGGATAACGCATCAAGTACTTCAAGAGTTGGGAAGCTCTCTGTTATTATGATAAGCGATATGATGAGGTTCAACAGTTTACAATCGTTTCGAGTCTCCGTGTCTGGAGTTTCGCTGCACAATGAGCTTCCCCTACCATTGGTAGCGTTTTCTATTGTCATGAACTATCATTTGATTGACATCTAAAGTGATCTATCCTTATAGTCTTGAAAATACAGATGTTGATCCAGTGAATTGGCGAGAGTTTTCTGTTCTATACATTCCGGAAATTATCTCACCAATAATAAAGCAGACAAGGTAGGTGGTCCGGGTTCAGATCAGACCATGGAGCTAAGGAGTCAGGAATGTGGTATTTCAAATCGTCAGCTCATAAATTCTGACGCTGTCTTTGTGCACGTGATCTATGACCACCTCACAGTGGATCTGACGTTACACAGGCACTAACATTTCATCATCTATGTAAAAAGTACAGCAATGTGAGGAAACATCTCAAATGGCTCTCAGCAGGGTGCTTTTTCAAGCTTTCTTGTTCAAGTTTACTATCCTGGTAACTCGCTGAAACTGACGTTAGTCACATGAATGATGAGTTTTTAAGCCAACGTTTTGTGGAAGCGAAGCAACCCAAATTCGAATTATTTCAAGATTTTTTGGATGGCTAGCTTTCCCAGTCCTGACGAGAATGATCTCATTGTAAATACCGAAATCTCACGTCGCATGTGGAAATTGATACATCTTTCACAAACCCAGGCAGAAGTACAGAAATACAGAAGCAATAACACGTATGAGCACAGTCAGCTGGAATAAACGCTTATAAATTAAAGACGTAATTGCCTTTTCCTCTCTCGGATCAATAATACCAAACTGTTGAAGCTACGGTTCAAAAAGCGTCAGATCACTTTATACTATACTGTCTTTGACTAGATCGGATATTTTCATTCGAAGATTAGAACAACAAACAGCAAACTCAACCACACCCACCACATATCATTGACCTTAACAATGTAATTATTTGCAAGAAGCTGTCTAGCGTCTAAAAATCGGTGAGCTAACAACAAACAAGTTTGTACAAACATTCCCTCGTACACGACGATATGTAAGCCTGACTACAATTGTAATCGTATCCATACTCGGTCTAAGCAAGACTGTAGTCTTCAGTTGGCTGATTTAAGATTTGCTACAAGATATGTATCTTCTCAATGCTCCTCATTACCACTTCCTTTAATGAGTGTTTCTTTACCATCTCACCTGTCGAGAACTTCACCAAAAAAATAACCCAACATAAGAGCACTAGTTCAGACTCGTCTAAAGCATAGTTATTGGCATTTCCAGTTGCTCTTGTGACCTCTTGAAACCCACCAACCTGTATCAAGTTCATGTGCGTCTTGTCACTTTGTCCTTTCCCTGTCACCGAGTCATCACAGGAAAAATTGATGAGCTAAAAAATTCTGATCACTTCCAGGCTCAACATTCAGGACAGAAAGAACGCACAAACAGCTCAAGCCGATATCTCACCAGCAGATCAAGCTGCTTGTCGCTTACTGTTCTTACCTTGTTTGCTGCCCCGATAGAAAAAGACCGAAATTTTTCGTGCTGGTGATATAAGTTCGAATCTTCCTGGCAGTTAACCATCATCTTTTTCCCAGTTTTTCGAGAAAAAGGTCAGTTTTTGCTTGCTATTTTAGATTTCTCTTTGAACAGAGCCCTATAGTCCGTGAATCTGCACGACCTACCCCCATTCAGTCGTAAGTGAAGCCAAAAAATATGCCAGTTGTGTTAGAAGACTACCAGAAAAACTTTTTGGACTTGGCGCTGGAAAGCCAGGCGCTCAGATTTGGAAATTTCACTTTGAAATCCGGTCGCCAATCGCCATACTTTTTCAACCTTGGTCAGTTCAACACCGGGAAATTGTTGTCGAATTTGGCCACAGCGTACGCTATAGCTATCATCCAATCGGATTTGAAATTTGACGTCATCTTCGGTCCAGCTTACAAGGGTATCCCACTTGCAGCCATTGTGTGTGTAAAGCTTGCGGAAATCGGTGGCACAAAGTTCCAGAATGTGCAATACTCGTTCAACCGCAAAGAAGCTAAGACTCACGGTGAAGGTGGCAGCATCGTTGGCGCCCCTCTTCAGGACCAGCGCGTCTTGATTATCGACGATGTGATGACTGCTGGAACTGCCATCAACGAAGCGTTTAGCATCATTGCCGAGAACAACGGAAATGTAGTAGGTACTATTGTGTCTTTGGACAGACAAGAGGTTCTCAGCGTCGAGTCTAAAGAACGTGTGAGTGCTACACAAGCTGTGTCCCAGAGACACAACATTCCAGTTTTGAGCATTGTCACTTTTGCTAATATCATCCATTATCTCGACGGTAAGATTACTCCGGACGACAAACGCCACATGGAGGATTATTTGCAGACTTACGGTGTTTAAATTATGGCCCGTTAAGGACTGGGTTTCCAAACTCATAGAGCCTTCATTTCTGGAGACCTTTTTTTGTCCGTCACTCCAGAGTTTATGAGAGAACGTAATTTTCACCCTCCTATTCCGTTGATGTCATTGACGCTATACACACCATCAACGATACCTCGTAAGCTCGATTAATATGTACTTTTTGATTTGCTAATTGTCGTACTCGCAATACTGGGTATGTCTATTCTATGGAAGTCTTGACGACTGCGAAGTAGGAGCATTCATGAGCAGAGTCAGTACCGAAGATACGGTTTCAAAAACATTTGTGACACAAGAGCCGGACTCTTCCAAAATGTCACTGATTGATATTATTAATTCAGGCCGAGAGCTCACTGATATACAAACTGACTTTCCTAAACTACCTGCGAACCATCTTGTATTTATTTTTGGGTGCCTTTGGAGTCTTCTCGGCTACAACCGGGGCGGGAGCCTCATAAATCGATTTTACCATCGGATGACCCATACTCAATGGACTGTGAATAGGAACTATTTCGTTCATGGTAAATCCTTTGACCTTTGGAACTTTCCTTGGCTCGTAATCTTCGGCACCTGCCTCCATTGCGACGGCGTCTTTCAAACTTTCTAACGTAGTAGGATGCTTCTTGAGATATGAAGCGATAAGCTTCATTAACATCCGTCTGTTTTTGTAAAGGGATGGATTCGTGGATTCACCTTCGTCTTTCATGTAGAAACGTATCCTTCCTGGGTTTCCGAAATCCTGCGGATGGCATTTCTGAGCTTCAATCACGCAAGGTACACGCAGTTGGGTCAATGCATCCGCTATGGTTTGTGCTAAAGGATTTTCCACGGCAAGTTCCGCAGAAACTCGTCTCCCTTGTTTGTGTGATCTGTTTTTGTCGAAGTAACATGGATATAGTATCTGGAATTTCTTAATTTGTTGTTTCTGTTCCTCGGTGAACTCCACAACTCTTGAAGGCCCTGAAGGCGCATTTTGAGGGCCACGTACGGACGTCTGATTTACTGGGAAAAGAGAAGGCTCATCATCTTGGCTTCGTTTTACTTCTGGCACTATTCTTGGAGCCACTGGAGATTTCATATTATGATCTATCTCAGCAAGATCCATGTCGAGATTATCGATATCATCATAGTCGTCAATTTCTTCGAGCTTGGGCATTGTTTAAAGGGCAAAAGATTCACTGAGCTCTGTGAAAGGTGCTTGCCTAACCAGTCTCAAATGTCACTCTGATCAAGCAGCTCTCTAGCCAGCTCTTCTTTCTCAACACTCAATTTACCTTCAAATTCCAAAAATTTTGATTACTATGAAAAATGGTCACGTGATTCTCGAAAACTGGTGGGGAAGTGATTTAATTTTTCGCCATAGTGAGTCTTATCCTTTAAGCATGGATGTGTCGACAATGCTGCTTGAATTTACCGTACTCTTTCTTTGTTTGGTTCTTTGTCTATGGTGTACTTTTTAACTCCGAGTTCAAATTATACTGTCGCACGTGACGTTCTGAAAGGAGCACCAAAAGATGACCGACATCATGATTTTGGCAGCCAATGGGCGTGTAGTCCAGAGGGATGATGTGCTGACAATGTTCTGGCTCATCAGGCTCTCATCCTAGCAAAGAAAAATTGTCAACCATCAAGATGAAATGATCTCTGAATTTCATTTTCGACAAAAGTAGGCGAATTCGAAAAAGTTTAAGTCAAAGTTTGTGATAAAGCGGTTTCACAATCCGTGATAACTCTGATTGCCCCAATCCCTCGAATTGAGTCTCTCAAGTCCAAAAAAATCCAGTGACGACTGTGTAGTACATAGTGATAACATTTAGACTTAATTGACGCTTTAAGCGTAAGAAACTCATCTCAAATGCTTTCCAAGAAGAAGCTTTCTCCTTCCACCCTCAAAATCTCTCATATATCAGGTGTTAGGCCACTCATTGATTTTAGTTACCTTTCAGGTGCTTTAATGAACTTACAAAAAGCAGTCCTCATACAAAGTTTGCCCGCTTCAAGTTGAACATTTGAAAACTAGTCTTTCGATGAGCAGCGACGATGAAAGTACGCACGTTGGCGATCGTCCCGTGCAGAAATTTTCGCAAGAGGTTCTAAGCGAGGCCAATGAGCTTCTAGATGCCCTGGAACACACTCATCGCAATGATTTAGCCCTACATTTGTATTCGACCTTTCTGTTGAAATCCGTTCTCAAAGCTGCAAACAGGAAGAAATATGGTTTGGAAACCAACACTTTTATCAAGACGCAGATAAAAGACAATTGGACCAGCTGGCCAAATCCATCTACGGTAATAGATCCTAAAATCGACACCATTTTCGAGGACGTTAATGGTTCAAGACCAACCAACCCAGACGCCACGATTCCAGGCAATATATCACCAGACGAGCTTCAGCATGGTGCTAAGATGGTTCATGGTGAATTAAATGCAGTTTGGCAGCAGTCACTGACAAAAATGGCATCTGAAAATGGCGTCGTTCTCGATATTGACAAAATGGAAATTCCCCAGGGCATTACAATGGCAGTGCTGTCAAAAATGGATCATTTCTTCAAGGGTATTCACACAAATATTGCATCCATGAACAAGCTGGTGGTCACTCAGACTAGCGGAACGAGTCAGTTGAAAGTAACTGAGCACCAACCTAATGAGAAGCCTTTAGACATGAACAGAAAAATCAAACTCGATTACCACGATGTTATAATGCGTGGCTGTCAAATGGGTGAAGAAATGTACGATGTCTACATGAAGGGATTGGAGCTTTTCAGTGATATCCCATCAAAATACAGAAATCAAGAATTCAAGCTACCTCAAGAGGAGATTACAAAATATACATCGAAGAAGCGAGAAACAAATCAAGAAAAGCCTAAGACTGCCAATAAAAAAGCTGGCTACATTATGGCAGAGACTCTATTGCATCGAAACACGCTTTCTTTTGAAAACAGACTCAAATTAAGATCGATTTTAAACAAGCATCAAGACCGCTCGCTAGACGAAAAAACGTATTTACATCTGGAAAATTTTGTGAACGCGCGTCTCATTGATAGAGATCAAGACATTAATCTAAGTTTAAATGACTGTTTGGTACCTATCCGCCGCACAAAATCACGTTACGCTCGGAAAAAGCTCCGCTAGCAAAATGTCCATCAATTCCAAGAGCAAACTGGCATTCAAGTATTCATTTTGTAGCATTGAGTATATTTCGAGGGCTGTTTCTCTCGACTTTCTCACACCAAACACGCGGCTGCATGTTTCTACCATTAAGCCTTGCAGTTTATTCCTAGCTTGGATACTTATCTGGACAGTGTCTTCTCTTTCATTTGATGGCTCTCCAGTTTCGAGCTTTTTGAAAAAAATATCGTCAACCCAGAGCTTCATGCGGACCTTGCTCGCAGTCCTCGCAGTGCTAGCTGGGTTTGTCATCGAGTCTATCGAATCTTTGATGTACTTCTCGATGGTGCTTCCCAGAAGTTGTTGTATAACCACAAGCAAAGCCCGACCTCTGAGCCAGCTAGATCGCGAATCTTTCAGAGAAAACACGGTCACAAGGAACTCACATAGTACCCTGATGAAAGAACGTTTTTTGAAATCGTCCCCTTCATTGAGAGCATCATCTTGGTGCTGTATTTGAGGGCCATCTGAATCAGAATCATGTCCCGGCTTCGGTTTTCCAGGAAGTTGAGACACATTCGGTGCCGGTTCGAAGAGCTTGGATGATACTGAATCCACTCTTGAAAGCAGGTTCACTCGGTTTTCGTTGGGTGCCCTGCGCTTCATGGTAAAAACTGTATTTGTGTCGGTCAAGAATTTCCTGAAGCAAGTATCTTGGCAAATTTCAGGTATCTGCAAGAGGCACCTCAAAAATCTCTCTAGTTTCACAGTCCGCTCCTTATACAGTAGACTTTTGGATACGTGATACACTAGGGACATTTTTACTTTCTCGGGAAAGTGGTCTTTTTTCTGAAAGAATTTGACAGCCCCACCGTATCGTTCTTTGAGGTAGGCGTTCAGTTCGTGGAATTCGCTGTATCTTCTTGGTACATCCCAGGACGTGACAATTTCATTGCTGACATGACTCACGCTGACAACGTAAAACACAACCTCTCTCCCGCTTTTCTGAGAGATATCACTCAGATAAGTCTTGATAGAAAGTTGACATTTCTCATAAAGGCTATTGGCGTCCTCCTGAACTAACAGCTGTTGTCTTAGTAACTCTTGCTGAAGAATTTCTCGGTTGACAGTTCTTTCAGATTTTTTCAAAAGTCTAAGCTCTGGTATGCTGTCAGTAAGATCGGCTTTTAATCCAAGGTGATTCAGCAGAGACAGTTGCTTTTTCAAGCGATCAATCGAGATGGTGAGTTCAGCAATGGTGTTTTTCAATGTTGACTGATTCAGATTGTTTACAGCCAGATCGGGATCAGACTCCTCACCTAGAGTGACTTTTTGACTCTCTGAGCAGTAATTTAGATATGATGGCTCAGGAACATCTTCATCACTTGAATTGTTAGCATCATCATCAAGGTAATCTTCTTCAAAAATTTTGTGTTCAAACAAACTGCTTTCTTCGCGCTTACCGAACAAATTTGTACGCAGCTTATGATTCCGAACCTCAGTGATAGTTGGCTCACTGGTATCTGACTTTTCCTGCTCAACAGGAAACGCCCTATCACCTATATCATCATCAACCTTTGGGCCCGCTGAATTCCATGATGTGCTCGCATGTTCAGGTTCTGGTTCGGTGCCAAACCTGTTAAAAGCACCAGAGTCCTGAAATCCCGAGACTGAAATCATACGCAAGAAGTCCTTCGATTGCTTGAAAGCTGGAAAACAAGAAACTTGAAGAAATTCGTAAGCCAAGGACTGCAGCTGCAAGGAGCTTCTTCGCGCTGTTTGATAGTATTCGCGAGCGGCAATTGTGTTCTCCTGCTTCAGGCCTGATTGTAAAACAAGGACATCTGCTGCACATTGCTCACTCAGTGATTGCATGATGTAAAGATTTCTACCAGAAAAAAAGTCCTTGGATATTTCGATTAGATCATCGAAGCCTTCATTTGAAATCACTGCAAGTTCTCCGTTGCTAGGGTCTTCTAACGGATTCTTAAACTCCTCCACCCTCAGCCAGAACCCCAAACAGCGCTCTCCTTTCGTATCCTGCATTTTCAAGTAGTCTGAGAAGTAATGAAAACAGGCTTTGTCTTTAATAACATCGATCATGGATACAGAATCGAGGTACTTTCCGAAGGTCGCAAACTCTTCCGACTTGAAGCCTACCCGAGAAGAGGGAGGCTCGAACATGTGAGTTGCAAGGTATTTGATACGGCTTTCGACAAGGTTTAGAGCCAGACTGAGCCTGTTTAGTAAAAGTGAGTCGGTTTTACTCAAGGCACCTGTCTTTTTTAGCTTAATTACCTGGCACATGAGTATTAGTTTGACTGCTTTCAAAGTCTCCTCTTTAGTGGCATAGCTTATGCCCTTCAGTAAATCTTCGTACATTTTAGCATCATCCTCTATGTTTATTACGATTTCGCAAAGAGTCGAGCTCTCTTCAAAGGCAGGCTGTGGAACTTGATGAGTTTCACTCACTTGAGAGGACAACGCAGCTCTAATCTCTTTGATGCGGGTCCTTTCTTCCAACAGAGAATCCGCAGTAGAAATAAGGAAAAGATTTAAAAAATGGGGCTCGGTGATCTTCTGCAGTAGGGGACTCAATATATTGCAGCAAAGAATCTCTCGTCCTAAAATCCTTACAAATCCCGATGAAAGTTCGTTTGGACTTACCAATCTATGTAGCAAAAAGTCTGCATTCATCCTAGAGTACTTTTCTAGACAGACGGATAGATCATCCAGACCAAGTGATATGGATTTGTGGATTCTGTAATCTCGGCCAAATTCTACCGCTGTTGCAAAATGTTGGTTTTCGGCATTCATACTATTATTTTCTAAAATTTTTTGATCTGACACTGTCTTGTGAGCGGCCCTGAATGCCTTGAAATGTCTTGTTAGCACCGGCAGCATCTTCAAAATCAGTAACTCGGGAAGATCAACATTGCAAAGAGCATCACGTAGTTTTTTGACCATGCCATCCATAACGCCTCTCAACTCTGAAACGAATGGCGCATCGTCTGGCTTGTCGTCGATTGATTTATACCAAACAGTGACAAAGTCTCGTATGACATTGTCTATAATGCACTCTATCTCATGGGAAAGTTCCAGCTGGTCCGATATTAAGGGTCTTGTAGCGATGGTTGAGCTTTGAGATTTAGAGTTCTTTTCGGGCAACTGTCGAATAGTTGGCTCTGGTTTGATTGTGAACTCTTGAGAATGCACTAGACCATCTGCGATGAAGTAAAGCACGGCAATTGCGCCTAAATGTGGTACATTGACTCTTATCGCAGGTATCCTCGAAAAAACTAGAACCAGCATCAAAATCCTGGTTCTGCCCAGACCGCTTTTGTTTATCAGCTTGGCAACGACTGGTCTTGCAAATACCGCTACAAGTGAGTACAGAAGAAGGAACACAACTCGGACCATTCAAGCTAGCTTAACAAATACATCAATTGCGCAATATGATAACAAAAGGTGCCCTTTAGAGATGTGAACAGGGACTCTTCGAGTTCTAACGGCAAAGAACGGTAGATGTAGGTATAACCAACGTATCTATCAGTATTAAGCGTTATTATATTACACATCTTATTGTACGGTGAAGTTATCACGTGTTTATGTTTCTGTCGAGAGAATGAAACATGTATACTTGAAACCTTCAGCCTGAGTAAATCAAAGTTGTTGCTAACTGGTTTGCCAGGTTTCTGTTCAGTTCTTCTATGACTTTAACTTGAGCTCTATCAAATTTGGGGACGTTGACTATTTCCACCCGCTCACGTGACCGCCGAGTTTCTGGTATTGATGTGCCTCTGCTTTGCAGAGAAGTCGTGAACGTTATACCGATTTCAAATCCGCGTCGGAATATCTGTGTGACTTTTTGATCATTCAGATTTTTTGTAACAGTTCACAGTCATCATTGTGTGAAAAGTCCATCCTTTCAAGACGGTTCGCGACCGTCCTTGAGCTTTTTTTGATCTTTTTTGCTGCTTCGTTTCTTCTCCTTGCGCTCCTTTTTATCTTTTTTATCCTTTTTGTCTGACCTACTCTTGCTAGACTTTTTATCCTGCTTCTTTGTCTTTTTCTTCGAAATCTTTCCGTTCTTCCTATCCTTCTTATGATCCGATTTCTTACTGGATTTTTTACTAGAACGCTCGTCTTTCTTGCGTTCGCATTTCTTGACTTCAGCTTTCTCCTCTATCCTGGTCTTAGAGATCAAAAGGTCTGTTTCAATAGTACCCTTCAGACCCTCACCTTTCACAAACCATCTGTACAGCGGCGATTTGTCTTTCACCACTGCGCTATTCGGTATGTCTTTCTGCTCGAATTTGATATCCCCACCTTTTCCACCGTCTTTCACATTCAGATTCTTCAAGTGTCCGTCAAATAACGTCTCCCACCACATTTCTCCATCGTCCCCACCGGGCGCTGATCCCAGTCCTTTCTTGTCGTTCTTGTGCTTAACCAAAATCGGCCTTTTGAGCGCCCCAGGCTTCAAGCCTTCGCCTTCTTTCCAGCCATAAGCTTTCAGATAGCCCCTACTATCCATAATCCTTCCGCTTGCCGCGATTAGCGTATTCTTAGTTGCTTGAGCGCCTATTTTGACTAGCTCATCGCATCTTATAGAATGAAATTTTTCAGTCAGATTTACGTTTTTATGCTACAAATTGAATTCAATCTACAAGCTCATCGCCTCGAGGAAAATAGACATTTCCAATCCCTTCCTGATCCCTTTTGAGAGCTTGTTGTTCTGAATTCAACGGATTGATGCCAACATAGTTGAACGTTTTAGACAAAGCCGATCTTAACTGCAAAAATACATGCTGTGTTATAGAAATAGCGCTGGTTTGTATAGCTGAAAAGGTAAATGAAGCGAAAATCATCGTACCAAGAGGATGCTCAAGATAAGTCTCCAGAAAATAAGAGAGCACATCATTCTCACCGCAGAAATCGGGAAGTAAGCACAGTTATTGTCAAATACTTGCCCTTGAATTACAATTTTTTCAAAGTACGAAAGCTATTTTCTGGCTGTGGAGATGTCGAACATATCGAAGTGGTAAAATCGCCAGACGAAAACTCGAAAATCGCTAGAATCGAGTTCAAAAGCCACGACGATGTTTTGAGTGCTCTCACCAAGTCTCACAAGCAGATAGGTGGTAATGAAATTGTTGTGGAAAAACTGCAAAATTCGACCATATGGGTCACGAATTTTCCGCCAAACTTCGAAGCCAGTTCTCTTCGTCAACTATTCAAGGAAGCAGGAGGAACAGTGCTGAGTGTGCGCTTACCATCTCTCAGATTCGACGCTCATAGACGGTTTGCGTATGTAGATTTAGTATCTGCGGACGAAGCTCGCAGTGTCATAGAAAAACTGAATGGCGCACTTCTGGGCTCCTATAAGCTTGTGGTAAAGTTGTCTGAACCCTCAGCAGCAGAGAAACGTTCCGATTCCACGATATTGGAGCGGAGACAGGTCACTGTGAAAAATCTTGATCACTTCAAAGTAACTCAAGAAAAACTCACACAGGAATTCTCTCGCTTCGGGGAAATCGAGAAAGTGAGCTTTCCAACACCCAGGGTTCTCGAAAATGGTAACGAAGGGTCGCAAAAGCTTAATAGAGGCTTCGCGTTCATTGATTTCGTTCTCCCAGAGTGTGCAGAGGCAGCTCTCGAGCTCGACAATAGTAAACTTGAGGGCAGAGACATGAATGTGATTCTTTCGGATCGCAGGGCGTACCTTGACAGACAAACAGTGAAGCAACTTCTCGCCCAAAGATCGCATACAGACCATGTTGTAAGCATTTATCCTCTAGATGACAAAACGCCCACTTTCCAGCTGCAGAACTTTATACTTGAGCGGGCCCAAGTTTCAGACGAGGATATTAAAGCTATTTATTTGGTTGCAGATCATGAAGGAGCTCTTGTATTGGCTAAGGACTCTAAAATTGCCGCTAAAATCGCACTAGCAATCAACGGCTCACAGTTCAGAAAGAGGGTTATCCTATGCGGTGACATCAAAGACCTGAAGCATCACACTGCTACCAATGATCAACAAAAACAAGTTCAAGCAAGAAAGTCTACGGATGCAAAACCTTCGCCGGATAATTATTCTAATAGCCCTCATTCAAGTGGTCAAATGACAAACGAAGACTTTCGGCGGATGTTTCTGGCAAAATAGTTATAATATTACTCAACTAAATACCTTATGCAACTGTCGAGAAAAGGCTGTTATTTAAGCTCTTTATTCCCTGGGTAATCCTTTTGACGAATTCGGCTCGTGAACTTTCTTGTTCCAGAACACGCTGCTCTTCTAATGTAGTGGGAACGATTCGGGAATTCAAGTATTTGGGGTGTGTTAAAAGATGCTTAAAAGCGTAGCTCAGCTCTCTTCGTTCGGCGAGTGTATCCAGACCACTAAACAACACGTACACGACATTGTCACCCACGACCTTTGTTTTAACATTTGAGTCAGTCAGATACTCCTGGTAGTCGAGGGCAGCGAGGATACTTTGCAGCATAATAAGTTGTGAAGTTTCCTTTATCAGTGCCATTGACACCGATAAGGAAGGGTCCGACCATAGTGAGATAGCTGTTTCGATTTGATGTTTGAAGTATGAAACGAATAGACAGCTTTCCGGCAGAACTCTCTTACCGAATTTGCTCAGGATTTGCAGTATTATCGTTAAAAGACCGTCTGACCACAACGTGTGTAACCTTGGATGCACTTCTGGGGTGACATTGCCCTGTTGAATGAGAGTTGATACTGGACTTTCCAGAATCACAGAAAATAAACCGTTTGCAATTAACTTCTCTGCAACCTGCTCCACAGTGCACATCTCTGTTATGAATGTCAATGACAGGTCACACAAAACAGGCTCTTCTTCAAAGTTTAACAAGTGTGAGCTGGAGTAAACATTGAGAATGGTTTTCAAAGTACCTGACTCGTTCAGAGATGATGCAAGAAGCATCATAAAATTATCCGGAGGCTTAAGTGTCTTAATCTTTGTGAAGAAGGAAAGAAGGAGAAGTAAATCTTGAATCTTTTCGGCCAAGTTAACGACAGCCGGCTTCTTTCCGTGTGATACGGCTGTGCTAATCTCGGAAAGTAGGTTTGTTAGCACAAGGTTAACTCCTTTTCCAAGAGTCAATTCGAAAATCTCAATGAGGTGGTCCAACAGAGACTCGACGAAAAGTTTCCCATCGTTGACCAACGATAAAATTATCAACACTATCCTGATTAGAGGTCTGTAGTAGTAGTGCTTCGATGACTGGGATACATTCTCCAAGAAGTTTGCCTTTTTCGACTTCAGCAAGCTTATGATGCTCAAAAGTAGAGATTGTAACTTCTGGTTTGCGATTCGCTTTTTCGTCTCGTGAAAAGAGTAAAGGATGTAGAAAGACAGCTCGACCCGGGCCAAGTAGAGATCTGTAGAAACGACTGCGTCAGAACCAACAAGAGGATCCGATTCCACAAGATTTGATGCAATGTCCAGATATGCATCGCTAAGGGGAACGGGTGTCTTTTTGATGAAAGAGGTCAACAAGGCACCCCAAGATTTGGCAGCAGAGACTTGATTTGTGACAAGTTGAAGGTTGATAGATGCAGCAACTATATCTTCCCTAAATCCCTGAGAGCCTTCACTTCCTGTCCATTTTTCATCTTGCGAAAAATACAAATCCATCAGTGGGATGTCGAAAATGCTTGTGTAGAATGATTTGCTAGAGCGTAACAATGGAGATGTGATGAACATTGCTAAATCAACACCTGACCATAGCGTCTTGAATTGGACTCCTAGCCTTCCTTGTAATCTGGCATCGTATCCATCAACTTGGAAGATTTTTTGTACTAAGAAAGCTAAATCCGGACGGCTCAAAGCTTTGAGTAAGACATCGGCATCTGTCGCAGAAGTGAATAGAGATAATGCCAGTATTTCTGTGATTCGAGAGACTACTTTGTACTGTTTGGAAAGTTCTATCAGCTCGGCTGTCGTGGTGCCCTCGTTTACGGTCCGTGGTTCAAAAGATATTAACCGCTCAACAAGTATGGATAGAAATTTAGCGTCTTTTTCGTAATTCCTTGCTGCAGTCCAAGTATTCAAAGCGTAGGCAATGGCATCCAACAAATGAACACTGACCGATTCCGGCAAATTATTCAGCTTCAAAGCGTTGTGCTTTAAAATTGACAGTAAAGACTCCAAAGGTTCCGCGTCGCTTTTAGAATCAGCTTTGTCTTCGCCGGCTGTAATCAGGTTTCCTGTCAAGAAGAGAACAGCTAAGCCATCTTGTCTTCCTTCCATAACAGCGGAAAAAAAGCTGTAGAGGCTTTGTGTCAACTCCACGTTAGTCAAAGATCCCTTCAAATCATAGGCGATGCACTTCAAAAGCTCTCTTGATTGATTATCTCCTAGGTGTGCGAGCAATGAAGGGGGATCAAGACCCCATGGTGCTCGCACCATATGAGTGAAGAGTTTGATGACATTGGCACGCCACGTCATGCGATCAAAATAAATTCTAGCCAAGTCTGCAGACTTGGAATACAAGCTTCTCTCCAAAGTAGATGGTTGAAGTTTCAACAACGACCTAATGGATATGAGAAGGTTAGCGAGGTTGAAGCACTGTGCGACCAGTTCCGAATGTGAAGCCTTCAGGTTCATATTGTTGCGAGCTGAACCACATTTGTTTACAGACGTCAAAAGCAAGATTAAGGAAGTTACAGCTCGGCTCTCAGACGTCGTCGAGCTTAAGAAAGCAGTGACGGCAACATTTGCGGAATCAGCCAAAACAGCTGTGACCTTTTTTTCTGGTGGAGTATCTGGATCCACACCATAAACAGCGTATAGGACTTTGATAATCACAGACGTGAGAAGCAGCCCAATTTCTAGCCGCTGTGACGGCAGCGAGTAATTTTGAAATTGAAAGCTCTCATAGATGCGAATCATGTGCAGCATTAACTTCGCGAGAATCTCACCCTTTATGCGACCAGAGAACGTCTCTTCGACATTCAACGCTTCTGAGACAAGACAATCCGTGAGCTTTACCAGCAAAAAGATGGAGTCAAAATTCGCAGGCGTACGTCCAGCGTTTGCCAAAATTGGTATTGCAAGGCCTTCCTTCTCACCACGGCCTATCAAGCTTGATCGAGCTAAGTGCGACCAGACGAAATGCGGAAAGTTTGGTAGAAGATCTATCATGAGTCCAATCCCGGCATTGACAACACTTAAGTCCCTTGAATGTAAGGCCAACTCGAAGAGCTTGAAGAGAACAGATATTATGTCTCCATTCTCTACATACCCAGACAGATGCTGTAAGACCTCCATAGATCTCTCGATCGGTGACGTGATACTTACCGAGCTCGAGATGAGGTTTACGACTGCTACCACAAATTCCGATTTTTCACTTCTCTCTTGATCCTCATCAGATTGAGTGTAAGCCTCGCAAATTCCCTGCACAGTTCTCCCCAACAAAGACCAGCCATTGTAGCTATAGATGAAAACAACTGCATCTTCGGAAGTGGACGACATGGGAATTATTTTTCCCCGAGTTCCATAAGGAATTGGCATCAGAACGTTTTCATTACATTCGAATGGTGGTTTGACTAGTAATTCCTGCTTTAAAACAATGAAGTCGCTAGTTTCTGCAAGTAATCCCTCGCTTTCTGCCATATCATATGAAATACTTGAAAGTAGTACTTTTTCGGTATAGGTGTTCATCTCCTTCCATTCGAAAGACGCAAATTCTGGGTGAACGCTAGTTAGAAAAACCAGTGGCAGTAATCCCTCCTTCACAAGTGGCACTTTGCTCCTGAGCAGGCTTATTTTCTTTTCCGCTTCTGCGGTAGTGAGAAACCTTTCGATGAACTCCTGAGATGTGCCCTCTTGCAAAACGTCCCTGACAACCTTTGCGACATCCTTCGTCAACGTTATAAAGTTCAAAGACACTGCCAGAAATGATGACATGACTGCAAACCATAGCTTGTCATTTACTAAAGAGCGCGAACAAATCACAAATTTTTTAAGAACATCTGATTCTTCGGCGCGTTTCACTAGTTGTGAGGTTAATCGGTTCATAGGTGTAGATCCAAACACATCGTTGACGAACTTCGCATTTTTTTCAGGTTCTTCCTCTAAAAGGTACGCCTTTAGCGACAAAATGAAAGACCAGTAGTAGACTATCAATGGACTTTTAGGGTGCTCTGAAATGATGGTGTTGACATGCTTGAAGCATTCTGCGTCCGTAAAGAAAGGCCCTTCTGTGTTGATAGAAAGAGTGGATACTTCCAACCCTAGCATCAAAACGCTTATGCAGGTGACGAGAGCCTCAATTTGATCATAGATCTCGTCTGGAGTACCGTTTTTTGAAAAGCGTGAAAAGTAGCTGGTTTCTTTCAAAAGTGAAAACCACTGCGTGACGATGCCCACAGGTGTATCCGTGTTTATTATGAGAAGAGGTAGAAGTTTGAGGATGCTCAGGATGTATTCAAGATCCTGCCAGTCCTTGATATCTTGGATATCCTGTGACCAAAGGCGATCGGATCTGTTCAAGACCGTAAAAGAAGCTGCTGATTTCGACAAGGTTTCAATCAAGTGCAAGCAAAAAGTAGACTTATCAGCGGCTACTGCCTTGATGAGATCATCTTTAGCATCCAGATTTTTGACGTCTCCATTGAGCAATACAAGCAATGTTTGCACCACTGCAAGCCGCTCCTGTAGTATTCGCCGCGCATACAAAAGATTATGACCAACCTCTGAAAATCCACGAGAATGTGTTTGGCTTGTCACTCTCAGACTCTGTTCATGACTTATTCCAAGAAACCGAGACAATTGAGAAGCATCTTTCCAAGTTTCAGCGGTGACTTCATATTTGATCGTCCCAATCGTTAGTGGTGCTGTCTTGCTCGCAATTTCTGCGCCAGGAATGTTGAAGGAACCTGGATTTATCAGTAAATGATGATAGTCTCGAAGGAATTGCGAAACTAGAAGTTGTACTTCGCCCTGAATCCCCGACGATTCATCTACTATTTTGATGAATTCACATACATCTCCAAAGCACAAATGCGACAATTCCATCATAAAACACCGAAAGAGAATAAAACGTGGAGGAGGGGGCTATTACCAGAGCCCAATTCCCTCTTACGATTGGCCTACTTGTTGATGTTTTTACAGTTTCCGTATGTCATTTCCCCATCGCCTTTATAAACATCTAAAATTTTAGAAGATCGGTACATTTCAACATCCGTAGAACATGAGGTTGGGCCCAGCTCGTGAGCTTTCCACCAGTAGGTGGATTAACAGTTTCGAAGAGAGCGTCACAGGTCGCCGGGCATGCCTGTAAATACTATGCTCTCTCGTGATTCCTCCCCTAGCTCAGCATAACTTTGAGTTTTTGAGCAGCGTGAAAAAAAGTCGTCTTCATGGTCTCACTTTTATTTTATATAGTGCCATTTTCCCACTGCGGGTGGTATAGGAGCATCCGGAAGCTCTTGAGCTTCGTAAACTACGCCTGCACCGGCTCTTCTGACCTGAGGAAGATCTTCGTTGGTCTCTGAATCGCGTAGTAAGTGTCTCCACGAATCGTGACATTCTTCTATAACAACCAAAGTCTCAGAGACGTCCCTATACTGACCATTGAATGCAAACTCATTGGCTGCTTTACCAGCGGGTATTTTGTAGTTTCGAAACCAGGAACGTGTAGCCTCCAACAGCTTTGGAAAATAGTTTTCCACATCTCCCAGATTGTTTACTTTTGAGGCCAATGGATCAGCCACGTCGATTACGACGATTTTCCAGTCCAACTCTCCTTGATCGATCATGGCCAAGGATCCCAAGACCTTCACTTTTTTCACGTCCCCCATGGAAAGAATGGCAGACCCGATTTCGCAACAGTCTAGTGGATCGTTGTCACCTTTGATTCCAGCTACACCCTCATGAGAACTTGACACCGTCGGATCCTCCCAAGTCTGTGGGATTGCACCGTAATTGTGGATAAATCCGTGAGTTGGAAACACGTTGTCTATAAACCTGACTTTGCCGTTTTTGTTATCTTGTACAATTGGATTGAAAGGCCGCTCTCGCGAAATCTCAAACTTGGCATTAGACCACCGGGAAACCTCTATTATCATGTTCACAGTTCGAGCATTGTGGTCTAGTTCTAATGGCACATCGTGGAAGTAAGATCCCACCTCTCCATTAGGCATCTTCAGATATTGTGCATAGTCCGGGGTAAACTTGCTTCCTTGAACAACAGAGCCGTAAAAGGGGGTCTCCAAGTGAGACTTGGTCATAAGCAGCCTTCTGAGAGGCCCCGAAATCGATGCTCTGAGCATTGCTACTCGATTAATGTGGTCTTCTTACAGTAAGATGTTTCTTCGAAGTGTCGTATATCTATCTGCTAAAAAATAATTAGTGGTGTGCCACGGCGCGGGAATAATAGTACAGTCTAAAATCAAAAGGTGCGCTCAATTAGAGCACTGAATTATCTTTAAAATTCAGAGATCCTCATCTTCCTCATCAAACGGATTTTTCTTTCTGGTGTCAGGTTTTTCGGTCGATGGAGGACCAGTTTCCCAAAAGATTTTGCCCTTTTCGTTGATCGTGGCATTGAAATCACTGATATCGACAACGGAGCTCAGTTTCGAGACCTCTGTTGTAGAAAATCCATAAGGATCGCTGGGAATCCACAAGTGTGGACATTCAGCGCTAACCGCAGGATAGTCGTATGCATGTCTGACATTATTAGGTGGCACCTCTTCGTTAGGGTCAGGAAGACTGTAAATCTCCGGCAAGACGCTCTTAACTGCTTTATAAGACAGGTAAACATGAGGTTGAAAATAACGTTTCCAAAATGGTGCTGGTGACACTTGGACGTCATCTCCATCCGCTAGCAAAGGCACAGTCACTATGTTATTTTCACCCTCTTGCGCTGCAGTACCGTCAATTTCGTATGTGTTTTCACTTCTGACACTAGTCGTCTTTTGGTCCACACTTGGCGAATGACGAGGTTGGTACTTCCTGAGTGGATAGTGGGGGAGTTCTTTAACTCCTCCCAAAGTTTTCATTGTACGTCCAATTTCGTTATTGAAGGACGGAGTGTCTGAAACGCCGTCTAGCGGTTTCATGGCATCAACTGGAACGTAGCGCATCAATCTGTCAAAAGAAGAATTGAAGTTAAGGTGAATGAACGTAGTCACGCCCAAACCGATGGCCTGCAGAACGATTGGTCCCCAACCTTTACCCACGACGAACAACCCCAACAGGCAAATTTGACCAATGTAAAGACCCACAAAGGTCTGGTAAAGTGCCCTTGGGTAGTGATTTCCTCTGTTGTCGGGTGCTTCCTTAAACACATATGTCAAGTTGTAAAGGTAAGCCACATACAATAGGTAAAAGCACACCGCGCCAAACAGCAAGATGATTGGTGCAATGATCGCATAAGAGAAGATAATGACAGTCAAAACGTTGTAAACTGGAAAAGCTGTACCCCAGGCCATTGTGCCCAGATTGACAAATCTCGTCCACTTTTTTCTTGGGGTTTTGTCCAGCAAGAAACTCATGACATAAAACAAGATCAGAGTAACAAGCTGTAGCAAAGCACCAGAGGAAATTGAAAAACCTTGCAGAAGAATGTAGGAGATGAAAAAGTTAGAAGCTTTTGGTAGGTTCTGAGCCAAGAGTTGCATTGCAGAGGTTGGCTTTGAGATGATTGCAGGAATTACAACAGTGGCTGAGGAAGCGATTGTTGTGACAAGGAATGTCTGGACAACCTGAAATGCGAAATACGATTGTTGTGTGAAGTATTCGACCTCCTGAACAGAAGGACTACCCGCGACCCATGCCATTCTCCTGATGAAAATAGGCAGAAGCATCATCAGAACTGCAAGCGCCACAGTAGGTGCCAATGAAGTTATGATGCCTCGCAGTTTTTCGGGCATGTTGTTGATGAATCCCAACCATGGCAGCTTTTTGGTGAGGTACGTCACTTGCGAAATCATACCCACAAATGCCACTGGGAAAGTCCAGAGAAGGACCAATGCAACGATGGCAGCTAGAGCGCTATACTTTCTCAATGCCCTCTCGAACCAAAACATCCTTAGATTAGACCAAATGACGTCTTTTGGGGCAATTCCAATGTGGGCTGGAACCATAGCGAGCGGTTCATGGTGGATTACTGCTTGTGTAGCGATCTGAGCAGCATATTGAGTGTCGAACTCAACAAAGACAGAATTGAAAGGCCGTTCATCGAGTCGATTTTTCTGCAACTCCTCCACTTCCGCGTTGAGCTTGGGTAACTCTTCGGTGATGTATTCAATCGTGTCTACTTTCTTTCCGATCAAAAACTTGAGACGGTGGTGTGGTCTCTTTTTCGCAGGAACGTACTCAGAAATGTTGTTTGTTGGTACAAAAGAAGGATCCTTTTTCTTAATTTTGGCCACTGCCTTCACTGCTTGAGTCACCAAAGCGCATTCTGCTGCTTCAAGTTTCAAAGCCATTTTCTCACGGTCTGCGACCTTTTGGCCCAGCTTTTTGGCTGCCCGAGCGATCCACACACGCTTTACACCTTGAAAGAGTTTTGTGAACTCCGTCTCACTCAAAAACTGATCAGGGACTGTTTGAAACAAAACAGTGCGCGAAGACAACTTCTTGGCGTACCGAGGAGATGCCATAACCACTTGTCTTAAGGATGTATAATAAACAAGCTCTCGATAAACCACAAACATGAAACTCCAGTAGAAAGCCCAGCCTACGAAAACATGCGCGTAGTAACGCGCCTTTTTATCAACGTTGCTATAAGCCAAAACTTCCAAACCGGTCTTGGCCACTCCATTGGCAGCATTAATTGGCAGCAGAATCGGAAGGACATACAGACAAGAGAACGTGAGGAAACTGCCCATGATGAACAGATACCGGATGAAAAAGTATCCATCCAGACCAGCTTGTTGGATGATAAAGTTGTCTGATTTTTTCAGCAAGGGTAAAAACCATTGCCATAGTCCTCGAGGCAACGGTTCTGGTTTTTTCTCGTCGTTGATCAGATGAAAGGACGATTTGGGTTCGTAAATTCTTTTCAGCTTCAACCGCTGCACCAGGAAAACAGCAACAAAAGCACAAAAGATGGCACCATTTACCACTATCGATGTTGTCACCTGCCTCGTTCCAAGGGCTGTAGGTTGCCCGTTTGCAGTATCATTGGACGCCATAATCACCAGGCAGCTTCAGCACCGCAAAGTCTTACGCTGACGCCTATTATACAGTTTCTAGAGGTCTTTGATGAGCAGTCAAGATCGTCTTTTAATTCAAATCTCATCCATGTTTTGTTGACCTGGATCAAGCACACTTATTTTTTTTTCGACAGGTACAATCTGATGAGCATCCGTGACATAAGACGCGCGTCTGGGCCTCGAAAGCGATGTCTGGAAATAGAGAGGATGCAGTGATGTATGCGTTGTCAGAGGATATGGGCATCCATCTTCGAACACTTCAGTGTAGAGTTCTTGGAAAAAATGTCCTGTATCGATGACAAGATTTGTTTCATCACTCGTGGCTACTTATTAGAATTTCTCGACCGTCGTTTGAGCCCTTCATTTATCTAAGGCGTCACAGCAGCTCCTTCGCCAATTCCAGGTGTGGAATCACGGTTGTAAGCGATAAGAGAGTCCATCGCATTCCGATTCACTTGGTCAAGAACGGATAGGCATGCAAAGAACGGTTGATGAACATCTGGGAAGGAATGCTCAGAAATGCCCTCTGTCGTTGGCTCTTGAGAATGTCCGATTTTAATTACTAGCATTAGAAAAGTGAAAGATCCATTGAAAGCAGATTTGGCGTAGCTATGGTAGTCTAGTACGGACTTGGACTTGGACCTCAAACCCTTTTCTCTGTACTGTGTGGGTTGTAGAACAAAAACACGATGATTTGGTAGATCTTTGACTGTTAAGATTAAATTGGCATCGCGTCGCGAAAGAAAGAACTCCGGGAAAACGTCGCAGGGATTATTCTATGGTGTTCAATTGGACCCAAGCCAATCGACTAGATATTGCGCGTAAGCCTTAAAAGTAAACTTGGAGCTTCCGAAATTCGCGACACTCGTTTGAACTATTAATGTTTTGTAGTTTTAATTTAACTTCGAGAAGAGACAGTAATTAAAGGTAGGAGACGAAATTTGGGTGTAATTCAGCCACAGCAGCCTATTCTGAAGCTCTTGTTACGTTTGCAGTGTAGGCTTATCACGAAAGAACAATCTATTTCAGATTGCTCATCCTGTTCAGTTCGTCGTTTTTCATTCTGATACCCAGCTTAGTTTTCACCAAACAGCTATACTCTCCACACGTTATGTCAAACCAGCTTTTGATGGTATAAACACCTTTTTCATGGTTGTAATGGTCCAGCACGCTCAGCAACAAGACCTCACTAGCTGTTAGATACTATATTAACAGGATATACTTTCATCGAAGTTTGAAATTGTCACAATGTCGAAATTGCTACTTTCAACATGTTCGAAGACGACGACAAGAAGATGCTTTTCGTTCCCTTTACGTCTGATCCGTACCCAACATGCTGACGCTCTTTGGAAAACTATCACAATCCAGCGACACTAGCGTGCAAAGTGACATATATTATCAACAGACCGAGCGTCAATTAAATAAATCATACATATCCGATAAAATTGTAGGCCTTACCACATAGCTCTCGGTTCCCCACAGTCCGTACTACCTCTGTATATGCTCCAGTGAAATTATTTGATCTTCTGTATATGCCGTCCGATACTATTGGTGAGAATGCGGTATCGGAAGAGCATGCACCACTTTACAAATGGAGTAGTTGCTGCTCTCTTTTAAATCCTCCCAAGAACCAGTCAAGAAGCCAAATTCGGAAAATTCACATCTACGACTTCGACAACACACTATTCAAGTCGCCGGCTCCTAATCCAAACTTATTGTCATCATTTTTGGCCAATCTATTAACAGATCCTCAACGGCTCAGCAATAGGGGTTGGTGGAGCGAGCCTCGCTTCCTGCTGGAGCTCATCGACGAATGGATTGACGCACGAAATAAAGATGGGAATGACGCCAAGATGGACGCTATTGATGGCACATATTGGAACAAAGACATCGTAGATCTAACGCGGTTGTCCCAACAAAGTCCAGACACATTATCAATACTGATGACAGGGCGGAAAGAAATATATTTTGCCGATGTTTTGAGAAGAGTACTGGAAGAACCAGTGTTCGGAGGGAAAAGACTCCGTTTCCATGGTATTTTCCTGAAGAAAAGTGGGTTTGAAACCACAATGCTGTATAAGACTGCATGTCTCACCGACCTACTAATGCATTACGATAGCTGTCAAGAAATAACAATTTATGACGACAGAGTTAGACAACTCCGCGGTTTTCGGCAGTTTCTATCGGAGTTTGTGGAAGCCATGCAGCCTACGTTGCAATATTCGCTTGTTCATGTCCCTGGTCTGATCAAATACCTGCGGCCATCAAACGAGCGAAAAATCATTTCAAAAATTCTCAAGGAACATAACGATGCAGTGAGTGGGTTCAGTTTCCGGTCCCAGAGTCATGGAACCCCTCGCATTTTTTACATGGGCAAGATTTTTTTGAAGGAAAAACGCCTAGGTGCCGCATACATCTTAACGACCTCATCGCGCCAAAAACTAGTGGCGTTCATAGCTCAAAAGCTTACACCTGCCATTGGCTTGGACGGCTTGCATGTCTTGGGGAGATACATATTGTGCACAGAGCACGGCACGATCACCAATCGCAAAACAGCAGCCATGATATTAGCTGGTTCTTGCGAAGAGCCCTCCGAGGAAACAGTAGACACCTTTCTGCATTCGATGAATGCCGGCAAGGAAAACTCGCGCATTCTTTTCAGAGTCACGAAGATTGGCATGGCTCAAAATGGTCAATGTGTATGCGACGTTAGACCCGAGGATGACGCCAGATATGTCTATACCGAGTTTCCAGCCCTCCGAGTTCCTCTAATTGCTGCGGACAATCTACACACCGATGCCTTGCCTGAGTTGTTCAATGACGATCTTTATAGCTGGACCGATGTCAACAATGAAAAACTCATGATCGATGCAGATTTTGGGTATAGATTTGTGCTAACCGCTGTCATGGCCAAAAAAGCCAAGAAACCAAGGAAGGCACGTATATGAGCTGGCATTCTTGAACTCTGGTATTCACAGTCAATCTATTATTTGCATGGAAAGAATAACAATCATAACTTTTCCGCTATTTAACAATCCTAATATTTATACCTATTAACAAAAATACTTCAACACAATGATCTGAGTGGCTGTCGAGCCAGGCTCTGATCGCTGTTTGTATTTGTAGCTGAACAATCACTTGGACGATGCACTTTCATATTGCATCTAAATAACAATATTAAGTATGATCTTATTAACGCCTAAGTCACTCCATTCGATAAAGAGTCAAAAAAGAGTACTGGAGCTCATTGCAGTTTGACACCACTGCTCCCATGGAGGCAAGTAACCTTCAAATATATTGGCATGAGTCTCAGCCTATTTACAGCCTGTCCTTTCAGTCAAAACCCCTTCAAAAAGAACAAACTACAAGATTAGTTACGGCTGGCGGTGACAATAAGATTCGTGTATGGCAGTTAAACTTCGATGGTCAAGACAGAAGCAAAGTAGATACTATTGATTTTCTTTCATCACTCACTCAACATGAACAAGCCGTCAATGTTGTAAGATTTGATCCTTCACATGAAAGTATAGCATCAGCAGGCGATGATGGTCAACTTCTGCTTTGGAGGAAAAATGAAAATATATCGAAAGAGTTTGGGGTAGACGACGAAGAATTCGCAGATTTTAAAGAGTCTTGGTACGTCTGGAAGCGTTTACGTTCGTCTACAGCCGCGGGTTCTTCCGAAATCTACGACTTGTCCTGGAGTCCAGATGGAAAATTCGTCGCTACGGGGTCAATGGACAATAGTATCAGGATATTCGATGTAGCGGGTGAATCGTGCGTAGCAATTGCTTCAGATCATAATCACTACGTACAGGGTGTCGTTTGGGATCCGCAAAACGAGTTCATTTTCTCACAGTCCGCCGACCGTTCAGTGCACGTACACCGCATAATTTACGATGCCAGCGGGACCGTCTCTGACCTGAAGCTAACAAATCGCATCATAAGAGGAGATTTGCCATGTCGCACAGCTGCGAACTCCACGGAATTGGATTACAAGAACATAAAATCTTCTTACCTTTTCCACAATGAGACTCTGCCGTCATTTTTCCGTCGCCTTGATATGTCACCATGCGGTAATCTGCTCTGTCTCCCTGCTGGTGTTTTTAAAAACTGTAACAGCACATCAGAAAGCGGCAATGGCAATGACGAGCTTGCAAACGCAGTTTACATCTTTACGCGACCATATTTGAAAAACAGCAGTAACAGGCCAATATTAGTACTACCATTTTTCAAAAAACCTGCTTTGGTGGTTTCATTCTGCCCACAGTTATATCAGCTATCCGTTGGTTCGAGTCCCTACGTTCAACTACCATACAAGCTTATTTTTGCGGTCGCGACTTCTGACGAGGTTTTCATCTACGATACAGAAGTGATAGAGCCCATTTGCATCATAGGAAATCTGCACTACACACCGATCACCGATATAGCATGGCAACGAGATGGATCCATGGTCATGGTTTCTTCCACGGATGGTTTCTGCTCGTATATTTCAATACCAGACGGAACCCTTGGAGCGGTTTACATTGAAAAGACCCCAAATACTTCATTTAAACCCATGCAAACTGAGTCCAAGGTTTCCGGGAGGACACCTGTAACAATCAGCACGTTGCAAGTAAGACGAAAGGAAAAGCCCATCACTGAAGACGTAAAGAACTTGCCAGACGCATCATCCATTGGCGGGTCCCCAAAGCAAGACGGTGCAGCAGCCATACAAAACAAGCCACCCACACAAAATGACACGAGGCCAGTACCTCGAAGAATACAACCTACGTTGATGTTTCAGTCTAACAAAAAATAGAGCCAACTTAGTATTATATGTAAGTAAACACTTTTCTTTCTCACGCTACTAGCTCTTTCAGCTCTAAATCTTCTTCTAGACGCTTTTCCATGTTTTTTCTTGCCTCCAACACCAGATGACGTTTCCGCTCATCAATGCTCATTTCGTTGTAGTTTTCACTGCTGATTATGGTGGTCGGATCTAGTTTGTATTTGGTCAAGAGATTATCGGGTTGGATGTTGCTTTTCTTGCGGGGATCTGTATCCCGTTGATTCTGACTAGTTTCGCCCGATCCACCATTCTCGGTCGTTGATTGAGCTGTGTAGCCCTGGGGGAACTCGAATTCGTCGCCTCTCAGAAATTTCTCCACGGTTGCTTCCACGGACCCTGTTTGTTCAAGGCTATGTCTGATCTGTTCGATGTGCAAAGTGGGTGCCAGACTTTGCACCACCTCGATCATATCGTTGGTAACCGGTCTCCGGGACCTTCTTGTAGTCGAGGTGACATTTCTGTTCCTTCTGGAATTTGACCCGGTGGCAGATCCAGTAGCAGATCCAGTGGCAGGTTCAGAAGCTGGCTGTTGTGCCGAAGGATGAGATTCGCCTTGCAAAAGCCATTTGACCAGCACAAAGGTGGCCACAAGAATGACCAAGAACGTAACAGTTGAAAAATCCATTGGTTGTAAGCTTAACGCTATTGGCTTGGGCTATACCTTCTACTTTTGACAGCGCGAATCCTCCAAGTGTCAATAGTAATGCTGTCCTGTCCCGAATTTAATGAACCACATTGTTCGTACCCCGGTACTAGAGTCACTACCTGAGTTTTGGGATCCATCCACCTAAGCAACGTTGCGAGAGTCGAAGCATCAATACCGCTTACTCTCTAAACTCCATCTTGAATCTTTTCTTTTGATTTTTGACCTTGTATATGAATGCTGGGATACACTCCGTTTCCTTGACATTGTAGGAGTTGAAGTGCTTTTTCACCTCAGAGGCCAGCTTTTTCTTAGTTACTCGAGCATCGGGGACTTTGTTCTCGTTTCTCTTGTAGGAATAGGTCTTTTGGCCTAGCTTGGATCCCAATAGGTACCCTCGTAGCGATAAATTATCTTGGAGCGGAAGTTGGAAGTAGTCCTTATAGCGGCGTAAAAAGTCGTCAGAATACTCTTCGAAATCTAGAGGGTCCGGTTTCGGGAAATTGCTGGGGTGATTATTCTGTACATGTGTGCGTATCAGGTCTTTCAGATACTGTTGTTGTGCGGTCGTGAGTCTTTGTTTGCCCACATTTCTTGCATTTCCAGATGTGGTGCCCTGGGTTGAATTACCAGCGTTGCTTCGTGTCCGGGATTCGGACTCAGAGTTTGAGTTATGGGCCTTGGGAGGCATCGAGAGAGTGTGTCTGGTGGGCTAGCTAGAGGCTTTGAACCGTGTGTGTGTTTGGTGATCACACCTACGTTGTGATGTAGGATATAAAATAATACATTTAAAAGTTATTGAATAACCATATACAGATAGACAGACATACAGACCCGATCTAGTTAAAGGCGAAAGCTTTTAGGCATGAATCGCTGAAAGTTATCGCAAACTAGCTTCTTGGCTTCATCCGAAGATTTGAGATTGTGTTGCGTTGCGACGCGTGACAAGATTAAGTCCAGCTCATGTATTATGTGTTTTGCGTCGGCTGTATCCCAAGTGAAATCCGTCTCTGTCAAAATGCAGTGTTTTGGAAGCGTTTGAAGCAGCTTGGCGGCCGTGTCGTCGTTTTTGAAGTTAATGTAACTTGACAAGCTTAAAAAAAAGCGCTCTTTGGGGAAAGTCTTGAGCCAGCTGTCCGTAAGCGTCTCGACAGAGCCTGTAAAAGAGTGTAAACAGAGGTTCACACCGGGGTGAGGCAGAAGGTGCTGTTTAGAAAGCTCGAACACGAGGTTGGGGGATTTGACGCAGTGGATCGAGACCGGCAGCGAGTTCGCTGCGGCTAAATTGCACATCTCCGTGAAAACTTGGGCCTGGTGGTTCATGCTCACTTTGACGCGGCTTAGAGGTGCCCGGTCATCGCCCTGGTAAAACCCGTTCTCCGGCAACCGAAATAGCTTGTCGAGGCCAATTTCTCCGATACAATCGCAGTTCGTGGCTGAAAACTCTGTGCGAATGTACTCATGCAGATTGATGGGTTCTGGTAGCCTGCTTATGATGTGGCCCAGTTCCTCAGCGTTCGGACCCTGAAGCACAGAATTGTAGTGCGGTTCCTTGGCAGGCTTGTTATCTTTCTCTCCCAAATAGTATAGATGGCTGTACCAGGGATGCACACCAAACCCAATTTTGGTATTGGTATCCTGCCGTGGGAGAGTCTTGACCCGCTGCCAATCGTAGCTGTTGTTCGACATCACACATTGCACAGACGGTGTCTCCGGTAAAGTGGAAAATTCGTTATGATCAGCCTTCATGCTTGTTGTGACATGGCAATGAGCGTCTACATATGGCACTACCATTGCGTATACTTCGGAAAGAGTTCTATATTTAAGGTTGCAATTGAAGGTGTTTATAGAAACGCACACAAACGATAATAGTCTACTTGTGTGAGATTATAACGAGACAAAGCTCGAGGTATTGTAAGTGGTCTAGAGAAGGCCCGATCGGAAACCTGTGTGTATTCTGTTGTATAGATTCACGTATTTCGATACTTTTATGTATAATATCGAAGTTCCTTCAAATTACTCAGATTGATGATTAAACCTTTGAAAAAGAGATACAACACAAACTTTCGGTTTCGAACAGTCAAGCAGCGGCATTGGAAGCGCGGAATACCGGATTTCTGATGCAATTCGAAGCTTTTATGATCGGTTGGTTTTAAACTTTCGCTAAAGCCCCAATTTTGAGCGTTAAGAGCTGTGAGTGGGTTTTGTGTCGAACTTCTGACAATGGTGCTTCTGACAGCATGGCAGAAAAGTTTTAGAGATTGAGTATCGGTGCTCCTTGGAAGTTATACTGTATATTGTTACCTTAAATGGTGCTTGGCACGTTGTGGATGGCACCAGAGGTTGTTTACTTCAGCGGCTATTAAAGTGCCGGCCCGTATCGGATTGACAACAGCTTACTAAAAATGAAAGAATTGAGATAGCTCATCAGATACAATGAAAGCAAATCTCGGTACGGAAACGGTTTCTTAGAACGTACAAAATACACGCTTTCACGATCCTTCTTTTTTTTTTGTTGGGGGGGAGGGGGGGGGCTAGAGTANGTGGGGGGGGGGGGGGGGGGCTAGAGTACTTAGAGTATTTCCAATAAAAGACCGGCAAACAAGAAATCACCAGAATGTACCCGCCCAAGGACGTTTGCCAACTTAAAACCAATGCTACAAGGCGTGCTGTGAGTATCTTAGGTTCATACTTATGGATAAGACCTTTCTATCATGTGATTTACTTTAATCACGTGTATTTCACGAGCTTAGATTATGTCATCCGTGTTACAATACCCAAATTGTAACTTAAATTCGAAATCGGTAAAGGGGTCTGCAAAAAAATCAAGCAACAAGCATCATTTGTTGCCTTTAACTGCTCACACCCTGACAGTTAGCGAATCACTAGTCGATAAAACAGTTTTGACATGGTGGTCATAGTCGCTTCGTTATTTCTGCCTTTTCAGCCGCAGTTTGAAGTATCGGGTTCAGATGCTGATACTGCAGCGCTGCTAGAAAGCGATGCTATTAAAGTTCCGCAAACGAATGCGGGCGGTGTAGGCCAAGTATCAGGAGAAACAGGTGATCCTTTGCGTAGAAATAGAACGAGCTCCGTGCATTCGAACTCGCCGTTTTCAAACTCTGAGCACGGCAATGTGGGCTCGGAGCTGCTCGACTATCCGAACGCAAATGTGTCTCGAGCGCAAGATACGCTACCACCTCCCCCAAAAGTTGCCAACCCAGGCATCTCATCTGACATGTTCATGGAAAATCTTACGGCAAATGCAGTCAACACAGGTACGGCAGGAACGCCTGCTAATCCGGTGCACAATCAAGGTAATACGTCTGTGGAGGAGTTTTTCAGTTCTCACCCGGCTGGCTCAATGCAGGCGATTTTTGGTGGAAGTGGCATGTCGAGCAGAAATTATTCAAATGTCTCGACACCTGGTGCGGAGGGTATATTCAGTCCCATCCCACAGCATGATTCAACCGCTAACCTTCTCAAAAGCGTCAATAAGTCCTTGTATCAAAACATGATCGGCACCAGTGGGAGTCCTGTTCCAGCCTCAATCGAAGGTAAAACTCAACCTCAGGCATCTCTACCCACTAGCACCGTGATCACGCCAAGATCCAGAGAAGTGCCTGACTTCAACTCTAGTGTGGTGGACCTTCCAAAAGCAAAGCATCAGCAGCAACAGCAATATTCATTGCCCGCGATGAGAAGACTTCACCGTAAGTCTTCAAGTGCAGCTCCCTCTCCTGAACCCAAGGATACGAAAGCGGCTCCGCAACATGCCCATGGTAAGCATCCACTTCGTCCCCTTGAAAGTGGCCGCCACATTTCGTCCGCGTTGAAGAATGAGGTGATCGACGAAAGTGATAGTGATCACTTTTCAGATCACGAAGAAGACTCTAGGTCAAAAGTTCTCCAGTTCGGAGGTTTTTCATCGGATGCAAAATCGAGGGCTTCATTGTTGACTGGATCCAAGGACATTTTCTCAAAAGTGCCTTGGAAAATCGTGACTTCCGGCAAAGGAAACGGTGGGCTAAAAAACGCGATAACGACCGCTTCCTCGGAAAAAATTATCGAAGAGCCCGTCAAGTGGGTAGGTACAGTTGGTATTCCAACCGATAGTATCTCAAACGATGTATTGGACAAAGTTTGTGAAGAGCTTGAAAATAACTACGACTGTGTGCCTGTTATTTCTGATGATATCACATTCAAAGTCGCTTACAAGAATTTCTGCAAACAAATCTTGTGGCCCACGCTTCACTATCAGATTCCGGACAACCCTAACTCGAAAGCGTTTGAAGATCATTCCTGGAACTTTTACCAAAATCTGAATCAGTTTTTCGCGGATAGCATTGTCGAAGCTTACAACGAAGGTGATACTATTTGGGTACATGATTACCATCTGATGCTTGTCCCTGGTATGGTAAGAGCGAAGTTGCCCAATGCCAAAATCGGTTTCTTTTTGCACGTTTCGTTCCCTAGTAGCGAAGTATTCAGATGTTTTGCGCAAAGAGAGAATATTCTAAATGGGATTGTTGGTGCGAACTACGTTGGCTTCCAGACGGAGGAGTATGCTCGTCATTTCCTGCAGACGACAAACGGTCTTTTGATGACTGACGTTGACAAGACAACCTTGAAATATAAAGGACGCATCATAGACGTTGGCCACGTCCCTATTGGAATCGATACGTTTAATCTTGATGCTGAATTGAACGCTGATAGTGTTCAAAACTGGCGCCAGTTGATTCGTAGTCGCTGGCCTGATAAGAAGCTGATTGTTGGCCGTGATCAATTTGACCGCATTAGAGGTCTAAAAAAGAAATTGTTGGCGTATGAGAGATTCTTGCGTGCCAATCCTGAGTACGTCACACAAACTGTTTTGATTCAAATATGTTTGGGATCCGAAAAGAATCCTGAGCTTGAAAGAGAGCTGATGATTGTGATTGATCGGATTAATGCTTTATCACCAGACATCAGCACTTCCCAACCGGTCGTTTTTCTACACCAAGATCTTGAATTTGCTCAGTACTTGGCTCTCAATTCTGAAGCAGACTTATTTTTGATAACGACTATGAGAGAGGGTATGAATTTGACTTGTCATGAATTCATAGTTTCTTCAAGAGAGCGCAATGCCCCACTTTTGTTATCGGAGTTCACTGGTAGTGCATATATCATGAAAGATGGAGCGTACCTCATAAATCCATGGGATATCAAGCAAGTAGCCCAAACCATAAAGCGGGCTCTCGAATTGCCGTACGAAGAAAAGAGAAGAAGATGGAAGACTTTATACAAGAGCATCATGAAGAATGATTCGGACTACTGGGTGAAGGAGTCTTTGAACGGGATTGCAGACTCTTGGTACTTCAACAAAGAAAGGTCTACTGTGTTCAATTTGTCCTATGATACTATGCTTTCAAGTTATAAAGCTACCAAAAAGCGTGTGTTCATTTTCAAGATATCAGAACCACCTACTGCTAGGACTCTGTCTATTTTGGCTGATTTATCTGCTCACAGTATAGTGTACGTGTTCAGTGCATTTTCGCGCAACATGATGGAAAGACTTTACACTCGTGCAGCTCATGTGGGATTGATCGCTGAGAATGGTGCTTATGTGAGACTCAATAACCGCTGGTTCAGTATTGTGGAAGATATCTCGTGGAAAAGTGAGGTTGCCAAGGTGATCGAGGACAAGGTGGAGCGGTTGCCAGGTTCCTATTGCAAGGAAGGAGAGTCAATGATACGCTTCCATACTGAAAACGCTGATGATAAAGAGCGTATTTCCGGTGTTGTTGGTGAGGCAATTACTCACGTCAATACGCTTTTCGGTGATAGAGGTATTCATGCTTATTTGCACAAAAGCGTCGTGTTTGTGCAACAAACAGGGCTGTCACTAAAAGCTGCACAGTTCTTGATCGCGTATTTCAACTCTGTGAACGCAAATACAAACTCTACACCCCAGCATTCGGTTGAGAATTCACCACTGTTGAGCCCACTAATCGCACCTTCTGTGCCCAATGGTGTTGCTTCGCCATTGAGCCAGGGAGGTAGCAACTCTTACTTCAGCTTGGGACGTAACACTTCGCACATTGATTTCTTGGCCGTGACAGGATCAACTTCACCTGTGGTCGAGCCACTATTCGAGTATGTCAATGAAATGGTCAAAAAGAGGTCTGTCAAGGCAGGGTACAGTGTGGTGTACGGAGTTTCCTTATCAACCTATGCAAAAGAGCATATTGAAGGTCTAAACGAGTTACTTTCCATGTTGGAAAAGCTCAACCACTCAAACTGAATGCAGATATTGGAGCAGCACGAGTAGAGTGCTCGACATGAAGAAACGCTTATCAAGCGTCACATACATTATGACAAACGTTACGACATCTCAAGAAAACAGAAATTGAAAGCATCATAAAGGGCGTCGGAGAGTCCCGCTTCGGAGTTCTTGGACTAAGAGGCTTTTGCAACCTTACAACTGCCATCATGACAACCTCTCTTCCCTCGAAGTGGTCGAAGTCATGTTGCTCACGTGCTCATAAGTAATCGTCATGGACGAATGAGCTCGTGATCTTCCTCAGGTTACTATACACGAAATATCTGAAAAAAATTTTAAAGATGAGGAAACATCAATGAGGAAAACTCTTGGTTAGTGTGAGTCCTCTAGTTGACACCTGAAAGGTTTAAGAGCTTCATCTCAAAGTTCGCTCAATCAAACACAAAAGATGGGTAAGAAGAACACCAAGGGTGGTAAGAAAGGTAGAAGAGGTAAGAACGATTCCGACGGTCCCAAGCGTGAGCTAATCTACAAGGATGAGGGTCAAGAATATGCGCAAATCACTAAAATGTTGGGTAATGGTAGAGTAGAGGCATCGTGTTTCGACGGTGAGAAAAGAATGGCACACATCAGAGGAAAACTGAGAAAAAGAGTGTGGATGGGCCAAGGTGACATTATATTGGTGTCGCTGAGAGACTTCCAAGACGATCAATGTGATGTCGTGCACAAGTACAATTTGGACGAGGCTCGTACGTTGAAGAGTCAAGGTGAATTGCCTGAGAACGCCAAAATCAACGAAACCGATAACTTTGGTTTCGAATCGGACGAAGACGTCAACTTTGAGTTTGGTAACGCCGACGACAGTGACGATGACGAAGACGAGGATGACCTCGACATTGATGACATCTAGAACCCCGGATAGGATTATATCCTTTTCACTGCATCGCACACTGTATTCCCTGTGTTCCCTCTATGTACTATTACATATATAAATGAAATATATATTTGGACCTCGTATGAAAGTCGGTTTCTTTCGATTACGATTTGATCGATGGTGTTTATAAGCTTTATTTGACGCTATGGGAGCCCTCCTGTAAGATTTAGTTTGGGTATTTATGTGTATGGTCGCTTTTTGGGATCTTCCTGGTTCGTTTCAGCGCTACGGATAAGCTCTCTAACAAATTTATCTTTTTCCAGAGTTCTACACCTTGAATCTATCAAGATCTGGATCATCTCTTGTTAGATGAACCATTTCTTCGCTTTGGTAGGTTTGGGACGCAACTCTGTGGTGTGTACCTTGGAAAGACTTTCTCACAGTGAAGCCTCCGACATTGTTGTCTAATGGGATGTTTTCCACATCTGACTGATGACTGAATAGTTTGTCGTGATTCTTCTTTCTAGCCAGATTCAATAGGTATACGCCTGTGAAGATGATAATGAACCCACATACCAACGACACCGAGTCTTTTTGATCGCTTTCATCAAAATTGCGGAACAAAATGAAAGATGCCACGAGAGTTGCAGTCGTAAAGGTAACGTAGTACAATGGGTTGACAATTGAAGTGTCAAACTGGTCTAGAGCCTTGTTGAAATAGTTCATTTGCGTCATGATGCAGACTGCTACAACTGCGATGAAAATGTACGTGGAAAAATACGTGAATTGATTGTTCCCGCTCAACGTTAGTTTCAAAGCTATGCCAAATGCTTTGATGGACATCACAGAAATCGACCCCACAGTAGAACAGATCGAAATATAGACCATAGGATTCTTGGTACCATGCGTAGGGACCACTCTAGTGATCATAAAGACTGTGAAAAGGGCAACCGATAGTATATAGCACAGGAATGCAGGTTGCATGGCATATCCGAGAATTTCGTCCACAGTTTGAATATCTTTGTCTGAGGGAGCATGCAGAATGATGATAACAGATCCCAACAGACACACGGTACATCCAAGCTTGCCCAAAGTCCCCAGTTCTTCCTTCAAAAAGACAGCTGCTAAGATCGCACCGATAATTACAGACAACGCTCCCAATGGTGTTACCATGATGGCAGGTGCAAATGTGTAAGCAGCGAAATTCGCCACCTCTCCAATAGCCATAGTGGCCATTCCCCCCCACCAAGTAGGATTTTTTAAGTACTCATAGCCTGCACCTTCGAAATTGTTTTGTTCTGCTGCTGCGTTCAATCCCATTTTGGTAAGGATGAAAGAGCTTCCAATTGCAAGGGAGGAAGTCATCGCAAGAATCAATCCAATGTATTTGTCCTCCATCATTGTTGGTAGCCTACTTGCTCAGCTGTGCGATTGCTTGACTTGACGAAGTTTTGATTGAATGTGTTGAGTTGGACGTTTGATGTCGTTATTTAGGTGTGTGCCAGATCATCAGACGTAATAGTAAATAGTGATTAACTACGTTACAGGAGAAAGAAGCTGGGGAAAGGGTCCCATGCTCTAATCAAAGGTAACGATTGAATACATGACGGGTCAGGAATGGAGTTGGAACCTGGCTTCTTTGGACAAGGGGTTTTCTACCATCGAATTAGCGATGTTGTATAAATTTGGTGAATAACGTTCGAGATATTTATCGAGACGTTTCTGAAGAGCAATAAGGTATTCTTGTGAGGCATATAGTCCAACATCATGATCTCCAAGTTACAGTGTTCGAGATCGAGGTGATCGATAATTCTGTAGCTGTTGCAATGCGTATTTAACTTTTCCATGACAGGGTACGGATAGTTAGAGATATTGTATGAACGTAATGCCAGACTTGCCAACATTCGCTCCTACTAGCTGGTTTAATTCATAGAAACAAAGAGGTTTGTGTATCTGGAAGTGGACAGTGAAAGATTACTCCGATGACTATCACATTGGTAAAAGTGATTCGTAGATACGAAAATAGGAACTTGAATGCCACAGGAAACTCAAGGCCAAGTGTTCTGGCAAATCCCCGAATGGAGTCTGACAATCACTGGCACGAATAGACTATTGACAATGCTTTGGATATACCCTGCGATAGACTTCTACAAAGCACGTGACTGGTGTCAGCGACACACACTCCCAAAAGTGATAAGGTTCACCAACTAAAGCTAACATTCGGTTCTATGCATAGTTTTGAGCAATTCTGAGGACCAGGAAAAAGAGATTACCGATGTAATTCTCACCCAATGTCACAGATAAAAAGCTGCTCCTAATCATATCCGTTTGATTTGAAGTAAAGCGAAAAACATCTGGATAATTAACATCTTTTTAAGGAAATGCCCTAAAAGTCACCACAAGCGAAATTCCTCAGCAACGCACGTCTATCATTATCTGAACTCGAGTTCAAAAAGAGAGTGGAACCACAGCGTCAAGAATAACAACATCTCCGAGATTAAAATCTTAATGATTCACGGAACTATCACGTGACTTAAATTTTGCCTGCTTATAACGAAAATTAACCATGGACCAGTATAGATGTCGAGGTAACGAGAGAACTAGAACAGCTAGAATGGCCTTTACCGAGCGTATAGGAACCTATAAACATCAACTCATTGAATTCAAACCAAAGGAGCTAAAAGTTGGTTCTGGCGAACTTTTCGCGTTTTTCAACGATGTTTTTAAAGATCTTTTTCGAAATTTAAAGAACGGAACCGCCATTGATGATCAAGAAAGACTTCTGTTGACCGACACATTAGGAGTCTGGTTTTTGAGAACTCGGCAACTTTTCGAAGCAATCCAATTGGTAAAGACCCTGGACGACAATCAACAGCATTTCATACACAAACTTCAACTAGAGCTTTTGACTGAAACCAACTGCGATGTCTTTTTCCGCTACGTGGTTGACTTCTGGGACCAGGGTGGCACCGCTTTAACCAACTCTCTCAATGACTTACTAGCGAAACTTATTCAGCTCGCAAAATTGGTAAAAGGCGGTGCAGGATGGACAAATATGCTCAATAGGTGGATTTCGCAGACACTCGAAATACCAGCTACAATGCGGGTATCTTATTTCTTACTACATGTTTTGGCCCCCGAAACTGATCTGTCACAAGTTCTCATTAGCCGGCCTGATTTTGTGCAGACTTCACTCAGCCTAATGTGGACCGAGTCTTTGGCGACACTTATCGGGAAATGCATTGCAAGCCTCCTCATAAATGTATATGAACATGACTACAAAGAAAGTGGCGAAGTTGGTTCTTGGTTTGAGCTGTGGGAAAAATCAACCATGCATTACTTCCAAGACACCCGTATGCGAAAACGTATCGAGGTTTGTGTACTTATTCCGATTTTCAAGACACTTGGAAGTAAAGTTTTCGACGAGTTTGTGAATCGAAACTTCCCACAAGAAATTCCTGAGCTTGTCCCGTTCTTAAAAATCGGTCAAGAACTTTTGCTCGAGGAAGCGCCATTCGAAAATGACAGGCTCGTATCATTACAGTTCCTTGAAGTGATGTTACAGCAGGACGAATACAAGATATCGGTGTTTGAACTCTTGACATTTTCTCCGAAAAAGTCGAAGGCAGTAGCATCATATATATATGATATCCTGAGGCGAAATCTTCACGTCTTTTTCGTCGACATCGAGGTCAAATCCCGGAATGAGTTCATCAGTCTTTTCAAACATCTGATTGATAGAATAAGAGATTCCTCCTATTCGCTTGACAGGGATATCAAAAAGCTTCGCGCCAAAGACAAATTTCCGGAAGAACAGTTCCAAAAATCGGAAATGATTGCGGAAGCTGTCCGTTTTGTGAGTTGGACCATTGGATTTTTAAAATATCAATTGGCTCCTGGCTCGCAATACCAGCGCCAGATTGTGTCTACCAAAATATTGAAGCTTTTGCTCTCATCCAGTGTGGACAAAGCAATACCGAAACAATACCTTGATCCCCGCTTGAGAACGGAGTTCCCTTTTGAAGCTAGCATTTCTAGAGATAAGACGCTACGAAGGCTTCTCCTGGATAATTTATCCAACAACTTCAACGATGTAAGAGACAACTGCCTTGAGCTACTAACGATCTTCTCTCAAAGCTGTAACGATGACACATTTCTTGATCTTTCGCATCAAAACAAACTGCTCAATCGAAGCTTGACATTGATCGGTTCTTACAAGGGATGCGAGGGTGGCGCTAAGCTAATTGAGTTTTTGTTCAAGGATTCCAAGAACAAACGGGACATCATTGAGTTACTACTTCTAAATCTCCACAAACGCATTGATTCTTCTAGTGTCAATTTAATGACCAATATAGAATCTCCGGTGAATGGCTATTTCTTAGCTTTAAGTCTCATAATTGCCAATTTTTCGGTTGATACTACCGCGGACGACTACGTTGATTTTCTCGATAAGCTCATCGACCTCATCATAAGGAACTGGAAAAATGTGGAGTTCATTTTATGTGATGATCCATTTGAGGATAAGGACCACGAGCCCGATACTGTACACAAGGTATCTGATCCGCAAGTGATCAGCTATGCGTTCAGATCCATAAAGGACTCCTCTGAACTGCTCAAAATCTTGATGACTATTAAAAATTTGCCCAATGAGCAGCTTGTCGCCTGTGGCGAGTTGATGTTGGAACAGCTATCGACCATTCGCCACAGCGGAGCATTCCAGTCTCTCATTCCAAGTTTTGCCGCAACTTGCCAACGTTGCTACAAAGACCAACCTCATGTTCTCGAACTTTGGCTCAATTCGATGCTAGAATCACTTGAGACCAAAACACAGTTCATCACTAGACGTTCAGGAGGCATACCGTACATTATCTGTAGCATTGTCAGCTCTGAGAAAGGTGATAAAAGGCCACTATTGAAAATCACGTTTGAGAGGTTGATGCAGATTGCAACTGTTACTGTTTCTGCGCACGAAGAAACAGTTGATCTTCCCCAGGTGAATGCCTTCAACTGCATAAAGGCATTATTTGTTGATTCTCCATTATCAGATGCATGTGCGCCGTATGTGTACCGATCGCTTGTCCTATGCATTCAATCGTTTACGTCGCCTCTTTGGTCACTACGAAACTGCTCATTTATGTTATTCTCCGCACTGCAAAATAGGCTATTTGGAAAAATAGGCAAAAACATTAGCGCCCGCTTGTTCTTTTCACGCTATAATGGTGTTCAAGATATTTTACGCTCGCAATTTGAGAGGTCAGTCAAAGAGTCATTTTCTCACCAACAGCAGCAGGAATTGGCTGGAAACACTTCTCTACCGTCCATCGATTCTCAAGTAGAAGCGATTTTTCTTGTCTTAACACTTTTATCGAGACTCAAACAAACTCCAGGTTTTGATGGAATGGACGATTTCAGAACGCTTGTCGTTGCTTGTTTAAAATCTCAAAACTGGGCTGTGAGGCAATTGGCAGCGCGAACATTACCAGGCCTGATCAACAACCCCTCAAGGCAGATAATGCTCTCTTTAGAAAAGCTTTTCGATTCGAATATTACTCAAAATGAAACGCACGGGACAATTCTCAGCATCGCGGAGCTATTAGTCGTGGAAAATCAGGAATTTTCGACTCAAGACTCACAAAAGCTGTCACGCAAATTAAATCGTGGAGTTTCCAAATTTGTTATTGAGAATACCTGCTTCGTCACTGCAAACGCGTATATCAGACTGCTGGCCCTTGCTTTGTCAAGGTGCTCTGTAGATGCCATGGAAAGAACGACAATGGTCACGGCTTTAGGAAATCTTTTCATAAAGCTTAATGAGGAATACGCTGTTGATGGAGCAAAGCAACTATTTATGCGCTCCTTGTTGACGCTTCTTCTTCAAAACGAAACACAAGAAAATCTTCCTCATTTGGTAGCGCTTGCCCTCCTTTCTCCATTCTTTGAGGCACAGATAACTGCTGCCAACTTTCTCACGGAAAATACGAATGCGACACTTTTCCACACTACAGCTATTGTGGAAGCGCTTCTTAAAACTTTCTTGGATGAATCATTGGATGAATTCATCAAACTTCCAATTTTGAGGGCACTCGTTAAGCTCAAAGTTCAGATAGACTACAACTATTTGACGAATATCATTCAAACGTCAAGAAATCACGAACTTCGTGCTGTCGCTCTTGAGTATTGGGGACAGTATGTGAATGGCTTTGACGAGGAATTTTTGGCCGCAGTTTTAGCGTTTGCCGACGATGAGGCGCCCTTCGACTTGAGAAAATCTGCTTTGCTTTCATTGATCAATGCCACTGAACGGCACTACGATATAAAGATGTTCTTTTCGGTGGAAAGCTTTCTTTATGATGATGATTTGGAACTTCGCAGCATGGCCTCTGAACATTTGAATGAAACCATATTGGGGCTTGGACCGGTTGCGAAGAGCATCAATTTCTCTTCCACGGCACGATTATTTGTCGAGAAAATGAATACGATCCCAGAAGGACACATTCCAGCTTTGGCAAAACTGAAACGTGAATTTAAACAGGTACAAATCAGTGCGAAGAACGATAGCGAAAATGACAACCTATTTGAAGTGGAGCCTGCAAACCAGTTCAGAAACGTTTTGGAGGCAGGACTCCGAAATGCTCAGATTATGATAAATGCTGCTAGGGTAAAAGACGACGAAATCTCGGCATACGCTTCGACTCTTGCCAACAATGTGATAACCCGTCTCGAACAATTAGACACCTGCGATGGACCTATGGGCTGGGGGTCCGCTCCACGCTGTTTCTCCCAAGTAGCATGTCTCCGCCTGCTTGCTACGGGTCTCAATATCCCCGAGCGCGCGAGACTGGATGCAACGTTGAGAAAGTACCAGTGTCATCCACTTGTATTCGAACTGACGGACAATTCCCTACTTTTAGCATCTATATAGACTAGATAGACGAACTTCTAAGTACCAGCAAAAATCAAAACTGAACTTCTCCTGATACTTTTTTTTCAAACATCCTACCAAATGTCGTTTAACTAAACTGATATATGAATATATAACGACCCGTCCACCATGTCAATATGACATTTCTCCTCAACGAGCACTAACTTTCTATAAACTGATATTTGTCTTGATGGACAGGTAAAAGCATGCAAACGACGAATACTGAGTTGTAGCAGTTTCAATACTTCAAATTGCCGCCGAGCTTTTTTACGCGTGACTGTCATAACCCTAGCTGTAATTTTAAAGAACTTTCAACTTCCATAAAAGTAGACTTCGTGGCCAAGCTGGTTAAGGCGTGCGACTGTTAATCGCAAGATCGTGAGTTCAATCCTCACCGAGGTCGATATTTTTATTTTTTTCAATTCCTGCTCACGGCAACTCACACCAGATTTTGTTGAGTATTAAAGTACACCCCATCACCACGTCTTAAGGCTATTCTGAACCAAACGAGCAGACGGATACTTAAGGTCCTGCCATGCTTTGACAAAGTATCATATCTAACAATGAACCACAATAATGAGAACGCCATGGAACAGCCGAATGGGTTTTGGGATTACGCTGTTGGTTTTCTCAATCAAAATGACCTTCTATCAGTAGGACGCACTAATACTCATCTTCACGACATCGCCATGAAAAGAATATACCGCAGAGTTGTGATATCCAAGAGCCCTATTTTGAGGTCTTCAGAATGGTTTCTTGATTGTGGAACTACCTATGTCGCTGGATACCGGTCACTGTACAAAACAGCTGATCAAAACGACCTGTTTTTGTATGATCGCATCGTGAGATTGACGGAAAGTCCACATTTGCATCTGGTCGAAGAAGTTGTCATACAAGAAGATGTTTTTGAGGACAAAGAGGCAGGATACGCGGTCCTCAAGGGACTTTTGAACAAACTGATGGATTTGGACCGCTTAAAAGTATTGGACGTCAGAGATTCTTATCTTTTATCTGAAATTCGCCTGCGATATTTGCAGCTTTCAAACCTACGGCAATGCCAGGTCGTGGGTTTAACAGATCTTGGCCAATTGCAATCGCTAGAGAATATTGAATCTCTAGAATTGCTTCTAACAAGCCCCGATTTCGATAATCGCACCTTAACAGATAACGTCAAAACTGTTTTAGCCTCTAATTTACGTGAATTAGTGGTAGACGATTTGGAACACTCGGCTTTGCGTCTTTTCCAATTCTTCCAGGAACACAATATGTCGCTCAAAGCGGTCAGGTCCCTAAAATTCAACCATGTTCATGGAATACACGATTATAATAAGACTATTCGGGAGTTGATTCCGGATTTCCTCGTATGCGTCTTCGACTTGGAAAAGTTGGAGCGGTTGGAATTTGAGGGCTCCTGTGAAGTGGAAGGCTGTGTCTGTTTTCAGGAATTCCTGATGGAACTGGCCCCGCGGCTCACTAACCTGCGCGAGCTGGGACTCATAGAAAAGACATTTGCCACCCAGGGGGATCACTACACGGAGGAAAACTGGGATTTGGCAATCAACAAATTCATTTTTCACCTGCCGAACGTTTCACACACTCTTCAAAAGCTTGCAATACGCCACAATCCACCTTTGAACGGAATCCAGAAGGATTCCGTGGAGGGCAACTACGTGAGACGACGTACTTTGTATGACAACGTTCTTCCCAAACTCACACATCTGCGGTCTCTTATCGCCCCCACACTTCTTCGGTCTCTGTCTTCTTATGAAGTGTTGATGTGTGATTTATTGTGGAACGGATGTGAGTGCGATCAATGTGCCAAAGTTTTGCCGATCATCGATCAATTTATCATGAACCACCAATACTACTCCTCGCCAGATGGGTGCTACAAAGACATCATCCCCACAGTGTTTTTGGCTTATTCGGGAGATGCTTTGTCACGCCGTTTCATTACAGAGATAGATTGGGACCTCAAAGCTTGGCAAACATGTCCCGTGTCCACCAACTGGGACTTCCATGGCTACGAAAGCATCCAACATTTTCACGATTATGCTTGTCATTTTGACGAATCCGTTTATGTGGCCTTCACAAAGTGTCTTTCCCACTTCTTCAATTCCTACATGGACCATTTGGTCAACTACCTGCCACTACTACGATCTTGCGTCTTGTCCGGAATCTACTATAGCGTGGACGATTCAAATAAACACACATCTATCTACGATTAACAGAGATTCACACAATTTGAATGCTGTCTTAGAGCTCATCTAGATCTATCGTAACCTATTGCTGAAGAAAATAGTGTTTCTAGCTCATCTCATCTCATCTCATCTCTTAAAAGTTTGTTAATTTCCAAAAATTTTCAGATCTTAGTTATGGAAATCTATGAATTCGCTTCACAAACACAGTTAAAGCAGGCCTCGATCACTTCCTTTTCAACGTTTAAGTCTTCTCATCATCTGTTCCAAATCCGTCTTTTGGAATTTTGAGACAGTGAGGGCCGGAGCCTGTCTATTATAAGCATTTTCAAGCATAATTCCAATACCATCTTGTAAATATAATAAGGCCTTTCGGGAACACCAAGGGAAATCGGAACTTTTGCAATTATAAAATCATCATTTTAGCTCCTGCGCATTATAGTTTCGTACCTATGGTATTGACGAATAGACTCACTGCGATATGATTTCCAAAACGTTACTCAACAGCGTCTTCGAGCGTACGCGACCGATAAAGCTCAATGGGCATCGTATATGTCAACTGCTATGTTTTCGACGATATAGCTCAAGAAACCCTTACAAACCAGAAATTACCGGGATTTGGGAAAACTGGAACCCTCAAATAAGAGATAAAGCTCCCGAGACGTCAACGTGCGTGAATGAAATATCCTTTTCAGCGCAAAGTCTGGACTTCCCATCACACGAAAACCACTCAATCTCGAAACCGAAAAGCCTGAAGCCTTCAATAAGAAGTCTTGCTGCTGCAGTTACGCTTCCGTCGCTGTTGGAAACTTTGCTGAAACTTGAAAAAGATCAGCGTCACTATGAGATACATCGCCTCTTCACAACTCACAGGGCTGCCTTACGTGACTTACGGAGCAACTGCCCATCAGAGAATTACGCCACGTTTCTCGGTATCGTGCTCAAGACAGAATTTGTATTACGCAATTACATCGTTTGCGAATCATTGTTCTCAGAGTACATCAAGTTTCCAAACATCAAGCCAGGCCTCGTAGACGTTGGACTAGTGACCTTTTTGAAAAACCGTAATCTCCCGCTAGCAACAGAATTCTATTTTCAAATACTGAAAGATCCAGAAACATTCCCCATATCACCCCACACTTTGCATGTCTTTGCTCTGGAGGTCTTTAAAGTCTCTGATTTGGCTTTAATGAGACAAATCATGTTTGCATGGCTTGACAGTCCCGAACTCTCACGACTAACCCCATTTAACGGTACGTTTGCCCTTTTCCATCGACTCCTGCTGAAGTTCAATGACTCAGATGGTATCATGCGCTTTATTTCGCATCCAAATGTGGTCATTACAACTTATACTACTAGCGACGACTTTGAGGCCTGCAATTTTCATCATAAACTTTTTAATGGTGATTTTGAAACTATTGAAGATATTGATCAAAGTCTACAAGCTTCTCTTACTACCACAATGGACTCTAGAAGGCTTGATTTTTACATTGAGGTTCTTAAATTTGGCGTCTCCAGAAATAATTTCTCCCTGGTACGCTTTGCCACTCAAAAAGCTCAAAAAGACAATCGTGTCAAGCTCACAGATGACTTCCACAGGCATGTATGCCAGTATTTTGTCAAAAATGGTCTATTAGAAGTGCTCATCCGTTATTTGACAGATATAGTAAGAGATGTGCCCGAGTCCCACCTGAAGCACGTATACGTGGAGCAACTTTGGAGCTGTGCTTTACGCAAATATCCCATTTTGTCGAAAGAAATTACAAATGATTTTTGCCTTCTTTTAAATCGTGAGAAAGTCAACTTCGATCGACCTGACTGGCGTATGCAGTTCGTGAGCGAGAAAATCAAAAACTATTTGTTCAAGGTCGAGCATAAAAAAAGCCGTTTTGCAAGTTACGTCTCATTAGGCTCTCATTTTAGTTCAGAATGCGCCAAAGCTATACAGGCCGCTGTTCTGAGCGGGAATGCAATCACTGCTCGCGCCAAGATGCTCGACGAACTTCGGCACGGCATGAAGCCCAGCTTCCCAATCTTATACGCCGTACTGAAAGTTTTCATGAACGATGACATGGAAGCTGCAAGGAAAGTGGACCACATAATGCGTGAAATGTACCCGAAAGTACTCACAAAAGTTGATATTCTCTGGCTTAAACAAAATTCACAACGGGCTCTCCGATTTGTTGACGAGAATAACTTAGGGCCGGTTGCCAAAGTGGAGGCTGCCCGTAGGGCCGTGGCTAGTGTCAAGGATTTCGAGAGAGAAAGACGGGCGGATCTCAATTTTCAAAATTACATGCAGCTCTCGAGTATTTTTCTTTTATTCAGAGATGCGAGAGCTGCCACACAGACGGTCGAACGTGGCAGGACCCTCATGGACGCTTCCAGCGAGAGGGAATGGTACATTTACTATTCCACCGCGTTGAAGGTCTACACCAGAGCTCAAGATCCGGAGAGATTTTTGGAGCTTTTGCGAGAATGGAACAGCAACGGGGAAGCCCATTTCCTCACCCGTGACATTCTTCGCTCCTGTAGGGGCTTCATCAAATATTTCACGAAGCATCGAGTCGTCGGTGACCTTGTTCCTACCGCTGGACCTGAACTTATGTCCCAGATTGACCAGGAAATGGACGCTCTTCTGGCAAGATACGTCAATTACAAATTCCAGGGTCTTAACGACATGCGCAAGGTAATTCAGTTCCTTACTGACTGGATAAACATTGATTCACAAGTCAAATCTTCCCACAACAACGTAATGGCAGAACATACGAGAGAGAAAAAGAATTCCTCTCTACCGGAAAAACAGCGATTAATTCGCAATGAATGATACATCAGTATAAAACATGCATGCGTAAAAACCCTCCTTTTACGCCCATCTCTGATGGCTCTCCGCAAAAGCAGCAGAAGCCATCGACAGAAACTTTTGAACTTATTTATAACTCTGTATATAAAGCGCGCCAGCGACATAATATGGCAATTGCATTGAATTTCCTAGTTATTTGGAGTCCTCAACGATCTTGCATTATAATCCCAACACTAATGCAAAGTTTAAAGAGCCAAGCGATGCTTTGTCAGTTTTCCATATTCTGACATCTTATTCGGTCTTGACAAAAATTGGAAATATTGATATTAAAGTTGAGATGAGATGAGATGAGATGAGATTAGATCAAACTTGAAAAAAGGTCAAGTAAGTTACTTCAAAGATCGTGAGTTGACCAACCGATAAGACCAGTATAAGCTGTTATGAGGGGTCATGTTCACGAGCTGATAGAAACATCTGTATGTAGGGAAAAGTTGCGAAAATTGAGTAAGATTTGGAAGGTACGAAGTATCAAGCATTTACTAACCAACTTTTGAAGTCTCGGGAAGATTGCAAGAATGTTCTTTTCAATATTCTAGACCTTTCGCTATGCTCAATCTGCCAAGACTACATGTACGTTCCGGTCATGACGTTATGCGGCCACAATTATTGTTATGAATGCATTTCTAATTGGCTGGTGAGCAATAATGCTAACGAACTAACTTGTCCTCAATGTCGATCTCCCTTGGAACAGGCTCCAGCTGTCAATTCCGCTTTGCAGGACCTGCTGAGCGCAGTCATCGATCGAGACAAAGAAGCATATTTTACCGTGGATGCGGAGAGGACCGAAAGTTTACGACGGTACAAGGATGATTTGGAAACAGGCACACTGTATAAGAACGCTTTCAAAAACACAGCATGGGCGGTGGTAGATGACGATGATGGTGTAGCACGTTGCAGTAGCTGCCACTGGGAGGTAGAAGGTGGCACATGTCCACATTGTGGTGCACGATTAAGGAACAGACGGCGAGACTACGAAGAATCTGATGGCGAGAGTATCCTCACGGATGGTTCTGGAACACCATTGCCTAGAGTCGCTTTCGATAGACAAGCTGCGATGGGCATTCGTGGGACATCGTACTCAGAAAGTTATTCGGGCGAATCTGTGGGCAATGACATGGATAGTATCGACAGCAATGACAGTAGACTACCTTCGAGAGATAGTCGAATAATCTTGAATTATTTGAATGCTAATGGCCTCGGACGCATTCCTAACTCCGATTCCGAACGCGATTCGGATCTGGACTCTTTTATAGTGGATGAAGCGGACGAAGCGGACGAAGACGAGGTGAGTCGAGATGGTAGCGGCTCATCAACGTCCTTGAGAGACGTAGACGGGACCGCTACGAGGCCTGTCAAACTCGACGATATCGACCACGACAGCGAACGCGACAGCGAACGCGACAGCGATTTCTGGGAACATAACGAGGAGAACGGACATGTGAGTGGTGACAGTCTTGAATCTCTTAACGACAACAGAAATTCCAATAGAAAAGTGAAAAAACGCAGGTTTCAGGTGATCGAAGATAGCGATGAGGACTGAAAGGATTTACTAAAGCTCAAAAAGCCCGAGACTGGCTTATAACTTAGGTTGAACGATTTTACTGACGCTGACATCGAAATTCACGTGATACTAAGGTCCGTGTATGATGATCGTTAATTTAGCAGATACTGTGATTTGATTGGCTGGTTCGGTCAATTGTCAAAATCCAAAAAAATTTTGGGAAACTACAATGTTAAACTGCTCCATCTCCTTTACAAAGCTGACACCATTTAGCACAGCTGCCTGTCTATTATCGTCGAATCTCCTTCATTTTACCATGGCTAACAAAGTAATTGACCACCAGAGACTTTTCCAAGCGTCTTCTAAGCCTTTGTGGTGGAGACACCCAAGATCGGCTTTTTACCTATACCCATTCTACGCTTTGTTTGCCGTTGCCGTTGTGGGACCATTGTTGTATCTTCCAAACACCGTGAGGGGTATCAAGGACAAGAAAAACTGAGTTATTGAGTCTTTTATTGGAACTAAGGATAAGGATCTTTGCTCCATAGACACAGTTTTATCTCAAACTTCTGTTCTTATTTATCTCACAGACACATACACAACTAAAACAAACCAGCTACGCCGCACAAATGACAACGTGAGGTGAGGAGCTGAAATTAGGGTTTGGGCCACGAGGATATGCTGTTGCAACGCTCGTATCACGATTTACACTTTTGCTCTGTCTACAGTTCACCATCACACCGTTTTGAACACTTCTCTGGCTGAAACGTTGATTCTTTGACCTTCTACTGCATTATCATGTCACTTTTCCAGCGTTTATTAGGCCCCACTACCAGTCACATACACACATAAGGTATTTCTATAGGGAAACATCATCATTAATAGCAGGTAATCTACGAAGATGTTACTGTTGAGCATCTGATAGCTCTATAGAGAGCCAGGATTCGCTTTGCCAGTTATTTTCTGTTTTCAAGCGTTCAAACTGTATATATATGGTATTTTTGAGTGTATATATACATTAAACATATAATAAACCTACGATATGAGCAAAGCAGAGCATCTTTACAACATTGATTCCAAATAGATACGGGACAGACAAATGCTGGGATGATTAGGCTGATTGCGAACACTTCTAACCGCATTGTCACACGCTATCCTGTATTTTTTAAAAAACTTGACCGTTCACTTGCAACGCAATCGCGAGATCCCAAGCATATCTTTACGAACCCTTCAAATAATGAAATTCTAGATTCAAAACATTTCTTCACCAGTCCCAACGCAAATGTGGGGTCTGAAGAGGACCTGATAGCTGCAACTATCCAGGAAAGCATTAAGTCGAATCGCCGTAAAAAATTCAAGCATATTTCCAGCGCATTCGTAGTAGCTCTACTAACGACCATACTAGGTTATTCAGTTGGCTATAAAGTGATGTATCTACACGAACAAGCCTTCATACCGGCGTATCCGGTACCTAAGAAACGCAGCTTCAACACCGATGAGTTGAAATCCATCAATGTGCGAGAAATAGAGGAACTGGCCAATTACAAGGTACTTGAACGATTGTCAATGCATCCCATGATTAAAGAGCAATACGGAGTTCCTCTGCATCACGCCCCCGGGGTTCCACTTAGAAGTCGTAATTTTTCAGTCTGGCAAGAAAATCCCAACCCATGCCTTGCTGGCATTCTTGTGAAGCCCTACAACGCCCCAAAGGACCAGTCTGTCTGGCACACTATACCCTTTATGTTCAAATGGAGACTTGTTCATCGCTCTATCGACGTGGTGGACTCTGTAAACCAGCTGTTGAGCCGATTTGGCACTGAAACCACGGATTTGCTTGATGTGGTGAATCCAAATCGCGAAAACGGTGATTTTAAATACGAGAGGCCGCAACACTACTCACAAAGTCATCAAGCGTCACATCTGTGGTTTTTGGGCGAAATGGAGCTTGATGAAAATTCCATAATTGTCTTTAAGGGCAGATACCATGTTGATATCAAATTACAACAGGTAGATCTTCTGCGGCGGGAAAATAACGAACTTGTGCGTTACGTGCTGTACCAGGCGGACGAGAAATAGTTTGTCACATGAACTGCGCTCACAGATCTTCTTCCCACCCTTTGTCGTCATCATCTTTCAAAAAGTCTTGCAGCAGGTCGAATTGCTGGGCTTTTCTGATGTTGGCATTGCGAATTTTGCGCTGTTCTTCGATCTTCCGTTTGAGAATTTCAGATTTCTTGCTGGCTGAGATGCTGTGAGGTTTCGCTGTTTCGTGTTGCGACGATTGTGCCGGTTTTTCAGTCTCCATATGCTGTCGCTGCGGTTTGGGTTTGATACGGTCGAAAATGTTCGCTTTGTCGCTAGTAGAGGGCCGCGACGGGCCATCAGACCCACTATCCTCACTAGTTTCGACGACTTCTTCACCAACATCGACCATTCCCAATCTCATAGCCAAAGGATTTTGGGGTTTTTTCATTTTACCAGATAATGCTGATTCATTAACACGACTCTTGCGTCTGACCTTTTCTTCTACCTTTCCAACGTCAACCATCCCGAGTCTAGCAGCAAGGGCATTGACATTGGCGCTGACATCGCTTGATTCATTTTGGCCCTTACTTTTACTGTTTTTCGCATTGCGTTTTCGACCGCTAGTTTTGTTATCCGATTTCACCTCCGAAAACTGCTTCTTCTTCTCATCCTTCTCGTCTGCCGTCGCCCAAATGCTCGACCCAAGGCCCTTGCTTCCACCGTCTGATTTTTGCGTTGTTGAAGACATATCTTGGCCTCGAATATCTCAAAAGAGTCGGCCAATACACCTTCTAATTCCAACCAAAATCGCCAGCAAATAGACCAATCAATGAGCCGGGCAATCCTAACCTTAAACAAGCTTAGAATAGCCTCCTTTTGAGCTCAATGTCCACCGTTTTGGAACTTTGTAGGGTTTGTATATCTATGGCGATGAGTCAGGTTTATGAAATTTCACTTGATGTTATCTCATCTGAACAGATGTATAAAAAGCCGGTGTGGAAAGAGACGTCAGCATGGTGGCTACAGAGATGCCTAGAGGGTCAACTAGTCGAGAGGATAGTGTTATGGACGACTATGTGGAAAAAAACCGGTTTCAAAGGCTTTCAAACGAGTATTTGAAGCCTAATATTGGTCTGATCTATCTGCTGACAGCGAACTTATTCAATAGTGCGATGGTGGTTTCTACAAAGCTGTTGGAGACTGACCAGACTTTGGAAGAGCCCATCACACCGCTCCAGATCTTGGTGGTACGCATGTTCATCACATATGTGGGTACTGTGATCTACATGTACTGGAATCGATCGAAGATCGAGCATGTTCCATGGGGTCCGCCGGAAATGCGCAAATGGTTCATTCTTCGCGGCTGCACCGGTTTTTTCGGAGTCTTTGGAATGTACTACTCGCTGATGTACTTATCGGTGCCCGATGCCACGGTGATCACTTTCCTCGGGCCTTCCATAACAGGGGTGTTGGCCTGGATGGTTCTACACGAAAGATACACCAAAGTAGAAGCAATTGGCGCACTGGTATCGCTCCTTGGTGTTGTAATGATCGTTCGTCCGTCTTTCTTGCTCGGCAGCTCGACCCCTGAAAAAACCAGTGATGTGGTAGAATCTAACGACCCGCAGGAACGGCTCGTTGCCACATTGATTGCACTTCTCGGAGTTCTTGGCTCTGCCAACGTCTACATTATCATTCGATACATTGGAAACAGGGCACACGCGATTATGACCGTGTCATATTTCGCTCTTATTTGTTGTATCGTTTCTTTCGTTGGGATTTGCACCATTCCGTGGATGACTTTCCAGGTTCCACAAACTGGAAGACAATGGTTGTTGTTTTCAATCATAGGGCTTTCGGGCTTCTTCATGCAACTGCTGCTAACCATGGGTATTCAAAGGGAACGTGCAGGCAGAGGAGCCTTCATGTCGTATTCACAAGTGATCTACGCGCTGATTTGGGACCTCTTGATTTGGGACCATTTGCCAGGCTTCTGGTCCTGGGCTGGGATGTTTATCATCATAGGCAGCGCCGTGTGCGTTATCAAATACAAGCCCCGGACTGAGATAGTTGTTGCTGTAGATCAGGAAACAAGCCAAGCTATCCAAATGCAGGAGTTCGAGGATGACGACGACGAGGACGATCAGAAATGGGACATTTAGGGCGTGGACTTATTCGAGAGAATTCAAATCAAGCTACAAGACGCAGGATATACCGTGTATACATTAATATGAGAAATTTAGGAGTATTTACATAATGCCGGGGTTGGCGAGACACACGCTGCAAGAAAACAGAAGGCAAGATCACAGTAGTCACATAACGGCGGTGTTGCTGTACCAAACGTATTGGAGTGATCACTCTAGAGATAACCAAAGTATTTAAATCTGATAGCTACGCAAGCTAGAACTTCTACACAATTGTTCAGCTGTCGATTCGATTCGAGTACCAATCAATGAGGTGTTAGTCTTGAAGTCGATAAAAAAGTACAATTTGCCAAGGCACGGAAAATCGATCCCGGCGGTCTTGAAGCAACGTCCTGGACAGTCTGAAAGGCTCTTACTCCATGCCTAATGCTTATTCTAGAACTGGTAGAATTCACGTTGTCTTTATATAAGCTTATATCTTCAGGTTATTACATCTCTTGAAGCTTTATCAAGTCAAAGTCCAGATCCAAACATCACAGAGCAAGTGAGAAAAGCTGATATGTTCAGTCTCAAGCTTCTAACCAAGAATGCGAAACGTTTTCAACATACCTTTGCCTTCAAGAAATGGTCAGACCTTTCGCTTAAGCAACAACAGACTTTTGTCAAAGGATTTGTCGATAACTATAAGAAGCAATACCCAGGGTCAAAGACAAATGTATCATTACAAGGCTTGTCAATCGACATGGAGAACCATCAAGATGCCCCCGCAGTTTTTGGGATATTCTATAACGATGTTTGGGATCTATGCAAGAAGTCTAAACAGAATCTATATTCCAAAGATGTAAACGCTTTGCAAAGGAATGATATCAAGCTAACGGGAAGATATGGACATGAAAGTTTTTACGATCTTTTGGTCGAAGAATGAGCCTAGGGCTGAAACTATTTAACGTCTCTCGATGCCTAGAGTGGTGACAAATTTCTTGGTCAAAGCCACAACATCTTCATCGCAAAACCGATTACCAGTGAGTTGGAGAGCCACGGGCCCGCCGATATAGCTCTCTGGATCGTATCTGATATCGCCATTTTCCTTGTACCAAACCATTTTCTCGTACATGTTTTGCTTCAATTCTGGGATCTGGGCATCTTTCTTGACGTCGTGGGCAACGTTCACTGGGAATACGACATTTGGATAGTCCAGCAGATTCCAGAATGACGTGTAACCCCAGTAGAGCGACTCCGCAGGCATTTCTGCAGGCCCGTTATATGTGGGAGATAGAATGAAGTCCACGTCCGAGAAGTATTTCTGAAGCATTTCTACCTTCAGCGCGTCTCTTTGAGCATTCAGCATTTTGTTGTCATAGATAGACAATTCTTTACCACCGCCAAACTTCATATAATGCTTGGTGAGTGGCAATAGTGGTTCACCGCTAGGACCCCACATTTCCAGCTGCACTTTGTTGCCGTCACAGGTGTAAAGACGAAGATTGGTGGTATAAATATCCACCATCTCCTTTTCTGAGAACCATTTAGGGTTCAAATTGACAAACTCAAACTCTGCAGTCTCTGAAAGCTTGGCCACGGTGGATTTCATACCCCTGGTAATGGCAGGGAACGGAGTGACCAAGTTATCGTCGTACAAGACTCCGATTCTGATCTTTTTAGGAAGCTTTGGTTCACGCCATTGAAGAGGTACACAAAGCGGATCGTACAACCATGGTTTTCCCTCGTTGATGTAAACACGCATGTAGGTATCTAGTTCGTCAATAGATCTTGCAAGAGGTCCCTGGACCGCGACAATCGATTCCTGACCTTTACCAGAGGAGAGCCCGTTCATCAACGAGATACGTCTGGTGGTTGGTCTGATACCAAAAATGTCAGTGAAAGCAGCTGGTGCACGAATGCTACCACCGATATCGCTACCAACACCGATAACAGAACCACGCATGGCAACCATGGCAGATTCACCACCGGAAGAACCGCCTGGAGACAAACGGGTGGACCGTGGATTTCTGGTTCTTCCTGAGATATTGTTCCAAGTGTCCAGATGCATAATTCCCTGCGGTTGAGCGGTACGTGCGTGGAAAACGGCACCCATTTTGTACAAGATTGTGATGGAGACGGCTTCATTCGTTGGGATGTTAGTGAGATACGCAACATAAGATGCACAAGTGATTTTGTCCTTGACGTTCATGTGTTCCTTGAGGGACACAACCACACCGTGGAATGGCCCGACAAGCTTGTGGTTTGCCTGCAAGTAATCGTCAAGTTCCTGGGCGCGTTGGAGGGCTTCTGGGATCATGAACTGCATCACACAGTTGGTAGTCAGCTGGGCGACGATCGAAGCTTTGATGAAGGCCTTAGCGATGGCAACGGCCGTGAGCTCACCAGAAAGCTGTTTTTGGGTGAGATCTTCGATGGTGAACTCTGCAACGATGGTTTGTTCTTGCGGAGACAAAAGGGACAAGAAGCTAATTGCATTGATGGGCTGGGAGTCCAGGATTTCGGCTGTTGGGATTTCAGCTACGCATTTAGCGTAAAACTCCGGGTCGAATTTTTCCATTTGGTTGACTACATCTTGATTGTAGGCTTGGATCGCCGGTTCAAACGATTCGAACTTGGTGGCATCTTCTGGCACAAATGCCGATTTTGCTTCATTGAATCCCATTATGTGTTGTTGGTAATGGCTGTAGTCGTTTGATGCTGTCCTATCTTGCTTAATCGCAGCACAAGTAGATTACACTGGCTTAAGACGAACAGAACTAACATGAGACTTAGGAAAAAGAGGTGAAGCAGTTTCCGCTGAACTGCCTTTATAGTATTTGGCATTGACCTCTGAGTGGACGTTCCTGTAAGATCCTTCATCGACGTCACTGGGATTACACCGATCTTCACTGGTTCCTCTACCGCTTTCCTTGATAAAGATGGATTCTGCCCTGGTAAGCGACGCTGGGGACGATAAGTTAATTAGATAAGGAAATTCTAGATAGGCTCGAGGATTCCGCGCAAGAACAGCGTAAAGAGAACGAACGGATCAAGCCTTTTGACATGGACCAAACCAAAGAATAGGCGTTTAGATCGCGACATTACAGCGCGAAGAGGGAGTATTTATCGCCTTGAGGCTCTTCTTACTGTTTCGTTTACCTTTCGGGATATGTTGGGCTTATTTCAGATTAGGGCCTTTGTTTTTCCTATCTGGTTAGTGGAAAACGGTTAGTTTCGCTCGAGGCAGCGGAAATCCAGCTCTGAAGGACCACAGCGAAAGGGCGACAGAGGAGAGCTGGATGGAGAGAGTTTGAAAGGGGAGTGAATGAATCTTTGTGGGAGGAAAGGACGGAATGAAACGAAGTGAAGTGTTAGTAGTAGTGGTGTATCGTGGTCGGTAATTTGTTGGGTGAGAGACTACACAGGGAACAACATCGGTGGAATCTGTTGGAGAGTTGTGGCTAGGCCGACGTTAAGTACAGAGCGTTTTGATCGTTTGAGATGCGTAAAGTAGCAAAAACCTTGTTGGGATAAACCCAAGGGGAGCATGCACGTCGTTTATAAAGCGTTGGACGCATGGTTATGAGAGCGGATTGGTACGAGTGTACTATTTAGAGCACTCATGGAGGTACTCGCAGGGACTGTCTGTGCCGGGAGGAAGAAACATTGTAAAGTTACCGTGGGATCGGTCGAATTTGGTGAATGTGTGTTCTGGTGGGGTCGTACCTTGATTGCCAAGAACTCGATATCACGTGACCAGCTTTAGAAACACGTCAAATGGGGCTGCTCTAAGGAGGGACTTCTTGACCATTTTACCGGTGGGATTCAGTGCAAGAGAAGAACTACTTGGCCAGCCTTTAGAAGGGTTTGCACTTTTGCAACATTACAGAAGCACATGGAACGTTTATCGTGCGAAAAGACTTCCGCTACAGGGGATAAGTGGATAAATCTGTGTGATAGGCAGGCGCTTGAATTGGTGAATCGATTATCAAGCAGCTTTTGAAAACCGCACGCACGTATCGTCGCTTGGCAGAGGTTACTCATTGAGTGGGTCTGTCACGTGCTTCGAAATCATTCAGTGATTAATCTGACGTAATGCTTGTGGAAAGAATTCGACAAGTTTCACCTATGCCCGCTGACTGATGTCTATTCAAGCTGCGGGTTGAAGCACAGCAACGTCTCATGATTTGAGTTACGAGGACTCACCAAAGTGGATAAAAGGCTAAAAGTGTTTGGACAGCAAGAAGCCATGATCGTTGCAAGACAAGACCACACGAAGCATTTATTCAATTCAAAATGAGTGCTTTGGTATGTTGTTTCTGACTAAAGATGAGCTTCTCCCACAATGTTGAATGTGTCAGTAACTTTGGAAGACGAGGGTCACGTGGGGTGGTTGAGGGTATGAAGCTTTTCAGCTATTTTGGCGAAATGGAGTACTAGTTGAAGCATTGTCACGGATATTAGGACTGTTATTAAGACTTGCTTGTCCACCATCCCACCCGGTTCTTACTACCTTGCTATATCGCGTGACATGTTTTTCAACACCATTCGTACTCATTTTTTTCTGGGACGGCTGTCAATATTTCCATCCAACCTCAAAAACATTCCAAATTACTATCACACTCAAATCACCGCTATCGTTCAACCGATACTTATCCGTGAGTTTCTATATCATGTCCGTAGAAACGTCACATACGTACGAAGTGATGATATTTCACATCTTCTCTGCACCATGACAAGTGCAGCATATCTCACTCCCGTTCCTTGCACAAAACCCATCATCTAAATATACACATACATTAATTTCTCGTCTATAGTTCCTGCTCTTTCCACAAGTGCTCTTTCATGTCTCATCAAGTCGTACCCAACGATCGTCCTCACCATTTCTAAAACTGCTACCAATTTTTAAATAATTACATATATGCTACCGGAACCTCTCTCTCTTCTTACAATACTCAACTGTATTTCTAACCCAGCAGGTATAAAAACCCACGGTTTTAGATAAGGCTTAAAAAGCACCTGGCTCAGATCTTATTCTGAAATCACTATCCGAGGAAAGGTAATACTAGCCGTTAGTGTTTTTCTCGCCAAAAGATTACCCCCTCCTTAGTGTGTTTGTGTAACCGTTGAATTTGTCACCTTTACACTCACTAACCTTGTTTGAAGAAGAAATATGAGCAACCGTAAGAATACAGCAGCAAACCTGCTGTTGAGACAGTACAGGGAACTCACAGACGCCAAAAAAGCCATCCCATCGTTCCACATCGAGTTGGACGATGATTCGAATATATTTCTGTGGAACGTTGGTGTGATGGTGCTAAATGAGGATTCGATTTACCACGGAGGTTATTTCAAAGCACAGATGCGGTTTCCAGAAGATTTTCCGTTTTCGCCGCCCACTTTTAGATTTACACCCGCTATATACCATCCCAACGTTTACAGGGACGGAAGACTGTGTATTTCGATTTTGCACACTAGTGGGGACCCCACATCGGAAGAACCAGATTCTGAAACGTGGTCTCCGGTTCAAACGGTAGAAAGCGTGTTGATCTCTATAGTTTCGTTGCTGGAAGACCCAAACATCTCGTCGCCTGCCAACGTAGACGCCGCAGTGGACTATCGGAAAAATGTTGACCAGTACAAACAACGCGTGAAGCTAGAAGTAGAACGGTCGAAACAAGACATCCCGGATGGCTTTGTGATGCCCTCTTCACGCACGGCATATGTGGCACAAAGGCACGCTGAGCCCGAGGATACCAGAGACCTGGGCGACAACTTCTGGTACGACAGTGACGAGGAGGATGATAACGACGAAGGTCCCACTGCAGACATGTATGGCTACGGCAACGGTGACGACGATGAAGACGAAGATGAAGAAATCCAGTTTGAGGAAGACGACGATGTAAGCATCGACAATGACAGCGTGATGGACCGCACACAGCCCAGTAAAGCTGAAGATGAGAGCGAGGATTTGGAGGACGAGATGAAGCTGGAAAAGTGAGCTACAAACAGTTTTAGGGATATGAAACATCTGTTCCTCAACCATGAGAGCTGTAGAACGAGGGATTTCTCAACCAACGACCCCGTTACAATAACAACGACAGCAAGAACAGAAAACGACAAAATCTCTACTAATATCGCATAATTACGCGCTCATAAGAATAGTTGAGTGGAGGCTTGGAAACGTATCGTACCGAGGAAAGCCGGGCAAGGCACATTGTACCTATAACAGCGACTTTTGATCTGCTCCAGGGCTACCGAATGTCCTCAAATCTATGGTAGTTTTTTTGGGTCACCGGATTTCTCAATTTGTTTCTGTTGTGATATGAAATAGCATGGTAGTTTCGCCTGTGGACGGATTGTGAGCGTCCCGGCCCATACACAGTGACCAAAACACCACTCAACGTTCTCGTCCTGCTGTGCATCGACGATTTTTGCATAGTTCTTTATACACTATATGTAGCCCTAGTCACCCACCGTGTTAGGTGATAAGGTACTCACCAGGTATTTCATAGGTAATTTCAAGGTATTCATAATATCATCTCATCTCATCTGTAAAACGAAAGATACAGGAAACATCAGAACTAGACCTCATTCAACACCGGTCAATCTCACACAACACCACATATGCTGCAGGGCAAGAACATCCAGGATGTGCTTCAAAAGACCTTGAAAGCTGTCTCGACCATAGGTTCGGACCACGGTTCTTTATATTCATCGATACTTCTTTCAGGAATCAATGGAAGCATAATATCGTATGCTAATAGCGACGAAACTCCATCGTCGTACAACAAATCTGGCAACAATTTGAAGATGATGGCGTTGCTGATACGTGATAAATGGAGCGAGGACCAGTCGGACCAGAGTGCGCAGAAGACTTCCAGCTGCTACAACGTGGAGCTTGATGATGGGTCTGCAGCCGCCTCAACGCATATCTACACATATGAGCTTGAAGACCTGCATGCTTGCGTGGCTCAAATCCCTCGCAGCGACCTGCTGCTGTTATTCGTCGCCGGCGGCGAGTATCCATACGGGCTGGAAGTATTGAAGATGAAATTCGCATTGAAATCGTTTTCAAGCATGCACGATTACAAACTGAACTAGACTGGTGGGAATGGTGAGAAGCCAGGTTGTGTTACGAACGCTTGTCGCTTTTTACATACGTGTCGTCATCATCGACTTTATCACTTTTTACATACGTGTCATCAAATACGCGACTTTTTTTCTTTCTCACTAACCAAATTAAGCCATCGGTTCGCGTTAGCTTTCTCATTCCTAGATATATCTTCAACAGTCGATGAACTAAGAAACTAAACCAACGTTTCTGAGTCGCTACGATACCATTTCCAAGGCCCAAGTCTGTGCATTGGCTCAATAGCAGTACCTCAGGAGCAAAGGGATAAACTGAGGCTTAATCCTTGTGTCCTTTGGCTTGTTAGACCCAGAAAAAAAAGGCCATCATTGTAGGTTTTTGGCTCCAAAAACAATGTTTACCTCAAAGCGTTCACCTCTGACAGAAACAGATAGCAATGTGAAGACTGGGCCCAATGTTGTGGTTAAAAAGAGGACAGTGGAGCGGATAGACGTGTCGCAGGCTCGTAAGAAGCCCCGTGTGGGCATGGAGGCCACTGCAAGAGCTAGAACCATCGAAGGTGCTGTACAACAACCAAATCATTCCCAGCAATCGTCGCACCAAAACCAGCAAATCGCAGCCAAAGTGACCCCACAGGATCTGCTGGAATGGCAAACTAATTGGAGACGGATAATGCGGAGGGATACCAAGATTTATTTCGATACCACAGAGGCATTGCACAAAAACGATAAAAAACGCGAAGCGTTAAAACGTGCGTTTTTGTCTTTGGGAGCTCAAATCACCGCTTTTTTCGACACAGACGTCACGGTGGTGGTCACACAACGTGTGTTACGGGACTACGATCGACTACCAGACACGGATGTGTTGGCTCGAGCCGCCAAGCGCTACATGAAGATTTGGAACTACGAAAAAGCCACACGGTTTTTGCACAATCTGGACGTGGATGTGGACGCATTGGAGACCAAGACCACAGCTTTGGCGCCCTCCACGCTATCAAATTTGCTACACAACGAAAAACTGTATGGACCTGCAGATCGAGACCCAAAGGCCCGCCGAGATGATGTGCACTACTTCAAACACGCATATGTTTATCTGTATGACCTGTGGCAAGTGTGGGCGCCCGTAATAGTGGCAGAATGGCGACCTCAAGATGGCGCATCGCACCCTACGGTGCGGCCGGGAAGTTTTGGTAGGTGTCCGTTCATTGGCGATGGCCAATGTGACGAACAAAGTGGGCGACGGATCTTGAAACGGTATCGTCGCGACTATGCCAACGAGAAATATGCGCTACGGCTGCGACTGTTGTACCAGCGAAGCGCGGACCCGCAGACGATCTTGAGCCGGAAAACTGAAGCTCACTATGATATGGGAAACGAAAACGAAAACGACAATGAAAACGAAAACGAGAACGAACACGGAGACGACTACGAACAAGAACACGAATACAGCGACAATACTGACTCCGTCCGGCGACTTTTGATGCTGCCGCACGAGTATTGCAATTCCTACGAGCAACACCAAAATCTGATGGGGACTCCTCAAAACGCTGTTTCACCACAAAAGTCTTGTTCGCATCGGGAGAAAGAATGCATTAATACTGGTACTGTTACTACAACTACACTCACACAACATCCCAGTGGCCAAAACCATAATCAGGAACTACTGTCACGGGACACCTCTCTCCACGTGACCGCGTCCGCTCACCACCGTCCGTCCAAAGTGACCTGGAGCGTCCCCAATGCTTTTGTACGGCAGGCGCCCGGGTCTCTAGCACGGCAGGACACAGAAGAAGCGCCGCTGGACGATTTGTGTGGACGGAAATCACGGATCCCGCACGAGATCCGCGCCAGCGGCGTTGTGCAGTCCAACGACGGCGTTGGGTCTATTTCCGCCACGGGGTCTGTTGTGGGCAATGGTTTGGGACCCACACGGGCCTCTGTCACCAGCAAGAACTTGAAGTCGCTGAACCGGCTGGTAGTAGACAAGAAGTTCACCGCGGAGGCCAAATTACAAAAGCCTACTCCTACTACTACTACTATTACCACTACTACTACTACTACTGCTAGCACTAACGCCGCCACCCACACACCCCGCCCTGCGCCCTCCACCCACACCCCCGACGCCAGAAAGCCGCGCAACGACGCAAAGGCTGGTCCCGGCTATTGTGAGAACTGCAGGGTCAAATACGAGTCTTTGACAGAGCATATTGACTCGGAGAAGCACCGGCAGTTTGCCGGTGACGATCGCAACTTCGAGGCCGTGGACTTCCTAATCCGGAAACTTGCAGACTCGCGTGCATGACGCACGCTTGGCCTGCATATGCGTGTGTGAAAGCTATCACCGACGGAGGATCTCCCTTCACCAGAACACCACATAGCTATGTCGTATATAGCAACCGACGCCGTTCATAATGATACGGCTGCAACCCATCATCACCATTATTGTTATTACTATTGTTATTATTACCTATATCGCGGACGCGTTGATTTAATCCCCGGCTGGGCTGCTTACCCAAAAGATCATCCGCACCCATTGTTGCGCATGCATACGTCACCGGCATGCAGCAGTTGTCCTAACAACAATACATGGTATTTCTATACAGAGCAAGTATGTGTAGTGGTTGTCTATGTTTGAGTGCGTGGCCCGTATGCAGTATGATGATGGTGATGATATTGTTGATGATGACTATTGTTGATGATAATAGGGTGCCGTGGTATTGTTGTTGCTGGTTTATGTTACGCAGCCACCCTGGAATGGCCAGCATTCTCGACAGTGACGGCACTGGGACTCGGGTGTGTGCTCGGCGTCGGCCGGAAATGCAGCTTGGCGTGGCGGACCATGTTGGAACGCGCGTTGAATTGGCGACCGCATTTCGGATACGGACACACATACGGCTTGTCGCCCGTGTGAATGTTGCTGTGGGTGGCTAGCGATGAGGGCCGATGGAAACACTTGCCGCACTCGTGGCACCTGTATTTGTGCTTGTCGTCCGTTGTGGTGGGTTCCTTGACGACCATGGTAACCGCAGAGAAGTGTGTCACTCCGGACGGCGAGGATGACACCGAGGACCGCAGTCGCGGACGACGGTTCCGCGGCTGAACCGCTTTTACTACTGCTACGTCTTCCGCTGACCAGTTCCGTTTGAGTAAAGCCGACGGCTGCGCGGGCTGCGCCGGCGGCGTTGTAGGGAGAGTGTAGTAATGCTGCTGCTGCTGCTGCTGCTGCTGCTGCTGCTGGTGGGGGTGTTGCTGTCGCTCCTCGTAGCCATGGTGGTGGTAGTGGTGGTAGTGGTATTCTGGGGCCTGCACCTCGGCAACCGGATCGGTGTAGGGAAACTGCGGGTACTCGAGTCCGCCGCCGATGAGCGACGACGAGTCCTGGGTCCAGGACTCCACGTCGTCGTTCAATACTTCCTCTGACGATTTGAAAGTGGGAATGAAGTGGTCAGAGCTAACACGCGTGAGAGAGCCATCGGTTTCCCAAAAAGCCGGCACCACAGGTTGCGGTTCTGGCGAGAACATGGTGTGAAAATTCATCTTGGAGGGTGAAGAGCGAAAGGCGAAAGGTGAATGGCGAAAGATGAGTGGGGCAAAGAATCGTGTTATCCGCCGTCAAAGACGCATCCCATTATCCCACACATTACACACATATATATACACATTCAATTACAAATGTATGAGTGCTCCAGACTCTACTACATGGTGGTGTACGATCTTGCGCAGTGGTCTACTGCATGTCGTGTTCGAAGACACATGTTAGGAAAAGCGGAGATTCCAGGATGCAGGAGACGTGTGTTGATGCATAAGGGCGCATGGGGGCGCATGGGGGCGCATAAAGACGGGCTGCGGCGTTAAAAGCGGCATTTGGAAAGGGATAGACATGCCTATTGTGGGCGCGGTCTTTGGTCTCTTTGTGCCGGCTTTAAGACCGGCATTAAGCCGGCCCGCGGGTTGCTTTTTGTTTTTGCTCTTTCTACGACCTGCGCCATAGTTTTTCTTTTTTCCCTTTTTGTGTGCGTGTGTGTGTTTTTTTTTTTTTTTACGCGTCGGCCAAGCCCGAAACTGAAGATCACAAAGTGCACGTGACCGAGTGCGTTGTCGTAGCAGCCATCTCATTTTAAGACAGCCGTGCCGATTGATTGACTCTTTTTTTTTGGTGACCCCCCCCCCCTTATGATGTCACGTGTGAATCTCCCTTTAATTTTTCACCCAGCACCCCTGAAAATCGCCAAAAATTTAAGCACAGGGCTGGGACCACGAAAAATTAGCTTTTAATCTTACACACCACGCGTAAGCGCCAGCGCCAGCGCCAGCACAAAAAAATGACAAATTAAAGGACGTGCTGGTCCGCGAACAATGCTAAACGATCTGCCAGCCCGCCCTGCAATGGGACGATCCTCGTCCCGCACTGGTATATAATGTAGCCATTGTGAACCGTTGTAGCAGGCTCGAGAATGCCAGTCTCGATTTCGAGGTGTAGCACTCTAAAGACCCCACTCGAAACAGCCGCGATATGATGCAGTTCAATACCGCGCTTTTCCTGCTTGTTGCGGCGTGTACACACGCCGCAGACGCGATATATCTGAATACTACTACGCTGAGTACCACCACTTCTCTTCTTGCCTTGGGTAATTCGACCGTGGCCCCGCTGGCGCTCGAGACCGACCTCACAACCACACTGGCGTCACAGACGCTCCAGTACGGCGACGTGTACGTAGAGCCACGTGACCCTCGGCCCACTAGAGTTTCTGCTAGTGTACAGATCAGTGGAGGCTCGACTACACAATCGACTGCGCAATCGACTGTACAATTGGGTGCAGGTTCGGTTGATAGTCGCCCATCACAATCCATTGGAAAATCGAGTGTAGAGTCACTTGCATCTTCAACTGCATCTTCAACTGCATCTTCAATTGCGCCTTCGTCTGCACCATCATCTGCACCATCATCTGCACCATCAACTCTCAATCATCCAGCTACCCAGCTACCCACCACGCCAGCTTCGAACCTGCTCACAAAAACGGCGTCCACATCGACCAGCATCCTTTACTCAGGGTCCAACACAATAGCGTCTTCCAGCTCGTCCACGTCCCTAGTTACCACCGTTTCCTCACGTTCCGATAATCCATTGGTGACTCAATCCCTAAGCAGCAGCAAACTACCGCAAAGCGTAGCAACCACTTACACTGCTCCAAAAACCATTTCTGACGTGTTGTCCAATAGTTCGTTGATATCGAGCAGCACTTCCAGCGCATCTCTCACTTCAATTTCAAATCCGCTTACAACCACAGCCTCTGGTCCTGCTTCTCTCTCGTCCAGCCCCCACTCCTCTGGCTCATCCTTCGTCGAATTGTCTTCTGCTGTTCAATCCACCGCTCAAACCAGTCCATACGTGGTTATTCCTTCTTCTCAATCATCAACAGCTTCGCAAAAAGCTTCAACCACAAATGATCTTCCTTCTGCGTATGGAAACTCTACAACTTCGAGATCTGCACCCGCTACTTCTAACGCCGCTTCAAATTCTACTGAATCCGCAGTTGCTCCCACATCGAGCCTCACATCTGCGTTTATAAGTGATTCAAACTCTACACAGGCAAGTCAAGCTTCCGCTACTTCCACTGTCATCTCAAGCGGCAACTCTTTGTTAACACAATCCACAAGTTTCTCAAGTTTGAGCATCGATTCTTTTTTGACCTCTCCAATCCTCACCACATCAAACCCTCAGATCACCACTCTTTCTAGCTCCCAAGCTAACTCTTCAAATTCTATGATCACCACTTCTTCCAACTCTCAGACCGCTTCAAGCTCTTCAGTCACTACTTCTTCAAGCTCTCAAGTCATCTCGAGTTCTTCGGTCACCATATCTTCCAGCTCTCAGGCCGCATCAAGTTCTTCAGCTACTTCTTCTTCAGGCTTTCAAGTCACCTCAGGTTCTTCGGCCACCACTTCATCGAGCTCTGAAGCCGCAACCCCTGTAAGCACTTCTCCAGTGCCCGTTGATTTATTCTCCCCAATTCAAACAGATGCTCCTCCATCTATCTTTGCCAGGCACTCCAACCCAATGGATTTGTCGAATGGTGTAAGCAACTACGACTCACCCTACCAAACCAACAAATTTTACACAAATTTCATTGTTGGTGATCAATCTAGTGCTGCATTTGTCTACCCTTACTCACTGTGGAAGTACAGTTCCAATGGGATGTACGGAGTTGCCGTTTCTCACACCACCTCAGACCAATATGCATTCGGCAACTACGATAGTAGTGGCGACTCGGAATTTTTGGCCAATCCACTTGCTATCGCATCACTAATGTTTTCCGCAGACTCCTTTGGGTCTTCGAATTTTAACCTCTTCGTCAATGACATGACCACTTCTTCTTGCCAGGTAACTATCAATGATGGTTCTACTTCCAATATCTTGCAAGTTCCTTTGGTTCAAGGTATGGGATTCTCTACTGGTATTTATCACGGTTCTCTAAAACCAGTTTTGAAGACCTCAGCTGCTTTCATATCCTTGACACAAGAGTCATCCTCTATTCTTCCCGCCGGCGTTCTGAAGTACCGTATTGGTCTTAACAGCGGTTCGACTTGGCTGATCTATGTGACACTGCCCGATAACGCAGACCAATCTTTCTCCTTGTCCTACACAGATTCATCCACAATATCGGGTTCAGAAGCTATCGATGGCCTCATCATACAAGTCGCTGTTGCACCAGAAGACTCCAGTTTCGACTCTTACTACGACAATGCAGCTGGTATGTACCCAACGACTTTTGAAGTGACCGGTTCTTCCGATGGTATTACCGCTAACTATGCCTTCAACTATGAAACAGAAGGTAAATCTGCGTCCGGACAGACCATGATCTTTGCATTCCCGCATCATATCGAAGCTTTGACCGCTGATTCGCAGGCTGCACTCACAGGGGTTCAATTACAGTCCACGACCAAGGGAACTATGCTTGGTTTGTTGTCAAACACACTGTCATTCACGGAATCCTTGAATACAAAACTAGGATGGCTGCCATGGTCGCAGCAATTAAACGGGAAAAGTATCAGCTACAGTGCCGATCAACTGCAACTGTTGTCCGAAGTGGCCAACTCGGAAATTAACATTGACGTTTGGGACTCTATTTGTGGTCTCAACACTTACTACTTAGGCAAAGTTTTGGACAAGTACAGCTATATCTTATTGACGGTGTCCGATATTCTACAAGATAGCCAAGTCACTCAGGCCGTTGCCGCCAATCTCAAGCGTGCTTTGGAGAATTTGATGTTAAACCAGCAATTGTATCCGTTATATTACGATACAAAGTTTGGTGGAATTGTTTCTTCCGGAGACTGGGCTTCTACCTCCACTGGTTACGATTTTGGTAACACCTACTACAACGACCACCATTTCCACTATGGTTACATCGTCCATGCTGCTGCCGTGCTAGGGCGTATTGATCAACAACAAGGCGGAACTTGGGCACAGGACAACAAGGCCTGGATCAACAGTTTGATCCGTGACGTTGCCAATCCAAGCACGGAAGATGGATTTTTCCCAGTATCACGTATGTTCGACTGGTTTAACGGTCATTCGTGGGCTGCAGGACTTTTTGCGAATCCTAATGGTAAAAACGAGGAATCTAGTTCCGAAGACTACAATTTTGCATACGGCATGAAGTTGTGGGGTGCTGTGATTGGCGATGCGTCTATGGAAAGACGTGCCGACGTCATGATCGCTGTGATGGCCCGTTCAATGAACTCGTACTTCTTAATGGCCGATGACAACCAAGTTGAGCCCACACAGATACGTGGCAACAAAGTTGCAGGAATCCTTTTCGACAACATAATCGACTACACCACTTATTTCGGTACTGCCGTGCAGTACAAGCACGGTATCCACATGATTCCAATCACACCAGTTTCTTCGCAAATCAGAACCCCTACGTTTGTGCAGCAAGAATGGACCGAAAAGCTGAGTAGCGTAGTGGGACAACTAACGGACGGCTGGAAGGGTTTGCTAATGCTAAACCAGGCCCTGTACGACCCCGCCAGCTCGTATGACTTTTTCTCCGGTGCGGACTTTAGCACTGCATACCTTGACAACGGAATGTCGCGGACGTGGTCCCTAGCATTTTCCGGTGGTTTGGCTCATGCACAAACTTTGTTGTGATCGCTAGGAGCACACCCGCTTGCATTGAAACTCCAGGCAAAAGTAGCGCGGCTCTTATGCACCTAGTTGTGATATCGTTTATTATCGCTAAAATAACTACTGCCGCTGCTACTATTCTTGGGTTACGAAAAGACAGCGATTGATAGTGGTGTGATTTGAAATCCAAAGATCTCATCGCAATCGCTGCCAACTACACAATCCGCTCTACAAGTTTCCGGTCACATTTTTTGGGATCGCATTGTATTGTATTGTATTATATTATGGTATTGTATTGTAAACTATGTATTGTTTTATTGATAAACGAACTGATAGACTTTACATGCGCAGCGTGGTAGAGCCATTGGCGCACAACGGTTTTCTTGGCTAGTCAATGTATAGCGATGGGTAGGCGATGGGGTTGAAGCAGTAGTGGAGCGAGATAGACGAGCCTAAATCGATACTTTATCGCTATGTACGGGCTAAGAGCCGGTAATTACGAGATTAGTTTTGAATAGTTGTCAAAGCTTCAGGCAGAGTTTCGGACAATACGTTCGTTACCACGTCTCAAAACGTTTCACTTTCATAGGCGTTCTTTGTAGTTTGTATTGTTGCCACCATTCTGGTGCCCATTTATCACGCTTAGGCGGCTATATAGCTAAATTAGAAAAAACTAATATCACCTTATAAACCCTGTCCTCTCGAGGAACCTACAGAACAAAACCTCGATATCACACCTTCTTCTCCTGAAGAACAATTCACTTACGCTGGGTGCTTTGACTCAGAACCCGCGTCTCCTTTTTAGTCGAGTATATACTTTTTTAATACGCCTGCAACCCTAACCTTCCGTTGAGCTTCAAGCCATCGATTTCATAAACACTGGGCAAAATAGAATCTCTGTATAGTTTCGAGAACTGCTTAGGTCTCAAAACCGCAGCCTTGGATCCGGTGCATATGGGTGGGACGCGCCGGTCGACCTAGAATTCCTCAAGCCAAACGGCTTTCCAAGCTCACGTTTCAATTGGCATGCAACTCCAACCTTCAAAGAAAGCCATACTACGCCAATTTGGAACCATTGCAACGGAAATACACTACCTCGGCGGAGCATTTTAACGGAATTCGTCAGAAATGTAAATTTGCGCAACGGGAGCTTTTGCTCAAAAACATTGACTCACCGTTTTCCTTTCAGACATCAAACATCACCGGGTTGCGCTTCTACATGGTCTCAGCAGTCGCCATCTCATGCATCTGCCAAGCTAACAGCCGTAACGGTTTTTGCAAGTCCTGCAAGATGTGCGTTTTGCATTATTCGTGGCCTGCCTCAAAGATTTGATCGCCATGACGTGCCTTGAAGGCAGTTACTATTATTGGTTCTTGTGGAAATGGGCATCCAAATGATAATGAATGTAAGAGGAAACCCACGCAGACGTTGCAGCCAACTTCAATAGAAATCGCACTGGCCACTCATAACGCACAATCCCTTTATTTCTGAGAACCGAGGCACTAGATCTCTCACCATCGTCAACTTTCTCACCTCCATTTTGCTCGATTATGCTCACTCGGCACTTAAACGGATCAAGCTGATGTTTTCCTCCGTCCTGGCCCCGGCGTTCATTCTCCACTCGTACCTGACTCACTCGTCATCAGGCAAAGACAACAATATCGACATTCTCGTGCTTACCAAAACATGCAGTTCTGCCCCGTATAAGCTTTTCCATCCTCTCTGGTCCGTCTTTGGGTGCCTATTCTTTTATCAATTCGAAAAAGAACGGATTCGACTGCTGCTGGAACCTGCAGGGAAGAATTCCCGGCCGACTTGACTGAGACGCGCTCCCTATACTTCGAAAAGTGTTGCCGCACAATGCTTTTAGAGAAAAATCACCTCTTACAGTTGCCCCGTTTCCACATGACGTAGGCCGTGTTCTTAAGCCCGAAACTTACATCTCACGCATTGTCCTGCTCGCAACGGGCTTGCCACGAAATGGATACAGACCCATAAGATCCGCGTTCCTACCGAACCAAGCGTTAAGGCTCTACCTACCCTCTTTAAGGCACCAAGAACCTAACCGTCCGCGTTGCGTGATTGATGCGGAGGTCCCGCAGAAGAAATGCTTAATTTTACATGAAGAGTTTTTGGGTTGCCCTGAGTGAAGACGTTTCCTTTATTCACGATATGGTGGACATCTAAGAGGTGCATAAAAGGAAATCAGAGGAAGTTCGGTGCGTCATGCACGACACGCGGCATCACGATGAGTATTAATCATACAAAAATGCATCAATTTCTCGATTCCTGCATATGGGAAAGGCAAAAAGGGCTGTTGGCAAAAGGTTGAGAAAGCTGGCAAGAATAACAGGAACACGGCGAGGGTCGATCCTATTGTGAGAAAACTGGACTAAACTCAGCTTAATTAACCCAAACATACAACAGTGATTTCCTTGCAAGGTATTTCAGCAAGAGAAAAGGGCATTTTGCAGATAGGTTCGGAAGATCTGGGTACGCATTTTTCGTTAATACCGATAGTGAAGCACAGAGCGATCTCTACTCTGTGTCATTTCCAGTGCTCGCTTTAAAGCTCACTGCTGGAGGATCGCGCTAAAGCACATAAGTGTGAACACCGCACTGTTCTCGGGAGACTTCTTATTCCTTGAGAAGCTTATCACGTCTCTGATAAGTCGACAGGCGCTGAGTCGATATTTTGAGTGCGGTAAACATCGTCAAAATAGAGCGCGCCAGCGCTAAGACTAATTTGAATTTGCCTTCACTTCCCGCGACCTTGCTTCCGGTCAGATCTTGACCAACGACTAAGCTCAGAAGGTGATTCTAGTTACATCGTCCACATTCTTGCAATCCACAGAAGATGGGTAACTTCAAGAAACCGAAGAAACGAAGTGAGGTGCACGACGCGGCAGAACACTCGGTAGTAGAGATGACCAAGAAAAAAGGAACTAGCCTTCACCAACACCCTTCATTCGCCACCTCCGACAAATTCACCGAGCTAGACTGTCTTTTGGGTTCATCCTACGCAGTTTGTGGCCGTCTAGCTTTCAAGATGGGGCTTTACCATCTTGCTGTGACCAACTTTGCTAAGAGTCTTGAAAAAACGCCTCATGATGCAGGTATATTGGTCGATTTTGCACGAGCCCTGGGAGGCCAGTCCAACCAAGAGAAAATTGTCGTTTCAACTCTAGTCGATGCTCTTCAACGCAGTAATAACTACTCTGATGAACGCATATGGGCTCAGCTAGCTCAATCCTACTTTGTTTTACAAAAACCAGAAGACGCCTTCCAAAGTGTATCGCGAGCTATTGCAGCGCATGAAACTCGTGGCACCAAAGATGCAGATCTCTGGGTCCTTCAATCACGCATACTTTTGTTGTGGATGGACTCGGATGGGAAAATGAGCCTTGAGACGCTAACGCCCTATTTTTTAGGTGCTGTACAAATAGCAATGGATTCAAAAGACACGAAAAGGGAGCTACAGGCAAGATTATCTCTGGCGCAGCTATATCACCGATTTGCATGTTACACACAGTCTCAAACAGAGGTGTCACAGGCGTTCGACCTGATACGAAATTGCTCCTCTTTCGAGTTGCCCAAACCAATCGGCGTTTTGGCGCGTTGCTACCTTTACAATTTTCTGTGCATCATAAAATTCAAGTTGAATCAGAAGGCAGATGCTTATAGTGTTCTTCATGAAGCGATGAATATACTCCCGCAGGTTTCGGGAACCGCTCGCTTATTGGCCACTTTAGCTCAATTTTACATGATCGATGGTGATCTCGCGAATCTCAAATCACTCATTCCGGCTATGATTTTGGAGAAAGAATGTTTGGCGGCGAATGACACAACCAGACTTTATCTTTTCAGCTGGTTATTAGGCCGGATTTTCGACATGCTAGATGACACCAAACAGAGCTATGAGTATTACCAACTCGCAGTGAACTACAAACCTCAATCTGCTTCCTTGTGGATAGGAATCGGCTCACTTTATCTCCGGATGGGTCAGTTTGAAGATGCTCACATTGCGTTTTCGCACGCTCTGAATTACTCGTCTAAATTGGAAAACTTTGAACATCCTTTCCTCCTGCGATTCAATCGCTTATTCGCTGCTTTTGCGTGGGTTGGCTTATCGCAGGTGTTCATTGGTACTTTCCGTAAACAGAACGCATTAGATGCCCTTAGACAGGCCTCTGTTTTGTTCACTTCCGAAGGCGACCTTATCCATGCCAGGCACATCGAAAGAATATTCAGCGATGTGCTAGCATCAAGCAACGAACATTCGGCTTACATCATCATGAATGTTCCACCTCAGATTTTACTTGAGCTTTTTCTCTACTACGACGCAGGTGTTTTTTCGGCTGATCTACGACCCCCGGAGGTTAGTAAGCTGACATCTTGTGAGCCGACTCTGCAAACGATGCCAGCTATGGTTCGGCATGCACCAATTGCTGCTTCCTTAACTTACTCGCCACTACCAAATGCACCGAATCTTGTTCCACCACAAGTTTTCCAGGAGCTCAATCAAAGGTGCATGAACGCTCCGGAAACATTCTTAGCATACCTGCCACCGTCTGGTCTTCAAAAGTTCGCAGGACCCGCGCCATTTAACAACATTCAAAATTTGCAAGGATCTTCGGTCTATAACTTCAAAAACGAAGCCAAACCTTTCGCAATCTAACTAATTCAAGAGGGGCGTTGCCAGTGCAAACGGAGAATTTCTGAGAGGTTTCAAGTTTATCTAAATCGGACCTTGACACCTAGAATCAGGGAATAATCATTACTTTTTTGTATTACTACATAGTCACTGACGTCATCTTCGTCTGCAATGGATGAATACGGATTCAATAGTCTGTCGTTCGAACTCAATGAGAATTTTAGCAGCGCCAGGCGTGCTTTATAGTATCAAAGAACGAGAAACTCTTTGAGTACAACCATACCAGCTTCTCTGTTAGCGTATGATACTGACGCAGGTGAAAAAGCCAACAATTCATCAAAAGCGGGCACTCTACGTCTTGGCTCCTCATTTTCGATAGAATCGGAGTTGTAATCACCCCAAGAACAGCGTACCTCAAGACCCAATGCGTCCGTCGTGTCCTTATCCGCATCCTGGCTCATGATCCTTGGAGTCCATTGAATTCCAACCCGATAGAACTTCCTTTTGAAATCAAGTTTATGCAACTGTAGAGAGTTGATACCTTTGTTCCATCTAAATATTTGGTTTCCATCTTGGTCATGCGATGAACCGTCAACCATTGGAGTTGCAGCAGCAGTTCGGTTGTCTGGATTAGTCTTCTCGAAAATAGTGAGCTGCTTAACTGGTGACTGACCAGAAGTTAGATCGCCATATTGCGAGGAGTTGAAAGCTATCGTGCACAGCCGATTTTCTAACACTTTTATCCGCACTTCAGCATAAATTGGTTCGTATGGCGACCTAGAGGGCAAGTCTCTATTGTTCGAAAGAACTTCAACGGACATGGCATCCGAGAGGTTCCAGTCGCCATGATAGTCGACTATATTGGGTGTAGCTCCCGGATAGCTGCACGTTTCTGAGCCCAAACCATCAGACTCGCATTTGATAGTTGTGTGCGATAGCTTTATTGTCGGGAGATCTCTCAAGATATGCTCTATACCTGTACCTTGACGACCATTCACTTTCACCACGGCAAGGTTATCGCCTTTGTTCAGGTCAGCTTCCTGTGAAAATCTTAACTTCAAGGGTGAGCTCGCAGTAAAGGGATCCTGAAGGAGAGACAAAGTCCCAAAACATGCCGCAACACCCACTAGCAGTAGCGCAACAAAATAGTTGAGCTTATAAGAAAACGGCAGAAACGGTAAAGCAACAAAAACAGCACTTAACATGGAGATCATTGAAACATTCCAAGAAGCCTTAAATCCTTCTTGACAGGTTTGATTAACGGCTTCAAGCACCTGAGAAGAGCACAGACCCATGATTATGGAAGCTAGTGGTACTAGCAAAATGAATTGAATACTCCAGTCGTAATTCTTGGCGTTTCTGACTATTATTTTGATACTGGCTTCGTCAGCTTTCAGTGACTGAGTCTCCGACCCGCTTCTAGCAGAATGGTCTTGTAGGAGGGGTGCTCTTTCGTCTAATTCGTCATCCGAACGAACCTCCGTTCCTACTTCCCTATTTAGGGAAATTTGGTGCTCGGTGCTAGCACCGTCGTGTTCAGAAGCATGAAATTCCCTCCTGACCTCTCTCTGCCTGAAAGTCGCGCAGATGAGTCCCACTGCTGCACTTACAGAGGTCAAGAAGTATAACGCCGTGAAAGCATAAAGACCAGTAGCCTGATATTTTTCGGTGTAAATTCGAATAGTGGCAAGTAGCAGGAAGAACCAGTACGCGAACGATAGTTCCAAAATTGCCACAGATTTGAAATCGTCGCTTGGCGAGCAGAACTCGAAAAATGACAGGATCAGATAATTTATAGCAATGAAGGTAAAACAGAAAGCGATTGTGGGGCTGAGAAAGTCTCTAGAAAAGATCAATGGGTTTTGACGGAAAAGGACGGATCTGCCGCTGGCAATAAGAGCATACGAAACCGAAAAGCTGATGGGTAGTCTAAACCACAGCCAAGCAGATCTAGCTCTGTTGGTGTTTCTTTTTGTCCCAATAAACTGCAAAGTTAAGAGGATTACCGGAACGACACTCAGTATGACACAGTTAATGGTGAAAAGCGTCTTAGCTTTGAATGACACAAAGTAAGATCCCACTATGTCAAAATACACTGCAGGAACGCGATCTTCAGAATTGTCTTCCACGTCATCATATGCCAAATATTCTGTAATCTGCATGGCAGCTTGCATCATGTGCCAAAGTGAATCTTTTCCCGTGTTAGCAATTGAGTCCCTCATAGTGTGGTAGTAATTCCTTGGTTTGTAGAAAGCAATATCCCATCCGCGAAGTCCCTGCTGTTCGTACACTTTATAGTCAGTCTCGCTTGAGATGTAACGGTCGTGAAAACCTTGCTGATAAATTGAGTTGCCAAAGGGCTGCTGGCGAACCGCAGCTTTGTATATGGAAGCGGTAGCAGCATCAGAGGTTCTGAAAAGTACCGCCTTGCCGCCAGCTCCAGCACCCTCCAAGTTTAGCACATAATGTACAAGCTTGCTCCAAGGATGGTTGAAAAATGCCGATGCCCCTAAAAGTCCGAATTCCTCGTTGTTGTTGAAATTGAATATTACAGATCGGCGTGGTTGTTTTTGTTTTAATCTTTGCAAAAGGGCAAGCAGTGAGACTACGCCCATACCGTCGTCTGTCGCCCCGAACCCCGTGGGCACTGAGTCGAAATGTGCGGACAACAGCAATCCCTCCAGTTCTGGATCGGTTCCTTCAATTTTGACTAGCACGTTGGAAGATTCGAACGAAATCACCCTAGTCGCTTGAGAGCTCGAGTTGAACACATCCGGTTGTTTGAATAAAATACGATTTTTGTTTTCGTAGTCATCGGAAATTTCAGCATATGGAACATTAGCTGTTAGGGTCTTCACTCTTTGCACAATAAAATCGTGCACTACATCATTTTGCTTCGAGATATATTCATGCGGACTCTTAGTTATCTGCTGGAGCGAAAGCCACGCATCTTCGAGTAACAACCGGTCTCTCTTTTCGAGCGTTCCCTGGTGTTTATAATTTATCTGGTTCCACGCATACAGCGCACCAAGAATGCCATAAGTGGCTAACAACAGCACACTTACGCTCGTCTTTCTAAAGCGACAAAGTGAGCGTACATACCCAGATAGCATGATTGCCAGAGCGGGGTGAAGGGTGCGGCTTTGACTTCCATTTCCATGACTGACAAGAACATCTTGGTCTTGGTCTTCAACCAACAGAAATATAAGCTATAACAATATCACTGTGTACGGAGGAGTAACTCTTACGGTCTCGTCAATGTGTGCATTGTAAAATATACATTGGCTTGTCCAGTAGTTTCGAAAGAGGTCTTGCGCATTCACCGAGACAAACCATTGCTTCTGCCTCACATTTGGTAGGTAGAAAGTTGTGAAAATAGATGGTCACTGTGTACGACAACGATGCGTAAGTCCTAAAAAAGGATTATTCTCTCCTCGTATATACGAATACTGATGAGAAGATAGTGTGTAAACAGAGTGTGCGGTCATTCATGATTTTGTCGAGTCATCTTATCCCCTTCGAATACGATATTGTCTCGAAGTCTACATTTTAGAAATAATCATTAATTATGGCAAGTCACGCGATCAATGACAGCTCTTCTAAAAGTGATTAAAAGCACCTTGGGTGCGGGGTGTTACCACTCAAAGAGCACCAGACGAAAACGGCATTGATAGATACTGTGAAAAAAGTGTACAAGTCACCCCCCACACGCTGATATTCTCGTTTTCCGTCACCTTTTTGAACATTGCCGGTTACTTTACTATTAAGTATACAATTAATTGTGCCTGATGCCATAATAGTACGGAATGATATGGTTGATCAACAGGTGTCTAGGATACCGGGAATCAGAAAAAGACCACACCCGTTACAAATAAGCGAGTAAATCTCTGGGCACTTGGGTATCGCATTTGCCAGAATTCGAATACTTCATTTAAGGAAAACCACAACTTATCTCCCTCACGATTGCACATTTCTGTGGCCCGAAAAAGGCGCTAGAAAACATGGGATTCCTCTCGTCACGAAAGAAACAACCGACTAACATAATATGTTGTCATCGTTATGTCTCAGGTGTCAACCCTCAAGCTGTAATGGCACCCGTGTCGATATCTTGTCACTTCCAACGTCGCGTATAAGTAGAAGAATCTTCTCTAATATAATGGTCGTCAAACTACCCTCGATGAGCACGTATACCTTAAACGATTCTTCAAACTTCGAGATCAACGACTTAGCGCTTCTAAAAGACCAGCGCTGGCCGTATGAACTTGCGTATAAACCGAATGCAGACTGTTGATCGTTCTCAGTTTCCAAAACTGAAAAATGACTTGATTATTAGAGCAGCACTTGGTCAAAAAGTTGAAAGACCACCATGCTGGATTATGCGGCAGGCGGGCCGTTATTTGCCCGAATACCATAAGGTTAAAGATGGTAGAGACTTTTTCGAAACTTGTAGGGACCCTGAGATTGCTAGTGAGATTACTATTCAGCCCGTGAGACGTTATGATGGGCTTCTCGACGCAGCTATCATTTTCAGTGATATTCTGGTAATTCCACAAGCTTTGGGTATGAAAGTCGAAATGGTGGAGGGCAAGGGTCCTCATTTCCCAGAACCGCTAAGGACCGAAGAGGACATGCACAAAGTCTTGGATTACCATACCGATGTGCTCAAGGAATTGGCTTGGGCTTTCAAAGCCATCACAGTGACCAGAAACAAATTGGACGGCCAGGTGCCACTTCTGGGCTTTTGTGGTGGACCATGGACACTTATGGTGTATATGACTGAAGGCGGAGGATCGCGGTTGTTTAGGTTTGCCAAACAATGGATCAACGAGGCTCCAGAGTTGAGTCACAAATTATTGCAGAAAATCACGGACGTTGCGATAGAATTTTTGGCCCAACAAGTGGTCGCTGGTGCCCAAATGCTCCAAGTCTTTGAGAGTTGGGGCGGAGAGTTGGGATCGCGTGATTTTGACGAGTTTTCTCTGCCCTACATCTCGCAGATCAGCTCAAAGCTTCCTCTTCGTCTGAAGGAGCTTGGAATCGAGGAACAAATCCCGATTACCATCTTTGCCAAGGGCTCTTGGTATGCCCTTGACAAGCTTTGCGGTCTGGGATACAACGCTGTGTCTTTGGATTGGTCGTGGGACCCTAAGGATGCGGTGAAAATAAATGCAAACCGCGTTACTTTGCAGGGAAACTTGGACCCTGGTGTGATCTACGGTACTGACGAAATTATCACCAAGAGGGTTGAAGAGATGATCACTGGCTTCGGCGGCGGGAAATCGAACTATATCGTAAATTTCGGTCATGGTACACATCCATTCATGGGCCCAGCAAAGATCAAGTTTTTCCTACAGGAATGCCATAGAGTAGGAAGTCTGTAAATACATCAATAGCTAAAAGTTCGGCCTTAGACGGTTAACTATCCCAACAATCTCATTGCTCAAGGTTCGACAGGAATTACGTTTCCAATGATGTGAGCTGAGCTCTACATTGAAATCAAAAGATCAACCGCTGGGTACAACTTCTACCTTACTTGCTCTTTACTCGCAACCAGGGTTAGCGATTGATTTACTCCTAAGAATACGATATATGACAGATCTGAAGCCGCGGGTAATCAAGAATAATGATCTCTACGTTTTTCAGCTTCCAGAGGACATTTTGAACTCTTTACAACTGATGGTCTTTGACAGTTCAGTTGCTGAAGTTGAGCCTGACAAACCAAGCAATTTCGTTGAAACTAAAAGGGAATCACCGAAAGAAGAGCAAGGTGTTCTGGGAAGATGCGGTACTTGTGAAATTGAATCGAAACCCGACGGTAAAGAACACTATAAGACAGATTTCCATCGCTTCAACCTAAAACGCAAGCTCAACGATTTCGAGCCAATAAGCTTGAGCGAGTTTGAGAAGCTGGTAGAAAATGACGATGTCGAGAGTTTGTCGGGGTCAGACTCAAATTCTGACTCAGAGGACGATATTTATGACGAGGACAAAGACAAGCTTTCGAGCATCTTGGAAGACCAGCTTGCTAACATGACAGTTTCTAACGAAGGTGAAAATTCAAACGAGGATCAAAGGGCAAGTCATTTGAACACACGGTCTCCTCAAATTTTCTTCAAGTCCCAGCTACTACAGAAAGATGAGGTACTGGCCGCTTATAAGGCACTTTTTTCGAGGTCCTCCATCGAAGTAGCCCTGGAGACCATTCAAAAATGGAATCATTCCATATCAGAAAAGCCGAATGAAGAAGTACCATATTCTGCACTGTTTATGGTCGGAGGTGGGCATTTTGCCGGTGCGATCGTGTCTCACAAACGCTTGAACATAAAGGGAAGCATGACAAAGAACAACGAAACTCTACAAGAAAGATCCGTCCAATTTTTGGAGCACAAGACATTCCACCGGTATACTACCAGAAGGAAACAAGGTGGCTCTCAATCGGCAATGGACAATAGCAAGGGGAAAGCAAACTCGGCAGGTTCTTCTTTGAGAAGATACAACGAAATAGCGCTCAGAATGGATATTCAGCAATTGTTGAATCAATGGCAGCCCTACTTGAAGAAATGCCAGAACATTTTTATCCGAGCTAAGAGCACCAGCGACAGGAAAATATTTATAGACAGTAATACCTGTCTCGACAAAAATGACCAGAGAATAAGGTCTTTTCCTTTCACAACGAAACGGCCAACCGGTCACGAACTAAAAAAAGCCTGGTGCCAGCTCACCTACTTGCATGTTAACAACAAACCCAAGGCGGAAGTAAAGAAGGAAGTTGTAACAGAAAAATCTAATGAAGCTAAGGCTCCACCACAAATGTCCGCACCAGAGGTGTCGGATCCAAACGAAATTCACACCCGAGAGCTAATATCTCTTTTGAAGAAATCCAGAGCTCCAGCGCTGATATCGTATCTTCGCAAAAACAACCTGGACGTAAATTTTGCGCTAAAGCCGGCTGATGAGTACTTGCAAACTCCCACAATGTTGCATTACGCGTCTCAACAAGGCTTAAGAAACATGGTGCTCATTTTACTGAGCAATCTGAAATGTGATCCTACTATGAAAAACGGTGCTGGAAAGACTTCTTGGGATTTAACGAAAAAGACTGACGTCAAACAGGCTTTTCAAATGGCAAGATATAATTTGGGTGAGCAGTTCACCAACTGGGCTTCTTCGGGCGTTGGCGAGCCCTTGAGCAGGGAAGATGTGGAGTCGATTAATGATCAAGAAAAGAAGCGTTTGGACTCAGAACAGGCGCATTTGATAGAACAGGAATTGAGCGCTGCAAAAGAAAAACAAAGACTAGACAAGGAGGCCAGACGTGGTCCCGGGAAGATTCTCATGCCTCAGATTTCTTCATTACAACGAAACACTAACTCTTTGAATGACGACCAGCGCATGCGGCTAATGAGGGAGCAACGAGCGCGGGCTGCAGAGGCCAGAATGAAACTCAATGCGAATAGATGAATTTTACTGCAAAAGGGCACCTTAAATAGCTGTGTTACTTAATTCACAAAGTATATTCTTTAAAAAACGCAAAAGTTATATCAGCTTTCCAGTCTATGGCCAGCCTATCTTTCAGATGCAATTGATTTTGGGGATTGACATGTTTGTATCCTGTCAAACACTCTCTCACTAATTTTGCCCTTTCAGCAACACTCTCCTCCTGAGAGATTTGAATACTTGTTTGTAGCTGCATAGCATTTGTCCAGCCCTCAAATTGTGAAGGACCAGGCTTATAAGCACGAATTTTCTCCACCTTTGTGCAATCTTGATCAGTATTTTCGTCATCTTGTTCGTCATCTTGTTCGTCTCCGTAACCTTCACATGAACAGATCAAATCGTGTGTATTGCTTAGCGTGTCAGTCAAAACAGTAAAGAGGTCTTTCAGTTCTTCAACCGCAAAAAGATCATCATTAGACTCTAAAGCTTTCGCGTTTCCTGGTCCTCCCATAAATTTTGAGCTCAAGCTGTTTTTCATCAACTGCCGCTGAAAGATCTTTTCGTCGATACAACCTGTGGAAAAGAGTCTGTAAATGAAGCAAGCTTTTTCTTGACCGTCACGGTGAATTCTGGACATTGCTTGCTGATCGATAGCTGGATTCCAATCATTGTCAAAGAGCACCAAACGTGAAGCGCCGATCAAGTTCAAACCCACTCCACCTGATTTCGCACTCAATAAAAATGCAAATACCGAGGGAACTGTATTAAAGGTATTCACAATCTTGTCGCGCTCTTTACTGGGAGTAGACCCATCCAGTCTGACGCTCGAAAAGTTATGCGTGTTCAACAAACGCTGAATGACATCTAAGGTTTTAGTGTAGTTCGAGACAATGACGACTTTTTCCTCTGAGTACGACGTGTTGATGTTTTTCAGAATTTTTAACAATACCCTGAGCTTACCAGAATCAGGCTCCAACGTATTTGTGATTGTATTTTTCGATTCGGCATTCGTGAGGTTGAATGTGTCTTGACGTATGAGACTTGGTGAGTTGCAAATCTTTTTGAAAAGTGTGATTAACGCCAACGATGAGCTGTATGTCATATTCGACATATTGATTGAAGTGTTCATGAGCACACTTTCAAAAGCCTTGTATTGGTGTGAGGTGGGCCGGCAAAATAGTACAATGTCGGTTTTCGGGGGAAGAAATTTGGCAATGGTGTCGCTCGTTCTCCGAAGTGTTAGTTTCTTCGTCAATTCGATTAGTTCTTGACTTTTGGCTGCGCCCTTTCCCTGCACAATCTCGTTGTACTTGTTGTTGACGTCTCTCGATGCAGTGATAGGATTTATGAAATCTCTCTTGAAGTTTGGAAAAGAACCTAAGATCCCATCGTTGAGGAAGCTCAGAATGGTGTAAAATTCTGATAAATCGTTCTGAATGGGAGTTCCTGTGAGCAGCACTTTCCGCGGTACGTCTAGTGACTTAAGAGCGTTAAGGGTTTTCGACTGACTATTCTTCAAGCGGTGACCCTCATCACAGACAAGCAAACCTATGCTCGAGCGGCACTCAATTAGGGTGTCTGAGACGTTAAGAAGTTTCTCATATCCTATTACAAGGACCTGGTATGATCTCTGGACCTTCAAAAAATTGCGGACTTCTAGTTTGTCCTTTTCTGGCGTACTCTTGGTGCTCAACGTCAGTACGCCGATCCTATTCAGACCTAGCCATTTCTGGAACTCCCGCTTCCAATTCCCGATTAGCGTTACAGGACATATCACCAGAACTTTTCCGCATACACCATGGTTAAAAAGGCCTGACATGGTTGGAGAAGTTTTGGACGGAATCGGTGTTTGTTTTAGCAAAGTCCATATCAGCGTGATAGTCATCAATGTTTTACCCAGTCCCATTTCATCTGCTAGAAGACAGCCGTTTAGCTCGTCCATTTTCTCGAGTTTCGTAACTGTCGTTCCATCATCCTCGTAGTCTGCAGGTCTTGATAGTCCAAGAACGCAGTCGTACATGAACTTGACTCCAACGCGTTGATGGGGTCGTAGATGTCTTGAAAGAATAGGATCCACAATAACATCAACATCTGCCTCTTCAAATCTGTTCATTATTAGGGCATTTTCCACTTGAGCAGGATCAAACAGCGGTGAATACGAGGTTGTTCTAGTTTTCGAACTGAGATGTGTACTTTGCGTGAACTGCGTAGACTTCTTAACCATTGGGATCGCAATGTTCGGCTTATGCACTTTTGACGCTACAATTCTTGGTGGTGAAGGGGAGAGACTAGTTGATCTGGAAGAAACGCCAGAGGCACTGGTTGATTTGCCAAGAATAGCCGCAATTCGTGTGATTTCCGGTTCTTCACAGATCTGAGAATCCAGTTGGACCTCAAATCCAGCACAGGAGAAGATCTTTTCGTAAATTTCATTATCGGCGGGAATGCCCTGACTGGTGCCCATGAATTGTCCGTTTTCCTTATAGAAACGGAGTCCGCCATTGTTGAGCTTTGTGCAGATCCCATCGCCGTCCCATGTTTTATTTTTCTTTGTAGATCGCTTGCGATACGTAGTAAAGTAGTAGCTGATTGCTTTGGATGAGCGTTGGGACGTTAGAGGTGGCGTTTGATCGTCAATGGGGCGTTTTTTGATGATGTTTCGACTATTTCCAAGATCTAATGGTTTGGGAGCATAAGTTCGAGTTGGAGGCTTCGCACCATTCGGAGTTCTTGTGTGGGTATCGGTAAGTATTACTGGTGATTTGAAGGGCTTATTATTGTATTGTGGGAGCTGCATATGGTGCCTTTTTCTTGAAGTCAGTATATAAGCTCCGATAGTCAAAAGGTATGTAGAACTTGTCCAAATTTAAACAATGACAGTGACACTGGAAAGAACAACAAGGAAGAATAACAAGTTTATCTGGTTAGAAATACTTGCAATGGAGAACGGTCTAAGTGAGTGAATTCGAACACAATCGGGAGCTAAATTTGGATGGTTTTAATTTTTTGGTACCTTGTTTACGAAGAGATATGTGTTTGATTCTCACCGAGAGGTCAAAATCACACTTCTAAGCAAAATGCTCGAGCAATATCGCAGAAAGGACGTCAAAGCATCGAGGAGAGAGCTTGGTAGCCTCTCAGAGATCCCGAATAAACACTTTACGTCGTTAGTTGCTTGTTTCCCTACAATAAACTATCTGCTTTCCGGCAACTATTTAATCGTTTAGTTTCCAATATATACACTCAAACACGATAGCTATGCGATGTGAATTGTCCTTGTGTTTTTGCAAAATTTAGCTTGAAGTTCTGATCTGACCAAACCCTTGCGAACATGTTCGGTATGCCTGCATACCGGGGCAAGATTACGGTTTTGTCGCTAGAATTCGGCGTAAATGGAAAGTAGTAAGATATATCCATCCATCTACTTGTCCAAAACATTCAAAAAAAGTCCAGTTGCGTTCTTCGACTAGGGGTCATATCCTCGTCGTTGTCGTTGTCCCAGCCACCTAAGTCCAGGTTCAAAGCTTGATTTCCTTGTGGTTCGGTGAAAAAGCCCTTTTGCATACACTCTACCGATTCGCTCACCGATGAATAGTCCTCGAACATCAGGTCTTGCACCGACATCGCACTATCGCGCGAGAAAAGTGACGACATGCTCGACGATGCCGAAAGCGTGCTCTGGTGGGTCCTTTGCGGTGTCTTTCGCAGTTGTGGTGAGCTACGAAGATCCAGAGGCTCGTGTGCCAGGGTCTGCACGGCCAAATTGTATTCCCGGACCATGTTGTCGTCCAACAGCACCGTGCTGCGTTTGAGGCTCGAGTTTTTGCGTTTCCCACGCTCTGAACGCTCTGCACGCTCTGTGGCACCGTTTTTCTTGTCTGTTGTAACGTTTTCCATCGATCTGTTACTGGTTTTTGATCCATAAAATGACGAAAAGCCAGCAAACGACGAAATTCCAGAAGTATCCACAATCATGGAGTGTCTCTTCTTTGGATCAGTTCTAGTAGTACGTCTCATGATTTGCTAGTGTCTGTTAAAAGAGACTAAATGTCCTATTCTACCTATACGTCTTGCTGTCAGCCTGTCACACAGGCCAGACACTCTACATTATATATGAACAAAACAGCTGAAAAGAATCCTGCTACAGCCACAACGGTATCTTGCAGATCAATTCCTGCCAGCGAAAATCAACCAGGTGCACGAGATGAAGATCATACTTGAAACGCGATTTTAGATGTCTCATCTTTTTTCGCGACGCGTTGGTTTTCGCGTTATGCCCATAGATGTTAATGATTGTTAAGGAAACTCAGTTATACATAATTGAAAAATATTCGAGATGTGGTAAAGATCTACATTCTGGATTACGCACGAATCCGGAGCCATTTTAGACCAAGGAAAACGCGTTGGCGTTACTTGAACTTGGCAAGAGCATTTTTTTGGCGTTTTTGAACCAGCCATTCACGAGAATTTGTGGGTAAGAAACAACGTAAGATGGGATTTGAGTTGTGGTTGGTGGTTCTGGTGGCCTTACAATGGTTGGTGGTACGAGTAATACTGGTGGTGCCGATTTTCGGGATCCAGAATGGTCGGGTCCTAGAGGCTGCAGAGAAGACGGAAAAGGGTCGAAAATTGCAAATATTTGTGTTGCTAGGGTCTGGTGGCCATACAGGTGAAATGCTGCGTCTGCTGGAAAATTACCAGCAGACATTGTTCAAACCTCATCAGACAAAATTGACAGTAGGGGTGTCAGACGAAGCAAGTTTGAAGCGGTTCAAGCATGCGTTCCAAACACAGTTGGATGCTCAAGGAATCGAGGTCCAGATCTGCAGGTTTGGTAAAGCTCGTGAAGTGGGTGCTTCAAAACTGCAATCGGTGAAAAGCATCGTCTTAACACTAGCAAGAGCCGTGTGGACCGTGTCGTGGCTCAAGTGGCAGTTTGTGGGACAGCCACATTTGGTTTTACTAAATGGACCCGGCACTTGCTGCATCATCGCAGGATGGCTTAAGCTACTGGAAATCGTGACAATGACCAGGTCTAAAATTATCTACGTCGAGAGCTTAGCACGCACAAGCTCGCTGAGTCTTAGCGGTAAGCTGTTGTATCCATTGGTGGACGAATTCGTCGTCCAGTGGAGCGAATTGTGCGATCGTTACGATCGTGCAAGGTGTTTTGGTATTCTAGTGTGATGGAGATTGCTGGTCAATGGCATACATTTCGAATAACCGCTACACGACAGCCAGTGCATCGTAATCGTATTTTGAGCCAAGTGGTAAAAAACTGATCTTAGAATCTTTGTTCGATGTACAAATTTTGAAAATACTATCTCCAATAATGAAAGAAGCCATACCTGCCGCAAGGACTGTCTACGACACACACCTCTACTAGCATCATTCTACAACGCCTGTAACGCTCAGTCACCAAGAAAATCATTTAAAGTCATAAAATTCGGGAGCTCCACCTACAAAATGGTGATTGTTCCCAAAAGTTTCATTCGTTATACATCTCTGATATTAAGCTGTCTTACTCGACTGCAAAGCTATACGGGCTTAGTTTCTGGAGTTGACAATGTCGACGAACTCTGGCTTCAAAGAAGCACCACCGACTAGGAAACCATCAACGTCCTTCTTGTCCTTGAAAGTGTGGGCGTTTTGACCGTTAGCGGAACCACCGTACAAGATTCTGGTCTTCTCAGCAACGTCAGAGCTGACCTTCTTGGCCAAGTAAGCTCTGATGCTAGCGTGAATCTCTTGAGCATCCTCAGGAGTGGCAGCCAAACCGGTACCGATGGCCCAGACAGGCTCGTAGGCAATGACAACGTTGGTCCAGTCCTTGATTTGAGCAATAGCGGCGTCCAATTGCTTCTCAACAACCTTTAGAGTGTTACCGGCCTTCTTTTCTTCCAAAGTCTCACCGATACATAGAATGACACCCAAACCTTTGTCCAAGGCGAACTTGGTCTTTTCGGCGATCAATGCATCGTCTTCACCGAAGATGGTTCTTCTCTCGGAGTGACCCAAGATGACCCATTTGGCACCAACGTCCTTGATCTGCTCCACGGAGTTTTCACCAGTGAAAGCACCAGAAGCCTTCAAGTACGCGTTCTGGGCACCGATGGTGACCTGTGGCTTGGAAACCAAGTTGGTAGCGTAGTCCAAGTATGGGGCTGGTGGACATAGGACGACTTCGACGTCCTTTGGCAGAGTAGCCTCGTTCAATCTCTCAACGATTTCCTTGATGGACTGCTTGGTACCGTTTAGCTTGAAGTTACCACCGATGAAAAAAGTTCTGGCCATTGTGTCTTAGTTGTGTATGATTATTAGGTGCGTTTCCGAAGTATAACGAATCCTAGCGAAAGAAAATTAAGTGGGACTGGAGATTAACCACCTCGACCTGAGCTGTGTCTTTTTATAACCTGCTAGATAATTTTACCACAGTCCGTTCTTTTTTTTCCATCTCATTCACCGCATTTCCACACCACACGTCCACTATGAGCCTGAACATGCTATTCAGCGGCTTTCCCACGCCATTTAATGTCACACACTCGATGTTTAAAGTCCACCCGCCTGGCCCCAGTGACGTTGTGGAACGGAAAATTGGAAGCTGGTTAGTGGAGGGTTTTTTCTTTGGACGGGTGTAATGGTCTCTTCCCAGCACCGTTCGAGCTCGAAAAATAACCAAAATGTAGCCCTCATCAGCAGCTTCAAGAAGGTTGTTTTCGCTGTCTCTGAAAACGTCTTGAGCATATCGATGACAGGGTTTGTAGTGCTAGAATTCACTAATTTCGACAAGTTGTAGGTATTTTCTTTGACATCGGGTAGTGCACGTCCCACAGATGAAATTCAGCTTCCTGTTTGACCAGAAGCGCTTCCGGGAAGCCAAAGAAGATTAGGCTTTAAGTTTTTCCGGAACCGGAAGCCCGGAAAAACTCTTGGAGTGTAACGTGATAGTCACGAGACTCACAACCCTTAATGAAGACCAGTAGAGCTTCTACAGATGCATATATAGTTTAGAATATATTGATAAACTCAGCACCATTTGGGCAAAGTAGTGCGTAGAACGTAACGATCAAGCTCCGGATCGAGTTCCATGACAACCAACGAACCATTGGGAACGTTGGTGAAAGTTTCGAATTCTTCGTAAGTCCATCTAAACCATTTCATGAGAAAAACACGTAGATAGATACCGTGCGTAACAAGAACTACAACGTCTCTTGGTTTTCGCCCCGGTTGGTTAAAATGCCGATATAACGTTTCCTGGAAACTGGCGCAGCGGTCGTAGACATCGGCTGCGCTTTCGCCCTGTGGGAAACGGAAAAAAAAGTGTCCATAGTTGCTGCGGGTGCTCATCACGTCCCGCATGGCCTTGAGCTCCTGGAAATTGCCAAAATCTTGCTCACGAATGCGGGGATCGTCTTTGACGCGGTAATGAATGAAAGTCTTGCGTTCTGCGGTTTTTTGAAGGTTTTCTTTCAGCTCAACTGACTCCTTGTTTTCGTAGTAGCCGTGTGGGAATTCGGGCGATTGCCAGTGTGCAAGCCTCATATTGCCACCGGGTTGATACCCATCGTTTTGTCGGGCTGAGACTCCGCAGTTGCACTCGTTGTATTCGTCTAAGACATCCAGCATCCCACGCAGCGTTTCGCGCGTACGTTTGTACGGAGACGTGTAGAACACCACATTGCTGTCTGGATTCCTGTTGTTTTGAGTGTAGTGTTGTTCGAGCTGTTTGCCATTTTCGTCCTCGAAATGATACTTTTCTGCTAATTTCTTGCATTCTTCTTTGTCGTCTACATTCAAAACCTGCAGAAGTTGTGCTCCCGATCTTCTGGCCTGTCTCCACCCGTTTTCCGTTAGCGGAATCTGGTGGTTCGGTACATGCTGATTAATGGTTTTATCCTTGTTTGACTCGCTTTCTCCATGCCGCACCAAAATTATCAGTCTAGGCTTATGCGATCCCATTTCAATCGATATTTGGAGCGATAAATCCAGGTGCAATGGCCTTAACTTTCCTGCCCAGAGGTTTATTTTCGAAATATGTAATTCATTTAAATTAGTTATATTGAATATTGAGATTATAAGGTAAGATCATCATAGCTAAGATCGAGAACTCAAGTGCTTTAAGAATGGTTATAACGATACTAAAGGGAACCGAGGAAGCTCAAATGGACGCGAAGGATAAGATCATGGCGTAAAGAAATTTGTCAGAGAGAAAATTGGTGTTAAACTGATACTTTAGGCCCGTTTGTGATCGGGAAACAAAAAGGCAGAATAACGAGGGTGACAGGCCGTGTGTTTGGGTATTCTAGGACACAGTGAGAGGTGGTATGTGGGCAGTCTGAAGAGGGGGTCAAATACTCGGAGCTTAGCGGGGGAAATCTCGAGAGGGGAATGTCTCTACGTTTGCGGTTTTAAAAACCGTTTCCTAGGAAAAGCGGACAGCAGGTGAGAGCTTTCGAAGGTCAATTTACGTACGATGAGGATTTTGGTTGTGCACACCCCTTTATGTGGTTTGGTAAGCCATCAAACACATATCACGCCAAAAAAAAACGAACCGCATGTTTCTGAGCTGCAAGTGAGAACAAATCGCCCTCAATTCAACCGGAAAACATGGACGTTTGATGTCCATACGACTAGACCTACCTTTTGACAACTTCTAAGCGAACCATTGCTAAAATTCACACAATCACGTGACATAAATTATCACTTTTCCATTGACCATTTTCGTTTGATATGACTTTGGAAAAAAATTTCGTAATTGGGTCCACTACGAACTGGAAATCAGATTCGAGAAGACTCACACACTCTCATCACACTATCATAATCGCCTGCTAACCTCTTGATTGTGGATTTTCAACTGTATTGCCTTCAATCTAATCATGTCTCAGGAAGAGCAAGTTAAGGGCGTCAACGATGCGATCGCCAATCTTCATTTGGACGAAACCACCGGTGAAATGGTGTCCAAATCCGAATTGAAGAAGCGTATCAAGCAGAGACAGACTGACGCTAAAAAGGCGGCCAAAAAGGCTTCTGCACAACCTAAACCAGAGGCTAAGAAGAAAGCCAACGACGCTTTTGCTGATTTGGACCCTTCGCAGTACTTTGAAGCTAGATCTCGTCAAATCCAAGAATTGAAGAAGACCAAGTCTCCAAACCCATACCCTCACAAATTCCACGTTTCCACTGCTTTGCCAGCGTTTTTGGAAAAATACTCACATTTGCAGAGGGGTGAGACTTTGCCTGAGGAAAAAGTGTCACTTGCAGGTAGAGTTCACACCAAGAGAGAATCCGGTTCGAAATTGAAGTTTTACGTTTTGCACGGCGATGGTGTCGAAGTGCAGTTGATGTCTCAAGTGCAAGACTACGGCGATGAGTCCGCTTACGAAGCTGATCACGATCTCATCAAGAGAGGTGACATCATTGGTGTCGAAGGTTACGTGGGTAGAACTCAGCCCAAAAAGGGTGGTGAAGGTGAAATTTCCGTCTTCGTCTCCCGCATCCAGTTGTTGACTCCTTGTCTGCACATTCTTCCCGCCGATCATTTCGGTTTCAAGGACCAGGAAACCAGATACAGAAAGCGTTACTTGGACTTGATCATGAACAAGAATGCCAAACCTCGTTTTATCACTCGTTCTAAGATAATTTCTTTCATCAGAAGGTTCTTGGATGAGAGAAGCTTTATCGAAGTTGAAACCCCAATGATGAACGTCATCGCTGGTGGTGCTACTGCCAAACCTTTCGTCACTCACCACAACGACTTGAACATGGACATGTTTATGAGAATCGCTCCAGAATTGTTTTTGAAAGAGCTTGTTGTTGGTGGTATGGACAGAGTGTACGAAATCGGCAGACAATTCAGAAACGAAGGTATTGATATGACCCACAACCCAGAGTTCACTACATGTGAGTTTTATCAGGCATACGCCGATGCCTATGATCTGATGGACACCACTGAAATGATGATCTCTGAAATGGTGAAAGAAATCACCGGCTCCTACGTCATTAAGTATCACCCAGACCCTCAAGACCCATCCAAGGAGCTAGAATTGAACTTTACCAGACCATGGAAAAGAATTAATATGATAGAAGAATTGGAATCCAGATTGAACGTCAAGTTCCCACCCGGTGACCAATTGCATACCGCTGAAACTGGTGAATTTTTTAAGAGAGTCTTGAAGGAAAACAAACTAGAATGTGCTCCACCATTGACAAACGCCCGTATGTTGGACAAGCTTGTCGGTGAACTAGAAGACACCTGCATCAACCCAACATTCATCTTCGGTCATCCTCAAATGATGTCCCCATTGGCTAAGTACTCTAGAGACAAGCCAGGTTTGTGTGAGCGTTTCGAAGTCTTTGTTGCCACTAAGGAAATTTGCAACGCTTATACCGAATTGAACGATCCTTTCGACCAAAGAAACCGTTTTGAAGAGCAGGCCAGACAAAAGGACCAAGGTGACGACGAAGTTCAGCTAATTGACGAAACATTCTGTAATGCCTTAGAATACGGTCTCCCACCTACTGGTGGTTGGGGTTGTGGTATCGACAGACTCGCCATGTTTTTGACTGACTCGAACACTATTAGAGAAGTGCTACTATTCCCAACTTTGAAGCCTGACGTTCAAAGGGAAGTTGAAGATGAAAAGACCAACTAATTTGGAGTTTTTATAGCCAATGTACTTTAAGCAAACACCTGAAATACTGCTGGTGACAGAATTTTCCAAGGGAAATAACAACACGATCGATGAATGGGAAAGAGAGAAGTTTGAAGAGTTGAAGGATTACTTAAATAATGTACATAGCGGCAAATGTATGCTTATCGAAAGCTCGCCAACTTCCAGAAAGCACTGGCCCGGCCAGACCCTTCTTTCATTGTGCGGCTCTTGTGAGTTTGCCTTTCCGCTTCAGCTCCAGGGCGCGTTTGTATGGTGGGTTGGTTGGAGGCTGTACAGGGTCTAATGCAATAGAGTTCAAAGGGACGTCGTGATACGTGGCATCAGAATCGAAACTGCCAAGCCCACCGCATGAAATGAATTCTGCGACGCTTCTAGGTTCTTCGTGATATGCTGGGAGCTCGTCCTTTATGGTTAGTCTACCGATGTCACAGCCTCGGAAGAAGTCTTCGACGGACATGTTCACATCAAGCCGGGGCTCCCAGTTCGTAGGAGGCTTGTACCCAAGACAGACAACGAAGCTTTCCAGTGAAGTTCCTCTCGACGATCTGGGTTTTGCACACACAACCCGTTCAAAAAGGTAACCCAGTTGCGAGTACAGCATATCGATATCTCTTCCTCTGAAGATTTTGGCCACGAATACACCTCCTTCACGTAGAAGACAAGTTGTTAATTGCAACGCGCTGAGAATCAATTGCTGCTGAACATATTCATCCAGATCGTGGAGTCCTGTGACATCGGGCGCGCCATCACTGCACACAAAATCCGCCTTTTCGCCCTCAAAAAGGTCCATAATCTTACTTAATGTTTTGGGATGAGTGATGTCTGCTTGAATTGTCGTAACATGGTCAATGGGGAACATAGGTTGTAAATCCACAGCCACTATCCGTTTTTGGTCGCAATTTTCAGGATCTTCTTCAAAAAGACGTCTTGAGAGTACCTGGGACCAAGAACCTGGCGCTGCACATAGGTCCACCACTCGAGTGACGTTATCTAAAAATCGAAATTGTTCGTCCAATTGCAACAGTTTAAACGCCGACCGTGCTCTGTATCCCTGCTCCTTGGCTTTCCTATAATACAGATCTCTTTTATCCTTACTACTTTTACCCATTGCTAGTATATATGACGGAAACTGTCGTCGTTGTAGATTGGGCCCCAGATGTGCTAAACAAAAGCTGAGAGAAATGGTATATATCGAAAAAGTGTGCTTGATTGTTATACCCACACTTCAAATGAGGTAACTGCCTCTGGAGTCTCTTAAATTTCGATCTTGTTGACCTTTTCTTCAAATTCCATAGCTCATCGCATCTTAAAAAAATTTGAAATTTATGTATAAAGTAGTCAAAAGTTCTTGAACATTTAGACGTCAACGACAATTCAAGTGAAGATCTCGAAAGCATTTAAAAGCCCAAGTGAATTGAAGCTATTCTCCATGTTAAGAACTTCAATTTCTAGTCCTTTGAGACAATTTTTCAGGTTTCAGTCAACTGGTGCGGTTTCTGAAGCTACCGGCAGTGCAAAACAGTTGCCAATTAACGTTGAGGCAGTTTACCACGCACCATTGAAAAATCCTATTACACATGGAGATTTGATAGCAGATGTGCAACTGCGGTCGTATGATCATGAAAACCTGGACTTTTATGCGGATTTCATGTTGAGGGCCGGTTTTTACCTGGGAATGCCGTTGACCGGTCCCAAACCACTACCCACAAGAAGAGAGCGCTGGACGGTGATAAGATCACCGTTTGCTCAAGCCAAATCGAAGGAAAATTTTGAAAGACACACTCACAAGCGTTTGATCCGTGTGTGGGACACAAACCCGGAGGTTGTGGAGCTTTGGCTGAGCTACATTGCCAAGCACTCAATCGCAGGAGTGGGCATCAAGTGCAATCTGTACCAAAAAGAGGGCGTGAAACTGCAGGAAGCACTGGCACAAAGCTCCCTCTTGACCGAAGAGCATAAGTCACAATCGCTGGACGAAGTCGTGGGCGAAAAGGTCTTGGAGCTTTTGGATAATGAGGCCTTCAAGAAGCATATTGTAGAAAAAAGCTAATCCGTTCTTCAAAACCCTGTATATATACAAATTTACACCCCATTACACAGTTTTTTTATCATCCGTACATTCCCCAGTCGTCTTCTATTTCGACTTGACTGACGTCGATCTTGGGCTTGTGCGACAGAACATCGTCTCTGCACAATGGACAAGTAGTACTCTTTGATAGCCAGACGGCCACGCATTCGAGATCGAAACGATGACCACAATGGGGAAGTTCTACCACTAGAGGATAATCGTCTTCTCGGTAGTTGCAGCAACATATGCTGCAAGCTTCATGGTGGCCAATTTTGTCATTTTTCACTCGAGGAAGCGAATCCACGTAATCGTCCGGACAGCCTTGTTTTTGATCTTGTAAAAGCTCTTCTTGCATCGATTCTGGGATCAACTGTGAAAGCAGTTGCAGAAGCACATTAGAGTTACCATTCTCCTGATATAGCTCGTGAATTTGTTCCCTTAGATCCCGTCTATTGTCGACAGTAGCTTGAGTAGTAGCATGCTCTTCTAAAGTTGATTTCACGTTAGTCTTAATGATTAGAAAGATGGGCTATATATTTTTATTCACGCTTACCTTCATATGCGGACATTATTTGTGAGACGATAGGAATGGTCCAGTAACCTTGGTTTAAACCTGATCTGAGTTGAGTAGGTTTTTAACCGTCCTTCGGACTAACATGCTTAGGTTCAAAGATCATGGGTCACGAGCAGAGACCTTACTGATCGACAATTTTTGAATGCGTGGATGGCCTGAAGGTAGCTTGGCTTATCCATCAATGGTAGGGCTTGAAATATCTAGCGTCATCTTTCCCTATCTGACGAGTTGACCTTTTTAGATCATTGAACAAGTGCTCACATAGAAGCACAAGATTTTATCTGCTTCATATATTTTTCTGGTTCCACCGGTCATAGCTCGATATCGACTATGCGCCTTGATTTTTTGGCCTTTTTCGACACACTTGTCTTACTAGATTTACTCACTTTCGGTGCTTTTGGAATTGATTTGGAAACTTCTGAAGAAGATAAATCCTTCTGGACGTGCTTATCGAGGTATTGAGCTAGTTTCAAACATTCTGCATTGTCGGTGCCCAGTGCAGCACGGTGAAATTGTGGCCAGGCCACAACATGTAACTTGGAGTTCTGAACCTGGAGTTTTCCCTTGGTCATCTTTGGTGCTGGCGTTTGAAAAGATTGAAGAGCCAGTCTGAACTTCTCTGCAAGCTCCATGGATTTGAACCTTAGCCCTCCACATCGCGCCATATGATTGATGGCTATGGACGTCGAGTTGGGATCTTGCCAAAATGTAGTTCCAACAAGCTCTGAAATGACATCGACTATTGCCCATTCTGGAATCGAGGGGTCTAAATTGTATATGAAAAAAGATGTGGCTGGCTCCAGGGAGCCTTTGAGGGGTAGTTTCTTGATCAGATGCGATATGTCGAGATCCCTATCCGACACTGAATCCAACCTAGATGTTTTCGTTGATTTTGGTCTCCCGGCTGATTCCTGGGCGTGATCAACAGCTTTTCGTATTTTTTCAATTGCATCTGCATTTGCTGCTGCATCGCTCGTCACAGCCGCTCCACCGACTTTGTACTTATCACCGTTCTTCAATGCTATGAATCTTTTCATCATCTCATTTTGAGCTTCAGGTGTGGCTACCTGAGAGCCCTGTACTGAGGATAAAATGCGGTCCCGTAGCTCTATAGGGATATGCCATTGTAAATCTAACATGCAACATTGACAGATATTCCGTTGTTTGGAACAATTATGGCATATGAGCGTTCTGGTGATTTTGGAATTTGCTTTAAACTGGTACACAGTGAAGGGAAGGGTACAAATTTTGCATTCTGCGCCGTTGTGGGCTCTGGTCAATCGTGTTTCATCTCCCAAGCAGTCTTGGCATATTGAGAAGTCCATCTCCCTCACACCTGTCTCAACTTTTGATGCACCAAAGTACAGCGCGATGAGATGCGATGAGATGAGATGAGCTGACAAGATTTGAAGATATATGTCACATGCTACGAGCAGTACATTGTACCAGATAGCAGATAGTAAGATCCGTTCTGGTTCTGAAAGAAGCCTGTTCTCCACGATCCTCCGGCCCAGATATGGCAGGCTAGACTTCAACCATTAGGAACATCTACGAGCTACAATTTCAAGAAAAGGTGCAGTCTCACACTCACGCATAGTGTCACTCATAATTCTCTGCATGTCGAACTGAAGATCAGGGTTAAAAAGCTGTCAAAGTTTGGTTCCTCCTATGGTTATCGGTTGAAGAAATTCATGTTGTTGTTGTTTTGGTTATCATCATTTTCAGTCGAGTTTTAGCAATGCTCCATCTGGAACGATCACTTCATGCAAAGATCATGAGAGGGAAGTGTGAAAACGAGTGTCAAGACTGATTTGTATCTACGGTCTACATTTGAAAGCGCCCAAGAAACGCTACTTCCCTTTGTTTTCGAAGTCAGAGTTGGTGATGTGTAAAGTTCAAGAAAGGTTCAAAAAAAATAAGCTTCTCCTTATATACTCATTTTTTTTCAAATTGTCAATTTCTCGAGTATATAAAAGGAAAACATTAGGGCTAGCTTAGAATTCTATGAAACTAAATGCCGATTTCAAGAAGTTGGTGAATAAGAGTGGTTATTTAGTTGTATATAATGTTTTTGTATTCGTAGCGTGTAGAAGCGGGTGTAATTCTGCTATTTTCCATTGTTTTACGCGTTTCAATGGGTTATACATGTTCAACACGGTATGAGCAGTTGTAGTGCGATTCACAGCGACAAGCGCTTAATTTCATTACGAAGAGAGTGTTATATTATAGACTAATCACATCTATTCAGGAACCTTGAAAAGGTTGTCTGGTATTTACTCATGTGGCAGCATCCAGAAGGGTTATAACCTCTTCTGGAGAGTTACCGCTTCCAATATTATCCACTATTATTCCGTTGACGGCAACCGTTGGTGTGACGTGGACACCGTTCTGACGCTGGTATCGCGTGAAATACTTTAGGCTGGTGGTCACTCCGTTCCCAGAATTTTTGGGAATTCCGCTAGGCTCTAAATCTTGTTCGTCAATTGCCAGTAGTTTCAATACTTGATCTTTCGAAACACCAACTGAGGATGCTAAAGAAGCTAGTTCCTCGTACATTTCCTTGCGAGATTTCTGGTAGCAAGCCTGATCGAACCATTCGGCTTGTCTTTCAAAAAGAAGTTTGCTGAAATCCTGGAATAACGTCGCATCCGTCAATGCAACAGCAAGCCCGGCTTCGTGCATCAGCGTGGACGATGGGTGCCAAGGCTGAACTACCTGCACGAATCGGAACTCAAATTTCTTACCCAATTGCTTCTCTATCACAGGTATAACATCTGCAGTCCACTTCAAGTATAAACGTTTACTGAAAGGGCAGCAGTAGTCCAAATACAATTCTACCACATGCGCCAGGGGTCTGTTACTTTGTAGCGTTTTACTTGCAGAAATTGTGTGAGAGACTAGATACTTTGGGGCTAATGTCATGGTGAGCTATGGCGCACTGAATACAAATGTAAATGGGTCGAGAAGTGGTCTGGTGTGGGAGATAAAAAGGGATGCTAACGTCTTTATAATCCAGTCTTGGACCTTGAGAGCGTCCCCGTAATATATTACTAGCCTTGCTGGTACTCGTCACTTTGGGCAAGAACAGGCGAGTACAGTTCAAAGTGTTTCTCCGCTCAGCGAGCCTTACCACGATCGAGTGACAGTTTCCAGGCGACCGATGTTAGCTTTATCGAATGCCTGACCGCGGCAAACTATACTGATGATTTTGATACCAATCTTGTAACTCCATTGACCTGTGAGCTTTGCATATCTTTGTACAAGTCCCATAGTGGGACTAGGCGTTGTTTCCAAGAAGCACACCGCGAACGCCCACTTTTCAGTCCTTCAGTATCTGCTTTAGTAGTTTTCCTCTGTTTTGGTCGTCTCCAAATCCTTACGAGACACCCAATCGCCCAAATCCCAAGAAGGCAAGTTGGCCATTGTGACGCCGCCGTGCCAACTTTGAAGTTTACGGTCGAGCACCAAGGGATTAGCAAATGAAGATAGTTTGTATTGCGGGAACTGATAGCTCAGATCATTGACAATGCGCTGCTCGAGACCAGCAATGAGCGACGAAGAACCGGTGATGATTATGTTTGTGAGTAGGGCAGTGTGGATTTGCTCTGCGGAAGTCACATTCGAAGTAGAAGAGTTTTGTGTGGTAGCGGCGCCTGCTTTTTTGACAACTTTCGACACAATATCCGACAAACCTTCCTCGTTAGCAAACTGACTTGACGCTACTGAAGGTTGAAATATTCCCTCCGTTATTAAGCAGCATTCTTTCTGTGTCAAACTCACAGTCTTACGTTTCTGGTAAAGAAAGTTTTTGGGGATGTTCAATCCCAGCATATCAACGGTAGCGGAGTCCATTTCCTGCAGCCTGGAAGGGGACACTTGCAGCATATAAGCCTTGAACTCTTGAATCCACGTACGTGAGTTGCAGAATGCGCTAAAAGACGGGTTAGAGCTGGATGACTCTTCCTTTTCCTCGCCATGGATTGTTTTTTTGAGCGTTTCGTGAATTTGAAAATCCAAGAAATCCCCTGCGAAACGCGACCGTATCGCCGCACTGGAAAGTATGGTGCCCTCGATTATTGGTGTTACAGTTGTCTTTGCTGCGCCTATGTCAATGACCAATGCAGTGTTTCGTCCTAAGGAAAGCGAAACTGCTAACGGTTCCGACACCATCTGAAATACAGGTACTTTCAGCCTACCTAAGGCTAGTTCTGAATATTGGGTCTTAATTTCAGGTGTAATGTCGGGAGCCACCGTCACTACCAATGGAGTTTCTTCCAATTTGGCACCAAGCTTGGTTTCTACAATCCACTGCCATTGTTTTTCCAATGCTTCCCAGTCATACGGTACTCCTTCTGGACTCATTATGGTAAAAACTGGAGTCTCTGGCCCATCTATAATTTCATCTGTATCAAATACAAGCTCGTCGTTGGCATTTTTGGTATAACTCGAAGAGCACAACAATTGTGGCATATCCACTTGGGAAAACCCGGCGACCGTGGTGTGCGTACCATTGTGGATAACTATCGACATTTTAAACAGCTCAATTGGATTAAGTACCGACCTTAAACGGTTCTAAGTTCACCTTTTCGTCAAGAAACTTTAGAATCTCCCAACTTATAGATTGTTTTTCGATATCTTTACCTATACTATAACAATTTCCCCAACACTTCAACAACAAACACCATCAAATAGCACTCAAGTTAGACCGTGGTGCTGGTTTCTGTGATACCGTTTAAATGTCTGACCGGGCCCAATATGATAAACTCAAGACAGAGCTTTCGGAGGCTTTGGAACAGCGCCAGAAACAGGAACGTCGATTGCAACAGCTGCAACAAGAAATATTTGACAAAGAGACGGAATATCTGCAAGGAAACAGCTCTAGCCAGCTGGGAAATATAGTCAAGGGGTTTGACGCCTTTGGGAAGCACTCGCATGAAACTCCAAACGCTTTTACGGATAAGGACAGAATATTTTCTTTGAGCAGTGCCTTGTTTGTGAAGCAACAAGAGGGAGTCACTGAGGATGAGTAGGGGTCGATGTGGAGACTTCAATATAAGGAAGAAGTACAGAAAGTGGGTATGAGATACAACATTGAGGCTTGGTATTTTGTCCCGTGAAAAATTGCCGTTATATAACACTCCGGATTCACCAAGGGCGAAGAGGGCATGGCGAAGAGGACACAAGAAACACAACGCTGTTTGCCATGCATCTTTTTTTCGATCCAGAGAAGCAGAACAAAGTCTTTATCCGCCGTGGTGTAGCTATTTCGGGACATGAAATCAATACAGGGCTAAGAAAATGATGATCTCGCAGAGAAAATTCAACCGCGCTGGTTCTCAGTACTTGGAATCAATTCCTTACCTACAAGCTCACCACCATTGTTGTCAAGTTCCGGTCATCGACCAGATAAACCAGAAATTCAGCAAATCTCTCAAAAAAACGTCAATTCTAACCGCTGGCTCTATCAATTGGTAATCCTGCTCGCCAAACACAATTTAAAACGCTCCTAAGGCATTCGCTAAAGGCTCAACGTCCAAATAGCTCTTCCAGAGTCTCAACTTCGTCGTGAAACTTACTATGAAGAACGATCGATATCGCTCAACACGAGGTGGGTAAACCCATTCTAAATAATGAGCTCAACCAATCTCATCATCGACCTTCAACTTGAACAACGTTTTTTGACTGGCATCATCAACACCGTTTGAACCAGAATGAGCCGCTTTTTGCAACGAATAAGTGCAATTCGTTCTATATCACTCATAAAACCCAATGCTTCGAGCATAGTCCCGGCCCAAGTGGCTCAAAATTTGGATGCAGAACCTGTATTCGGATCTGAAAATGAGAGTTTAGAGTCTAGGTTCAAAACTCTGGGAACTCCGGCAACTCTGTGCTCTGCCAGCTTACCACCTTCAATACCTCTTTTCGTGCGTCGTGGCTGTCTTGTATCGCTGCATAACACCCAGAGTTTGCACATAGAACATAGGTGGGTCGATCTCGTGTGGTCGCTGATAAAATATGGTTCATGGCGTCCTGCTCTATTCCATAAACTGATCTCGCCAACGCCGTTTAACGCTCTAGTGGCTCCAAACGTCAGCCATAGCCGATTAACCTCTTGGTTTGGGTTTTCTTCACAACCTTTCAGAACGCTGTGTCTGGTAACACTGGACGGAACTCAGGACTGGTGTGTTTTTGGCAAAAACGGCTTGATTGCTTACGAAGGTAACACATCTTTGGAGATAAAGACTTCAGGAATATTATCAACGCGCTCGCTGGCTCTTCCGGGAGACTACCGAGTGTTACAAGGCCGCGGAAACGCTTTGGTGAGCGGTGCAGGCTCCGTATACACCATCCAGCTATCAGACGATTCAGATGAACTGATTTTGAAAAGCGAGCACTTACTGGCGATCAGCAGTAAAAACGTTCTGGACCTTAAAAAATCCGTTTCTGAATACCGTCTCGGAGAAGCTTCGCGTACTCCCGAACTGGCTCAGAGTGTCGTCGATATGGCTTCTGCGATTGGCTTGGAAAAAACTCCAGAATCAAAACCCGAACCTTTCAGTGTTCGAAAACTAGGACATTTGACGTCCACGGCTTTGGTCTCCTCGTGGAACTGGATCAAACGAGTATACACGCTCTGGGCCAATGGTCGCACCAAGTACCTGAAAATTCGTGGTCCTCGTACACTACTTGTGCAAAGCTCTCATAATGCCTTTATGCCAGCAACCCAGCTGTCACCCAAGCAAAAAACAGTTCACCGCGATCAAAGACAAACGGAACTCCAGCTTCAAGAAACCTCTACAACGCCATCCACCAACACAAAGGATTATTTAAGCTACGTTACCGTCAGCCCAACTGGTCAAGTTGAATTTGAAAGCACTCGCAATTTCGATTCCAGAGTTGCCGAAATCGAAAGCTTGAAAAGGAATTGAAAAACGCTCAAAAATGCAAGTATGACATTTGATCGACAACAACAATAATATCCACAAGAACATATATTCCATACCGCCCAAAACTGTATAAATAGGGCTCATAAGCCACTGTTGAGAAGCATTTTAGTCTGTAGATCACTTTTGTTCAATAAGACGCTGTCGTCGCTATTATCCTGTCGTCGCTAATCGAAAATTTTACCAACTGACCTTCAATCGACAATCAGCGTCGTCGGCAAGACCTATCCAAACTTGATACTTGAATGGTCTACCGGACCTTAAAGTTCAATCTTCTCAATCGTAGTTTTAAGTGTCGGAAACTCACCATTATGGCAACCGTTCAGGCAGGAAAGGCCGAAAAGGCTTCAAAAACGAAGCTACAGTTTGCTTTGAAAACCCCAAAGGGAACCAAGGATTGGGCTGATAAAGATATGATCATCAGAGAGAAAATCTTCTCAAATTTGTCGTCAGTCTTCAAGCGTCATGGTGCTACCACGCTGGACACTCCAGTTTTTGAACTTCGAGACATTTTGGCTGGAAAATATGGTGAAGACTCTAAACTCATCTACAACTTGGAGGACCAAGGTGGTGAACTTTGTTCGTTGCGTTACGATTTGACCGTTCCATTTGCACGGTTCGTGGCCATGAACAACATTCAAAGCATCAAAAGATACCATATTGCCAAGGTTTACAGAAGAGACCAGCCAGCCATGACAAAAGGTCGTATGAGAGAGTTTTACCAATGCGATATCGACATTGCTGGTAACTATGAGAGCATGATCCCCGATGCAGAGTGTTTTTCCATCATTGTGGAGGGTTTTACAAGCTTGGGTATCAAGGACTATAAGATCAAGCTCAACCACAGAAAAATATTGGACGGTATTTTCCAGATCGCCGGTGTCAAAGACGAAGACGTGAGAAAGATCTCTTCGGCTGTCGACAAACTCGACAAGGCACCATGGGAAGCTGTCAAAAAGGAAATGGTGGTTGAAAAGGGCCAAACAGAAGCTACTGCCGACAGAATTGGCGAATATGTCAAGCTCAACGGCTCCATCCAAGAGGTTCATGCCATTTTGTCTCAGGATTCCAACATCACATCCAATGAGAGGGCCAAAGAGGGTTTGGATGAACTTGCCACTTTCATCAAATACGTGGAAGCCCTAGAAATCGACTCGTACATTTCGTTTGATCTTTCCCTCGCTAGAGGTCTAGACTACTACACTGGTATTATCTTTGAAGTTGTCACCGAAGCTTCGGCTCCTCCTCAAGACGCTGAAGAGCTAAAGAAAAAATCCAAGAGTACCGAGGATGCCTCTGAGTACGTTGGTGTTGGCTCTATCGCTGCCGGTGGCCGTTATGACAATCTGGTCAACATGTTTGCCGAGGCGACGGGTAAAAAGTCGTCACAAATTCCCTGCGTTGGGTTTTCCTTCGGTATAGAGAGAATTTTTTCCCTCATCAAGCAGAGAGTCGAAAAGGCTGCTGCAATCAGACCAACTGCCACTAAGGTGTACGTAATGGCATTTGGCGGTGGTAAAGATTGGACCGGGTATCTGCCTGAGAGAATGAAAGTCGCCAAGCAACTGTGGAATGCGGGAATTGAGACTGAATACGTGTACAAATCCAAAGCCAATCCTAGAAAGCAATTTGATGCTGCCGACAAATGTGGCTGTCCACTAGCTGTCATTCTCGGAAAGGAGGAGTATTTGGAGAACAAGTTGAGAGTAAAGAAATTAGGACCAGAATTCGCTGATGATGATGGGGACTTGATTGATGCTGAAGATCTGATCCCAGTCGTAAAGCAAAAACTGGCTGAAATTTACGAGGATGGTGCTGATGAGGTCACAAAACTTTTTCAAGGCTTGTGAGCACAGTACATAGAGCATTATACAGAAGAAACTTACCATCCATCTTCATTCATAATCTAATCACATCATTTCTTGAAAAGTTCGTAGCCCATAACTTTCATCTATATCATCATACAAAACAATTTACCAGTGTCCTCCAGAACGACTGACGATTGTGGATTGGTCATAATCATCATCGTTATCGTCAGCGGTAGTCCAATCCCCGGCGAGACCAACCTTGGCTAACCTTGGCTATCTTGTGAGAGTCCTCTGAACTTTCCTCTTCAGCGCGACGCTGTTTGCGAATACCGACAACGCTACTCGTACTTTGAACCTGTAGTACTCCTGTACTTAGCATTTTCTTACCCCATTCACTTGCTGCAACACTTCCAGTTTCATCTCTGCACTGTTTCAAAAATGGAATTAGAGAAGTTCCGCCAGTACCCTTTTGCACTTTTTTACCTTGACCTTTCGAGAGACCACTCCGTAGAGTTTTACTCTTTCCTGGAAGAGGCTTTTTATTGGCTTGCAAAATCACATACCGAGATACAATTTGGATGTGCTTATCGCGGAAAGATTTAAGCATTGCCAGGCAAGCGTCGTATGCTAGGGTTAGTTTATGATCCGACTTGTGCGACAAGACATAGCCTCGTAAATTACTAACATGCTGAAGGTGTGCTAAAAACTCCCTGTGTTCTTGCGGCATGTACATTCTCATCCCGTTGATGAAGGAATTACTGGAAGATTTGGCCGATATGGCATCTTGCTGAGGTTTTTTATGTCCCGCAGCAAAATGTTCGACTCCCAGCAAAATGTCTAGAGCCTGAATCAGGGAGCTCTGAGCATTGGAACCGCCTGCATATTGCTGATACTCGCCGGTAGGCCCATACCGAATACCTTTGGGTAGCCCGACATCTGCCATATTTTTCCAGCCTGCCAGGTATGGTCTGATACGGTAATAGAAGATATGCGGATCGCACATTTCTTCCATGCGCATTAGTAAAGTTCCCAACTCATCGATTCCTTGAGCCAATTTTTCCAAAATTGTGCGCAAATCCTCGGAGTTCTTTTCTCTTACCGCTTGGATAGCTTGCAGTCCCGATTCCAAACACTGACCACCTGTTTTTTCGAAAAAAACACTAACCAAATAAAACCAACTTTCGTCTATCCCACCTGTGAATGTGTTGATGGTAGTGAGGTTTGGCAGCTCCATTATGTCGTCTACCAGGTCCAGATCATCGATGATGGGCTTATAATTCCAAAGGATCAACGAAGCATACGTAGCCAGCGGAGGAAGTCCCAGCCTCTCACTAATAATTAGGAGCGGGCTAGCTACACAATCTGGTAAAACTTCGGACGGCTCATCATAGCCCCAAACGTAAGCGTTGGTAATGAAGCAAAGCACTGAGTATGCTCTCCTCAACTCTTGGACGTCGTCCAATAGCGTTTTTTTCACTTCCAAAACCGGTAAACGATCAACCACTTCCCGGATACGTTTTGACAGCAATAACGACGGCAAATTGGCCACTATTTTTTCCCAGCAAGCGTAGTATGGATCGGAGAGATGAGTAATCGGGAACTTTGATGGTAAAAAGCCTGTCGCACCGTCAAGACCGTAATCCTTCAATTTTGGAACGGAAAACTCGGTACTCATGACGGAATAGTTCAGAAGTGTTCGTTAAGTCTTATTCAACGCTGAAAACAAGTCTTTGAAGCCTATTCGAGCTGGCTTTTGATACTTAGAGTTGGAATTTGAGTTCCGTCGTCATCGTTAAATCGTCAAAGTTGTTAATAATTAATCATGTCATTATTCTTGAGACTCGGGATCTTCGTTATTGGTGATATTCAAATATCACACATTACGGTTATACGTCAGTAGTGATATGTGATCACATGATATAAATGTCATGTGACGTTTTTTGAAATCAAGTCCGGCTCAGTCAGTATCGATAGTTGACAAGAGAGAAAGAGAGATGAGAGATAGAAGTTGAGTAGATCAAGAGCTCCTGTTGATTTGGGACCTTTGACGTGCTGGAATTGAACTGATTTGTTGCAGGAATCACCCTGATTCTTCTTCACTTTTTCTAGTCTCGAATTCACTTCGCTATCCACAGTTGTGAGCTGTCCTGGTCGACTTTCTCCCACATAATTCTCCTTATCTAATGGATTTTCTGAACTTTTCAAACTCGTCAATGTAGGATGTGTCTGGATCACAAGCTCTGGCAAGTACACCCGTTCCTGTTCGTTGCAAGATCTGCTCGATTCCCCTCTGATTATCGACCCAGCGTCTTAGCTCACTCCATTGTCGTAAATAAGCTTCCCTGGTGGCAACGCTATCCGCTGCAGCATATGGATCCATGCGAGCTGCCAAAACAGGGCCGTGAGACCCATCGGGCGCGTATTTTTCGTCCAACTCACGCTTCAAGGACGACGCCTCACGATCACAAAAATCAATCGCACGCAATCGCAGATCCCAGCTGGGGAACAAGTCCTGCGTAACGAACTCCTTGCATCTTGTCTTTGCAGCCCTCTCATTCTTCTCTTTCGTGTTGTTTAGTTTCTGTCGTATCACATCGTCGCTATTATGACGTAGAAACCTAAAGAACGACTCTACCAGTTCCCTACTCAAACACCGTTCCCGATTTAGCGTCAAAGTGTGCACCGTAACATCATCCCAGCCCTTCGTTTTCAGATTTGGATCTGTACCTCTGACCTGAGCCTTTAGAATCAGATCTTGACCCATGATGACTTGTTGTTGCTGGAGCTATCTACAGAATGACAAACAATGAAAGACTATAGCGTACCAAAGCGAAGCGCAACACCCTTCAACCTGCTATTGTTTCCGTTTGGTCAGCTAGTGTCCTACAGCTATGGTAACTTGACTCAATTTCCATTAAATCCTTACAGATCATCCATTACGTTGGCGCATTTCAACCATCCAGTTAGAATCCCATCTTGGACCTGAAAGCACCTTTCACCATGTCCGATCCAGTCTGTTCCAGGGCCTCGCTGATAGTCTCACCAGTAGCAGTAGCATAGTCGTTGAAACGACCTTCCAGAGAGTCCATTCCGTTCTCCATCGCTCTTGAAAGATATCTCATTGTTCCAACAGCCTCTGAGCGAGCTGTATGTCTTACTGGGGCAATATAAGAGTGCAGCGCATCCGAAGGATTCATCTGATGCGTGTTGCTGACATTTTCTTGCGGATCAAGTGATATCGTTCCATTGGCAATATTACTTTCGTCATATTTGTAAGGTTTGAGATCCGTGCCAAATAGCTTGTCTAAGTCTCCACGCTTCACATAAATCGAACCCCGTGCCCACTGCAGGGAATTGACTTGTGGACGGCAAGGTATGCGCAATCCAGAGTTGTATAAAGTGTCTGTAGCGGACATTAGGGCCTCAGCATTGAACTTTTCCATATTGTCTGCAGTTTCCTTCAGTACCGTCAGAAGACTTGCTTCGCACTTCCCAACACGAACGACGATGTCACCATTCCGCAAAATCGATGCTTCCTTGATATACTTGGATTGAGCTGGCATTGGCAAACGAGTCGAATGCAGCTCTCGTAGCTCGGGTAGGTTCAAAACTTTGATCTCTCCATTACTCAATAGACACACTATCGCAGCTGCAGAGGTGACTTCCTTCTTGACAGTTTGTGGAACGCGAAAGACACACAGTCCGGCCGTCGCAATCGGAGATTTGAAAATTTTGTGTGTATCCTTGGACTTCCCTGCCGTGAAAAGTCGGATGTCGTTATATCCTGCCATCATTGTAAAAGCAGGTATTGGCACACCCTTTGAAAGCCCCTGCATCGATGCAATCGTAGCAGAACACGAAGCTCCGGTTGCCTTTGATATGCTTTCAATGGCTGTAACGGGACCCTGGTCTATAGTCTTGACAGCATCAATAAGTTGCACCATGAAACGACCATTCGATTCAGGCAAAACTTTAAAAATCAATGCCTCGCCTACATCAGTTCCACAGGTCATCAAGATACTGGAATAACTGTCATCACCATATTCTGCCACTGAAAAATCGATGCAAGTTGTCACAGTGCTTCTGTCATGAGTAATGTTTTTGATGACTTCCGAATAAATAACTGCGGGGCCTCTTCTGTCTACTACCATAAGTAGTCCATTTTCGTACGCAATTGCGACAAAGCCTACATTGCTATTCTTTAGGGCCAAAACCCTTCCAGCGTTGGCGTGAATGGCGCAATTAGGCATGAAGCCTTCCCTTAACTTACGTGGCGCTCTGTCCGAAATATCAACGAGTAACTCTTTGACTTCGTTAAGGGAAAATCTTTTGAGCTTGATCTCGGTCTCGTTGGTATTTTCTTTGTTACCAAAAAACTGGTTGGCCTGGAATTTGAACAAAACAACGTCCCCACCTTCGGTCGAAACAGCTAGCTCCGCAGTCTCGGACGCAAAAGACACATTGTTAACGCCAACACCATAGCTCTTGTTAAGGGCGTGAGAAACACTGACGTCGAAAACGGAACTATCGTCAAGTTCTCCATGAGAAGCGTCCCATATTCTAACGGAACCATTTTTATGACCGGTTGCCAAAGCAGACCGTGTGTCGTGTACTCTCAGCGGCTTTCGAACAGGAGCGCCACCTTTCAATATGAAATCTTTGTTGTACGTAGAGCTCATCATTCCCAACCAAAGCTTTTTGGGAACGGAAGTAGCTTCGCATTTGGTCGCTGTAGGTCTTATCCATGATATACTTTGTGGAAATAGCGATGCCTTGTACGACAAATTGCCAGATGGATACAGGACAGTTTCCATTTCACCATCATCTAGCAATACCAAGATAATGGCTGGGTCGTGGTTTCCAGAAAAATAGCAAGACGCCCTAGCTAGTGGTAAGAATTTGACGATAGATGCTTCATTGGGAACTGGGAAAACTTTTTGTTGCACGGGCGATGCATAATACGCACCCATCTTCTCATAAGAAGTGATTGTATACTTTGGGGTCACTCCTAAATCTATCATCGTTAGGCTGTGGCACTCCTCACCCTCTCCTATAGCACCACCTGCTATCAGAAGTGATGTGTATTCTGGATTCGAGGCGCAGATCCAGGATACTTGTAGAATCCGAGACACTGGTGGTTGAGCTGGCTCAAGAACGCTTCTTGGGACATTCACGTCAGTCTCAAACAGGGATCTTGCTTGCAGCAGTTGACCACTGTTTGCGTCCCAGAAAACCAAAGAACTGTCTCGATGGACAGTCAAAACATGTAGAGAGTTCGGGTGAAACATAGACTGGATAGTTGCTGGGGTCCGATCGGTCTCCAGATTCCCGCTCTGATCACCACCGGGGGCAAAAGGTGGAATTGTGTAGATGAACTGCTGCTTGATCTTATTTTCGACTATGGAGTACAGCACTGTGACTAGGTTGTACGATATAAGAACCGTGCCATAATCTCTTGGGTTCCATTGTATCGATACAACTCCAGACAGAGGGTTTTGAGGTAAAATCGTTTTTTGTAAATTTTCGAGTCGTACTGGAGATATGCAGTCTTTGTCTATGTCGTAAACCACAGTAGTACCGCTTTGGAGACCGATCAGCATCCACTCCAATGAAGGGTCTGTTTCGATGCAGGAAATTTTGCCAGGAGCGAAAAAAGCCGCCATAACTTTCTTAGAATGCAGCGACAATACGAGCACCGAGTCTTTGGAATCCACTGCAATCAAAAAGATTCCCTTCACAAATCGCAGCTCCTTGACAAATGTCTTGGTTTCTAATGTGAAAACAACTTCCACCTGTTGTTTCCCATAAACATGGATTTCTCCACTATCAGTGGCAAGAGCTAGTAAACTCTGTACAGGGTCGAACGCAAACGCTTTCACCGTCCCATTAAGACCGTAACGGCTCACCTCACTGATGTTAAACATTTTCGGCGACAAGCCAGCAGAAACATCGCTACTGGACGCCGATTTGATGGCATTGGATACTCCCTTAAGTCTCCGACTCTTGAACATGCTGAGAGGTGCTCTTGGAACTGTTCTGGGGGAAGCTTTTTTCAACTTTAGGCTATTGATGTGTATAATGTTCAATCTCAAGCCTTTATAATGACGCAGCGAGAATTACATCATAAACGAAAGCCAAAGACACCTAAACAAGAGAGAAAGCTTGCCTGCATTTTCCACCTACGGTGAAAGCAACGTGAACTGATGACCAACGACTTTACAATTCCTGGTATTATCTGCGGCCTTGTTAAAACTTATATATTAATTCGATATCATAGTAGTAGGTCCTCTGGCATGAATGAAAACCCACGAAACTCTTCTTGCAGGTTCGAGCTCAAAACGGACGGTAGAGGCGTCAAAGTAGGAGGAGCGGACGTAAACTCCTTTTCAAAATACGATGTATCGTCTGCGGCTTTAATTTCGGGGATGTAGGGAGGCTGGACTCTCTGCTGCAGGATGTCATCGAAATTGATGTTCTTGAAGAAAGGCTCGGCCATGACCTCGGCTGCATCCCGAGGACCTGCACCAAGACGGCGCTCTGGATCTTTTATCAAAAGACCTTGGAAAATCTGAACTATATCTCCAGCCATATCAATTGGATAAAGAGGTTCGTCGGTGAGAATAGCATTGAAAACCTCGTCTTCATCGTCACCTGAGAATGGCGACTGGCAAAGCAGCATTTGATACAATAGAACTCCAAAAGCCCACCAGTCCACAGCCTTTGTGTACTCCTGTTCTTTCAAAATCTCGGGAGCCATGAACTCGGGTGTCCCGCAAAATGTTGATGTTTTGTTGCCATACCACATTTCGTCTTTGCAAAGCCCATAATCTGCAATCTTAATGTGACCTTCTGGAGTCAACAAGATGTTCTCGAGCTTCAAATCACGGTAAATAACACCATTGTCATGAAAATACTTGAGGGCAAGTAAAACCTCAGCAGCATAGAATTTGGCTCTTCTGACAGACAATCTCTGGTTTTGAACGTGCCACATCAGATCACCACCGCCAATGAACTCCATAGCGAAATAAATACGGTTTTCTGTTTGAAAGGAGCAGAAAAGATTGGTCAAGAATGGGTGCTTGCCCTTAGTAGCCAAAAGGAACACTTTCTTCTCCGCTCTTGCACTCTCAATGTCATGATTCTTTATAATGTGATCCTTCTTTAGAACCTTGATAGCACATAACCTCTCGTTGTTTTTGGATTTGGCTAAAAGAACTTTACCAAAATTTCCCTTACCAAGTACTTTGAGCAGAATGAAGTCATCCAATGAAATTTTCCGACGTTTAGGGGCCTTCTTCCGATGTTTACCGCTCGTATGAGAGCGTTGTGGAGAACGGGATGTGCCGGCTACACCATTGATCTGTTGGCCTACAAGGGATACAGCGTCACTTACTGCTTCGTCCTTATGATCAGGTGTCAGTTCTGGTGTGCCATCCAGAACTCCAGTTTTACGAATATCATACGCATGCGTCTTGGTGTCCCAATCTGGTGTCGTGCCATCAAAATTGTTCCTCGAACTTATGATTGCTTCGTAATGAGGTGCCTTTGTATTCAAATCAACGATGTCCGCACCTTGCAATTCTGCTGAATTCTCGTACACTTCCTCATGGACCTTCATGGGCAAAGTCTCGTCCGTGTGCTGTTGCTCGTCCCAATGTTGCTCAGCTCCGTCCTCAGCAGCACTTGGCTTGATTAAATCCATACCGTATGGGTGTGAATACGAGGGATCCAAAGTACGACTTCCATCATCAGGCTCGTATTGCTGAGCGTAATTGGTCGGATTAGTGAAGGCATTGTAGTTTGTGTTTTCCTCAATGAAGTTGTTCAGCCTGTCATTCAAGATATCATTTCTCTCTTCTTCGGGGGCTATACGCCTTGTCTCAGGCTTTTGCGAGGGAGCAACATGCTCCGATCCATTAGTATCTTCTTTGTTCTGCTTGTGATCTTGACTTCCATTGATCACATCGGCAAAATTGGAATGCGTTGGAGAATGTGGTAGCTGCTTGGATTCGAAACTGCGGTCCGAAAACCTATTAGATCTTTTGGGGCTGATCTGAGCTGTATGCTGATTTTCACCAATAACTTTGACTGGTGGCTTAGGCTGCAATTTCTGTTTCACTTTCTGGTTCCTCTTAGTATCCTGAATAGCCGTCAGGATTTGATTTGCCATATCCATAGACATTCCACAAAAATCGGGTACGAGATGGGCACATTGAGTGTGACACATAATGCCACACTCAGTACATTTCCGTAAGTTCTTCTTTCCCCAGGGAAGGATGTAGCCGCAATGACAACACCATTTCGTACCTCTATTGGACACCGGTTCGAATCTATGAGGAATGCAATGGTTGAGCTTAGGCTCCTCCGGATCTGATTCGGTGCTTGCCTTCGCGATGCATTTTGTCACTACGTGCTGGTAGCATTTCTTGTGACAGAGAAACTTACAGTCTTGACATTGGAAGCCGGAGTATCGCAAAAAGTCGCCGCAATAGGCGCAGCACATAATGTTGTAAAAGGATTTTTGAACAAAATGGTGCCCCTGTTGCTCATAAACTTCCTCTTTCCTATTGATGATGGCACCATGACGATGGAGGCCTCCCATCAAATTCTTGTTGGCCGGTTGGCTCGACTTACTAAATCCAAGGTTTAGCAGTATCTGGCCCGCAGGTTCGAGCACAAACCACAAACTTGTTGTGAGCGGTGGCGATGCAGTATTATCCGGAGCCGACGCACCATATGTACCAGCGGCTGAGTCAATTGCACGACCCGTGGAATCGTTCATTTCGGGTGGACTGGTGACTCTAGCAGCTCCTTTCCATTCGATCTGACCAGTCTGACCAGCTTTCTTTTTACGGATCTCTTCGGCTATATCCGACAACAACAACCACATTTGGGCAACAGGAACAACCTGTTCGTTGATCTTGTCATAAACGGTGATTTCGACTTCATTTCCGTTACTAGCATTAATGTGAAACTCTTCTTGCCATCTGTCAGTCCTCGAAGCCCTAGACTTCGCCTGAACCGTGTCATCTATCTTGATAGTGATAAACGTCTCGGGGCTTCGTGAAAACATGGGAGACTGAACATGATCCACGTCGCGTATGGCACTCACCCCAATGGTAAGTGTTCCTGAGAGCTGCTGGCGCCTGAACTTGGGCTGTGTCGCATTAGAGTTATCAGAATGACCTTTGAACTGATCTATATCCACATTGATGGCTTGATACTTCTTAAGAGTCTTCTTTAAAAGTTGAATCCTTAGCTTGGATTCCCTTGAACCACCCTGCGCTGCGGAGCTGCTGCGACGATCGCCATCAATTTGATACAACTTGGTCAGTTTCTCGTTTGCTTCTTCATATTGCTGTTCCACTTGGAGTTTGAATTCCAACTGCTGCAACATGTACTGGATACGCTGAGAAAGGGACGGACAGTCATATTTCATCAAGTCTAGACGGGAAAAAATGTGGTCGTCTGGCGCAATGGTTGATAGTTGGCCGTACCCGTGACTTGCACGCTTCTGTGCTGCACTTTGAGAGTCCCCACCATCGCTGAGTTTCAATTTTCGGAGCGTTTCTTCCAGGTACTGGATGTTCTGTTGCGCTTCCCTGATATTAGTGTTACATTTCTGTATCACCATAACATTTTCCGTCTTCTTCTTCAGCTGCGTTGCGCCAAGAATAATGTTTCTCTCACGCTCCACTTTACGCCGGATTTCCTGCTCCACCTGGCTCAGCATCTTGAACTACCGATATCCCCCGTTGATACTCGCTCGAATTGGGCTTTTAAATTGCCTTTTAATACAAAGTTAACGACAGATCAAACTCAATCAAAGATGTCTCAGGTGCTTGTTCAATTCGATGATTCTTAGCCTCACAAAACGCTAAAGCTACCAAAAGTTTTGAGAACAGCGATTTGAATTGAGCTTGTTCAAGCTTGATTGAGTTGGTACTCTTCACGAAAACGCTTCTTGACGTTTAGGATGCAGTAAAGTTCTTGTTTCGAGAATTATCTTGATCTTAATACAAAGAGGTGAACCATCAATCATCATGGCTTATGAAGTTGAGATCGGTCACAATATACGAAACTGATGGCTAGACCTGGAGATCAATGAACTCCATTATACACTCAGTGAGAAACTTGTATTTCAATGGCAATGTTGTTAATATCACAGTTTATTTTGACTATCTTTTGGTTTTTGTGTTAATTTGTGTCTTTTCCTCACGGATTGATGGTTTCTGTAATATCTCGAGAAATGGTTCTTCATGGATTGAAAAATATGGATATTAGAGAGATAATTCACCATCGTGAATGCCGTCGTTATTGCGCTTTTATCTTAATTACAACTTGTGTTCCTAGAACTGCTGATGGGAAAACACCTGTCGAAATTTGCATGTATCAACTTCGCGACTCGAGTCAGAAATATGTAAATTTGATCCAATTCTGGCTTACCATGACCACAATTTAGGTTTATTTCCATGTCCAATGAAAAACCCCGTTATTCTTGAGTGCCCTCTTGTGAATCCATGTCATGCTGCATGTTCACCAGCTTCGCAGTAGTAAAATGCCCACTAATTGTAAATTGTAGCTCAAATGTGATTAGACAGACACTAGAGACACTGTCTTTCTTCATAAGCAGCACCAGCCGGTCCAATCATTCAAAATCCATTCAAAATTAAGACCGTTACAATGCGCTGCAGCGGCATGAACAGCCCGGAACAGGACAAGTGACATGTTTTTCAAACCACTCTTCGGCATGACCCGCGTGCATGCCATGGTTGCAAGCAAGACAGAAGCTGAACCATTCGTTTAGCTTGAGCCGGCGAGCTTCATCCATTTGACCCTCACCCTGTGCATCTTGGTTTGTGGCTCGCCCATTAATAACAATAGGCAAGTTAGCAGTGCCTAAAGGCAATAAACAGATGGCACACCGTGGAAATGGTGTGCCGCAATGAGGGCATGAGTGTTTTTGAGCTGCTGTATTCGAAGGTGAAGCATTATTCAAACCAAACTTCTTGAAGCTTCCGCCAGCACCAAAGTTTTTACCCATTTTGGAGGCCGGTGCTGAAGCAGAAGCATCTACAGGATTGTTGATGTTTTTGTTGCATTTTAGACATTGAATGTAAAGCTGTCGAGGTCGATGATGGCCCAGTGAAGGAGCAAGGGTGCTTCTCGATAGTTTTCCACGTAGAACGTCGAATTTAGCTCTCACTGTGAACAACTCCCAAGAGTTCAGCATCATGCGGTACGCGTGCACCCACTCGTCAACCTGAGGACTTTTGAAGTAACGAGGGCAGCCATATATGGATAAAAGCGCGGCTGTCTGTACGTCACTAGTCTTATTGACATATGACTGCAACAATTTGACACCGCTTGGCGTGATCCCAGTCAGGATTAGACCTTCTAGTTCACCATTCGAAATAACCGAATTAGCAGTTCTTTCTAGAAATCGGGTTAGATCTTGGTCATTCAAAGACCTCAATGCTACACCCAGTCTTTCCCTGAGTGAAATGGCTGACTCGGATAGAATATCCCACCAATCATTGTCAGCGATGAAGCCAAATATAACACGAAGGTAAGGATCATCGAGCTCAGATGACATTTTTCTGCACTGCTGTCTCCATGCGTTATTCCCAGGCTGATCCTTGTAAGCAAGGTACCCGGCTATGGCAGTTGCAATCAAACGTAGCCTCTCTTTTTTGGCGGAGCTCAAAATTTCGATGGCTTTCGTGACGTCGCCAAAGAATACGGCCCAACCTGCAGCCTTCTCATATAAATTGGCCTTGATCAAGCCTTGATACTTCGCCTCATACTCTGAAGGGTGCAAATCCCATCCAGAGATAATCATGCACAGTCTACGCTGAATAGGCTTTGTCGAATTAGCGAATGGTATCATACCACTAGATTCACCCATTTTGGATTTATATTTTCCTCGCATTCGAACAATTTTTTCTAACTCTCTGCCTAACTGTTTTTCCGACAGATTTGCTCCTCTGCTGTACCTGTCCTGGTGAGAAAGACCATCTAATCCATTCCATATTCCAAGTATACCTTCGTATCCGAGATCGAGCTCTCCAGACACCATCAGCCCGTCGTCAACAGATGCCTTCACGATCGACAACCACCTCCAAGTATTCCTTATGTAGGCATTGTTCTGCAGTGATTTGGATGTATCAATGAATTCCACAGTCTTCAACGGATCGAAACCATAATTATGCAGAGCACGTCTTTTCATTATCATGCTAATATCGTTTTCAAGCAGACTTTCGGGCTTAAGCAAAAAGCCTAGTCCGCCCACGGATGAATTGCGACTTTTTGACTCATGTTGACCTTGGATATCTTTCGAGCTGATCTCAGAAGAGTTTGAACCATTCGCCTCACTGTCGATCCTGTGATCCTCTTCTTGGTCACTTAAGTCAAGATCCTCAAAAGATAATATTTTTAAGGCGGCTGCTCTTTCCTCATTTGTCGTTTTCTCCATCATATCTGCTACCCTTAGCTCATTCACGTCCGTTCTTTCATCACTTGCCGTAAGGAGGCTGTTATCACAATTGAACGCAATTCTTGATACCCCGCCTTTTAAGGCCATCCTGAAGAGCGTGCCCGACTGTCTCATGCACACAAAATTGGCAGATCCATCTTCCCTTGGGACGTAGTCGAACGTCACGACCCTGTCATACGTTGTGGCTATGTCATGAACAGTAGATATGAAGAGCGATTCGACTGTCGTCTCGAGCTGTGGACTTGAGTGGGCTTCATCTTTAATTGAAGAAGTCGGGAAACTACCTAGTCGCCACCTTCTAATAACTTGACCGCCATGTAGAGTAGTAAACTCGTTGTTGCGCACCGCTGACCAGCGAAAACATGAGTTGCTATATTTCCTCGAAGCGACGCCTGCGCCCATCAGTTTATCGAATTTCAAAAGAGGCTGCGTATCCAGAGATTCGCTGGACGACGAGCTTTGCCCTAATTTACGTCTGTCCCAAATAGAAAGCGTTCCGTCATCTCCATAGGTTGTGAACTGCCACACATTGTGTGGATTCACCTTTATATCGTAGCACAACCGTGTTGGATGCTGGTAACTGGGATTCGGTGATCTGAGATCAAGTTCTTTCAACAACTTGCTTGTACCTGCAATCAATGTTGTATCATCCAAGAACTTCAGTGAAACGACGGTTTCATTTAGGCAAAACGAGAACGATGGATTTACCACGTTAGAGTCTGTGCTTTGATAGTTGACATCCCACACCTGCAACGACGCATCGTGACGATTTCGGTCCAGCCCCATTGCGATAAGACCACTGCTACTCATTCCCAGTGTATTAACCGCTCGCTGCTGCTTGGCCCTTACCTGAACTTGTGTGGTGGTCTGTCCTGGAATATCATAGATCATGTTCATTATTCGAACCATCCCACTTCTCTCCCCAACACCCACTAGACCCACATCAGTTTCTGAGTGATCCAAGCATGTAATCTTGTCAAAGTCCTTCACAACGTTGAGTCTTGTAATAGATTCATCGCGCTCATCTTCTGGGTCAACACTGTAATGGGCGACTTCGTCCCTTGTTGGATTGACCGATAGATAGTCAAGCTTCCCATTTTGAGACCAGTTTGAAACTCTCTTGATTAGGCCCATTGATTGTAAAATGGCTCTACAAGTGTAATAGTTCTGTTAACTTTGATCAGCGGGCCATCGAGCTTAAGATTGGTAAATGCTTATTCTACTGATCCGTTTGATGTGATGGAGTAGATGGTTCATGTGATGGAAATACGATCCTGTAGCTTTAACAACCTCACGATAAAGCCTTCCATAACGTCTTGTTTTCTGTCTCCGATAGCGGTTCGGTTTGGTCGAGTTCTTGTTCTTCCATAAGAGGGATTCCTTGCCATGGAGCATGCTCTATGCCACTATCAGTGATTGAGAAATCCTTGGCCAACCATCGCTGGATTTGAGACGTGTCCACCCCAGATTCAAGTAGCGTGTGAACGTGAATCTGTAACTTTTTAGCTTCAGATTTTATTCTGCGACTGGCCTTTTCATCGGATTCAATTTCGTTGAAATAAGCGTCCATGAGCTCTCTGAAAAGTTTAATACACTCATCATTTTCAGAATCAAAAAATATCTGCAGCTGACTGTTTAATGCATCGCGCGTCTTCTTTTCTTGCATCAAGGTCCTGTAGGAGGAATAATTGTTCATCCTTTTTAAGATACTTTCTCGCACAACAATTTTCTCTGGGTGAGTATAGATACTTTTGGCCTTTCGGATCGTACTGTCACGTAGTTGTAGCACCGTTTGTCTTTCGACCACAAGACTAGCCATTTCTTGCAGCTTTTCAACATCATTTGATAGAAGATTGGCAAATTCAACGCGTTGTTTCATTTCATCCACCGTGAAAGAACTAAACGATGAGGCGTCGAATTTCCTTACCAGTGGTGCACCTCGCTTTAACTCTCGCTTCATAGACCAGTATTTGCATAGGTCCGCGGACAAACTTGAACTATTTTCGACTTTAAAGACATCCAGCACTTCTTGCGCCAGCCGTGCAAACATTTGAGGGGCAATCGGAGTTCCACGATTCGTTGTCCATTTGCCCTTGGTTTTAAAATTAGACTTATTTCTCTTCTTGACCGAAACTACGTCTTCGGTCTCTGAACTGCTGTCAGCCGCTGCAAAGTAGTTTCTGGTCTTCATGATGCCCTCTTTACACTCCGGCCAGTCCGGAGGAGAGTGCCTATCGCAGAAACTTTGTAGTCTGAGTCCAGGTGCATTAGACGAGACCTCTGCTATTGAACAAGAACCAAAGTCCAAGTAAAGACCGGCCCTCTTGGCGCACGTCACATGAAATGCGGCGAAGCAGTTCTTGTTCGAGCATTGTATACATGCTCCGACTTTCTGCTTGCAGATATAACATGTAAGTTTCCATCTCGATCGCGGTATCAATTCAATGCCATCTATGGGCTCCATGTAATGTGAATTGACAAAAAATAGTTCTGGAATCCAAAGTCCGCATACTACATGGCCCCAAGAACCACGGTCTGTCTGTTTGAAGGCACCGGTGTGGCTCGGGCAGAATAGACAATTGATTTTTCTATTTCGAGATATCATGCATCTACGGCATAGCCATTGGCCCTCGGGAATGAACACGACTCCATAGCACTCTTGGTGGACTGCGACGTCACATCCATCACAGAATACAATAGCGTTAGAGTTGTCGCACTCACTTAACCCGCAAACTGCACAGGGCTGGTCAACAATGTAGCCAGTCCCATCATCAGATCCATAGCTCTCGTAATGGGCCCAAGCGGCTCTCGTTTCTCGCGTAGAAATCTCAGAAGTGGTAGAAATCCTAGGCGGTATTTTTTTCTCCAGATGGAACCATTCCGTTTCCAGCACACTCATAACAATTTCAAAAATCTCATGGGACAGGTAGTTATGTGGATCAGATATGCGAATCTCATTGAGATACCTTATATAGAGGTCATCCTGTTCATCCATGTCATATTCTACCTTGAAATTTGACTGGTATCGGGATATATTTTTTAAAGGATTGGGATGTAGCGTGGCAGAATTGTCGGTTCTCTTGATGTAAGGTGTCAGATTCTCGTCAAAATTGTTTATGGGAGATGCTGTCAAATATCCAAATTTCTGGTATGCTCTAGGGACCCGCGGACTATGCACTAAGCTTCCTATGCTCAATTTGCATTTTTTGAATTTGACCTGACTTCTGTCAAGTGCAATTGGTTCCACTGTCACTTTGTCCTTGAAGATTACTTGTTTTATGTGCGTTTTTGGACTATTTCTGCGGGTTTCATTGTCTTTATCCACCAGTGAAATCTGACCCTTTATAAGGTCACCTGGGTGGTTCTCAACTTCGTCCAATTGGTCTTTCTCGCTTGGTACAATTACCGGTAACAGCTCTTGTTGGTCGAGATTGACATAGAAATCTGTGAAATGTTTCTCCTCTCGAAGCTTGGGTCCTTCATCCCTATAGCTGTTGTTGATCTCCTTCAATGGAGACATCTAGGAAGGTTAGTGCTGTGCTGTGAGACGGTATTCTTCGTCTACAATACTTAGTCATTGCCGGACGTCTCTGTCCTGCCCATGCCTTTGAGTTGGTAGTTGAATCACCACCATAGTATAAAATCACCAGTCACGTGATTGCTATTTTAAAGTTAACAATGGAGCCATCGGCCTGTGTTTTAAGCTGCCTTGGTATGCTCTGAATGGATTAAGATCATGTCAATCTTTCACCATACTTGGTAATAGTTTCTTCAGCACTTTTGTTCTTGTCCTTACTCATTACTGTCTTTTACTGTCAAGCAGTCATTTACCGACGCTAAAGGACAAAACAAATGTCATAGAAAAGAGACAAAATAAATCGAGTGTCAGTAGCAGCATTTCATTGTCCTTCCCACATGGCTCGTTGGTAGAGTAAAGGTCTTGTCAAAGCTTATTTACCTTTAAAAAAATAGTCTTTATTTGCCAAAATTCAGTAGAAAATCCGCTGCCGTTCCTTCACCTTCCCCTCCAAACATTAACTTCGCGTTGTCTTCTGCTTCGATCAAGTCTCCAGACAAGAACTGCTGCAGATCGTCCTGGATTGTGGTCGATGGCGTGGATGATGAGTTGTCCCCCATGTAGGAGGTGACTCTGGCATCGATAATCTGCTCCGGAGAAACGCTACTCCCAGCAGCGATATGCACTGCAGCAGCCGTGTTGCTGCTGCCTCCTGTTGATAATGAGGGCGTCTGTTGACGCTGTGCAAGTGTCTCCAGGCTTCGTATCTTGTGTAAAAGAATTTGTCGTTTGCGATTCTGTACCTCCAGCACTTGTTGTAAATACTGCAGGTAGTCTGTGGAGCGGGCCAAAATGACACCTTTGTTTGGCTTGACCTCTTTGCCCTTATCATCGTAGTTCAGGAGGCTTGGCGGCACAATCTGGCTTAGTTCTTTGACCTTTTGTTTGATGAGCTCTCGTCGTCTTCTCTCGACGGCTTTGTGAAACTCGCGGCGACGACGAATTCTCTCGTCTTGCGAAAGTGGTTGTGCGGCGAAACCGGCGGAATCCACCGAGAGAGGCAGTTGCACAGCTGGACTCCCGACCGCTGATTGTGAAAAATGCTGGTTTCGTATTGAAGATGACGTAAATGTACCCTGTCGCAGATTATTGGGAGGAGACCGAAGACTGGACGACAAAAACTGGGAGTAAGACGCCAGGTCTACGGATTCACGCGGCTGAAATGAGGAAGAACGCGGAGACATGAAATCTGTGGTCGCCACGCTTGATCCAAACGAGGAAGAGATGCCGTCCGTGAAACTCGACAATTGGTCATCATTCAACGTGTCCCGTTGGTAAGGCTCGTGCTGGAACAGAAGGTTTTCCATCAGAAAATCTGGTTGTGTTTGTGCAAATTGCTGTGCTGATCTCTCCTGGCTGGTCAAATTCTCGTCAATAGACTGTCCCGGTTCGCTACTACGCCGCACAACGTTACTCAGGTGAGATATCGAATTTCTTTCCCCCAACGTATCCTGCATTTGGGTTTCGTCCTCAAACGGATTTTCCATGCTCATCTGGTGACCGTATTGTCCTCCAACGTCCTCACTTCCAGTTATAGAGACCCCCATATTCCCATTCAGGTCGCCTAATCCTGCATGTCCCAGTAATTCTTTGATGAAATCCTCGTCGTCTTGTTTGAACTCCATACTCGTCATACCGTAGTTCTACTTGTAGCCAATTCTTCTAGCTATTGACCCAAATACACTACGAGGGTCCTTGTGGCCATGTGAGTTCCTTGAACGGCTATTTGGATCCCGAAGGTTTGGTAACAGGAAGTATATCTTATTAAAATAACTAGTTCACTTTCTTATATTAACTGTCAACTAGTCATAAGAACAAACCAAATCGGTAAATCGAGGCTATATAAGCATATTTACTTGGCGTTTCGACTGGAAGAAGTTGAAAATCACGGTCGTGGACACTTTTAAGAATTCAGAGCCTTTTTCAGCTTCTTTTTAGCGTTTCTGTAACGTTTATTCTGTTTTCAAAGCACTATACTACATACACCTAGTAGTACAATTGTATAAACTAGCACACACACGCACACACACACACACTCATAGCATACTCACCATAATGGCAACACAACAGGAAGCGACGCTCAGGGACTCGCTCAATAGATGGAACGAGTCTCGGACGCAAAACTCACAGGGTTTCAACGAGGGTGCGAAAACGCTGTTTGCATCATGGGCTGATTCGCTGAACAGCAGAGCTCATGATGTGTACCAACGTCTGCCGATGTCCCAGCAAGACTTGGTGCAAGACCAAGAGCCTGCATGGTTTAGCCTTTCGCGGGTCGAAAGATTGTCATTGTTTGTGTGTTGCATTTTGGGATCCGCAGCGTGCTTTACGCTGTGTGCCTTTTTACTGCCAGTTCTCGCAGTGAAGCCACGCAAGTTCGGACTTTTATGGTCTATGGCGTCACTGCTATTCGTGGGAGCATTTGGCGTGTTGCAAGGACCGGTTGCGTACGCGAAACACATAACGTCAAAAGAAAGGCTGCCATTCAGTGTGTTTTTCTTCACGTCCTGTTTCCTGACGATCTACTTTGCTGCATTCCAAAAATCCACGCTTCTCACCATCCCATGCGCGTTGTTGGAGCTGATTGCTGTGATTTACTATGGGATCAGCTATTTCCCCTTTGGCGCCTCTGGTTTACGTATGATCAGCTCTGTGGGTATCAATCAAGCAAGAGGAGTGCTCAGAATCTGAGATGCCACATACTCTAGATAATGCTGAATTTGTTTTTAGATCTTTCTACATCCAAAACTTGTATAGTTAACTTTACAAAAGAGCTCCGTGTCTAAATTTCGTAACCAGGAGGTTCGTCATCTTCGTCAGTTGGTGACCCATGCACAGGCCCTGTAACGTTCGCGGAATGCTTGAAAGCGAATCCTTCCCGAAAAAGATTCGTCTCAGATCCACTGGAATTTGCGTTTATAACGCAATCAATGTTACTAAAACGCCTTTCACAGTTGGGACCGTTCAGCATTGAGGGTTCTGAGCTGTGGTTATGTGTGCTTGCCCTTGAAAGCGACAATTGATGGATAGATAAGTCATCTGGCTCGTACGACCCAGAAACATTCGGAGTGCTCATTGGGGGCGTGAATGGAGAGGCTACCGGAGACCCGGGGACAGAAATGGCTTCTTCAAATGATGGAGGAGGAACAGTCTCGGGAAATGACGCTTTGGTTGCAACATCATACGTGGGCAACTCAATGTTGGAAGTGCCACAAAGATCAGAGACAATGTATATCGGTGTATCGATCAACACTTCGTAGTGCTTCACGGCATTCGAATCTCCATCCGATTTTTTGCTGATACGCAGCATGATCTCCAGTTTATGCTTAACATGTATGTTCTTGAAACTGACGCAATCCAGGTAAAGACCACGCTTGGGTTCATTAACACGGCTATGTGAGTCAACCCTCACGTTTGACACAGACTTGAATGAAGTTCTGGAACTCTCCTTTTCAATGGGGCTAGAGGTCGATGCACGACGCGAAGCAAAGGGCGTGTTGGCACGGCGGCCAGCAAAAAATCCTATTACACCAGAAGCTGCGCTATTTCTTCTGAGTGTTGGCCCGCTGGACGCAGTGTGTGATTGATAACCACTAGTGAACTCATCAATACCATACGGTGGCACAGCTTTAGACGACTTCTTATCTAGCATTGAAAATTTGGGGAAGCTTAGTTTTGACTCGATAACCAAAGGATCCACCAAATCATGGGATGGCCCACTAGTTTTGCTATCAGAGGGCAAGCCAGCATAGGATAAAAGATTTTCTGACCGGCAGTTGTCTATAATTTCTTCCTTCATGGCTCTGCCACCTTTTTCCTTCGATCTTATTTCCCATAGCGGCAGAATCCGTTCTTGCTTTCTTCTGCAAACAAATTCCGAATAATAAGGATTATACGGGTCATTTGCAATAGCTTCAGTTTGTTCAAACTCGTATTCCAAATTCTTTGACACATAAGTGATTTTTTCAATAACACTCACTCGTAACCTTTTTACTGAAATGTCCTTACTGATTGGAGACAGCTTTATCTTGATTGGTACCTGGCTGCCAGCTGGTACGTACTTCTTGAGTAGTGATACTTCGTATGATAACGCATCATTCCAAACTCTGTTAATATAAACGGGCTTGTCTGCTGTGAAGTCCGAGATCTTGGGAGGAATACGCACAACTTGAATGGTTTGATCTCCCCTGATCAAATTATTCTTGGCCGGGCCTTTATCAGCTCCGCTTTGAAACTGATCTCGCACTTTTCTTAATAGTTTATTGCTCGAAAATTTATTGTGAGTTGAAGGTTCCGTTGGCTGATCTTCAGAAGCATGGGAGCCACCTGAATGACCAGAATAATTGTCGCTTTTAGCATCTCCGGGTGTAGAGTTACTTGACGCCAGCTTTGCTGCACAACGAAATTGATAGCTAACTCGTCCCGACGGTAAATACAGTGTCTCTGGAATGGTGCAAGAGAAAAATACTGGTATTAGAAACACATATTCACCCGGTCGAAAGGTCTGTTCTTTGCCTAAAGTATCAAGGCTTGCTGAGAGTATATCATTCGATTTTTTTCTGTTCGTGTAGCTCTGGGTTGCTAAGTCCGTCTTGTTCTGAAACAAAGCTGGTTTTATGGAGGTCTCGGGCTGTTCGACAATTTTGTTCTTAGTAGACAGGTGGCGCGGGACGTAGAGGTTGTAGTTACTCTCCGTAAGATCCCATTGCAATTCGCCCAATGTGTAGTATTCTTCATTAGTTGTTTTCTCAGGTGGTACACCGTGCTGCCAGTATACTCGCACCTTCGAATACAACTCCGCTCTTAGTTTGGTCAAAGTCGTTGAATCCTTGAATGAAACAATGACTGCCAGGTTGAAAAGAACATTCTTTCCCTCTGCGTCAATTGGAGTATTTTCTCCCGCTCCTCCATCATTGCTTGTTGTAGAGTTAGACTGTTGATCACTTGCGGCCATTGGGGATGCTTCGTCTTGACTAGACGTGCCCGGCTGGTCGAGTAGGGTTTCGGTTCCATTGAGCATCGCCAGATGACTGAGATATTCGTCGTCCTGTGACGATACCGTCGGCAAAAACACCACTTCTGATGATGTCGCAGAAGATATGATCATATCTTTATTAGATGACAAAACCTTTGGGTGAAGAAATCCCCTTTCTCCTAGGTATTCCAGCATGTATTTCCGACCATTTAAAAGGTTTGCCGGCAGTTTTGACGTATGAGAGCTCAAATCGCTGTGCAGTTCATCAGACTCAGAAAAGTTTTCGCCCGACTCGATATCGGCCTCTTCGTATTCGTCCTCACTGAATACTGACTTCGGAGCGTTTTCTGCTAAGGCAAGCTCGTTGGAGGCAACTCCGTAATCGTCGTAGCCATGTGACAGCCGCGGCGATCCTCCATGAAACAATAAAGTGCTATGCAAAGCTGCGAGACCAGTTCCTGGGGTAGCACTGGCGTGGGAGCTTGAACGTTGCCGGTTGTTCGTAGAGTTAATATGATTAGACCCGGTTCTAATCATATTAGTAATGGCGTGCTTCACAGAAGATGACCTTCGGCGTGTACCATGCTCGGCAGAATCTGATCCCACTCTCTGCTCATCCACCATAGCGTACGGTTTTGGATGTGAAAGTGGCATCTTATTCCAAAAAAGAATCCGAAAACCTCTAAGAAGATAGAGAGCCGAGTGGAGTGTATTTTTTACCCATAAAAATGAAAAGTAGAAAGCCTCTGTGAACCAGATACTACTAGATGTGCAATTCTGGTACCAATTCGGATCCCGTACTGCTTTATTTGAGTCTCAATTTTAGAATTTCGAGCCAGTGCGTTTATGTGAATGTAATGTGACGGGCTAGAACTAATCTTTTAGAGCGTTTGGAAACGGCTTCTCTTGAAAGGTAAAAAGACCCAAAAAAATCGCCACACCTGTTTCTTTTTGACTCTGAAGTCCAATATTGAAGTCTGGTCGAAACTGCTGGACCAACTTTGGAGTAACAATGCTGCTTTCCACAAATTTGGATGTCCGAATCCTTCGTGTAAGTCTTTAAATTGGACAATCTTTCCAGTGATAAGTACGGTCACCTGACCTAGCATTTTAAGCTTTGTCGTTACCGTTAGCCGATGAATGAAGCGCCAGTTTCAGATCGGCTCAGTTCAGTAATTTCGGTTTATGGACTGAGTTTCATGATATCATTTTAGAGGTGCCAAGCTTTCTTCGTTTTATGTTGATGAGCAAACGGGATGAACTCAAGGTAACGTTCTGTTTCCTGATCGACTTACAGCTGAAGAGAATGAATTCCTACGTTAGAACATCGCGAAAATGATTCTCGTAATTTGATGAGCAAGTGCTAAAAGCCCCTTGGTTCATTGGCATTGGTGTGTGTGCTTGTCAAGCGATGGAAAATGAACTTCGATTGCTTGCCTTGAGGGCCGTGAAAGTCACTAAGACCGACATTAGCAACATTCCGATCACTTAGAAGAAAATAGGACACGTTCCGTTGCGATAGAAGCTTGGAATCCGTTCGCCGCATCTTTTTGACCCAACAACAACGCATAGGGTCTAAAAATAAGTCTTAAATGGCGCTTACAGAACCAAAATTTCCAAACACCAACCGCATGGCTACCCAACAAGCTCCGTATTAGCCCATTGGAAATCAAATCGGTCCCAAAGCTTTTGAGGCCTAGGGAATTCTGTACTTCGTACGACAACACGATTATTCGTTGAAAGACCAGTCAAACAGAAAAGTGGAAATTGACTAAGTCAATTCAAATATTTCAGTCTACCATCTTCTCTACCAACAGACTCACGACTCCATTGACAGTCATTGTCAAGAGTTGTTTGAAGTTAGTTGTTCATGAATACCCAATGGCCTAATTTTAATTCCGTACCACTACTATATTCAATTTCGATCTTATAAAAGCTTCCAAGAAAAATAGACAACTAGACACCCACTTGATCGATCAAAAGCTCCCCCGTTATCATTCCGCAATGGGATCTCTACGAACATTCATCAAGGATGTTCGAGCGGCCAAAACCTTGGCAGAAGAACGAGCTATTGTAACGAAAGAATCAGCAAGAATTCGAACCAAACTTAAAGATGACCACTTGGCATCAGACAAGAAAAGGAAAAACATTCATAAACTACTGTATTTACACATTTTGGGTGAGAAAACTCACTTCGCCCAGGTGGAATGCATCAATCTCATCGCTTCAGATGATTTTCGTAACAAAAGGCTGGGCTATTTGGCAGCAATGATATTGCTGGACGAACATCAAGAGATTCTGACACTGCTCACGAACATGTTGAACAACGATCTCCATAACGCTAACAGATATGTGGTATCAATGGCTCTTTCGACCCTGGGATCACTCACATCGCCAGAACTCGCTCGTGATCTGTATCCGGACGTTGAAAACATCCTGGCCCGTTCCTCAGACGATTTTTTGGTGAAAAAAGCGCTTCAATGCGCTGCCAAACTTGTGGGAAGAGATGCCGCTTTGTTGGAGATTTTCTACCCCTATGTCGGAACCATTTTGAGGTCATCTCAATTGGGCACTCATGGGGGCCTGTTGGGTGTTGCTAAACTATGTCAGGCTGCTGTTCTGTGCCGATCTGAATACGAATACGAGAATTATCCCGAGATTTTACATTCCATAGTTGATCAAATTCCGGAAATTTTCTCAATCCTGCAAGACATAAACTCCACTAGTTTCAGTCCCGAGTATGACGTTGGTGGAACATGCGACCCTTTTCTGCAAGTTGAGCTCTTGTACACATTACGCCTATTATTCGAAAAAGCACCTCAAGAAACATTGCAATACAAAAACAAGTTGAGCGACATTCTTACTCAAATCGCCACAAACTCAGATAGCTCTAAAAACTCAGCACAATCCGTGCTTTACGAATGTGTCCGCACAATTTTTGCACTTCAGCTTGATCAGTCGTTGATAGTTCTTGGTGTGAATGTACTTGCCAAATTTTTGTCAGGTAAAGATAACAACACCAAGTACGTTGCCCTGAACACACTGCTACAAGTTGTCCCTCAAGAACCAAACGCCGTCCAGAAGCATCGGAAGTTTATTTCGAGGTGTTTGTTTGATCCAGACATCTCGATCCGGATAAGAGCAGTGGATCTCAGTTTTGCGATATTCAATGAGACTAATATGAAAGAGCTAGTAAACGAACTTATATCTTTCCTAAAACTTTCCGGAGAGCAGGATAGAGATCTGATTATCAACATCGTTGATCAGCTCATCAATAAATTCGACCTATACGCGCTTGATAATGATCTTTGGGCTATTGAAAAAATGGTTGAAATTATTAAGATCGTCGGTCAATACGTTTCCTTCGAGAAAGTCAGTGATGTCATGGTAATGATCAACAACTCTCAGGATTTGGAACAAAAAATGAAACTTATTCAGGAGATAATAGAGCTTTCCTTGGGCAAACGGCAAGAATCTCTTGATGGCGAGAACTTGGGCTGGAGACTCTTAAGCGTTTGGTGCATGGGTGAATATGGTGATGTGTTGCTGCAGAAAGGCATGTTCCTTGATTCAGAATTGACCACTTTTTTGTCTTTGCTCAATGGAATATACTCCTCAAATACAAAGCTTATCAGTTACATTTTGACCGCTGCTTTGAAACTGTCGTCGAAAATTCAAAATCCATCTTGCGTTGAGGACTTACGCAAGTTGATAGATGGACACACTAAGGACACGAATATATTACTTCAGTCCAAAAGTGTTCAGTACTCCGTAATTTTGAGTCAACCGGTCGGTCAAAGACAGGATATATTGGGAGCGATGCCACTTTTCGAAAAGAGTTTTAGAAACGGTAATAGCAATCACAGCGAGAAGCCAAAGATCAAAGTAGAGAATCAAAATGTACTACTGGATCTTTTGGAAGGTACATCTGACGCTACAGTCAAAAATGGTTCACAAGCTTTGCTTGATATTTTTGGAAGTTCGTCTCAGGAGGGTGCTATCCCCACTACAAATACAAATTCAAGTTCTTCCATTTCATTAAGTCTTCCTCAGGATGCCGCTGAAACGTATCAGTCTAACGAAATGCAAGTTTTTTTCAGAACCGTTAGTGTGGCCCCTGCAGAAGCGCAATTGGAACTTTACATCCAAGGGCACGCTCAAATTGACAATTTGCAGATCTTGGCTGCCGTCTCCAAGACGCAGAAGCTCACAATGGGGCATTTGTCTAGCGCCTCGATTGCGGCAGGCCAAGTTTGTCGGCAAGACATGAAAGTGAGTGGATCAGGGAAGCTCAAATTGAGGGTAAAGCTAGTTTACGATGGAGCTTCTGGTACAGTCACGGAACAATTTGACCACAAATTTGATCAGAGTTTGTAAAAGAATGTTGAACAGAACTTATAGCAGATACGAAAATAATATACGTACATTTTCTCACCGAGCCCACTAGAAACAGCCCATTTTGTGAGATTTTCAAAAGGCACTGAGGCCACGAATATAAGTCATAGTTCCCTTATACGTGTGTAGCGTGAGTTAGCTAGCCAACTTAGATTGAACGAGGATCGAATCCAGAAGCTTTGCCGTGTGACGTCAAATTCTCCACCTTAGAGCCGATGTCACCGGTGGTGGTCTTAGCGGAGTTTGGAGTCTTGATGTATTTCTGAGAAACCGGTTCCAAGATCGTCTTGTACACGTATGTGGCACCATTAGTTTGTGGCAAAGCCAAGTAGACCAACAACAGGGTCTTGAGGAACCAGTAGAATGGAATCCAGTAAAGGATGGCCTTTGACCAGAACTCAATAACGTTCAAAAACGCAAAAACTACCCAGTAGGTCAACAGTTCCGTGTCATCAGTCGACGTAGAAGTTCTGAGTGCAATCAGGGAGTAATACGCAGGAACCACGAATCCCACGAAATTTGACAAAATCTCACCGATTCCACCCACATTGATGAAAATCAACAGCAAATACAAAGAAGCTGCGCCCAAAACTCCATATGATTTTGGCAATTTGGTTTTCGCCTCAAATTGTTGCAGCAAACCGTTTCCGGCAAATTTCTGCTCCCAGAGTTAGTACCACCGATACATGTAAAGAAACCGGGAATGTAAGGAATTCTACCCAGAAAAAAGGAGCATTTAACGTACTTGATCCAAAGTTTTCAATTCGTCCTGGAAAACTTTAACGTAGTCACCCATTTTCGAGCAGTTTAATGACAATACTTATGATTATGAGAATAGATCACAATTGTAGGTCAGGATAATGATTTATGAAGGCGTCAATAATCCCTTGGTCTATTTTATACCTTTTTTCAGCTATTCGGAGCTTAAAGCAAAAATATCAAAGCGCGTGATGTAATTAAAGTGATATGTTTGTTGACAATTTGCTGTTAATCAGAAAAAAGCGGATTTAGCTCAGTTGGGAGAGCGCCAGACTGAAGATAACTTCGGTCACTTAGAAATCTGGAGGTCCTGTGTTCGATCCACAGAATTCGCATTTTTCTATTTTTTTCGTTACTGATATACTGGAGTATATGGATGTGGGGGAGTGCTCAAAGGCTAACCAGTAGCTTGAGTGTGCTTTGGACACCAATGCATGGCGTAGTAGTGATGAAGATCTGATGCGGAGGCCTTTCTTTGAAATTTGACGCTTGTCGTCAAAATAGTGCGATTTCTTTGATTGTTGCGCCTCTAGAATCATCGTCTTGATCGAAAGTACCGTGCACACTGACCACGACAAATCGGGGTGGTGGACAGCCTTGGTTCCCCATAGTGGTACAGTTTTCATAGCTGAAATCAAAATTTGTGATATTGGAGCGTGGGATCTCGATCCGGTTCGCATATGCGTCATCGTGCGTGTAAGGAAGTGACGGCTCCACTTTCAAATTGCGTAGAATCGTGACGAATTTGGACTTCAGAAGCGTTGAATCGGGCGATAGCTTCGACAGTTGGCCAATGTCAAGACGCTGCGACCGGAATAACTCCCACCGGTAGTCCTCTTCGGCCTCCGTGATATCGAAAACCGTCTCTTTTCTCTCTTTGAGTTTTGACTTCACGTCCCCAGCGGGGCCTGAAATGCCCATAATTTCCGTTTCTGTATCAGGTCCCGATCTCCTGATGATTGAAGAAGCATTACAAAGTGCCGCTTCTATATCTCCAGCGTAGGGCAACACAGAAATCGAAATGTTTTGGGCAGGCCGTTTTCCCCACAATATGGTGCCGCCCGTTAAAGTGTGCTTGTTGTCCACCCCAAGATCGATCAGGATTCTGGCATTCTCATTTTTCCGAAGCGGCTGCCAATGCGTGAAATTGTTGCCATCTGTCAAAGAGTAAATGACATCGCCTGCCACCCCGGCGGTGAAATTTGTCACTTGTTTCCCCTCTGCGATATTATTGTCGATGTTTAAAAGCGGATTGAACAATTTGACAGAAATATTCTGACCGGGCTCTAAAATGATATGCGTCACCGGTAGCCCACCATGCGGTTCCCTTTTGGAAGCATCGGGATTCATCACGAGTCGGTCGTGAATAATATTTCGATCCAGTACTTTTATCTTTATAGGTTGCTCACCGCATTTGTGGGTGATTGTAGCATTTTCATCCCCCACTACAACATCGAAAACTTGTCCCATGTATTTGAAATCTGTTATTTTAAAGCCCCCTGGAAGAAGCGGGAGCCTTGTAGGGTTGAATTTTAAGAACCTTGTCATTCGACCAGTAGTCTCGTCTGTCTCATACGAGTAACGTAAACCTGTTAAACCAAACAGAATACTTTGCAGGTACCCGCCGTTTCCGGTAAGAAATGGGAAAGCAGGCTGTGTTAGACCATTAGTTAGAAAGTTATCGTCACTCTGTTCACTAAATTGAAGGAACGGCGCTCTCACGTAAGGTAGCACTGACTTGTACAGATAACTTTGAGAAGAGCAGCCGTGATTTAGCAATCCTGCTGCCGCCGCTACGAAAACTGGGTAAGTCATCGCGGGCCCAGAAGCCGACTGACGCTCTGAATAATAATACAGGTTCTTGATTGCATTTTTCAGAATTGTTTCATCCGTAATGTAACCCAATGGATATGTCATCAGCACAACGTCAGCCTGCTTGATCTCGACAGAGGAATTCATGTCCGAATATTCCAGTGTTATGTCTGATTCTGCAACTGGTATCAGCACCTTTTTCTGAACATCCTTCCATTGGGGGTCAACATCTTCCTTCAAATGGTTGCCGATATCAGTAGCCCATTTGAGCAAAGTCTTAATTCCAGCGTTAGTGAATGCTCCATTATCCACAAAGTTAGCGAACTCGTCAGGATCTGTCATGTTGTGCGTCTCATACGCATCGAGATCTGGATTATATTGCACGTATGCAGTGAAAAAGGTGGCTGCATCTCTTACCAAAGGCCAAGTGGTGTTCCTTAGATACTCGTCGTCGATGCCGTTAGCACCATTCAAATAAATGAGAAATGAGGCCATTGCAATGTCAATGTTGATATGATACTCATAATCCACGCAAGGACCAGTAGATGTGCAGTTCCCAAATCTTCCACTCGTCCAAGGATAAAGAGCGCCTGGGTAACCGTTTTCGCGGGCATTCATCCTAGCTTGGTCGTGCATCGATTTCCGGTAAGTGACCAAATGCCGTGCGATTTCGGGAAAGAATGGTAGAAGAGCGGGCATGATCCAAAGATCAGCGTCCCAAAACACTAATCCGGCGTACGAATCTGAGCTGAGGCCAGATGCTGGTACAGGCAACCCACGCTCTTGTGAGACATTGAACCTCCGAGTATTGCTTAACAAATGGAAAACGGATGACCTCGCAGATAACTCAAGTAAACTGTCTGACGGTATTTCAATAGTGGCGTTCGCATAAATGTGAACCCATGCATCTTGATGCGACGCGGTTAGATCGTAGAGATGCCCAAAATTATCATGAACTATGCTCTTCGCACTCTCCAAATTTGTTGAAACCTTATCGTAGCGGTCATACTCTGAAGACATGACTCCCACATATTTCGTAACTGTGACAGAGGGATTTTCCGTGGTAAGCTGCAAAAATCGCTTGTTTGTTACAGACGTATTTGTTGCTTGGTACACCACTCCGTCCAGATTGGACTCAGCGAATGATACTTGCAGCGACGAATACATGGCAGCTGATGAGTAGGGAACATTGTCTGGCTCAACTATCATATAAATTCCGTCAGAGTCATAGCCTAAATCTCTCAAGTATGTTCTTTGAGATGTGGAATGGTTCAAGACGTCAAATAATTGCAAGTCGAGTTGCTGGCTTTTACCGCGGTTGTTGGGGATTAAAGATAGTTCCAGCTGTACAACACCTAGTGGGTGCAGTAATCGATGGGCGAAAACCTTGGACTTTACGTGGACAGTATCGAGCCAATCCAATTCTGTCGTTACTTCGCCCGTAAGCATAGAGAGATTTTGCCGATAATTAGAAACCTGACTCTCGTGGACGCTCTGGGCATTAAAAAGTTCAGTGTTGTTTCTTATAGAGAAACTCAGATCCGTCCATTGTGGAATTGCAGCAAGAGCGGTGGAATATCCGTTTTCGTCCAACTCTGGAAAATTGGTAGAGTTGAGTTTTGGCTCTAGGGCGTAAAAGTCAGAAAGGAAAGCGCCGGCAAACCGTCGGTTTCTGAGTGGCCAGCCATTATCCAGAGATCCCGGTACGGAGCCATCAGGAATCCAAATGTTGAAGGTGTCTTGTGCATAGCCGAACCCTACATTGGGTATGCGGCTGCCTATATATCCGTTTGCGACGTATGGCTGACGGGAATAGGTGTTTTCTGAAAAATGAGTGGTTCCCAACGTCCACGAATCTTCGTCGTAGTAGGTATCTTGCGAGTCCGTCAGGAGTTCGTAAAGGGCCTCTGAACTTCGTCTTCTGCGTTCCAAGTTAGAGTCGTGAAACTTTCTTCGGCCACGAAACACTCGACATGGAAGACTTCCAGCTTTCGGCACTTCACTGATCAAAATCCAACTGCCCACTAATCCAACCAGCAAAATTATACCTGCCATACACCCTTTACAGGGCTTGGACTTCCCATACTCCTTGGTCATTTTGAGCTCTATATGAGGTAATAAGGCCTTGGTCTGAATCGAAGCCCGAATGTGAAGCTGTCAGAGTTAAATATACTAGATATACTGTGAGGCTCAGCGTCGTACCGTGCCGTGATCAGATCTGAATTTTAGCCCTTGGACTAAAGACAAAAAATGCAGAACTAAAAAAGGTAACAAGACAGGGTACTATGACCTCTAATTGCTTTCTTTGGCAGATAAACAACTCCAGAATGAAGCAATACGGTGTAGTATATCAAATAAAGCGTCTCTATGAACAAGTTACAAGCCTTTAGTTGTTCGATTTTATTTATTTGTCTAGCTTGAGACCTTATATTCATTGCATGTCATCTTATAATCTAATCTACTATAGTCGTTCTAGGTTACCTCTAAGTAGAATGGAATTGACGGGACGAATCCAAGATCCGGTTGGGATGCGTGGCATTTCTCAGCTGGACATTGCAATATTTGAGAACTGCTTCCCGCAATTATCCGAAAAGGGTGTGTAAGCAAAGAGGTCGAGAATATCGCGAGATGGCTAAATTTAATGTAGAGGAAAGATGCATTACAGCAAAAGTAAGACTATCATTCCTTTTAGGTATGCACTGTGGGGTCAACGGAAGGGGGGAAAGGTTCCGGAACTAATTTTGCGCATTGTTGAAGGGGTTGCTCGGACAATGCCTATTTTTTTCTCGTGTGAATAATACTGATCGTAGCGGGATGCAGAACTTAGGAAATTCCGGTGACATAATGTTTCAAAGTGATGTTGAGAAGAGCTTCTTAAAGTGCGCGACACGAAAGTAGATACGTGAGGAAGAGGAGGAACGGGAGCTAGGGAGAAGTGCGAGAACGGATGTATTTGGTTTAGAAGAAAGATGTACAGAAGTTGATGAGAAGGAATGATTGTGAGAGGTTATAACGAACTTTTCACGTGATATTGAATTGGTCTGGTTAACTAGAAGAATGGAATGGGAATCAGTTGCCCTATTGAGGCCAGGCATTGATGGCATGTTTCTATGTACAATGGTGCACTGAAGCACTGTGATTTCGAGGTATGCAATGAAGTCCGATCGTGGAATGTGATCTATGTTAAACTTGCTACTAAGGTTTCGAAGCTTCACTAAGCACATTACATGGTAGAATCTTTGATGGAATTAAGTTGTCAAGCTGAAATTACATTTGATGAGATGAAAGAGTATGTCTCTGTTTGATGCTCAAGATATTGATTTGCCGAAAGTACACTAAAAATCGGGCCTTCAAAACTTAATATAAAAAAAATTTGGAATTTAACCAACATTGAACAACGACTGGAGTCTTGCCATTAGGATCAAATATTATTGGATTCATGGTCATTTCATGGTCAGTATTTAATAGTTCTCCCTCTTAGCTATTTGGGCATTCCTGTCACTGTCATCTTGTCACGTGGATACGATCAATCTGACATGGATATGGCAAGTGACATTTGATAGCAGATGGGTTGTAAGGTAGCTGACAGTCATTAGGAAAGGAGACGGGATACGCGGGTAGATTTTAGTCCGTGTTTGATTATTTAAATGGAATTTTAAACTACTGCCAACTAATTCATCTGGTTGGATTTTCTCCAAAAGGATCGAAACACTGGTGACTATATTGTACATCGAGTGATGACTGACTTTCTTGGCAGTGTATCTTGAAAAATTGTAGATATGGAATTCAGATAGTTATAAAGAGGTTGAGAGTGGCTGGGATGTATCAGAACGGTACGCACATAAGAAAAAGTTTGCCTTTCCCTAGAGTTGCAAAAAATTTGTTGAATGGTACTGTGTTAAGCCCTTGACTTCCGTTCCCGAAAGTAATTTCACAATCCAGGAATTATTGCACTCTAAAGGGAACTGAAAAGTTTCTAGTTGACGAAATTTTAGGGATTATTGCAGTGATGCTGATAAGTGATGGTGATGTTGCAGCTTCAATGTCATCAGTCATTATCGCTTGAGCACGTGATCCAAAATTCTTGTGACGAGATAATTCAAAATCGTTTCCGCAAAGCGAAAGGAACCGTTGTAGTACCAAGAAGCTCCAGGATCTCACGTAGTGTTTTGGTATTGTTCAAGTTTGGTAGTCATTTCTTTGTTTCTATCTAGTGACTGCTGATGAGCAATGAATGTCTCTAAATTCTGATAAGTGACCCATCACGTGCCCAGAAAGCTTATAAGGATGGTCTTACATATGAGACATGGCATTGAGTCACCCAGAATGCAACCCGTTCGTTCGTTACTGCTCACGCTTGGATTTGATGTCCTAAATAGAATTTACCCACTAGAGATGCGCCTCTCTCCAGGTTCTGAACTTCTGATCAGATGTTTGCCAAAGTATATTTACGTCTTGATTGAACGCGTCCAATTTTAGAAGTGTCAATTCTCCAACACTGACCTTCTGCAATCTCAGCTCGAACAGTATATGGGTCGAGTTATGCTTTTCTAGGCTGGCCCTCAGCAACTTCACGATGTCAATGTAGTATGTATTCAAGAATGCGGACGAGTAAGAGTACGAATACGAGTGGAATCGCGAATATCCGTGTTGAATGACTAGTGGAACTGCTTCGTAGAATTGTTTAGCTTCAGCGGTAACATGAAGCTATTTCTAACAACAAGACGGCTTTCTACCTTCTTTCTAAGGTGCAAAAATTATTTTCGGGTCTTCACGTACTGTAACGTGCACTGTGAAACAAAAATACCGCTTGCCTCGTCTTTCGAGAACCAACGAGAAAATTTGATTGGCAGAATAGACCGCCTAAAGTTTGAGTTTAAGTCCAATGTTTTCCTCAGTAAGCGCTTGAAGTTGATTCTCAAGTATACCGAAACAATATTCGTATTCCGGCTTGAACAGTTTTCCACGTTCCTCTCGTAAACATAAGTTTTATCAAAGTTTTAGCAGGAAACCACGCGTAGGGATACATATTTGATGCATTTTAGAGGGTTGACACGAAAAACGACAATCTATCAAATGCTAATATCAAACTGAAACAATTCAAAGAAGTGAGCGCTGAAGCCAGGTCCAATGATGAAGGCGCCTGGAAAGGTTCTAGCTTTTTCTTGCCCAACGAAGAGCAAATGTTTGGTGAATGGGAAGTACACATCAACTCACCGCTTGACGGCAGACACTTTTATGTCTGCTACTGGATTTTGGATTATCGCGGTGCTTTTGCATTAGCAAGCGGGCTCTTGAAGGTAGATCATCATTATCGGGAGACAACCTTGTGCGTAGAATGACATTGAGAAACCGAATAACGAGCTGCGAATTAATCACAATTATTTGATGAACGTGGCTGGCATGACGATTGTGACAAAAGTCTTGTCGAATTCCAACTTGGATGAAGTTTAGTGGGCCAGTAATACATGAACCTCCTAATATCAATGATAAATCATTTAGATCACTGGTCATTGGAAATGTGAAGGTATTTGTGCTCATGTGTAGACTCTGTCTCTGGAGTGTCGTTGCACGATAAACGTCATATATCTTGGGTAACTCTATCCATTTTTGTAAGATGTAAACTATTGTTTTATTGAGTTTAGAGTTACATCTCCGTGATATATTTAGCATGAATGGAACGAGCTTGTAGGGGCGATGAATTGTCCCTTCTTATAATTCTTGGAAATGTTCCGTTAACGAGCTGTATGTGGTACCACTTGCTTCAATCAATTTCGTTCCGTTTAGATCAGTAGTAGTTCTAGATTGAATATCTTGTCAATTCTGTCACTGTCATAGTGTCACGTGCTTGTGATTTATTTTTCATAGATCTGACGCTAGACGGACAAAAATACTCCGAAAGATGGCAATTTTTGGGCTTTATAACCGATATTGTCGATGATCATCGCACAACATATACTGTAAAAAAAAACTAACCATATCCTATGGGTTTGTCTGGTCGTGTTGTCTGCTCGTACGACACGACATGAGTTTTTTCCAGATTCATTGCTAGTTGTCCTAGGCTTCGTGTGTACTGGCAGTCGCATATGGTCATTTTTGAGTCTGGGTTCCGTAGTTGTGATAGTTTGTTGTGAAATGCGCATGAAGTGGTGACACGTGACCATGAGCATAGAGTTAGGTACAGATGCATTTTGGTACACGTATTTCAAGTACACTGCACCAGGAAGATTTCGAGACGAAAACAAGCTGTACAGTGAGAGTTATTGCCGCTGGGACACTAGTAATATTGTTACCGCTTGAGAGTGGGGTGCCATTACGAGAGAGAAGCTGAGGTGTTTTTATTGAGGCTCGACTACGTCGGCAGTGTTCGAGTCGTTAATCTGCTTCGTTTGCTCAGTCATGATTTGCTCTAAGTGAATGGTTATGGTTATGGATTTTACTTATCTCTCCGTGGCTCTTTTTTCTTATGAGTTTGGTACATTTGGTTTGACCAAACCACGGATATTTAAACGATTTTTGGAGCAACAATAGCAAACAGTAGGTGATGTTCTAGACCCTAGCCATTGATAAGGATGCTTGATAAACGTTCTGGATTGCTTGTCAATCCTGCATAGCGTTGACGTATTGTTGCTTCATATCTTTACGATTGGTCCAATTCACCTTAGCGCTTAAGATGTCATTTTAGACTGATATGTCACTTTCGGATTACGCAATTGACACTATACCATATAGTTCACCAATCCCAACAGTTTCTCTTTTCAAATCCACTCAAGCGCGGGGTGCTTTTAAAAGGGAGAAGTTGTTCTATACTGGTGTTGAGACTCTGTCTCTGTGGTCTCGTTGCACGAGGAACGTCCTATATCTTAGGTGACACGTTCCTTCATTTACAACTTCTTAGAAATCCTCAAGTATTCTAGGTGCATACCATCTCTCGGTACACTAGAAGTCAATCCCTATTGGATCAGTGATTGTTTGTATATTCTGTCGCCGTCGTCGTGTCACGTGGACATGATATTTTTGTCATAAAAATGACGCCAGACAAACAGCTTTCGGCATTATAGCAGCTCACACTCCCAGTCTACCACCAATCTGTCACTACATATTGGTTGGAAGCATGGAGCCTCCAATTTCCTTTGCTGCGAAAGCTTTTAGACGATAATGGTCAAATCTCTTCAACGTAGATGCACCGACTTACGCTAATCGATGGCTGTCTTCATTCTCAGTTCCTCGTCGGACGCATGTGGATGCCTCGCTAGTGATCAAAGTGCGGGTAACCGGCTTTGGTTTTTGAGCCAGTATTCTTAATACGTAGCGCTTTTCTCAGATTGCTCCCTTGAGTGTATTTCCCGTTCTCCCTGTGGGCGACAACCAAGTATTTCTTTCCGAGGCCAATTTCATATGGGATGCGGGAATCTTTATAGTTTCAGTTAAACAAGTCAGTTTTGTATACGGGGTAAATTCATCAAACCGGATTCGCGCCCGGATTCCTAATTCGTCCCCAGTCCTGGGAAAACCACTAAGGAAGCATTGTACCGTAATTCTCAACCCTAAGCTTCTATTTTAGAATACTACCAAATCTCTACATCACCATTATCGAAACCATTGTCAAAACTATACTAACCTGTACTTCGTAATCCAAAACCACAACCCAACCCAACTCTCACTCGCTGTAGCCTTTCTTAGATCTTGCTCGGAAACCATTCCGTTGATCGTAGACTTCCCTACGTCGAGATTTCCATCCGTCGAGACTCCCCGTATATGCAATTGAAACTCACACCTCACACCTCACTCGCACATTCGGCCGTCTGTTCTCCGGAAGCTTTAAACAACCCTCCACCCTCCACCCCACACTCCCAAACTACAATACCCCGCGGTTACGTCCCGCCCGTCTATACTCCGGAAAATGCACTTACCCTTTACAAGCCCTTTACAAGCCCTCACTCACCCCTACCACTCCGTTTCTCCGTCCGCTCCTCCACCCGCTCCTCCACCCGCTCCTCCACCCGCTCCTCCACCCGTTCCTCTATGCGTTTCCCTCCTCGTCAAGTCGACCAATGACGTTTTGACCATCCGGACATCACCGCAAAGAAATTCGGAAAAAAAAAATAAACAGAGCAAGCGAGCGGAGCGCGCGCACACTGGGTCTCAGAATTCGCCGTGACGCACCTCTTTCGAGCCACGTCATCGCCCAGGAACTCCAGCGGAAACCTGTGCGTCTCGGGTCAAGGGATTCTGAGGTCCATCGCCACAGAAAACCACGCACCATTCGCGGGCGCTCTTCGAACCCGAGGCCCTGGCCCCCACGCCAGACTCTGCGCGCCCGCGCCAATGCTTTTCCCTTTCCCCCATGCAATATATTATATGTATATTTATATACATGTATGTCAAGGATGGCGGTTTGACTACGGGATTTTCTAGGCGAAAGTCGCTGTTTTGCCGCTAACAGTGCTGTACTGCCTAGTCCCAGATATTCCAGGTATATAAAGAGCGAGTTTTTTCGCCATGTCTGGGTCTAGGTTTTGGAGTTCTCGGCTTACTAACGGCTTACCAAGGGTTCATCATACACAGCTTCATTCGCCAAAGGATAGAATAAACTACCAGACCGTTGAGGATTCTTAGGTAAGCGAAGACACACACACACACACACACACTCACACATTTTCTGTCAATAATGAAGGTGAAACCCGTAAGCAGAACCAGTACCATGGGTATGCGTGGCAGAAACCTGCGATTGGCAATCACCATCACTGCCGTGACCGGGTTCTCCCTTTTCGGATACGACCAAGGTCTGATGTCCGGGCTCATCACCGGCCAGCAGTTCAACGATGAGTTTCCAGCCACCAAGTCTCTAGGCGACGACGACCGCAAAGCTACGTTAGTTCAAGGTGCTGTCACCGCATGCTACGAGCTCGGATGTTTCTTTGGCTCCCTTTTCGTCATGTTCATGGGTGAACGCATTGGTCGTAAACCGCTCGTCATCATCGGTGCGTTCGCCACCATCATCGGTACCGTCATCTCCACCAGTGCTTTTGGCCCTCATTGGGGTCTGGGCCAGTTTGTAGTGGGCAGAGTTTGCACCGGTGTCGGTACCGGTCTAAACACATCCACCATCCCCGTGTGGCAATCCGAAATGTCCAAACCTGAAAATCGTGGTATTTTGGTTAATCTCGAAGGTTCCGTTATTGCACTAGGTACCATGATTGCGTACTGGATCGATTTCGGTCTTTCGTACGTGGATTCCTCCGTTCAATGGCGTTTCCCAGTCGCTATGCAAATTTTCTTTGCGCTCTTGTTGTTGGCCGGTATCTGGGAATTGCCCGACTCTCCACGTTGGTTGATGTCTCGTGGTAGAAACCAAGAAGCCATTGAAATTTTGGCCGCTTTGGACGATCTACCAACCACTGATGACTCAATTGTTGCCGAGGCCACTCTCATTCAAGACGCTGTCAACCGTTTCCGTCACGAAAAAAGATCCATTAAGGACTTGTTTACCGGTGGTAACTCTCAAAATTTGCAACGTGCCTTGATTGCTGCTTCAACCCAATTTTTCCAACAATTCACAGGTTGTAACGCTGCCATTTACTACAGTACCGTGCTTTTTGAAAAATCTATTGGTCTAAAGGGTAAACTACCTCTAATCTTGGGTGGTGTTTTCGCAACCATTTACACTCTTTTCACAATTCCTTCGTTTTTCTTAGTGGAAAGCTTGGGTAGACGTAAATTGTTTTTGCTTGGTGTCACAGGTCAAGCCATTTCTTTCACCATCACTTTCGGATGTTTGACCAAGAAAGATCCAGAGGTTGCCAAGGGTGCCGCTGTTGGTTTGTTCTTGTTTATCTGTTTCTTCGGTATGTCGATGTTGTCGCTACCTTGGATTTACCCACCTGAAATTGCCTCCATGCGTGTTCGTTCTGCCACCAACGCCTTCTCCACCTGTACCAACTGGTTGTGCAACTTTGCTGTCGTTATGTTCACCCCCATCTTCATCAACGACGCTGGTTACGGTTGTTACCTCTTCTTTGCTGTCATCAACTACTTGTACATCCCTGTCATTTTCTTCTTCTACCCTGAAACTGCCGGAAGATCTTTGGAGGAAATCGATATTATCTTTGCCAAAGCTCACATTGATGGCACTCAGCCTTGGAGGGTTGCAGCTAACTTGCCCAAACTTTCTTTGGCCGAAATCGATGATCAGGCTAACGCTCTAGGTCTATACGACGACGATTTGGAAAAGCAAGACATGGACGCTGACGCCGATGCAGACCGTGAAGATGGGTTGAGAAACCGTAACGAAAGTGGTGTTGCCGGCTATAACCTATTTGAAAAGAAGGAAACCGAGCAGGACCCTAGCGAAGACGCTAGTCCTGCCATCAGGGGCCCAGCCGATGCTTCTACCAGTTCCCAGAAGTCCGAGTAATCACGTGGCGATACCGGATAATCCTGAACTCTAACATTAATTGTCCACACACAACATTCTCGTCATCGCGGAAAGCATTTGACTACAGTTTTTCAAGGGCGTTCGTTGACTGTTCAATAAGGGTGAGAAAACAAATACAATCTCCCAATAATAACTTTTGAACAAGGTGACAAACTGACATTTACACTCACCCGCCATTGTACTGTTTGTTATTCCGTGCGGTTTCGTTTGTTTTATCCATCAAACTGGACCATCAATCCTTGCATCCGACACTTCGGGACTCAATAATCAACTAATCCACATACATACCGTTAAAGAATTACACTACATTATACACTATCTTTGTCAACCAGAACTTGATTTGATTCAAACTCTGAATTTTGAAAGGAGCATTCAACAAAGTAGGAGCAGATGATAATTTAATTGAAAGCTTGTTACTGGGCTTGGTAAGAGAAAGAAGAGGTCAATGGGACATCAAGAATATTGCTATCCTACATGTAATATTCTTGACCGTAAACATTCCCACATATCTTGAACTACTAATCAAATCTAAATCAGAGTTTGAAAGACCGCAGGAAATACAATAGAAAGATGTCGTATATAGAAAGACGATAGGTTATCGTCGCATCCAAGTATGTAAATCCTACAATGCAATTCATTTCGATTTTAAGTGCAAGTACATCCACATATAGTCCATCACCATAGTTGAGTTCACCTTCAGATCAACTAGCTTTTTAATCCACAGAAAGAATAATTAACTGAATTGTTTCTCCAGACTGGGAGAAGGTGATTCATTCAAATAAAGTTTCCCTAGTCAACACATATTCTAGCAAATTTCTAAGTACATCAGAATGACTGTTTAAGACTTCACTCGCTGGCCTTCGAGCTATCAGAACTGTACTGTGAGTGTGACACTTCACTATCTATTATGAATAATTGATATCGAGTCATAAGGCTTCGTCCTTGATGAGAAGTCTAATCTTGAAGGATTACTCACGATGATCAACACCACAACCATTAGGTTGGACTACATCAGAACGGCTCTTCTGTCTTATATAGCTCTAGTCTTGGACCATCAATTAGAGTAATCAATAAAGATAATCAAGACTTTTGTCGATTACCATCCTAACTTTCGTTTCTGTCTGAATCTCTGGCCTGCTAAATCAGTTGCTCTTCTATCGGTTGAAAAATGAAGATCACAAGTACTCTATTGAGTTCTGCGTCTAAAACGCTTGATAAATACGCACTTTTCGTACCCAAATCGGGTGTCTTTCCAAAAGGTTACGAGGTCGCATCATTGGCTTCTGGAGTTAAGAAAAATGGTGCTTTGGATTTAGGTGTTATCCGCAACGTTAACAAATCTCGCAAATCGTCTGCAGCTGCTGTTTTCACCACTAACCGCTTTAAGGCTGCACCTGTACAATTTTCTAGAAAAGTTCTTGATATAAGCTCTGGAGAAGGAGTTGACGCTATTGTTGTTAACTCAGGATGTGCTAATGCCGTGACTGGCGAGTTAGGTATGCAGGATGCAGAAAATGTAGCGTCACAAGTTAACAAGTACGTTGGTGAGCAAAATAGCACACTGCTAATGTCTACTGGTGTCATTGGTCAAAGACTCCAAATGGACAAAATCTCCACAGGTATTGATAAACTTTTCATCGAAAACAAGTTTTCGTCCGACTTCGGGTCGTGGCTAAATCTCGCCAAATCGATCTGTACCACTGACACTTTCCCTAAGTTGATTTCATCTAAATTCTCTCTCTCGGACGGAACCGAGTATACGCTTGTGGGTATTTCTAAGGGGGCCGGGATGATCTGCCCGAACATGGCTACTCTTCTTGGCTTTGTTTTGACGGATCTACCCATTAATTCTAGTGCTCTACAAAGTATGCTCACTGGTGCTGTGACCCGTTCTTTCAACTGTATTTCTGTTGACGGCGATATGAGTACCAACGATACCATTTGTATGCTGGCCAATGGTGCTATCGATACCCCTGTCATCGATGAATCATCTCCTGATTTCCAGAAGGTTAGCTCCCAGGTCACTGAATTCGCTAAAAACTTAGCTCAACTAGTTGTCCGGGACGGTGAGGGCGCTACGAAATTCGTTACCGTCAACGTCAAAAATAGTGCCGAGTTCAAAGACGCAAGACTCATCGCAGAGTCAATTTCAAACAGTATGTTGGTAAAAAGCGCTCTTTATGGCCAAGATGCCAATTGGGGCCGCATTTTGTGCGCAATCGGCTATTCTAAACTAGAAAACTGTAAGTCTCTCGACGAATCCAAGATAAACGTCAGTTTCATTGCCACCGATGGTTCTTCTCCTCAGGAGCTCAAGCTTATCGCCAATGGCGTTCCTCAACTCGATATAGACGAATCAAGAGCCTCGGAAATTTTGGCCCTATCCGACCTTGAAGTGCTAGTTGACCTAGGTACCGGCACTGAGGAGTGCCAGTTTTGGACCTGTGATCTCAGTCATGAGTATGTTACTATCAATGGTGACTATCGTTCCTGAGTTAAGCCGTAAAATAAATTTTAGTTAAACTAAACAATCTGATTGGCCTCCGTACTAGACGGTATGGTTACATTTTCAGACAGGTATCTTGTTAGTTTTTCAGCGTCCAGAACTGCTGTCTTAAAATACTGACGTTTTGGTAGAAATTTAAGGATCTCGATAACCTTGTCTGTGACAAAATCTTCTGATTTTTGTCTTTTATTATTATTGAATGCAGATGCTGAGGATGAGTTTTCTCTCAGTCTTTTGCGCCCATGCTCCGAGCTTTGGAATGGATGGTTGGAGTCTTGTAAATAGTCGAGCTCAAGCATCTTGACCAAGTTACTGTTTTGAATCTGGTACCTGTCTGTAAAGACTTCGATTTTCTCTAAATGTGGAAATTTCTCAAAAACCCGATTCTCGATGGAATATGCATTGTTCAAACTTCCAAACTTCGATTCATAGTTGATGACCTTCTTATAAATAGTCTGCAATTGGTCTGCGTCCACTACTTTGTCCAGCGAAGTTTCGAATAACGATTTTATTAGACTATCTTGATTGATTAAAATCAAAAAGTCCAAATACTTGTTCACATACTCACCACTGTCAGAGTAGTACTTCATGCCCAGTTCAAGTACTTTGCAAGCCGTTTTGTGGTCACTTTGGTTGTGGTATTCCAAGTATGCATTTTCAATGTAGATTTCGTGGGTCAAAAGGTCCTTTAACTTACGACACTTCCCAAAGACCTTACGAGCAGCAGAGAGTCCGGAGACCCGTTTCATTGCATTCATATAAATACAGTAGGCGAAGGTTATTTTCTGCCTTTTTTCGTAAGTGTCTTGGTTTTCGTCACTCATAATATGGTATTCTAGGACCAAGTAGTCAATGCATCTCTCGAGACACAATTGCATCTCATTCACGTCGTTTTGAAGCTCATAAGACTCTGCCAGTTTGAAAGCTAGAGTGCAAGAGTTCGCAATGGCTTTCGTTCCTGCCACTAAAATGTCTCTTGCTTTTGCACTTGAGCTTGACATAACGTACATGGAGTAGTTATACCAGATTTCAGGTGAAAACAGAAGATGTTGTATCGATTGTTTGTAAACATATTCTATGCGTTGATTGTGTTCTGGCTCTGGCAAATCCAGTTTATTCTGCATTTCCCAATTGATCCATTCCTTCCACAATCGCAGTTGATCGATATCGTAGTGGTCAGGCTGTGGGATTGTTTGACGAGAGCATTGGGACAGACGAGATGGCAATGTTTTCCTCAAACCTTTTGTAATATTGGCCCATTCTTGATACAGAGACCTGGCCTTCATGTAATTAGCGGAAAGCTCTCCAATAAACTTTCTAGCTGTCAAGGAATTAACTTCTTGTTCCCATTGAGTGTATTTGCTCCACGATCTTTCCAGTCCATCGAACGGGATGCAAAGCATGCGTTTGTAAAGCGAACGTGTAAGATCCACTCGTTGCTGCTCTTCCCATTTACTGACGGGCTTCCAATGTTCTAGAAATGACAAATACTCAGTCCAAAACGCAGATGACCGCGGTTCGTAGCTTGCACATTTCGTGGCAACAGCATCAAATGCCTTGAGTACCACGCTACGTGCTTCTTCGCCGCCTGTGATGATGTTGTTCTTCCTACGAACAAAGTCCAAGTACATAAACCACAACCCGAGATCGTTATTGTCCAGCTCACCCGAAAGACTACGGGTTAGCAGAGTCTCTGCGTGTGCGAATTCGTCGCGTTCAAGGTCGTACCCGAGTTCTATAGTCCAGAGAGGCGCAAACAGCGGGAATCGTTCATGTAGTCGATCTAGCACTTGGCGTGCATCAGACAACTGGTCCTCATCCTGAAGCAGTCGCACAAGTTCTAGGTATGTACAGATATCGCTAGGGTTCTCCTCTATGCTATCGCTCAATCTACCGCGAACATCGTCGTCCGTTCTGCTCTGCCGCTTGCTGGGCCTTACAAATGCTCCTGGGCCGTTTTTGGCCAGTTCAGGAGTAGCAGACATTATCTATAGCTAACTTTATATACTTAATTGACCGCGCGTTCGACCAAATGATGTCAGCAGAAGTGTTGGAGGTTATAAAGCGCTAGCCCGATACTTTGGCCCTTCAAAAGTGACGAAAACATTCGACGAATTGTTCAAATTCCAAATTTTTTTTGGAAGTTCATTATTCTTATTGGGTCTACCAACTATCATGTGAACGCTGATGAAATCGAACAACAGCACTGTCATCGAATGTTTTGAGGGCTAGGGATAGTTTATTTTGCTGAACGTAACCGTGATATATTCCAAGTGTGTAGTGCTAAATTTAGAAGTCTTTTTCGCTTTCATCGGAGCAAAATTGACGGTTATTCAATTGAGTCTTGAATTACACCCCAATCTTGTTGAGTCAATTTGTTCTCTTTATTTGGACATCAAATGTGTGCTTTTGAGTGTTCGAGAGTAGTTATTTAGTGACACTTTGATTAGAATCAGAGACACAAAGTGTGCGACACGCCTAAAATTTTGAGAATTGATTGAGAAAATGTCAGCAGTCTGCCTGTCCTTTGTTTTTACGAAACCGAGAATGGTTGTTAGACCTCGGTAAAGACATTGAAAAACACGTAGATACTTAATGTTCGATCTCAGCAGTTCTGTGGCTTGATATTTCAATTCATGTATCCAACGACAGGTAAGACACTTAGCACGCGAATTAAATTTCCAAGAACTCGCCAAGATTACTTCCATTAAAACGAAAGCAAGCTACACAAGAGATTCTCCCACTGGTGATTTTTACACCACAAGATGCAACATGAACGGATACTTTCCAGCTTTCATCAGCTAAAAAGTCGTCTCTTCATGTCGTGTATCATGCTCGCTAGAGAAGAGTAGTTAATTAACATGGTCTATCTCATTTAAGCTCATCTCATCGCTCAAGAGAAACCTAACAAGATTTCAAGAAAGAGCCATTGATATCGCTACAATGGCCACTGTTGTGCATTTGTGGGGTCTGGATGGGAAACCAAGTATAATTTCTCCCGAAAGCATTGCGCTCTTTTGGTTTTTGAACGAAATGGAAACAAAATCAGACATCACAGTAGTCTTTTCTAATAATACAGATCTATCACCTAACCAGGAACTTCCTATTCTCAAGAATGGCACTAAGACGATTTGCGGGTTTGCAAATATTGTATCTGTTTTGGCTCCTACAAAATCGGCTTTGGAAAGTGCGCTGTTGCAATTTGCACAGGACCGCATCGGAACGCTAACACAGTACCAACTGTATCTGAATAGAAACAATTACGATAATTTTACTCGCAAGCTGTTTGCGTATCTTTTGGAGTGGCCTATGTGGTACAACACACCTCTGAAGTACAGAAGTCTTGCACGTCAACATTGCGAAACGCTTGGGTATTTTTCGCACCCAGACGACGCAGACCATGTTGAAGAGCTTGGCGAAGACGACATCGACGATATGGTACAATCCAAGGCATACAAACTCACCAAGGCGTCCAAGGCCCGCAATCAAGAATTGCTGAAATCCGCCCGCTTCAATCTTCAATTTCTAAATCGTTTGAGCGACCAGCTGCAGAGCTGGTTCGAGGCTCGCGACAAAATGAGATCTTCTTCGTCATCTTCTACTGCGGCCACCCAAATTGTGCCCGCAGACTTTTTACTGTGGGCGAATCTACTCATACAGCTGGAGCTTCCGGACGGCCATTTGGTACGTGAGCATCTCAACCGAGCGCTAGGAAGTGAAAAAGTCACAGAGATCGAGAGCGAATGTAAGAGACGGTCAGAATATCAAAATAAAATCCGTGTGAATCTGAGGGATCCTTCGTTCTCAGAACGCGGCAATGCTGTAATGAGTGCATATTACTCACTCTGCCGTCTGGCCGCTTTGTAGAATCGGTTCTTCAATTCTTCTTGGGCTTGTGGAGACCCTTGTACATAAAATAATACACCACTGTTCCGTCATCATTAACAATACCCAAGATGATTCTTCGACATCTGAGTTCTGCAAAAATCTGATCCGCTAGTTCCAAAGTTAAACTTCCCCTATCGTACTGCTGCAATTCCACCGGCAAAATCCATTCATTTGTCAATTCCACGTCGTCGTTGCTCAATTTATGCGGAGGACAACCGTTGACGACCCAAATGTCTGAATTTACTGAATTTGACAGTTTATGAGCCTTAACAGCGTCCCATAACTGCTGGTGAGTCAAGTTACTTGTAACGAGCTCGAATACCAACGAATTGTTCATTTATATATGTGATTTCTCCGGTCGCGATGAGGTAGCTAGCCATCCCGGCTAATATACTGGAAATTTTTCAATATTACTATAAGAACTATCATGATTTACAGACAGCCAAGTTTAGTAAATATATCTCAACTTGAAGAACGTCCAGAAACTGTCGATAATGACCGTTTTTAGACTTTCTGTAATCTGTGTATTGGTCTGGTTGGGTGTCGTCGATGCATACAGAAATGCTGTAAAACCTAGACCCACAACAACCACATCGGAGGAGATTAAACCATGGCTAAGAACCATCTATTCCACACAGGTGGAAGTAGTCACTCCAACGGTTATTGCAGGTGTGACGTTTTCTGCTAAACCTCCAATGACTTCTGATGCCCTACACCCGTGGATTTCGCTCGATAAGCTCGGTAGTCCCAAAACTAAGAATCCGGAGATCAAAAAAGGTCGCACGGTGAACGGACAACCTGATTACAGCACTTATTTTCAAACAGTCCACACCACCATGCTTTCTGGTGCAGAAGTAGGTGCCCACAACATGGACAGCAACGATATCTACAATCAGGAAATCTTCGAGGACGAAGATAAAACATATGTCTCGTTGAATCCTATCATTCGCTGTACGCCGGACCGCTACAGGAACAAAGGTCTGGCTAAAGATGTTTCCAGTGAGCCATTCTGTACTCCTTTCGAAAACGTGGAATGGAAAATCGACCACACATACTTTGTAACGTGGTTTACCAAGTTCTTTGAAGATCCGGCAACGGACAAAATCGCGGAAAAGGTAAGACTTCATGCTTTCTATGTCAAGGAAAAATCACACGAAAAGGGATTCGGGAAAAGAAGTTTGAAAGGCGCATTTTTTAGTACGGAATGGGTGAAAAACGTCGATGGGTTGTATGCGATGGAGCCCACAGAGGAATGGCTTCAAGATAAGTACGAAAAACGTATTTTGCTTGCCATCCAGCCCGACTACATCACCGATGAAGAATTTGACCCATGGGCCCACGGATTATTGTTGCATGTTATCATGGGTTCTCGAGTGTTCAAAAATACCAAGGAACAATTGGCGCTACAGGACGCGGGTCTATCCGATGACACCTGGTACTACGTGGCCCTCACCATGCCCACCATGGTGGTTGTGGCATGTGTGGCAATGTACTTTTTCCTTCACCTCAACAAGAATCATCGCGATATTCGCGACGTAAGACAGTTTGCTGTTAATCAAAAACATCGCGTTTTGGGTTCGTTCAAGAGCTATAACAAATACAAGAAGCTGAAAAATCGTCCTTACAGTGAGCTACCTACCCATAGTAAGAAAACAAGCAAGCAAATTTGATTGTAACTGTATAAAGTTATAGTTTTTCGTCATTGGAGAAATGAGACGCTTAGTTTAAATCCAGTCCTGTTCAGCTGCTACTTGACAGATCTTCTCCAAAGTCACCACTCTTGGGTCTGGCTTATGAGGCTCTTCCTGAACATTTGAGTTTTCCTCATCTGCCACTTCTTCAATGTAGTAAAAAAATGGTTCTAAAACGATCATGGTTTTCCAGAAATTCGCAGAGCCGCAGTTGGCGAAGAGGACTTCGATCAGAGATGGAAGGAATTCTAATTCGATATACTCCTCCGCGCTGCATACAAATTCGTCAAGTTCGAAATCTTGCTCATCTGCTGATAGTGTCGCGTACATTTCAGACAGTAAAGTGAGCTCTTTGCTTATGGTTTTCGGAATATCCTGACGAGCTTGCCATAAAAGTCGCTGTGCTGTTTGAAGCTTACCGTTTTCGGACAAACTTTCTGACGCCGCCGCTTCCGATGCTGAGGGAGGTTCTTGATTTACAGGTAAAAACCCGTTCCGCTCGCTTTTTTCCATTAGATCGTTGTATTCATTGTAAAGCGATATTATCTTCATCATTGGCTTGTACAGTTGTTGACACACCTTTTTCTCGCTATTCGGTATGATTACTTTTTCCAAAAAGTGGTTGATGAGGCCCTCCATGAAGTTGGCCCATATCGAACTGAAAACGTAATTTTCGTCATGTTCTGACTCCTTGAAATTCTTGTTGATATTTTGTCGCATAATTTCCTCTATAAGTGTTCCGTAAGGTCGCTCTTGTTCAGGCTCAACTGCCTGTTTCTGAGGTTCTTTTTCCTTGATCATGGATTTCCACAAATCTCGCGGTTCTCCGTCAGATTGAGTCCAGTAATCAGAACCGCCCTTTTGTGAAAGCGTTACCAAGAGCAGAAACAGTCTTACCCTCGTCCAAGGCAGCAAGCTGTTGACTTGTAAATCCGAGATTCTATTAACACCGCTGTTGATCTGCCTGTGGATACATTTTACGAAGCGGGCGATGTTTTCCGCACGTTTCTCGCCATATTTCTCCGCCAGATATGCCATTGAGGTGATGGTTTCGTAGTTTCCCTGGCGGACGTTCATATGCTTCATAAAATTGAATCTATACCTAACGGGTTTCTTGGGAGGACGACAATTATCGCTGCACCCACAGTTCCGGGCAGCGACATTCTCGCTTGGAGTGGCCATAAAATTCTCTGGGATGACGGTGGGAACGACCTGCAATGAGTGGAAAGGCGTAGCTTTTGGTAGTGAAAGGATCCATTGTCTGGGTGACAATTTTGGAAATTTTTCTAATTTGCAAGTACTGAGTCTCGGACAGCTACTCATTTATCTATCCAAAAAGGACTAGATAAACGAGTGGATGTCGCCAGTGCGTCAACGTCACACCTGCAAGAACGTTGCCTTACCTGCTAAGGGACGACGGCGCATCAAGTAAGGATGGCCACATCTGTTCATATCGAAAATGATTTCTATTAAATCTAGTACTTATCCGAACCCTAGTCTATATTCAATTGGCATATTAGTGCATTTTATTCAAATTATTGGGTTGATGATTAACTGGAAGAGTTTCTGTGCTTTGCTTCCGCATCGCGATCTTCGCTGTTGGAGTCTTCAGCGAGGACTTGGTCGATGTCAAGATCCAGTTCGTTGATAACTTTTTCTTCGACGTTGGACAAGTCCATGAGACCGTAAACAGCAATGGCAATGAGACCCAAGATAGCAGCCAAACATGAGAAAGTCATGGCTACAATACCCTTGGCGGTGAAGCCATCCGGAATGAATTTCTCCTGAACATTTTCGCCCACCAAGTTAAGGTAATCAACAGAGTTTCCGGCAGCGTTACCCTCGACTGGAATACCCAAGTTCTTACACACATTGGAGCTGGTATCGGTGAGTTGTTGGGAGCTACGTTCCTGGATGCCCTGTGGGTCTTCAATCAAGATGAAAGCCAGACCCTGGGTCAAATGCCACTCGATGTGGCAGTGGAACATCCACACGCCGGGGTTGTCGGCTTGGAAACGGATCACAAAGTTAGATTGAGGTCTCACATACAGGGTGTCTCTGATCATTGGGTATTCAGGGAACGGTGGATGGTCGTCCTCAAGGTATGGATGAGGGACTTCGCCCACGGCGTCATCGTAGCCGATGTCACGCACCAGGGTCTGGAACGTGTGGCCGTGCAAGTGGAAAGGATGAGTACCGGTGTCTTGATTGTTGAGCACGATTTCGATAATTTCGTCTTTGCCCAACACGTACGAATGAGTGTTGCTACCGTAAACTTCGGCGTTGGTAGCATCTTCGCCGGCAGACAACGCAGTCAAAAGTGCTGGCACCTTGGGCGCCGTGTAGGTGAGGTTGTTGAAAAAGGCATAGTTGACACCGCTGATGAGGTTGTCCATGGTGACGTTGACGGTGATGCGGTAGTCTGGGTCGCCTAGGGGCTCTTCCTTGTGGTAGGGGACCAGGTAGAAATCATCCAGAAAGTCAAGTTCGTCCACAAAGTTTTCCGTGGGCAGCGGGGCGCTGTGGTTGTACACCAAGTAGTTGGTAGTGTTGAGTAAGAGGTCCTTGGGAATCACGTCGAGCATGGTGTCGTCAAACTTCTGCATGAGAGCGAAATTGCGGTCGGTGGTGTTCTTGGTGTGCACCAGGACAGTGTAGCGCTGGGCGGTGGTGATGTAGATCATGTTGGTGGTGTTGCGCTCGGTGTAGACACCGTCCACCTCGATCACGTCCATTTCGTGGTCTTCGATCCAGAAATACTGCGACACAAATCCACCGGTGTTCACGATACGCAGCATGTACGTGGTGTCGGGCTGGACCTCCCAGGTGTTGTTGCGGGTGTTGTTCATGATCAAGTTTTGCGGGATGGGTTCTGCGCCCGTTGGGTTGTACACACTGAGAAACTTGTGGTTGAGCACGTCAGCCACGTCGTGGTACCATTCTCCCAGCTGCACTGTCACGTCCTCGTCGTATTCGTAGGGGCAGTCCTTGTCTTCGATCACAAAAGTTCCACGCATACCGTCCTGGTACTGGCCGGCAGTGTGTGAATGGTACCAGTAGGTCCCGACGTTGTCTTCGACGGTGAAGTTGTACAGGAAGGTCTGGCCCGCGCCGATCGGACACTGGGTGACCATGGGAGGCCCGTCCATCTGGTTGGTACCGTTTTGGAACAGTCCGTGGAAATGCAGCGATGTGTTACGGTCGTCGAACCCGTTGTTGAGGTATAGCTCCACGCGGTCGCCCTTGCTGACTCTTACCTCTGGCCATGGCCACACACCATTGCAAGTGATGACTGGTCTTTCCTTAGTTCCATCCACGTTGTAGTTGCCCCACCCTGTGGTCCAGTTGAAACGGTGAGTTTCACCAGCAGCGAACCGCATGTTCGCTGCCACCAACAGTGTGGTGGTTATTATCCACCGTGCTAGTCCGTTCATGGTAGGATGAAGTTTACAGTGCTATGGGTTTGATGATATACAAGACGTACCTCGATGTGTGGGCACTGCTTGTAGGGTCTCACCGTTATATACATCTTACACAACTGTGCCAGACCCTGGGTGCATTTAGTACCTGTGGCCCGGGTTTTTAAACTGCACCCAGGAGTGTGCCGGGAAGGACCCGACATATATCGATCTGGGTGTGCATTGCAGCGACGGTTGTTAGTTGATATTGGTCGCAGATGGGACCCGCATGGGCCGCTTGGCGTTGTCTAAGACGTCTGACTGGAGAGAAGAGATGGCTAGCAGAGTTTTCTTGGAGCACGAAAAAGTTTTGACTGGAGGTAGAGAGAATGGGAGAGAGGGAGAGAGGGAGAGTAATGAGAGAGTGTAATTAGAGTAATTAGAGAGAGTAATTAGAGAGAGTAATTAGACAAAAAAGGTGTGGTAATAGAACAGAATACAGAGGTGGATGAGCAAGGTGTGCAAGAGGATGCCAAGAGAAAGAAGTGAAAGTGGTTTACGGTGGGTGTGAGGTGGGTGTGAGGTTGTAAGGTGTGAGTTGCGAAGGTGTGAACGTGTGAACGCGTATATAAAGCTTTGTGCTTTTCATGTCTTATTCTTGTCCTGTCTAGTCCAGTTTGTCCTGTCTTGTTCTGTCTGGTCCAGTTTGTCTTCCTTGTGTAAAGTTTTTCAAACCAGAATGGACAGATTCGGATCACAAACGGGTCGTAGTTATGTACGGAACGGGTTAATGTCACGGATTCTAGTCTGAGCAAAGCACCTGAAGTACTGTCAATCACCTTTGGACACATGAAAGGAGGGAGATGAAGACGTTTTATTGTACCACTGAAGATGTGTTATTCTACCCGGTGGTTGTACTCGTGATTCTACTTATGCTCTTCGCAAATCCTATCGTTTTGTACGAATCTGACATCTTGGCTTTTACTCAGGATCCGTTCCCATCACCGTTATACGTAGTGAGTGGTAGCGTATCAAGCCCTGCTGGTCATCGTTACAACGAAACCTGTAAGGCGTCGAAACAACGCAAACTATGGTGGAAGCAAAACTATGGTGGAAATGAAGATGCTGTGGGATGCGTGAATTTCATCAAGCTAAACTTGGGCGGTGTACAATCCTTCTAGAGCCGTTGGGCTAGTGAATCATTCATTGAACAGGTAAAAGGGTTCGAATGGCTGAGCATTTCAAACGCGGGGATACTAAATAGTAGTCTTGCACGTGACACACTATATCAAAATCGTTTATCATTTTTTCTTGCTAGCATCATTGGAGGAGAGTAGAATCAGAAGTGAGTATTACTGAAATGGAAGTGAGTATTACTGAAATGGAAGTAAGTATTACTAAAATGAAAGCAAGTCAGTGTCAAACATGTTCAGCTGAATCAATTCTTTGGCTCGCCCAGAAACAAAACGTACAATGTCTCTTTTTATGTAGGATTCCGGTTTTTGATCATCATTCTAGACTATTTGATCACGTGACTGCTGATTTTTAGAATTTCCACCCGGACACCCTGGATTACAATGACTGGAATAACCAGCGACACACACACACACACACACACACACACACATTAGCACTCCTCACTGACATGCTTGGTCAAATCTTCCGTCATTGACAAAATCAGATCTGAAATCCGTTCTCTATTTCAAATTCTTTGACCATCACCACGCTTGTTGTATCGAAAAGTCCACTTAGAAGCGAAAAATGGGATACATAGCTTTCTACTCGCACAACGCACATTCTTGAAGAACTCTTATGCTACGTTGTTAACAGAATCGACGACTACACCACTATTACTCGGTACAACGGAGTCGTCGAAGGTGTGGTGAACATTGGAACTTGACTTGACCCATTAACTTATCTTCCAGCGATATCTTGTGTAGTGCTAGGTTCACGTCCTAAATTTGAGAAGTACATCGGCTAATGGGTTACTCGCAAATTGAGGTCCGATATAAAAATCGAATCATTATCTATAGTACTCAATAGAGACGCGGAAGGGCTTGCATTCTGCTAAGCATCGACGCGGAGGGGTTTTATTCTGCTAAGCATCGACGCGGAAGGGTTGCATTCAGCTAAGCATCGACGCGGAAGGGCTAGCATTCAGCTAAGCATCGACGCGGAAGAGTTGCATTCTGCTAAGCATCGAATCATGTCATATACTTTCCTTGGTTGCCATTAATACCGACTTTTCAACATACTGTGACGCACAAAGTTCATATCCTGGCAAATGGACCCAATAAAAACTCAATTCCTCCACACAATGCGTCACTTGAATGCGAGTGCTACATTAAAAAATCTCTCGATTCTTGCTACGATTAAAACCCCATAATGGACGGCTAACTAGTGCAGGTTCCTATGATGTCTTCCTTGACATAATCTTTCTACTATCCAGCGCGCACCTCAATTGTACAACACTCTTGGGGAATCCTAAACGTATCACCTCGATCGAAAAGACCAGGCGGAAAGAAAACGATACGTCGAATTTTTTCTTTTCAGGTTGAACAAGGTTTTGGTACTTGAGTGAGCATATGCTACTAAGCATTCAGATGGTAGTGTATACCAGACAAAATGTATCACTCGAAATAAGATGCTGCCCATAAACTGGCCAAAGCCATTGATGAAATGATAGAAAAGAACGACTACAAGGCCCATGACGATGGGAAAGTGTCCAAATTTAGATGGGACAGTGACTCGACTTACCTGGCCGAAAACTGCTGCGAAACTGGTCCCTTTTTAGGGTTTGAAAATCTTAAACGAGAGTCCCTGTTGAAATTAAAGCTCAGCTCTCATTTTTCCAAAGCGGTGCTGCATTTGGTATAACATGTTGATGTCGATGGAGTACAGAGAAGGTATAATTCCAACGAAATACCACTTGAGGACGAGGTCCAGATATTTAGTGGAGCCATGCATTACCAAAATTGAAGCCATCGAGACAGCGGAGGATAGAATCACCTTCACCATAACGGGTGACGGTAACTTCGGCGGTAATGTACAGGAATTGATGGAGCTCGAAAAATCTCACTGATCAACGTCGAACAGAGATTCAGAAACTTGAGCTACAACGACAGTCCAAGAAGCGGGAAAGAGGGCAGACCCTACCTAATGATGTTGTCCTACAAGTCGTGCCAACTCCGGAATTATTAGAATCGGACAGCTCGGTTTCCGCTATCGAGGATGCCAACTCAAGAATAGTGCGGAATTTTGTCAAGAAACGCAGGTTAAACCGATTTACAAGATTTGCTTCTTACTCTCTGTTCAAAACTGCAGCAAGACCAATCTTCTATGTTAGAGTCTTTTCGGACCATGTTAGATCATATGAAGCAGAGTGAATCAGAAAAAATCGCACTTGAGAATAGAAAAAAATCGCCCTGGAATAATGCGAACTTGAAGCATCAAAAATCACTTTCACGATGAACGCCTTCCCAAGATAAGGACAAATTGGCTAGCACCCATCCAGAGATGGAAAAGTTCATATTTGACGAGTGATGCTCTTAACAAATGAAGGACCAGTCACCTTGAGGACTCAAGACATGTACAATTTTCTTAAACTGGAACTCGGACATCACTCGGGTGTTGTTTTGAATTGACAATCCAACCTATAACGAACTCGATGTGAATACCATCAAAAAAAAATCTAGGAAGCTTTACTTCAATAAGATAATCTTCCATGGCAGAAGTATCGACTTGGGTGTATTTTCAACCCTGTGCAAGCTTCGCAATTTCCAACATCTGCAACTCTGTGAAGACTACTAATGTGTGTTCTTTCTGCTCCAAAGAACCTATCAATGAGACGTGTGACAATTGAATGATTTTGGTCTACCCCTTGGAGGCAATGGGCCTTTAAATCCCTCTGGCAGAACGTCACAAGCTCTGCTCGCAGGATCACCCGTACGCCATACACTATTGATATTCAACATCCATCGTAGAATTGAGTCCATCATACAAGCTAATGAAGGACTTATGCCGATCACCGAGCTAAGGACCCGTGGCGATCTTGAGTGGCTGCTACCTGGTATTTCGAAGTGCATTCTAGTCATCCGTAAAAACTATTGCATCCAAGTCACTGCACCAAAGACTCTTCTCACCAGCAAATTGTCAATTCTGGCCTAGATGAAGTATTTGGGCTCATTGGAAGCCCAGAAACCAGACTTTCGACAATTCCTGGTGTTGCATATCAAACATTGACCTCTGGAGACATTAGGCTCTAGTATATCTTTCAGATTTTGTTTTTATTTGATGTATCTAAAGTAATTAAGCATATATTAAGTTGTAGAATCACATCTTCTTATTTACAAATAGACCGAAAACTAGAGACTATGAGCTCCATTGAGAAGTTTGTGAACCAGCAGCCACTAATAGTTCACTCATCGTTGGCCCAGCTGCGATATTTGGTGCTCAGCGAAGGCCTCCCGCCTCCAAAAGACAGGTCGTCAGTGAGATTGAGATGCAGTGTGTGGTCGGTTCTTGCAAGATGCTCAATGGATGGAGCCACGTCTGATTACATCTCACTAGTACGAAGAGGACCCCCACCATCTCCAGTTTACTCTAAAATAAAAAACGACACATTTCGAACACTCAACACAGATCCACAATTTGTAGCGTCAGTTTCGGAAGATGCAATTACCAGATGTTTATCGTGCTTTGCTTGGTCAGTCATCGATAACTCTGACGAGAATATGGATATCAGTACTTACGTACAGGGCATGAATGTTTTGCTAGCACCAATTTTATACAGCAGCCCATCCGAACCCATGGCATACAAACTATTTCAGTCGCTTTGCCAAGATCACATAAGGACATACTTGAACCAAAGTCTTACAGGAGTTCATAACGGCGCCAAATTACTGGATATGTGCCTCAAGATCATCGATCCGAAACTTAGCAAATTTTTGACAGACAACTTACTAACGGCAGAAATTTACGGTATTCCGTCAGTACTGACGCTTTCAAGTTGCACCAAACCACTCGATCAAGTCTGCAAGCTGTGGGATTTTATGTTTGCATACGGGTTTCACATGAACATCCTCTTTATTGTTGCGCAGCTTGTCGTTATTAGAACTCGAATTATGAAGAGCAATTCACCCATGAATTTACTACGTGTATTCCCTGAATTTGATGCAGAGGAAATTATACGACTGGGAGTTGGCTTCGTGGCCAAGTTACCATCTGGCATGTATGATTTACTTGTAGAGCATCTCCAGAATCCGGATCTTGCCATCCGATAGCGGTACGTTATATGAGAAATCATCTGGTATGAATCTTGTAAGGACGGACGACCGCAGTTTACTTATTGGCCAGCACTCGAAAAAAAAAAATAATATGTGGGTGATGTTCTCGAATAGTTGGCGATTAAGTCATCTTATATCTCAAACTTCCTACAATATGCCCATGGTGTAGTCCCTTTCGCTGAAATACGCACAAAGTACCGTTCTATCATTAAACTGACGTCCGGGAAGCTTTTGCATTGCATGTCGCGCACTCTCGATTTCTTTAAACTTGACAAAAATCTTGCCTATGCTTTCTTCTATAGTTTCGAAACTGGTGCGATAGTCGGCCCCAGGTTTAGGGATTTTAACGCTTTCAATTTCTCCGAAGGACGTCATTATGGCAGATTGGGTCATACAGTCATGAAGCTCGCTAACAAATTCTTCATTCTTCAGATCCTTTCCATCAACGCAATTCAGCAGCACAAGTACACGAGAAGGCTCGTGGTCTCGACGGGACACCAGTTGCGGTAGTTGCTGAAAAGTTATTTCCTCGAAATCTTGATGCAGTTTCGAATCGTTTGGACGAATCCACCTATAATGACGGATATCGTTGTTCCACGACTTGGGGTCCAGCAGCGCAGCACCTGTGAATTCTTGTGTGCTTTCTAAAAAAATGAACTTGAGCCATTTGACTTCGACACCATGACTGCTTAGGTCCGCTTTGAGTGTTTCCTCATCGGACGTCTCAAGACCCAGCAGAGCGATTATCTGACCTCCACAAACGGCGTCCTCTGATTTGACTTTCCGCACACATTCGCCAGGTCGCTGCCAGATAAACTTGCACTTCGTTTTCGCTTCTATGTATTTCTGGCAACTGAGTACTATGGTAGTAATCTCTTCGCTGCTAAAGTGCAATCTTAGTCTGTTTTCGCTCAGAATACTGTGAGATTTGAGCTCATGAGTTTCCTCGACAAGTTTAACAAATGCGCTCACAAATTTGACTACATGGTCCATTTCCGGATTACTTGCCCCAACTGCTGTCAAAACGAGAATTTGGTTAAATTTGGTCTTGCTCATGTTGGCTCTGGTGGGATCTTCAAACAAAATCCGCGTACGCCGTGTCAGTACACCGCTAGACACTATGCCGTCTAGTTTCGAGCGGTCCAGCTCCTGGGGCTGCCCTGGAAGTGGGAAAAGACCTGACAATTTCGCTCTTTCTGCTGGAACCTTTTCGAAGCCCTTTGGAGTTTTATCCCAGAGCGAAGGACGCATTTTCTGGCGTTCGCTTAGCGGTTGAACTTGTTGCCAGTTGATGTTGTTATCGTTTCGGTCACCACCGTTCCCTCTGCCATTCCCACGTCTATAGTTATCCTGTTGAAATCTGTTGCCAGGGCCTCTTCTAAAGCTGTTCGATTCACCTCCAAAACGACTGGGTCCTGTTCTACCAGCGTACCTCGATTCTGGCTCCTCCTGATACCTATTTCCTCTGAAATTCCTGTTTCCTCGACTCTCTCTGCTTCTATATCCAACTGACTCCACGTTGCCCGAAGGTCCAGCTGGAAATCGTCTGTTATCGTCCCTGAAACTCATGTCTTGTAGAGCTGTATTCACTCTCGAAGATGGTGATAATATTGAGACTTGAAAGCGTCTCAGGCAGTCGCTGTTTGCCACTTTTTATACTTTTTCAACTAGTCGATGAGCTCGATGGATTTATAGATTAGCTGCAAATTAGATGAACTTAACCAAGTTTAAACCACGTAACACTTTGTTGAAACAAACGAAACTTTGAGAGCTTGGAGATCATTGACAAGGACGATGGGACCTTTATTTTTGGTTTCTAACCTTTTAGTATTACTTGGTTATATCCGGTGTGCTTTGCTTGGTCTTGATTATGGTCAAGAATTCAGTAAAGCCATGTTGGTGTCACCACATGCACCTTTAGAATTGGTGTTGACGTCCGATTCGAAGCGTAAAGATGTGTCTGGTCTGGCTCTCAAGAGCTACAAAGAGAGTGTGGAACGAGTGTTTGGATCGGGAGTGGATTCTGCGCAAGTCAAGACCCCAAACGGTGCACTTTTGCATGTCAAATCGCTGCTAGGAAAGAAAATAGACGATCAGTTCAATGCGTACCATAAAGCACACCCAGGGGTCAAGTTTGTGGCTACAGAACGTGACTCGGTTGCATTGAAAAGTTTGGGCCAACTCTACCCTGTAGAAGAGGTTTTAGGCATGAATTTGGACGAAACTATTGGCAGAGCTAATTCGATGCTAGTGAAAGAAAAGTCGATTTTGGATAAGGTTGACTCGGTAGCAATTACGGTCCCAGAATATTTCTCGCAGGATCAGCGATTGGCTTTGATTTCTGGTGCCCAACTGGCTCAAAACAACATCAAAACTGTCCTGGTAAATGACGGGTTGACGGTTGCCATCAATTTCGCTCTCAAACAACGCAGCGACTTCTCAGCGGGCGAAGAAAAGCATTTCATGTTTTATGACATGGGTAGTGGCTCGACTCGTGCCTCTCTGGTCTCTATAAAGCAGTCCGCAAACTTATCGCAACCATTGATGGTGGAATTGTGCGGGTATGGTTTTGATGCAGGGCTAGGCGGATCTCTGCTTACGCAAAATGTCGCAGAGCTTCTGGAAATCAAGTTTCTGGAGCAAAATCCAACCATCAGAACACAAGTCCTCGAAAATGATGCAAGAGCGTTGGTGCGTATTCGTCAGGCTGCGGAGAAGGCAAAGCTAATTTTGAGCGCCAACGCAGATGCTTCTGTCAATATAGAGTCCCTTCACAATGACATCGATTTTAAGACCACTGTCACGAGGTTAGAATTTGAGCAGTTTTCTGAAGACTTGGATACCAGAGTAATCGCACCGGTTTTGAAAGCCTTGGATACTCAGTTTTCAGATTCACCAATAAGTTTTGCAGATATTGATTCGCTTATTTTGACTGGTGGCGCGACAAGAACTCCTTTGGTCCAAAAACAACTCTCCGAGTATTTCGGTGAGGACCTCATCGCCAAAAATGTGAATGCTGACGAGTCTTCCGTTGAAGGAGCAACTATTAGAGGCATCCAGCTATTCAAATCTTTCCATACTAAGGCACTTGATGTTATCGACCGTTCGGTTTTCACCTATTCTGCTGTTTTCAATGAAACAGAAGGACCGCGCGAAGTTTTTGGGAAGGGCTGTCAATATCCAAACGCAACCTCATACTTGACCATACCGGTAAGGAACATCAGTGACTTTTCCATCGACTTGCAGGAGGATGGTAAAATATTCAAGACGCATGCGGTCGATACAGGACCTATCGTTTCGAAGTTTCAACAAGATGCTTGTCCTCATGGAGTCACCTACAATGTCACTTTCTCGTTGTCTCAAGATCGACTTTTCGATATCGCCTCCGTAGAAGCCATTTGCATTCAGAACTCCAATAATGCCGCAGGAGTCTTCAAAAAGCTTTTTTCTGGTTTCGAAATTGGCCAAGATGGTGTCAATTCAGAAGAAACAGAATCCAGCAAAACCGTTGATAAAATCAAGAAACTTAAAACCGTTGAAGAGTTTCCTCGCCTGAGACCAATAAATGCCAGGGAAAGCGTCGCACTCAGAAAACATATCGAAGAACTTAATAGCCGCGACACCAAACGTTTTAGAGTTCAAGAACTGATCAACGTTCTGGAAAGTGACTTGTACGATGCAAGGAACTATCTCGAAGAGGAAAACATCACTTTGAATGGTCCAAGTGAGGAAGTCGATATGTTGACAACACTTGTCTCTGAGTACTTGGAATGGCTCGACTATGAAGCAGATGATGCATCACCGGAGGAACTGTCGAAGAGAATCGAAACGGTCAAAAACTTAAAGAGCAAAATTACGCTGTATATCAACTCAGCCGACGAACCTCTAGACCTCAATCAATTTAGCCAAATGTACACCAATGGCACTGAACTTATCGAAAAGCTGAAGGGTAATAGGGTGATGGAAAACGAAACACTAGAGGCTCTTCGTGAAAGTTTTGACCTAATTGATTTGGATGTTACAAAAGAGTTCAAAAAAATCAGAACCCCGCGTCATCTGTCTTCCCCGACCAATAAAATGAGGGACGTCCTTGAAGGCATGGAGTCAACATTGGCAGAAGTTCGCAAAATTGAAAATCTCGCTTCTTTCGACGAGGTTTCAAGGGAAAAGCTGTTTGAACTGAAACTGAAATTTGACTCCTCCTATCATGATCTCAATAAGTGGGTTGAGTTCGAGCAGAGCACTCAAAAATTCAAGGTCAACGAGTTAGTATCTCTACATGCACGTCGTCAGAGGGTCATTAAGAAGCGCGAAGAACGCAAATCTTTATCTTCCAGTGCCACTGTTGGAGGTTCCAATACAACAACCTCTGATGACCAACAATCTGCCACAACGAGTACGCAACTTGAACATGATGAATTGTAAATAGATTCTGCATCCGTGTTCTGAGACGGCACATCCTTTGCATTGTGTAGAAGGATTCGACTCTAAGTCAAATCTCGTTAATATACACCTTTTTAAAAACTTTTGTATGTATGGCTTGTCGACTTGAACTACGACTTTTGATGATGCATTAATTTATGTTTCGAGCTGGTCAAGATGTTTAAATGTAAACGGCTCATAAGGATATCCCTCCCCTTCAAAAAACTTGGACATCGCTTCAACCCAGTGTAAACGTAAGGAATGTAACATAGCAGATGTCCCTTCCATCATTACCAGGATGCATACAGTCAGCACAAACCACATGCCGAACAGAAGTACGACCTTGGCGACAGCAAGGGGTGAGCCCGGCTTGTCGGAGCTGAAAGCGTTGGCAATTGTCATTGACCAGAGTACACTAGACAATTGAGCGTGTGCTAGAGATAGCGCCCAGAGTCTTAAATATGAGGCAGTATGCGATATGGAGTTAAGGCAGAACTCGATGGTATGGATCACCTGGTGAATGACGACATCTCCAAAATCAAATCCACTCGAGTGTTCGCCGTGGTAGTCTGTAACGACTACGCCGTCGCCGGCATTTTCTTGATGTTCAAGGATGCTCTCAGTAACCGCCTGTTCGTCGACACTTTGATAGCCTTGCGAAAGAGCCCTTTTATTTTGGGCCCTCAAGGCCAAAGGCTTGTAAAGAAGCAGCCAGGGTACACAAACAAGTGCCGCTAACAGAAATACGACCTGAACAAATCCTTGGCCGCGAAAGAGAGGCTCATCAACAACACCTGGGGCTAAAAACATGTTAATGAGCATATTGAGTAAACCTGGTGCAACTTTCTCATCCTTCACCCAATCCTTTGACCATTTGTAGATGATCGCCCAGGTAAGATAGCCAAAGATTGATTGCATGAAGATGAAACCAGGAATAAAATTGCCAATGATGTCAACTTTGGAATGAAAGAATCTGTAGTTGACCAGAGAAAAGAGTAAAGAATAGGTCATATGAATAAAACCCATTAAGACAGAGAGTTTCATCTTGTAGGAATTAGTAAAAATCAGATTGTTTTCCGTTCCATGCCATGCAAAGTCAATTCCAAAGGGATAGGTCCCAGTCTTCGTTGCTTCAATTGCATCTCCGATTTTGAAATCCGAAGGCCATTTCCATCCCGATTTAAAAAACGTCATGGACAGGGAAAAAATATCATTGTAAAGGAGTCCAGTGTAAATGGAAAACAAGCCCATCAAAAGTATGACATAACGACCACTGAAGGCCATGTCGAATATCTCGCCATTTTTGGTTCTGGAAAAGTCTCGCTCGTTCAAAACCAAATAGAGTCCAATCATGAATAAAAGAGTACCATGTCCTGTGTCACCAAACATGATCGCAAACATGAAAGGGAAAGTAACAATGGTCGCAAGGCCGGGGTTGACTTCCTTATATGTGGCAACACCGTAAGCGTCTACGATAGCCTGGAAAGATTGTGTGAATTTGTTTGTCCTGTGGTATGTTGGAGGCTTTCTGTTAGTTATGATGACACTGACTACTGCGGTGTTTTCCGACCCAATGCTTTCACTGTGATCTTTCAGTGAAGTGGATACAGCCACCAGCTCAGTAGATGGAATCCAGCCTTCCGCAACTAAACCCTGAGATTCTTCGCGGAAAAGGTTCAACGTAGCATATATGAGCTTTTCCCTTCGTACCACAGCCTTCCACATGGGCAACTGATCGGTGACAATGAGAAGTTCTGTGTACAGAGTTTGTTCTGTTGTCTGGCAAATTTGTTGCAGATCAGTAATTTGAGCATTGAGGCTTTGAATGGTGCTGCTGCCCTCGCTTGAAGGGAAGATTTTACCATTAAGGGATTCGACAACCTTGCGCACTTTCTTCAGAAGAACTTCTCCATGTGTAAACACAATGAAACAATCCTTGTCCACCGGTTCCTCTCCAACGAGAAGTGGCTCTCGTATGGGGATGTTGTGGAAAAAAAGGTTACCCCGAAGTATTCTGAATAAAATTCTATTCAAGATTTCGACTTTAGTTCTTTCGATGGACCCCACAATTGTGGTCTGATGCCGAAATCCTTCTTCGAGGTCCGCAGATGTCAATTCTGGCCTTCTTGCGTTGGCAGGATTATTGTTTTCGTTGTTGGCTCCGGCGTCATCGAAGGAAAAAGCATCGCTGAGCGTTTCGCTGATTACATCGTCGTCAAAAAGAAAATCGTCACCACTGAGCCTTGAGCCGCGTGTGTCAGCAGCCACTCGTCCTGCCAGCCCGGGATTGACCTCGAAATACCGATGACTTTCATATGCGGTCTGACGATGTTCGATGAGCTGATTTAGCCTGGAATGCAAATTTTTGAGCGAATCATCCAGTTGTCGCACCCTAGCCTCGAATTCCACAATTTCCGATGTGATATCGCTGACGGTGTCAACAGAATGGGTCTGCATGGTCGCCAACAACATGCTGAGGCTTGGATGCTGCGTTGAGTTGTCCACATCGCTGTGGACCGTGTATTTCCATGTTTCGCGGCTGTATTTCTGTGCAATGCGTTCCATATTTGCGCTCAATCGTTCCATGTCGTCGAATTTGCGGAGCTGGCTCACATACCCGCGTTGAAATGCACTCAAATCTGCGTTCAAATCGCGGAACATCACGTTTCCCAGGTTCCCCAGCAAGCAGACGACTTCTCGTGACAGCTCCAGAGGGATGTACAGCTGCACATACGTCATGTCTGCCGATCCTAGTGACATTTTGCCTTGTTAGTATCACAATTTACTCAATGTCTCGGAAAATGCACCTAAATGCGTCAAAAAATCGGCAAAAAAACCGCTATAAAAAACTTCAAAACGCTCCCGTTTTGGCACATACTAAAGATAGCTTCCTCCACCGTCATTTATGCAATCGAATATGAGTAGTGGTGCTTTTAATGCGTGTCTATCAAGCGTTTTGTCTTACAGTTTCTAGATCTTAAAGATCCCCTTTTATAGTTTAAATGTCGATGGCTTTAATAAATTGATATTTATAGGATCCGGGTTATATATATAGGTCAAAAAACAACTCTACTTAAATAGAGAAAGTTGACATATATAAAGGGAAGAGAGAGATCATCCATTATTCGATGATTTGTGGTCTTGGATGGACACTTTTTAGCTAGACAGGTGTTCTTTATAGTGTGATTGTGTGAATTGCTGCTTTTTTAAGCGTTTTTTGGCGTTCTTTTCCGACTTTTAGAGCTGAAATCAAGCCACTGGACCATTTAGACGAATACAAAAGGCGGTTCATTTCAAGAGATTCCCAGATTTCCAGGCTTCTACAAGTGTGGTAGGTCTCTTTGCATAGACCTTTTTCGGTCTTATTTTTATTTGACTTAAAGAACCTTAAGATAGTTGATAGTTTTATCTGAGTGGTGATTTTCATACAAATATCCCGTTTTCTGGCGGCTAGTGTACTGAACGCTACGCTTTTCTTCCATCATCATTTTTTTCTTTTTGGCATCCTCTCTGAACGTCCCTGATGAGTGATTACTTGGCGAAAAGTCCCGGAACGCCCCACCGCACCGCAGGTCACTCCAGGGCACCATCAGCATCGCCTTTGGATATAGTGCCGTATGCAGGGTTTCTTTTCCCGGACGTTAGGGCCATTTACACTCTGAAATTGCACGAAATTCCTGAAATAGCCTGCAGCGAAGTGACGCTTTTTGGGTTCGAAATCTATATCGTGGAGCAGTGGGCGCTGGAACGCAGACACTCCACGATTATTACATCATATACGGGAAACTCGCAAGACATCGTTCGAGCCGTCAAATTTGCGCTCCCCGAGTTGCAAGATAACTGGCCCATTCTGTTCCGTGAATACTACGAAGAACTTATACAGTACTCTGCTCCCAAATGGACAGAAGACGGCACGCTTTTCGTTAGTACGTCATCTCAGATCCCCTCTGCACTAAACTTACTTCATGTCGAATGTGGCGATCTCCGCAAAATTTGGGACGTCTTCAAGGTCAATATAGATCTTAAGCGGCTCCATTGTGGTGGCCGTTCTGCGCTTTTATTATGCGAGCCGTCAGGCGCCTCGTGCGAGAAGTTCACCCAGCTATACAAAGTTGCAGCGCCTGCTGCGAGTTCGCAGGAGCAGGAATACAGTTATTCTACTCACGCAGTGCTGGAACTCGTGACATTGGTGCAGATTTCGCTAACCTATTTCAGCCTACTCGATCCCAAGTATAAAGACGGCATTCTCTGCACTTTCACGGAAAATGCCATTAAAGAATGGTGGTCTATGTATGGAACTCTCTACCTAGGCTGTGATAGGCCCCGTCATGAGGGCCCATTGGGCCCCACAACCGTCGCAGGACTAATCAGCCTGGTGCTGACCATTTTTTTCAAATTAACAGTCCTGAACTGCATGCCCACGAAGGAGCCTTACGATGAAAGTTCTTTCCGCAGTGGTGTTTATTTGTTCCAAAAAAAGTTTGGCCTTTTCAAAGCAAACATAAAGACGCTTTCGGCTTTGGATCCAATATTGGTATCTAAACTGTTTGAAGTGAGGCCAAAAGCGTCGAATACCGACATTTTCAAAATCAAAAAAGCTGTTAAATCCACTGTTCAGGATATTGCCGGTAAGGGCAACCCGATGCAACTATCCAATGATATCTTGACTACCGATCTCGATTTTTTAACGAGAAACGTACAGGGGAATATGCTTCACCTTCTTTGGCACGGGAAAGGTGCAAAGCAGTCTTCCCAAAGAAAAAGGCCAAAAGAAACTTTTAGTCATGTTTTATTTCACAAAGGAGACCCTACTGATGAGATTCTTAAGTCCAACATTTTTGCCACAAAGTTGAGCAACGAGATATGGGCTAATTCTCAGGTGAAGCTAAGCCCTCGTGAGAATTATAAAGCCTTCGATATCGAGCATTCGTCTGCGCAAAGCGAACGCTTGAGTGATAACGGGAAAGATGCTATGGAGAAGAAGAAAAAAGAGATCAGCATCAATAATGAGGACGCATCTTTTCGGATGGAATTGCACCGGAGATCATCCGCGCCACTTCTCCCACCCGATGTGAACCTTTTGCAGATAGACTACGAAAACATTCCCGAGTCATCGGTGCCCCCTAGCATCAGAAAAAGAAGTCGATTCAGTTTCTCGCTGGTACAAGACGCGGTGGAGATATGGAGGTATCCCTTTGATCCATCACCTGTCAGAAGTGCTCGAAATGTTGTAAGTATGGAAAAGAGTCTGAAAGCGCATTCCAAATCTTTACATGAAGAACAGGAGCACACCGGCAAAGAAGCAGCTGATAAGCGCGAACCACTGAGAAAAATCAGCGCTGTCTTAAATAGCAAGCAGCAGGAACTGAAGCAAATGCAAGACGCTCTTTCTGGTAAACGTTCATTGGTCCTTAGCGACATGTCTGAACTGGATTCCCTAGCTTCCAAATTAAAATATGACCTTCGAAGTTTGGAAACTCGCATGAGAGATGTTGATGAGCGTGTGTCGCAGTTCCGCTCCAAGATTGGTAATATGGCGTGGTCTTTGGAACACAGTAAGACCAACCATTTAATGACATCGTCGCTTTATAGCAACCCGAAGAAACTTGATGGTTACGCTCGGGAAATTTTGGAGCGGGCAAATGGGTTCCGATCGAACGGGGTCATATTAAAACTTTGGAATAAAGCTGGCAACTTCTCATCGCCCTTTTTGCGGGAAGTGCATCGCTTTTGGGTCTATTTATGCAAACGGCTGGTTCCGCAAAAGCTATCCGGACAATACCCAGCCGAAGCGGCCCATGAATAGCGAGAAACATAAACAGCAGTTGTTAACTCATACTATTGATAGTCCCACCATTTTCTAATTCTTCCAGACTAATTCATTTATCAATCAGTTTAATCCCGTATTTATTTTGCACTTGTAGAACCCTTGCGTGAAGGTATCGATTTCCATCCGCTTTCTCTACTTGGTTCCAGTTGATTTGTGTGCACACCTGTTGCAGTTCCTGCATCAGCAAGTCCAGTTTTGAACGAGCAGTCTCATTTGCCTCTGTGAGGTCTTGGCTGCTGCTTTGCACGGATTTGATGCGAGTTTGAACTACATTTTCGACAAATTGAGATGCCGTGCGTGCCCTGTGGGCCCCTTGCTCGACTACAAACTGCTTGATGGACTCCAACAGATCTTCGATCTGGTCTATCAGGGCCCAAATGCGTTTGCACACGTATTCCTGACATTCTATCTGGTAGATCAAAGCGTAGTTTTCTCGTATCAGTCTGTCTTTCTCGCTTTCTGCGCTCAAATCGTGATATTTGTCCCAAACCTGACGAGAGGGCTCCTTTGACAGTTCTTCGTAAGAGGACTGCGTCACTTTGGCCAGTCTTCGCACCAAGAGCTCAATTCTTTCTGTTCCTTGACGGGTAGCTCTACATTCCGTGCTGAGACCTTTTGTAAGGTGTAACAGGTAGTCGAAACTATCTGCAGAGTGTTCCATGAGTTTTATGTGGGTCTTGATTCGACACCTGGTTGACGGTTAAACCGCTGCTGCTGAGGGCACCTTATACAATCTCTTTAGGCGTTAATTAAAAACACGAGTAGTCTTGCTCAGGGTATATTCTACAAACTTTTCCCTTATTACACGAAATGAAGCGGTGGCTCAATGGTAGAGCTTTCGACTCCAGTTAAATTCTGGTTTATACGGAAAAATTGCAATCGAAGGGTTGCAGGTTCAATTCCTGTCCGTTTCATTTTTTGATTTTTTTAGAAGTGAACTGAAAAGAGTTCGCCTCGATTGAAAACAGGTTTTAAAACGACAGTAATGATTCGGTTGTGGATTAGTAGCTTCGATGTGGAACTAAGTTTTGAATGATTGTTTTTTGACTTGTGTAGAATTTCTAATGACTTAAGTTCAAAAGTAACTCTAAAAGAATAAAATACTAAAGTTTACCAAAACATGGTCAGCAATCTTTACTCTGTATTTGTTCCGAGCCCAAATAATCTACTTAAGAAGGCCTCAATTCCTCTGATGGGGACCTGTCCTGTCACTCAGAAAATTTCACAGGTTTATTTATCAAGAGAATGAAATTCAGAATCATGCACGAATCTCAGATAAAATGCACTATGTATGTTACTCGTTGAATGCTTCTTTGAGCAAGACCTACATGCCAACTAATAAAGTGCGTTGTTTAAATCAAGAGCATCAAACGTTGGTTGACCATCTTGGTGACACAGACGTATATGGTGATACTTAGAAGAATGCCTCTATATATAATGATGACAATGGATTAACTGATTTAACCAGCTGTGGGAAACTAAGAGGGCAGTTGAAGCCAATTGACGACTCTTGATTCGTTGATATGGGATCCGACGGTATGCACCATGCAGATTATACTGAGTTCCACGGTATGGCTCGAGAAGAAATCTTGGAAACCGTTTTAGACTCCTACAATGCTCTTGCAGAGGGCCAAGACAATTGGGTTTGTAATTTGGCCAATGCGTCTGCCCTGTTATGGCACGCCTACCGATCTCTCCCACTGGATATCAATTGGGCTGGATTTTACGTTTCCAAGGGTTCAGAAAGCTCTGAGTTGATATTGGGGCCCTTCCAAGGAAAAGTTGCGTGTCAACTTATCAAAAGTGGCACCGGTGTATGCGGTACGTCTTTCCAATCCAAGAAGACACAAGTCGTGCCAGATGTCAACAAATTTCCAGGCCACATTGCATGCGATGGTGAGACCAAAAGCGAAATTGTGGTTCCCATTGTGGACAACACCGGCCGCTGTCTTGGTGTCATCGACATAGATTGTCTTGAGTACAACGGGTTTGGCAAAGCAGACCAAGAATGCCTCGAAAAACTGGCAAGTGCAATCGCCAACACATGTGCCTTCAACAACTAGAACAGTACTTGCAAGCCATTTTTTATTTACCACCAAAAAAATTGATTTCGCCCAGGATCGAACTGGGGACGTTCTGCGTGTTAAGCAGATGCCATAACCGACTAGACCACGAAACCAATTATTAAGAAGATGAGAAAATTTAAACGAACTAACCGGTTTTTGAAGTCACGTTATGCCTTCTTTTGATCAGGCTCGACGAAAATAACGACAATTAAACTGAAAAATTTTGATGAGATGAGATGCGATGCCCGATGAGCTTTAGTTGGCGATAACTCTTCGATACCAACCAATCCATTTTCTGATCCAGAAAAGCTTTGTGGGAAGACCTGTGGTGTGTTGATTAAGAGTTTAGAGTTTTTTGGATAGAAAAAATGGTCAAGTTGTTCGGCCGTCAGCGCGCCCCCAAGTCTGCTGCAAAAGAGGGCAAGAAACGGACACTTGTCGAATCCGAAACAGCCCAAGACTCTAGCGATGATGAGCTTATTACAGAGGGCCTCATAGATGATGGATCTGATGATTCTGATGAGCACGATGACGCTGAAAATGAAAGCGGAATTGAAGATGACAGTGCTGGCGAAACCACCCAATATCAATCAGCAGAGGAAGGATACGAAGACGAGGGAAATGAAGAACAGCAGGATTCGGACGACGAGTTCAACAAACTTTTGGCAGAAGAGGAGCCCGAAGGAAACGACTCGGAAACTAACGAATCTCTTGAATTTTCAGAAGACAGCGATTCTGCCTCGATGCTGGACAAACTGTCTAGCATCCAGCTAAACACAATACCAGAAGTTCGCACCAAATTCTCAGACGGAACTCCCCGTGTTATAAAGCCCGAGATCAATCCCATCTACGACAGTGACGATAGTGACGTGGAAACAAACAACACGATTGGTAATATACCACTCTCAGCATACGATGAAATGCCCCATATTGGTTACAGTATCAACGGTAAAAGAATTATGAGGCCGGCCAAAGGCACGGCCCTTGACCAGCTGCTAGATACAATTGAACTGCCAGAAGGTTGGACTGGTCTACTAGACAAGAATACCGGTGCTAGCTTGAACCTGAGCCAGGAGGAACTGGAACTCATCTCTAAGATCCAGAAAAACGAAAAAACTGACGACTCAGTGGATCCTTATCAGCCTTACGTCGACTGGTTCACTAGACATACTGAGGAAACCCCTCTTACTGCGGTTCCAGAGCCAAAAAGAAGATTTGTTCCTTCCAAGAATGAGGCCAAGAGAATCATGAAGATCGTCAGAGCTATCAGAGAGGGCCGCATCATACCACGTCATAAATTGAAGGAGATGAGAGCGCAAGAAGAACAAGCCGGGTCTTATGATCTATGGGGAACTGAGAGCGTTAATGATCATGTTATGAATTTGCGTGCTCCAAAACTGCCTCCTCCAACCAACGACGAAAGTTACAATCCTCCCGAGGAATACCTCATGAACAAGGAGGAGAAAGAGGAATGGGAAAAGTTGGAGCCTAGCGAAAGAGAGAGAGGTTTCATTCCTCAAAAATATGGTGCTCTCAGAAAGGTACCCGGTTACGGCGAGTCTGTCAGAGAGAGATTTGAAAGATCTTTGGATCTATATCTCGCACCAAGAGTGCGTAAAAATAAGCTGAACATCGATCCCGAGTCTTTGATTCCAGAGTTGCCATCTCCAAAGGATTTGAGGCCGTTCCCTATTCGTTGTTCTACTGTCTACCGGGGTCATGCAGGTAAAATTAGAACACTATCCATTGATCCAAGTGGACTATGGCTTGCTACCGGTTCAGATGATGGCTCCGTGAGGATTTGGGAAATCCTAACTGGCAGAGAAGTCTACAAAGTCCAGCTTATTGACACAAAGGAAAACACTGATGACAACATTGATGCCATCGAATGGAACCCCGATCAATCTACTGGCATTCTTGCGGCTGCAGCTGGTGAGCAGATATATTTGATAGTGCCGCCAATTTTTGGTTTTGAGATCGAAAATAATGGTAGAACTAAGATTGAGAATGGGTTCGGTTTCGACACGTTCGGAAACGTCAAAAAATCGGACTTGAATGTCAACGGGGATGACGACAATGTGGAGTCTGAAGCAACAGCAGCGAAAAGCAAGGTTGCCCAATGGACGAAGCCCACCGAGAAGCAAGCCGAAAAGGACATAGCTGTGGTTATTACATGCAAACACACGGTCAAGAAACTTTCTTGGCACAGAAAAGGTGACTATTTTGTCACTGTTCAGCCTAAGTCCGGTCACACCTCGGTTTTAATTCATCAACTTTCTAAGCATCTCTCCCAATCTCCTTTCAAGAAATCGAAAGGTATTGTCATGCATGCAGTGTTTCACCCATTCAAGCCACAACTCTTTGTGTGCTCTCAAAGGTACATCAGAATTTACGATTTGGCGCAACAGGTTCTTTTGAAGAAACTAATGCCAGGTGCCCGTTGGTTGTCCACCATCGATATTCACCCAAGAGGTGATAACCTACTTGCGTCGTCCTTCGACAAACGTGTATTGTGGCACGACTTGGATTTGGCAAGCACTCCCTATAAGACTTTAAGATATCACGAAAAAGCGGTACGGAGTGTGTCATTCCATAAAAAGCTTCCGTTGTTCTGCTCAGCCTCAGACGATAGTGTTATTCACATCTTCCATGCTACTGTGTACGATGACATGATGAAGAATCCACTGCTAGTACCATTGAAGAAACTGGAGGGGCACAAGACAGTAAACAGTCTTGGTGTTCTTGATTTGATCTGGCATCCGAGGGAAGCTTGGTTGTTTTCAGCAGGAGCCGATGGCACCGCGCGTATGTGGACTAGTTGAGGGTGCGTGCTTATACATGCGTATGTAAAATAGAAAGTCGATAGTACAGTAAGAGAATTTTAGATAGTTTCTACCATAAACAATGCTAGCTCATATACTGTTGTAATTACTTGTTAGGTAATCTCTGACATATTGGAGCTGCTACATACCAAACTCGCGCATTAAAGCCAATTCGTCTTCATCTTCGTCTTCATTGTCTTCTCGTATTTTGGTCGCAGCCTTAGAAAATTGTGAAAGGTCCACTGTAGGATCTGAAAGCTCTTGAGGTAGTTCAGACTCAGTTTGATCTTGTTGGGCAATTGCGAAACTTGTTTTTTGCTGCGATTGTTTTTGTTGCTGTTGTCCGTCTTGTGGGGGCTCATTAACTTCAGCGGTCCGAAGTTCGCCAGTGTGGCTGCGATCGTAGATCAAATCCTCGTCAGACGTGGGGTCGACTGCAGGTTCTCGGCCATTCCCCGCAGCGGGGAGCGTGCGTGTTGACGGAGAGGGCGGGTCCGAAGGAGGCATATTTTCAACCACGTTTGGTGGTAAAGTTTCGCTTTGAGCTTCAGATTCCATGCCGGGCTCATCTACCGATGAAATCCCAAGTTCTCGACGAACAAGTTCGATTCTGTAGTTTCTGAGTTCTTTATCGGTCTTGCCGAGAGTTCGACATATGGTTACAAAGTCATGAAATTTCGCTTTGGGGAACAAATCGTTAGCCCAAAGCTGATAGAATTGCAGAAAGTGTGTGAGATTGTCGTAAGAAGACTTTCGGCTCGAAAATCGGGTCTTTTTAGGAGCTTCTTTCATAATTTTGGGCAAACCACCTGAAGAGAGCAATTTCTCGGCGGTAAGTTTGACCTGTGGACGACGAGTCCGAGTAGAAACTTCAGTTGGATCCGGAAGTGGTGTATCGTCAAAACCGGTTGAGTTGATGGCAGTGGGGTCTAATGGAAGTGAAGAATCTGGATCTTCTTGAGGACCTTGTGAAAACCGCTCTAAAAGCTGCTGCGACATGATGGTCGATGTTGGGATGTGTGGGAGTGTGTGGAATTCTGCGAAAGTGTGTCTCTGTTGTTGAAAGGACGCGTCAAGTTTTACGCGTCTGAAATGCGAGAAATAACGAGTTCTATAAATGCAAATGGCACGAAACGTTCAGTTGGAGAACCCACCGCGTATAGAATGAAGAGAGCGCCTAGAGAAGGTTCAAGTGAGGTGGTTTTGGTGCGCAGACGAGAGCATTCCATTGAGTTTAGAAACCACGATGCGATGCGATGCGGTGCGATGCGACGCGGTGTCCAATATAGCTGGTCGTTAAGAACGAGGCATCTTCAAGTCACGTGAGTATATATATGAAGTGGTGCTTCAAAGGGAAACCTTGAGCTTTCCAAGATGTCCGCCGATGGAACTAAATACTCCAAATGTATTTAACACGCTATCGAGTATTTGTTGTTTTATGCCTTTATGTTGTGTTCGAAATTATTTTCGAAGTTTTTTACTTATGAGAGAATACCACTTAACGGACGTTGATAGACTAGTTTGAATATTCTTGGTTTCAGAAATGAGAACCATTGGATATGGAATTACTTGTCGAAGCGTCAGAAGTGGTTCAAAGGATGGTTTTAGGCGGAGCAGATACGGTAATTTTCTAGTCACGTGACTCTGGTCTAAGATGTGGATGACACAGTAGTTAAAAGTGATAGAGCCAGTTCTCCCATGAAGGAAGTACACATTACAAGCCATAGCTGGAACTCCAGTAACCACAGGAAGCGAGTGGTGTTTTGCGACGCAAATGAGCACAGTGAGTGACTCAAGTAAATAGTCGTTGCTGCTACTTCTTAGGGATCGGGCTCTATGTAGGGAGATAAATATAGATAAAGGCACGGGACGTTTTCTCAAATGACACAAAACACCATTGAATGGCTCCAGGAACACCCACGAGCGTAGTGGGACCGAATTTTCATGGCCAACACCCCATATTGGGAATGTTATCATTTTTCCTCTGTCCCGTCGCTGTTATTAGGTCACGTGTTCAAAAGATGAGCATCATCAGTGACACTCTCCAAGCCCAGCAAAACCAATTGTAACACTCTCCAAGCCCAGCAAAACCAATCGCAACAATCTCCAAGCTCAGGAAAACCTCACTATATTCCAATCGCACCTTTACCGTGTTTGTTGAATTTGTCTCTGCCACCTTAAACAGGTTGCAAAACGGATCACGTACCGTACACATCGGACTTATTTCACAATAATCCCACGCCACGGTGTAAGCGTGGCTATTCTATGCATTTTGTCGATTGTTGTTGCTTCTACTGCAGCTTTCTTTCTCCTGTAACATGGACCGATAATTTTACGGCTCTATAGGTAGCTAATGTCACGTGGCCACCCAGCATCTGTGACACGTAAGTACAAAGTGATATGAGCTCAGTTTCTACACACACACACACGTTCTTCGCACCTCTGTTGTAGATCAACGTTACCAAAAATGGATTCCGACTACCCAATCGGCACCCAATCGGCAAGCCCGTTAGCTTTCCTCTTTCTATCTGTGCTTAATGGCTGGCGGCCCTATATGTAGGTGTTTAAACCCTTTGTATCACGTGCATTTTTCAGTCTACTTGAAAAGTGGAAAAAAAAATAGTTAGAGCCTCAAGCCTGAAAGTGTGGCATTGATCATCCCAGGCTCTCTCTGGCTCTCAACACCGTCGTCATAACCAACGCAACACTACTGTAGGGCCCGTCAAGGCTTGTGACCGGTGTGTTGCCGTGTGTATGTTAGTTACTGTGTGTGAGAACTGTGTATGTAGTAGCTAAATGTGAGGAATATGGGACGACCAGGTATATAAGAGATCGAAGCAAGCGAAGATGAGGCCATCGGACCATCCATTGATTGAGAATTTCAACGTCAGCAGCTAACGGGACATACCACCGGGAACACTACTTAACTGTTCTATTTCGCACGCTTTACTTAATTTTTTCACTCATCGGTGCATACACATTACTACTATTTATTTATCTGCTCTTCACACTGTCACATACAACAACATGGACGGAAACACAGTGAAATCCAGACCTCAAAATACCGAACTTATGGACCATTGTATGAAAAGCCTGAACAACGAGGTGGCTTATTCATACGTTTATGCTAAAACTGAGCCGGCCGACGAAGAAGACGACTTGATGGTGGATTTGAGCACAGGGTCGTTGGAAGCGACCAGTCTGCGAAACTGGCGTTTGATGACTGGGCTGTTAGAGCAGCTGGAAAAACTGTGAGGTACAAGAAAAGAGGAAGCAATGAAGCTTGGGTGCTGGGAAAGTACAGGGTGCTTGGGCCAATGGTTTGGGCTCGATTGGTCCTCAGGAAAATTCGAAAAAAAAAAATTAAAATTACAACAGGAATACGAAAACGGCCGAAGGTTTATCGTCTCGTCGCGGGCGGTGGGAATAAGAGATCAAACACTGAAGAATTAAAGGATACGTACTTTTTTTATTACGGCATAGATAGAGCAATTCATAGGGAAAATGGTTGTCGGACAAGATCGCAGGGGGCAGGGAGAGAGAAGTTACAGAATTTATTGTGACTTTGTGGATCACGTGATGTGGTTTCTGGTGAAGATGTTGTACAAGATAGACATTCTCAGACATTCTCAGACATCCTTATCATGGCTCCGCTTAGCTTATTTCAGTTTGAGCCGGATTCTGATTCAATATTTTGAAACGGAATCGAACTCAACGCTTTGAAACGGCATTGAACGCAAAATACTTCGTAACTATACGCTAAAGTTCTCGGTTCGAACGCTGTCGTCGGTCACGTGCTCAAGTCTTGAATCATTAATTCTATCTACTGTACTGACGCTACCCATCGGCTCATGAACCCATCCAAGCTGCATACAATGCCATAACCCAGCTAACTTGCTCAAGGCTGTAACCGTCTATTGTCTTGAGTTTCGTTCTTGCGAACGTACTCTTCGGGCGGAACACTTGCAATTTCATTTATTATTTGATTTAGTGGTGTTCATTGTTTGCAGCTAGAACTTATCGGGTATCGAATCCGTATTGATACTCTAGCTTTCATCCCAAAATGTCAGTTATTTAATTAATACCTTCACACCCCTGCGCACTGCGTTTTTAGACACTTGAATATTTCCACAAGGTTAGGAAACTTTAATCGAAAGCCATCAACGTCTAATCTCTAACACTAGAGAAATCCCCACACCTGGAACTGTGGTTACCATTGTCTCTGACTCGCAACAGGGTCTCGAAAACCGCACAAGTTTTGATCGAAATCTGAATTGAGGAAGACTGCCAATTTCTCAATCTGACATTACGAATGTCCAAGGCTTTTTATCCTCGCTACATTTGTATTTCCAAAAGAACAATTGGTCAACATCAGCGTGAGCTCAATTGCGTATTGGAAACTATAAAACGTCAAAGAGAAGAGACCTACATCTATAAACAAAAACAATTCCAATTTCGGTGCCAGAAAAATACGATTAATAGAAAATACTGTGGAATGAGGAAATTGAACCAAACAAAGGAGTATAGGACCAATGTCAGTATCAACAGATCGGCTTCCAAACTTAAAACTCGCTACAAACCAATTGCTAGTCACGTGACCAGTGTTCAAAAACATCATAACTTCACTAAAAAGACCACGAAAGGACCTCAAAAATCCCATATGAGCTCCAATTCAACTCTTATTCAACATAACACCCCTTTTCAACCCACCTGAATCTCTCCTAACCAAAGATTCTACTACCATAAACCTTATCACCATATACGAGCGGTCAAATTTTTTTTCCAATATCTTAAAAATAACAGAGGTGTGTGTATCCATATATTTACCACTGCTCAAAGTAAGATCAACAACGCTTTTCACCATCATTGCTACCAGTAGGAAGCTTTAATAGACTGTACCAAGCAGTCTGGTGAAACAGGCGATCTCAAGTTTACTCAGGGTTCCTTTTCAAGCGCGATGTTTGGCTCCACGGCGCCCGCTTTTGGGTCCAATACATCTCAAACGAGCTCTTCCCCGTTTGGCACAGGGTCGTCACAACCAGCTAACAATGCAAGTAGCGGGTTTGGGGGGTTTGGCACAATGTCTCAAAACAACACCAACGCCGGTGCTGTCGGAACTGGCAGCGGCTCGGGCCTTTTTGGTATGTCTAGCAATAACAACGGAGGAGGCACTTTGGGCAATGGTACAGCGGGCCCCAATTCGGGTCCTTTTGGTCAGGCAACACCGGCAGCCGGTAATAACGCGCCTTCCTTGTTTGGGGCTTCGTCGTTGTCCTCAAATTCGGGTCTCAATCTTCAACAAGGCTCTGGAACGGCAATCAAACCATTTTCTGCTTATACTGAAAAAGACGCTACTACAGGCGTGAATAACGTTTTCCAGTCAATTTCGTGCATGCCTGAATATCGGAACTATTCGTTCGAGGAATTGCGTTTCCAAGACTATCAGGCGAACCGCAGATTCGCTTCCAACGCCCCAACCGCTGCTACCGGTGTTTCCTCGCCCTTTGGTGCCAATCCATCCAATTCTCCCTTCAACAATACTAACTCGATGTCTTCTTTTGGCTCGGTAGGCAATAACACCAACACCAACACCAACGCTGGCGGTGGGCTATTTGGTCAAAACGCTGCCGCTCCTGGTACCGGCGCTACGTCTTCATTTGGGCAGCCTTCGAATTCTATGTTTGGAAACACTGCGCAAAACAACACTTCTAACTCGCCATTTGGAATGAACAAACCTGCGTCGTCGGGCGGGCTTTTTGGTCAGACCAGTGCCACTGGTGCCAACACCAGTGGTGGAATGTTTGGTCAAACCGCAAATACCCCAAACCAGAATAGCGGTGGTCTTTTTGGTCAAAACAACAATACTGGCAATATTGGTACTGGTGGTTTGTTTGGAGCTTCTAATCAAAACCAGCAGTCGGGAGGCCTTTTCGGAAATAATTCCAATACTGGAGGTAGTTTATTTGGCCAAAATAATCAAAACAAAAATGCTCCTTTCGGCAGTACAAATACCACTGCCACGGGAAATGGCTTATTTGGACAAACCAACGCCACTACTGCGAATTCACCATTTGGCCAGCAAACTCAGCAATCTAGTGGCGGCCTTTTTGGCAGCAAACCGGCAAACAGTGGCGGCATGTTCGGTGCTAATAGCAGCACTCCAGCTGCGGGCACAGGTGGGTTATTTGGTCAGAGCAATGCTTCTAATTCCCCATTTGGACAAACCAACAACACACCTGGTGGCGCCGCTTTTGGGCAAAACCAAGCCCAGAATCAAGGCAGCTTTGGCGGCAGTGGGCTCTTTGGGCAATCCAATACTAATACCACATCTGGAGGATTGTTTGGACAAAACAATAATGCTAATGCAAATACAGGCAGCGGACTATTTGGTCAAAATAATGCGAACAACTCCGGTGGTTTGTTCGGTCAACAAAATGCTGCTACAAACCCTCCATTTGGTCAAAGCAGCTCAGGTTTTTCTTCATTTGGTCAGCAACAACCTCAGAATCAACAAAATAGCTCGCTTTTCGGTGCCAAGCCTGCAGGTACTACTGGCGGAGGTCTCTTTGGATCTGGAAATAATACAGCGTCGAGCGGTTTTGGTCAAAATACAAATACGGGTGGAGGCTTGTTCGGTCAGAATACAAACACTAACACGTCTGGCAACACAGGCGGCTTATTTGGACAAAATAACACGAGCAATATAGGAGGTGGGCAATTTGGTCAAAACTCCAATCAGCAGCAGCAGCCTCAACAACAGTCTGGTGGAGGACTTTTTGGCCAGAACAACAATCAACAAAATCAGGGAGGCCTGTTTGGTCAAAGCAACAACACTGGTGGTGGCTTGTTTGGCCAAAATAATAATCAGCAGCCTTCGGGAGGAGGACTTTTTGGAGCCAAGCCGGCGAGTACTTCCTTGGGTGGTCAGTTTGGTCAAGCCTCCGGTCAACAGCAACAGCAACAGCAAGGCGGTGGACTATTTGGACAGGCAAACAATCAGTCGAACACCGGTGGCCTGTTCGGAAACAAGCCTGCAGCTCCCACAGGCGGCCTTTTCAATCAAAATAGTTCAACAGGCGCTACAGGAGGCGGTCTTTTTGGTCAAAGTAATGCAGGTGCTTCCAACACTTCTTCGCTTGGATCCGGTGGCTTGTTTGGCAACAAACCGGCTACTGGCTCGAACACAGGAGGTGGTCTCTTTGGTTCCAAACCTGCAGGTCAGAGCAGTGGTGGACTATTCGGTGCTAAGCCGGCAGAAAATGCCAGCAGCGGTGGTTTGTTTGGATCTAAGCCAGCTGGGAATGGATTAAGTTTCAACAGTGGCAACAATGCCAGTGTGTCGGGCGGTCTTTTCGGAAACCAACAGAATCAACAACAAGGAATGCAGCCGCCTCCTCCCGCTGCTCAGCAAACAAGCATGAACCCGTATGGTACGAATGAATTGTTTTCGCGCGTGATTGTGCCTGACTCGATCACGAAGCCAATCAAGCCGAGCGCAACTAAGCTAAACGCAGATCTCAAGAAGAAGGCCAGTCTTTCCGGTGCTTACAGGTTGGCACCAAAACCGTTATTTATTCAGAAAAGCGCAATCTCCGCTCCCGTTATGCGTTTGGGCAGCAGTGCTTCGGATAAAAGCCTTCATGGCGTAGGAAATATCGCAGGCTCATCTACAGAATCTCTCGGGAGAGAGCTACAGCATCAGAACAATTCACCCTCATTTACCAATGAAAGTGATGAGCTGATTTTGGCCTCGAATGACACTCTGTTCAATCCAGACAAAAAGTCATTCAAAAACCTAATCATAAACAGGAAAAAGATGGAAGATTCAGCTAAGAAGGATGATGATCAAGTTCTGCGAATCACATTTGCCTCGGAGAAAAACGAGTCTCAGGATAAAAATGGAGCTCTTTTCGCTAGCGCACCGGAAAATGATAGAAAAGCTACGCCTTTGTTAGCGGGCGATTCGGGTAAATTGGCATTCACAGACAATCATACGACCAAAACACCCATCGGTAAGTCTACAGCGCCCCAGGCTGAAAACTTAGCTCCCGCCACCGGCGATGTCACAAAAGCTGACGGTTTTCAGAGAAAACTCGGCGTCCTGGGCGATGACGTCTCTTTCGAGGATGATGGCTACTACATTTCCCCATCGCTGGAAAGTCTTCCTTCAATGACTCTTTTACAGCTTCGTAAAGTAAACGGGCTTACAATTGGTCATAAAGATTACGGTAAGGTCGAATTTCTTGAGCCTGTGGATTTGACGAACACTTCTTTGCCTGCCCTTTGCGGGCAGATTGTCGTCTTCGAGCCTAGGTCGTGTAGCGTTTACCCAAATGGATCTGAAATACCACCTCGTGGCCAAGGATTGAATGTTCGGGCTCGCATTAGTCAGTATGGGTGCTATCCTCAGGATAAAGCGACACGGGAACCAATAAAAAACCCAAATCACCCAATCATCAAAAGACACATCAACCGCTTGAAGGCAATACCAGGTACTAAATTTGAGAGTTACAATCCTCAGCTTGGTACCTGGGTGTTCACTACGGACAGTCCGGCTGGGAACTGAGCTCTTGATAATACTGCATTAACGTTAGATATTCGAGCTGCATTGTATTTAGACAATATTTGAACGAGAATTAATTGTTTCGATTTCGATGGCTTCATTTGGCTTTCGAAATGCCCTATGTAGTTCTGGTGGTGCTGTCAAGACAGAGGTACACAATCAGGTGGCTGCTACTTGCTCGATGCCATTGGGAATGGGTTGCTTTTCTTCCTCTTGAATGTCATGCTCCTCTTTCCCATTCACATTGTCAACATTCCAGATTTCAGGGCTCACAATGTATGGATATCCGAAGATGCTGGTGAACCACTCCTGTAGCCTATTGTAGAGTCCAGTTTCGCGAAGATAACTTTGTTTCAAATTGAATAGTGCACTCAAGTTGGTAACGAGCTCTTGATCAGAGAAGAATACCGTTATCAATTCATCTTGAGAGCCTCGAAGCGCTGAACATTGTTCAAGTTCATCAACGAGCATATGATATTCTTCATGATCGTCGTTTCCAGTTTTTTTGAATATAAGTTCGCCCATTAACTTATTGACAAAACCCAGTTTGTCTATCAGATCTGCTTTGATTTCGTTATGAATCTCTAGATTTTTCTTTTGCGAAAGCTTGTTGACAATAGAGTTCGAGGCGGATGATGACGGTTCCTGAGGGCCCAGCCCTACTATAGACCAAGCTTCGTCATCTTCGAATTTGTATTTTGGAACTTCGTGTTTAACCTTTGAGGAAGGTTTTTTCTTTTTGGAGCGTGAGGTCGACTTTGGCTCTTCTTGCAATTCTTCAAATGTATCAAGTGCGTTATCTTCTTCATCATGGGCGGCGCGACGCTTCCGTGTCTGACGGCCTTTCGCTTTGTCTTTTGCTTTTGCCTTTGCTTGCCTTTTGCTAGATCGACTGCCCTTACGTACCTGGTCTCCCTCATCGTAATCCGATTCCGATACAGCGCTCAATGGCTCACTCAACAATTCTTCTTCGTTGTCTTCATTTCGCGCACTTTCTTCCGGTCCTTCATCGACATACTCTTCCTCCTCCGGTTTGCCCTGAGACCCGTACTCAATAAATTCCCATACATCGATGCCCTGGGGTGCCTTGGCGGCCATTTCATATGCTGGTATCAGTTTCTTGCTCTGTTTTTTGGAATTTCGTAGCCAGTTGGTGCATTGTTCTGTACTCAAAGGTTTAAAGTCCACAGGTTTAAGCCATATGTAGGAGTCGTCGCAGAAAAACTTGATACAATACGAATTATGGGGCTTAAAGTTCTTACGAAACTTCAAATGCTCGTTGTAAACCACGTAATTGTTGGGATCATTTTCATCTTCTATTTCATCCAGAGTAGGTTTCCCAAGCCTCTCTTTCAGCACATTTTCGGGAATTATTTCTTCAGGAACAACCATCGCAGGCCAGGCAGGAAAACCTTTGACCTTAGCCAGGACTACATCCGTAGGTTGATAAACAATGCGTTTTTTGGACATATAACGACACTCTAAAACAGCTCGGCAATACTGATAGCTGACCAACCCACTAAAATTGATGCGCCAAATCCAATTGACAGCTCTTTGAGAAGATCTGAATGGTTTCTCTGCTAGAATCACACTGGTAAATGCTGAAATGTAGTGTTGACGATGCCCATGTAGCTCATCTGGTAATACTAATTAGATGTTCGTATATGGTGATTATGATCGAGATAGATGTTGGCACACACGTCCAGTCTTGATATTTAGTGGTAAGCGACTATTTAGGCCCAGAAGGATCGCATTTTTCTAAATCACATCTTTGAGGTTTTTGGTGAGTTTTCCGTTGGTTTTTGATTTTTTTTCCGCGTTCTCGCCACTCTTTGATGCCTAATTGAATCTCCGGACATCGAAAAGATTACCCAAGCTGGTCGAATACTTGTTTCAGATTTGGAAAGAGGAGTATTGCTTGCATATTCCGGAATTGAGTCGTCCTTCTTCGATTGATTTTATACTTTGAATTCAAAACGTCGCTACGTTGATGACAGCGCGAGTCATATCACTTTATACCATTGCGACACCTGTAATTCCCACGACAGAATGTTCATCACAGTGGACCAAGTGAGAAAGTGCAGCTTGTATAATCTAGCCTGCTCGTGAGTCTGAAATTTTGCATTGTAGTAGTCCTAAAAAATTCGCGTTAAACATTATACTAAAGATCGCCTGCTCGTATTCCCGCGAGCATTTTAAAATCTCAGCCTTATTGTAATTGGACGGTCCCCCATGTCAATACTGTCCCTGCTGAGAATTGACACCATTGAAGTATTGATGGTATACTGCAGCTTGCTCTGCGTTTAGGTAGGCTGCTGGGTTCCCAAACGTAGAAACCTGGGGCTGTTGGTGCGGCGGTTGTTGCTGGTGCTGCTGTGCGAGTTGTTGGGGAAGCTGCTGGTGAGTCATCTGTGGAGGTAGCTGAGAAGAAATCAGCGGGACCTGTTGGTCTTGTTGCACGTGTTGGGCCTGTTGCTGGTTCTGCTGGGATTGCTGTGTTTGCTGGGGTCCGGTCACCACCGCACGGGCCCGCTGCAGCTTGGCGGCGTCCGTGTGTCCACTGTCCTCCTCCTCTTCTTCCTCTGCATCGTCTTCTTCCTCTTCCACTTCGTCTTCGTCTTCCGGAGCGTTCAAACACGCTTGAATGAGATTTTTACCCTCTGGCTGTGTTACAATGGGCTGAAATTTGGGCGTGGTGAAAGTGTACACCAGCCCAGTCTCGGATACCACCAATAGAAGCACCTGGGTGCCCGTCAGCACTGACAATTCGTACGCTTTTTTCATGATTCCATGTTTACGCTTTGAAAACGTAATGTGTCGTCTTGTTTTGTCCTGGATGAACTTGATTTCGATCTTGCGACGTTCCTTCTGCTGCGGCTGCTGTGAGGAATCCCCAGCGTTAACGCTCAGTTCTTTCTCATCGTTGATGTCCGACATCTTGAATTATTCGTTGGTATAGTAAAAGGCTATTGGTAAAAGCTATCAAAAATGCTAGAGTTGACCAAATTTAAAGCTTGAAAATGCTATAAGAATAGGATTTGCAATTGTCTCGAGATTGTGACGCGGTTTCAATGGCTTGAATAGTTTCAAATGAGTTCTTTGTGAGTCAATGTTGATTAATGGAGGAGCTAGATGACTTTGGTAAACTAGCTTTCTTGACTGGGTTAAAGATCCCTTTTAGAGGAAAAAGTCTCTCAACTTGGTAACAATTTTTCAAATATTTCCGAAAAGAGAGGCGGGAGTTACCCGGAGATTTTGGGTTTGTGCTTTCTGGAGGCTTCGAACCCGAGACTTTTGGAAAATATAGGTTCTTTGACCGCTGCACCATCGAGGATATAAAGGGAGTGTTGGGTCACGTGATGCGTGCGCGGGTCGTAATCGGATGATGACAATAGTAGAAGAAGCTTTGAAATGGGTTTATTCTTTGAAGCTCACAATAATGTGGTGATGGTATGTCGTTCGCTGGGCATACTTTGTTCAGTGTGGACCTAAGTGGAACGCAAGTGGTCCAATGTCAGTGACTTGCAAACAAGATGATTCCGGAGGGTGTCACGTGACGTTAGCGACACAATAAGTTTCCTGGGATAGGGACACGTTTAAAAGCCGTGGTGATAGTAGTCGTGTACCAGTTTTACTGAAGGTGGAAGCAGCCCCTCGAAATGGGTAAAGAACGCTGAATATTAGCCTCTTGATTTGAACCCGTGTGTCACGTGCGCCTGTGAAATTGATGAATTGTACAAGAAGCTCACCGGCCCGAAGTTCTCGTCGAGTCATGATCAAAACGAGACCATGGTTGGTTCAACCTGCAACATCACATCTTGATTTCGATGACAATTAAAAATGTGAAATTTCCCGAATGTTATTTTTGTGTGTAGGTGCCATAAAAATACAGAAAACACCACGAAAACAAAAACCGCATCTACAAATGTACCAACCCCGGTGTATGGCTCTCAAATCGGCATCAATCGCTTACTCACACTTCATTGTAACGTTAGGAGAGATGATAACGAGATGTTTCCGTTCTTAGTGATATGATATTCATACATTTTAAAGTTTGATTGACGTACGTTCCTGTAATGCTTTCTGTAAAGTCTCGTAAGATGCTTTCAATTCGTGATAGCAATGGCTGGATTCCACGACAATGGTCAACTCTCCTCAATCTCGTCAATCTCTCGTTAAAAAGACCTCTCCAGATGCCCTAATTCCCCGCTATTCTTGTCCCTTTTCACGTAGGAAATACCTTCGTATATAGAAAAGAGTGTCGTACAGAGCGAGAATTCCGGAAGGTTCAAAAATTCTAGCTAATCCCGCCCTAGGTAACCCATGGATTCAACATTATTCCACTACAAAAACCTCTTTAAGATTCTCAGATCAATCGTTCATCACTCTAGTTAGTTGGTGTCCGTTCAGCATATATAGCTCTTATATACAAACTCACTACATAATGTCCCAGAACGAAAGAACCTTCATTGCCGTCAAACCAGACGGTGTCCAAAGAGGCCTTGTCTCCAAGATCTTGGGTCGTTTCGAAGACAGAGGTTTCAAATTGGTGGGCATCAAGTTGGTGACACCAACTGAGAATCTTCTCAAGGAACACTACGCTGAACACGTCAACAAATCGTTTTTCCCCAAGATGCTGTCTTACATGATGTCTGGTCCTATCTTGGCTACCGTTTGGGAAGGCAAAGACGTGGTGCGTCAAGGCCGTGCGATCTTGGGTGCTACTAACCCTCTAAACTCTGCTCCTGGTACTATCAGAGGTGATTTCGCCATCGACATGGGCAGAAACGTGTGTCACGGTTCAGACTCTGTGGAGTCCGCAAACCACGAGATTTCTCTATGGTTCAAGCCCGAAGAGCTCAACGACTGGAAACTTAACCAGCAGGCGTGGATCTACGAGTAAACCTGGGGTACATATCAAGGTTTAAAATGTACCCCGTACTCGTACTCGCAAGATGCAAAGGGGACCAGGATTTGCCCCACCTCCATTAGCAATAAGCTGTGTGTGTGACATCCCATCCTGTATATCTCTATCCCTAACTGGCTCTAACTACATATATTCCAACATACATATATAAGGCGGGAGTAATCGCTTGCCATTCAAAAATTCCAACCTCAAAACTCAAAGCTCATCTCGCATTGTAACGGACTTAAAATGAATCCATTGTTCAGAAAACTGGTTGTGAGAAGAGTAAGCAATATCTCGAGACCTAAAAATGATACAACCCGGCTATACACACCCGCAAACCAGTTTGTGGGATACGCCTGTGGGTTTATCCTTTTGGGCGTTTTTGGAACTGGTGTGTTGAAATACCTATATAGAGACTCTGAAATGGTGGAAATTTGGAAAAAAGAGCGGAACCAAGGCCACACTTTGGAAACAGAAAAGGATTTGAAAGGTGCGCATTAAGTGGTGAGGAAGAGTTCATGGTGGTGTGTGATCTGTATTCAAGGAAATATTTAATGAAATTTATGATTTTTTAGTACCCCGAAATTGTAACGCCGGTAGAGCAGTTTGCGTGTTCTGTCACAAAGAGGTCGTGTTAATGATCATCTAATGTATAACGTCAATTGTCTGCTTGCCTATCACGTCAATGGTCGGCTTGACCGACATTTTAAGGTATTGTAATCTACTTGAGTCGTGTGGATATCGTTAAGTTTCAATCCTCACCATAGTCCTCGTCACCAGTACATAGAAAAGAGATCTAATCCCAAGAGATCTAATCCCAAGAGTTCTAATCCCAAGAGTTCTAATCCCAAGAGTTCTAACGCTTTCTGTTAATCCTTCGTTCTTCTTCTCCTCACCTCATCTCTGGTTCCGACTCACCTTAAGAAACCTTAACGTGATGTTCTTCTAGAGCTATGTCCACCCACATCACTCTCCTCCTTCAACAATAGGTTGTTTGGCCGAGCGGTCTAAGGCGCCTGATTCAAGAAACTCGTTTCTTAACGCTGTAATACAGCGGAATCCTCAGGTATCGTAAGATGCAAGAGTTCGAATCTCTTAGCAACCATGATTAATTTTTTTATTCGGTGAGTTGAAAATTGACATCAGGCCACACCCTATAAATACATCACGTGCCTCTCAAGACGCGTAAACGAGCGAATTTTCCAAAAAGAAAAACGCGTAAAGGGGGTGAACTATATAAAAAATTTTAAATCACCTTAGGGCACATCCACAACTACCAACTCCTCTTTCTAGATACTCAGGGTACGAAAAGGTACTTAAAGTCGTCAAAAGTTGGGAAGAATTTGATTGATATTGGAATCTAGTCGTTATTGAAACACATTCACACTCACTCACACTCACTCAGTATGGTGAACCCCAAGGAAACACCTTCTAAGGTGGCAGCTAATGCTCTTTCAGACCTGGAATTGAAAGACGCCAAAAACAATCTCGCCAACACATTGGAAGCCGTTAATGAGCTAGAAGACTCGGGAAACGCTGGATCATCAGAAGACCAAAAACTCGAGTCCAGACTCAGCAAAGCTGCTGCAGAACATCACAAGTTTCTACGTTCACACCAAGTTCATCGTCACAAACTTAAAGAAATGGAACAGCACGAGCCTTTGCTGGCAGAAAATAAACGCAGATTCGTTCTGTTCCCCATCAAGTACCATGAAATCTGGCAAGCCTATAAACGCGCCGAGGCGTCGTTTTGGACCGCGGAGGAAATCGATCTATCCAAGGATATACACGATTGGAACAATCGCATGAACGAAAATGAACGTTATTTCCTATCGCGGGTGCTAGCGTTTTTTGCAGCATCGGATGGGATAGTCAACGAAAATCTGGTGGAAAATTTCTCTGCTGAAGTGCAAAGTCCGGAAGCCAAATGTTTTTACGGATTTCAAATCATGATGGAAAACATTCACTCCGAGACTTACTCGCTACTGATTGATACCTACATCAAGGACCCCAAAGAAAGTGAGTTTTTGTTCAATGCAATCGAAACTATCCCGCAAATCAAAGAAAAGGCTCAATGGGCCATAAGGTGGATTCAAGACGAAGAAGCACTTTTCGGTGAAAGATTGGTGGCTTTTGCAGCTGTTGAAGGTGTTTTTTTCTCAGGTTCTTTTGCAGCCATTTTCTGGCTCAAAAAGAAAGGTTTGATGCCGGGTTTGACATTTTCCAATGAGCTCATTTGCAGAGATGAAGGTTTACATACGGATTTTGCGTGTTTGCTGTTTGCACACTTGAAAAATAAGCCAAATCCAAAAATCGTTGAAAGAATCATTACAGAGGCGGTTGAAATTGAGCAGCGTTATTTTAGAGATGCCCTGCCCGTATCATTGCTGGGCATGAACGCCGATTTGATGAATCAATATGTGGAATTTGTTGCTGATAGATTGTTGGTGGCTTTGGGTAATGACAAGTTTTATAAGGTATCCAATCCTTTTGATTTCATGGAAAACATTTCGCTAGCTGGTAAGACCAATTTTTTCGAAAAAAGAGTTTCGGATTACCAAAAGGCTGGTGTTATCGCCAAATCTAGCAAAACCGAAACACAAGGCGACGGGTTTGCCTTTGATGAGGATTTTTAAGCAACGGTTTGTACACATTTAATGAGAATTTGGAATTTGATAGAGGTGAGTAGAGGGAGTGGAGGGAGTAGCTTCTTATACACATGCAATTGCTCACCTTAGGCTCAGTAGGAAACTGCACATATCAATTCTTGAAGCATTTTAAACACTTTTCTTTGGCAATCTTGATACCGCCATGGCTTGGGCCCATTCTGTTACACCAACTCGACTACTTTCAGGCTAAGACTAGCTAACTAAGATTGAGCGGAAGCTCAACCTGAAACACATAAAGTTTCATGATGAACCTGACAAGGTGACAAGAATATAAAAGAGGTCTAAGCATAGACAGATGAAGCAAGCTAGATAAAGGGATGTTAACGAGGTATTCAACTGGATTAAAGACATTTTACACTCTTTTCGTGATAGTTCCACACGACATCACCACTGACGCGTCGCAGCACGCGAAACGGATAGCCGCCGAGGCTAATTTCGACAAACCCACAATGACCAAAACAAAGACCAACGCAGAGTTTATCAAGGAATGCAATGCAAAACACGCCGGCTTCTACGACTATTCTATTACCAAATACACCATTTGGAACGCGAAGATCAAGTACATATGTCCAAACCATGGTATCCAAGAACAGCGTGCTAACGATCATCGCCGTGGTGGAGGCTGTGGCAAATGTGGGAGAGAGAAAACGAAAAAGGCTTTCCTTTACGACACTCAGAAGTTCATTCAGGTGTCCAATCGCATCCACAACTCCCAGTACGACTATTCAAACGTTGTTTATTCCTCGTATCTCGAAAGTGTTAGCATTCGGTGCAAACTTCACGGCGAGTTTGTCCAGGTCGCCGGCCACCATTTGAGTGGCCACGGCTGCCCAAAATGTGGCAATATTTCATGTAGGAACCGTGGAAAGCCATCAAAGATGCTCACAAGAACCATGTTCCTACGTCTGGCCCGTGAGACTCATGGTGGCATCTACGACTATACAAGCATGATTTACAAGCAAAAACGTACCGGTGTATCGATCATTTGCAAGTCTCATGGTCCGTTTGTGTGCCTCCCTGATAAGCATTTGAAAGGCGTAGGTTGCCCCACATGTGTGTTTTTCGATGCCTTTGTTGCAACCGCTTCAGCTTTGTATCCGGGGAAGTTCGAATATGATCGATCCTCTTACAAGAATAGCAAGACAAAGATGCGTATCACTTGCCAAGCACATGGAGATTTCTGGCAACAACCAGGAGATCACATCAGGAAACGCAGCGCTTTTCACTGCTACATCTGCTTCCTCGAGAGCAAGAGGATTACGCGTGACGAGTTTATCGCAAGATCGAAGGTCATACATGGTTCTGCTTATGGATACGACGACGTCGTTCTCGGATCCACCTTGAACGATTTCGTCACAATTTTTTGCAACAAGTGTCAGAAGCATTTCTCTCAAAGAGCGGTCAACCACCTCCAGGGCAATGGGTGTGCGACGTGTTGCGAGTCTCAGCACGAGAAAAAGATTCGTGCGTGGCTTGAAACTACAACTCACGTCTTTGAGCAGCAAAAATCTTTTCCAGGGTTGAGACATATGCAGCCGCTCAAATGCGATTTCTACCTCCCTCAATATAATCTTGTCATCGAATTCGACGGTATACAACACTTTGAGCCGGTGAAGATGTTTGGAGGTGAAGAGCGCTTCGCTATCAATCAAACGCGCGACCAAATCAAAAATGAATACTGTGTCGCTCACCGCATCAATTTGCTCAGACTTAAGGACGGGCAAGACGTCATCGCTGAAGTTCAGACAACTATCGAGATCATCAAGAAGGGCGGTGACTCCAACGTCTATCACATCCTCTACGGCAAATTCGCCACGCTTGCATAGCTCTCCTGAACCTTAGCTAAGTATACGCTGCCCTTCCATACGCTCATCGCTCACATTCGCAACAAATTCAGTTCATAATTCTTAAACATAAACATAACCACTCATTGGGTGTATATAACTAAATAATCAAGCAAAGTGTCTCAAGATCTCTTCCGCAGCCTTGATACCACTAACGGCCATGGCTCCAAAGGTTGGACCCATTCTGTTGCAACCGTGCAATTCGGCAACTTCCATACCGGCAAAGTACATCGAGTCAACACCTTCGTACTTACCAGCGTGCTTGACAACACCAGCCTCGGCTCTGTTCATGTCAAGACCTTTCATGCCGCCTAGTTTTTGGCTGCCGTCAATGGAGACGATACGCTTGGCGGAGAAAGCTCCGAATGGACCATCGTGGCCGGTAGTGGACAACACAACACCGTGCTTTTGGCTGGGGTCGCGAGTGCCGTCGTTCTGGTAGCCTGCCAACTCAATCACGTTAGGATCCATACAGCTCTGCAAGTCATGTGCCTGAGTGACCAAAGTCCAGTTGGTAACAACACCGGCAACTTGTACGCCGGTTCCCTTGTCCGCAGGTCTAGTGACCAAATCCTCGACGGCGGTGGCATTGAAGAGCTTCACATTGGGAAACTGCAGCACTTTACTGCTCACAGTGGATGTGAACAAGGCCGCGTGCTTAACCACGACATAATCGCCTTCGTCTTCGTAAGGAATTTCCAATTCGTCCAAAAACAAGTGAGCAGGCTTTCTCATGATCATCGCACTCATTAAACTTCCCGCCAGCCATGCGCCTCCACCTAATGAGACGTTAGCCTCAATGATGGCCACCTTCAAGTCTGGTCTGTTCTTAGCAATCACATATGCAGCGGACAACCCACTTGATCCAGCACCAACGATGATCACATCACTAACGGCGAATTTATCCAAGTCCTGGAAGTAGCGCGAGGTCATGGCGCGCGACACAGTGGATTCACGGATGGGAGTGAATTTGAAATCACTCCAGTCTTCCTGTTTCACCACGTCGGAAAGAGCGTGAGTGATGGGAGTTGAGTTGAGTTGCAATTGAGCAAAATTTTCGGTTGCGGTTTGGGTGCGAGTAGCAGAAGAGGACATTGTTGGGTGTGTGAGGGTTGTTGTTTTTAGTGGGAGAAGAATGAGACCCAAATCGAAACCATCCTAAAGCTGTTGTGCTTGCCTTTTTATACGTTTTTCGTGCAACGAGGAAGTGTGCAATCTTGTCGACGATTCTCTTGTCGATTACCATACTAGCTGGTACACACTATTCACATAGTGGCCAATTGTGTTGTCATTACAGGCCGTCTCGGTCGAAACCTGTTCTGAAACCTTTCTTGGATGCATTTTACCTTGGAACAAGTAGTTTATCTAGATGATCGAGGGTCCAACTTTTCGGTCGAGAACTATGTCGAGCCTGAGCATACTCAATTGGGACAGTTCGTTCAGGTAGTCCATAGCATTTAATCTAGCCTCGAAGGTTAATTTGTGATGATGGGGATTGAGGTTTAAGAAGGGAATTCATTCAAAAGTGATGTGCATTTATGCATTTGTAGGGAAGTTTTGAATATTAGAAAATTAGATTATGTCTGATAATGTAAGTGATGGGCACAATTGAACAATTGAAGCTAGAAGCACAGTTGAACAATTGAGAGCGTCAGCGATCAATTGTGAATGATAGTGATGACCAGGAGCATTTTTTAACAATTGACAGCGTTAGCGATCAGTTGTGTATAGTAGAAATGGCTTTCAGCATTGCTGAAAGATTGAGAGCATCAGCGATCGATTGTGAATGACAGTGATGGCTAGTAACACAGTTGAACAATGAGAGCGTCAGTGATCAGTTGTGAAGAGTAGAAATGGCTTTTGGCATTGCTGAAAGATTGAGAGCATCAGCGATCAATTGTGAATGATATTGATGACCAGGAGCATTTTTTAACAATTGACAGCGTTAGCGATCAGTTGTGTATAGTAGAAATGGCTTTCAGCATTGCTGAAAGATTGAGAGCATCAGCGATCGATTGTGAATGACAGTGATGGCTAGTAACACAGTTGAACAATAAGAGCGTCAGTGATCAGTTGTGAAGAGTAGAAATGGCTTTTGGCATTGCTGAACAACTGAGAGCACCAGCGAAATGATTATTATCAATACTCAACAGTTTAGAATCTCAAGCTGCAAATAGTAGAGAATATTGTGAACGACGGTGATGGCCTTTAGCATTGCTGAACCATTGAGAGTATCAGCGAAATGAATATCATCATTACTCAACAAATAGAGCGTCAGAAATTTGTGAATAGTAGAGAATATTTTAAGCAAAATTGAACAATTGAGAGCCTCAGTAACTACTTGTGACAGCTATTGTTAAATTTTCACGATTGAGAGTATCAGCGGTCAAATGTGACTTGTAAAAACTACATGCAAAATTGAGGACTTGAGCGTCAGTGATTACCTGTAAATAGCAGTAAGTTCTTCAGCGCAATTGAGGACTTGAGCATCAGTGATTACCTGTAAATAGTAGTAAATTCTTCAGCGCAATTGAGGACTTGAGCATCAGTGATTACCTGTAAATAGTAGTAAGTTCTTCAGCGCAATTGAGGACTTGAGCATCAGTGATTACCTGTAAATAGTGCAAATTCTTCAGCACAATTCCGTTACGAGTCATTTGTAAACAGTAGGGGACCAAAACCACTGAAGCTCTCAATCCTTAACAGTAGATGCTACAAAACAAGTGAGTGACAGTGACTGCCTGTAAATATTAGCGACAGCGCCGATTACCAGCGTCAGTCGTTACTTGAGAACGGCAGCATGGCGGTAGGCGGGACGTCTTTCCTGGCTTTCTGTTAATACCTTCAATTAGTGACCCATACAGTAGGTTTCGATCGGACAACCGTAACCTCCCCACTCACTTGTTGCAATGACCATCAAAACACCAATAATCAGCTTCTCCGGAAGAGCTGACATAAATATAATTCTGCTTAACGTACCAATTTCATTAGAACACCCCAAGAAGCGTTCCAAAACTCTACAAGCTCTTCCCCATTCCACTGTATTTTCAAGTTTTGTTCTTGATTCAATGTTTTCAGTCATCTCTAAATTGTCGCTGACACTTATTGTTAAATTAAGTAAACTAACACTCTTAACTTTCAATCGATAAACACAACCTTTAACATCACTACTGCTCGATCAAGCTTTAAACATCCCAAAATGCACCAGTATGAGTGTTAAACAATTGATACTCGACGAAATTGTAACCCCTGAAGCAGATGATAGCGAATTAGAGGCGGTAAGATCCGATGAAGATGAAAGCTTTATGCAATTGGACGGCGATGCATTTCGACTAGATAAACCAAATCCACAAAATGAAAACAATGGTAAAGCGCTTTTTGTGAATGATGACAGCCTCTCAATGGACACCCCTGTGAAATCTGGTACGGGACTGTTGCCAGAAATCAGTCCCTCCAAACGCGTGCAGTTCAACGTTGACGGCAATTTTGAAACGGGACAAGAAACAGATGATTTATGGGATTTCAATACGTTGGTACAACAAGAGTTTAGACGTCGTTTACCTCAAAACTATGAGGTGCGGGGCTGGAAAAAACCGTCAAGAAATCTGGTATCGAGTTTGGAAAGTATCTTTGAAAGCAATATGGGAATTGCCCTAGAACAATGTTTTACCAAATACGAAGGAGAATGTGAGCGTGTAATTTTGGACCGCAGTTTGCGTAGCATTCATGAGGAAAAAGAACAAATGCTTTTTGAGCTGTTGGACCAGATTAAACGCCGGATTTCCAAAACCCGGTTTCCCTCACGCTGTGCAGATCGTGATTTGGACATCGAGTACATCTACGCCAAGCGACAATTCATGCAGAGCCGTTTTTCACAGGAGTCTGCACGGGTGGAGGCCTTACAGCTCCAGGTTCAAAGGGAACAGACTAAATTGGATGAATTGAAAACGCTGCGTTCCAAGACAACTGAACGCAATGCACGCAAATTCAAACAGCTAACCGACCGGATTTCCGCCAATCTCCACCCGGCGCTCAGCAAAGCCATGATCAACTCCTTTGGATTGCTCCGCGACGGTCAGGCCAACACTGAACGCTACCAACACGATGTCGACGACCTTAATCTTCGACTACAAGACGCAGATTCTCCCGTTCCACCCTCACAATTACAAGATAATTTGTCCGCAATCAAAAACTATCAAGAGGTCTTACAAAGTTTTAAAGATATTCAAACAGGTGCATTGAAAGATCCAGGCACATGATTCCAGGGTATCTTCGAAGCTATGAAAGGCATATATATCCTAGCGAAGCATCTCCCTAGCTGGAATGACCTAGTGAGAGCAACTCACCGACCACGATCATCCGTGAGAAGTACAAGTTTTTTTTTTCGGCAACCCAAGGCTGCGACTCCCCTGAAACCTGATACACCAACGCAAAGAGACGACACGAACTTGTAGGTCTCAACAGAAATGAACTTATACACGGTTTAAAAAGTGTCAGTTTTAAATTCTCACCGATACACGTGACCTGGAAATACGGTTCTGGCCCATAGTCTTGTACGTAACTCACATCAAGGTAGTTTATTCAAATAAACGTCAAGGTTTCTTAAAACTCACCTTTAAAGCTGTTTTTCCAGTTTCTCAATTCAATCGAGTAACCCCTTTGATTTTTCAAGGGCCCCATTGCTCGTTAGTAGGACCTCCAATCAGCTGGTCGTCCTTGATAGAAATTTGACCGGTATCTTTTAGGTATTTAGCTCACGATAGCATGAAGGGTAGCCGGACGTATAATGGAAAGAAAAGAGACGCAAGTGGAGGCCCTTCGAATGGAACTCATCGTAGTGGCACAGGAATTGGGTTCTACGAGTCTGAAGATACAACACGGTCGTTCAACGACCGTTTGAATTATCTTTTGATCAATAGTATTGGTTCTGATGCTCTGGTGACAGTTACGAATGGAGCGAAATACCAAGGTTTGCTAACCGCATGCGATCCTACGGGTGGAAATGGCGTTAACGTTGTTCTTCAAAAGGCCAGACTTGTAGAAAATAGCTTTGATGCTGAACAATTGGCGTCTGACTTGATCGAAAACCTGGTTATAAAGGGCGACGATGTAGCAGAGCTAGAGCTACAAAATGTGGAGTTTGGTACGGACGAAAAGCCGCGGGAGGCTTTAAATGAAGCATCCGAAGTCCCTAAGGCGTCGAAAGAGAATATCACTGATGATGGTGCAGCAACGGAAATCAAGACTGAAGCTAAACAATCAGAAGTCGCAAAAGAGGTGATTCAAAAGGTAACTCAGGCAGAAGTGGAGCCTGAAGTCAAGCCTCAATTGAAGGCCTCACATCCTACAAATGGGTCAACACGTCCTGTTGAATCGGTAATGTCTGCCTTCAAGACAGATACAGACATTTCCGGCAATAAGAACGAAATCAGAGAGAGAAAATTGGAAAGGTGGGTTCCAGAGCCGCATGAAGAATTCGCGCTTGGTGATGCGTTAGAGGACAGTAAAGAATCGTGGAACCAGTTTGCTGTTAATGAAGAAAAATTCGGTATAACTTCGTCGTTCGACGAGCATCTCTACACTACCAAGATTAACAAGAAAGATCCCAGTTATAACGAACGTTTAAAGGAAGCTGACAGAATTGCGAAAGATATTGAATCCCAAGGCACCACTGGAAATGTTCACTTGGCTGAAGAAAGAGGTCTGGTCATCGATGATTCTGGTGTGGATGAAGAAGACAAATACTCTGGCGTGGATCGTAGAGGCGATGAATTGCTTGCTCAATTGAAGATGAATGCAAAAAGTCTTCCCGCCAAGACCAAAAAATACGTGCCTCCTACTTTAAGACATCAGCCTCACAACAACGATCCAGCCATCATTTCTTCAAGAGCAGCTGACGTGCTACCACCACCATCCGAGGCTCCTAAACCTCGTGAGACTGCTCATAAAGTTCAGTCCGGGTCCCAACCAAAACTCAATCAACTAGATGCGCTCAAAGAGTTTTCAGAAAAATTCAAAGTTCCATACGATATGCCCGAAGAAGTGAAGACAATGTTCAAAAGGGAAAATGAGACTTCTCCGAGGGGCACACAAACAGCATTGAAAGTCAACTTATCGCTACCTCCAAAACCGACCAATACTCCACCTATTGTCCAGGGCAATGTTGCCATCACTCGGGGGCCCAGATCTTCTCGTGGCTCAACACCTTTGAGCGGCAAGGCCGAGTTGAAAAAAACTGTCAGCAGAGGGCCCTCGACTCAAACATCCGTGTCCCCTTCATCGTCTAGCAGACATGCGAATATAATTCGTAGACGCAACGTTAGCCATGGTTCATTTTTGGGCGCCCAGAAGCCGCAATCTCATGAAAAAGATTTTGCAAGAAGTTTCAACATGTTTACGAAAGCCAAGGAAGTTTTTGATGAGGAAAAGAAACATAACAAGGGCCCCGCCGTCTTGATCTTCGAGAAACCCTACTTTACGGCGCCCACATGGATGGGCAATGTGGAACAATCTTACAAGAGCCTATTTCCTGATGAGCGCACTGCTATGCATAGATCGCAACTGAAGATGCAGCAGCGCAATATGGGCGCTATGTCGAATACTGGCAGCCCTCACATGATGGGGATGCCCGGAATGATGATGGGGATGCCCATGGGTCCTGGAAACTCCAACAATCCGTACATGATGGGCCCCGGAACCAATGGAAATATGTACATGCCGTTCCAGCCTCCAACATACTATCCGCAAATGATGCAAATGATGCCTTTTGGGGAAGATAGAAACAGTGCCAGCCCACCCCCTACACTAAACGTATCTTCTCCGCATCCAGGTCAGAATTTTGTCGCTGGTGGTCCGCCTCATTCTTCAACTCCCATGTCGCCTTTCAATTATACGCAGGCTCTACAATTTCAGCCCATGATGGGATCTGGGTCTTTTCGACAAAGTTTCCAACCTCAAAGCCACCATCATAACGGCAAAAACAGAGCACACAACCACTAGACAACATATGGTTTTTGACTGATAATTTGAAGCTTTTATGGTAGATTGGCATTTTCCAAGCCGTTTTTAGTCGTTCTTGACATTTCGAAGCTGCCAAAATCTTGTAGACTCATCGAGAGCGAATTACGGAACCCACATCGATCTTTAAGTACTCCTAGTATCGCCAAATTTAAGCTTTTCGGTTTTCAGTATTTAAGCTCATCGCTCTCATCATTATTCTGACGTATATACATATATATGAGTAGTTAACCGAGAGATTGAAAAACTGTAGGTATTTCAGACCAAAAGCTTCCTTTAAAAGGCCAAAAGCACACGTTCTCGACGCTACCACCTTTTCCCAAGGCTTACTTCAAATCTAATTGGGTGATCCGTCGATGTCAACGTTTTTCAGAGGCCCGCTATGTGGAACAGACAACTGTAGGTCGCGGCTATGGCGTATAATCGATGGGCGAAGAACATGCCAGTACGGACACGTTATGGAGGGTGACGTGGAGTTTAATGACGATGAGGACGATATCAATAGTATGGGGGTTGTTACAAGACGGTTGAACTTGACTACAAACGCTACCGGCAATTTTCGTTCCAGCATGAACTCACAATCGCAGAGCAGCCAAAAATCAAGCGAATTTGCTAAAGTCTACGGGGAAGAAGCAGACCGCTTATTTCTAAATTGTTTTCAGCATATACTAAAGCTACAATGTCGATGGCTCATTGAGAATCAAAAGTTCCCGCCTATCTTTCGAGACGTTGTGAAAACTATGTGGATGCGTCTTTTGAAATCTCTGGACCACGATGAAAGTGAAAACTTGGAGACCCAGAACGAGACGCCAACGGAACGTTTTAATTACTCACAGAACCACAGCAGAAGAATGGGGCTCTCGTTACTGTCGACTTTGGCGCTTCTGTACACGGCAGGTGTGCATTTGAAGTTGCCAGCGTTTTGGCCAGACTATTTGCGTTGGATATGCTCGATGAAACTGATATATTTCAAAGCAAACATGCAACTACCGTCCTCGTGGCGCAAGAGTCTCCCAAACTACTATCTGCAGGTTCTGGAGGGAGGAAATCCGCCCACAGCTGCACAATTTTACCACAAATTGTCCCACACCTGCAGTCGCATAAAAATATCCTACCCAATCACTACAGAGTCGCTTTTATTGAAGCTTCTGCTAGCAGTGAGACTCCCGCCACATCTGTTCTTCTACACGCTAGAGCTGATGCGTTTCACGGAAGCAAGAACTGATTTCTGCGAGTTCGGGATACCAGAACACCGGAGGGTCCGAGACCTCAAATTGCACGAGTATGCGGAGCTCAGGACAGCTGCATACCTCATTTTAGGCCTACGCTACAAACTACTTGAAATGAACCAATTTTTAAACAGTTACTGTACTGTTTGGCTAAGAGTTTCAAACCTAGGGACATCCGACGATCTTCTCACAAAAACATCCTACGGCTTCTCTTCGCCTGGATCCTGGGACCAGAAGTCTACCGATGAATACTTACGGTGGATTGAACATCAGTTTCTGCCTGCTAGCTCACGCCTCGAGTACGAGTCGCAGAGTATAGATCAGCGAATCGCCAATCGGAAACTGCATGCTTTGTTCCCTTTGCCTAAAGAGAGCCCACTTCCATCAGAAGTCAACTTTAAAGCCGAATCTTCGTGCCTCAACTACATACAAGATGCTTACCTTTCGATTTTCAATGGCATGCAGGAATCTTTGTCCGATTACGAAGTCTCAGGGGACAGTGCTCAAAAACTCGCCTCTCGTGTCGAGGCTCGATTAGTAAACTGGGTCGCCCAACAATGGGCCGTTACCGAGCCGCAACTAAACGGCTGTGTCGAACATTTACATTTAAGCACTAAGGCACGTCAAGCTGCATAATGTACATTGTCTTTGTTGATAAAGGACACCCGAGCAAACAGGAGCGAGACAAAGATAGCCTATCTCGATTCAAGGGCCATGCACGGCTCTAAGGACTGCTGTGGAGCTCGAAGAAACCAAAGGCTTTTGATACAACATGCCGAGGCTAGTCATGAGATCTGAGAAGATACCTCGGTAATGCCTCAAGTGCCACACCAACAAACTCATAGTTTTACACTAAGAATAAAAGCGGAGGTCAAGGAGCTTCATTTTGCCGACAGGCATGCGATCTTGAAGAAATTTGCTTGTATTTGAGGTTCTCTCAGGCATTGATTGATCGTAGATCGGATCGGTTCCTGGCACACAAGAGTCGATCTAGTGTACGTTGTGGTTGACTATGGATCTTACGGTATCGAATAACATGCTATAAAACGGGGTCGATCAGTGATCCCTGGGATGGACTGAGCAGGGGCCAATGGTTCAAGCATGCTCATCGGAAGCTTTTGAATCGCTGAAAAGGATATTGTCGAGATAGTTAAAATGACCCAGGATTCTGCTTCGCAAAAATTGGATACGTTATGCTCGCTCGGACATGCTCGCAAGATGGGACATATCGAAAACTACTTTGCTTTAGCTCAGAGGCAAGATCTGTATTCGAATTTCGGACTTTTTTGCGAGATGAACAAGACATTTTCGACGGAACAACTGTCTTCCGCCTTGCGAGTGATCTGCTTGGAACATCCACTTTTACTACACACTGTGGTGGAAAACAAATTTGCTGGAGATGGTAATTTCTATCAAAGTAACGAATATTTGTCAAAGCCCTGGGCCGAGCATGACTACATTCGAGTGCTTGAAAAACTGCATATTTCAGATGTGCTGTTAAACACAGAAGTTGAATCAAATGATGTCGTTGCTAAGATACTAGCAGAATTCCGAAGCAATGGTGGCCGCTACACAAGTCAGATTTTCCAGCTTGTTAATTCGATTCGCATACCTTACAATCACGATTCGAGGCCCAATTGGCGGGTCCTATGTTTCTTCGAAGACAATGGTACTTATTGCCGCAAATTCTTATTTTTGTCGAACCATTGTTGCAGTGACGGCGTGTCTGCCTCTAATTTCGTTCACGACTTACAGGCACGTTTGAATGATCCCGAATTGCCCTCTACCAACGTAGGTGCGATATTCAATTATAGCCAGGACTACTGCCTTTTGCCGAAGCTTCCTGCTCCAATTGAGTCGAAACTCGATTATAAAGCGCCAAAAATCCATCTGGCGCGCATGGTTGGCAGCCAGGTAGTTCGAGAACTTGCCGGTTATAAGTCGACTGGACCACCTATAAAAAGGGTGAGTGAACCGGATGGAAACGAATTTTACAGTGTTTTTTTGAAACTTTCTTCGCAGGAGTTAACACGGGTGAAAATGAGAATGAAAACTCAAGTGCATTCGAGATGCACTTTCACCCCATTCTTGCAAGCTTGCTGGTTCGCGACAATGCACAAGTGCGAGAAGATTTTTACGAATAGTTTGAGAGAGCGATTGACAAATATCTTGGTCGCTATGAACACTGCGGCACTACTGCCATCCGATGATCATAAGCTCATGCGAGACTACCGGTTCGGTTGCAATGTTGGGGGCACGAATTACAACTATCTGATTTCATCCTTCGATGTGGCGGATGATCCAAAAGCTTTTTGGAAACTAGTAGAATACTACTACGACGTATTTGGTGAAGCAAAACGCCAAAATCATTTTCTCAACTCATTGGGCGCTTTGATGCTAGATTCAATGTATGAAAGTAAAAACTTGGATCATGCCATCACACAAGCTTTCCTAAATAAGCCGCGTATGGGTACCATGTTAAGCAATGTCGGCTTTTTTCCACAGCAGGGAGGAGCTGGAGAATATCAAATCCAAGACCTAATATTTGCACAGGCAACAGGCAGTTTCAGGTTCACGTTTGACCTTAATTGTTGTTCCACAGACGTGGGTGGATTGAACATCGTCTTGTGCGCGGCAAAAGGGGCCCTGCCAAGTGGTGACGACTGGAATGAAGTGGGTCAGTTATTCAAGAGTATCATGCTTACGGCGTAATGAGACATCATGGTAGCGATATCAAACTCGAAACTATCTCAAATAATGGCTCATAAGCGTGCGAAAGTTAGTACTAGTGCAATGAGCACTATTAGATGCACATCGTCCTGAGCTGAAAGTCCGGGAAAGATTGATGGAGTCGCATTTTCAGGATTGGAGTGTATCCTAGAAGTATGATGCGATTGACTCTAGGAGATCTCAGATAAGTCTGCCCCTGGGACATTCAAAGATTGAAGACAATCTCAACACTTTGTGTTGGCTGCTGTGGTTTATGACTACAGAAACGCCACCCCATACGGAGTGGAGCGCTGCTGGACAGCCTATATTGATTCACCTTTGTCTTTCGTCCTCGAACAGAATTGCGTCTCTTTGTAGCACGAGATTCAATGTCTTCACGCTATGGTGAAGAGGGTACCGTTTCAAGTACGGGATAAAAATTCAACGTCTTTGCATCTGCTTCTCATTTCGGTGCGGCGAGGACAGTCGCGTACGTGAGAGGCGGCACTTTTCATCCCAATGGGTCTCGAGAAATTATCAACACTTCAAAGTGATCGGAACGCAGGGTTCTAAGTATGTTTAATAATCATTCTATATAGTGCTCAACGGAGTTCACGCTCAAAGTATGCGCTTTCCATCCTGACCGCAGTTTCCAATCAGCTTCAAAGGAACCGGCAGTCATAACATCGAAAGTTTCTACACTCAATGCCACAAACTGCCAGTTCTTAAGCAAGTCTTGAAATAGAAATCAGCATGCTTCATATTTTTGGTCTATCAACTAGTCTCTTCGGGGCCGCAATTGAGCGGCATAGCTCGCATTCTTCCAGTGGTTCTCGAATATTGATGAACGGTTACAATTCGGAGCGCAGCTCCTCATCCAAATTCTCGTAAATGATTGCTTTTACAATCTTGGCTGCTAGAACGTAGTCTTCAACCTCATTGAAGATCTGAGCGCTAAACCTGATCCATAATTCATCACCATGGAAATAAAATGGTGCATACGCCTTTTTGGAGCGAGTTAAAACATCACAGCGAGCTTTGAAACGCCTGAAGCGATGAAAGTCAGTTGAAAGTTTCTGCTGAGCAGAAAGGTACTTAGCGTCTAGCGGTAGGCTCACGTTGAACAATCCTGGGGTAGTCAAAGTATTGGTTGAGTTTTGTAATAACCTGGAGCCCGACCCTAAAGCGAGAGTAACGGCCTTGACAGCAGCGTCCTGTAGTTCCCATTGGTACCTGCGAATGCGTTCTTCACCACCGCAGATACTTTGACGAAACTTCAAAGCCTCTTCAATGCAGAGGTAAGTAGAATACGATATGGTACCGACGAAAAAAAACTTGTTGTGCATTAAAAGGTCATTGTGCTCAATTTCAGCAACCGTTTGTGGATTTTCAATAGCGCGGCATGCTTCCGCAGAAAAGTTCCAGGATATCGGCATTGTCTGAATAGTCGCATGGTGTTTACGGTTGACGTAAAGCAAAGCACAACTTTTCGGGACACTGAGCCATTTGTGCAAGTTTGTAGTCATGAAGTCTGGCTGAAGCTCATCTAAAAACTGAAGGTCCACTTGGCCCGCAGCATGCGCACCATCAAGAAGAGACAAAGTATTATATTTCTGACACAGTTTGATAAGGTCTTGATAAGGCAATTGCACTCCTGGCATCGAGCTTATCATGTCGAACAAACACAGTCTGTACTCCCCTGTAGAGAGTTTGTCCTCGAAAGCTTCAAGGACCTTTTCGTCCTCAATTGGATACGTGAGGTCAATGACATCGTACTGCAAATTAAAATACTCAGATAAAAACTTCACGGTGTTCCCGCACGCCTCGTAGCCTGTAGAATGGATAAGTACTTTATCCTTAGAAAAATTCCATGGAATTGAACGAAGTACTGTGTTAACACCTACCGTTGCATTAGTTACCAAAGCCAAGTTTCTCCAGTCCAGTTTAAGATAGTCTGCAAGGAGCCTGATTTGCCGTTTATAAAGAACCTCGACTTCGTCCGTTAAGTATTTGTCAGGATACCGTTCTGCATCTTCACAAAGCTGCTTTTGTTTTTCAACAACGCATGTTGGTGTAGTTCCAAAAGAGCCATGGTTGACCAACGTCACTTCAGGATCCAAGAGTGAGAAATATTGAGATTTGAAGGCATGGCCAAATTCTGGAAAAGCCATTGTTTCTCAGGGGACTTCAGTTCGAGGGCCTTTTGGGTCGAGATTTTGGTAAAGTTGAAGATAAAGGTCAATTATAAGGTGTTTTTGATTAACGGACCTTCACAACTTTCGATTTCATTTATAGTAGTTATACTGATAAAAAACCCTGCATGAGGCTTGTTATCTGAGGGGATAGTTATGAAATTATTCAGCGAGTTTTCCGCTTCATGTTGGTACTAAATTTGTGCCACGATGGTGAGTCACTGAATCAATGTTCGTAAAGTGAAATTGAGTCATTGTCGAGCAATTGTTAAGGTCGATAAGACAGAACAACACTGGAAGAAGTGAAAAAGCCAAGCTGCCAAACGGCTACGCTGATTCTGACGATGGGGGATAACAATTCACTTAAAAAGTGATGTCAGGTTGAAGCGAACCTAAATTCTGGGCGTTCTGAGCGTTCAGCCTTGTAGCGTACAAGATAGCGGTCGAACTTGAGTACTCGTAGATAATCCCAGTGATTCGTTGGCATAGACTTGAACGATCTAAGCCCCGTGCTGTTCGACTGGCTGCAGGTACGAAAAGATGCCTCGAGGACCCGCTTTGGAACCCGTTTGAATCTATTGGCAACCCGAAAAGTAGCCGGGCGACCTGGAAACACCGGTTCCGTACAGAAGAACAACTTTTAGAGAACCGCACCGGATGTGGCCAGTTCACTCGATTCGAAGACGCAACGCCGAGGTCTACGGACTTCATGCGTAGTTCACATACCAACACAAAGCAGCTGGTAGCATACCGATGACATGACCCAGTTCTTCCATCCGGGGGAGATTTCAGGACGAGGCTCATTGTCATGTACGAAACATGAAGCTCGAGCCTCTGGGTACCATGGCAACGAAAACCGGTGGACTTTGATATTCATTTCTCTTTGTCGTGGCTATTAGATGTGCTGACTTCCATCGCTCGAGATCTTCTTAACATTTTCTTAAATACGAGGTCACATATCAATGCCTCGCTAGTTCTCATCAAACTCAAGTCATTATCTGAGCCGATGTTGAAACCCTTCGTTCGATTTCTCAACACCATCTTGCTTTCCAAAGGATTTTAATAGATCAATAAATGCTCGATTCAAACACGGTTCGTATTTTACCTTGTCACTTGTAGAACATTTGGTGAGACATGTCTGTACAACAAATTTGAGATCATTGCATGTGTGTCGCAGGCTACTCAAACTTATGAAAACCTAGTATGTGTGTATGCTGATTTCCTCGCCATCCCTCACCAGACGCGAATCAGTTTTTAAGTTAGAGATATAAAGTCGGCCAATTAGCTCTTTCGGCTTGAGGACGACGGAACCGGTTTCGACGAAGTTTCAACAAACTGTAGAAAACGGTTCTAGCGTTTTCCCTTGATTTCCACTTGGCGCTTCGCTGAACAATGCAAACTAGTCGTTGTGCTTACACTTGAGTGACTAAACGACGTTTGATGATATCAGATTGCAATATAGTAGTAGTAGAAAGTCAATGTTCTTTTAGCATTGATCTTATCCCATGGTCGCTCGAGCTACTGAAGTGATGAGCGGAGTACATTTCGTTTTCTGCGATAATACCAATCCCAAAGTCCGAAGATCCTATCACGTGCTAAATGGAGAATTGAAACCCGAGTACCCGATTTTCGCGCAGCTATGATCCATTTGCAACCCGTTTTTAATTTGTTAGTACCTACTTCAAAATCCGTTCCGTATATAGCTACAACCCATTTATGATCCGAAAAGGTCATTTTGGATTTTCGTATAAAGGTACCACAGACATGTGAAAAGCACGTGACCTCTAATGTTTAACTCATCGCTCTTTCGTTTATGCGAAGAACCCGAGAAAGTCGTTTAGTACTTTTTCGTTAAAAATCGAACCATCTCTCATCTTCAAAGCTTGTAAGCTCGCACGCTCGCTCCGCTCGAGAAACCCGCGAAAAAAAAAACACCCACAGCTTCGCCTTCACAAACCGTTACTCGTTTGTTATACGGATTAGCATCAGCTCATCGCTTTCTCTCGAAGGTGTATATAAGTGTCAGCGACAGGTCCGTTAATTTAAGCCAGGTTTCACCATCTCATCAACCCGATTGGTACTTTTTCGACCAAGCTTTTTACAAATCACAGCCTCGAAACTTGCCTCATACTTGCCTCAAAATACCAATCAAATGACAGCTGTGCAAGGTCCCGCTCCAGAATTGGTGAACGCGGACGAAACCGTGACATACGACGCCCTTGTGGTCGGATGCGGTGTTATCGGTCCATGTGTAGCAACAGGACTGGCCCGTAAGGGCAAGAAAGTACTCATAGTTGAAAGAGACTGGAGTATGCCCGACAGAATCGTTGGAGAATTGATGCAACCCGGCGGTGTTAGGGCTCTTAGAACTTTGGGAATGGTACAATCCATCAATGGGATCGAAGCCATGCCTGTGACCGGATACACTGTGTTCTACAACGGCGAAAAAGTGGTAATCCCATATCCTTACAAGGCTGATACAGGAGCAGTCGAAAAAATTAGCGGTTTGGTTCGTGACGGCAACGACAAGATCGCCAATGGCGACCAAACCATCTCCGTCCAAGATTTCGAGCTCGACGAGCGCGAACGCGGTGTGGGATTCGTCCATGGTCGGTTCCTGCAGAACTTGCGGGAAATCGTGGCTCAGGAACCCAATATCACTCGACTCCAGGGCAACGTTACCGAAATTTTGAAAAACAAGCAAAATGAAGTTATCGGCGCCAAAGTAGATATTGCAGGCCGCGGAAAAGTGGATTTCCATGCCCATGTCACGTTCGTGTGCGACGGTATCTTTTCGCGCTTCAGAAGAGAGCTTTCACCAGAACATGTACCAAAGGTTGGATCCTCGTTTGTCGGTATGTCCCTATACCATGCCAAGATGCCATCTCCAAACCATGGCCACGTTATCTTGGGAACCAACCACATGCCAATTCTTGTGTACCAGATTTCACCCGAGGAAACACGTATTTTATGTGCCTTCAACTCACCTAAACTACCTTCCAACATAAAAGAATGGATGCGTAAGGATGTACAACCTTTCATTCCAGAATCTCTGCGTCCCTCGTTCGACGATGCTTTATCCCAGGGTAAATTCAAATCTATGCCCAACTCTTTCTTGCCAGGTCGCCAAAATAACGTGCTAGGCTTGTGCGTCATTGGTGATGCTCTCAACATGAGACACCCGTTGACCGGGGGTGGTATGACGGTGGGCTTGAACGATGTGGTTTTGCTTATCAAAAAAATCGGAAATTTGGACTTTAGCGAGCGTGAACTAATATTGGATGAGCTACTGGACTACCATTTCGAAAGGAAAACTTACGACTCCGTCATCAACGTTCTTTCTATCGCCCTATACTCACTTTTTGCTGCCGACAACGATAATTTGAGAGCTTTGCAGAAGGGATGTTTCAAATACTTCAAAAGAGGCGGCGACTGCGTGCGACTACCTGTGTCTTTCCTCTCAGGTGTTTTGCCAAGACCTTTCCTGCTCACCAAAGTTTTCTTTTCCGTGGCATTGTATGCTGTTTACGTTAATTTCGAGAAAAGAGGCCCTCTGGGGTTCCCCGTAGCGTTGCTTGAGGGTATTGCTATTTTATTCACCGCGGCAAGAGTCTTCACACCATACTTGTATGCCGAAATGATCGGCTGATTTAACTTTCTCGCTACAATCCCAATATATATTTATGATACAGAACATTTTAACGAATATTTAGGAAAAGTCAAAGACGGATTAGCTAGACCAATGGACTCTTTGAAGAAATCATATGTCGCATTGAAGGTCGACTTCACATCAACTAATAATCAGCGATACTTCCTCTAGCTTTTTACCCTGATGTCAGTTGATTTGAGTGTTGTATTTTAGTTAATTATACAGCATCTGTCATTAATGAAATTAGGTCATCGGCTGTCCTGGAATAAATCTATCGACAAACTGACGTTAAAAAACGCTAGGATCTCAGCTCTTAGCACCTAGTTGAGACTTTACAAGACATATTTTATTATGGAGAGACCACTTTGGTTTCGCTGGCTGAGAGTTTACGCTTACGGCGGTGCCATTATCGCTACAGGATTTGTTCTTTTTAAATACACCACTCCCTCCGATGAAGAGCTAATTAGAGCACTATCACCAGAATTGAGGCTCCAGTTTGAAAGGGAACGTCAGCTGCGCCAGGCTGAACAGCAGGAACTCATGAAAATCGTTCAAGAGACAGCCAAAAGCAAAGATCCTATCTGGAGGACCGGTTCCATCGATTCACCTTTTGAAAGAAACAACAGCCAGCAGTCGCGGGAACAGTTTCAACGTGTCAAGGCGGAGGAAATCCAGCGCGAAGAATTACAGCGTGTTAGACAGGAACTGCAACAGATCAGACAGGAGACCAGTGACAAGACAAGAAAGGGCCTACCTTCAAATAACTGGTGGAAGTTCTGGTAAATCCAGTGCTCTAACAAGAAAACATTACACACCAGCTTACTGTACATAGTGTGGATGGCTAACGTTATATATATTACTATTATTTAAACTATCATTATTCTCGGTTCCCAGTGTTTGGCCAGCGTCGTACACTCATTGGCTCGAGGCCCATGTGGAGAACCCGGTTTGTGCAAATGCTTGCAGGGCGTTACCGAGACCAGCACCCGAGAACCGACTAGTTCTACCCTCTGTGCTGGCACTTCTGTTCAGTTGGTCAACGGCAGCAACTATTCGGGCCACGCTCGTCTCGATAACCATTCCTCCCTGAATGATTTCCTCCAGCACGCTCTCAAGCGTTTGCCAGTTGAATATAAGGTCTAATTCGTTGACTTCCGTGAAACACCGGTCTAGGGACTCCACAAACGTCTGGATCAGATCCAAAATAGCCAATTCCGATTCTTGGTCGTCCACGATGAAAGTGAAGTACAGAGTTGCGTAATTCTTGTATATGACCTGAATACCTCCATCTTCGCCCAAATCATCAGAACCAGACCGAAGAAGTGAAGGTGGAGTTGTCAGAAACGAGCTTTGAAAATCGCTGTTTCGATGAGATACCAACTCATAGACCTGTTTTATCAGCAACTTTTGTTGAGGCAATTCCACGGGAGTGTAAAATTTGACCAATCTGGGTTGTGCCTTCTTGTTAACTACTCATTTGGGTTCTCCAGGTTAGTATATCTATTAAAAGGCTGCAGATTCACAACACACACACCACCAAATACTTACATATCAGGACCGAATGTATCATTTTGAGTGCAATAAGATCAATACGGCAACCCAACAAAGCACCACTTGTATCAAGTGAGACTAATAACCTTGATGAAGTGTCTCAACCTATTCAATTGATGTCAGAAAAACGATTCGAAACCCTGTGAAATATCCGATGCTTTCAGAATTGTTTCTTGATGGTGGGAATTTTGGAATGCTGTTACCAAAAAAGAACAAAAGTGCGCAAGCCCGGAATCGAACCGGGGGCCCAACGATGGCAACGTTGGATTTTACCACTAAACCACTTGCGCTTGTTTTTTGGAAGACTCCAGTTTTGAAATGTGCTATAGTCAGAGAATTTTGGTGTGAACATGGTTTCTGCCATATAAATTTCACTGGTGACGGCTCTGACAAGTTTTTAGACATGTCAAGCATTAGCACTTTGAAATAACCCGACAAAAGCAGTGTCACGGAGACAAGCATCGAATCGATTCCGTATAAAAGAGTTTCAAGATGGCTCTATCTTCAATTTTTGGAGGTGCGTCACCATCGCAGCAGCAGAGTACAACAGCAACCGGTTCGTCGTCAAAAGTTGCGGGCATAAAAGAGCAATTGAAGACTCAGATCGGCCAGGAACTGGCCGTTGCGAATGCTAGCGAGCTGGTGAACAAAGTGACCGAGAACTGTTTCGAAAAATGTCTAAGCAATCCTTATTCCAGCGCGGAAGAAGGCTGTGTCGATCAGTGCTTGGCCGAGTACATGAGAAGCTGGAATGTTGTTTCTAAGGCGTACGTCGCCAGGATCCAACAGGCCTCCACTTCTGGTGAAATATGAATGTAAGCTGTGGCCGCAACCAGTGAAAATAGTCGATTTTAAAATGCATATGAGTCAAGTTGGCGCAATTCATACACGAACAACGTCCTCATCACTCTTTTCTTGGTACTGATTTAAATTATGAGGTTAAATAATATAAGAATGAGTAGTAGTAAAATACCGTTGATTGTCGTAAGGTCTGTGAGACGCTAGATGCCGAATGAGAGGATTCAGATAAATGTGGTTTAAATCGATGTGAGGAAGATGAGAAAAAAAACTCCTGCGTCTCCAATATCAAAACCCAGTTTTGCCCTGTTATTTTTTTTGTCAGGTAGTTTTTTCCCCGTCTAGATAGCCCCATGGTTGTTTATTCGTCGTCATCGTCTTCGTCATCGCCGGATTCACCAATCTTAAGCTTGACATCTTTCCACAACTTGCCCTTGTTGTGAGCCTCGTACCACGAAGTAACGCCGCTGTCAAAAGCGGTTTGAAACACGAACGACGCAGCGAAAACTGTGCCTACGAAAGTGGCATTTCTCTTGAAGAAAACGTTGTAAATAGTGGAAAATACCTGTAATTACAAGTCTTGAGTTAGTACGGAATTGGAGCAAAATGATACTGTGAGTACGCGAATTTAGCAAAGAAAAGTTTTGCGAGCGGTTTGGCCAATCTTTGGAATAAGTTCGTACTTTTGATAGAATTTCATCCACAACGTCTCCGTCCTTCACATCTCATAAGTATATTGACAAAATCCATGATTTTGAAGGCTCCTTTCGACAAACGGGGAGCAGCCAGGAACTTAGAATATCACATACCATTATGATCGAGCAAAATGTGGCTGAGCTGAGTTGAGAGGATGGGGTTCACTCAGTTTCCTTCAACTTTAATCAGATCTTACTATGGTAGTCGAAACATTATAGCGGGTTTGGTCAAAATCCTAGAAAATTCCTAATTTAAAAAATCCGAAGACTCTATTGGGTCGTACATGACGATATGAATAGGTTACAGTACGTATACACAGTTTTAGTGTCGAAGGTGATGAACAAACTTGGTGTTAACGGCCTCTGGAGTGACCGCCAAGCGGTCGACAATATCCGTGTTGTTTGCTAAGGCCTCACTTCTTAATTCTTGAGTGTAAAACTTTTCTAACTTCTTGACGAAATGATACCATGAGCAGTGATTGTGTTCTGACATGCTTATCTGAACACCATGGGATGCGTTTCAGAGCCAATTCGCAAAGTCTACTCCTCGTCTTCATTCTCCTCATCTTCGTTCTCTTGAGCTTCATCGGGAGCTTCATCGGGAGCCCCGTTGATGTTTCTAAAATTCGGAATGAAATCGAAACGCGGGACGAAAACGTTGCCCATTCCTGTTTCATTGTCTTCTGCCGGAAGAGCATCGTCAAATGCCCCAGCGTCTGTCCTCAAATTGTTGATGAGCTGGAAGAACTCACGTATATCACCGCCAGGAGTTGGCCCAGCTCCCTCTAGTCTTATGCCAGCTTCTTCAAAGAATTCTTCTGGTCGGATTTCCCAGCGAGCTCCCACGCCCTCAGTGTCCTCATCCTCAGCCTCGCTGCTGCTGCTGCCGTCGCCAAGTTCATCGGTATTAGCGCGACGGGGTCGAAGCACGTTTCTGTTGAAGTTGAGCACCACCCCATTAGAAATGATCAAGACCCGGAATTCGTCACCCATCACTCTGCTCACCAAACCCGGGATTTCATTGTTCAACCACACACTGGAGAGGTGCTCATATCTGCGAAGATTGAGTAGAGTCAAATCGCCCCGCTGGATGGCGTTGCGCCCCGCTTCACCGTGGGAGTTTAGATAAGGCGCGGAAATGGAGATAGAACATCTTGGGTTGGTGACTATCAGACACACTTCGCTAAGATTTGGTAGCAAGAATAGACCAAATGGCTTGAAGCAGCGATTGGCCAAATGCTTGATTAGCTCTGTATGATCTTTTCTTGCGTGAACCTTAACCCCACAAGCCAAACAAATCTTAAAGTCTAACCGGTTCCCAGCATTCTTCATGTGCACAGGATGCTCGTCACGTAGTTTGACAACTTGCGAGTTCGTGACATAGGTATTGAGTTGGGGTGCAAGGTTTACCAATTTGACAACTCCGGTAAACTCGTAGGGAATCTTCATCAAGTACGGATCATCCAAATTAGTGCCGCAGGGGTGCTGTAAAAGTGCCTCTAGGCTATCACAGACGGTGAGCTTACTGATAAGAGCCCTAACATACACTTCAGTGCTCTCGAAACCTTCCATAGAAGACTCTAGATCTAAGTCTTCGATTACCAAATGAGAGTCGTCAGTGGCGCTCAAGGCATCGTTCAATACTTTCAGTAAGATTAAGCATCTTCTTAGCGTCGGTAGTAGATTTTTCAGTAGTGAAGTGTAAGCCAAATCGTACAGCTTCTGCCGCGAAGCTCCATCTGATATTCCAATATCGCATATGGTGCGCAGGCAATGCAACGTTTCATCAGCGCATCTGCATAAAGATTCTTCACTTCTGCCTCGGTCATGCATTTTAGCAATCGTGGAAGGAGATTGGCCCTTCACGAAATCAGCTATGAGTTGCCTGGAGAACAGGGAAAGTGCCTTGCTTATTGTTTGAGAGATGGGCACGGGGCTCAGTAGTGCATGTCGCACAATGTACTGGAAAAGCTGGTTTTGATTCCATACTATGCCTTCACTATTGACGTAAGGAACATGATCCATCGAAGGGGGTCCCAAAGCACTGCATAGCCATGTAATAGATGAAAGTACGTTGTACAAAGTCCTGAACTTTTGCTCTTTTCCTTGCAGCAAAGTACTGTTAGGGGCCGGATGCATCCTAGTGGAGATTTCTAGCATCGAAATTGTATTCGCCCAATGGACGATCATTACGTGTGCCACGTCAGAACGCTCAAATTTTGGATTAGCAGCCCAATGGCGATCATAATACATGTTTTTTTTGTTGATTTCAACAAACATGTTAAACACACTGCTATAGTCCTCGGTAGGATCAGTTCCGTGCAGAGAGCTTATTGCCGGCTTGGAAAAATTGGATCTTAGCAGACTCTTAACAGTAACGCTATCACTATTGTGCAATTTCCCTAGCACAGGTATCACACAATTTGAGTAAGTTTGGCATAACGGGCAAATAAAAGAATTGGTTGAGAACCGCTTCTTCTGCGCATAGCGTTTGAAGCAGTTGTAATGGATGTGATGGTTACAAGACACAAATACTTTCCTCGAGCCTCTTAAACCGTCTTCTTTGTAGCAATCCAATGTCTTTTCATCATAAACCGTGGGCTCCTCATCATTGTTCCTGAAAGCTCCCCATGAATTTTCAAGTTCATTCATATCATGAATATTTCCGCCTCTGAAAGCTGGCGAGTTTTCATGATAAATTGGTATGACGAAAGAGTCAGTCGGTGATACGTCCTGACATAAAGCACAAGTGTGCTCTTCGCATGAGTCCCGTATTTGGTCGGTCATATCGACATCTTCTCCGTTACCGCTGAAAGTGACATCGTTATCTTTTATAAACTTGGTGTGCTGCTTGGAAAACTTGGATAAGATTTTTTGCTGACGGACTTTTGCAAGTCTTTTTTTCCGATCCTTTTCACTCTCCCCAAAACTCACACCTTGGTTAAGTTTCCTGGCTTTGTATTTTTCAACAGGCCCTTCGCCAAAGCAGGAAACCAGGGAGTCAAGAACTGCTTCGGGGTTCTTCAACATCATGATTTCGAGTAGGTGATCTGCCTTGGATATCACGCTTTCTGTGAAGACGCTCGACTTGCAATCCACGATTGTCAAAAACAGATTGCAAACAGGTTTGGACAGATAAGCTTCTGGAATAGAGCTCTTTCCATAGAGAAGTTCGTAATCCTTAAAAATTCCGTGAATCAAATGAAGCAGCTCATAAAGATACGTCCCCTCGTCTAAATCGAGACACATTTGAAGGAGGTTGAATACTACTTTGGCAAAAACCCTAGTGCGAGTGAAAGCGCCTAAATTCTTGGCAGTTTCGTCAAGAAACTTTGGATGAATCAATTGAGGCTCTAAAACGACTCTCTTTGTATCGCCGCCTGGCCCAGCCAGGTGAGATGCGATTACATTCGAGCTGTGGCCAAAGTCATTCCCCATGTTAGGCAGTTGCATTGCATCAACTTTCTTGTACAGTTCTGGTTTTAGCTTGAAGACCCCGTTGTCCTCTAGTCCTTTGGGTTCAACATAGATCGAGACTTCCTCCAAGGCTTTATCGAATATATTCGAGTTCTCCGTTAAGTACTCAGGCATTCCAGCAAATAAGTCAGAATATGACAAAGGTTCCATAAACAAACCATAGATTATCGCACTTTTGAGCTGATAACGTTCTTTTTCTTCGACACTTTTGAATTGTCTGAAAAACTGTCTCTCTGTGAGAACTTGATAGACAAATGCCACAAACTGTTGAACGATGAAAAATATTTTGTCTTCATAGACCGTGTGCATGAACTCCTCTTCTCCATCCAGCCAGCCCAACAACTCCCATCTTTCTAAGACATTATACACCAGTCTCACAAGATCATCCTTTTCTTCCAAAAAGGTGAGTTGGCACAGGTGAACATCGCGCATGTAGGATGCCATATCAGGGGTCCGCTTATAATACGAGGATTGACGAAGGACAGAAACACCGTTACGGACCCAAAATCCAACGTCTATTTGAGAGCACAGTACAATTGACCTCAAGGATATATCTGATATGGCAAGGAAGTCGTTGCAGTCCGAAACTGCCTCAAAAGATTTTTCCAGCGGTATTTTCTCCATTAAAAATGAGAGTAAAGTGTGAACTGGGTTCATGAAAGCCACACGTTGCTTACTCACTTTGAATTTAATGATTTCGTGACTTCCATGAACCGCTTTGTAATGAAAAGATCTATGCCCTAAAAACGTGCTTAGGAGCTTGATGTCGTGCAGAAGTAAATCGGGGTCGATTTCATGTCTCTTGATATCCAAAGTTTTATCCAAAGTTTGAACCATGCTGAAGACAGAGGTCGTATATTCCACGTAGGGGATGAAGTTTTGATCTTCTCTAAGAACGTGTTCTCCCTCCTTTCGTTTGACTTTCCAAGCACCGTTGAACAGTTTGCACAAGGTGACAAGCGCAATGAACACTGTAGGCCGCAAGAGAAGGTTGGGGTCGTCGATCTTGCTCAAAATTGTTTCTATCGCGTAAAAGCCCTGTTTGAAGGAAAACCTATAGCTCTTGGTGGGGTTAGTTTTTTGTACCTTTTGCCAGACTAAAAGTCCCGCGTCCTTCTTCGCGAATTCGGTGAATATGTCAATGACAGACCACATTATGTCACAGAAACTACCGTTCTCGAGAGTAGTCTTCGCGTTGGTAGGACAGGTGAACAGTTGCACCACACACTCTCTTAATGCGCTAAGTTGGGGTTCTCGGTCCATGAAAGCAAGGGATCTCGTCATGTGGTTGAATATCTCCACTAATTGCGAGCAAAATATGGGTTTGAATGTCACACTTGAAGACATGGTAGGAATAATGACGTCCTGTATGTCCTTGCGAAGCTTTTTCCAATATCTGTTGTCGAAAAATAATAAGTGCTGCAATCTAGAGTTCGTGTATTTTTTATTGATTGGTGTCGTCGTTCCATTAAGGGTCAGAGAAATGTAATTCGTCTCTTCTGGAGAAAGTTCCTTGTGGTGACCTAAAGGAATCGAGTTATTCCGGCCCAGTATCGACAGGTCCGCGTACCTAAAGGTGGTATCAGCATCTACTTTAGGGGGAAAGTTTTTGTCTATTATCAAGCTGACATCTGGCCTTTCATTGAGGCTAGCAGATTCTGAACAAAGTACAACACCTAATGCCTCTCTTAAAGTCCGCTGGAACTCAGGGTTGGGAACAGTTAGGCAGTGACCAAGCCATGCAATCATGTATTTACAAGCTTCTTGCTGAATGTATTCACTCCAGGCAGTAAGCGTGGCACTCAAACCGTTAGTACGAATGGCGAAAAAACCGGCCATGATAGATTTCATGTCATCTGAACATTTCAACATTGCTCGGCCTTCGCCATCGATACATGCAGTCAATTTATCGGTATGCTTGTCATCCGGCGCTCCTTGCTTCAAGGCCGCGATTGCTTGCGAGTAGTTATGGTATTCATCGTTGTACACCATTACCGCGTAATCACCATCATAAGGATCGTATTCATCTTCGTCCGAGTCAATACCGTAAAGTATATGAACTTCGAGGTCACGCATCCTAGTATATTCATTCTTGTATTTCAAATCTCGCAAAAGCTCTGTTTTAGCCCTGAATTTACCATGCTGTTCCATTTCCCGAAGAGTGACAGTAAGCTCCTTCTGCACTGTCGGTAGAGGTTCAACATTTTGATTGAAAACGTCCAAAAAATGATCAAGGATATCCCCCAAGGCGTTTTCGAACAGCTGTTGCATCTCTAGCGATTCAAAGCCCTCGTTGCGGTCATAATCATCCATTTCCTCGGCATCGTTATCAGAGTGTTCCGCTCGACAATGTAGCGTCGTGTTCCATGCTTCCGAGTCCCCACAGTCGCAGATCCCTGAGTTAAGGGTTGAGCATATGCTGGTATGTACATGGTGGCCTTGGTGGTCTTTGGGATTAAAACAGTGGATGCAGAGTACGCAAGTGTCGTCAAAACTACACTCTTTACAACGGTAGATGGGCTCTCCTGGCTGAAATTTACGACCACAGTTACGTCCAGCATGACGGTGCCGAAGCGTTGAAGCTGTTTCGTCAACTGCGTAAAATGGGTCGTTGATTTTTTGCTGTGCCAAACCCATATTCATCGCCTCCTCCAAGCTTTTTGGGAATTTGTCAGGCGGTGCACTGGGGAACAGCAGATGCAGAAGTTTTCCGTGTCCTGAAATCACATAGTAGAGGTACCGGAACACAAAGTTTTTGAGCGTTTTATCCAGATCTACCCGTTCCTTGGGGCCTCTTGCTTTTCTCACATACGGGTCGCCATGTATGCACTGCAATACATGTCTCAAATGCGGTTGCATCTTATCGCTTTCACCTTTGATCATTTCAGATTTCCATGAAAACAGCACTAAGCCTTATACTAATGCAATTTTGAAGGTAAGCTGGAGTTTGATCAGTTGATTTGTGATTTGAGATGTGTAGAGATGTAGTTACCAGGATGTCAAATCGGCTCCTTAAATTGCAATACTGTAAGAGTACCCGTAAGTAACGATATCCACGTTATCTGGCCAGTAACAGAACGTCAAGGCGGAAACAAAAAGTGAATAGGTGCCATCATTATGACAGTAGTTGAAAAATGCTTAAAAAACGGCATTGCAGCTTCGGATCTGTTCCCAGAACCACTCAAGTAGTTTCTCAGTTCTCATTTGCTTTACCGCCATCTACCCGTTTCTCTAGTTGTGACTATACCCAATAATCTAGTCCTACTTGTCGCTTTTAACGTCTTCAACGCTTAGAACAACAGAAAATGGTGGCAAATACAATAAACAAATAGGGAATGCTCATCCCCATAATTGTTGTAGCTCGAGCTGGAGGGCCCAATACAGCGCTTTCGAGTTACTGTGGATAGCATTTCAATTAATAAGTGCTCCCGGATTAATGTTATGGCCTTGGAAGAGCGACCTGTGCGCGAATTTTTGCTCTCTTTGCCGCGTTTAGCTGGAGAAAGTTACAATGAAGCGGTTAGCTATCTTGTGTGGCAAACGCTGGAGCAGTGCGTTGCAGACGGCATCTGTTCTGTAAACTGGAGCAGCAAGCGTGCTGTTTTTGAGTCGCGCAATTGGCAGACAGGTACATTTATGTCTTTGCAGTTGCCGCCCAATTGGCGCGATGCTTTTTTCAAAAACGTGGATTATTTGTCCGATGAATCTTCAAATGGCCACCGCGGGTCTAGTTGCAGCAGGATCTGTAACTCCCCAGAGACTGTTTTCTATTGCTTCGATTGCACTCGGAATCCGCTGTATGAGATATGCAGCGAGTGTTTTGATCCACAACAGCATGTTGGCCATCGGTATACCTCAAGACTTGTGACGAGGCCTGAGGGACGGTTATGTCACTGCGGTGATACCAGTGTGTTATCTGCAGCCAACGAGACCTACGAAGGATCTTTTAGGTGTCGCAATGCGGCCAACAACGTACCATTTCCCTTGGACTATGAAAATAACTCTGACCCAAATTTGATCAGTGTGCTCGAACAAATGCTTGACTACATCATCGACACGACCGTTTATTTTAAAGAGCTATCAGGGGACCCCGAAAGAACCGTTCTTGTCCATGACAATGGTGTGGCGATTACTCATGGAGATGAATACGTTTTGCAACTCAACGGAAACGAATGTAATTGGCAAATCAAAGATCTGGCCATTAAAATCAGCCTTATATTGAATAAGCCTTTAGAATATGGTCTAATGATGACAGAAATACTCCAACGAGGCGATTCGTCGGTGGTTCTTGTCAGGTCTGCGAATCTGGCAAAGCTGGAAGAAGTCCGTGATGCCTTTGCTGCGGAAAGTATACATTTACAAATCAGATCCACGTCTGACATGTTCATGGAAAAGCTTGTTGACGAACTTACGAACATTCTTTACATCCTTTGTGCCAGAAGCCCTTCCCTCAGGCTCAAGATATCTTTACGCGTTGCGTTGTGTGGAATATGGGAATCGGGACTTTGCTCCACCAAATACACGCCTGATGTCTTTAGTTCGTTCACCCCAAAAATATCATTACTCGGAGGTTTTGTTGTTCCATATGAACAGCGGACGACCTTTCCATGGTTTAAACCGTGGAAATTCCCTGATTCAGAGGACAAGAAACATGATCCTAGCATCTTACGAATTATGGGACTCTACGACAAGCGCTTGCAAGATGCTTCTTCTCATGGCTTGACTACGAGATATGGATTACTGGAAGGCTCACGGTTTCAGAATCTCCTCGTTCAGGGCTCAGAGCTATTACCTAATATCTGGAAGTGTCGTCTTCTAAAGATCGTAAGTTGCGTCTTCACTATAATTGATGATTCACGAAATTGCATTGCAGCTCAATACATCGACATCTATTCCAACTTGCTTTACAGCACTGTCGAATCGGATCCAGCAGGCCATAAGTTATCAATCATGTGTTCACTCTCTCAGTTAATCTTTCAGATACCGCATGTCGCCAATATGATCATTCCATCAGGATTCATAGAGCGAGTACTGCAGGTTGCCTTCACTCTTATGTCTTTCCCGCCGCATGATCTGATTGAATGCCCGCCCGTTCCACTTTATCGAGATTTCAAACTTCCAAAAGATGCTATCAAGAATAAACGCAGTGTTATTTGCTTCAAGGATATTTACCTTGTTTTCTCGACTAACACTGTAGCAGAGATTCTTTTATCATCTGAAACCATATTGAATTGTATGATAAAATGCTTCGCAGCTTTCAGCAATGTGCTGCCGCTAACGCGCGAAACATCAGAGCATGTCGAATTCGAAAATTTCGAGTTTTCTTCTTATTACTTCTACTTTTCTTCGGTACTAGTGATGGTTGACGGTTTTACAAGAAATATATGCTTACTTGAAGATTGTGATACTCGCAGTAACATTGTTCATCATTTTTTGAGCATGGCCGCGGAAAAGGAGTTCGAACTATTGAGGGCTTCTGGACATGGTACTAGTAGGGTGAGCTCAACAGAAAGGGTACAGGAAGCAGTCCTCGGATTAAAGGTGTGCAAAGAAACCATATATGACACCACTGCTGGCGTTATAGATTTTGAAGTTGGAACCACCCCTCAAACATTTTTCAATCCCATGTCATATTTTTTCAAGTTTGTGACACTATGGAGTCAATGCGGTCGCTACGAGCCTTTGAAGTATTCATTACATCAGTGCATAAGGCTGGAAAATATTTTTGCAGATAAACGGCAAATAATATGGATGTGCGAGTCTGCACTCAGTACTCTGGTCCTTTTAGCGCAAATAATGTCTGGCTACTGGGTTAGAAACGGTTCGCCGATCCAGCATCAAGCAAGAATGTATACCAAGTACAGCATGAGAGAATTCACTTATTTCAGTGATATCTATATGCTGCAGCTGGCTATGAGCATCGGTGATCCTGGTGATTTTTTTGTTACCTATCTTTCTCGTTGGGGCTTGAAGCAATGGGCAGAGGGAATGCCCTACGGTGATTATCCCGACATTGAAATAACTACATCCATGGTAGATAATTGCTTTTTGCTGCTAATACATCTCTTCAGTGAAATTCGCAATCCTGCGATGAAATCGTCAATAGAGGGTTTCGAAATGACTATGCAAGCGGAACTAGCTCATGCTCTGTGCTTCAAAAACTCAACTTATAGCGAACTTCTAAATGTCATTCCAGAACATGTCACAAAACACCCTGCATTTGACCTATACCTGAATGATATGGCGCAATATACGCCACCGACTGAAACAATGGATGCTGGCATCTACTGTTTGAAGGAGGATTACTGGTCATTAGTTGACCCGTACTTTTTGGGATACTCTTCGAGTAAGCGGTATGAGGCTGAGAAATTGATCCGAAGCAAAGCTGCGATGAGAATGAAATGCGAGTACTCACAAACTTTTATACCGGCGAAAGAATGCGCTTCAAAGTTGAGCTCAAGCACTTTCTGCAAGCTTTACCAAATTTCGGGCACCGACGTATTCGGACAATTCATAAAAAAAACACTTGATCATATCACTAACCTAAACAACGACGTGCTATTAGGTAAAGTGACGCATGTTATCCATCTTAGTATCGTTAACAATGTTGCGGGTTTTTCTTCCACGTTTTGGAAAGAATTTGAACCAGAAAGCTCTCTAAACAAAAGCATTGCTTCTATACTGTACTCTCTCCTATCAATTGATGACTTCATCAACGAGCACGGAAAGATTAGGGAAATTTTCCGCTGCCTTGTGGAGAACGCACCTCACGTTGATGTAATCGCGTTTTTGTCGAAACAGACGCCCTCGCTTGATTTAGGTCTTTTACATGGTCCCATGAAATGTGATAAAAAGAAAGATGAAGGCATGGAAATGAGGAAACAGCTGGCCAAGTCGAAGAGACTAAAGTTGATGAGAAGAATTGCCAAACAACAGCAAAAATTTCTTGCTAACAATCAAGTTTCACTGGATCATAAAATGTCGTCAAGTTGTCACCAAGATCCCCACGAAGACGATTCTCTTCTTCCAGAGCTAATGTGCGTCTTTTGCAAAATGGGCAAAGAAGATAGTTGTTTTGTTTTTTTCAGTTTTGTGGAGAAGAATATCTGTGGCCAGTTGTTTTGTGAGAACGCCACTATTGGTGAAGAATCTGGCTTAACAGTTAATTCTAATACGACGTTTCATAAAAGCACGGAAACAGGTCCTCTGATTCGCACCTGCGGCCATGGTTGTCACGAGAGCTGCTTGGTGAGCCATATGAAGTCTATCAGGACTGTGCATAACCATATTACTAAAAATGTTCCAAGTGAGCTAGGGTTCTCGTTATTATTCTGTCCTTTATGCTCATCTTTATCAAATTCTTTCCTGCCTTACATTCCTCCGCATTGTAAGAGCGCTAGCATAGATAATCCGCACACGGGGAGGCTGTTGAAATCATGTTACAAATCCACAATGATCTTGGATCGACTCTTTCACAATGAGAAAAGCGCAACTTCACCCCACACAGACGTCATTAGCCGCCTAGAAGCCAACACAATCAAGAATGCGGAAGTGGCTTCTAGGTTTAGTAGAAAGATCAAGGAATTTGACGGTGCATATGGAGGTTTTCTCACCACTCAACATATGGTTTCGTTGAGACTCCTCTCGGACATGAAGACCTTTCTCCTCCTAGCGTCGAAGTCAAAACAGGTAGAGCCAGTCAATTCCCTGCTCACACTCCATTTGTTGAATACCCTTGACGAGCCTACTGAGTCTTTTGTAACTGCTCTTAGAACGAAATTTCAGTCACCACAAAACTTGTCGTCATCAGACACTGGGGTTACAAAGCACTACTTTGATCATGTCAAACACTGGTTTTTTCAAGACGTGCTGTTTTTAGCTAGAAACAGACACCGCATCTGCGGTGTTTCATCCCGCAAAGCACTCAATTGTTGCTCAAGTGCGCTTTCAAGCCTCTCTGATCGCCAAGAATTGGAGAATTTCTCAGCGCTTTTGGATTTTTTGTCTTCCTTACTAGGGGTTGAAATAAACGACAAATACGCATCAGGTCTAGAGCGTGCCCTATCACTGCTGCGTAGCTCCATGACTGTAAGAATGAGGAGAGTGAGTGTCCTGATGTACTTGCAAGGCTTCTCCAAGGCGTCCAAAGTCAATAATTGTGATACGGACTTCAACTGTTTAGACTCTGTATTGAGGTTTTGCGGCATGTGCACATTCGGTCAATTACTGACTAGCATCAATAAGGGCATAAAAATAGAAGGGGCACCTGTTGATGATTCCAAGCGCCGGAATGATGGTTTTGGTGGATTTAGAGCTCGCCTAACATTATGTTCTTTTGACAAAAATCCTTTAATAGAGTTGCCGGATTCCTACTCACAGTTGTGGAAAATCAGTTGCAATAGCTATCTACCTAGAAACAAAAGGGAAGAAATCGCAATTTGTTTGTTCTGTGGTGCCCGTGTTCGGGTGCAGAACCCTGTGGCTTTGCAAAGTTATTCGATTGGGGAGTGTACTGATCATTGTCTTCACCATTGCCCATCGACATCTGGTTACGGGTGTTTTCTGCTGATACTGAGCAACACAGTGTACTTGGCGTATGGCCATAGAGGAACTTTCTATCAGGCACCATTTTTAAATCAACATGGGGAAACCGACGAAGACTACCGCAACGGAGCGCCCGTATTTCTCAGTAGAGAACGATATTTGCATTTAAGCCAGGATGTGGTTTTAGGAAACATGATTCCCCATCTTGTTTACAGGTTGACTGACAACTCTTCAGACCTCGGCGGGTGGGAAAGCATGTGAAGGCTTAACGAATAATTAGCTTGTAGCATAAGCTAAGTTGTAGCATAGAAACATTTTTTTATCTCTTTACAAATGGGGGGATGTCGAGAGACTATATAACTTCTATTATTGAGAAGAAAACAGCAAGCGAACAGGTTGAGAAGACCAGCCGGCATAAGACACTTAAGCCGAGTCATCCAGGACAGTTTGCTGCAAATTATCAGCAGTTTGTGAAACCCCGTCAGAAACACCATCAGAGGTACTTGGAGCACCTGGATAACGCGAGCCTTTATTCTTTGGCTTTTTCTGTTTCTTTGCCTTTTCAGCGACAGCGACTGGGTACCCTTTCGCTCCGGCTTCTTGAAATTCGAGGTCTTTGACAAAGTCCTCTCTAATAGGAGCTAATAGCATATTGATGACATCGCTTACACCAGTTTTCAAGTCAGGTGGAGCAAGCTTCTCATTCTTGTAATCCTGTACTAGCTCAGCAAAAGATGTGTAGGTGATGGGCCCACCAAATTTATCAGGTCTATTAATGTGAAACTTGAAGTAGTTGGTACCGTATTTCAATTCTTGGATGGGAACAGCAACATACTCAATGAAAGAAAGAAGACCATTGTCTTCAATGACACCTGGTGCGCAGTAAGCGGTATTAATCTTCTTTTTGACTTGCTTTGGCTCTTCTAGAATGTCGATCTTAGAGTTTGGATCAGAAGCCGACATTTTACCACCCTGGCTAAGACCAGGGACCATTGGATTCATCAAATGGGCCCTTTTTTTGTAACCAATGGAAGGAAGGTTTTCCTCGGCCAACACGAAAATCTTACGTTGATCCACACCGCCAAACTGAGCGTCGACATCCAAATGCTCCTCATCCAAAGCCTGCATCAGTGGGTATATCAAACCGCTGAGCAATGGATTGGCAACCTGTTTAACGACATCAGCTCCAGCCCTCTTAGCGTCATTTTGAGACAATCTGTTTGACAGCTTAAAGATATCCATTGTGTAATCAGCAGAAAGTTGATACGAGCTACCAACAACAAAGTTCAGTTTCTCGATGGGAACATTAATGCTGCGAAGCAACGATTTGATAACACATTCGTAGTATTTGGCTCTGTACTGCACCACCTCTAGAGGTGCCTTCATATTGTCCAGAAAAGCGTGCAAGTCCGCTAAAAGTACAGTTACCTCACATCCGGCTTTCAGGAAGTGTGCCAGCTTGGTCACAGGAACAAAGTACCCACAATGAGGACGACCTGTGGGCGCCGTACCCCAGTAGAGCTTCAATGGTCTCTTTTGGACTTCGAGCACATCTTTGATGATTTGAGGATTGAGAACCTCCTGCAAGTTCTTGGTAATCAGCTCGAAAGCCTCCTTTGGATCCACCACTGTTTCTGGTCTGCTTGCCATCTTAAGGTAAGCTTAATGACAAGTCCTGGGGTATTCTGATGTGTTCAACATAACCAAGAAGATGATTCATTGTAGTTCACAGTTCGCCTATTCTAAATGAAACTTTTAAACACTTGGTGCCAATGCGGGATAAAATGATATTGAGGTGACGGTAAAATAATGGAATTTAGCTTGGAAACGGATACTTGGCCTCCAGATGGGACTAATCAGTCTGTGGTAAGCCGTTGTAGAGGGGTTTGGATGCACCTTAGATTAAATTGAAGAATTTGGGGTGTCTTAGAAAATCTGGGAACGTACAGTGCTGGTGATGACCCGTTTGATATTTTCTTTATTTTTTGAAGGTTTCGTTAGAGGTTGTGGAAAAATGGGAATCGACGTCTATTCATGCTTCATATTGCAGGTGCGGCAATGAGCAAGTTTTTTGAGAAAGGGCGCCTTGTCTGGGGCGCCTTGTCTGGACCCCCTTGCTGTGTAGTTAGTCCAATATTACGCTGTAGCGGTAGAATGTATTCCTGCTTTTTTTTGTAAGATTCAGATTCGATGCGATAGATGGTACGGATTTGAGAAATTACGTAGGAATGCTTGCATTTATATCGAGCACTGCGTCACCATCATTCGCCTATTTGCACTGAAAACGAAAAACAAACAAACAAAAGCTTACCAGGGGCGGTTCAAATGGTTAACGTACGCAAATTTATAGGTGCCCTCAAATTTACTGAAAAACCGACTTTTAACAAGGGCTTCACGAAGCTAGCACTTGGTATGTCGTAGCAGTAGAAGACTACGTTCAGAGATGATAATGTCATTTCATCATGGAACACGAGTGCGTCATCACTGTCGAATGGAATGCTCGTTGGGTGTATCGCCGCCGAATTCATCAGTATAACTAGTGAGTAGGTGAAGAATACTCTTGAATCTCTCAAGTTTTGCAACATGAACTTATCCACACCAACCAATTAGCGTCTCGTAAATGAAATCTGATATTGCTGACTATCCAATAGATTTCTCTACAGCACTAGTGCTGCGACGATACCGCGTTATTCAAGCTAGTGTGTGCTTTGGGAGATCCCTCCACCATATTCCTTACACTGTCGTCTCAACACGTGATCACGCCAGTACTGATACAATGCAGGGCCTAGTGGTTAAGGAAATGGTGACACCCAAATTGCATGCTCTAAAAAAACGTCTAAGACCACTTGAAGCAGGTTTACAGCTTTACAATCTCTTTCACTCACCACTCTCATTTTCGTCAATTAAATGTAGCAAGTATTTTTCAAGCCATGACATCAAAACACTTCACCAAAAAAGGTACGCAAGGGTCCAAAAAATGTACATTTGAAATCCAAACCGCCGAATGCACAATCAAAGCCACAGCTTGAAGCGTCTCTTCATTCAAATTATTTCAATTCTTTGGTTAAGTACATATAGGTAATTACACACGAAGGGTCATATAATTTAAATGAAGCAAAGCATCCATCTGCTTCAACCATCGTTAGAAACCGCCTTTCGAGATTGGAAACAGGGCCGATTTTGAGACCACAGAAGCTTATTCTTTCCACTAGCACCGGGAACTAATTTGCTACTATGTCCAATCCCCTCAAGTCTTCTAACAGCGCTTCTCCCTTCATCAAAAGAGAGCAATTGAGAAGAGATTTCTTGAAGTCGAGACTGCGGAAAAATGGGACCCCAAAGCCTTTTGTCAAGAAAGAAGACCCGGACTCATACGACGAACGCACGAGCAGGCTCTTGAATGGTGGGGAAAATGGAAACGGTAGTATTTCGGGTGCTCACCCAGGAATCAAACGGGAAAAGGCAGATCCAAGCCAGTACAACGAGTTTCCGTTAAGAGCAGTTTCTCACGAACATCTTGAGAATATAAGAACCCACATTCTCAAGTTTCAGAGTAAGAAAAAAATCGAGCCGGCAAAGGACTTGCACCTTCCTGTCAGACTGCACCGTAAAGACACAAGAAACCTGCAATTCCAATTGACAAGAGCAGAAATCGTGCAACGGCAGAAAGAAATCGCAGAATACAAACGTAAAGCGGACACTGAAAGAACTAATGGAAACGCGGGACCCAGTGGTACAGGAACGAACACTCCAGCACCCACAGATTCGGGAGCTGTCACTTCTGCTGCCCCTTCAACTGCAGCAGCATCGCAAACGGACACACCGGTTGGAACACCGGCTCAAACGCCTGTGCAGACGGAGGCTAAAGAGGAAGCAAATTCTATGGACATAACGGAAGGTAGCAGTCAAGCCGAAAACTCGAAAAAGACGCCCGCGCCGCCTGTCACAAGGCTGGAAGATGCTGGAGTAGCAGATGATCCAACCAAAGTTGGAAGAGTGAAGTATGACGGAAAAGAAACGCCAGTAATGGCCGATGGCAAAGAAGATCCGTTTGCAGACGTAGCTCCCGACGGTGGTGGTCGTTTCAAAAGGGGAAACGTCAAAAGAAAGACAAGGTCCTTGAAACTGCTGGATGAGAACGCCAAACGGTTGAGATTTGAAGAATTTTACCCGTGGGTCTTGGAAGATTTTGATGGTCTTAACACATGGGTGGGATCATACGAAGCGGGGAATTCGGACTCTTATGTTCTTCTCAGCGTCGAGAACGATGGAAGTTTTACAATGATCCCAGCTGACAAAGTGTACAAGTTCACCGCTAGAAACAAATATGCTACGCTAACTATTGATGAAGCTGAAAAACGCATGGAGAAAAATGGGAAAGGCATCCCACGTTGGCTCATGAAGCATTTGGACGATATTGGAACGACCACTACGAGATATGATAGAACACAGAGAAGGCTACGAGCAGTAGATGCTCGTCAAGGGGGCGAAGACGATAGGGATGATAATTCGGAAGTAGAACTAGATTTTGATGAAGAGTTTGCAGACGACGAAGAGGCTCCAATTATTGATGGAGATGAAAAGGAAAACAAAGAGTCCGAGCAAAGAATCAAAAAAGAGATGCTGCAAGCCAATGCTATGGGATTACGAGACGAAGATCAAGATGAAGTTGATGATCTTTTCGGGGAGAAAAAGATTGACGATGAAGGTGAAAGAACTATGAAAGCCCTTCAAAAATCGGACATGGCTGCACTGTACGAATCAGATGATGAGTCGAAGCTAAACCCTTACTTGTCTGAATCGGAGGCTGACCCAGAAGAAGAAAAGGAGAAAGAGGAAGATCAAGACAACGGGAAGTCCAGCAGGAAGAACTCACCAAGAAAGAAGTCACCGAGAAGCTCCCTTCTGGGTCCTCGCATACACGTTAAAAGCATCAAAAATTTCCAGGTAGTACTCAAGGCTGAAAAGTCTGTTTTGAAGAGTTTTCCTGAAGGAATTTGGAATCCTCACATCAAATCTGAACGCTCTAGTGCCCCAGTTGGCGATGTCTCTTCACCTGTTGTGAAAGTGGAGGGGAGCGTCGAAGATCCAGACTTCTTGACAGAAAAGGACATTATCAATGTTGTATCGGGCCGCAAAATGAATCTGAAGCAGTTGATCAAAGAGCTAAAGGAAAAAGTAGCAAGACATCCTTCCAACAAAGAAAGAATGAAGCACTTGGTAAAAAAGCTCGTCAAGCTTAAAGACGGATACCTAGAGCTGACAACAGCGGAATCTGGTTAGCAAATTGCGATTTACTGCATCAGCGTTGTATGGCCCAATTTTTTTTGACCAGTATGTTGCAAGATTTTTTGTAGTGTATAATAATGATAGTAAGTTCTTCTACTTATGCAACCTCTACAATTGCGTCATCGTCATCTTCATCCTCGCTTTCTTTGTCTTCGTCCTCTTCAGCATCTTCTGCGTTTTTAGCGGGCAGTTCTTCGACTTGATCATTCCCAATTTCGCCCCTCATGAGCATGTTGACGACACGATCGCAGAGCTCGCTAATTTCATTATTGTCGACGTTTTTTTCGAGTTCTCTAATAAGAGGATAAACCGATTTCTCTCTGAGGTAAGCTCTGCCACTCTTGGTGGTACACAACAGCAAAATACTCTCCAAATGAACACATATAATTTCAGGTACAGGGTCTCTTTTTTTGTCCTCCGGAAGAAGTTGTAGCTCATCCGGTAGCTTGAACATATCCTCGTCATCTATTTCGGAGTCCTTCGCGCTAGAAATCGGTAAAAGGATGTACGGTAGCAAGTTAATATTTTCGTTCGTTAACAATTCTTCATGCTTTTCAGAATCGAAAAGAGAGTTTTTGATTGTGGAGGCTACACCCTCACGTCTGGTTTTTGAGTCAAACTTTTCGGTAAATACCAGAAGCTTTGATACAGGTACAACGCCGTCGTAGTCTTGTTTCTGGATAAAATATTCTCTTCCCACACGGAATCTCGAGATATCCGCGAAAAAGTACGCCAAATAGTCATAATTCGCAAACTTGTTCAATGATCTGTCGGGACCTTTCACAAAACAGTCCATTAGACAGTCCATGACCATGCCACTCTTGAAAACGTTTGTGTCTAAGCCGGCTTCACCTGCATTTTTTTTGCCCAAACTAAATATACGGGTTATGCATTCTTCCTTGGCCAGGTTAGTTAGCAGGATACACATAATATCAGCACTTGAATTGTTCAGGTCACAGATTTTCCACGTCAAGAACTCGACAAAATCGCCATCATCCGCAATCAATCGTCTCATCGTTGGATCATCGCACAAGTTCGCCAAAATAGTAACAGACTGCTGAACCAGAAGTCTTGAATTTTCCCTCGCCAGTTCTTTCAGGTCCTTAATCGCCCTGTAATTGTCGTATTTGAAAATTGCAGCGTTGGCACCGGTGCTGAATCCCACCACATTATCCAGGGCTATTTGTCTCACAGCTGGCTGTGCAGAGTGTAAAAAAGACACCAATTCTTCCAGTTGAGTAGGCATTTCTTCTGGAGTTTTCAACAGAGCTTAAAGTGTTTCCAAGCTTGTTCCACTGAATTGACCTAAAATCGAACTTCGCTGACCAAATTTTTTTTCACGCTCAGCTCATCGCTTAAGTAATTAAAGTTACAGTAATCGATGTGATGATAATCGTTGATATATATACCTTCAAAAGTTCACCATCGACAAGAGTTCGACCATTGAACTCGAGATAAACGACGATTGTCAATTCAGATTTTCTTGATAATCAGTTTCGTCAGTTTAGCTAACTTCTAGTGTACCTTTCATCTAATTTACTGCTTTTCAAACCTAGTCTCAAGTTCGCTATTACAGGATGGGATCACAGGAATACTACGCAGATGTCAAAGCACAGGAAAGCATACAGTTGAACAAGAAAATTCTTATGTATATTCAAGATGGAACTTCGTTGGGGTTCGGATGTGGAGCAGGCATACTACAATTAGAAGGTTTACGCGGATTTGGATTTTTTGCAGCCTCTTATTTGGCAGTGATAGGCATTTTCGTGGGATGGTTCTGCAAGTTTAAACCTGCAAAATATTACCAAAGCCCGATCCAAGAGATCCTAGTGGATTCACTGTTTAGGGAGCTTGCTGGATTCGTGATGGCCTGGACATTCGTCCACGCATTGGTCGGGTAGATCGATACCACGGCACGTGTAACGACTAAGATCTCCGCCTGGTCGCGAGAGATGTGCAAGTGTCTAAGGACCACGATGACGACAAAAACAAAAGCTCTCAGTAGCTCGGAGTGTTCTGCCGATATGTATCTATCGAATATTCTTTAAATGCTGAAATGGTTATAGACAAGAATGGATTGGAAATTATACATATATATACAAAATTTTGGGCACACACAGCAGGAGCCTTCTTTACACTTGCACATTCTGGATAATAGAAGCGAGTTTCTCGACGGAAGCGAGGTGCCGGTTGCCCAGAGCGTTTGCCTTGTTGAGCGTATCTAGATAAGCCCGAATGGCCATAACCGCAAGCTTCTTATCCGAGCCCTGGGTTACGCCCACGAGCTTCTGCACCACGTAGTTGGCATACTGGTCGCGCATCATGAGTATTAAGGGTGCATTATCTTCTAAATGGGTAGCGTGCTCTTCGTCCCTAGGTAAAACTTGATCCAAAAACTGCTTCTTCTGAGTAGCGGAACCGAAAAGCATTGTCTTCTCCACAACGTTTGAGGCAAACTTGTGTTTCGAGTACTCCACGACATTTTTGGAAACAGCATCAACGATAGACTGCTTTGTTTTCCCAATATGTGTGTTTTGGTCGGCGGAGCCATGTTGTAATACGTGTTGTATGACGTAGTTGCCGTACTGATCTTGTATCAGAAAAGGAATAAATGCATCAAGGTCATTCAAGATTAAGTCTTGGTCTTCCGCTGAGCCGTATTCCAAAAGCCTTTGAACAACTCGACATCCGTAAGAATGCGTTGACAGATGATAGATCTGCCCCTGCAAGCTGTCTAAAATGAAAGTCAGCTTCGTCATCGGAATCCTCTCAACGGCCTTTTGAATGACATGATTACCATTTTGATCCTTGATCATAAGCAGAACACAGCCAGACAACTCATTGACCAATGCGACTTTTTGGTCTTCCTCTATGCACTCTAACGCTCTTTGGATTACGCGACAGGCATACATTTGTTGAGACAGTTTTTGCATCTTACCCGTGAATTTCTCGAAAAGAACATCTCTTTGGGTTTTGAGTCCGTACTCAAAATACTTTTGAATGACATAGTTCCCAAAGACGTCGTCAGCAAGTGTTATTGCGTCGTCTCTAATCTCATTGAAGATGACCTCCTTCTCGATGTCTGTGGCTTTCACGAGCTCTTGTTGAATAAATCTAGAACCGTGCTGATCTTTGCAAAACTCTAGCGCAGAGCCATAGATGTCCGGTAGTTTGTAGGTCTTTTTATCTGGGGAGCTGTTCCTGAATTCCTCTAAAAGTGGAGATCTGATAATATTGTTTTTACCTTTGCCTCGAGGCCCCGGATGCGGGGAACTAGTTGACGGGTTTGGAGTTGGAGAGAAGCTCTGCGATCCAGGACTTCCATTCGTCGACTTCTGGTTTCTGTTATTGTACAGGTAAGGATTTCCCTGGGACTTGGCTTGGTCAGTCTTCGAGGATGGCCTCATTGGGTTTGGTGACGACGGGAATGATTCGGGCGCCGGAGGACCTACTACAGAAGGGAAAAACATGTACGAATTTCCAGGAAACATGTAAGGTGGGTACTGCGCTCCTATTGATGGGTTTTTGTTATTGTTATCTGCTGGACCTGGTATGGAAGCATCGCCATTTGGAGATGAAGCGACCGGTGGTACCATTGTATTTGGCATTTTCCAGTAGTTGGGATATGGAGGGATACCATAGGGAGTTCCAATCGGAGCTCCAATCGGATTGCCAAACATATCCATGGGAGGTGCCTGGAAATGAGGCTCACCCATAGAAGCGGAGGGGCCCTGCGGTCTAAACACGGGAGCCTCGGCAACTTTCCATATATTGCGATAGTTGAGCTTTGACTGTTCAGATTCCACCTGGAGATTTTCGCTGAGGGACTCAAGAGCGTCCGATGAATCTGAAAGCCTTCTGCCTTCTGCAGTTGTTGCTGCAAAAGTCGAATTGCTTGTTGCTCTGGAAAGCGACTCCATGGCATTGAAACTTTCTCTGCGAGAACCTCTGCCTGAGGAAGCTCCCAAGTTGGATTCCACTTCGCGTGTACCTTCCGCAAGACTGCGACCAAAACGCTCAAAAAATCCACCTTGTGTGGGTTGCTGGTGTGATGAGGTACCACCAGCAAGACTGACAGAGTAGTTTCCCAGTTTAGCTAGTCGGTTTTTGACACCGGAGGGACCAGTCCCCAATGCGACATCCCCTACAGAAAGCGTTGTACGCTTTATAGTGGGAGACTGTTGACCACGAAAAAAAGATTCAGACTCGATATCACTGCTATGGTTGCTGTGAAGCGAGCCACGGCGAAAACTGCCCAGTTGGCCGTGTTGTTGATGTGCCGACAAATTTGATAGTGCTGATAGCGACGAAACGATCGATGCTAATTCCGAGTCCATATTGGGGCCCTGGCCGTTTCCAGAGCCCGCGGTGCCCTCTTGGGCCATCCACAATTCCCACTGGTTGTCGGTAGCCGACATGGAATGCGCTAGGAACGGTTAGGATTGCCTTAAAAAACCTGCTGCTAGGGTTCTTTCCCTTTTCAGTCTAGTGACGAAGTCCTAATTTAGAGAGATAGAAATGTTTCTTGAATCCCGGGCTCTGTTTCGCTAGGTCTTTGAAGCGCTGAAAGATAGCAGTCTGTAAACCTGACAACTAGGTCTACAAAGAGCTTCGAGACTGCCCAGTATAGTCAAGAGCCGTCGTTATTGTTGGCCAAAAACATGATTTGGCTTTTCGGATGTCATTTTGGTGATTCTGAGATTATATATTGGGCGACAGGGCGTGAGAGTTTGGGTTGTCGTGTATAGCGATGTGTAAAAAGCTCGAGGCCACAGAGAAGATGTCAGCGTCACAATATACAATCCCAATGTCAAATGTTGATGAAGGTCCATAAGTGAGCGATGCACATCAAAAAGGTATTCAATGAGCGCAACCCCGTTTACAAAATGAATAGAGAAATGAGGTTTATCTGATCATCATTTTATACGATTATATTTTCTTAGTGCTTGGTTGGAATCCATGAAGTACGTCATCTAAAAGGACCGGACTCGTGTCGTTGAGATATTGGCAATCTTTCATGCTGGTATCTTTCATGCTGGGCTCTCTCTCTCCCCCCTCCCCCCTCAGTCTCTCTCAGCTAGCAGATATCATCCAAAACTACGACAACAATTGGGTAGAGCAATACCATTTATAACACCTATTCAAGTTACTCATTTGTGATATCACTCCCGCTATTAATGAGCTGTTTTAAACTTGCTTGTACCTGTGAGACTCTGAGCGAGTCCCGGCGGTGTTTTGGTACGATGACCGTTTTCAACACCTTTGATAATGATAATGTCATCCATTTTGGTGGTGGACAGATTTATGGCAGTGTCAGTGGATTAAGGTGCGTCGTGAACTCTCCTTGAGCAATTGCAGAGGAAACCGAGCAATGGGTACTGAGGACGGCTCGATAATGTGAACATGTCGTTCGGAGACGTCAAGTACTTCCACGTTTTCGAGCGTACTCTCGAGACACCAGAGGAGCGGTGATCGTTTTGTACCGCTGTGTCGTCGTCGTCGTCTCTGAGGCCGAAATTCTGGATCGCATGGTAGCGTAACGGTCGATGCTCTCAGCCTTCCAGTTCTCTACCTTCGTTCGAATCCTCCCCCGCGTCTTTTCATGTTTAAGGATTTTTCTTCATTTTCTTTTNCTGTTTTAAGGTTTTTTTTTTTTTTTTTTTTTTTTTTTTTTTTACTTTTTCGTTATCGTGTGACGAACGAATAAAATGAACAATCGAAGTTCGTTAAATTTCAACTCTCGAATTTCGAAAACCTTGAAAGACTCGATAGACTCGGAAAAGTCAAGTTTCTACTCGTACAGCACCTTCCCACGCTCCCTATTCATCCAACACCATCCAAACTACGATTTCTAAACCGTAACCGTTTGCTTCCAACTCTCAAATCTGTTTTGTACGGTTTTCAACAAACACCAGTGGAACGATTGGGTTTTTGACATATATAACCCCGCAAGTGTGCTTGCTCGAAGATAAATTTCCGGATAGATAAAAAAAGATCGATTTTTTTGGGTAGGAACGAGGTCACAGTCGGACACTATACCAGCAACACTGAAAACGGTAACTATTCGAGGTTGTGCGTTTTTTTCAAATTTCCAAGACTATTTCAATTTCAGCACAGCTTTGATTTTTCGTTTCACCTGTCAACAATGGCTACTACCACTACCAACATCAACGCTACAGGACCACCAGACTCGCAACTCAATCATGCAGTTATGAATCGACTTGACAAATTTCTCAACTCTGTCGATACTAAACTAGAACGGCTAGAGGCCCTGCTTCCCGGCAACTGTGGAGCACATTCCTCCGCATGGCTCACCAAGGCAGATATCCAAAATTCATCCGGCTTCGCGGTATCGACGTCGACATCGTCGTCGGGGTCTTCGTCGGGCAGACCTCAGCGTCTGCACCGGCTAAAAAGCCGCGGGAAACAAATCGTCAAATGGAGCAAGTCTCAGGCTGCTCTTGTGCCCAACTACGCCCTGCGCAAAATTTCTTCACAGTCTTCCAGCAACCTGGCGGTAGGCCCATCAGCTCAAGACCTTGACGGAGAGACAGGCACAATCTTGCAGCTCTACAGATTTCTCAAAAACACGGTGGAGGAGTTCGGCACCGAACCAGCCACTCGTAACCATCATAATGCTACTGCTGCTACTGCTGCTGCTGCTGCTGCTTCTACTAGTACGCCGGCTTCCGTCTCAGCTGTTCACTCAGTGTCTGACATCGATACCTCCCGTGTTGGCTTACAACGGAAAGAAGACACTCCGTTTGGGTCAGATTCTGATATGATCACCATGATCGATTCCCCAACTTCCCAGCAAGCCTCTAACGTCAAGCGTTTCAAAGAGATCTGGGATAACCATTTCCCAGGCTCCGCTGGCGGCACGGGAAATTCAACAGGTGCTCTCTTTAACTCATCGGCTGCCACTCTCGTGTCTTCTTCTTCCTCATCTGACGACATTCCACTCCTGCGGCCCGATGTTGCTTCATCTGCATCATCTGTGAAAGGCAGCGAAGGCAATAATATTAGCTGGTCTATATCGTCGTCGCCATCCACAGAGGAGCTTCTGCATCATCTGGAACTATTAGATCAGAGAATCGATGGGCTCATTGACGACCCCAAGTCCGTCGCAACGTCTATCAAGTTTCATAACTACGCACATGCCCTGCACAATGGTATGAAACGCCATCTACATTACTACGAACTTCCTTTCCCCTGGAGGGAAAACAGGTTTATTATTCATGGATACCGGTTTCATGACTCTTACGTCAAGTCCTTGTTATCTATTTTCAACTGGTATGGCTGGCACAACGAAACAGTCAACATTTGGACCCATCTATGCGGTGCCATTTACTTTGCATTCATACTTTTTAAAGAGTTCCCTAGAACGGCTATCTACGGATCTGACTTAGTTCCGACTGCAGCCAAATGGGCCGCTTTTGCTTTCCTGTTCGCTGGGTTGGAATGCTTTGTGTTCTCCGTCATATGGCATACGTTCAATGGTATCTGCCACTTAAATTCCAGATCCAATTGTGCCTGTGTCGATTACACAGGCATAACAGTGCTGGTAACTGCATCGATTCTCACCACTGAGTTTGTCACACTTTCCGGTGATTCCAGCTCGCCCTACACATGGTCTTTGCTCTTTTATGCGACTGTCACAACTGGTCTTGGTGCTTTTGGCTTTTTTATGAACTGGTCGCCAAGATTTGACAGGCCAGAGTCTCGACCCTTAAGAATCGCTTTTTACCTCCTGCTAGCGAGTTTTGGGATCATATCTCATGTGCACTCGAGCTTTTTTAATCAAACTTCCAACGCTGCAGAATTGATCAAACCAGTGCTCAGCAAATCACTTTGCTGGTACCTCATTGGTGTTGTGTTTTATGGGACTTTCGTGCCCGAGCGTTGGAGGACTGACGTGCAATTGCCGGATAATATTCCATCAGAAGAGGAGCTCTCAAAAGATCTCAATATTATCACAAAAGACAGGCATCTCCATTTCCTTGTTGAGCCAGTTTCTCGTTGCGAACACCAGCACGAAAACGACAAAAAAAGCTTCTGGACACTTTGGTGGGTAGATTATTTCTGCTGTTCTCATACTTTATGGCATGTTTTCGTGCTGTTGGGAGTCTTTGGGCATTACAAAGCTATGCTCGAAATGTTCGAGAAGAGATGGCTGACAGCTTAAGTGAGCGAGGCGCAGAGGCGAGTATTACACTAATTCAAACGACGGCGTTTGACATCACTTTCATAATTCGAACTTACTTTTATTACATACAACTTCACATTTAAATACCGGCGTAAAGATCTCACTATTCAACGGAGACTAAAATCTCTTTCAAAGGCCAGCACGACCGTCATAGCAAAGCTAAGTTGGACGCTCCAAAATGCTAGTCATCTGCCCATCTAAAGTACCTCGCTGTATACGTTTGGGTCGCACGAACACTGAAAAGTATGGAACTGATCAGAATACGTGAAAAACTAGTGCTGTGCTCATCGCTTAATCTTCGGACCAAAATCAAAACGGAAAACATCGAACTCGAGCTCTATGATTAATCAACCTTCCGGTCAAATCAAACTAACGAACGTTTCTATTGTAAAACTGAAAAAAGGGAAAAAGAAGTTTGAGATTGCCTGCTACCAGAATAAAGTTCATGATTTCAGAAAGGGCATCGAGACGGATCTGGACGAGGTTTTACAAATCCATCAAGTATTTATAAACGTCTCCAAAGGTCTTGTTGCATCGAAAGATGATTTAGCTAGTTCTTTTGATTCCACAGATGTTGACACTATCATCAAAGAGATCCTCACCCGAGGAGAGATGCCTTTGTCAGACAAGGAAAGGCAGCTGATGATGAACAAAATCAACAACGAAATGCTGACCATTATCAGTGCAAAGTGCATCAACCCCAAGTCAAAAAAAAGGTACCCTCCCTCGATGATCCATAAGGCCCTGATGGAGCTTAAATTTAGAGTTGTGATAAATAAACCTCCCAAGACACAAGCACTGGAGGCAATCAAAGTGTTGACCGCCAGTCAAATTATCCCCATTGCTAGAGCAAGGATGAGAATCAAGGTAGACATGGACAAAATTGGTAATGAAGAAGTTATTGACAAATTGTCGAATCTCATGAAGGCTGCTGAAGCAAATGAGACAGAAACGACATGGTCGTGCAATGCGCTCATAGATCCTGTCGCATACCGCGTCATTGTCGATCTATGTAACGGTAAGGGAATGCTGCAAGTTTTAGATTTGGCTGTCATTGACAGCAAATAACGCGCAGTGAGAAATGCAGGATGTGTGTAATGCATAACTAGGTGGTTTAAAGTGGCTTGTGACCATAACTGGAAAATTTCAAGTGTACATGCTTCTGATGGCCTGCAGTATGTGCAGGAGTATCCGAAAGTCGTTATCCGTTGAGCTCTTCCTGAAGAACTTGCCACTCAGCGAAATGACAAAGTCTCGAGTCGGAGCTACATCTCGTAGTTTGTCTGCATTGGAGGGAAAGATAACTTTATAGTATAGTTCTGCAATCTGAGAGCACACTATTGGTAGCTTCATATCATTCGAATCACCTAATCTCGTCGAAATTTGAAAATTGGACAAATAGTCCTCTGCAAGTGTAAAACTATCATCGTCATTGTCAAATTCGTAGTTTTTATTTTCTTCTTTTTGTTGAGAGCTATTTTGAAAAACTTCGTCGTAAAGTTTGGTCGCCTCGAAACTGCTGGCAGGTAAACCCCTCGACGTGACCTCGAGGCATTGATCGAGTTCACCATTAAACCTTATCTGAACGAGCACTTTGTTATTGAAATGGACGGCTGATGTTTCTAATACACAGTTCGAACCCAACTGTAAATCATCAGGTATATACGTTCTATAGTCAGCCGCAAACATATCCAATTGCTGTGTAGTTAACCTCTCGTCAGCTCACTGGTTCTATCTGTTGGTATTTTTTGACAAACTGTCATTATTATTATTGAAAAATATCAATAGCTGGCTCATCGCGACATTTCAACCTGAAAGTATAATGTTCAGGGAACGCTGAGAAGTGGTGAAGCCTCGATGGTCCTAGATATCATATATGCTTTGACATCCGCAGTTATAACGACGTGTTTTCTGACAGTCCTTTTCGTGTTTTCACTATGGCATAATCTAGTCGCAGCGCATTTCAAGCCCAGGGATCCGCGCGACACTCGGAGCTCAAGTACTGGTATCAAGCCCGGAAAACGAACAAGAAATTCATCTGCTGCTTCAGGAACTCCTTTGGCACTCGACACTGACCATTTGAACAACATAAATTTTGATCATCTTATTTCCAGTCCGCAGACAAATGTAGAGCAATCCGAAGACGGTCAGTGGGATCGGAACAAACAGGAGAATCCATTTGGGGACCTACTTTACGCTGAAGATACGAAGCTAGTGCCTGATCTGAAACATTATTACTCACAATATGGCATTTTAGTCGAGGAATATGAGGTAGAGACGGAGGATGGATTTATCTTGGAACTTTGGCATTTCACGCCTGCAGATACAAAACGTGTTTCTGGCAGCAAAAAGCATCCAATGCTTTTGCTTCACGGTCTCTTGCAAAGTTCTGGGTCGTTTGCGTCAGCAGGGCGGAAATCTCTAGCCTATTTTTTTTATGAATCAGGCTTCGATGTCTGGTTGGGAAACAACAGGTGCGGATTCAAACCCAAGTGGAATAGAAATAAGGTGAGGAATGATTCGAAGTGGAATTGGGACATGAGGGACATGGTGAAATATGACTTGCGCGCTCTAGTCACTGCTGTACTAGAAAAAACAGTCAAGTCGAAGCTGACGCTTGTGGCACATTCTCAAGGCACCACCCAGGGACTCATGGGTCTCGCAAACGGCGAGACAATATACGAAGATGACTTCCGACTCGTTGACAAAGTGGAGAACTTTGTCGCTTTGGCTCCGGCTATGTATCCTGGACCATTGTTGCAGGAAAGATTGTTTGTAAGGTTCATGTCCAGGTTTATTGCCTCGCCGGTATTTTTCGGAAAGCGATCTTTCATGCCGCAGATGATGATGATGCGGTCGCTTATGGTTGGAACCAAGCTGTTTTCGTTCCTATCTTACGTTATGTTTAACTATCTGTTCGATTGGAACGACACGCTGTGGGACAAGTCTTTAAGAAACCGTCACTTTTTGTTCTCCCCAGTCAACATCTCGGTTAAATTGATGGAGTGGTGGCTGAGCCAAGACATTCGAAAGAAAACATTTAAAACTTACGGCAACGACATTTTTCCAGATGCCATGACATGGTTTCCAATTGAGGGCGAATTTTCCAGACAAAAAATTCCTTGTCACACTAACAGTAAAGTGAGCTCCGCAGACCAGTATCCTTATATCCTCCTGTTTGTCCCCAAGCAAGACCGATTGGTAGACGGCGAACGTCTCATCAATCACTTTGCCGATTACGAACCACAAGAGCTCTACAAATGCTGGTATATTGACGAATACTCACATCTCGATGTTCTGTGGGCCCATGATGTGATAGATCGAATTGGAAGGCCTGTGTTGGATAACATTCGTGTCGCTGACGATGCGATGTGATCATGTGTCACTTTTTTCCAATCTGTCTTCTTTCTCATATTTCGTGATGGTGAAAAATTTCAGCTCATCGCGCTCATCTAGCTCATCGGCAAGAGGTGAGTAGATAAATGGAAGAGGACAGTGTATCATCAACTGAGTGCACATCCACTACACTTCATTTGAAATGAAGATCAAAACTATTAGTAGGAGTTCCGACGACTATGTGCCCGTAAAAAGTACTCAAGAGTCTCAGCTTCCTCGCAATCTGGATCCTGCGTTGCATCCATTTGAGAGAGCTCGTGAATATACTAAGGCTCTTAACGCCACAAAGATGGAGCGTATGTTCGCAAAGCCGTTTGTTGGCCAACTAGGCTATGGCCATAGAGATGGTGTTTACACAATTGCCAAAAATTACAACGTCCTGAACAAGCTGGCAACAGCGTCTGCAGACGGTGTGGTGAAATACTGGAACATGTCCACGAGAGAAGAGGTGTGCTCCTTCAAAGCGCACTATGGACTGGTACATGGCTTGTGTGTCACTCCCGAGCAGTTTTCGCCTAACAAAAATGAGAACTACATGTTGTCTTGTGGTGATGATAGGACAGTTAAGTTGTGGTCGGTCAATACAGACGATTTTTCATCAGTAAAGAATGAAGATGAGCTAGTTAGCTCTGGAAGCGGAATTAAAAAGACGTTTCATGGTGATCATGCATTTTTGGGTATAGATCACCACAGATCGAAGCCCCATTTTGTCACGGGTGGCGCTCAAATCAATCTGTGGGACGTCAACAGATCGAGACCGTCTTCGAACTTATCTTGGGGTGCCGACAACGTTTCAACTGTTAAATTTAACCAGAATGAAACTGACATACTTGCAAGCGCAGGCAGTGATAATTCGGTGGTCCTTTACGATCTAAGGACCAATTCCCCTACTCAAAAGTTTGTCCAGAAAATGAGAACAAACGCAATTTGTTGGAATCCTATGGAAGCATACAATTTTGTTGTAGCAAATGAAGACCACAATGCCTACTACTACGATATGCGGAACCTGTCTCGCGCACTACACGTCTTCAAGGATCATGTTAGTGCTGTCATGGATGTTGACTTTTCTCCCACGGGAGATGAAGTAGTAACTGGCTCTTACGATAAGACGATAAGAATATACCAAGTCAAGCATGGGCATTCCAGAGAGATCTATCATACAAAAAGAATGCAGCATGTGTTCCAAGTCAAATATACAATGGACAGCAACTACATCGTTAGCGGTTCTGACGATGGTAACGTAAGGTTATGGAGAGCTAAGGCATGGGATAGATCATCAGTCAAGTCAACTCGTGAGAAGAACAAATTAGAATACGATGAAAAGCTGAAGGAAAGATACAAGAATTTGCCTGAAATTAAGCGCATCAGCAGACACAGACATGTCCCTAAGGTAATAAAAAAAGCAGGGGAAATCAAGCAGACCGAAATTGATAGTCTCAAGAGAAGAGAGAAGAATGAACGTAGAACTAACAAGGCTATGGAATTTGTTCCAGAGAGAGAAAAGCAGATAGTCGGCTTTGTGCACAAATATAAAAACGAGAAAGATTCGAGGGATGGGTCAAGGCATGATAAGTAGGTATTTAAGCATTAGCAGTTGAAACCGATAGAAAAAAATGGACAACATCTAGTGCAATCATCATGGGACATTCGACCATTACTTGGTGCGGACTAGTTCATCGAAGTTTTAGAATAAAAAATAAGGTAAAAACTTATTGAGAAAATACAGAAAGGGAGATCCAGCTTCCTTATAGATGTGATCTATCAAACTTAAGTAACGCTCAAGCGTTTGCTAATCTTTTCTTGTTCCACCAAGCTTAGTGTCATTGCACCAGACGAGTTCTAGTTGTTACCGTGAACAGGTGAACTCATGGAGGGCATAATCATATGGTAACATCCAGAATCCTACTGACGTCCGGTACAATCTTCTTAGCAAGATCTTCTAGCAGAGGCATGATGTCCAGCAATTCATTATCATGTATGTCTGAGAACCAAGATGAGATTGGGATTGCGTGTTGCGGATGGAAGATGTACGAAGCTGGCGAATTGTCGAGAATTATCAGATCGCTCAAGGGTCTTCCAATTTGAGACAGGTTTTTGATATAATTTCCGTCATAGCTGTAGCACGAGTCTCTGAACAGTCGGTGATGTATGCAATGATTTTGGTCTAGCACGTCTAGCAATGGATCACCGTAGCGGGAGACACTTGCAGTGAAAACAACAACTTCATAGAGCTGGCCAACAAGTTTTAAAAACTCATCAACGCCAGGTCTTTTGATAACGTAAACATTGTGAACTTGATTGTCAATGTCAACTGGAATCACAAAATCTGCACTGCGCAGAAATTTGAAGGACGAATGAACCAGCGTTTCATCCAAGTCAAGCACCAAACACTTTTTGCCCTCGAACTCAGGCGTTCGGGGAGATAGTAGGGTGCTATAGCCAGGGGCGTGAGCTTGATCTTGCTGCAGCATCGTGAGATCAACGATTTCCTCAGGTTCGTCCTGATCCGGGTCATACTCGTACGATGGCGCTGGTAGCAATTCGCCGCCTGACTCTTCATTGCTACTAGCCTTGTCTGCCTCATTTGTTACCAATATCGCAGTTTCTTCGGTCGGGATACTGCCATTTGGCAGCAGAACAGACTGCTGCGGCAGATTTGCTGGTGGAGCGTTGTGCTCGTCAGCGGTGCCCGTGCTTGACTCTGTTTCGCCATTGTACACCGAGACCATTTGTTTATCCTCTTTGGTATGGCCTTCGTCCTCGTCCAGATCGTCTTCTCTCTGTACCTTACTGAGCGCCAGAGGCGGTTTGTGCGCCGCACCGGTTTCCGGGGCGGTCTTGGTGGTTATTGTCGTACTACCCGACACATGGGAATCGGGCAATCCTGACATTCCTGTTGCAGAGCCTGAACCAGAACCCAATCCTGAATACCCTGCGTTTCTTGGGCCTCGTATATTATCTCGAGAAACCTCTGCACTGGCTGGTAATTGACGGGTTGATTTCGAAAGCGATGCGTGAATCTGCGATTTCTGCGGCGACAACTGCCGTTTCTGCGCTCCTCGTTTTTCTGTGGGCTTGCTCGATGATCCTGACTGCGATACAGATGGAGAACAGCACAGTAGCGAAGTAATAAACCCCATTTTTCGCTCTCCACTTACTGACCTCGCTCCAGCACAACTGAGCGTCCCTTCACGCTTTTCCCTGACGGAAAAAAATAAGGGTGGTCACTAAAACTCGAGGCAAACTTTGAGCCCTTTTGTAGTTTCTATTTTAACAACTAACCGAAGTGTTGAGAGACTAGCTGCACGCCTGGAGTTACGTTTGGTTTGCTACGATGTGACCCGTTGGTTAGCAGTTTATGGTTTAACGATTTTCAATTAAAAAACCTTTCCAGGATTTCGTATAACGGCATTAAGGTATTTCTGTTTACCCGGCTTCGATCATGTGAGTATGTGGTTATGAAGGTGACGGAGTCAATCAACGACAAGAAAAGAAGGTGAGAGTCGAAAGTTTCGACGCTATGGTGGGGAGCAGAGATAGCTATTTTGGGTAGGTGACTGACTGCTTTAGTGTTTTTTGTTTATCGCTGCAAGAGGGGATGAAAAAAGGTGAAAAAGGAGTGAAGGGTAGACTCGGGAGCTTTGGGAGAAGTGGAATAAGCTCATTAGTTGAAGAAGGGTTATTGATGCACTCCTACACTTCTTTAAGAACTCAGGATGATTTGGGTCGTGGCTGTGGTCGGTAAAAAAACGTACTCATACTAGTTGATGGGTCACGTGACCTTTTACACCATTACATTCCAGAGTTCAAACCATTCATACTCAGCCAGTCTAAAGCCAGTGCATTCCGAATCATCTTTAAACTGAAAACTACCTTACACTCTTCGACTCGTCATTACGTATCCGTTTTCTCATTCGTATCGGACATTTAAATCTAATGACACATTTGTACAAAGTGATTTATATGTCAATCTGGCGTCAAGAACCGTTCTAGTGATACAGACATGGTATAATGTCTTCTGACAAGATGTGTTTATACTCGTGTTGAGACTCTGTCTCTGGAGTGTCGTTGCACGATAAACGTCCCATATCCTGGGTGATTCTGTCCATTATTGAAAGATGTAAACTATTGTTTTACTGAGTTAGAGTTATCTCTCCGTGATCTATTTAGTATGAATGGAATGATCTTGCAGGGCAGACAAAACGTCCCTTCTTATACAAATTCTCTGAGATATTCCGTCGCTGACGAATATGAGGATTTTCAAGTATTCTGGGTGCAAATGAGCTAATCTGGGTTCACTCGATTAATTGCAAGTGTTGTTGCTCGGTTCAATAGTCGTCCTTTCTGTTAGATCGGTGGTTGTTCTAGGTTCTTTGAATATTTTGTTGTTTCTGACGCTGTCATCGTGTCACGTGTTTGTGATCACTTTGTCATGGATCTGACGCTAGACAGACAGAGGTTCCGACAAGATGTTGGTCCTTAAGCACCTTGAAGACCACAAATGTCAGTGCATTGCGCTTAAACGCCTCTGTTCGAAGTTGCCGCCACTCTTGAATCCGCTGAAACCTGCTGGATCTAGCACCCACTCTTATTTAAAATCACGTTTCCAAGATGAAGTGTAAAAACACTCAAACAAACTGACTTTCCAAGTAACGTTTATTCGTTTGCTTTGTGCTAATTCCCACGGACACTCGAAAGCATCTGAGTTTTCAAATCTAGATCGCATAATTTGTTTATCCAGTTTTCGATGCCAAAATCCCTCGCCAAACAAGGAACTTCAAAATTGGATGCACCTGGGCCAAACAAGACAGAATTTGAGAATCACGAGGAGCTTCCATAGTAGTGCACTCGAGCTCTGCTAATTTTTTAAAGATTTCCCGTCGTTGTCGGCTTTCACACCACCAATATTACCCGGCTTTACTCTAGAGGAAGCTTTTCACGAATTGATGTTATACGCGATGAGACGTCATATCGAATGCGTAAGGCGGTGATCCATATCCATCTCATCCGCATCTTGTAGATCGGGCTGTTCTGGTCAATCAGCTGCTTCGAGCCGAACTTTCTTGCTGGCGAAAAAGATGGATAATCTTGCCACAGAATCGAAAATCTTTTCCACTCCTGTGAAAAGCGTTTCAGAAGAGAAGTTTAAAAGTCTACGAGACAAAGTTGGACGGGAGTCGCCTTTCCTGTACCGCACAAAGCAACTATCCGACGTCACCAAAAACGCCAATCACGATGGAGGGAATTCGACGCCCAAACTGGGGTCTGGTAGCATACCGAAAAATGAAAACATACATGTGAACGACACAGCGCCAGATGAACCCATTCCAGCGGCTTTTGCATTTGAAAATAGAGCTCTGGGCCAGTACTCGCGTCGTATCGTCAATAAAGAGCTCGAAACTCGTCGCATCATATCAAATTTGGTCGCTGTTTTGCTGTGGAATCTGGCTATCAAGTTTCTGACGCTGTTTCTGCATCACACGAGCCACGGCATCAATTTTCAACAAGCCTTGACCAAATGGGTACGTGAACTTGTCATTTATCGCTTGTTTCCTCGTGCGGATTTGGACTATTCTACTATGGCTCGTATTGCTACAATCGCCAATCTTTCGCATATATTCCACTTGATCGTCTTTTATAACGTCACGGTTTCGCTTTGGCGTCTGGTACTCAAGTCACAGAACGTGAAAATCGACGATTTACACTTGAGCAACCGTCAGAAACAATTGCTGGGGGTATCCGACGTGCCATCGACAAAAAACCTGCCGCCGAACCTCTCTATCTCAAGCAATGTCAGCAAGGAAGATAGAAAGGATCAAACAACGCACCTGAATAAGCCATTGTCGCAAAGCAACAGTCCCTCGCCTCTATTTCTTTTCAAATCGCTGCAAACTCCTTTGAAATCTCGAGAACAGAGCTCCACAGCTTCTACAGGCACCAGGAGCGCTTATGTGAAAAAGGTAAATGCATTTGGGGATTTGAACACATCTTACCAAAAGAAGCCAAGCTTGACGCCTGGTCAGATGAATTCGAAGGCATTCACTACCCCAATAAGCCGAAACGGCTATATTCCGAGCAGCAAATACGCATATATGCGTGAGTCTCCCAGTCCGAGGAAACCGTTATAGAACCAGCATAGGTAGGCATGAATCGGAAACTAAAGAATGTAATTTAATGGAATTACACAAGAATATTGAGTATATCTACCAGTAGCCAGGAAACAAATATTCGAGTTTGGCCAACGTCTCTTTCGACATCGCGTGAGGTTTCGTTGCAACACTCATCTTGATCGAGCCCCTGAGGTTATCACCGGTGACCATGAACTCAGGCAGTTTGTTGGCCATGTTAGTGATAATAGTAGACGCCAATGCGTTAGCGTTGGATCCGTTGTTGTGCAAGTTCGCAAGAACCGTCTCCACGGTGACAGGCTCAGCTTCGTCTCTCCAGGCATCGTAGTCAGTGGACATGCAAACGATTTGGTATGGAAGTTCACATTCGCGAGCTAGCTTAGCTTCAGGAAGAACGCTCATGTTGATAACGTCACCGCCTAACATACGGTACATCTTAGACTCAGCTCTAGTAGAGAACTGTGGTCCTTCCATACACACAACTGTAACGTCTTCTCCTAGATGTAGAGAGCAAGATTCCTCGGGGTCAGAGTGCTTCAGAACGCTACCAAACTGATTGATGTACTCTGCAAACGATTTAGAAAATGGTTCGCCAAATCCCACATGGCCAACGAGACCAATGTCGTTGAAGTACGAAGATTCACGAATACCCTTGGTCCTATCAATGATTTGCTGGGGCAGTACGAAATCGCGGGGTTTGATGTGCTGCTGCAGCGAGCCCACTGCGCTGAAAGATAAAACTGCCTTACATTTCAAGTGCTTCAACGCAGCCATGTTGGCCCTAAAGGGAACAGTGGAAGGCGAGTATTGGTGGTGCAAACCGTGTCTTGAGACGAAAGCAACGTGGAAGTGCTCTTGAGAGTCCCCGACCACTTTCGATATAGTGATTGGCGACGATGTGGTGCCCCACGGAGTAACCATCGCTGGAAGAACGGCAATCGCCTCGAGACATTCTAATTGGTAAAGACCTGTGCCCCCAATGATACCTAGATCCACAGTACCCTCGAATGTTGTTGGAATATTAGAAGAAGCAGTCATTGTGGAAATCCTAGAGATTCAAAGCAGCACTTTGATGTACCTTTTCTAAAGAGCTCTTTCTCGAGTTCATCTTCTCATCAAATATCAATTTTCCATGAAATTGATAAAGGCCAGAAAAGTTAAGTTGATACACCAACCACTGTGGCGTAAGAAAGAACTTGGCTTCAGTTTTCAGTATTTATGAGAATATTTACAAGGCATCGAAACGATCTTACAGAGTTTTTACAATAAATGATGGTTTTGAAAGACAAAAGAAGCCAAATAATATGTTGAGCTGAGCTTTTTCGTTGTAGCGACGCACTATACGGTGAATCCGTAACCTTTCATGCACTTTTTGTACTTGGCTATTATTTCATCGCATTTTCCTGAATCCTGGCCATTGAATAGTAAACAAGTGTCTCTCTCCTCCTTTTCAGGCTTGCACACGCAACAAGGTTTTGGCTTGCTGCCCTCTGGATTCGAGTTTGAAGCTGGCTTGTCATTAGAAGAACCCATGTTGTTTAGCGTTGTTGTTTGGGATCTAACTTGTGATTTGTAACCAAAGAAGATAGGTTGAAGTTGGCTAGTCCATCTCTGACAATAAATATGATGTAATCAAACCGACCTATATTGAAGAGAAGTCATAGTCGCGACACGAAATTCGCTAGTGATAAGACTTTCACACAACTATCAAATGACAGCATCTGTTAAGCATGGTGCCACGCCCAGCAGCAAGTTAGAAGGACCAGGGAATGAACTTGTCGGGAAAGTGTGCGACAAGTATTTCATCTGGACCGGTTGCTGAGTTTTTCGCTTCTGCAGCCGATTTTGGTTTTCGCTTTCGAAAACCATTGAAACCGCCATGAAAGGACCTACTTAATGTCACCAGATCTTTCGTTAGCATTCTTACAGCCATCCAATGGGATGGGTTTTGCAACATGACCTTGAAAACACCTAGTTTCATTTTTTGACGTAACTTGCAGTGCCATTATCCAACCGCTACCTCTAAACATCGGAACCACGCACCTTACCTTCTTTTCACCACAGTTTCGCCCGTCATCGCGTTGAGGCCTTCACCACGGGCGTACATCTCAGCAAGATTTCGTAATTGCTCCTAAATCATTTAGAAAAGATGACCCAAGGTGCTGAGAAGTACGCACATGTAAAACTCGACGCATCGTATCAGCACATCAATTCTCATCTTGTAGCACACATGCCGACCAGTCATTATAGGTTCATCCCATCGGAGTAGCATAAAATGAGTACAGCCCGTATTTTTCACCGGTGAAACAAATCACCGTACATATCCAAAGATACCAAGGGTAGTGATTTTTGTAGCAGCTGTAAATCTCGATCAGGGTCTCATAAGATCTGTCTTTGCCAACTCTTTTCATTGGTTTAGGCCTTCGTACTGTGTGCTGGCCCACATCTACTACGGCTGGGTGATTTTCAAATTAAGTTCACCTCGTCAGGCAACTGATGTATAAAAAGTTAATAGGAAATCGTCACAAAATCAACCCCAATCGCACCACTGAAGGTCAGATATGAGCAACTACTCACGGCAGCGTTCAGATTCAACTGAACTGCGAGGAATTTCAGAAAAAACACGGGAAAAAGGCCAAAGTTCAAGTCCAAATGGTAGTGTCACCAATAGTTTTAGCAATAGCATACCTGAAGACACTGAAGCAAGAGGGAGGCCTCATTTCAGAAAGCAATACTCCATGGGGGGTGTCGAGTCCGGTAGCTCTAGTGTGCAGGCACATGGGGGCGCAGAACGGTTGAAAGATGGGTCGAAAAAGGCTAGGCACAAGGGATTTCATAATCCGATGTCTTTCCACTCCCCAGATGACCCCATCCCACCATTTACGCATCCGATTAGGCCCCGAATCCCTCGCTTGACTCGAACAACTAGTAACAGCTCCATCTTCTCGACTCCACAGTCGCAAACCGGGCCATCTCAGCAGCCTTCACAACAGCGTAAGGGATCGCGCGCTGGCTCATTATTAAAGAGACTGACCGGGATGAAAATGACTTCTGCGAATCCTTCGGAACTTTCCGATCAAGATTCTACAGGAAATGGAACCGCTCAGCCGCCTGGAATCCGCCGTAAAATGAGTACCTTGATCCACGGTGGTGGTCAACAGGATTCGTATCCTCACGGTCATCATAACGCTGGTGACAATGAAATCAATCCAGAGTCTTTCCTAAGGGCAGGAAAAGGTTTGTTCAGTTCTTCTGTAGCAAACAGTAGGCGTGGATCTGCCGCAAGTGGAGCTGCAAGTGGAATGACCGCACCAAGTGGTAGCAACTCTCCTAAAGTATATCGTATGAACACGACTCGTAATGCGGCAACTTCTGCCGGCTCGAATACTGCTTCCGAAGATCAAAAAGTCATGTCGCGAAATCAGTTGTCGGATTCTTCAGAAAGTCCGGAACGTCCTTCGAGGAATGAGCTTAGTCGAAGTACAAGCTATTTTCTACTGGACACGGACTTGAACAACGTCTCTGACATTACAAACATACTCGGCAAGCCAGCAGAAGAAGCAGAAAAGACGAAAGACAATTCGAAAGTGATGAAAACGGAGACGCATAAAGCGCCAATGGTGGACACAGAAAAGAACGCGCCACATGAGGCTGCGCACGCAAAAGCACAATGGATAGCTCCAGAAAGTTGGGATATTGATGAAGAAACTGGGAAGCCGTTGGTATCAAAATCCAAGCGCAGAGCACATCGTGACCAATCCAAAAGTCGACAAAAGGGCCCTTCTGGGTCACAAATGGATCGAGACAGAGCTGGTGGGTTTGCTATGCAAAGCGGGCTAACAAGGAAAGAAACAACTCCCAAGCTTGATCCGCTGGCAGAGCTTTCCGACCACGAGCAGCCCATTTCAAACAATTTGCCCGACCAACATAGGACCTCCGCTGCTTCTACTAGTAGCGCCAGCACTACAAGCAAATATCAAGATCTCAGTGAAGCCACTCTTTCGACTAGCGATTACGAGGATGAGGCGGGCGATGAGGAGAGGGTGCATAGCTATTCTACCGATTCAACCCAGGCGCTAGAGTCAAATGCTCTGAAAAAAGATGAAGAATTTGATAAGGCGGGATACGAGTTGGAAAGATACTACAACAACTACAGTGACATGGATTCATCAAGGAGATACGCTATTCGAATTTTCAATACCGACGATACCTTCACCACTTTGTCTTTAACGCCCAATACCACAGTGCAAGAAATGATCCCTCAGCTCAAAAGAAAATTCAATGCTGGGCAAGGCAATTATCAGGTCTCTCTAAGGGTAGCAAAGGTTTTGAAAGTTCTTTCAGCTACTGCCAGGCCAATTTTAATTCAGCGGAAGCTTTTACTTCTCAACGGCTATCTGAAGAGCGATCCCTTGTACATCATGGGGACCGAAGATCTCAGCTATGTCTTCAACTTCATTTTCCACCCTGTGGCACCGTCTCATCTGAGTCACGAGCAAGAACAGAGACTTTCCAGAGGCGATTTTGTACATGTCGACCTGAGAAGTTTGAACTTGACAACCCCTCCAATTATTTTCTACCAGTACACCCCCAACATCGAAAGTTTAGACTGCTCCAACAACGCAAACATATTTTTGCCTCTCGACTTTATTGAAAGTGCTATCAAGTTGTCAAGCTTGAGAATGGTGAACATTCGTGCCTCAAGATTCCCACCAAATATCACGGAAGCTCACAAGCTGGTCTCTCTGGACCTGGAAAGAAATTTGATCAGAAGAATTCCGCCATCTATTTCTAATCTGACGGAGCTCACTATTCTGAACTTACAGTGCAATGCCCTGGATAGACTTCCCGCTGGGTTTGTTGAGCTAAAAAATCTTCGACTTCTCGATATCTCTTCAAACAACTTTACCAAATTTCCAGAAGTCATTACGTCTTGTAGAAACTTGTTGCAAATCGACCTATCATACAACAAAATCCAGGTCATTCCGAGCTCAGTGAATCAGTTGACGAAACTGGCTAAAATGAATTTAGCTCGAAACAAGCTTACAGATGTTAGCGAACTTGAGGGGCTAGTAAATTTAAGAACTCTCAATCTGAAATACAACCGCCTGACCTACCTGAAGCTTAACAACCGGAGCTTACAAAACTTGGCTCTTTCGAGTAATCGGATCAGTATATTTGACGACAAACTGTCGAACCTCAAAACACTAGAGATTCAGGAAAACCCAATCACATCAATAGCTCACGAGGGAGAGTACTTAGTCAACTTGGTGGCTTTGTCAATGAATAAGGCCAAGTTAGCCAGTCTACCGCCCGAGCTTCTTTGCAAACTACCACGGCTTGAAAAATTGGAGCTAAACGAAAACAATTTAACCCAGATTCCCGTCGAAATTAGCCGCTTATCAAAATTGGTTTATTTGTCGGCAGCAAGAAACAAGCTGGAGAGTATTCCAGAAGAAGTATGCGAGCTAAAATTTTTGAAGACTCTTGACATTCATTCCAACAACATAAGCAACTTGGTTAAGGGGCTGGGAAAAATGGAACTCACGAGTTTCAACGTGTCTTCAAATCTACTGGGAAATACTATTGACATACAAGAGATTTTTCTCAATAGACGTGATTCTGCACTGGCTAAGAGCCTTCTCTTTTTGAGTATGGCTGATAACAACTTAAGCAATCAGTTTTGGACCCTGTTGAACATGTACGAAAACCTGAAAAGGTTGAATTTGTCTTACAACAATTTTAGCGATCTTTCAACCTTCAAGCTGGAGAACTTGACAGAGCTATACTTATCAGGTAACAATTTCGTCACTCTCCAAGGAGAAACAGTGTCAAGATGGACATCTTTGAAAGTTTTGATGCTGAACGGCAATAACTTACTTTCGCTCCCTTCTGAGCTTTCGCAACTCACGCAACTCAATGTCCTGGACGTCGGATCTAACCAGTTGAAGTACAACATATCTAATTATCACTATGATTGGAATTGGGGCAATAATAAAGAGTTGAGATATCTAAACTTTTCAGGAAACAAGAGATTCGAAATCAAATCTGCGCTGGACGTAGAGAGCAGGAGGGACTTTTCCGATTTGACCATCTTGAAAGAATTGAGAATTTTGGGCCTGATGGATGTTACCCTAAAAACGTCTAAAATCCCAGACGAGGGAGTGAACTTACGTTTGAGGACCACCGGTTCTATGTTAAATGGTATGAAATACGGTGCTGCAGATACGCTTGGGCAAAAAGATTTTGTTACTGCGAGAGATGTTACATTTGAGAGATTTCGAGGGAACGAAGACGAATGTCTGATATGTCTCTACGATGGTAAAAACGAGAATGTCAGCACTGGTCATAGTATTTCCAAAATCATCAGGGATACCTTTCACAAGATTTTCATACGCCAGCTAGAGAAGTACGGCGAGAGCCCAGACGGCATCAAGAACGCCTTACGCTTTAGCTTTCTTCAACTGAACAAAGAAATAAACAGCATGTTGAATACTGTTGACAACGACATTGAAAGTAGAAACCTTACTTCAGCAGATTTATTGAGCGGATCATCTGCTGTTGTTGTCTATCTTAAGGGCAAAGCTGTATACACTGCTAATATTGGAGACACCATGGCCATCCTTTCCAAGAACAACGGAGACTTTATTCAGCTCACAACGCTCCACGTCCCATCGAAGGGAGAGGAGTACGAAAGGATTCGCATTTCTGGTGGTTATGTGAACAACCGTAAACTGGATGGCGTATCAGATGTTTCAAGAGCCGTGGGTTTCTTCGATCTGCTTCCTCACATTCACGCCTCGCCTGATATTTCGGACATACATCTTACTACAACCGATGAACTCCTCATAATTGCTACGAGCAAGCTGTGGGAGTTCGTGGACTATCAGACCGCATGCGACATATGCAGAGAGAATAAGGTGGAACCGATGCGCGCCGCCGAAAAGCTGAAGGATTATGCCATATCTTTTGGTTGCATGGACAACATGACCATCTTGTGCTTATCTCTAGACAAGTCAAGCGCGAGTCAGAACAACTTCACTCTCAATAGAAACGACTTGATATCGAGGAGGAGTACATTTGAGGACTCAACTCTGAGAAGATTAAGTCCCGAAATTGCACCTCCCACTGGAAATCTAGCCATGGTCTTTACAGACATAAAAAATTCGACATTTTTGTGGGAACTTTTCCCCAATGCAATGAGAAGCGCCATAAAAACGCACAACGATGTCATGCGTCGTAACTTGCGTATTTTTGGAGGGTACGAAGTGAAAACTGAAGGCGATGCATTCATGGTCGCCTTTCCGACACCAATTAGTGCTTTAGTGTGGTGTTTAAGCGTTCAGTTAAAACTACTTGACGCTGAGTGGCCGGAGGAAATCACATCAATTCAGGGAGGATGTCTGATCAATGATTCGCAAAACCAGAAAATGTACCTGGGTCTGTCGGTCAGGATGGGCATTCACTGGGGATGTCCTGTTCCCGAGCTTGATGTCGTGACACAACGTATGGACTACCTTGGACCTGTTGTGAACAAAGCTTCAAGAGTGTCCGGTGTTGCTGATGGTGGACAGATAACGTTGAGCAGCGATTTTTACTCAGAATATCATAAAATTATGGCACTACACGAGCACGTCGTCAAGGACAATGTATCTTTGAAAGAAGCATATGGGGAGACTTTAGTAGGAGAAATTTTGGAGAGAGAAATTCATTTACTCGATGGCATGGGTTGCGTTTTTGAAGAGCTTGGAGAAAAAAAGCTCAAGGGTCTGGAATCGATTGAGCTAATTACGATTGCCTATCCCAAAGCGCTGGCCGCACGACATAGTTTTGCTGCTAACGAGTCGAATGCAGGATTGATAGATGAAAAGGATCTATTTCGATTACGATCTTTGTCGAACAGACTCGAAAGTTTAGCTTCTGTTTTGAACGGCTCGCTTGTTGAAAAGGACATGACAAAATTAGGCTGTTACATCAACTTCGACAAGAAAACCTCGCTCGCAGTCTCACAGGCTTGCTCAGAAGCAGATCGAGTTGCATTCTTGGACCACATAGTTACAAGAGTTGAAGCTGTTACGGCCGTCTTACAAATTCGTCAGCGCATGGAAGGATCATTAAACACCATGCAAGGGCCTGAGAACAACAATGCGAGATCTATTTTCGAATTAGTGGATGAGCTGTTGGCTGCTGTGCCAATTAAGTGAATGCCGCATTAGCATCAGAATAGAAAATCTGGCATCGCGTGTTATACATCCTTCTCGTTTATCTAGTGAATAGCCTGCTTCAGCGTTTAAGCTAATTTTTCAGAAATAAAGGCACCAGTAAGTTGCCTTTTTTTCTTGTCTTTATGTCTAGCAGTAATGTAGGACCACGACTAACGGATAAAGAGCTCCGATACGTGATAAGCAGCACTTGAATCTCATATGCGGGATAACTTTAGTGAACTGGGCATCACGCTTCTCACTTTTGAGCCTCCAAATCTTTCATCTCGACACCGTCTTGCGGAGTCTGTTCAGTGCGGGATTTGGCGGGATATGCAGATGAGGTTGTTTGTGGGTCTACCAGGCCATCGAAAAATGTGTCTCTAAGCTCTCTCCACCGTGAGGACCACGTTCCCAAGAACACGAGGATCAGAGACGACAGCAGTTGCACCACGAACCACGACAGACTGGGCCATCTGCCTGTTTTGATCCACACTATCAGCAAATTGACAGCATGTATTGTGATGCCGAAATCCCAAGCCAGCTTGCTGCGGCCAACAAGTACTGTCAAGAACAGCACGCATATGAGCGAATCCAGAAGCCATAGCACTGACAACGTCAATCCTAGCGAATTTGAAAAATCTATTGGCTCCCAAGAAAAAAGCCACTGGCTTATTGGTACATCATAACCTCCAAGTCTCGACCATCCATAAAACAAAACATATCCAGTGGCGTAGTAGAACAGTTGTAAAAGGACAATCTGTATTGTAATTTTGAGTGGCGAGAGTGAATCCTGCTTGAAAACTTCCGAGGGTCGCAATTCCTGCGGCAGCCTTAAATATCTTCTCACCCACGCCATGAATAATTGGTTCTCAGCACTGTTTTCAAAATACAAGAATCCTTTCTTTCTCTTACTACATTGACTTTTATTTCAGTTCACCTTAAATTGATCCCACCTTATTCAATACCCGTCTAATATTTGAAAAATTTTAGAAAACAGTGATGAGATGAGATGCGATGAGCTCTTTCAACAAAGATAAAAATCAATAATAGATCAAGCAAAAGACTACTTTGGTGCTCTTCAGGTTACGAATTTGCTAGATTCTGATCGAAACACAGTTATTGCAATTTTCTGGTCTTAAAATGGTGACACTTGGCAAGTTTAAGGATCTGGATGACTTTGTTCCAACCATCAGCGACAGCGAGAACGAAGTCCCAGATCTAGACGATTCAGAGGACGAAAACACTTTCAAAGATGACTCTAAAAACGATGGAATGAAAAAGAAGAGTCAGAGGCAGAAGCAAAAGTCGAACAAAGCGGCTACCGTTGACATCGACGAAGATGTCCATGAAGATCTGAATCCCGGCTTCAAATTCGATCTCGGTGGTTCTGAAGTATCGGCGGGTTTTGATGGCTGGGCTTTCGATGGCGACGCCAAAGCTGATGATTCGAATAAAGACGTGGATTTGGATGGCATTATCAGACGGAAAGGTGGTCTCATCAAATTAGCAGGAACAGAAAATAGTGACGGCGAGGCACAGAGTGAAGAAAAAGAAGAAGTAAATGGGGAGAGAGATGAGGAGAGTGATGATGAGGACTTGGCCTTGGATGGTTTCGGAATGGGTGCTACTGAAAAGGTAGGAGACGATTCTGAAGACGATCAAAGCAGAAGCGAAAGCGAAGAGGACAACCTCGAAGAAAATTTAGAGGAACAGGCGGAAATCGCAGGTACTGAAGGCGAAGTTGATGACACAGAAGAAGCCAAGGCCGAATTCTATGCTCCCGATGAGGAGAGCTCCGAGGCCAGAAAGACGGTTCACAGGAACTTCAACTCTCTTTCACTGTCTCGTCCTGTGCTAAAGGGTTTGGGCGCTCTAAACTATGTCAAGCCTTCCCCTATCCAAAGTGCCACCATTCCTATCGCCCTATTAGGTAAAGACATTATTGCTGGTGCTGTGACTGGTTCCGGTAAGACAGCCGCATATATGATTCCCATCATCGAGCGGTTGTTATACAAGCCCGCGCAGATTTCATCTACTCGTGTGATTGTTCTGACTCCAACTCGTGAACTAGCCATTCAGGTCTCAGATGTTGGCCGCAAACTATCCAAGTTCGTTAGCAATATTTCATACGGACTAGCGGTGGGTGGTTTGAACCTAAGACAACAGGAGCAGAACTTGAGATCTCGTCCCGATGTAGTCATCGCGACTCCTGGTCGTCTTATTGACCATATCAGAAACTCCGCCAGTTTTAATGTCGAGTCCGTCGAGGTATTAGTTATCGATGAGGCCGATCGTATGTTGGAAGAGGGATTTCATGATGAACTTACCGAGATCATGTCACTTATTCCAAGCAAGCGTCAAACCTTACTATTTTCTGCCACCATGAATGCAAAAATCAACCAACTAATATCCTTGTCGCTGAAGAAGCCAGTCAAAATTATGATAGACCCGCCAAGACAAGTGGCATCACAGCTGACGCAGGAATTTGTTCGTATCCGTAAAAGAGAAGATCTGAAGCCAGCACTTCTATTCCATTTGATCAAAAAGCTAGACGATTACGGGCAAAAAAGGATCGTTGTATTCGTGGCAAGGAAAGAAATGGCTCACAAGTTAAGAATCATACTTGGTCTGTTGGGTATGAAGGTGGCCGAGCTACATGGCTCTTTATCCCAGGAACAACGTCTCCAAGCCGTGAACGGGTTTAAAACACTTGAAGTACCGGTGCTAATATGTACAGATTTGGCTTCCAGAGGTTTGGATATTCCAAAGATCGAATTTGTTATCAACTTCGACATGCCAAAGACGTACGAAATCTACCTTCATAGAGTTGGTCGTACTGCTAGAGCTGGCAGGGAAGGCCGTTCCATTACTTTTGTAGGTGAATCGTCTCAAGACAGAAATGTGGTCAAAGGTGCTATAAAGTCGGCAGAAGAGAATAACAAGCAAGATACCGTGGTGGGGCGAATGGTTGACTGGTCTCGAGTCGAAGAAATTAACGGACTGATTTCCAACAAAGAAGAAGTGATTGGCGAAATTCTAGAAGAGGAGAAAGAGGAAAAGGACATTCTGAGGGTAGAAATGCAAGTGCGTAAGAGCGAAAACTTGTTGAAGCATAAAACTGAGATTTCTTCAAGGCCTAGAAGGACCTGGTTTCAATCCGAAGCGGAGAAGAAAAATTCTAAAATTATGAATACATTATCAAAGAACAAGAAGGAGGTAAACAGCAAGAAGAGAAAAAGGATGGAAGCCACTGAAGATCGTTCTCGCTCCTATAAAAAGACTAAAAAGGATCGCAGCACGGATCAACAGAGAACATACGCCAAGCAAAAGGCAAAAGTAGATGCCAAGAAGAAAAAGAAGGCCAGAAAATGAGCTTCTCCTTTGTGGATTAGTATAGTAGCATGAGCCATAGCCAAATTCAATATGCATTAGTTTTAATACTGTGCGATGTATCAATCGTAGTGAAAATTCGCAGTTACACTTTGTAAAATATCTAGATCGTAATACTGATCTTCAGCTGACGAGCCTTCAATGTTGTCAGTCAAGTCTGTTTTGTCATCAAGTCCAATGATCTGGACGTTTTTCCTCAAATCGATTAGGCTTGCCACTTGTGACTTGAGTTCGTCCGAAAGAGTCGGCGTTTTGCCTTGAGCAGCCGCAACTAGTAATTGTAATCCATCTAGCCAAATGTAAGACGCTTCCTTAGTGTCTACAAAGAACTTTAATAGGACGTTCGCCTCTTTGTCCATCAGATGGATTTCGGTGTAAACAGCTTTGTTCAAAATGTTGATAAGTTTCGAGTTTTCTGGAACTTTACTTTCAGATTGAATTCTCCAGTGTTGGAACCTGTGAACGCGTCTCAAAGGAATAATTAAGGTCTTTGACTTCGATGCCGAAGAATCTGGCGCACTCACGATTTCATTACCGTTCACAGTTGGGTTGCTTTCAGTCCTCAGTCTGTACTCCTTGGCTAAGAGATTCATTTGGTTATCTGACAAAATGATGAAATAAACCCGTGGCTGTTTCACGCTACGATCTAAAGGATTGTCGCTGTAAACCCAAGCGCCCTTCTGTAGCTGCAAGAGACGTTGATGGCGTACAAATTCTAGTACCTGGTTTGACAGCATAGAGTCGAAATGTGAGACCTGGGTTTCCCACTTCTTGTAATGTATATTTCTCAATTGCTTCAACTGCGTGCTTCTCAAATCTGCGTACGTCAAGGAGCGTATGTTTACTAGACAGGTACCAACGTCAGGCTCCGTTGCGCCAAGAAAGTTATCGTGTTGGAAGAACGCGATTTCAAATGTTTCTAGCACAGACCCAAAATCAGCAAAGTCTTGAGCGTTCGACTCAATCCAAAGTTCCATGAGCTTGTCCACAAGGCTATAGATCAAGATGTCTTTGTTCAAAAAGCATTGCATAATGAAAACACTGGACTTGTCCTCAGCAAAGAATTGATGGAAACACTGCGCTAATTGATCAGACAGCCAAGGAAGGCCTTTCACTATGGGGAATGCATCATCCTCGAAAAGCAGGCGTTCTGAATATTTTTTACGGAACGAAAGGTTACTGTCCTTACAGAAAGTAATAAGGTCAATCGCATTCACTAAGGAAAGATCAGACATTTGCTTACCACCGTCTGCTCTTGAACCTTCGTTAGCCTTTGCCAACTCTTTTACCTTGAAGTGCTTATCCAGCAAATCCATCATACTGTTTAGCCATTGGGCGGAAAGTGTATCGACGTTTTGAGAGTGTAGCGACCAGTGTAGTCTAGCAAGCACCTTCACACAGCTTTGGGCGATGGCTTCGACATCTTCCTCGTACTGTGGCGCGTTTTCTAGTACCGTTGTTAAAGTTGTGAGAAATCCTCCTGACTTGAGGGTAAGAAAGGCGTCGAATAACATACCAGCAGCTGTTCTTGTGTCTTCATTGTTCAATATCTCTAAGCAGTGTAAATAACGGCTGACAGCCTTAACGACACTGCCTTCAAGCTCAACGTCGCACTGCAGCCATAAAAGCTGGCTGACCACTGTATCCAAAATAGTATTTTTGTGGGCAGCAGTGCAGAAGTTCTTGATGTGAGGGACCATATCATTTCTATCCGCTAACGCCTTTGAACCTCTGTCAAGGAAGAAATGCACTGCCACAACTACTTCCTCATCGTCCATCAAATCTCGCGCTAAAGAAAAAATGTTGTTCCAGAAGTTTGGCCTATCCGCTATACCTTCTGTAAAGGTCTTCTCATCGCTATTCGCAAGAGTTCTGTACAAAGTGACGAGAGCTGTCTTGTCATCCTTCACCTGGCTAAGCATATCCAGTGCTTGGTCGGGAGTACTGTTTTGAGGAGACGACATATCCGGAATTTATGATGGAAGTTAAGTACCGCAAGGATGATACAGTTAATTGTGAACTGCCCCTAAGCCCTGAGAAGAATTTACCTCAGTTGAAGACGCTCAATCGAACACTGTTCCGTCAGTTTTCAAAAAAAAAAGCCATCAACCGTTCGAACTTTGTATTTCTTCCTGCAGTCCACCAAATTCACCTGTTAAATCGACGCTCACGAGTTTCGAATGGAGGCCCAAAATCAATATTCACAATTCAATAAAACCTCACTGACGGACAAATGTACGTGTGCGAGATCGAGGTTTTCCATTACTTTTAACGAGCGATGATCGACGACCTGCCCATCGCGTCTTTGAATATAGCTCAACAGAATGATATCAATTTGTCCTCAAATTCAATAGGCGGGTCAAACGAGTCATTGGTTTCATTAGATGAATACTTGAGCAACACCCTGCCTTTGCACTTGCAGCGCCTATTTCTGGATAACCTTCAGAAGCGGGAACAGGAGATTTTGGATAATGCCTCCAAATCTCTGATGAATGCTGTCAATGACTCGCAGCAATACTCAATACCAGATGGACTCCATCTATCTCTAAAGACTAGTTATATTGACCCAAGACAGAGTTCTTTCTCCTCATGGTCGTTCGCGCAGGGCCTCATTTTAGGACAGGTAAGCGTCATATTGGTGCTCATTTTCTTCATCAAGTTCTTTGTTTTCAGCGAAGGGCCATTAAAATCAGATGGACCGAAAAGTGGCAAGCCAAGCAGCTCTGATTTGGATTTTGGAAAACCACACTTATCCCCGGTGTCGACCTCCCATTTTCTATCTTCCATTATCCGCCGACATAGAAACGAAGGAGTTGAGGGCTCAGAGGATATCGACAGTCCCAAGTTTTCACAAATCGACACCATCTTGGAGAAAACTTACTATAACGTAGACACGCACTCGCCCGAGACACTAGATTGGTTCAATGTGCTCATTGCTCAAACAATTCAACAGTTCAGAGAGGAGGCTCTGCAGAAAGACAACATTGTTCACTCACTAAATGACTTCGTGTCACGAAGATCAGAAGAACTGCCGCAGTATCTGGACACTATTAAAATTACAGAGCTTGACATAGGAGAGGATTTTCCCATTTTCTCCAATTGTCGCATACAGTACTCACCAAACTCAAACAAGCAACGACTGGAGGCCAAGATAGATATTGACTTGAGCGATCGTCTGGCTTTAGGCATAGAAACGAAGCTCTTGATCAATTATCCCAAGACTTTTGCAGCTGCTTTGCCTGTTCAGTTGACTGTCTCAGTTGTCCGTTTCCAAGCTTGTTTGACGGTGTCCTTGACTAGCGCAGAAGAGTTCACGTCCACGGCGGAAGACGGTGCATCTTATGAAACCGACAATGGTAGCGGCTACTTTTTGATGTTTTCCTTTTCTCCAGAATACCGGCTAGAATTTGATATTGAGTCTCTAATTGGTGCGAGGTCGAAGCTGCAAAATATTCCAAAGATAGGAAGTCTCATCGAATATCAGATAAAAAAATGGTTCGTAGAGAGGTGTGTGGAGCCGCGCTTTCAATTTATAAAGCTACCAAGCCTGTGGCCCAGAAGTAAAAATACTAGAGAGGAGAAGCCAGAAAATGATGATATGTCTATGAAGTCAACTGATGCCCAAAACAATTGACTTGGTGTCGAATATTGCTGTTTCACAAAACTTACACTCTTAAGCCAAGCAAACCCCTTTGCCAGCCTCATATTTTCATAACATGAACCTGAAGCTTTTTCTGAGATAAGAGCATAATTTTCAGCGACTTTCACAGCTTTTGAAGCCAGCTGGACGTTTCACAGCATTAGCATAATCGATGATAGTAATGATCTTGTCATTTCAAGCTATGTCAGTGACACATATTTGTCACGTGCCAGTTGATCCGCGTATCAGGCAAATGGGACTATAATGGGAGAACCAGAAGCGTTCAAACACATGTATAAGCCTTCGCATTCATCGAAAAGATACCAGTTAAGAGCTTCAATTGTTTTGAGGTGACGGGCGAGAATTGTCACTCAAGGAGTCTCGCGTGTAGTCATCTGTTTACATAGTAGTTTAATCGGCGTTGTTGGCGCCATGCGAGGCTCACCTCTTAAAATACTTCCCATAGTTACCCTGTAGTTGTTCACATATGTCTTCTAGGAGCAGCTTCTCATGACGACTTGAAAGTCTTTTGATGGCCGTTGCGAGTATGCTAGCAGCCATCATTTCGTACTACAATTTTGATCTATGTCAAAAAGTTATTGCAGTGGAAAGCATCAATGGTTCCGTATGTCAACGGCTTCCAAGTGAACGTCACTTCTGGTCGCTACGTTGTGAAATGTCATTTACAGGTAGAAGATTCAGATCAAGAAGGGAGCAGATAGCATATGAAGCTTCTCTCGCAGGAAGGTATCAAGCTAGGCTGCGAAAAAATCCCTTCCTGTACTTTGGCTTGCCGTTTTGCTCTGTCATCGTCCTTGGCTCATACTGGCTTTCTGGTTTCACCGCAATACGATATGAGCAAAAAGATCGCAAGATTCAAGAGGTAAGCGAGGACGATTTAGTCAAGATGAAAGCCAATAAACGGCAATTCGATCTAAAGGAAGAATATTACAGACTACAGGGACTTGGAGAAAAGGATTGGGAGCCTGTGAGAGTACCAAGAATGAAAGGCGAGTCTGAAAACGTATGGTAATCTACTTTCACGAAATGTTTTTCGCTTTGCAGAAGGGGCAACTAGGTGCTGCATTTTCACCCTCTCCTCCCGGATTCTATGGACATTGGCTATACTTCGGCGTTTTTAAGCATGATTATTCTAATTCTGTCAACGACCTTCTTTTAGAACATCCCACTTTCATGGCGAACATGGGACACGGGTACCGCTTGAACCCCTTTTACATTACATACTCTATTTAAGCATAAAGGAACCTCTTTACAGATTTACTTCTGTCTTTAAGCAATACGTTGTTTTCATATATTTGTTTAGGAAGGAGACATTGAGATTGGGAAGTGTCATATGTGAACAATCCTACAGGCCAACACATAAACATGGGTGAAAAAGCAAGGACTGGTTATCTAGAATTTGAAGACGAACTGAGGAATGGAAACAGAGTCATTTTGTAGTACGAAGAGGTATTTTCGCCGGCTCGAGAGCGTCAAGTTCATATTGGACATCACTCTTCCAAGGCTAAAGGATATGTATTAAAAAAGGACTTCTTGTCCAATAAAAGGGTAAAAGAGATCTAGAACCTAATATTAGAATATGGAAATGGCTTAGGAATTCCATTTCGCGGACCTTCAGAGCTACCAGTCCTCACAAACGTTGAGATAACGGCAATTCTACAAGCACGTGATCTATATAGTGCAGATCAAGTAGCTAAATTGATCAGTACCGGAACAGTTGAAGTTTTGGTTGGAACTTTAGATCCCGTCGAATGCACGTAGCGACTTACCGTACGGTGGGTACCAGTCGACGTTTCCCAAAATGAACTTGAACGAATTTGCCGAAGCACAAAAACCCTATAGTACTGTGCGTCCTCGGGTGAAGAAAAGAAAAATCTCATGCAGCAGAGGTATAGATCCTTTTGTAAAACTTCTGTCTGGGGAAGAGGCAATTGATATGGTGAATAAAAGATGGCTTCTATACCGCCAGCTTCATTTTCAATTTCACGCACAAGTTGACGAGATAGTACAAAGAATCGAGCATGACATGCGCCGTGAAATTTCGCATGTATTAGACAAAGGGTCCAAGACCAGATCATCGCCTTCTTTCAATTGCCTTTTTCTCATGGGCTCTGACAGCACGACTAACATAGAATTGATGGACGAGGATGCTCATACGTTGAATGTTATAATAGACCTCACACCCAAAGAATCGCCCAACGTACGAATGATGCTAAGGCGGTCCATGTTCAGACTGTTGAGCGCAGCGGAGGCTTCACAAGTAGGAAAAGCCGTTGTCCATACTAAAAGCGAAACTACCGAAGGCATTAGTGTCATCGATAATGAGCTTGACGGTGCGAACGTGGAGGTCTCTTACGACCTGTCTTTGGTGCAGAATTTCAAGAAGGTGTTTAAAAAAAACCTCAAACTAATATTCAATTTCAAAGACGTCGACTCTTTCAATTCTCAGGTGCTAGACGATTTCATAAATCTTCTAAAATCATCTCTCGAGCACGACTCTGTCGACATTTGCTTAGTGCTGAATATCAATACAAACCTGTCCAACATTCAAAAAAACCTTAAGCAGTCCACAGTCCGAATGTTAAAGAAAAACTTCACTGTTATTGACCTCAGTCATAATAAGGGTTTCAAATATGCCAATCAAACATTTCAGAGTTTCTTGAATACCGTCGATGGAAAGTTGAATCTGTCATCTGACTTTGTCGGCTTCATTCTTGAAAAGATGGCAAATAATGCCACGCATAACCTCCAGCTACTCACGAAAATCTTAGATTACTCCTTGATGTCGTACTTTTTCCAAAATCCTTTTTCAGTCTTTATTGATCCCACTAACGTCACGTATTTCGATGACAATTACCTACCTTCACTTATGAAGTGTCCAACATTTATGAACTTCGTCGACGGTATGGTTCGAGACCATGCACCCTCGGACGAAATTATATCACTATTGGAAAATCGAAAGTCGAGTTTGAAAGAGTTCTTTGCTGAATTCCTGATCAGGGAAAATCCAATTAATGGCCACTTGAAGCTTGTGGTCGATGTGCTTGAGAATCAATTAGGGGTTTTCAACTACAACCTGATTGATCTATACTACCATATGTTGACTGCCAAACTCCCCGAGTTTCTGGCGAAATGGCCAGAGAGCAAAGAGTTTGATGACATTTTGAAGTTTGAGCCGGTCGATATAATTTTCCAAGAGTTCTTTACGCTTGACAATAGTAAAGAGCTATTTTCACAGTCACTTTTTCCTTTTATGCGCTCTAACCTCGAGGACAACCTTATCAACTCTGATAGGATTCTGCCGCCAATCGCAAAAAAGCGTCAGTACGGGGCGAATCCCTTCGTTGATGACTTTGAAATGTCAATAGACCTTCCTCTCTGCAAACTATTCAGTTTGTACAGGGAAGCAAGCTCGCTCATAAACTTGTACGACTTTTATTGTGCTTTCAAAGAAACAGTTTCTAAGACAGTTCTACTGAACTATGTGAAAAGCACAACTGATTCTACAAACTCTACACTGAACAAGGAAGAGCGGTCCCAAGTCACAACTTTAGTAGAGAAACAAAGTGGAGATGAAATTGTTGAGAAGATGATTTTAGTTTGGTTTATTCAGTCAGTATCAGAGTTTCAACAAATTGGCTTGCTGAAAGGCACTAATAACAGCTCTTGTGAAGTTGTAGAGAAGTGTATATGGAGAGGATTGTGACCACTAGCGCGATCAATCAAATAAAGGGCCGGAGACGCGGTTCTCTAGATAGGTTTTTAGACTAATCATTCGCTTACGCTTCGATTGGTATTTATGTTCATTGCTCTATCAAAAAAGTGGTGTGCTTCAAGAAAAAGTACGCCATTGAGGCAACAAAGATGGCTGTCGCGATGGAAAAGGGTTTTTTATACAGCGAACTGTTGGAAAATTTGTACCTGACGAATACCTCGCTATCAGAGACGGTATCAACCAAATTCTTCAACTCAATCGCAACTTTAGTATGTCCTTGACCCAAATCGAAGAACGAGTGCTTTGTGGTGATCTTTGTTGAATCTGTGGGTAGGGGACACCAGACATCCACGACTTCTGCGCCTTCGGGCAAATAAATTGAAAGATTTACGCTGTCGTAAAATGTGTTGTCTGGTCCATTCAGAGCGGGCACGGAAAGTAGGAAGGTATCGTCCAGTCCACTTTCGACGCGCAAAAACTGCGAAAGAGCATTTGTCCAACCTATCGTAAAATTGTACTTCCAATCCCCAAAAATAGGATATCTTGGCTTGAGAAATAAATGACCTTGAAGGAACTTGAAAGTAGACACAGCGCCGACCAAGTCTGTAAAGTAGTGGTCCTCGGATTGAGGAGGCAAAGCCATCTCAAGCGCAGTCAAGTGCCCACTTGGTTTGAAAGCATGCTGACCTTTCATGTAATCGGCTCTGGAAAATCCTTCCTTGAGTGGTGCAGCGTCATTGATCAGTTCGTAGTATTCTTCAAACTGGAGTGTAGAGGCCCAATGAGACGCCCAGATATCACGGTTAAGTGTTGATACCCTGGGAAGTGGTAAATTGTGATCAAACAAAACGCTGATCGAGTCCTCTTCTCTGTGAACTTCCAAGGAGCTGTACGTGCCGCAAATAAATTCGTCATTTACGTTGCTACAACTTGCCTCATCACCACCAACCTTTTTAACTTCTTCAAAGGAAGAGCTTCCTATGAACTTGAGAGTATAGCTTTCGATTGGATAGGCTGAGGTGGGATACTTGGCGGTGCTTAAAAGTAGGCGTTGGGTTTCACCAAGTTTTAAATGCCCCGGAAATGGCTGAGCACTACTCTTGTAAACTAAATCAATCACTATGAAGGTATCCTTGCCAGGCTCAATTGGTGAGGGCAATTTCACGATGCCGGCCTTGATGGGCTTTCCATTCACGAAAAACGTTTGATCAGATAGTATGGCGCTATGCAGAAACACATCTGCTTTTTTCAACTTTGCAGAGAACAACGCAACAGTCTCAAAATTCTCTTCCGGAAGAGCAAAGTAATACTGATCATTCGGTTTTTCGTCAACGTTCTTGATGTGTAACTGTACTGTTTCTTGCAAATAGGTTCTGCTAACATCCACTGTCCTAACGTAATCCACATTCTCCCAACAAGCGGGCAAAGTGTTTACGTTTGCCTGACCAATAACATAGTGCAGAAATGCCAGAATCAAAGCAAACAGCCTGGTGCCTGCAAGCATGGTTTCTAACTAACGTACTTAGAATAAAACTTGAGCCTCTTCCGTCTAACACGTAGGCAATCAATCTGGTAATATTATTGTTTTTAGAGAGGAAATATCTAATATCAACTTCAACGAACTCAAAGTTGTGCTTTAACGAGTAGGAAATGTCTATGGGCTCCCCATCATCTGGAATGGATTCCTCAGGTAGTCGAATAGACCAGCAAAACGCTTATCGACTAGTTGATGATCAATGCACGTTGGCGCTCATAAATGACAACTTGGGGCATTCGACAAGCTCACTAGTCCAGAAAGACATAAGCGATCTGCTAAAGCATGCAATGCTAACAGAGAATTGGCAGAAACGGACTCCAAACATCAGCGAGGAACTTCATGAACCTTTGTACCACTTTCGAAGCCATGACAGCCCGATTTTGAGCCCGATGCATATCTTGCAGGATGCGAAAGAGGATCACCAACAGACAACAATTTCGCTTCAACACAATAACTCCTATTTCCGAAGGCTCTTTAATAGAACTCAAGTCCTGCTACTACGAAACGATTTTTCCCTCGACTTTTTGGTCATTTTGAAGAGGTACATCCATTTGCTAATCGAAGAGGACAAAAATCCAATGGACGACCAATACGTGCTCGAATTGCAGAATGAACTTGACAAAGGTTTGGTGCTCACTTCGCGTCTCTTCGACCTACTAGAAATGTTTCTGTCCCATCCGAGCAATCCCCTCATGATCTTGGCGCAATTTGAGCAAGGAAAGCGCCGAGCCATTCTCCAATCCACTTTCACCAAATGGAATCTTCTCACAAGAGTAGACATGAGCTTAATGCAGCTCAGTTTAGCCTGGGACAGCTATCTTCGAAGGAAATTTCTGGCTTCTTGGAGGCGGAAAACAAGCTTAAAGTGTAAGGAGCTGCAAATGGAGGCCAATAACCTCATAAATTTCAAGCGTCAGGCTAACGCTTTTGACATGTGGGTGAAGCGCACTGACGCTCAAAAAGTGAAACAGGACCTAGCAGACGTTTTCTTCTTGCAAAAGTATCTCACGATGCTCAAGGAAGAACTGAGGATCAACACAGATAGCATCAAAGCTGCAGATCTAGAATATGACCGAAAATGTTTACGCCGCTCTTTTTTGTCCATTAGGCTGCGAAAAAGGCAAAAGCCGATTGAAAGGCGTGTAGCTCGAGATGTCAAGATGGCATTCTTCCAGCGGCTAACAAATAGATACGAGAGCATCAGATCCATGGATTATAAGGTAGTGCTTTTTGCTCGGCATCAGACTTTGAGCCCTTTCATGAACAAATGGAAATCGCGCCTTTTCAAGGGTAGGTTAAAAATGGAACAGATGGGACAGTTAGAGATTTTATTTCGGGAAAAAATGGCCCTGAAAGTTGTCAAAGATTTCATAGACTGGAAGGACCGCGAAACCTATGCGATTGCTTGCCTTAATCATATTTTTATGGGGCACGTATTTCGAAATTTGTGGTATAGGAGGTACAAGGAAAGACAGCTTCTTCACGCAAGTCGTTCCAAACATAATGCCTTTCTAATAGCTAAACACTTCTCTATTTGGAAAGACTGGTCACATCAAGCAAGCCGAGCACTATCCTACAACGAAAGAGCCATTTTAAAAAGAACTTTTCGCCTTCTGCAACTGAGGGCGTTTTCCGGGCGCTTGAAACGTCGGCAAAACAAACTGCTTGTGCGTAACGTTTTCCTTCGATGGCACAAGGCTAATCAACTCGAGCTGGTCTTGGTAGAATGCCACCATAGACTACTGAAGAAGTTCTGGGACCGCAATTTGAAGAGCAGGTATTGGTCTTTGGTCGACCTTTCCTCCATCACCATAAGGTGCCGAGAATCCCAGATAGTCAGGGAGAAATTCGACATGTGGTCTAGCGCGGTACGTACAGCTAATGAATTGGGCAGGAGAGCCGATTTTTTCAAGAAGGTGAGAGCTATCATCAAACTGAAGGGAATACTGACTCACCGTGACCAGCTCAACGCAGTGGGCGAATCTTATACGATCCAAAAGGACAAAGAAGGGAAGCGAAAGTTCTTGTCCCTCTGGCTATCAAGCATGCGTATTCAAGTCCGTTTGAAACAAGAAATCGTGTTAGATCAATATTTGTCCCTGAAAGAGGGAGCTAAGATTAAAGCATACATGGCACTTTGGTCGACTCGATTCCAGCTAATTTCATTGAAATACACTAAGTTGGCCGATGTGCTGCGTAATAATACCGTGACTTCGAGAGCTCTTTCGGAAGCATTCAAAAAAAGACAGTTGCACGAGGAGTGGTGGAGAGTCGCGGTGGGATTGAATGACCAGTCTTGTCTAGTAAGCGCCTTGGAAAAATTGAAACTCAAACATAAGCAGGTCGCTGCAATGCAACGGGACCTGGCCCGGCTGCATGCTCATCGAGAACTTTCAAGCTTGGTGAACTGCATGAATGTTTGGACGATGAAGCAATTAAAGTGCTCTCGTAATAGCGAAACAGTCGATATATTCAAAAACAGGTGGAATCGGGCCGGTCTCAGGGCGATTCTTTTACTGTGGAAGGAAAAGGCAGACGCGCATCCTCAACATTCTGGCGCGGGCGTCGGGGAATTTGAGCCGAATGGGGATATGCAGGGTCTCATTACACCAACGAGAATTCGAAATAGCGGCCGCATCACGATTCCAGGTTCAGAGCAAATGAAACAAAACAGGATGGAGGCCATGAGGAATCACTATCGTAAAGCACGGAAAGCTATTCCTAGTCCCATAAGATTTTCCGAAAGGCTAGATACAGTTACCAAGAGAAGGCTGGAGGCCAATGCCTACGCTTTGGAGCAGGGAAGTATCTCACCGCCGCCGAAGATGGACCTAGAGAAAATTAATAGAAAGTTGGCCTCTAGAAAGCCTGCCATAAGCTTCAAAAGCATTCCTGAAGCAAGACTGAGCCCAGGTCCATCATCACCTTATACTTACGCCCCAATTGTAGATCGTTCTCTTTTACCGCAAGACCATCTCGATTTGGATCGCTCGCCCAGTATAAGGTAGTATGAATATCTTGTAGATCACATGCTTCAAGTCGCTAAGTCGATAATGGCGTAATTATTTAGGTCACGAGATCATCTGGAATAGATGGAAAAGGTGGCAAAATAAACCTTAGGCTTCAGTACCACTACAAACCATACTCAATCCAAGTCAGGACCCATACGATCTAGCCACCTATGAACGGAATTCAAGTAGATATCAACCATTTAAAGAAGGGCGAGGTTAGCCTGGGGACTTCGATGTATGTTCTGAATATATACGGAAAATCGTACTAAAGGAAGCTACTAACAGCATTTGAACAGTATGGCTGTCACCTTCAAGGATGGTGTAATTTTGGGTGCGGATTCACGAACGACTACGGGCTCTTACATTGCCAACAGGGTCACTGACAAGCTTACGAGAGTACACGACAAAGTGTGGTGTTGCAGATCTGGGTCAGCAGCAGACACGCAAGCCGTTGCAGACATCGTTAAATACTATCTTGATCTGTACACCACTCAATTTGGAGAACCTTCAACGAAAACCGCTGCTTCGATTTTCAAGTCCCTCTGTTACGACAATAAGGACAATCTCACTGCTGGAATAATTGTGGCTGGCTACGACGAGAAGAACAAAGGGGAAGTTTACAGCATACCATTGGGCGGCTCTATACACAAGCAAAAATATGCCATTGCTGGCTCCGGTTCGACTTTCATCTACGGTTACTGCGACAAGAACTACAAAGATGACATGTCGAAAGAAGAAACGATAGATTTCATGAAAAACTCCCTTTCGCAAGCCATCAAATGGGATGGCTCATCCGGTGGTGTGATCAGGATGGTAGTGTTAACGAAGGAAGGAGCAGAACGTCTCATCTTCTATCCTGATCAGTATGAAAACCTGTAGATTATATAGCGCTACACGTATAAAAATATAACGTAATTTCGTGGGCTCCGGCAATGAGACTGTTCGTTCAGTTAAAAGATCTTTGAAGAATCCGTACAAGGTCTCAATTGACAGCTTATATGACAGGGTCAAATCTAGAGTTCACGCACAATGCCGACATTAGAAGAGCGGCTACGATCTGTTTTACCAAACTCGGCAGAATTTGAGTTATTACACCTCCTGAGTCCGTCAAAAGAAACTCATCCATTGGTACTTCAAAAGGCCCCAGTGCGTACCGATCAGCACGTCGTTAAGGCGCAGCACTTCTTTGCTCTAGCCAGTTCGCGCAAAATATTTTACGCGCTAGAAATTTATGTGTACATCACACTGAACCTCGCATCCTGCGAGAAACTAGTGTTCGTCTCAAAAGCCGATACTAATGGGTATTGTGACCATGCGGTGTCGATAAAGGATGTAACTAGAGCCCTCATCGAATACGTCTCGTCTATCAGCCCTGAAATCTATCTAGAACGCGTCATACAAATCCCAGAAAGGCGAAAAGTGGACATAAATGCGATTACGCAACGAACAACTACGAGAAGAGCACTCCGCATTCTAAAAAAGCGCCATGAAAAAAACGACGAGTGTCTAGCACGCTCACCTGATGATCCATACTGCAGAATTGTTAGCCCCTCATCACAATGGACCTGTAAGATCAGTTTGTTCACAAGATCGGAACCTCAATATCTCTTCGCAGAGTCATCTCAGAACACAACGAAACACATCCTTCCTGGCAACAAGCTGCTTAAATGGTGGCTTTCTGTTATCGATGATATTCTCGTCAACGTCTTTACTCGTAACACTCGCGCTCGTCTTCAAATCCCTGGTGAAGAAACTTTGATTACGCGCAAACACATAAGCAGTCTGAAGGGAGCAGATTGGCGTGTTGGTGACATTTTTGATGGCAGACCGAACGATCTTGCAATTTACACAATCCCGCTGTTTCCAGATGATCCGAAAGGACGTTTTCTTGAACAACTGGTGGATGAGGGCAGGGCTAGAAAAGTTTCTCTTTCACAATTTTGGGTTGAATTACAAATACAGCAAGAGTTTAGACTTGGAGATACAGTTTCGGTCATAGGTGTGAGCGGTAATATAAGACCTTCACTCTGTCAATCAGTGGCTAATGGCGAAATCATTCGAACAGATAGTCGGAAAATCTTCAACATGGTAAAATCTTACATTACAGGAGAAGAATATAACAATGAAGAGGGACCATCTGATGCATACACCAACGTAACGGACTTCTTGCACCTCAGGTTAGACAGCTCTATGGTCAGAATTAAGGGAACGAAAGTGCCGAATAAAACTTCGCTAAGGCATCAAGACTCACAAGGTAAAAACGATTTTGCCCGGACTTCTGAATTCCAGCCTCACACCTTGAACGTTCAGCTCGTTCGTAAGAAGCTTAAGAAGTGAGACATTGACAAAACTGCAAGGCTAGAGAACTCCATTACATACTTTCATACGAATCCTTCATGATTGGTCCGTAACCGCAATTAAAGGTTGACAGTATGCAACTTTTCTGATCTGCTATAATTTCTAGATTTATGTCTATAGAAGAATATCACTGGCTCGACACAGAGAGAATATCAAGAGCCTTCACGTCAACGGTCAATTGCAAGAATGGCTAGTTTAGAAGATCTCATCCCTACGGCCAATAAGCTGCAGGATGTTATGTATGATGCTGGCATTGATACCCTCGATTTACCGGTATTGGCCGTTATTGGATCTCAATCATCTGGAAAGTCTTCTATTCTAGAAACGCTGGTAGGCAAAGACTTCTTGCCCAGGGGAACCGGGATCGTCACAAGACGACCATTAGTTTTGCAATTGAACAATGTTGCACCAAATTCACCACTCATTAAAGAGCACCACGGCGAGTTTGAGAGCTCTGTGACGCAGGCAAACGACAATACCAGCGAACTGACGTTAGAGGATCACTTGCGTAAGAACCAGGGCTTCGAGTCTGTTGACCGAAGTGAATGGGGTGAGTTTCTACATCTTCCAGGTCGTCGTTTTTACGATTTTGCCGAGATCAGAAATGAGATTCAAAACGAAACAGCAAGAATTGCCGGCAAAAACAAAGGCATCAGTCGTATCCCCATAAATCTCAAGGTGTACTCTCCCCGTGTACTGAACCTGACCTTGGTGGATTTGCCGGGCATCACAAAAGTCCCCATTGGTGAACAGCCGGCTGATATTGAAAGGCAGATCAAAAACTTGATTTTGGAATATGTTGCCAAGCCCAATTGCATTATTTTAGCCGTGTCACCTGCAAATGTTGACTTAGTAAACTCTGAGTCGCTGAAGCTTGCAAGGGAAGTGGATCCCCATGGGCGGAGAACGATAGGTGTCATAACCAAAATGGACCTTATGGACGGCGGAACGAATGCACTAGACATCCTTTCTGGTAAACTCTATCCACTAAAACTAGGATTTGTGGGTGTAGTGAACAGGTCACAGCAGGACATACAATCAAACATATCCGTGGAAGAGGCGCTCGATAATGAAGAGGCGTTTTTTGTTAGGCACCCCGTTTACAGGACGATTAGCACTAGATGTGGCACTCGTTATCTGGCCAAATTGCTGAATCATATCCTCTTGAACCACATTCGCGATAAATTACCTGATATAAAAGCCAGATTAAACACACTGATCGGACAGACCGAACAAGAATTACAGACATATGGTGGAACGGGAGCCATTACAAAGGAGAATCGTGCAGGACTTGTTTTACAACTGATGAACAAGTTTGCCGCTCGCTTTGTTTCTTCCATTGAAGGAACTTCAACCGATATCGGAACAAAAGAATTGTGCGGAGGCGCACGCATATACTTCATTTACAACAACATTTTTGGGAGTTCATTGAAGTCTATCAGTCCAACAGAAAACTTATCAACTCGAGACATTCAAACAGCCATTCGCAACTCTACAGGGCCACGTCCTTCATTGTTCGTTCCTGAGCTTGCTTTCGATTTGCTCGTCAAACCACAGATTCAACTTCTCTTGGAGCCTTCTGAGCGTTGTGTCGAACTGGTTTATGAGGAGCTCATGAAAATATGTCACAATTGCGGTACGCCAGAACTAGCTAGGTACCCTAAACTTCAAGCCAAGCTGATTGAGGTTGTTAGTGAGCTTTTACGCGAGAGACTAGGCCCAACACGCTCATATGTCGAGAGCCTGATCGAAATCCACCGTGCTTATATCAACACTAACCATCCCAACTTTTTGAGTGCGACAGAAGTGATGGCTGGCATTGTCGATGGTAGGAAAGGAGGAAAAGTTCAATCTGCGAAAAAACCTGATCTTGAGGATGCAAGGCAATCGATTGCAAAGGATCTCGTCAAAAAACATAACGAAGATAGCTCTCCTACCTTGACATCCATAAGCGATAGCGAGAAAAACCGCTCAAGTGAAGCTTTTTCAGACGATGAAAATGATTCCTCAAAGCAGTCGAAGGATTCATTTTTGAACTACTTCTTCGGAAAAGATCAGCAGGGAAGCCACCAACTGAATGGGTCTACAGAAGAATACAACCTAAATTCTAACAAGCAGCGTGTGACTGACCTCGCCGAGCTTGACAAGCTTCACTTAACCGATGGGGGTCAGAACATTGAGAATTTGTTGCCTCAAATGAGCGAGAGAGAACAACTGGAATGTGAATTGATCAGCCGACTAATCGTATCTTATTTTGGAATTGTAAGGGAAATGATCCAAGATCAAATCCCAAAAGCCGTCATGTGTTTGCTAGTCAATTTCTCCAAGGAAATCATTCAAAATCGCCTCGTCACGAAGCTTTACAAAGAGTCTTTGTTCGAGGATTTACTAATGGAGGATCAAAACTTAGCTCAAGACAGGCAGAAATGTGTCAAGTTACTCGAAACGTACAAAGCAGCCTCTCACATCATGAATGATATTCTATAAAAGTTTTTAGAAAAATAAATGTGTTCAATCATCCCTTCCCCCAAAGAAAAAATACAAAAAAAAGACTTGTCAATATTTAATCAGCTGACTATTTTTATACAATGTTATAAAAATAAACTTGTTTAATGCTTACGATTTTAATTAATTAGTATATCTTTATGTGTTTTTTAATTAAAAGCAATTTTACTATTTCCGAAATGTTTTTTTTGGTTTAGGTATGATATTTCGACTATACTTTTTAGGTATTTTCACCGTTGGGATTTCTACCTAAAAAACCTAGCGAGTGTACTTAATCAGCCGAAGGGCCTTTGTGCGTTGGTGTTGGGATCGATCGTAACGGGTTCACGGGACGCATTCGCAGAATATCGGTTCGCAAACGATGATGGCTCGGTTGCAGAAGCTGTCTTGTTACAACGGTCAGCATGATGGCCAAAGAAACCGCCCCGATTAGTTGATGAATATCCGTTCCGCTGCTTGTGCTTTTGTGATGGGAGAAGCCCGTCCTCCGCTACCGTTCCATTTTCGACCCCGTCATTGGTATTGGCCTGTTTGTGTCCGAATATAACAAGAGCACAACCTAGCAAACTCAAAACAAACAGAATTCCGATTACGGCGCCCATTGCAAATGCCGTTCCTGGAAGTTTAAGTTTGTACCGCTCTTTATCAATCCACGCGAGTGAAATGGGTCTATCGATGACGAACACGCATGATTGACCGCTGAATGACGAGCAACCCTTTTTGAGTATTCGTACTTCTTTGTCCGCGCCGCCTGCCAAGTGCAGAAGGTGTATATTAGACGAACTTGCTCTGCAGTTCAGGTCTTTCCCATACAAAGTTTTGATACTTCCCTTGCAAGCGAGAAGAGCATCTGTAGTATTAGAGAAAATGACGTGCAATTTTAAGAAATTTTCCAATTCAGTCGAGTTCAAATCGAAATCCTCAAGTAGCATGGAAAGGGCTGTCGGTACCAATATCGAAAATTCACCGCTGTTTTCAAAAATCCCTTTGAGACTCTCAAAACTTTCCAAATATGTCATGAAGTCAAACGAACCAGTGGTCTCCATGAGGTTCTTTAGACTGATGCTCAAGTCTTTGGGGTAGTAAATGTCATTTGTGAGATGGATGACGCCCTGGTCAAAAAAGTTGTCACGACTTTTCCTTAGCTTGATAGGTTCATTGAAAGTACTAAGGTTTAATTCCACGATGCCGCTGTCTTGTTCACTAGATTTGAATTCCACCGAAACAAGTTCGTCGTAGAGATTCGATGTTTCATACAGAAGGGGCTGGGAGTCGGTGTATATTAGATCATTCAAAATATAGTTCTTCATGATCAAATTCAAAGCAGTAACGTTATGTTCCAGATACTCTAAATTCAATTCCAACATATTCCAGGATTTAAAGCAAGGAAGAAAAGCGGTATAACCTCTGTTATTCGGCCGAAGATCTAAGAGGTTCAGCTCCTGCAAAAACTCCAAAGATTTTGAACAGCCACAAAATGGATTTATAGCAGTTGCAAAATCACCAGGGAGGACGATATCTTGCTCCAACAAGTAAATCGCGGTATTCCCAATCTTGAATGGTGAGCTGTTTTTCACGCGGTACTTTTGGTTGACGGTAAACACAATATTACTGCTCTGATTGTTGATTTCGATTTCGAGCCGTTGGCATTTTCCACCTAAACGTTTGTTCGACGAGCAGAACATTGAGTCGTAGAGCTTAGAGGAGGTAACACTATATTCCTCCTCAGTTAGATTCACTTCGGTATTCACAAAGTGATAAAGCAGGCTACTTTTTGAGTACCCAGGGGTTTCGAAACTTGTTTCAATGGGGACGAAAATGGCCAATGGCTCATCAAACTGTCCATTTATCAGATGGGAAAGCTTTCTCATGTGTACTTCTTCAACAAAGTGAGTAGCACCTAGCCCTATAAGGTACTTCTCCGCTGTGAAATGAAAACCATGAGATAGGAAATCCAGGTCCGAAAAGATGTGCGCAACACCGGGCTTGTAGATTGAGTTACTAACCGTTGCCACGGAGTCGTTAACCGCTATTTCAGACCCATCTGATTGTGTTGTTAATAGAAGCAATTCACCTTCCAAATTGCGAACCTTTATTTGTTCCATCAGGCCACCGAAGACCCCGTCAAGCAAAAGCTTTTTTAGCAGGTACTGACGGTCCGCTAAGTATTCATCTTTCATATTTCCAGAACCAAGTGCTTCATCCACAATATCATCACCACTCATTAAATATGCAAGTTCCACAGGGTTAAATTCTCGTTGCAATGCTGCATTATTTGGAATCAACACAGTCCTATGGTCAAACAGTGACGCAAGTTCTGAATCTCGCAAGCTCTCTATTATCTGCGAGAAGTGCGAGATTTGAGAAATGCCTCTGACCATATCACCAAAGTACTGCTCTTTCGGTAGAAGAGAGTTCAAGCTGTAGATTGTAGCATTTTGCATGTTCGGCTGATTTTCCTCTTGGAAAGCAGGTTTTCGATTGAAGAAAAGGGCACCATCATTCCCCAGCTCCAGTAGATGTGGAACGCTATCATTTGTAACCAGTACATGCGTCCCAGTTTGCAAAGATGGAACATGCAATACATAGTCGTGCAGAAGATAATCATCTGTATGCAAAGTCTCACCACCACTCGAGAAAGCCGAGTTGAGCGGCACCATGATGGTGAAGTTGTCTAGTTCATTTAGGTAATCTATGTCCCCTTTCTTCTGAATTTTTCTGAGAAAGGTAGAAAACTCTACGTTTTGCCAGAGTATGTCAACCACAGTGGTGAAGGGAAAGTCGTCCTGATCTCTGGGATCAGGTTTTGCATTAGTGTTTGAAGCACAGCAATTTCTTAGTAGTAAAAATGCACAGCATATCAAAGTGCGACTTATCATGGTGCATCGTGCTCTTGTGGTCAATCGTGGTAGCTATCCGAGTCTCTTGAATGAGCATTTGTTTTTAAGGATTGTTCGTGAAAAATCACGGGTGCCGGACATTAAATATAAATCAGGTCAGTAAACTACGAGGTTGAAGGGTAGTGTCCAGAACATGACGGAATTGGTCGTTGGCTCGACGGGGTCGATCGCTCTGAAGAGTTAGGCTCAATTGAGAGCACTAGCTACCAGAACTTGCTCGAATTTATAGATGGAGGACCAGCAGGCAGAAAACATATCGGGACATGATGAGCTTATGTTAGCGCCAGCTCCAAGTAAGTCGCCAAAAACATTACCGTCTTCTTTCAGCTCAGACGAGGAAATGATTACGTTTGGTTGGCAATACAATTCACTAATTAGCGAGGAAATAGTCCGCATGAGAAATCTCCAGGAAAGAATTTCGACTTCCCAGCTTGCAGGGCATGCTCAAGAGAACTTCGGCGGGCAAGATGAACAGGAAGTCGCGGCCCGCTCAGTATTTGTGGGAAATCTGAGCCATTACGACACAGCTAAACAGTTACAGGAATTGTTTGAGAACAGAGTGAGCCGGGTCAACAGAGTAGATATTCAAGTCAATACGAAAACGCAGCTGACACGGGGATTCGCGTATGTCGAATTTGCTCAACCGAAAGACGTTCTTGAGGCAACAAAGCTTGATGGGATGGTATTGTCTGAAAGGCCATTGAAAATTGTTCCCAAAATGCCGCACTGTGTTTGGAACAAGAAAAGGTTAGGTGGGAGAGAGAGCTATGCCGAGCCGCATCGTGGTATTCATCTAGGCCATGTTGAACAATTCGTGAGGGGAAGAGGCAGAGGTAGAGGTAGAGGTAGAGGCAGAGGCAGAGGCAGAGGCATGGGCATGTGTCGAGGTAGATTGAGAGGAAGAGGCAAGCGCTTTGGGTGATTGTGTGTCTAATATTTTTTTTTCCCTTGTTTCCTTAAGGTTACAAGAAAGCAGTGAACATGCCGCCGCTGATGATTATGTTGAAAGAATTCCAAAAGATTTTGGTAACGGCGGCATAGATTCGAGGTTCTCTCAAAACAGGGCAGCGGACGCATTCGAAAACTTTCAGTCGACAAATCAGTCGACAAATTCGAAGTGCTTCGTTAGAGCTTCTTGCCTTAGGAATAACTGGTACGATACATTAGAAACAAGAGAAAAGAGGAAGCTATGTGACCCTCGGCTGTCCAAGGAGAGAGGCCTGATCAGACTGGAGATTCTCATGTAGCGGCTCTTACCCTACGAGCTGCTTGGCACATGTATCGCTATGAACGTCACACGATACCATCACTAGATCGAGGTATATTCGAGTCTGATATAAAATAGCACAACTTTTCGTGCCCAAGATCGTAAGCTTAACCCCTCGACCGATTTCCATCCGTAGTTTTTGGTAGAAATCAATCGAATGCCAGAGGACGGTGAACGCTCTTTCTTGAACCGGAAAAAGTCTCAAAATGTTCACTACATGTCTATACCTATTAACAGGGGCTCTGAAGGTGAGACCTACGATGAGCATCACCCTCAAGACGGATCCCATCGAAGGAACCTCTTTGACCAGCCGCTAGGATCCTTCAAAGGTGTCAATTCGCTCGGTAGGTTTGCTTCTTCTCTGAGAAGAGCTAACTCGTTCATGAACATCGACGTGGGGCCTGATAAAGAGCGCACGTTTTTCAAAGACGGTCAAGATGCTTTGTTTGATCCATACACTCTGGCTCCTTCTGTAGACGGAAGACGGTTGTCGCACGCAGTTGCAGGACGTGGTGGCCTTTCTGTTAGACCGTCAATGAGTGAATTATACGATGATAGTGCCCTATTTGATGACCAAGATAGCATTACGGTACCCGGAGTCAGCTTCCCTAATGACGCAGCAACCTCTAGGAGACCAACGTTGGGATTTCAAGATTTTGACGGGAGCATCGATCCTGACGCTCATTCGGTTGTTTTGAAAAAGGTAGAAACCAAAGATGGCAAGGTGGTGACACTTCTAGCTGGGCAGTCCACAGGTCCTCAAACTGTATTCAACTCTGTGAACATTTTAATAGGTATTGGTATTTTTGCATTACCCCTTGGCCTTAGATATGCTGGTCTCATCTTCGGCGTTCCTATGCTCGCCATCTTTGCTTATACCGCTTTTCACACCGCCGAACTGATCTCTCGTTGTCAAGATGAAGATCCAACCATGATTTCGTACGGTGACCTTGGCTATGCAACGTTCGGCTCTAGAGGCAGAGCTTTCATCTCATTCCTATTCACAATTGATCTACTGGCGTCCGGTGTGGCCTTGATGATTATCTTTGGAGATTCTCTCAATATGTTATTTCCAAAATATTCAGTCACATTCTTCAAACTGATTGCATTTTTTGCCGTGATGCCGCAGACTTTAGCACCTCTTAACGTGCTTTCGACTTTTTCGCTTCTCGGAATACTTTCCACTCTTGGAACGGTCTTTTGTATCGCTTTCTGTGGCCTCTACAAATCTTCATCTCCAGGATCATTGTTGGAAACCATGTCTCCGCCACTGTGGCCTCAGAACATGACCAATTTTGGGCTTGCGGTTGGCATACTGAGCGCATGCTGGGGTGGGCACGCCGTCTTTCCAAACCTCAAAAGCGATATGAGACACCCTGCCAAATACAGGAACTGTTTGGTCACCACTTTCGCGATCACTGCTTCAGCGGACATCTCAACTGCAGTGCTTGGCGTTTTAATGTTCGGTGTGAGCGTTAAGGACGAGGTAACCAAAAGCTTACAATTAACACCCGGATATCCACGCTTTATCTACGTTTTAATTTCTGTTCTCATGACGCTGATTCCCATTGCGAAAACGGCTCTCACTACCCGTCCTATTAATGCTGTGCTAGATGTTGCAATGGGTATTACAGTACAGCCGGAGAGTGACGACTCTCTTCTCAGGTCAAAACGGATTATTTCTTCCTTCAATGGACTACTGATAAACGCCGTCATTATTGGAATCAGTATCTTATTTCCCGACTTCGACAAGTTCATTGCATTTGTGGGAGCAGGTCTCTGCTTTACCATTTGCGGCCTCTTACCATGCATTTTTTACATGTCCATCTGCTCAGAGACCATAACAACTTGGGAAAAGATCACATGTACAGTCATCATCATTTTCAGTGCAGTGTTATCCGTCCTTGGAGTAGGTGCTGCTATCCTCGCCTAAAATCTGAGTAGCAGCGGTGAACTTCAAATGCCTTGTGTCTGCCCTCCATCATTAACTAATTTCGTGTCGCTATATCGTGTGATTCTGTTTAACTTTTAACCAAGTCAATAAAAATTTTGGATGTAATTGATACGATGCGATGAGGTTAATGCATGAATGCAAATAGCGAATGGAGCAATAGGTAAACCATGACCACTCAGTTTCTCACAACGATAGGCGAAAATCCTATCAGTATCTTTGATGGCTCAAAGTCATTTTCAAATTCCTCTTTGGAACTGGTGAAGTCTTATGTAGATGTGGTTATTCAAAATCAAAAAGATGACAATGACCACAAGAGAGTGCTCGATGAAATCACGATCGATGGTTTAGATGCGAACCAAGTTTGGCAACAGGTTAGGCTGGTAATGGAAAGTAGTGGTTCCCAGCTGTTGGCGAAAATTGGGGATATAAGGGAATTCACAGATGATGCTATCGGCAGCGACAGCGAAGCGTCAGAAAGTGAAGACGATTCGCAAAATGAGGATGACGAGTCGGCACCGGCATTAGAATCTGTCAATAGTGAAAATGAAAGTGATGATAGTAGTGAAGTACAACACGAGGAAGAAGGAGAAAACGAGAGTGAAAGTGAAAGTCACGTCGACAAGGCCAACGACGAAGAAAGCGATGATATGGAACATGAGTCTTTGAAAGAGCAAGACGCTGGGTTTAGTGGTGAATCACAAGGTACTAGCTCTGTAACCAACGCGGGAAGCTCGTCAAAGAAACCAAATGATTACGGCTTGAACGACGAGTTTTTTGATCTCGAAGAATTCAACAAGCAAACGCTCAAGGCGGAAAATGGCGAGGAAAACGCCGAAGAAGATTTTGATTTCTTTGCAGAAGTTGCATCGGATGAAGACGAAGAAGCAGACTACTATGATGACTTTTTCGATAAGCCTAAGTCTGCAAGTTGCAATGAGTTGAACCAAACAGTGGAAGAGGATCGAACTGGCTTGGGAGGTTTGGAAAACGATGGTGAAGATGAACTGTACCGCGCCATGGAGTCGGCTAAATTGGATCTTTTTGCAAATGACGACGACCAGGAAGATTCCGGTGACGAACATAGTGATAAAGAAGAACTGACCACGTTCCAGCGTCAACAACTTGAAATTCAGCGACAGATTGCGCAACTCGAGAAAGAGGCCGTCGCAGAGAAAAAGTGGGCTCTTAAGGGTGAAGTGAAAGCTAAGGACAGACCTGATGACGCTCTATTGACTGAAGACATCGACTTTGAGAGAACATCGAAGCCGGTTCCGGTTATAACTGCTGAAATTACAGAGTCTTTGGAAGATTTAATTCGTAGAAGAGTTCTGCACTACGAGTTTGATGATCTGGCGAGAAGAGTAATCTCTAGCACGAACTTTTCTGGTCCAAAGCGCCAATTTGACCTAAGTGACTCGAAGTCTACAAAATCACTAGCAGAGCTGTACGAGGACGACTACAATGGAACTTCGCAGGGCTCAGAAGTCTCAGAAGAGCTCAAAAAGACACATGACGAGATTTCGGAACGTTTCAACGACCTCATGTATAAACTAGATGCTCTCTCATCAGCTCATTTTGTTCCAAAACCAGCTCAGAAGCAATTAGAGGTTAAGGTCCAAAACGCCGCCCTCAATATGGAAGATGCACAGCCATTGACAATGTCGACAGCCTCCACACTGGCGCCACAAGAAGTGTACGCTCCTGGCGCTGTACGCGGTGCTAATGAGGTGTCCTTGAAGAACGGTACGGTTATGTCCAGAGACGAACTTTCCAGAGAGGACAAAAACAGATTAAGACGGGCATTGAAGAGAAAGAGGTCCAAGCAATCACAATCTAAGTCAGAGGATTCTAGGAAAAAGAGCAAGCGCGACGATGTTATTGAATCGTTATCCCAAGCCAGAAATGTGACAATCATTGGCAAAAAGGGAGAAAAAACGGACGTTAGAGGTAATGCGAAGAAGGCAACGGCATCGGAGACTAAAAACTTCAAATTATAGAGACTTATACTAAGGTTATAGTAACTCAATATCTGCATTTCAAGATGCCGATGATGTCCGTGAATTTACGGCGCTGCTATTGAGGCAGATGTTGTTAACGCTAGGGAAACATTCTGGTTTGAGGGCCTCTACGCAAAGTTTTTGACATTTGCAGATCAGTTACGTTGAGTAGCTTTAGCGCTGAGCAGTAGATGTAGCGAGGTCATAACAACCATCTTATTACTGTTACTTCATTCAGTTAAATCGGAAGGTCCTCAAGAGTGATGATTTACTTCAAAGCTTCCCTTGATTTCTCCAGCATGGCTTTCGTGCCTTTCACAACCAGAGGACTATAATGTTTCAAGAGAAGAGTGTTCTCCCAAATTGTTGCCGCTTCGGCATTACTTCTAGCTGGAGTATCTGCCTCCAGCTGAAATGACCCGTTACCAACGCGATCCTCGGTAGAATAAAGACCACCAATCTCAGGGTATTTACCAATCAGCTTGTCCATGAATTTGAGCATCGCCACGACGGTTTTCTCCGGAGTATTAGAAGCTGCCATGTGGAGTCGCTTAGTGAAAGCCGCCGCGCGAGTCTTGGATCCTGACTTTGACCTGAAAAAAACGTAGTCTAAGGCACGAAGAAGGAGCTCAGCTTTAGTAGAAATATTCACTGAAGGTTTGACAAACTCACAATTTAGAGGATCCGCAAGTCGCAAAGATTTGTGAGAGTATTCGATATCAGCGTCTAAAGATATGTTCGGTATTATGGCGTAAAGAGCATCCACAAAGGACGAGAGATCCATTGTCACCTTCATTGCACTATGGCGAGACACTAGCGAGAACGCCGTCACGATGCAAAGGAGCACTTTACGCGTTTCCGCTGATGAAAGTGTATCTAAGTCGCTGGTCGCTATCAACTCCCTCATGACCTCCAGAAAATCTCCCAAAAGGTCGAAGTTCGACATGTGTCCAAACTTCGATAAGCCCTCTAAAACAGCACCAATAAGAGGCGAAATACCGTTTTTTAAAATGTTCAGATACAGAGCTAACGTAAGCTTCAAAATTTCTGCTTGATTTCTCTCTCTTTCCTCAGCAAAAACAGTTTCTTCGGCTCTACGCATTTCTTCCTCAACTTTTTTCATTTCTTTTCTAACCTTTCTCTGCTTCTTAGAGATGTGAACTCTATCCTTCTTCTTTATCTTGGGCTTTGATGCTGTGTCTTCCTTGGTGTTTGGATCGTAATCTTGAAGCACTTCAAGAGAAAGCAGAACGTTCAAAACTGACTCATCCACTAAATAAAGTCTAGTTTTCAAGGTTTTGCTCATGATGCGCACAATCTCCAATGAAACTGATCCTTCGTCGTCTTCGCTCAGCACCGTTTCAAGAGCGCTTATCAGCGAGGTGAATAAGGGATCGGCAGAAGGATTTGGTTTGCAAATTCTGCGTATTATGGCGCTGAAAACTTCAGTGTTGAAATTGAAGTGCGATGCAGTTGGAAGGATCTCTACAAGTGCATTGGCGGCCAAATTACCCAATGAAACTTGAAGTGGACTCGAGCTGTTAGGAGTTTTCGCTAGATTGGCGAGCAAGTCGATATATTCTTTGTAGTTGTGTACCAAAGTAGCTTCGAAGTTCCGAAGCTTTGCGACCTCTTTTGAAACTTTCTCTCGTCTTTCTAAATCTGACAGAGGCCTTATTTTATAACTGGGAATAATGCTTTTGAAAACTGACACCAGTGCCAGCATCGAGAATTTGCAAGTATTGGAATTCTTTGACTGGGCCATCTTTCGTAGTCTAGTCAGGCAACCTACATTCTCCTCGGCGTTCTCCATCAGGTTTTCGGCTAGTTCAGCTATTTCTTCTTTCAGCTTCATTACGCCCTCCACAGTATCGACTTGGGCAGCTTCGTTCTCAGTATCACTGTCATCCTGCTGCTGGTCTTCTTTTACAGCCTCAGGCTGCTCTTCTTTTTCCTCTTTTTTGTCAGTCTCCTCAGGTTTGGACGCTCTTATTCTACGTTCCACTTTACCTTTCACCTTGATAGGAAGTCCCTCCACTTGATCTTCCCCATAACCTAAACTACGAGGAGCCATTTCGTAGGCTTGTTCATCATCATCCCACGAGTTTTTGGCTGGTGTTGCGTCTTTGATATTCTCGACCTCGTCCCGAGTGAAAAGGCCACCCTCTAAAAGAGCATCTTGTTCCTTCCGTCTTTTAGCTGCTTTGTCCTGAACAGCTTTTTGCGATCTCTTTCGTGACCCCATTGCTTGCTCTTTGTGTTTGAGTCTAACGAATGACTTTGTGCGATGAGGTATGCGATGATATGCGATGCGATGAGATGCGATGCGGTGAGATGAGATTGAAGTTTGTCAATACTAAAATTTTTCAGACGTTTAACTTTCAAAGTGTCAGCGTCTGATAAAATGGTCGTGAGACGAAAGAGAACTTGGCGAGCGGTGGAAGGATAATGTTCATTCAGATTCTACGCTATGTAACCAAATCAACCCGCCAATTAAAAGACGTCCAGCGATGGTGAAATTGTTTGCTAATCTCATATCAGTGTCATAATACTTCACAGTGATTATGCGGTTTCCGCAGGAGGGTTATGGCCCGTTGACCTATCCCGTGTCTTTGAGCAGGGCTAGTGAACTGCACTTCCAGTATTATATATCAACTTTTTGACAGATCCACGTAACACGCATTCTAGTCTTTTGCTGGTTCCAGTCATTTGCCCTCTGAGAAGAGAATGCTCCTCGCAAAGATCCATGCCAAGGTCGGTGCTACACTCAATGAGGTTTCGTTACTATTGGTTTATTCGGAGAATTGGATCTCGCCGCGATCGAAGGTGCCATACGTTACGCAATCTGAGGCTATCACCTTTTGAGCAAGAATGGAACCTGTAGCTGCTATAAAAAGTTCATAAAAAATCAGAGAAACATTGAGAGCCTGGAACCACTTGCTGAACTATTCAAGTAAGGCTTGATATGTTCCAACGTGTTAAAGGCTGAAGCACCAAGGTTTTTTGCTTATTTCACAGCCCTCAAGCCAATACTTAGCTCTCTCGATGAGGTCGACACGGAGATTGAAAACATGGGAAAATTGAAAAGGGTAAGAATAACAAAAACGATGAGCATAAAATAAAGCATCGATGCAGACCGCTAAACCACAATCTTGTCCGTTTCCTCTCAAGTATTCCTGGCGCGTCGAGTGACATAGATATTTTACACGTGACCTGCAAATCAATAACTCAATTGTGCATTACTATAGTGACAATACTTTCAGATACTGATGTGACTCTCAAAGTAAGACTTGTTGCGCCGGCACCAATCTCAAACAGGCGCAATAGTCACTTGAAGTTCTCATTTTTATCTCCATAAGCAAAGTCTGAGAATGGCCTTCAGGTTAATCATGGTTGATCCACGACCAGCAATGAAGAACGAAGGCTCTGCAGCTTCTCAAAGGCGGTCCCATATTAACAAAACCACGAGTGAAATCACTGAACAGGGTGATCTCTCACTTATGATACATTCTTTCGATTCTGGCCAAACGTTCAAAGTCCCCCGTAGCTGTAAAACCGCTGTTGGCAAAAAAAAGACGAACAAAGCCGGTAAAGGACGTGGATCAAGTGACGGACAAAGACTTGTTTTTTGCTCGCCCTCCTTTACTTCAGCCAAAACGTCAAAGACAATTGAACAGGCTGTGCATTCAGAGCAGACTCGAAAACCTGTCAAGGATAAATTAGCTTTGACCTCCCGTCAAAGAGATCTCACGTTTGTAAGCTCAATCACAGATGACTATCACTTGGAATATGCAAATCCCTGGCAATCATCTTTCGAATTCGATGGCAGAAAACCGCAACGTCCACTCTTTCGCATAACCAGTCCGAAACTGCGCAAAAACGTCACAAAGCCTAACGGGCATATGAACCTCTCGAACGTAATTAACCCAAGTTTTGCATTTTCTCACAACTCGCTGAATGAATCTAATGACAGAAGCACGAAACAGCGGCAGATAGCCTTTGACACCAGTCCCATTTTCAAAGTTTCGCTCAATAATAGGTGAACTGTGTAAACTGTAGCCACTCGCACAACTCAGGCGCAGGCGTACAGTTCATCAATATCCTAGCATCTCGGAACTTACTTGACTACTTAGCTCGGTTCCCATTTCTCACATGATCATAGTACATGGGAGGCGACAACAGCGCCCCCCCTCACTTTTTCTTTGCATGAACATCAAATATCATATCGAATTTGATTTATTCGCTTTATAGACTTTTTATGTAATCCAGAACCATGTTTCGAAGGTTTCGATCAAAATCTGGCTCCTCAAGCATAGCTCCATAGCGAGCGAAATGGGCTTTTACGCGCTGCATCGCAGTTTTACTTGGAAAAATTTGTTCCGCTGCGGCTTTATCGAGAATCACCTGAGCGAACTCTCTATCCTTGTTTCTCAAGAAAGCTACTATCAAAGCTTCAGTCAGTAATGCAGCTTCAGACATTGGACCACGATCGAATGGCTTCCTTTGCGATGACTCGATGTTTTGATTGAAAACTTTTAACGATTCCTCTAAATCAAACCCGGAATAGCCCACAATGAGGCCTTGAATTACAACAGAACGTAGCACATCGGAATCGTGGATAGAACTAAACTCTATAGCCTTTTGTATTAGCTGCCGATCTGTGTTCTTCACACCACCAAAAATGTAAACTAGAAACATGTCATCAAAGAGTCTTTGATGAGGAATCTTTACCTTCTCAAAAAAGGCACTTGCTTTTTTGATGTCGTTCTTGAAGATACCCAAGCTATGAACTGCAATTTCACGAAGCTCGCGAACAGTGTCGGACTCAGTATTGTGTTTTTCGACCACGGCTAGGAAATTGTCAAAGGATACTTCAGTGGAAAGCTCGTGAGGTGAGTTTATTGAAAAATCACTGCCGGTCATTTGACGCATTAAGTCCAGATCATGCTGAATACTGCGGTCAGCTTCTAGCTCTTCTTCTGTCAACTTTACAGTATCATTTTGACCAAGTATAGTGAAAACGTCCCTAAATGACGATATATCTTCTTGAAACAGGACCTCCGGGTTTTGCTGAAACAATTGGCAAATTTGATAGTTTGTAAATTGAATATTGTCGTCTCTCAGATGTGATCCTGAAGGTTTGTAATGGCTTAGAATAAAAGGTATAATCGTAGTTGCTTTGGTAGCTAGCGATGCTCGCAGCAGTGCTTCCCAAGTAGAATTCTTGACTATGCTGCTATCTATTATACGAGAAAGCAAGAAAGTGCTCTTTGTAATGTCCTGCAGGGTTAGATCGGTTTTACCGTCAGCAATGTCGGCGGAATCGAACTTCAGAAGTTTTCGGAATACAGCCTCAAGAACTTCTTGAGATTCCCAAGCAACTTTCCGATTATCCATAAAAATCTCCCATGAGCTTTTAACCCTACCAGGGTTGCCCTTGATGATTTCGGCTAAACTCTTGGGGCTTAATTGACCACTCAGTTTTTGTACCTCTTTGGCATGCACAGATCCTACACCATAGTCATGGGCAGTCAAGGATTCTATGACCCGGTTATGAATTTCGGTACGGTCGATGTCAAGATCTTGTTTGCCAGCTAAACCTTTTAGCACGAATTCAGAAAAGTCATAGGGCGTCAAGTCATTGAGATTTTTCGTCTGCACCAATTGTTGAAAAGGTTTCTCTTTCAAAAGACTTTTATAAAGGCTTAACAGGTCTGCATGTTGAGAGTAAGGCCTGCTTAAGCATGGCAAGCGGCAGCGCTTCACTAGGAACATGGATGCTGAGATCGGCTTTGTTGAACGCGGTCAGCTAAGAATTTTTATTGAAATGGTCGATAATTTATGCGTATACAAGGTCCGACGACAGCGACGAAAAAAGAATATAAAGTACCAACAAGCTTAAGTCTAGAGCGGTTCAAGTGTCATCAGGAGCACTCCTTCCCATCATTTTCTTCTTGAGTACTTCTATTGCACTGGTGTTGACCTGACGGACAACACTTCGTCTTATAGAAATGCGTAAAATGCCATGGTTATCATCGTTAAAATAGTTCCTGATATGCCTGTTGAACTTCCAGCCCCAGAATAAGTCGATAATTCTACCGTTGAATCAAAGTTTGTAGAGGTGGAAGTTGAGAGGGTGTAAGGTGAAGAGCTAATGGAGCTTTCAGAAACCGCCGTTGGACTCACTGAATCGAATTGCGAAGCCGCCACAGTTCCAGAATACTTTGAGTTTGTCGTAGTTGAAACTGTCGCGTCGGTAAAAGAGAATGAGTCTGTGGAAATCAACATCGTAGTGGTACCGAGAGTTCCATTTGGCGGGGATGCAGTCGTTGAGAAGGAGTAAGTTGTCGATTCTGCTGCAGTGCCTTGACTTGACGGTCTGGTGCTTAGGAAATCGGACGCTGATGGGGCCGGTGATACTGGCGATGTAGATGTAGACAATGGGGTATTGGAGCTCGCAGCAGACGTCTTTTGTGTTAAGGCCGTGGAACTAAAGATCGACAACTTTGAGAGTGACACTTCAGAACTTGTGGAACTCACTTCAAGCTTTGACGATGAATTTGTCGTTGCGCTCACAAGATTTGTTGAGCTTCCTGGCGGGGTAGTAGAAAGACGCGACGCAGATGAGAGCGGTGAAGACCGAATTGAAACACCAGTTGACGTGCTCGTTGACAGAGTGCGGGTTGTTTGATATGAGGTACACGCACCGCTATTGCAGGTTTTATGGTCTGTCCCAGAAGTAGTAATCAAAGTCCCTACACTGGAAGGTAGGGACAAAATTGACGATGACTCCGCCTCACTAGTTGATGTCGTCGTCGAAGTCGAAGAAGGTACAGATGAGGATGAACTGGAGGCAGTCACAGTGCTTGGCAAACTTGCAGTGGAAGGTATGCTTAAAAGGGAGGTTGTGTCGGAAGATATGACACTGGACGAAGTGACTCCTCCAGATGATGATAGAGGAATAGAACTTAACGATGAGCTGGAGGAGGATACAGCGCTTGCAGAAGAATCGGTACTGGATAGCTCAACGGTACTTGAGGAAATGGGATAGGAGATCGATGAGCTGGTACAGGAACCGTTACAGGACGATTGTGTGGTAGACGAGGCCACGGTGCTGGAAGCTATTGTGCTTGAAGAATTCAAGGTACTAGTAAATGAATTCTGTGTGCTGGAAGAAGTGGAGCTCTCAGATGTCAAGGTGTTGCTTATCACTGAGCTGGAAGAACTCGAACTGCTGCTCAGTCCCGAGCTTGTGAAAGTCGCGGTGCTGCTTAGCGCTGAGCTGGAAGAACTCGAACTGCTGCTTAGCGCTGAGCTTGAAGAACTCAAACTGCTGCTTAGCGCTGAGCTTGGAGAAATCGAAGTGCTGCTCAGTCCCGAGCTTGTGAAAGTCGCGGTGCTGCTTAGCGCTGAGCTGGAAGAACTCGAACTGCTGCTTAGCGCTGAGCTTGAAGAAGTGATGGCACTTGAAGTTGGGCTTTTGCTAGAAGACATTTCGGTGGAAGACGACTGGCTTGCTGTAGAAGACAGCTTTGAATCTGAGGACGCAGATTGGCTGGATGAAGAGATAATACTAGCTGTCGTTATGCTAGAGGACGACAGAGTCAATTGCGTTGAGGACACTGAACTGGAATTCTCAGGTACCGGTTTAGTGCTTGAGGTACCCACGCTACTACTTGAGACCAATTTAGATGTTGAGGACAGAATACTGGATGAGCAGGCTCGGTTAGGGCAAGATTCGATTGTTGAGGTTGCTGTTGATATAGACCCAGAGCTTGAAAATGAGGTGGGTCCCTCTGAGCTTGTAGGAGGAACATCCACAAGAACTGTAATCACCGTGGCACCTGAGGAAATGGTATCAGTAGTTGTCGTTGCGAAACTATTCGTCCAAGTGGTTGTAGTGGTAGTTGTGGTGGTGCTTATTGAACTAGTTTGCCCACTCACAAGTGCACTGCCAGTGAAAGTTCCATCCTTTATGATAAATACCGGCGACTGTTGGGCAGTAGTAGTGTACGTTGAACCAGCCGTTGTATCTGTGCATGTGTAATCAAACGAAACGCTATGGACGACTGTGGTCACCGATGCATCCAAAGACTGAAGATTATTGACCCATATTTGATAGTTTGGTTGTATATTGTTGAAGGAAAGGGAAAGAGTAGCGCCATTGCAGTAGTAGTCGCCATCGTAGTTTTCATAGTCGGTCGGGAAAAACCAGTCATTATAATCCTTAGAGATTTGTACCTGAGCATCCGCGCAATCGTATCCATTAACCTGGCCATTGGGGTTATAATTGATTACTTGAGTGCCTCCAAGAATGTATCCATTGTTGCAAGCGAAGCCAAGATAATACGATTCCATTGTTCCATAAGTCGTTGTGTGGCCTTCATAGTAGAAATTACCAAAATCTTCCGATGCATGGTCAAAGCTCGTCGACGAGCTAAAACCATTCCCAAAATCAATTGTCTGCTGACCTGCCACGAAGTATTTGGCATTGCTTAGCTCGTATTGGTAAGAAGAGCCACCACTGCTGAATACCACTCCAATGGCAAGATTTCCACTCAGGGAAGAAAAGGAAGGAAAGCTTTTTGTAGCATCACACCTGAGGATAGAACTTTCAAATTTGTAGGCAGCCTGTTGTGATCCGTAACACCGGAAGGCTTGTGAACCGTCGGATGTTGTGATGTATTGATAATCGGCGTCCTCCGCAAATTTGATACGGTACACATGGGGAAGATTGAGCAGGAAATAGTCATCTTCAGAAACCTCGTTGGCGCTTCCTATTTCAAAATTGAAGGATAGTTTCCAAATTTTATGGGGAAGTCTTTGAGAGCTGAGGGCTTCGATTGAAAGATTGCTGTAACTGACTGCTGTAATCTGAGCGGCATAAGAAATCTCAGCCAATAAAGCGAGTGACACGACCAAGCAGAAGGCCCAAAATTCCATTTTAGCGAGAGAGTTGTCAGGGTTTTCCTTGTGACACAACGAAAAAACAAATTTGAACCAGAAACCAACTTAAGCTGATCAGCACGATTTGAGAGCTCGTTTCATCGCTCATTTATAGGATTTGTGACAGACCTGTTAGATCAAATAGCACTTGTTATCCCTTGTGCCGGCTCGAAGCACGGGCATCCTGAGATCCTCATGTAAACTGACCCTCAAATGAAAGTTAGTAGTGCTTGCCCAAATATTTGTGCAGTTCTGAGATCGATGAGACTGCCTTTCAAGGGTTCGTCACATTCTGACACCATCTACTGGAGTCGCAGGACTTCAAATTCAGTTTCAAGAGCCACCATTGAGACCACGGTAGAGTGATATTGCAGCGTAGTTGACATATTTGACACAATCCAAATGAGGAAACAAGACAGAAGTACTCCAGAACCTGTTTCCCCGGTTGTCTCTCTTCTGTCACCGATATTCGTAGAGTCCGCTTTCCAACCTTCCTGTTTGAGCGTTGAATGAGATCAACGAAAACACCAACATAACAATGCAATGTGCAAGGCAACCGCTCGAATTGGATGGAGACTACCCGAAAAAGGGCTGAATGAACGGGTTCGAGATCTATCGACCTCAAGAAGAAGTAGACGAAGCCGTTGACAAGGTGTGTCTCGTGTCCAATCGTCAAATTTAATTAGATTGTATGCTAGAACGGAGCTATCCACCCCACAAGTTGAACCCCAGGAGAGGGATCTAATATGGGTCATGTAAAGCAAACAATTGTCTCTTGGAATTGAGCGCGTCCATTGAGCGCATTGCTGGTTTCAAAAGACGTTTTTATTTAGCAGTCATTTCAAGAATACTACTATACACTTGAATTAAGATCACGCTGTTCGAGCGTCAGATGATTGTAGAATTTAGAGAGTGATGCCACACATCTTAAAGACGTATATTCGCCATTCGAAATAGTAATGAACTCTTCTATCGATGCGGTATCGAAAGTTAGCCAGCAGTGGATGGGTTTCAAAGATTCACATTGTTTGTTGTAATATTTATAATTTATGTTTTGGTAGATCCGTCAGGATTTCCAGGTCATATATCATGTTAGTAAAATAAAAACACAGCAAAGGTAGTCTTCTCCATTCGAAAATACCCGCAATGCTCAAAGTAGCTCGATACAGTCTTTTTAATACTCTGAAAGACACACGTAGCTGAACTCAACGTCGAAGTAGAAAACTGAGAAATGCTTAAAAATATTGCAAAAAGAAGCCCTGTAGGGGGCTCGAACCCCTAACCTTATGATTAAGAGTCATACGCGCTACCGATTGCGCCAACAAGGCTTTTCTTGAAAGTAATCAAGAAAATGAAAATCATACAGGACAGTAGAGGTCACATCTTACACCAACAATACGCTTCTGGCTCTTCAAAGAATCTGGCTAAAACGAAGAGTCCTGGGACAGATGGCTAAGTTGAGAATCCTATACCTTGGCAACTCAATTCACAAGAATACTATAAGCTATTGAATAAAGACTATAAAATCGTTTTCTATCTGGCGGTTATCTTGCCCTCGCAGTAGAAGTAAACACAATGGTATACATTCTTGAAGGATAGCCGCAATCGAATCTTCGTGCTATTCTCGTTTCTCCCATTATACGCCGTCTCTTACGGAAATTGACCCGACATACCACTTCTTAGTTGCGCTTCTGATTTTCTTGCCCCAAATGTATACGGGAACTGCAAATAGCGCTATGCCAAAATTGATTACTGCTAGGGCAATGTAGGTGTTTTCGGTTCCCGAAGCGTCTAGCCAATCCGAGCACAAAAACGTGAAAATGCAGGATATGGTGTTATTAATGATCGCAGTGCACACCATTCCTTCCAAAACCATATCAGGGTAGCAGTCCATCAAATACGCCATTGCAATGTCACCGGAACAACCCCAACTGAAGCCAATGAACCCAAGACCAACATAGATCACCTGCCAAGACAGTTCCCTAGCTGTACCAATTCCAAACATCAATAGACCAGCGGGCCCAATGATAGCTGAGGCAAATGCAAAGACAAGTCTGTATTCTGCCTCCAAAATACCATTGTTGCGGCGTGCCATCCACAACACGAAATGGTCACTAAGCACACCAGCATAGACACATCCGATCACAGCGCCAATCAAGGTTGGAACGTTCATGATGGCAACACCGTAGTCGCTGTAGTTCCAAGGAGCATCATAAAAAACTGTATCTTCGGTAGTCAGGTAAAAAGTGAGAAAAACGTCTTGGATACCCCAGAAAAATCCGGAAAGCCACACTGGTGGAAATAAGAACATTCTCATGTTCAGAGCGAGGTACTTGAGGTATTGCTTGAAACCGAACCCGCGCAGATTTGTCGCCTTGGTAATCAGGGAAATTCGGCGATGGTATGGTTTTAGCTTTTCTTCGGACCCCTCTATCAACTTGAAATCTTCAAATGAGGCTTCTATACTCTGAACGACATCACTGGTTCTTCCCACTTTTTGGCTGGTGCTGGGTTCAATGTCCTGTAGTGGATATTTTTGATCCCCGCTTTCTTCCGACTCCGGTGTCACATTTGGCTTATCGTCACTGCTGCTACCGGATGCTCTTTTTGAAGTTGGCGTCAAGTATTTATTGCGGTCGAAGTAGGTTTCCTCACAGCCAAACAGGATGAAAATCAACAGTACACCCGAGATGATGGCCGCTGTCCAACCCACCCAGCGGAAAGATGTGTTTCCTGCGATGTATCCGGCTATCAAAGGTCCCAGAAAAGTTCCAACACTGGTGGCCAGAATATAGACCGTTAAAACGGATCCTAACTGATGCTGGTAAAAAATGTCGCTAAGCGAAAGTTGCACCTGCGCTTCTGCACACGACTCACTGATACCGACAAAGAGCTGCGACCAAATAGTATCGCGCGTCTTGGAGGCACACGCAAACCAGATCGCACCACACAACCCCAGCACCGTACAAATGACGTAGGTGATTTTGCGTCCGTAAAGATTAGCGAATGGTGCCAAGAAAAGAGTAGCCCAACCTATGCCCAAAAACAGGACGCCTGCGCCGGTATTCATGGAGTTGTAGGAAATGCCATAAATCTCGTTGAGTGAGTCCTGTGCAGCTCCCGCGTCGTTACTGGTGGCTGCTGTGAACGCAGTGATGAAAGCCATCAGCCCGAAATGCATCATTTTTCGCCATTTTGTCCAGTTTAGCGGGTCGTTGGGCGATTCTGACGGCTGTGGAATCAGCACCACTCCCTGGTCCGTCTTGCGAAGCGTGGATTCATAGATTACGCCGTTTTCAAAACTCTGCGAGGAATAGATGTTAAAAGTTCCCGGCACATAGTCTGGATGGTGAATGTTAGTGTACCTGTCCATGCTTTCAGTTTGGGTCAGAAAAAAAGCTATGAACTTGTGGTTTTCGAAACTTTTCAAGAACGATTATACTAAGTTCAAAGCCCGGAAAGAAGCTCAACGTATCGGCGCTCTGTGAAGTATGATCCAGGACCACCTTTTTAACCTTTCAATATTCTTATCAGTGCTCCACAGACACTTTTTCGGTTGTAGTTATCCTGGCGAAAGCCATGTCTTTCTCATCGCTTAAATCGTCATTAAAATTTTGATAACCAATTTTACGTAAGGCCGTATCTGGGCTTGGCGCCAGATCACATGACCTCGAGAGTCGATGAATGATAACCGGCGTCAGCGCTTGGGATAAGGAAAGGACATCTCCGATAACTATCGTCAGGATAAGGCCTCATAGACTGGTATCAGCCGTGGACGCTGTGTGTGCGTTTGTGGAGATTTGAAATTGAGATTTCAAGAATTTTTCGGCGTTCATTGTGCGCAATGTAATGCATTGCCCGAAGAATTACGTGTCGTCGTAGTCCAGCCCCAGACTTCATACATCGGGCGAAGATTCGCAGCCAGGACAGTTGTGTAGAATTTCGTGGATAAATACGTCACAATCGATGCAGAAATCGCGATGGCAGTCAGCACAACGGTAGCGTGAACTGGTCAGCAGCTCATGTGATTTGTGATTCTTCAGGCGAGGAAAGCGTTTCTGGCAGCTGAAGCACGTCTCTGAGGGAAAAGTCTCAGCCACACCGACCTCTTGAAACGTTTTTAGCGGCATTAGATGGTGGTAGGAACGCGCCAAATGGGTCGACAATATCAGCATTAGATCGCAGCAGGGACACACCGTGGGCAGGGAGCACACTTTACTTTTGCAGTTGGGACAGAAGTAGCCACCATACATAAGCTTGGAGTGACATGTGCAAAACGACGGCATGTCTTCGTAGACCCGGGTTGGGAACCCCATCTTGACGAGGGTGAAACCCTTGTTGATCTTGTTGACCGGCAGAGGCGTTACAGCGTCCGCGAAAAGATCCCGGAAGTGGACCTCGTTCAGGATCACACCGTAGAACGAATTGTCACCGTAGTTGGTCTGCTTGCAGAGCTCTTTACACACCGCCACTTGGGCGGACAGCCCAATGACCCGCACGCGAATGCGTTCCTGTACGAGCGATCCTATAGTCTGGTGTATGTCGCCCGGGTCTGTGCTGGACAGTGCGCCAAACACAATGAGAACTTCTCGTGTGCAATGCGCCGGAACGTGCAGTAGCAGTCCACGAGCCATTTCTAATGCGTTTTGCAGCGAGCTGTTTCCCTGTGGCTCCTGTTTCCGCATGTTCTTCAAAGCGTCGATGTGATCCTGTGGGTTTCCGCTGACCTGACTTATTAGGTGCGCAAGGTCGTTTCTCATGCACACAATGCCAATTTGCGAGATTGGGTTTTGGTCAAAAAATTCATGTACGAAGTTCAGTGCGTATTGGATAGTCATGGCGTATCTGTTTGGCCGCAAATCCTTTTCGGTCATAGAATCGCTGCAATCCAGCACAAGTATCAAAGTTCTGATGATTCCACGCTGGAATGGGGTCATGTTTTTATTACTGGCTCGCTTTTTGCGTGCCTCAATGATACTGGATACCAGTGCCGCCATGCTGCCCTCATCGTCCACTTTGACCAGGTCCCAACTTCTCTGAATGTCCTCTTCCCATGCATAACCACCATTTGCTCCCAAAAGGTTTGTATTAGCCACTTTTTTCTTCTTTCTGCTGCTAGCTGGACGACTATCGGCTCGCTCTTCGTCCTCACTGAATATGTTTTCATCACCTTCGCTCAAGGAATTGCCGTCCTCGTTGTAATCGTCTTCGATCCGAACATGTTTCTTGACCTTGCCAGCCTTACCCTTGGCCCTTTGAGCGGGTTTTTTAAGCGTATCATCGTCAGAATCGGAATCAGCAATACGTGGCATGAAATTTGAATAGCGTGGAGAACTCCTGAGCTGAATTCTTGAAGTTTATGATCAAATCCATTTGGCATCGCATCGCTAGTCCTATTTTATGAACGAGGTTGACATTTCAAAAAGTTTCACACGTGATACAAGCCATGAGTGAATAGAGTAATGACCAGATGTTCGACTAGAAGATGAACTAGAGTAATGACGACATAAACGATCAGAGAAACGGCTACAAGAAGATTTGTATCGTCTAAAGAAACAACTCGATGTCCAATGCCAGTATATCTATAAAGCTAGCAGTGTCATCGCTCACATCTTTGTCTCCCAATCCAAATCTTAGTTTCTTTCCGGTTATGAGCATGATGCGACCATCGGTATTTAGCGACAAACAATTGGGTATTCCTAGCAATTGATTTCTAAAAGTATGTTCTTCCACTTTCGACCTGCTCCCGCACAAGCGGGCATCGTGCATTCTGTTTCTTTGGGAAATGGCATCCTTTAAAACTGAAAGATTAATGGCGTCGGCTGACGTGTCCCGGACTCGGTGGTAATTCGCCCTCTTGATCCCAGTGCACTGGGAAAGGAGCCATGAAAAACTCAAGCAAGCCGCCGTGCTCTCCAAACAGCTCATCATGGGTAAACCAATTGCGATCTATGTAATCCCCATTGAGTTTAACATTTTTGATGTATTTGTTTCTGGTGGAGTAGGATGGTGACGAACCGTGCGTCTCGCGATAGAGATCATGCGCTATTATCACAACTTTAGTAGACTCACCAATGGTGATCTCAACTTTCGACACCTTCGGGCTTGTGATGAGGTAAATATCTGTTCCTGCCACTGGAAAAAACCCAGATAGTGCAAACCATAACCAGGCCTGCATTGACCCTGCTCCTGAGCATCGCGGCAGACCTTTCGGGCCTAGCTTGAACTTTGTTTCGATGAGGTAGTCCACAGTTTCAGATGTCTTGTACTGCAAATTAACAAAGTCGTACAAGTATGGCGTCATGAAGCTTGGTTCGCTGAGACTGTCGGCAAAACCGCGTCCACGAAGACCAAACATGTCGTCTAATCTTTCCACGAAAACACTCTCAGATCCAATTAGCGCCTTTAGTGTCTTCATATCATAAGGTACTTGCCAACCGTATTCTACGGGTTTCGCCATGTACGCGTCATCTTTCCAATGGCATCCAAAACATGACAATGGGTCATAGTGTTTGGTGTAGAAGTCTCCGTCACGATCTTTCGGCTGAATGAAGCCGCGGTAATAGACATGCGACGCAGTCGCTCTTGGATTCCAAAGTTGCTGCCAATTGGAACACCTTTTCAGATATTTGTGACTTGTCTTGATAAAACCTAGTCCCCTGGCCACTATTGAAATGGCAAAGTCGTTGTACGCATAATCCATTGTTCTCGTTAGAGAGCGCGAGAATTCTTGTGTAACATAACCAAACTCTAACCAATCAGATAGCGCAGTGCGGCCTTGTGTATCCTTCATTCCGTGTCCAGGGTGTGGATATCTTTCTGCGTTTGTCTGCATGGCACGGAGCCCAATCTTCCAGTCAATCCTATGCTTGATACCTTTCGAAAATGCGTCAGCAAGTATAATGTCAGAACTGCTCCCACCGGCCATTCTGGTATTCAATGTAGCTGTTCGTCCCTCCGGCAAAAATCCGTCATGCCTCCAAGCATCAATCAAGCTTCTTATGAAATCAGTGGTCCTAGTACGGTCCAAAATTGTGAACATGGGAATCAAACAGCGGAAAGCCTTCCACAGGGAAGGAAAATCGTCATAGTAAGGCTCTCGGCTGAGCCACGGTGCTTCCAAACCGGATTTATCAACTGGCATCAAGTGTGAGCCATACAAGGAGTTATAATACTTTTGAACCACAATGGGATCCTCCTCGGATGCATCCATCGATATCTTCGAGAAAACTTCGCGATTCCAGGCATTCACTGCGTTCTCGACGCTCCAATCCAGATCAAAAAGATGGTTTGAAGGATAATCATTATGAATATTTGCCAAGGCAGTGGGAACGTCTCGAAAACTTATACCAACATGCGAATGCAATATTCTAGTCCCAACTTCGAACTCGAAAAGTACCCCTAGATTAGAGGTGGATTCATCTGCTTCGCAGTGTCTTATTCCACTTTGAGAGTGGTGATCTTTGAAGACACGCACTTTTTTTGCAGGTTTATCAAAAACGCCATAGAAGCTGACGCTCCAAGATTTCTCAGGACTTCTGCCATGCGAAAAGTAAGCTTTCCCGTGGTAAGATTTCAGGTCTCTCGACACCTGAATGAATCCGCCTCTGAATTCCTGCGACAACCACGGCTTGTGAAATGAATGAAGATGGTGGCTTACGTTAACCAAAATGACAGGCGCCAGCAAGCGGCTGTTCTTGTGTTTCAGCGGGCGATTGACAGGGAAAGTATATTTGTAAAGCCCAGACCGATGAGAGGCGGAAAACTCGACCTCAATGCGATCTTCCAAACACACTTTGTAGTAACCAATGTGTCCGGCATCGGGCCGACATCTCGCTGCCGATATTGGTTCCGTGGTATCAATATCGTGAAGTGATTTTGCCAGTAACGGCAGCTGCGAAACCACCCCGTAGTTTGGGGTGGCGTCTGTTCCTGATTCGTGAAGCATGGACACTCCGGAAATTTCTCCCGAGTACTGATATCCGGCGTACGAGTCTCCCAGATGTGGGTCCAAGACGTCTACTCCCATTTTGCACATACCAAAGGGCATAGAAACGCCCGGAAACATGTGTCCGTGTGCTTGTGTTCCGTAAAAGACGTCGACGTAGTTTAAGAACGGGAAGAGAAGCGACAGTCGGGCGGAATTACTGGAAAACGAAGCAGGCCGCTGTGGGCCGCCAAAACTCACCAGCTCACGATTTTGTGCGGTTTCTTGCAGTTTTTGGGACCACAGAGCTTCGAGCTCTTTACTGGCGTCAGCGAAAGAACCATGCACGAATATTAACAACAAATACCAAGTAAGCATAATTCTCAAGCCCCACGAATTGCAGTGATGTTTCAGTAACCTATCGTTTCCTCGGGTTCAACCTTTTTTTGTGAAGAGCCCACATCTGTAAACCTGGGTCTTTGGTTTTGGAATGTCCACTGACACTTATCCACTGACGTCTTTTCCAATGCTTGATTGTTTATCACTTCCGTATTTTTGTGTCGCGAAAAGACACAATCACGATTACATAACCAAGGATCGGACTCCAGAATAGGCAGGTATTACTTAATTAGGAATTTCCAAGGGTCCTTTCCTATTTTGGACATCTAAAACTCCTCGAGGCTACTTCATTTCCCATTATTAAATTGGCTCGAGGTGCATTACCGCGAACAAACTGCATGTCGGTATATTCAGCATTGTCCAGCGGTGACAATGATAAACTCTTAAACACAATAGTGTCTACCCCCCAAAGCTATTGCACCATCTCTCGGTCGAGTCCAGGTGACTTGCAAAGCGTATTTTTTTCTTCCCAGAGTGCTAACGGCTTCCTGCAATAACCTAGAGGATTCTTTCAGGTGTAAGAACCACACTTCTTGAATGACAGGATGAGTTCGGTAAAGGAATAATCTCATCGCTTAGATGAAATATAAAAGGAAATGTCTTTGGACGCATCAGATGGCGATATCAGATCAGTTCTTGACGCTAAATCTCTAATCGACTCAACTTGGTGCTCTGATAAGCCGTAATGTCGTCCTCACTTGAATCAAAGACGGAAGGAAAGCAGGTTTCGTCAGATCTGGTCGAAATTCTCAGCAACGAAGACGTTGATGTTGCGTTGAGGTACTTGAAAAAGGCACATGCCGAGGATGTGGCATTAAGTGACCAAACTACAGATGTTTCTGGTATCAAGGGCCAATCCAACGAAGAGCGTACTTATTTTGGCACTCACACGCTGCAACCCCGGATTTTGCGCAAAGTGGACTGTTTCATTTTGCCGTTTTTGTGTCTCACGTATCTGTTCATGTTCCTCGACAAAGCGCTGCTCAATTACGCAGCAGCGATGGGAATCAAGCAACACCTGAAGGGCAACGAGTTTTCGGATCTAGGAACAATATTCTCAGCGGCGTACATTTTCGCTGAGCCGTTTGTCACCTTCTGTATCCAGCGTTGGCCAATTTCCAAAGTCATGGGTACGTTTATCACCTTGTGGGGGGTGGTATTGGCTTGCCATTCGGCGTGCAAGTCGTATGCGTCACTTATGATCGTTAGAACTCTACTGGGTATGCTGGAGTCTAGCAGTGCTGTTGGCTGCATTGCCATCAGCGGGATGTACTACACGAAATCTGAGCAATCTGCCCGGATCGGGTTCTGGGCTACTCAGGCAGGCACGGGGTACATTGTGGGTGGTTTGATTTCTTTTGGATTCCTGCACTACCATGGAACCTCCTTCACATCTTGGCAAATTATGTTCTTGGTCGTCGGACTTGTTACTGTCCTTTTTGGCATAGCAACCTTCCTGTATCTTCCAGACAACGTTACGAATGCGTGGTTTTTGGATGAAACGGAAAAGGTGGAAGTTTTGCGTCACATCAAGGCCAACCAGACCGGCCACGAAAACAAAAAATTCAAAATTTCGCAGATCAAAGAACTGTTTCTGTATGACAAGCTCACTTACCCAATGCTTTTGATCACCGCGTGCTCTCAGATCTCCACGGGCGCTATTGGCACGTTTTCCGTCACAATCACACAAACTTTTGGCTTCGACAAATATCAATCCGCACTGTTACAATTGCCAATTGGTACCATCACCGCGATTATCATTCTGGTCACAACACAGATGTTATCGCGTTTTGGTCAGTTCACCTTGATCACCACTTCCATGTACATTCCAGCCATCATTGGCTGTATTGTCATGCTATCATTGCCGCTTTCCCACAAAATCGGCAACCTATTCTCATTGTACCTGCTATACAGCGGTTCCTGTGTCATTACCAACATCTACATCTGGAATTCATGCAATACTTCCGGCTATTCGAAGCGTGTGTTTCGTAATGCAGCAACAATGATTGTCTACAGCATTGCCTGCATCGTGGCCCCGCAGATGTTCAGAACCAGTTCCTATCCTCGCTACATTCCTGCCAAAATCGCACTACTGGTGACCCAAGCTGTATGCGTCCCATTACAACTCTACGTCGGCTATGTAAGCAGAAAAGAGAATCGGGCAAGAGACAAGGAACAGGAGGGTCAAGAAAAGACTCAGTATCAGTTTCTAGATTATACTGACATTGAAAACAGAAGCTTCAGATATTTTTACTGAATTTCGATGTGACTTCTGTTCGATCAGTGACATAGTTAAAAGTGTATTTACCAAAATTTAATGAAAGGTTTAATTTTATTTAAAAAATGCCAGATGCGATGAGCTTCGAAAGAAAGAACACGATTAGTGATTAAAAAGGCTCAATCAGTACTCAGAATACTTTGAAATGTCTTTGGGAGATGATCTTGATGATGGCTTAGACTATGAAGTTGAAGCTAGCGATTTTGAAGATGCTGTAGAAGTTGATAACGAATTAGAATTGTCGAAACCTTTGAAAAGAAGCCGATCCAACAGCGGACAGGATGAACAGAAGCCAATAGAAGAAAGGCAAAGCAAACGTCAAAGGAAACTCGCCAAGTCAAACTTACATCAGAAAAAAGTGGAAAAAGTGGAGCACGAAAAGGAACAGAAAAAGCTGCTTCCGAAAGCGACTGCAGAATACATCGTCGATTATCTAGCAACTTTGGTCCGTGAGAAAAATCCAGATCTGAGTGCTTTGGAACTCGAAGAAAAGTACTTCAAAAAGACGGATTTTATCTCCACCGAAAGATATCAGAAGGACAGAACACTGGATAATTTCCAGGACTTTGTCAACACGTTCTCAAAATCGCCAAGAGCAGTGATTCTATCAGCATCGAATATCAGGGTAGCGGACGTATTCAGGAGCCTAGGCGGTTCCCAAAACGCGGTCAAGCTTTTCTCAAAGACGAAGCTGAAAGATGATGTCGCCCGGGTTGATCTTTTGTTAAAAGGCGCCAGCCAAGAAGATAATGCTGGAAGGAAAAAGTCTAAGGACAAGAAGAAAAAGCAAAACGAAGTTAAGTACTTTGTCTCCACTCCCGGTAGAATGTCCAAAGTCCTGGATTCGACTGACGCGCTCTTCGAAGGGAAAGAAAAACTGGACATTTTCTTGGACGCCAGTTATCTTGATCCCAAGACCAACACTTTATTCACAAGCGAAGATTGCGCAGCTCTTTTCAAGGTCCTAAAGGATTTCTTGCTCAAAAAAAGCTCTGTGAAGATTCTTTTGTTTTGAGTAATGTATGTAAGCACATAGACGCGAGTAGTTGATTTCAAGCTACCTCCTGTTTTTCATACGTAAGTATTCAATTGTACTTTAAGCGAATGGCCTTCTCAAAGAAAGCTTACGAGCCAGCATCGAAGGCTTCCTTGAAAGATGAAGACTCGGGCTGCTGCTTTTCCTCCTGTCTTTTAGTGGGTTGATCGTCTCTGCAGGCTTGTCGTAATCGTCCATTTTTTTGACGGGTGATGAGGACTGCCGACGGAACTCTGGTTGGATACTGTCAGCAATGAAGCTCGATGATCGGCTTCTCGAGTCTCCAGCGATAATTGTAAGAGGCTCTCGATTTTCGTTGAGGGCAGGACTATCTGGCAGACTCTTGGGCTTGTTAAGCCTGAAGACTTGATTCACAGGTTTCAAATAGATGGATGCAATAGTACCTATGTTGAGCTCCAGTTCTTCGACAATCTGAGGATCCAGCTGAGTGTTTAGAGCTATGGGTGGCAGCGTTCCATCAATAATTTCTCTCGCAGCGTCCATACCTATGTTACCGTTCTGGCCATTTTGAGCAAAAGACAAGAGCCTCCAATAAACAAAAGCCCTGTCTCTGAGGTCCGGGTCATCTATTCTTTCAGTTGCGTTTTTCAAGATATCCACGCAGAGCTTTTCTGTCACTGGAGTAGGATTTCTGGTGAAAAGTCTGACAGCTGAACCGAGTATGACAAATTGAACCTCGAGAACTTCATCCAAGAAATTATTTGCAAAGAGCTGGAACAGCTCCAGATAGTTCGGGAGATGGCTGTAATTTTGAGTTATAATCCAAATCATTGAACCGCGAGACTCCGGTTCTTGAACCCAATCAGTAAAGCGCACCAGCTTTTCGAGACAAAGTTCATACCTCTCTGGATACCTTCTCAACACATTTTTGAAAACAGAAACGATCTCCTGTACAATGTACTCAACTTCGAAATCCAGAAGTTCTATAAGGAGTGCAATACATTCGTCAGCCGATTGCTCGAGCTTAACGGTAAGGTTACCAATAGCCCTGATGGCCTTTCGAGACATCTGGATGTCAATATCTGTGGCGTATTCTTTAAGCTCCTGAAGAATTTGTGAAAGATTATCTTCTTTGGCCAAAAGATACAGAATTTCCAGCTTCGTATCCTTTATGTAGATTGGGTCGTTGAACTCAACGAAAAAGTACGATATGTCGATCGTCAAAACGGGCTTTTCTTTGCCTAGCAATAACAGGATGATATTTCGTAGAACCAGGAACTGGAGTTCGGCAGGTTTATTGAGTAGCGATACCATGGATCCTGATAATTGTTTGAGAAGACGTTCCGTCAAATAATCGACGTACTTCGTCAAGTACAGGACGAACTTGAATGCATTCAAGACTACCGATGTATTATTATGTTGCAGCTGAGAAACGGACTTTTCAATGAAATGGTGAGCGTCTGAGTGGCTGTGGGGAACGTAGGAGCCAGTGAGTGAATCGAGAACTCGGGCAGAGTCCCATTCATTGAGTTTTGCCAGCAGTTCGAGCATATCGGCGCATGTGTCGAAGTCAACAGAAAAATTCTGGAGCATTGGGGTCGTTTCCTGGATCTCGTTGAGAATGAAAAGCGCATTTGCCCTTACGGCCGGTCCTTCTCGGTGGTTGCTCAGTGTGTCGTACAATAGCTCTAACAGAGGTGAAGCCCGGGTGGTGTCGTAGTTCAGCAGCTTGAGGATTGCATAAAGTGCCGTTTTTTTCAGCTTTTCCGAATTTGAGCTTTTTTGCAGTATTGTGCGGACAGCTTTATGGCATTCATCTGCATATGGATCCAAAGGGACCGCTGCCAAAGTTCGGAGTGCCAAAGTCTGTAGCCGTTCAGATCCAGACGTGAGGTCACCAACAACAAGTCGCAAAGCATCCTCAAAGTGGTTAGATTTTGTCGAAGCCATTGCTACCAGGTATTGATGACAGATTCGCTTCACTTCCATATTGTCATCAATCCGCCAAAACTCTAAGACATCTGGAAAAAGATCGAGCATTTCAGATGAAAACCCCATTGTGATATTAGCTATAATTTTCTTGAGCGCATTCTTTCGTTTTGCTGCTGACGCTCGGTGTTTTTTGACATTTCCCTGTTGCAGCTCTGCACGGATTTCGTAGGCCTTATACCTGGAAAATATGCGTTGATCAGACATCCCGTTCATCTATTAAATTTCTTAATATCCTGTAAAGATCAATTGAGCCACTAAGTAGGACCAGAGCAGCTTTGATGTCTTGATGGTTGTCTCAATTGATGAGGAAAGTTACGCTTTCGATGTAGCCTCTAATTATATTATTGTAGAAGCGGGATATACATCAACACATCAAGAATGACGAACAATAGCTGCGACTCGAAAGACAGCGATGACAACCGAACGGCTTACTTGGTTAGTGGATCAACAAGGAGCTTTTGAGATCCTGAAAGTAACGCTACGTGTACTTTTTTTTTTCTCTTGGTTGATCCCAGTGAAACTGAGAAAGGTAACATATTATGTACGCTGGAATGGAATGTCAATTACATGCTGGTGCTTACTTTCTTTATCTCCAGAAAGTGGTAGGATTGCTGCTGGTTCTCGGGAGGGAGAAGGTCATACTAGTTTCAGCTAAAACCCTGTGCTGTCAACTTCTTTTTGGTCACTGCTGGAAAACATATTAATCAATATATCAGGTTTCCCATTTCGTAAAATTAATGGCCAAGAACATGAGCGTCCTGTCCTGTGCGGTTGATTAAGACGGCCGATTCAACTTTCATCTACGCTAGATCGTTTTATCTGACTTGAGAGTTTTGAAGGCCGATGACTTTTGCTGTCATTGCCAGATATTACGTTTTCGTTTCCCTCTTTCCAGTCGTTGAAGTCTATGAGAGCTTGCATGCACCCCCATTCGGTAATCTTGCGCGCAAGCCAATCAAGGTTCACCGGCTTGGTTAGATAGTCATTGCAACCGGCGAGAAGTGCTTCTGTCTTGTCGGAATTAGAATTTGAAGCGGTCAGTGCAACCACTATCACGGGAGCCTTTGATCGATGGCTTCTTCGGGGTTCCAGTTTGTTGCTGTCAGGCGTCGAAGTGAAATTCTGACTGCGCTTTGAAATCTGGTTTTGCGTTCCAATACCGTGTAACTTTTCCAGCTTTCTTATCTGCTTGGCCGCGTCTATCCCGGACAGCACAGGGAGCCCCAAATCCATTAATATCAAGTGTATCCCCCCCTCTTCCCATTTTTCTACCGCTTCGACACCATTTTTGGCGGTCTTATAGGAAATCTTGTGTTTACGCAAGAAGGAGGATAAAATGGCTTGATTGATCATGTTGTCTTCCACAACCAGAATATTGATTTTCGCGAACACCTTGTCTATGGTGGCAGATTCTGTGGTGACCGTCTCCAGTACGGTACGCAGAAATGGAGACCCCTCTTTTTGCACTACAGGGTCGAGAGACGGTACCAGCCCGACCTCTTCTTCTACTAGCGGGCCGTTTTTCGGAGCCTGCGTGTCAAACGTAAAAGTCGCGTGTGTATCGACCGTTGAAGATGGAGACGTCACATTCGGCGAAGGCAGATTGACGTCACCTTCATAGCCACGCGGTAGCAACAGAATGGCTTGTTTCTGGTCCGTATTTTCTTCGTCATTAGTCAAACTCAATTTCCGCAGTTCCTCCTCATCCACTATCAATTGATAATCTGTCATATCTTCCATTATGGGTTCTTGCTGATCTACTTCATCGTTTATGTCATTGAAAACAGGTTCATTATTGGAGCTGGAAAATATCAGCAAAGCATCTGTTGGTTTCTGATTCGTGGTTCCACCAAAAAGAGTTGTGCAAACATCGATTATCAATTCGTCAGGCTGCAGCAGCGACTGGTGAGGTAGCGAACGAGGAAAATCATCAGGTTTCGGTGTAAGTCCAGAAGCAGAGACAGATTCTATAGCGGGTGATAGTCTCTTGGCCAAACCACGTTTCACAGGAGATAACGAGCAAGAGTCCCTGGCTGAAGCTGCTGAGTGATTGTTAGCAAGCCTCAGTTGAGCTACAGGCGTCAGGTTCGGCACGAGATTCTGTGCAGTGCTTCCCTGGGCTGACAGAGGCGAATCCAAAGTTGCCGCACGGGGACTGCACGACCTCGAAGCATGCCAGGGTTTAGGGGCATTTGGTGCCATAGGGGCTCGGACGTTGTAGCTTGCTGAACTTGTCGGTACCGGGTGTAGTAGCTGGTCCGTATTGGCCTCCAATCGGAGACCTTTGGTGGGTGTATCGTGTGCAAGAAAAGGTTGCTGTTGCATATATGCCCCACTGTTTTCGAGATCGCACTGACATAAAACGCCAATTCCAATGCTAAAACTATCGTTTTCGAACGCCCATCGTGTGTTTTTGAATTTGGCAAAAATACGGTCCTTTAAATCGTCCACTGTATCGTTTTTACTGTACTCGATTGCCGTTGCCTGGTTTGTCAGATTTGGAGCCAATTTCGAAGCTTCCAGCTTGACCCATATCTTCAAAACACTCTCATTCGAGTTAGTCAACTTCTTAAAGTTGGAGGGACTGGAGACTGAGCTTCTGATCCCATTTCTTGTGCTCATTTAGCGTTCTTTTTGTCGATCAAAAGCGTTGAAAGAAGACGTTAAATCTGAGCGATGGTTTCTCATTGTATGGTCAGTTCGTTAAATTAGATTTCCGCTCGGGTTTCACGTCAGGTGACCTGAAAATCTTATAGTCATAATGGGTACTTTTCGGGTACTTTTCGGGTACTTACTGAAATTTTATGGATACCAAACGGATATGTCAGTTTTAACATATGGGTACTTAGTGGGTTGAAGGACAGATTAGCTGTTCACACTACCGTTGGCAGACAGAAAGAGAAGTCGTGGAGCCTGAAGGACATGATTTTATCGTGCTAATAATCGGCTAAGACCCCTAGGGAAGAGTTGGAATTTTATGTGGGAGCCAGAGGTATCTCGAATATTATGTGGGAGCTAGAGGTATCTTTTCTAAGATAATGGAAGATTTCTTATATCGTAAAGCAGAATAGTTGGATGATGGAACTGGCTGTAGAAGAGGGAAAAGGGTTTTACCTTTACGCACTCAGAGCCGAGTAATAACAGCGCTAGTGAAGGAACTTGTGTGAAATGACGGGTCACGTGGCGGATATGTGACAGGAGCGGCGCCCAAGGTCCAGATTTGTCAGGAGGAAGCAGCGATAATCATGACAGTGAACAGGATGAATGCAATGTGATCACTACCTGACGATTTAGCAAGAAAAAAATTGCTAGTGCATCACCGTAGTCTTGGCGACGTCTGCTTTCTCCATACTGTTCCCAGCGATCGATGGAACTAAAGGAAGTAGCATAGTCAATAAACAGTTGATTTGGAAGCTGTGACACTCAACACTAGCATTCGAACATGCCAAAAAGACCTTAAATTCTCTTATGTTTAAATTTGTTTGGGGTCACGTGACTCAGTGACAGCGACAGATTAGGTAAAAAGTGACAAACAAACGAGCTTTTCTAGCATTGAACATTGAAGCCCGAAAAGGATGTATACCAGAGAGCTGGTACACGGTAACTTCCATTGGTTTCGTGACATACTCCACTTGATACGAATGTTTTGTTTTTGCATGCGTACCTTCGTTCAAAAAACTCATTATCAGCTTTTGCCATGTTCAAATTCTAAAAAAAAGTGAGATCAACCCCATGACTTAAGATAATTCGGTATTAAGCTTGAAACTTTCCTACAAGCATAATTAAATCCTTCGGAAACTCTTTATCGCTAGATTTAATCATCAAAATGGTTCTGTTCCATTTTATCACGTGAGCATGTAGTTTTCCAACACCATCTTACTCTCTTTCTAACGTCCTAGCGATGAGGTAGTGGAACCTATGGTTGATAATGATCTCCCTTTTTCCAATTCTACTCCTGCTAAATCTGATGTCACGGGAATGCTGAAATTTTGCACTTCATGATCATTTTTCGGTGCTCAAGAACAGCTGCTAAACACACACTCCCAAGGAAGGAAAAGCACCCAAAAATCAGTGTCAAACACACATCGATTGTGTTCTAAACATTTTCATCGAATCACAAACTTGAGCTCAGTATATCCTTTCCCCATTGTCAAACTTTAGTAGTATCCAATCTTGACGAATTTACAATAATAACAATTAGTCCATCGCACTGCTGACAGGAAATCGTATAATGCCAAAATGGATGAGCAACCGCACAACAGCTCACAATTGAGTGCTCCACTCGACGAGCAAGATGCCAACAAGCTATTACTACAGTACCTTCTCTTACATCGCGGTGCTTGTGATGAAGATCAACTGTTGAAGGCATTAAAAACGCTTGAAGAAACAGATCGAAACGATAATGAATGGCAGTCTCGGCTCAATAAATGGATGGCGAGGGTCAATTTGACGCTGAACGCGTTGGATTACAAAGTTACCAGACTGAGAAATCGATATGGTGGGTGGAGCTACGTTTATGTCGATCTTGCACCGGCAGAAGATACCAAAGCAGCTACAAGACTCAGTCTTGACGAGCTCAATTTTGTGCAATGGGCGATTCAAAGATTTTTGGGCGAAAAACGTGCTGTTGAAGTAGAGGGTTCCAAGAGTCTTATTGAGGACGCAGTGGATGTAATTTTTGGCGAAAAATTCGACTCTTCCGATTTCCAGGGTCTACAACTCAGACTGTATCATACTTGTGGGTCTGGAGAGCTGTGCCAGTACGAGGAAATGGATGCAGTGAAGGTAGAGAACCTTCTAGCAAGACTTTGCCAACTGCGGTGGTTTTACGAAACCAGTCATGGACGTTTTGGCCTAGGTGTGCGGGCACTAGCGGAACTTCAAACCTACATACGCGACCGATACAACGTGCTTGAGTGCACGGTTTGCGACGAACTAGCTTTAGAAGGCGTTCAATGCCAGTGCAACGAGAAAGCGTGGCATGTGGCATGTCTGCGCCATTTTTTGGCGCATGTTGGGACCGCATGTCCCAACTGCAACTCGAGCCTCGAACAAGCCGTTTACATGACGTGAGACAAAGAGAGGTACCCCGAAAAGAAAAAATACACTTTTACTACTATCTACATGGGTTAATGTTTCCCTGGCACCACACACCGGGTCCTGTTATCATTTCCGCAGCCCTCTTTTCTCGAGGAAATCCTTGGCTTCGTTGATCTTGGTGGCCAGATACGGACTTCCGCCTTTGTCCGGATGGTTGGCCAGCATGATCCGTCTGTGGACCTCTTTCAATTTTTTGCGGTTGAGGTTACTTTCGGTTAAATTTAGGATCTGCATTGCCTCTTTGGAGTTCATCTTACCGTCGAACCCTCCTTTCACAAACTGCACGCCCGTTTTTCCGCCTCCAAGCATTTTTGAAATGCTTTTGAAAGCCCCAGCGGCGAAATATAGTCCCAGAAACCCGCCCACTCCTGTCAGAACAGGGTGGCGACCCATAAGATTCAGAAACTCGTCAAATTTCTCGTCCATATTACTCCTCTGACGCACCTGCTGTTGTTGAGCAAATTCTGGGCCGTTTGAGGCCGTAAGACCGTCATTTGATAGCCCAGAATTCGCAGAAAATGCTTCGCCTGGGATCGCCAATTGTGGAGCCTCTATAGGTGCCATTTCCTGTCAAAAAGCGTCGAATTTACACTACTTTTCTCGATCGATAATCCTGCCGATGAGATGATGTTCTGTTCTTCTGTTCTTTAATGATTGATTTATTAACATGAAAAATGGCCACTGATCACCCTCCACGACCGAGTTTAAAAAAGTGAAAAATTTTAGGAATTAATGATCTCATCTCATCTCATCGCATCGCATCACAGCATTAACGCTCCAACAGCTAAAGCTCAAGTAAACGTTAAAGCTTGTCATTAGAACAGGTTAGAATAGTTTTCAGCAGGCTTATTCCAACGGCTTGAGAGGTTGATATTTTGTTGTCAAATTTGGGCTTTGTTTGAGTGTTCAGTAAGAAGCAGCGTGAGTACACACATCAAGTGAAAAAAAAAAAGCCAGCATGAGAGTTTACAGCTGTCATTTCTGTTCTTCGCCGGTATATCCCGGTCATGGAATCATGTTTGTCAGAAACGACGCCAAGGAGTTCCGGTTTTGCAGGTCGAAGTGCCACAAGAACTTCAAGCAACGCAGAAACCCCAGAAAACTGCGTTGGACCAAAGCGTTCAGAAAGGCCGCCGGTAAAGAACTGGCTGTGGACAGCACGCTGGCGTTTGCACAGCGCAGAAACGTTCCTGTACGGTACAACAGAGAGCTGGTTGCAACGACTTTGAGGGCCATGGCCAGAGTGGAAGAGATCAGACAGAAGAGAGAACGTGCGTTCTACAAGAACCGTATGCGTGGAAACAAGGAACGCGATTTCCTCAGAGACAAGAAGCTGGTGGAGTCGAACCCGGAGTTGTTGAACATCAGAGACGTGGAACTGGCCCGTGCTGCCGCAAAGGAAGCAGAGGCAGAGGAAGACGAGGAAATGGATGTGGACAGCGGCGAAGAAGAAGAAGAGGAAGAGGAAGAGCAAGAGCAAGAGGCCCAACCTCAAAAGGTTCTTCTCAAAAACAAGCGCAAGAACAAGAAACTTGTGTTTTAGTCAAGAAGACAAACGAGAACCCCGTATTTCAAACATCAAGACACAAAAGCTGCTGGGACTGGACGTGCATGCTACAGCTATTTTCGTTATTCCGCCAGGTAAGAGAAATAGACTAAATAGAACTTTGTATAATAGAAAGGAAGCGAAGCACACAGGATTTTGGTGACGTTTGCGTGGCCCCGCACTTCTACGGTTCCAGGCACACGATTCGAAGTAGCGCGCAGCTTTGTAGTAACCTCTATTGTGTTGGGCGGGATTTTAGAGATGGACTAAACTTGGCTCGAGCTAGAAAATCTGTTCGGCAATTAGGATGACACTTAATGAGCTGCATGGCTCTCTGGTGTATGTGGCCGTAGCCTTGTTGCAAATAGGCGCCGATTTTTTTGCCCTTGGATCCTGAACTTATATCTTCATTTAATGCCCTATCGGGGAGCCTTGCTCGATGAATAGGCTAAAACTACACCACTTCTCCTTCAACTTTGATAGCTATTCGTAGATCGCAGATCCAGTTCAAGTGCATTGTAATTTATCTTTTTTACTATGCCGTATGCACCTAGTTGTACATGTTGACCATTCTCGAAGTACGCGGTAGGATGAAGTAGAAAATTGTGTCTTTACTTCGAGTCTAGATTTCAGATCACATTTATCTATGAGCAAGAACCTAGTGAATGACTTGCTCCTTCGATAGACGAGGTGCGAGAATATCAATTTGGGGTTGATCCTGGTGGCCAAGATCAAAGAAATGGATGCGATAGTACTTGTCCCAAGAATTGAGGATTGGAAGATTGAAGTGTGCAGGGTGAAGAGCACATATTGATAAGGTGAGAAGGGTGGGAAGGATGAGGATTTGGCGATGACAATTTGTCGGCTAGTTGGAGTATTACAACCGGCGTTACATGAGATTCAAAGCGCCAACGACAGTTGGATGTCTCAAGCAATGTGCTCGATGCAATCTCGGTAATTCACCATTGAGAGCCGGTTTTTGTTCCATTCTGCTGCGAGATAGCTTTACACTCTGGGGTGACTTTGCTCTTGTGCTGTAGGTGACTTGAGTTCGAATTGAGAGCCAGCAGTTGTTCAAAGGCTTTGAGGTGTCATCAATCTTTACAATCGTGCTCTGGGTAACATAAGTCTTTATAATCAGTCGCTGGCGCTCTCAACTGCCCAATTGTGCTTTGAGTTACTTAAGTCTTCAAAGTTGAGAGCCAGTAATTGCTCCGAAGTGGTTTGGGGTGAATTTAGTCTTTGCAACTGTGCTTTGGGCGACTTTCGTTTCCACAATTGAGAGCCTGAAATTGCTATACTGTGCCCTGGGTTGACTCAAATATTCACATTCGATCGCTGGCGCTCTCGATTGCTTAATTGTACTCAGAGATATCTTGAACTTTCACAATCGATCGTTGATGCTCTCAGTCGTTCAGCTGTGCTTTCAGGAGTCTTGATTGCTCTGTTGTGCACGTTTGTATCTCGATTATTCACAATCGATCGCTGACGCTCTCGATCGTTCAGTTGTGCTTCAACAATTTTTACTCTCTTGATTGCACATTTGGCGCCATTTCACTCCTTCCTCACTCTTCCAAAACTCTTTAAACGCCCGCAATTCCGCCAACGACCAAACTTTCACATCCATAGCCTCTACCCGACCCTCCACCACACAACATCTCACATCACACACACTGCCCTCGATCAACGTTCCGTTTGTCCAGCAGCTTCCGTAACATGCTTCTTCGCTCACCGATATTTCCACCGTATAGCCTGTATCCTGGTCCAATTCTTTAAGGTTCTGTAGCACCAATTGCAGCTTATCTGCATCATCTGGTAGCGATTTGATACCCACACATTGACCTATCACTCTTAAACGGTCCACGCCCAAAACCGAACCATTTTTTTGGGCCAGATCAAACACTTTCCGCATGTCAACTATCACTAAACTCATCTCCAAATGCTTCTGGGGCTTCCTCCCAACAGATTCTCTCAAGATCTCAAAAAGTTCTTGAAGTTGTCTTTTAATAGCTGGTATATCGCTTAATGCATGTCACTTCCATCTCGACAGTGCATAACCAAAACTGAAATTAAACAGATACAATTGTATACTCAAAGCCCTGATTAACGCCGGGACTTCTTCAATCACGAAATTCTACGAATTAGGGTGCTTTGAGGTGATCTCGAATCGTTTTTTGAAGCTGGCTTCGGAGTTACCTTAGGAGTGGGAACATCAGCCAATACATAGAATAAGGTAATTATTAGGCTCGAGCAGGTTTTAGAATAATGTCGAGGTTTTGACGATAGAAGGGCGTTCGGAGCCATTCTTGAGCTCTTGAGGCGTGGAATTCATATATAAGTAGTTGATGGAGACTTCTAATTTTGAGAGATGGTTGTGTTGCGAGTTTTTTCCAGCTTTTGTCTTTCTTCTACCACTCAAACAGTAAGCTAAATATCATCCTCATCGATAATGTCTACCGACAAAATCACCTTTCTTTTGAACTGGCAACCAGCCCCATACCATATCCCTCTCTTCTTGGCCAACCAAAAGGGCTACTTCAAGGAGCAAGGTTTGGACGTGGCTCTTTTGGAGCCAACTAACCCATCTGACGTCACGGAATTGATTGGTTCCGGTAAAGTTGACATGGGTTTGAAAGCCATGATCCATACTCTGGCTGCCAAGGCCAGAGGCTTCCCTGTCACTTCCGTGGGATCCCTATTGGATGAGCCATTCACCGGTTTGTTGTATTTGGCCGGTCGCGGTATCACCGATGACTTCCGGTCCCTAAAGGGCAAGAAGGTCGGTTACGTTGGTGAGTTCGGAAAGATCCAGCTGGACGAATTGACTAAGGCCTACGGAATGACCCCTTCTGACTACACTGCCGTCAGATGTGGTATGAACGTTGCCAAGTACATCATCGAGGGCAAGATCGACGCCGGTATCGGTATCGAGTGCATGCAACAAGTGCAATTGGAAGAGTACTTGAAGCAGCAGGGCAAGCCCGTTACGGACGCCAAGATGTTGAGAATCGACAAGTTGGCCTGTCTAGGCTGCTGCTGTTTCTGCACCATTTTGTACATTTGCAACGATGAGTTTTTGGCTGCTAATCCAGAAAAGGTCAGAAAGTTCATGAAGGCCGTCAAGAAAGCTACCGACTACATCTTGGCTAGCCCAATTGACGCCTGGAAGGAGTATATCGACTTCAAGCCAGAATTGGACACCGACATGACTTTCAAGCAATACCAAAGATGTTACGCTTACTTCTCTAGCTCTTTGTTCAACGTCCACCGTGACTGGAACAAGGTTACCGGTTACGGTAAGAGACTAGAGATCTTGCCAGCCGACTACAAGGCCAACTACTCCAACGAGTACTTGTCCTGGGCAGAACCTAACGAAGCTGAGGACCCATTGGAAGCTCAAAGATTGATGGCCATTCACCAAGAAAACTGCAGAGACAACGGTGGCTTCAAGAGATTGAACGTTCCATTGAAGGCTTGAAGAAAAAGCAGCTGCAACGAGACCAAAGTTTTTTTATGACCAAGTAAATCTTATATAAAGGCGAGCAGTAGTCGATTGTTACCACTCGATATAGTTCTTTATTATAATGAAAGTTCGCTAGAAGCGAGTTTTCGAAATCCTGGAGTGACGTGTACCTTGTAAGAGCCTTGATTGGACAGACGAAGAGCGAGCACCTTTAGCTTCAGTAAGATGGAGACAAGATCAGCCGATGAGTTACCTGCGTCATTGATGAAATGAGATGAGCTATCATCGCTTTAAACGACCAGAACATATGAAAGATACTTAAAGCCCTATCTCAGAAGCCTAGGTTTACTTTAGCCAAACCCGGGAATCCATACGTTTCTTGTTCTTATTTGATGCCAAATTACCTGTCGGGAGAGCCTTTGAATTTACAAGATCAATAGACTATTTTTCTCAGTAAGTTGAAAAGAAGACTGTTTTTGGCGGACCAAGTTAAATGAAGTCTTGGTTCCATAGAGAATATTAGACGATGTGCAAGAAAAATAACACGACTTCTATCCTTCAAATGAGAACAACTAGCTGACATCTTACGAAGATCGATTGGACGTCATACACGTACTTATTTGTTAACTGACACCCATCACTTTATAATACTTGGGTAATTTCAAATAAAACCACTTGTTCGAAAGCACCAAAAAATAACGACAACTGCAGGATTCGAACCTGCGCGGGCAGAGCCCAAAAGATTTCTAATCTTACGCCTTAACCACTCGGCCAAATTGCCTTATTCCTGATATGTTGCCCTTGCAACTGCATCCTACTGACTGTTTTAAAAAACGAGACGAGAAAGACGACAGTTTCTATTCCAACTACCACGATCTTATGTTCCATTCGCAGAGCTCACTGAAATATCTAGAGACCAGAAGATCAGAAATGCGTTTGTTTCAAGGTTCACTTTTCCTTGCATGTTTTTAAGTTTATGCTATACAACGAACATCTAGAGTTTTACAATTGGAAATATTTGCTGTTTGCAAGTAACATACTAAACAAGGACTCGCTTGAATAATTAAACGCTCACTGCTTCTACATGCATTCCATCGTGCACGAACTTTTATAAGTCTCGCATTTCTATCATTCTTCAAAGTAAATTCACAACTATTTAACAGCACAACATTACATGTAAATTATTTGGTAAAAAGACTCACTACATCTTCGTCATGAATCTTATGCGTCAATCCACATTTCTGTGGGGAATGCTTAGCTGAGGACCCCCAGACCAGTGCATATTTGAACTTATCTTTGAAGTCTCTATGGATCGAGTGACACAAATCACCTACTGTTGAATTGTTTCTCACCACCAAGGGATCTGAGAAATCTGGTTTTATGCCTCTCTTTTTTGTAAAAACACGGCTGAGATTCAGTTGGTACCATATTTCGTCCACGACATCATCGAGTCCCAACTCGGTTTCGCACGACATCACCACAGTGTTTGGCTCTCTCGCCAAACGATCAACTTCTTCTAACGAGACTGCATCTATCTTGTTGTATGCGTATAGACACTTGATGTAGCTGCAATGTTGATCGTTCAAAATGTCGATAAAATCATCAATTGTACACTTGTCGTCACGCACCAGTACATCCGCATTGTGTATCCTGTAGTCCTTTAAAATACCCTTGATAGCTTCCTCTGTAAGGTTCGCTTTGGAAGGCGAAGTGAATGTCACTTTGACACCGCCGGTTTCCTTCTTTTTATAGTAGATGTTGGGTTTTGCTTTGTTCAAACGGATCCCGACAGATTCCAGTTCCTTTTCCAACGACTCACGCTGGTGTGCACCTTTTGTAGCATCCAAAACCATCAAGATTAAATCTGCGGTTCTAGCTGTCGATATCACTTGTCGTCCACGACCTTTCCCCTGGGACGCCCCATAAATGATTCCCGGAAGATCTACAATCTGCACTTCTGCACCCTGATATTTAAGTACACCAGGTACTGATGTAAGAGTAGTGAAAGCGTAATGGGCAACTTCAGCTTTGGTGGTCGTTATTTTACTCAAAAGTGACGATTTTCCTACCGAGGGGAAACCAATCAAAACCGCACGAGCATCTCCAGACTTGGCCACTTCAAATCCTGTTCCGCCACCACCTGTGGGTGCCGTTTCTTCTGCTAAAAGCTGTTGTCTTAGACGAGCTAATTTACCTTTTAAAAGACCCAAATGGTACTCGGTCGCTTTGTTTTTTTGCGTCCGAGCCATTTCCTCCTCAATGGCCTTGATCTTCTCGATAACCCCCATCTTGATCTGTTTGAATGTCTACTTTTGGTGCTTGAAAGTTGGTTCCGATGAGTTTAACGTACTTTCGAAGAAGAGCTTTGGTTTAATCTGTAGTAGCTTGGATTCAACATCTGTCGTACGAACTGATATTAACTAGAGATTCAGTGACATTTCGATTTAGCCGGCAATCCAGGATAGATTTGAGACCAGATTAGGCGATAGTTTTGAGGCTTTTGTTCGATTTGAATTTTGGTGTTATTTGAGTTAATGAATTTTCATTTTCCCTTACATTTTTGTTGGCTTCAAATTCTCAAGTTTCACCTAGAAATCTGGCTTTTATTCAAAAATGATCGAGGGAAAGGTAGAGAGCAACGTGTTTTGATAGAGCTTAGCGGATGAAAGCGAAATGTTTGTGGTGTCCTATGTTACTAGCGGAAGGTATTGACCATTGGCTGAATTCGATATTTTTTTAATTGATGCGAAATTGAAATATTGTGATTTAACTCATGACTGATCGTGCTTCTGATACAAAGTATGTTCCTAACAATGTTTGTAAAACCCAACCTAGCCGGTGTCGTTAGTTCATTTCAGAAATCTCGCACATTGGATTATTGCGTCGTTGAAGACATTTTGTGCTGGGGGGAACGACATTTGAACTCACTGGTCATCGTTTAAACCATGAAATAGAGGTGCCGGAACCTTCCCCCCTCATGAACACTGTCTCGTTGATTATAGGAGCTCATCGAATGTCCATGTCAGAGGCAGTCCTGATGGTAGTATGAAAATGTATCACTTTCACCTTATCCGTCGCTGTCATCAGGGCCAGACTCGATTATAAGAGCGTCTTCCACTCAATGTGACTTCCATAAACAGATCTTTCAGAAAGAGGATGTTACCAGCGACAATTTGAAGATGCCTTCATTGACGGTTCTCTTTCTGATACCTTCCTGAACGGAGAACCGTGACTTTCTACAGAAGGGTGTACGTTTTCTAATTTTCGGTAATAACTGATAGGATGAAACCCTGGAGCCTTGTGAACCGATGACACCAGCTAAAGGGGTGCGAAACTAGATTTCGATAAACATAATCATTCAAAAACGGGTACTTCATATCACAACTTTGTTGTAAGTGTAGTGTCAGGATAAAGGTAAAAGCTGTCACGTGATCTGAATTTATGGCAGCGACAGAATAAAACCAAGAGACGTGGACAACCAGAAGACATGCAGCTTGACGTACTCCAGTATAAATGTAGCCGCCTGTCCTAATAGTTTGAGCGCTTCCTATGTTATTGGTATGGACTTTTTCCCCCTCATCGATGATTCACCGATTACTAGAATTTGCGAGTAGCGGTGCACTTGAACCTGTACAACTTTAAGGAAAATCCTTGCACAGAACAGTATTGGCCTAAAGTGTGGTACAGCTGTTGTGAAACGTCCTAAAACGAGGACAAACGGGGCTACCTTCTTCTACAAAATGCACTTTTGTCCCGCACAAAGAATTGAACTGATTCTGTAGCCCATGCCACATCCATTTTTTGTAGGCCGTCACAATAAAAAATGAAGGCAGTATCTGACACGCCAGAAAAATCTCGTTCAGGATCGGTGAATATCTCATCACATCCAGCCTTTAAATCGTGCGAGTTGAGAAAATCACCATAATCGACTGTCAAAGCGATAATCCATATGATGCTTATCTCGAACAGTTCTGTCTGGAAGACTGAGAATCAGATCCTAATTTCAGCTTTGACTGAGAGTTACAACATCTTGAATAAAGATGAAAGATAATTGATTCGTAAATTTAGCAGATTATATCTTGGGCAGGCCTGTTGAGCTCATTCAAGATTTCCAAAGCAACCATACAATTACTTGAATCTTAGAATAAAGCTAAACCAAATTAATTGATGCTCGAGTCCTTCAATTGTAGGTGTGTCGCTGTTCCTAGTTGCTCAACGACCCTGGCATAGGCTCAACTCTCACGTGATAGACATGAAAAGAGCGGCAGGAATACTTTACAATGACAACGAAGCTTTGCAAACTGGTGTTACTAACCATTCACTAATCAGTTTTGAGAAATGAATTGGCTGCTCCTAATAACTGCGAGTAGGCTATTGGAAGTATGTTCTCGAAACTATGGCTTTTACGGCGAGATAAATATTATACCGAAGTGACATTTGGTGAGGAACAGAGCAACATCAATAACCATATTTGAGAGTGCTATCACAGTATGTTGTATGAAGACTATGAAGGTCTTCAGACAGGAACCATACAGACTAATGGCTGGATCTTTGCGTGACAAGAAAGTTTGGCGACTGAATGGGAAAAAGTGACAGTAAAAAATCCGTTTGGAAGGAAAATCGAAATCAAGAAACTGAAACCCACTGCCCGATGGAAGAGCTTCTTCCTGCGAACAGAATTATAGTCAGCGAGAATGCTACAGACCCTTACAAGTCTTATAAATTTCTTATATCTAGGTCACGTGACTAGTTATATAACACAGCAAACATAAAGACACGTTCAAGAATCTCTAAACTTGTAGGAAAATACACAGGGTTTTGATTTCAGCTTACCGTATCCATCTAGCTAGTCAGATTAAAAGATTCTTGGTTGAAATCCCATTTTTGAAAGTTTGCGTACAAAGTGACATAGACTTTATACGCATTGGAAATACGTAACGTATTGTAGAAATCATCGAAACCATCAAAGTAAGGCAAATAACAGGTATATCAGCATCAAAAGACCACTGTGGGGCTTGAAACTTACATTTACGTGCAATTAGTCTCAGTTCAACACCGCTTCACGATTTTTTGCCAAAAAAAACCGCTGTAAATAAGCCTATTTTCGTTTAAATTCACACTTAACGCGAACCTTTAGTATACAAATCCCTGACAAAACCAACCTTTGAACCATGTCTTTCTACAACCCTGGACTAGCCAACGAAGGCAACAACTTTTACCAATCTTCTGCACCATTTCAAGTACCTCAAGGATCCATGTCTTTTTCGCAACAACCGGCATCTGGACAAGCGTTTGCGCGTGAGCCATTGGCCTCCGGCGTACTCAATGCACTCTCTACTAAGGGCTATCCTGACGAGCTGCCTCTTTTGGAAGAGATTGGTATCAATTTCTCTCACATTGTGAGCAAAACCAAGATGGTACTCACACCTTTGCAGAGGGCAGATTCGCTTCCTCTGGAGGTCGTAGCCGACTGTGATTTAGCCGGTCCGCTAATTTTTTGTCTTTTGTTCGGCACTTTATTGTTGGCCGCTGGCAAAGTGCATTTTGGATACATTTACGGTGTGGCCTTGTTCGGCACGGTCTCATTGCACACGCTGTTAAAGTTGATGGGAAGCGGAGGCAACACTAGTGGCGGCACCGTCGATAGCACACAGCGTCAGTCCGATCAACTATTTCTAAGAACGGCGTCCATTTTGGGCTACTGTTTCTTGCCGTTATGTCTGTTATCCTTGATTGGCGTTTTCGCTTCGCTCAACAACGTTCTGGGATACACACTAGCTTTGGTCTTCGTCTGTTGGTGCACTTGGTCATCCTCGGGATTCTTTACCGCTGCCATGCACTTGCACAACACCAGGGTTCTCATTGCGTATCCTTTGTCCATTTTTTACAGCGTTTTTGCATTAATGGCCATATTCGTGTAAAAGCGAATACACCATGAAACTGAAGACCAAATTGGCTAGAAAACAAGTCAAGTTTAAGAAAAAGATCGGCGTATAAAGGACAAGCCAATAGTGTTCAAAGCCGCTCTCAAACGGTCTCGATCACCTTACAAACGGTTGTTTCTCAACGGGTCATCATTCACGTATGCTCGAAGGTCGTCGCCCAGCCTAATTAAGTATTAGGCCTACCAACTTTTCGAGGTCCATCGCATCGGCAAAGAGTGCCAAGGTTTTTGGATGGTTTACGTATGAAAACAAGCTTCCAGAAAACTTTAAAAGAGGTATGGAGGGGCCAAACATACCACATAACCACGCCGATTTTTTACCCCAACGCCCGACCTCATCTCGGGCATTTATACTCAAGTTTGTTGTGCGATGTGAGTAAAAGATGGCATGCCATGCTGGGTCAAAGGTCACTTCTTACAACCGGAACCGATGAGCATGGTCTTAAAATTCAAGCTGCAAGTGAAAAGAATGGTTTTGCTAGTCCGAAACCTTTCGTGGACAAACTGTGCCAGGACTTCATCAAACTAGATCAACAGGCAAATGTGGACTACACTCGGTTTATCCGTACAACGGATCCAGATCACATAGAATGTGTCCAAAAACTATGGAACAGGTGTTGGGAGCGCGGCTATATCTACAAGGGCAAGCATGATGGGTGGTATTCAGTCTCTGATGAGTGTTTTTATCCAGACTCGAAAATTGTTCAGATTGGAATAGATGGGCAGGAACTTGCACTGTCACACAGTGATATTGACAACGACAAACCCTTCATAAACACAGAGACGCGAAACGAGGTTGTTTATCATACAGAAACCAACTATTTTTTCAAGCTGTCGGCTTTCCAGGATCAGTTGTTGTCCTATCTTGAAAAAGAGAACCCTGAGTTCATCTTTCCGGCCACCAGGCGTCAGCACATCCTAAATGAGTTGCGCGAGTCTCATCTTCGAGACCTGTCAGTCTCAAGACCGTCCTCGAGAATAAGATGGGGAATCGACGTCCCACAGGATTCATCGCAAAAGATCTATGTTTGGTTTGATGCCTTGTGCAACTATTTGACATCCGTTGGTGGTTTTGATGCCGTTGCAGAAAAAAAGAATGTTGTGCTTAAACACAAGGGTGTGGAAATTGCACAAGACGCCCACCACTGGTGGATAAATACTACTCACCTCATCGGGAAGGATATTGCCAAGTTCCATACCATTTACTGGCCAGCTTTTCTACTTGCAGCCGGTCTGCCGTTACCAAAACAGATAATCGTCCATGGACATTGGCTTTCCGGTGGCACCAAGATGAGCAAGTCGTTGGGTAATGTGGTCGATCCTCTGGAAATGATATCATACTACGGATGTGATCCGGTAAGATGGTACGTTCTTGAAAACTCCCACATCGAGGCCGACGGTGATTTCCGTGAAGAACGTCTCCATTCCACAAGAGAACAACTAGTTTCGAAATGGGGAAATTTACTCAACAGGTGCTGCGGATCGAAATTCGACCTTTCAAGGGCCATTAAAACCTTCTGCTCTGCTGATGGAAGCCGTCAGAAGTTATTAGAGTCTTTGAATGATCCAGGCCTTCTCGCCGCCTTCTCAAGCTTAGAACAGAAGCTAGGATGTCTTCCATCATCCTTCCATGACAAAATCGAGAAGCTTGATACCAGGTCTGCCCTAAGTTTATTGCGCGATGTCATCAATGAGGCCAATGCCTTTGTACAAACCAGCACACCATGGCTCAAGTCGGGGGTGGAGCAGGACGCCATTCTTTTCATGGCTGTCGAAGTAGTTCGGATAACCGCGATCCTTTCACAACCCATTATACCATCTCTGTCGAGACAGTTGCTTGATCGTCTTGATGTGTCTCACAGTAAAAGGTCTTTGGGGGATGTGATTCTAGGTGCGGACCATGCGTACGCATCTCGGGCTAACGAAAAGGGTCGACCCGTGGCCATCAAGAGAATTCCACTCAGAGTAAAAACTTAAGATCTCCTATCCTTATCATGTTATGCGTGTAAATAGTACTATATCACATCGATTTTCACTACTTCTGTGTCCAATGTTTCCAAGTCCAGTATGACAATCTCTCCTGTCTCACTAAACTCAGGTATTGTGATAATTTTGACGTCGTGTCCGCCTTCAAGCTTCACGGTCCGTGAGGCGAAAACAGGTTGATTTCCAATGAAATAGACATGCGGCAGTTTGCTCAAAATAAATGGATCATTCGATTTATAGGGATAACACCAAAGCGTGTCGGGTGCCGTGGGTGCTATATTTTGCCATTTCAAACACCCTTCAATCATGTTGAGTCTTGTTTCTATCTCGTTTTGCTCGTAACGATCAGCTTCTGAACTGGATCCATTGGGGACAATATACTTGCATATGTCATCGATGTTTTGCCCGCTTGTTCCTAGTAACGAAACGCCATCAAAATCCAGCCATACTGGATTTGTGGTAGGCGAGAAGAGCTCATTCTGAACAGTTTGGAAAAGAGGTTTTATTGTGCCTTCAAAGAGTGCCTTATGGAGCGGCTGTTGAGGTAGACTTTGGTCACTAGGATCGCATGCGCCAGGCATCAGATCAATTGGAAGTGATTGCAGTACGTTGCCTATGAACGTTCCAAAGTCGTTCAGACAACCGGCTAGTGTCGAAGGATCAGATGCATTCAAAGAGTTACCACTTATAATTAATCTTCTGATTTTGGAAACCACTTCTGCATTCACCAAGTCACCGGTTAGGTAGTCTTGAAGCAATTGCAACCTTAAAGACAATTGCGGATTATCGGGACGAAGGTTCAAACCAGAAACAAGAGCGATTTTCCCCGCATTTACTTGTTTAGGGAAGACCGGCTGAGGTAACGCAACCGGATAACATACGTCTAAGACCTGGAAAGATCCGGCGTCAGCTTCCATCCCCAAAATGCCCAGAACGGTACCACTCACAAACGGTTTGGCTTTCACAATGTCCCCAACCAGTAGCAGACGCCCACTCTCATCTTCCAACATGATCTCGTCTGAGCCTTCTGCGTCAGTGTAACTTTTGACCAGATCCGGTGCACCATACACGTCGTTCACCACTTCTTCCAAAACATTGGGCTTGTATTTCAGCTCGCAATAGATGGTCCCGACACACCAACATGGCTCGTTGGCCTGGATATCCAGAACTTTGTTCTTTTTAACCACCGTTCTGCCGTTGAGTCTGAAATGAGAGTCCCATTTGATGTCACAGTTTTTGGTGACTCTTTCTCGCAGCACTTTCAATCTGTGCTGGTACATATGGAAGTATTGACCATCGTATTTGCGAGACTCATATTCCAGCCAAAATGGGTTTTCTTTAAGTCCATTGGCCAGCTCTTGACGTGTGATTGAATCGGGACTCGAGTATTTTCTTGATTCGCTGCAGAACAAAAGCTAGAAGTTAGTAAAGAGCCGAAAAATTTCCAAAAGCATAGCCCAGATCTAGCTTAAGCCAATTGCATACTTGAAGCGGTTCAAAACGGTGTCCATGGTTTGTTTTCTGACGGTTTTGTCAGCGAGTTTCCATCTCATCGCTGATAAACTTTCAATGGAAGTAGTATATTATTATCACATCATGTTTCACGAGCATAAATCTCGCACGTGACTGGTGAAGGTCGCACGCTCGATACTTTGAGATGTTGTCCTATGTCGATCTCCAGTTGGGAACTTTGGAGTGCCAGCTAGGCATTCAGAGAATTGATGAAAATGTGTGGTCTCTCTAAGTTTTCTTTTGGGATGAGCTCTGATTCCCCTGTCTCTTGTATCGAACATTTTGTCTTGAAAAGTGTTTTCTAAAAACGAAGAAAGCATGGCAACACTTTTTGACATCTGGGAGGCTAGGAGCCAGCATTGAAATCTGAACTATGATTCTGTTCTGTTTCGACAGTGAACTGTTCACACCAAAAAACGAAAGTTGCGTTCTTATCGATCAATTATACTGGAAAGTTCGAGATCATCAGCTGCTTCTGTGGGATCTGACACTTCAGCAGGATTGGTTATTTCTGTTCTAGCCTCTAGTCGTTTTCGCAAATCGCGAAATTCCCAACTCACGTTGCCTACATGATTAGCAGACTCTGCAGAAACGGATATCGTGCGCTTTATTCTGTCAATATCGGCCTCGCTCGTCGGAACGTGCTTCTCACGCTTGTGTTCCTGCACGCCAGGCGTGTGCCCCACGCTCATGCCGACTTTCACCAGAGTTTCGATCTGTTCGTGCGAGTTTTGGAGCAGATCAGTATCGAAAAGTACGTTTTGCGACGATATGACAAGCAGTATGGTCGATCCTCCAAACTTGAAGTACCCCAATTCTTGTCCCCGTTCGATCTTTTGACCCTCTTTGCAAGTGAAAATGATTGACCCGACCATCATTGCACCAACGGCAATGTATAAAATCGTACCAAACTCTGGAGAATGGATTGGCAGTACAGTACGCACATTTTCACCAAAGACGTCCAGTTCTGTTCTGACCGCCATTGGATTGACGGTGTAATACTCCCCAGAGATTTCAAGCGGCTTTCCAACTACACCGCTGCATGGAGAATGGAATCGATGATAATCTTGAGGTGCCAGGCGGAAAATGCCAATGCTACACGAAGCGTCATTGAAGATTTCAGGATGATGATTGCCAGTGAGCTTTGCAAGTGTGAAATTTCTGCCCTTGATCCAGACCTCTTTCGAAGATTTGATGGTTGAAAAGACGGTGCATCTACTATCAGCCGGAGAAAGCAACACTTGGGGATCGTCAACTTCCGGTGATCTGCTTCCTGGCTTGAGTTTCCTGAAAAAGAACTCGTTGAAAGTCCCATAAGGCGTCTCTTCACATTCAGAAAGGTCCAGCGAGTGAAATTTGATGAAGGGAACAATTTGTTTGACTGAGGAAGGACTGTCAAACTTCCTTCCCTGCTTTATAGACTGGTTCTTCAATAGATTTTTGAATTTTTTTGATTGTGTTCCTTTGGCATTGTAGATAATCCGAATGCCAAGCCTGACGTGTGCACTTATTTTCTCTTCTAGCACAATCCCAGAGTCCCTGTCTTGGACCAGAATGTTGGCATTGTTCGAGCCCAAGGCATATTTCCCGTATGTCAGCTTTATCAAAAATTTGGAAAACCATCGTTTCGTGGCAAAGTCTGACGACACATACGAGGGTCTCAACATTCTTCTTCTATCTTCGCTGGATGAGCATATCGAAAAATGCGTTATCAGGTCATTTTCGGGCAATAACTTGATGCTTGCACTACGTTTGGTGGTTTTACAACGGCGAGAGCACAATGGGCATCTTCTAATTCCCTTAAACCCGGAAGATCCTTTGGAAAACTGCAAATAGGTAACCAATTCTTTCTTGGTTAGCACGTCATGAGACCAAGGTGACTTGTTGAAATGATAGAAGAAGTCATTGATTTCGTCATAAGAAAACGTACCCAACTTTTCCATCAATAGACTGACTTCAACAACATCAAGTGCGTCGGTTTTACAGAGCCTGTTGAGAGCTCTTTCCCAAAAATGCTTTTTCAAATCCGAGTAAGCTGCAAACTTGAATTTTATGTTCAGGACGGGTTCAGAACTATTAGAGTCAATTGAGTCACTAAAATTGAGAGGTATTTTTAAAGATGTCCATTCGTCACCGTGATGCCTACCATTATGCTTTTGAATCAATTCACTCCAAGACATGTCCCCACTAGCTACTTTGTCGTGGTACGAAAATGAATCTTTGTCAATGACTCTGAAATGGAAACTGAAATTCGTCTCGCTAGGGAAAACTTCAAAAGCGAGCCGCTCGTTGAAGGTAGGGTTCAGCGAGTGTTTTTTGCAAGATGTTTTGAAGACTCTCCGACCAAATGCAACGACAACAAAGGGATCCATCATGTAAGTTTTGGAAAACTTGTTTTTCAGAGCTGGCAAATTAACGATGCTTTCGATATCCATGAATACCACACCAGTGGCATGACCTTGTTTCGATAGCTCATAGTTCTCAGTAACCATTCCACGGCGGGATCGGTGGGGCCTACGACGACGATTGCGTAAAGAAAGAAATCGATTGGTTTTGATCGAATTCGCGTCGCTCGTGTCGTCACTCCCGCCCTTTGTAAAGTAAGAGGGTGTTTTGATGGTAGAAGGTGCCGCAGAGATTTCAAGATCAGATTTTGACAACGCCACATCGTATTCGTCGAGAGCAGTTGCAACCTTGGCCAAATCGAGGTGGTTGCTATCTACATCGTCAGTGGAGCTTATGTCTTCAGGGTCGTCGACTGGGTCCTCGTATTCTAGAAGTCCTAGAAACTTTTCAGTGTCCACATTGTTGCCTTCAACCCCATCGAAATCGACGTTTTCATCACCTTCGATGTCCTCAACATCGAAATCCTCTTCATCGGCATCGTCGTCGTTGATCTCACTATAACTTCCAAGCGCTTCGTCGATATCTGGGTCTTCTTGAATTATTTCCTCGAAATCCGTCACGCTTTCATCGTCACCGTCATCAACCGGGGTTCCTTTGGTACTTATTGAGTCGCCCACCGTGGTGGAACTAGAGGGTAGCTCCGAATTAGCAAGTTTGGCAGAGCTTTTGTTTACAAGACCTGGCCTTGAAGAAGAAGAAGCAGAAGATGAATTAGTCGAGGTATCTGTAATCCACTCATTGAAGGCTTTGATGAGGCTTGTTCCCCGGGTGCAACTCAACGAAATGGCCAATTGAATTTGCCCTGTTGCAAGATATGGTGGGGCATTCTGGATGTCATGATGCATGAATTTCAAGCTATTGCGGTTGAAGAGTGGGTACCAAGCAGCATTTTTCGAAAAATTGTAGCTTGTAGGTTGATCTTTGCGTCGAAATATATCTCGCAGTGAGATCCGCAGTTCGCCCAAGTAAAGGTAACGACTGGAACTATCGTAATTGCGGGATGCTTCCTCTTGAGACCGTAAATTATCAACGGCATTATCGTCGACAGCGTTGCTCAAAACGTCGTAGACCACTATGCGTACATACTCCGATGCTGATTTCCGGGGTAATTTCAATTTAAGCACTTGGTTCCATGACGGCGAGCTGGTGTTCTTTTGTTTGGCAGTTCGACTGAACTTACCATTGCTGATTGCCACACAGATAGGGTTACAACCAGAGTTCTCTACTGTGATGTTGTGAGCCTGCAGGGCGTTAATTTTTAGCGTCAATCGCGGTTCTCTTTTCTTGCGTCGTATGATACCCATTTTGGACCGTTTTTCTTGGAGAGTTTGAATGAATGAGTACGATTTAACCTAGCAGAGACAATTGAGGACCTGGTTCCTGCTTCAAAGCCATGCTACGGTCCTGCAGTTGAAGTCGATGGGTTAAGGTTGTGGACTCGAGGCTGGATTTATATATATATATATATACATACTTATGTATGTGAAATATATTCAAGAGTACTTTTCGTTGAAAAGAAGCGTCACACAAGTACAAAGTGATAAGAAAGTCTCACCGAAATGCCCGTTAAGGTAGAGCTTTGAGCCGCTATGGGTTGAAATTGAGGCATCCGATATCAAAAGTATTGAGAGCCATATGATTCGACGTCTGCACTTTCAAATAGCATCTCATTTTAGTGTTTTTTTCAACTATCACTTTTCTCTTCGGTCCGGGCCGAGAGAGTTCGATGAAAATGTCCTAGGAAGCTTCATTAGCACTTCTCCATGTCTTGAGTCTGAAAGTCACCATTGACCGCATTGAACTGTGATTTTGGCCTTTTATCTACTCATTACTCTAGGTGATTTTCGCATCCCGACTCGAAGTTTTCGAAAGATGTTTTGCTAATAACATACGAAAAAATTCGATGGGTGGATATTACAAGAACGCTTGGTACTCATCGAAGGCCATCGAATCTCCAGATAACGCAGCAAACTTGAAAAGACATTTAAGTAGCTCCAAGATTGATCTTAGAAGCTATCCATAATTTGAAACAACCTGTGGTTTGAATAGAGATCCGGATTCGCTTTCTTTTGGCAACTTTTAGTTAAATTTGGTTCGTTTTTAGCAAGTTAGACTTCCAGCATATCTTCTTAACAAGAAAACCATCTCTTTTAGTCTGTAAAGAAAAGGTCTGTAGCACTTTTGAGCATCGGAGATGGGTAAACGTTTTTCGGAATCGGCAGCGAAAAAAGCAGCTGGAAACCAGCGTAAGAAAGAACAGGCTCATGCCAAGGAGAAAGCTCATAGGAGTGCATTAGAAGCCCAAGAAGCTGCCAAATGGGAGCAAGGAGCGGACACAGGTAACCCAAAGAAACTGTTAGAAGAACAGAAAAAACAGGAGAGACTGAGGGCAAAGAAGGAGCGTGACGAAATGCTGGCAGCAGAAGAAGCCTCTTTGGGCAAAGGTGGTAAGGGCAAATGATTTGATATGACAAAACTGTCTGGATTAAAGAACCCACCAGAGGGGTCCCTTTTAATGGCCTCCCATGTTGTGTGGCTTTTTTTTCTCAGGACAATGCCAGGGTGGAAAGCTATGACTCGCCCTGGCATGCAATTTTTGATAGAGGTGTAGTATGTACAGCCCTTCTATAATTCTGAATGAAGGAATGAACAGATGAGAAAAACAATGTGCGGGAGAGGGGAAAGAGATATTTTCTGCTGTTCTACACCTTCTTGAGAACTCTAGGAACTTGCTCGTGAGCCAGGTAGGCATTCACAACGGGTACACGAACCCGCTCGTTGGCTTGGTCAACCCATGATTTCTGAGTCTTGGACTTGCCGTGCAAAAACGTCTTCCAGTCCAGCTTAGCCACGGCCTGTACGCTCTGTGCTACGTTGGCTTCGAATTCGTGCTTCGTGGAATCGTCGGGAAAAATTAGAACTTGGTACAAATAAAACCCATCTTTGGCAATGCCCGGTTTGGTGCGACCGTCATGCTGCAAAAACTGCCATTCAGTGCTGCCGTTTGTTTCGGAATTTTGGGCTTCGTAAGTAATCTGTTCCTCAACTGCTTGTGAACCTTGCAATTTTGTCCAGTTTTCAATAAAGCAGCCATGCACAAAAGTTCGTAACGAACGTCGCAGATATGCATAGTTTCGAGGTACATTAGAGCCATCAAGCGAGAAAATCGATTGTAGTTTTTTCAGGTTACTCACGTCAACGCTTTTGCCGTATTTGTCAATTCGGGATCCTTGCTCGAAAACAGCAGTATTGGACACTGTGCGTCCATTTTCACTGCGAGATACATTCCCATTCAAAAAAACCTCGCCCACAATGCGCACATTGATGGCGGGTTTACTTTTCCGGAACACAGACAAAAAATGCTCTGGAGGAAAATAAAGAAGCCGGAAAAAATCGCAGTGGTACACTTTGCTCTGGGCCGAAAAGACTCGAAAAGTGTTCTGATAAACTTGGGCGATACTGATGGTACCTCGAAGCTTAGATCGCGCTTCCAATAACGCACCACGTTTTGTCATATGTCTTGCAACCTGCTTGTTTGGCTTGGCAAAAAAAGTGTTTTCTTTTCCGATTGACGTGACCATCGGCACATCATTTGAATGAAGGTTTGGTCCATTTTTCGCATAGATCGGCCGAGTTTTCGCTGTGACGGGATTCTTATTTTTGTTCCAATTCAAGCCAGCCTTCAGCTCCTTCAAAACAAGTCGTCCAGACATCCAATTTGAGCCACGAAAACGGGAAAATGTGTGTAAGCTAATAGGCCATGCCTAGACAGAACTCAGATATCTTTAAAGTCCTTCCTAGACTGTGTTATGCTAACTTTATGCAGCTCATCGCATCTATTTTCGATTGGAAATGTCAAGTAATTTAAAATCTTGATATACCTACGACATTTGAGCTGTAATGTCAGTACACGCAAGAAGACGAAGCCATGAGTAAGACACGTAAGAAGTGGCAATTGGTAGAAAACTTTCTCAAACTTTGAGACAGGAAAGCTTTGGCTCCTAGTCAATCCACTGATGTGTAGAATTTCCGGCTTTTTTTTTTTGATATTTCAAAATAATGCGTTTTCATCACAAAGAGTTAACCTGATGGCAATCAAACGCACGAATTCAACGGTAACAATACCGACTTCTTCAACGTACGTTCATCTTGCTTGAATGTCCGTAAAACAAGGTGATACAGTCTGTTACTCATCGATCACGTGACTTAAACGACACACTCGTTAAAAACGACTCAGGTTTTTCAAAAGCGAGACAAATCTCTATTGTTAAGATCACTGAACCAACCCAAGAAGCCAGCCGGCATCTAGCATCATGTTTATTTAGACCCAATAGCCTTACAATCCGGTTTCCAAACCTAGCTTCTCTTTTAGCCGCATAAATTTCCGTATCCACATATACGACCATCATCACTTCGACCAAGGCGATGAGCTCAAGCCGTTACATGGTCAACTCCAGATGACCACCGGTAGCGAGCCAGATTGCGAGCTGGAAATGGTTAATGGGATCAATGGAATCTATTATACTCGCGGCTTGCGCATAGTGACTCCATACTATCATTCTCGTACCTCTTTCGCCAAAGGACGCTGGCTTGGACGTACACTAGCCGATGTGCTAACCGATGAGTTCAAGTCTTTCTCGAGTGAACAATGCAAGGACCGGGCCCACAAGGACTTCCAAATTATCCGTGATGATATAGAATTGAGCTCCGCAGAAACTTCAACGGCTGAAATCCAAAATAAAGACATCATCAAAACCACTTTTCATAAGCACGAGCCTCCAGTGCGTCAATGGTCCTCAGACGAAAGTGACACCAAAAATGGCGACCGGATTGCAGGATTCGAAATTGTTCACGAATGCAGTGATCTCTTGGTTCTCAACAAGCCGTGTGGCATTCCTATCCATCCGACTGGTCAGTATTACAAAAACTCAATGGTGGAAGCGTTGAAAGCGCAAGGCATGAACGTATTTCCTACCCACAGGTTGGACAAGGTGACCTCAGGAATACTCGTAATGGGGAAAAATCCCGTCACGGCAAATAAAGTCCAACACCAAATTCGGCAGCGAACTATGCGAAAAACGTACCTAGCAAGAGTGGAAGGCTGTTTTCCCAAAACGCTCGACCGAATTTCTCCTGGAGATGCGGATTTTCCAACGGCCACTGAGGCGTGTGCAGATGCAAGTAGGGCCACGAAAGAGGAATCTGAAATGTACACTATAGAGCTCAAGAAACAGTTCCCAGCCGCTTTCTCTGCCGCTCGTGATGCTACCACTTGGTTTTATCCCGTGAAGTATTTTCCAGAATCTAACCACACATTAGTCGCATGCCAACCTGTTACTGGTCGTACCCACCAAATAAGAATTCATCTCGCAAGACTTGGACATCCCATAGTCAATGACCCATTTTACAATAAAATTTACACAAAATTCCCGAAACGTCTGCAGTTTATCCTCAACCTGCCGAACTGGGATAACACCGATTTGTCTAGAAAGAGCTTGGAATCATACTTTCAGGACTTTGTGGAAGAAGCAGATTTCGCTCAGGGTATGGAGGCGGCCAACAATCGTAGAACTTGCGACGACTGTGGTGTAGTGCTCTACCCAGACCCAAAACTTCAAGACCTTGAGCTCTTCTTACATGCTTGGAACTACTCTGACAGCTCCGGTGAGCTCAGCTACGAAACCAGCATACCCAAGTGGGCCCTCGGGTCTTAATAGAAACTTGAAGGGAGTACTTATCTACAGTAAAAACCTAACCTCAATGGACAATCTACCACCCAACATAACTTCTGTCCACTGCTCTGAAGACTTTCAGCTTCCCGCTTTTCATATCAGGTAGACGATAACTAGCTTGTCTGGTTTTACCGTGTTGTTCTTCAATGACTCTAAATTTATTCTTGGAAAAATCGTATTCCGTAATGACAGCCGCATATGGTACTGCGTCCATTCCAAGTTCGTGAGTGGTTTTCGGAAGTAGTTTTCCATGAGACTGGAACTTTCCTTTCCTAACAACCAATATGTCGCCGGGCCTCACTGACTTCAGTTCCTCTTCAACAAAGTTACCATCTGGCGAATAAGTGAGCAAGGGAACACCATAGGTTCTTGAAGCAATTGGTGGTAATACCGTTTCTGGCATGCCCTCAATGAGATGAAAAACAAAGTCCTGCGACGTCCGGTTTATAGACTGGTTGGCCATTTCAAAGATTTTGTAGCCTATCTTCGATGCATATTCATCAAACTTGTGGTCCGAGGAAGGACTTGGTAAAAACTCTTGCCAAAACTTGACTGTATGGTGGGCATTCGATGCTTCAAATACCACTGTAGCATGTAGCTGTGTATAATCTTCAAAAAGGATCCAGAAGTCCCGTGTTACCCATTGCTGATTTCTTCTTTTTGTGAGCACTGTCTCGTCAACTTCCCAAATATACTTCAGACGGTTATCACTAACGAGGCCGGCGGGTATTGTCTTCTTCAACCACCACTCATCCTTGTGATTGAAATTTATCGTAGGCCTGTATCTTTCATCGTTTACCTCAAATGTCTGCGTTCGCTTCACCTGTCTGTCCTGTGGCGTATAATTGGGGGCTTGTGATGCCGGCTCACTCAAAGATGTTTTCCTTCTGATCGCCTGAGCGTGAGAAACGTCCTTCGCCAAGGGACTTCCTGGTGACGGGTGCGTGGAGTTCGAACTTGGCGATGTCGTTGGTATAGGTGGTGGACCTTTTTCCCCAGATACGCGACGATTAGCCGCGTGATCTTCGTGCCCTATAGCGGCTGAAAGGCCGTGATTAGAGACCGGTGGTGGAGGGGGAGGTGGAGATTTTGGTCCAAAGCTTATATCCTGTAGGTTATCAGTGACTAGCTTGGGCTGTGGTGGTGGAGGAGGTAGCTTGGGCGCTGTATGATAGGACGTCAAAATAGGGTCTTCAGCTTGTACATCCTTTACGTGGCTGCTGGAAGGTCGTGTCTCGCTACTTTCCTCGCCGGCCTCATCTAGTGTTTGATTTAACGTCTGTGGTACAGATAAATTCATGTTCTTTTGTCCCGCTATGGAAGAAGGAATAGGGGGAGCAGTGGGAAGAGGAGGGACGGGTGGCATAGCAGACGTTGGCTTTATTGAAGGGATTGGTGGCACAGAAGGAGGAGGAGGGGGAGCTGGTTTTGAGACAGGAATGGGCGGTGCCTTAGATTTTGGAGCCCTAGTGGTATCTGGGACAGGAGGGATAGATGTTTTATTGACCGAGTCCCCAGTTAGTTTCTCGTGATGGGCGGTAAGACCTCCTGCTCCATCACTTGACTGAGGTTTTTGATCTTCAACATTGGTTGAAAGCTGTCTATGGTCCACACTTTCATCGCTCAAATGATCATTAGGCAGTAAATCTTCCGGTGACCCCACTCCCAGTGCCGCCTGCTCAATTGTCTGCTTCGATAACGTTGGGACATTTTTCGATTTGTTTAGTGCCGCAGTCGTTTCATCTGCTGAAGATTCATATCCGGTGGAGTCTGAGATTGTTTCATTTCTGGAATCCGGCCTATCCACCGCAACAGTCGGTTCGTGTTGCAGCGAGAGGTGTTCACGCTTTGTGGAATGTGCCTCTAGCCCATCGGAGAAGTTAGGCGCCTGCTCAGGTTCCTTTTCAAAATAGTTACTCTCAACTTGCCCCGCCTCGTCTTCGGCATCAGCTAACATGCCAGGTGTGTCTAGCGGTACATTTGATGTGTTCGCCTTTACCAGTTTAGAATATTCATGGGAAGGCTTGTGCACTTTTCCTCCTTGACGACTCTTGTCTTCTTGAGGAAAAGACTCACTTTCAATTGGTTCTTTCCCATCTGATGGTTCATTCTCCGTGGGTGAGGTTTTCTGAGCCTGTTGCAAGGCCGCTGGGTCAGCAGAGGGAAAAACTGGAATTGCTCGTGGCAAATCAGCACCGAGATTCCCACCCGTCTCTTTATGTTCAATTTTCTTGGCAACATTTGTTGATGCTCTACTGGGCTGTGCTTGTGCTGGCATACCGAAAGGATTAAAAGACATTGGCATTCCCATTCTTCCAGCACCAGAAAGCTTAGCCATTCGCTCTCTCAAAGCAGCGCGTCGAGCCTCTTCGTCATCCTCGGCGTTTCCTTCATCCTCTTCGCTATGGTCAGAAACGTCCCCATTGTCATTTTGTGAAGTTTCGTCGTCATTTTGCTCGTCCGATTGCAACCCGGGTACAGTTGGCTTAATATCCAAGTTCTCAACCTCCGGGTTAGAACCCGGAATCGGAATTGGGGCATGGCTAATTTCCGGCTCCGTGATCTTTCTAGAAATGCTGCCTTGTGGACCTTCATCCTCATCTCGAGGAAGCTCTGATTCCGGAGTAGGCTCAATGCTGTCTTGCACTATAGCTGCCTCATGATGCTCGTGCTTTCTTTGCTTTTCCGCTACTTTCTGTTGCCTTTCCTGTTCCATCTCTTGGTTGATCCTCTGTTGTTCTTGTAAAAGGGCGATCCGCTCTTTGAGACTCATTTTGGGTTGCTCAACGACGCCAGATTCTACGTCAGAAGACTTCACAACTGGGGAGGAAGAAGATAGTTTGTGTTTCTCTTGCACAGGTTCAGAGGCCTGAAATTCTGTAAGATTCGACAGATCAGGCTTGAAAGTAGTGGGAATTGCGGGCTCTTTGGCAACGGGGCTGCTAGCGTCCACAGGCTCATCTTGTGCAATATTTACCCCAGCAACAACACTTGGCTTCTCTGGGCTTTCCAGCTTGGCTAGGTTAGTCATGGATTGCGGAATTTTATCATCATTGGCTTCTGCAGTTGCTGCTGAGTCCGTTGGTTTTTCAAGATCTGAAGTAGCATTGGCTTGAGAAGCGTCAGCTACATTCTTTGCGCTTTCTATGACCGCGACAAAGGCTTTAGGAAAAAGCCCCTCCTTAAAGCTCCCTTGCGGGTCCTGATAGTCACCAAAATACCACTCCTCGTCCTCTACCGACCGTACGGTGATTTTGGTACCTTTTTCAAAGTTGAGATCGTCTTCATGTTCCGAGGTATACGGGTACTGGGCCTCCACCTCGAATGGAGTTTTTGGATCATCCATCGCTGTTGTTTTGTGACGCCGGATGAGGAGTTGTTTGATGTTAAGTGTCCGATTTGATTCCATGACCATCCCTTTACCATGTTTAAAGATCACCAAGGACGATATGAGCTAAAACCAGATCTCAGCGTTAACGCGTGGATAACATTCGAAGTTATCGCAGGTTCAAGCCTGGGGTCGCGGCGAGTATCAAATGGGGATGAGTTCGTCTTGTATGGTTATTGAGTGGTGACTTCGGTGCCTTTTACGCTTGCTCTGAACGTCAGATATTCGGATCGAACAATCCATTCCGTGAGGTTTGAAACGGATATATGCATTCCAACAACTTCGTAAGCCTTTTTTAAGATGACTGAGAACTTTATTCTTGACGATACAACGCCTCAAGCAGAAAAATGAGAGATTGAGGATCGGAATTTCTTGACAAAGCTAACGTTTGACAGCAATTTTCAGACGCTTAAGAGCCGCCACCAGCAATTGAGGACATCATCAGCACCATGTTTTCGCTTAGCTCCTGGGATGTGTAAAAGCTTTTAGGAACTTTTTCGTTTTAACCAGAGCAGTCCATTCATCAACAACATGAAGTCCAAAGCATAAGCCATGTATGACCGCTGGGAGGACCGAATTTTCATTCAATGTGTTCGATATGCAAGAAGTCTCCCCGCAAACGCCAAAGAAAAGTCAGTTGTAGTTTCTAAAATGCACAGATCAGGTTTCCCGCGTGTCTCAAATGAAACAAGACCATCGTAAAGTTCCGAGAGTCACTTGATCCTCAGCTCTTATGGTTCCAAAAATACACACATAAAGCCCCACTTTTCAAGTTCCAATTCAGAAAATAGAGGTTCTTTCCATGTTTTTGGGTACGTTTTCAACACCTCTCTTGGAAATAGCCGCCGATATCAAATGTAATCAGATTTCTCCGTAGAAAAAAACAGCAACATGTAGCTAACACGACGGGTAATTCAAAAGTTGCAGTATTGAAATAGAAGTGTACAGGATTCCACTCATGGATGCGTTTTGTTTGAGAAAAGAAGTAATTCTGTTCTGGAATGTTTCTGTCTCTTTATATAGTCTACTCCCCGAAATTTGATTGTGTCGTTTTCGTACAACACTATGCTACCTTAATTTTGAAGATTACTTCGAGTACCTGGCGAGAATACATCAAGAGAAGCGGATGCGATGCCTCTTGAAGCGCATCAAACAACCGACGAACGCACGACTTTAGGACTTCTAGGGAGCGTCAAATAACTTAGGCGTTACAATACTTGAGTCCGGCGAATTTTAGGCTTCAAAAAAAGTCAATTTTGAGATCAATCGAGGCGTATTACGTGCTCATGTCCGAGAGTTGAAATATTAGTTTGAAATCCGCAGTTCCTCATGAATAAGTCCATTGGAAGGGCCATTGACGTGATTGCAGATGACAAGCTTGTACTAAGACGGCTTTTGAAGCGCATCTTAGCCGTTTACAGTCTTTCAGGTGTCTTGACCTTCGCAAAATTGAGAAACCTGAAGGACTCATCGCGGCACACTAGGATAACAGCCCTGCTGAAAAGTCTTAAAACTGCATCATGGGTCTGTGCTCTGCTCGGGAGCTATCCTGTTTTGAACAAAGTGTTGAAAAATAGGATTCTGGCTTTCAATGGCGCCCTGCTGGCCACGACGCAATTGAATGTTCCGCCTTGGGTGTCCACATATCTGGCTTTTGAGTCCGTAATCGACTATGCAACGAGTTTAAGCAGCATAGGGAACTTCGTGTCGCAGCTGAGCCGTCAAAACGCCAATCTTATCCGACAAGCGCTTCTTTGCTTCGTTATACCGTGGCTCCGCAACACAACTTATCCATCGCGGGCCAAGACCATACTTTTCCAACGCAAGACTCTTATCAAAGATTTTGTAACACTGTTCGCTCTGTGGAACTCGATTTCGCTTTATCAATATCTCAAATCGTCCCTGTACAAACAACGACAACGGCCTAAACGCCAGAGCATCGAAACCAACAATATCCAGGATTCAGTGACCTTGAACTCTCGTTTGTTTAAAGACAAATGGAAGGAGATTAATGAAATGACAACAACGCGAACCGTATGGGAGAAAGTAGTTGGTTGCTGCTGTGGTGAAAACCTGCATGTACCGCTTAAATGGGTCGCCTGGAGACAATTATTGTGGGCACTGCTGGACACCGAGGCTCGTTACAGCTCGAATTTGCAAATATCAGCTCTTCTGATGTTAGGATTGTACGTGCTGGATAGCAAGAAAAATGAGATGTTTGTGCGACCTGGGGTACTCAAATATCTGATGAGGATTTGGATCACAGACCAAATACACGACAAACGAAAGTGGCAAAACCTATTTTTTTGGACAGGTTCCAATTTATCCTTGTACAATCAAACACGGACGCGAAACGTCTAGTTTGTAAAGCTTTTCGTTCTGACAAGGCCATTTTTCATGCATTTCATCTCATTTCGGCACCATATTGGTGCCATACGCCTTCACTGCTGGCAGCTACCTCGTTTTTCCGCTTCTATTGTTGATTTGGTCTTTTCTTTAGTTTAGTAATAGTAGCGAGAGATTTACTGTTCTATACACCTGCTATTTGCTTGCGCTTAAAAGAGCTATGCTCCTGGCGCGTTGGGGTTGCCCTGAACCTTGAGTAGGATTTCCTTGAATTTAGATCTGTCTCTGCCATTCACCAGATCCGCATCATCCACGTTTATCAGTTGCAACACACGATCCCATGTTGAATTGCCCTGGCTGGAAAAATCCTGCTTCTCCTTGAGAAATTTCTCGGCTTCTTCTCTGGTGCTTTTGACCTGTTGTTCCTTCTTGCGGTTGTAGTTTTCGTAGAAATCGTCCATGTGTTTTACGGCTTCTTCCTGCAGCTTGGATTTGGCCTCTTCCTGGACAGCGTCTCGTTCTCTCACTTCTCTGTCGCGAGACTCTTTCCACTCGGCAATCGCCTGCGATTCTGTTTGTTTCGAAAACGTGTTGGCCTGTGAGTCTTCTGTTAGGTCGTTTTCGTCCCCAATTTCACCTGCTGTTTCGCTGCGGTGCGTTCCGGTGTCTTTTGAGCTGGCTGGAACTTCTTCGAAATCTCCAAATTCATCCTCGTCATTTTTCAGAAACTCAGAATCCTCCTCCGTCTTGAATTCGTCTCCCAGCAGTTCTGCTTCTCTTTTCAAGAAGTCTGTTTCTTCACGTCCGGAAGTAACTTCTGATTCGAACGTTTCGTCCTCCAAAGGTGGGAATTTCTCGGCCATTTTTTCAAATAATGGGAAAAACTTGTGCGGTTATCCAATGAACCAAGAACCTCGAGTAGATCGGGTATCAATGCCTAGTTTCTGGCCTAAAACTAAAGTTGAAGAAACTTTAAATATGTTCAAATCTTTTGACATCGGTGTATATTCCCCTATTGTATTACAGCTGTAGAAAAAACAAAAAACGTGCGCGTGATAATCACATGCTATCCACGTGTCACTAAGTAAACGCTCGAGAGACGGATTACGTAAGGCGGATTGAAGGGTCTTAGACTATTTCATCTCGCTATAAGTCTCTCCATGCAAATGGGAACACTCACCAGTTAGTAGATTTGTATCTTAACGCCACCTCCAATAGCCCGGACTTCTTGTGAATCCAGATCCAGGACCCGAAGTCCCGGGATCCCATTGAAGTAGCCTCTTAAAACCGAAAAAAAGTCCAGATCCACACATAACGTTTCGGACGGCTGTAGCGTTGGAAGTCGACGGTCGTTCGACAGTAGTACGATAGTCTGTGTATTTTTCATCCATCTTTGGTGGAGCATGTACTCTTTCTCGATCGGAAATTGGCCCTGGGGCTCCACCGCCGAATTTGCGCAGTACACAACCAGATCCAATGGTCCGTGTGAGTGGTTTGTGATCTGCAATGACAGGGAAAACTTAGCACCCATGGCGAACCTTGGTGGCTCAGTGGCCAAGAAATCAAAAGTCACGCCGCTAAGCTTGTCTGTGGCGACCAGAGAGTTCGTGGAAGCGGCAAATTTCATGGAGGGCGTATGCATGGGCGTTGAGATCACTGACGTGGGCTGCGACGTCAGCTTCATGGAGGCATTGGGTCTTCGCAGAGTGACATCCGTTTCCCAAGCGGTTTCAACCGTGAACGCGAACGGGTGAGCTTGTACGGTGTATCGGAGCAGAACACGCACGCGGTGGGAATCCAGGGTCTTTGTCTGCGGAAGTGCGTAGTTTATACTGTAACTGTCCCACACACCAAGGACCAAATCGGGCTCTACGCCGCAAACGGGTTCCACGGAGGCACTGGAGTAATTGTTCAGCACCCGGTAGTCGATTTTGTTCATCACAATCTTGAACTCAGCGAGATGGTATTGACTCATAAGGCTATGGCACGATTTAGACGTCTGCAAATCGAGCGAAGAATAAATGCACTGCTTGGTAGGCAATGCAACATTGCGGAGCCGGACGTTGAGTAAGGTATGGATCGGGAATGTGATTTCTACCGTGTGAAGTTCGTGTTTTGACGGTTTAACGGCCACCGATTGAGAAGGTTTTTTGACAGTTCCTAGCGGCTCGAAGCTCGGCAGAAGTGGCTCTTCTGCAATTACAGAGCCCGTGGTTTGTGGTTTGGGCACTTTTTCCGACGTTTGTACCGCATATGACGCTTTGATCATCCAATGATTCTTATGGCCATTGTTCATCACCATGTTGGACAGAAAAATGTGGTTGTCCACCACCGATTTCTGTAACTCCCAAAGGCCATCAGTATGCTCTATCAAGCAGTCTAGGGGTTGCTTCGTACTGTAAACGCATGCCTCATTGATGTATACCTGAATTGTGTGAATTGCAGTGTTAGGATCAAGTAGAAAGAAGATACGTAAATCTTCGTCAAAGACCACGAATTTGCGGTCCAAATGCGATTGTTTTAACTGCTTCACATCGTCATCAATAGTCTTGTCTGAGGGAACCAATATTCTCATGCCAATGGGTTCTCTCCGAGTGTTGATGTTGTTTTAAGAGAAGTGGACCTAAGGTAGAGATGTGGTAGATTTAAGCATTAATTTGATATTGTCAAGGCTCATGACGGGATGAGACGAAAAGAGAGAGAAGTGTAAGCTTTAGAAGTCCAAGGAAGCGATTGAATCGTGAATCTGTACTACATAAGAAATAGGTTCAATTGGAACTTTTCAGATCGGAATTAGCATTCGATTTGGGACCGTGTCAGAATAGAGAAATACGCATGTACAAGAGATTTACTAAGATCCAGGAATAACTAGTATATCAAGTCTGTGAGAGACTCATGGTACTGATAGTAATTTCCCTGTTCAATTACGAGCAAGACAAGGTTTTGGGAACGTCCAGGTTCAATAAATTTTATCAAATCTGGTAGTATAATGAAAACCCGGCCTTGTCGAGTTGGTACCACACTCTAAATGCACAAATCGGGGTTGCGTATTAATTCCCTACTATTTACACGACTGCTAAGCGAACAAATCCAAATCCGTCATGGGCATCCTCACAAATAAACCATTTTCCCGAGCTTGTCGAAGCCGATTCTGCGGTCTTTTTTCGAGTCGCGATTACCAGCACCGTAACGCCAACCGACTTCGCCAACGTGAGCGGATTCAAATTTGAACAAACACCTTTCTCCTTGGTTCAATTGACCGTAAATGACTTTTTTCTTGCTATGTGAGGATGCAGATGTATTATGGTCAGCAGAATGCTCTCCAAGAGTTGCCAATTTTTCCAAAGTCTCTGCGGCAGGTTCTAATTCCAGTACTTTGGCAGCGTCCACGGGCCCAAAGGGCTCCGATTCCGCAATGGTCACGAAACGCGACCGCAGTGCTTTTGCTGGAACTGGAATTTCTGACAAGTTTTCTCTGGATGCTTCAATTCGAGGCTCGAACAAAGGGAACATCTTGTACAGGGTGGAAGCCATGTTTTTAAGATCTGGTGCTATGCGATTCTGAATGGAGGGTATAATAAGTTAGTAAAATCAGAAAGGGTATTGTAGGCCCCCACTCACACGTATCCATTCCAATGAAGCTGATGCAAAGTCTTGTGTCGTCAGAAATAGTATGAAATTTTAACCATTTGGTAATGTCTTCAAGACTAATCGAATATTTTTTCATTTTAACTCATCATTTTACAAGTACAGTTCAAAAGCCATTGGATGTAAGCGTGTGGAGGTTTGAGGGTTGATAAATTCGAAGCAGATCGATACTTGTTAAGAACATACGTTTTTTTCCCACTTTTGTTCGATATCCATGAGTTTCACAGCGGCTTCAACGCGAGGGATTTTGAGTCCGTAGCGCTGTGACACGTCCTGCGTCGAAAGCTGTTTGTTTTGGATGTCATCGCAAATTTGCAATTTGAGTTCTTCGCTGAGAACCCGGTTGGTAAAACAGTGTTTGTTGCCCGGGAAAGGCTGCAGTTTCCGGTCACGAGAAGCTGCAGAACCTCTTTGAAACCGCTGCGATGTAGAAGGGCTCACTGATCCGTCAGCTTGCAGCGTGAGAGGCTCCCCTGTGACTGGATCTTGCAACGACTGACCTCTTTCGAGATCCGGCGTTATATACCTGGGTTCGTGGTTTTGCGAAACCTCGAAGTACCGATTCGTCACGTAGTCACCCTTGAAGTTACGAGGACCCAAAAACTGACGCATTGCGTGTTTTAGGTTACTGTCATGTTTCTTTGGATTCTGTTTGCCCAGTCTCTTGAATGGGTAAAATGGATATGCAATTCTTCTTCGTGAAATGAATCGAACTTGCTGTGTTTGAGCCGGGGAAACTCCCAATATGGATTGTGGCTTGGGCCGGAGACTACCCAGCATTTCAGGAGAAGGTCGAGAAGTGAAAGATGGTCAGTATTCGCCAATGGGCTCGAACCAGTTTTCCTGCAGTTTATATAGTTTTTCAAGATCGATGAGAAGATTTTCTATGTAGTGGTTGGTGAACATCGATTTTTTTCAATTTCGTCTGTAGTGACAATGATGAGATGATATAAGCTGGTAAAGATTTGCACGTGATATAAAATAAAGATCTAGGAAGGTTTGTAAATTCGACAATTTAAATGTTATTAAACGCTTAGCATTTGTTTATAAGGTTGCAAGACATGTTGAGTGTTTCAATTTTGACACATCAAAGCTTGCCTTGAACGGATTCGATCATGAAATTTGTTTTGTAGGTGTTTTTTGATTTATAGTCACGTGACATATAACTGATGTCAGAAAAGTTCAGAGTCACATAGGCAGTTCATCGGTGTCGCTACAACAATGTTATATTATCTGGGTTATTTCAGCCAACAATGCATCTTATAAAGCCTGGGGAGTTTTTTGTTGGCGTCAATTTCATCGAGGTATCGAATTTCAGAAATTTTTTGAGATTGACCCCATAGCAATGACGAGGAGTTCTTAAGGGAGAGGTCGACATCGTCTTTGAGAAAGATAGTCCAATACCCATTTCGAAAACTCAATAAGTACTTTTTGACTTTCTTCTCGTCCGTCTGTCATGTTAAGGTGTGTTACATTCCACAATGGTGCTGTGACGACACTGTTCGTCACGTGATTCCCGGTTGGTACCGATATGAAGCGTCTGTTAGCACTGGTAGGTGTATACTCAAGACCCCGAATTGCAGTTGTTACAGCTCCCAGGTAAGTCTTAGTTGATACTTTACATTGAGGAAGAAGCACAAGATTGCTGGTCACCATCCCGCAGGATAACCTTACTTTCACACTATGTTCAAGGACAGATATGTACGGTGGACCATTTAGGTTCCCGAAAGTACCTAAGTTTCGCCACTGATGATCCATTTCAGAATTGGCGTAAATTCTATATGTTAAGTCGAGAATCTAGTCAATACACCTGTGTTTTCAATAGATAGCACTTACAAGAAGCTAAAAACTTTAATGGCCTCTCATTTTAGCGATGAAAATTTATGACACCCTCAAATCCAGGCGACTACAGATCTATTTTAGCACCATCACTATAATTGTAAAGATTTGGCTGAGGTAAAGGTACGGAATGTTATTTGATTTCTATTCCATGACGTGAATATTCAGTTGATACTCTATTACTCTAGTATTACTCTAGTATCACTCTAGTGTTTCTAACCTGTTTTGATCTGGTTCTTTGATGAGCCTTTTTTATAAAATCCGAAAACCAACCCATTTCCCATGTCACGATAACCCGTTTGTGATCCGTTTTAGATTTTCGGATTGACCCGTTGTGCACGTGACCAATTCGACATCACACAATTTGAACAGTAGTAGTTTTTGTCCAATTTGATGGCTAGTTCCTTAGAGAAAAGCCGTGATATGAAGGCACTGTGTACCAGCCTGATTTGCTGCACCTATCTCGAATTAGAAACCATCAGCTATTCCATTATTGTCATTTTTATCCACTTTGGGTCTTGGCACGTGATATGTTACTTCAATACGTTCCAATCCATCATCCCGGCCGCTCGATGCTTGATAAAAACAGGCTCTGCAATCTGCAAGATCTCATAGCTCTTCAGACCCATTGAAATACATGAAACTAAGTCACATACCGTACTATCAAACGCCACGTGACTTTATTTTGAAATCCCAAATCTGCGATCACCCAATCAAAAACTTCTATCCACGATCCCCATGCCACCCACATAATCAGCTCTACTATCCCTTGACTCAAACCAATTCGAACCCATGATTCGCGTTTCCAAAGGGCTGTTTCAATACCTTTGAAACATAATCACCCCATACGAAACGCCAAACTCGTAATTATTAGACGCGTTCAGCTCATCTCATCTCAAGATGATACACATGAGCTCTAAACCCTTCAAACATCAACCGCCTGAAGCGCTCAAAGACTGATTTCCTTGTGCACAATGCAACGAAATCCGCGCTACCCAAATTTATACAATTCTGGCATGCGAAACGCCTATAATCAATTACTGTCTGAGAGAAACAACGAAGATCACAGGGTAGGTTTCAATGATTCAGAAGATGAGGAACACGATGGTAAAGATTTCAGTGACGATTTCAGTGATGAAATCAGTGATGAAATCAGTGAAGACTTTTCCAATGACATGCTGGACATAAGTGGCCGTTCGAGTCCTGGAAGATCGGAGCTGGACGATGAATACGAACAGTTTAAGACATCTTTGATGCGCGATGACTGGCCGGAACCCGAAGAAGAAGAAGATGATGATGATGACTACCAAGACAAGGATTACACAGAAGCAGCAGATCGAAGCTTCATTTTGGAAAGTGACGAGCCTGATGCGGAAACGTGGGGTAATGAAAGTTTTGGGAATTCAAGAGTTGGTATACTACCGAGAAATCGCGTCTTCAACGTTGCAGCACTAATTGTGTTATTTTTGGTACTCACAATGGTTTGGAGACCATGGTCCACATCACCCAGCTTTGAGAAATCTATCATCGATGGGCAACCTTCTGCCACGACAGGAAATGCTCAATTACGCGCTCAACTCAATGGTTTGTACCGGGAACTTCAAGACGACCGTAAAACTGCAAAAAAGGAGCTAGACAACGCTATCCGCTTGGTTATCTTGCAGGTTGAGAAAAACATCAAAAAGCTGCTACCTAAAGACATGGCATCGGTACAATCGCAGATTGAGCGTCTTGACAGTCAAGTACAAGATATGTCACGCAGCGTAAGCCTGAACAATGTGACTGAGTGGCAAGACTCTTTGGTGGCTGAACTACAACATCTTTTGCCAGAACAGATACCTGTAGTGCTGGATAACTCTACCAGGGGCTTGATGGTAGTGCCTGAACTCCACGGATATTTGGCCGAGCTTATACCGCAAATCGTCAACAGGACCGTTTCGATAGCTTCCACACAACCTTTCCGCTACGACACAGGCCAGTATGTGCGTGAAATTCTCAGAAATGAATACCAATACGTTGACAAGTCCTACTTCCTGAAGGAACTGGACGCAGCCTTGAGATCCAACAAGGAAGACATTCTGCGCGAGATGGAATCGCGAATTTCGACTTTGGAAAATGTACCGCAGCAGTATTCCAATGTGCTGCAACGTAAGCTCATTCACAAAATCTACAACGCCAACCAGCATCAGTGGCAGGACGATCTGGACTTCGCAACGGCGGCCCAAGGCACTCGTCTCATCAATCATTTGTGTTCCAAGAGTTTTCAGGGCCTTCAAGGCATCCCGTCCAATGGGGTGTCTGCACTGGACCTGCTTACAGACTTCCAGCCCGCGCCTTCCACCTACTGGTTGTGCAGCAACGAAAAGAGCTCTTCCAAACAGTGTTCGTGGGCTGTGCGGTTTGCACAGCCACTTTACTTGACACGCATCTCCTACGTTCATGGCCGTTTCACCAACAACCTTCATCTAATGAATGCTGCACCCAGCACAATTTCTGTTTACGTCAAGCTACAGTCCTCCAACGGCGATGCAGAATTTCGTCGTGTAGCAACCGAAAATGGTCACGGCTCCATCTGGAATCAGGACCGCTCTTTCATCGAGATTGGTTCCTGGAACTACGACACCAGTGACCCCCGCATTCGCCAGAATTTCCCTCTGCCTCCGTGGCTTATACAATGCAAGCCCCAGATTCGTGCTCTGGCCTTAGTAGTGCGTTCGAACTACGGAAACGCGCACTACACAGCGCTTCGCAAATTCGTCATCAATGCTGTAACCGTCCAAGATCTTCAGTTGAGTTCCACCTACTCTCAATCACGTCAATTTGAAATACCGGAATATTCCTCCCCTATGCAGGATTCTGAAAAACTACGCGCATCCCAAGTTGCCGCCTGGCAACTTAGCAACAATAACAATTCTCCATCACCAGGCGTCCGCGAAAATGTCCCTTCTTTTGGACAAGACGAGTTCGACGACAAATAAGGCGTGGTGTAGACCGAACTGAGGGTAAATTCGGAAAAAAAAAAAAACGCTAATGTCCTCACGGGCCTGCTTATGCCAACTCCTTCCGAGGCGTTTGTTATCACCTAGGGTCGGCTGTGTTAATGGAGTTTTGCCATTACCCACGAAGATAGGTGCATCTTTGGCTAAGATACCTTCACCACCACAGTAGCAAACAGGAAAACAGTGCAGAATAAGCATTCTGCAAAGATTGCTATATCAGGGAAACCGCGGTGCCGCCATGAATGTTCGTTCCGTTGGGCGTTTCAAAGGTTGCCACAGTGCTTTATTAATTCAGACTGAGCCATTTTGAAGAGAGGAAAGTATAGAGGTGATCGCTTACAATTGTGAATTATTCTTGCAATCATTGGTATCGAAAACGGACATATTCGTATACTGCATTGTCAGGAAAATCATTATAAAAGAAAGGCAACAACAACGTTGAGGATAGCGTGAGAGATAGTGGGAAGTCAGTTGTTGGAATAACACTGCTTTTGAGGCCGGTTGTTGCTAAAGAAAACATGAAATCCGTATTAGGACTGAAATTACCAGGTATTTCTTCGGAAACCACGTCCGAAAGGGCATCTAAAGAGCGACTTTCAGAATCAGGGAAGCCTCAAAACGATGTCTGGGAACCGTTGAGACCTTTGCTAATTTTATTGGACTGTCATCGGCGGAAATCTTATCTTTCGTGGACAGATGTAGGTGAAATATTGCTGCAAGTGGGAGGCCAGTCAGAAGTGGTTCCGGTTGCTAGCGTGGCTCTGAGGGGTACGCAGCTACAAGTGGTGGTGCAGCCAGAGGCACACGAATATGATAACTGCATGTTGTTGGACGTAGCGAATGGAGTTTCGCCCATGAGTTGGAGATTAGAACAGACGTCGCTCGTCTTGAACGATGGAGCCTTGACGCTGTGGTGCCGTTCCTTGGAAGGGCAGGCAAACCTGCGTCTTCTCTACGATATGTGCATGCTTGCAAGATTCGAGCATATGTCGCTGTATAAGGCGTTGACGGCAACTGTGATCTCGACGCATGGAAGTCAGATATCGGACATTGCCGCTGTGTTGCTTGCTCAACACAGCTACAAGGACTGGTGCTACATCAGTATAGGTGGAGAATGGGTTAAAGCGTGGTGCCATGTCGACCGGAGCCCCAAAGGTCCGGGTCGCCACGATGGACGCCATCAAATAAAGTTTTTCCGCGACTCGAAGTCTCTAAATGCCAAAAACCTGCTGTGCTTTATTCCGGACTGCGGTGAGGTTGAAGATCTGTTTTTCGTCACTGACCAGGACGAAAGTGTGACACAGGGGACCCTTCCGGAGGACCGGTTTGGAGCTCCTGCGTATGCCAACCATCTCAAAGGAAGGCGCCCTCTTTCGGATTCAATCGAGACGTCACTAGAAGATCTTTTGTCGAAGCTCACAACGCTTCGCGTAGTGGGCGACGTTTACTGGCCAGCTGATGGCATGAGCTCGGACTCAAGTGGAAGCAAGTCCTCGATTTTAGGGTCTATGCCTCTTTCACCCAAGAAAAAGCGCAGGAACACGGTGTCGTTGAATGGTAGTGGCAGTTCGTTGACTGGCCATTCTTCGTTCTCTCACAAACGCTCAGTATCTATGAGTTCCTCTGTGCATCATCCGCAAGCGGGTGATTATGACAACAAAACATCGGAATTATTGATAAAACCCATCCCACACAGCGGAGTCGACCACTTGGAATCTCTGATCCGCTGTGTTTTACCCATGATGAGCTGTCTGAGCTTGTACGGCAGGCCCGTACACTTTAGTAACTCGCGTGAAGATCCAAATTCGCTATTATTTGGCCTTCCAAGGCTCCCCATTGTCGACTATTTTGCCAGAGAAGAGATTGGGCCGCTATTTGAATATCTTGATGCAACTGTTGGGGATTCAAAATCGCTCAACAAGACATTGGCTGCGCAAAAACTATATCTGACGCAACAGATGACCGATCCAAATCGTCGCGACCGCAGTTTTACTACGCTTGAAGATTTGGTGCGCACCGGATCCGACTTTTCGGTTTTCACAAGTTCAACAACCGGTTCAGTCAGCAATTCGCCGTTGATATAAAACAAAAAAAAAGTGCACCAACGATAATTTGGCTGGCAGGAGTTGTAAAATAAGTTTGATGTAGAGTTAATGAAATTTTATGGATTGCAGACGAGGTTCGACTTTCGACGGTTTGCAGGAGACACCTGAACAAGGTGGACGATAGGCATGATTGGATGTGAAGACATAAATACACCCAACAATGCTGCTATTTAAACAAGAAAGCTCGAGAAAAGAATCGTGGATACCTTGGTAGGTGCGCACATAGCTCGTTATCCTTCCAGCAACCATAGGTAGTGGTGGTGCTGGAGGTGACAATGTAGTACAAAGTGATAAAAAACGACGCGCATAACTTGAACCGAGAAAAGTCACGAATGACACTTGTAACAGCCACCAGACTACACAGAGTTTCTGGTGCATTATTTTCAGGTAAGATCGATAATATTGCGGTTCCTCTTGGGCAGCTTTCAATCGCTGTCAGATGATACTGGTGTCGTCGTAAGTGATCTGATTGGGCCTATAAATACTGGTTGTGTGGGCGGCTATTCTTGCCAATTATTCTTCACTAAAGACGCCAACAAAGCGCGAAAACAGAGGCCTAAATCCCCATGTCTGCTGCTGAAAGATATCTTATTACGTAGCACAATGCTCGAAGATTGATTGTGGGTTTCTCCCTGAGAAAAACGAACCCCTGGCTCTCATTTTAGCAGAGTTAGGGGGAGGGGGATTTTGAAATGTTCCTATCCCGAAGTTGATTGGGAAAGAGGTGTTGGGGATGCTGCCCAAGATGTCGTGTCTCAAAGGTGTGTCAATCGATAGGATTCTGCTGAGATTTTTACTCAGCTGTGCTAATGGGTGGAACAGAAATCGTGGTGACGAAAATCGAGGGTTGAAAGATTGATTTTACCAATAAGAGTGCTACGAAGTGCTTTGGAGACTCTTGGAAAAGCTCTCGGAATGCGTTTTCAAGATAGGGCTAATTCAGATACAGCTAGTCCTTCGATTGCTCAGAAATTTAGGGTGAAATGCACTCTTTGGGTTAGATGAGGTACCATAAGCGGTATCGTATTCTAAAACAGCCGTATTATCATGAAAAGAGTGAATTAGCACCATGGTTCAAGCGACGCGATTGATTAGAAACCTACATAGCCATCGCAGTTAGCCTTTCAAGCTGATGAAAGCTTTGGAACATCCATTCAGCGGAAATGAGAGATCTATTTCGCGACAGGTTGGAAACCGTTTCAGCCTCGATAGGACCTGTACTTGTCGTTGAATTCCAAATTTCAGATATCTGCAATGCCCGAAACACTTACGAAAGAAAACCCCTCATAATCTCCGGAAGACGTACTAAAAGCAAAGTGGTAACCCACCCACACGAACACTCAGTACCATCTCGCAGTTCCGATACCTGCTACGATTGTCACATCGCTCCGTTAACCGCTGATGTCGCATTACTGCGACAACTTATTGTCATTCGGTACTCGTGATCGTACTCGTACTCGTACTCGTTCAAGTAAGAATCAAAGCTTTGAAAAATTGCCACTTTTTCCAAGCTATAACCACCTTTCTTGATTACAACCTTCCACCAGCGAAACCAACGCGTATCTCATCTCCACAATGCAAGCTCCTGTAGTGTTTATGAATACGTCGCAAGAGCGCACGACAGGCCGCGAAGCTCAAATCTCCAACATCACCGCAGCGAAAGCCGTTGCAGATGTGATCCGCACTTGTTTGGGCCCTAAGGCAATGCTTAAGATGCTTTTAGATCCAATGGGAGGTCTGGTTTTGACAAATGATGGGCACGCAATTCTAAGGGAAATTGATGTGGCACACCCTGCTGCAAAATCCATGCTGGAATTGTCGCGTACACAGGATGAAGAAGTAGGAGATGGTACCACTACAGTGATTATTCTAGCCGGTGAAATCCTGGCACAATGCGCTCCATACATTATTGAAAAAAATATCCACCCAGTGGTTATTATTCAGGCTTTGAAATTGGCTTTGAGCGATGCTCTTGCTGAGGTGGAAAGAGTATCCAGACCAGTTGACGTGGAAAATACTTCTGCATTGATGAAACTAGTGGCGGCTGCCATTGGAACCAAATATGTGGCTCAATGGAGTGACCTCATGTGCCAACTGGCCGTTGACGCAGTTCGTTCTGTACGCGTGGGAACTCCAGGTGACGCTACCGCTCCTGTGGAGATCGATACCAAGCGATACGTGCGTATTGAAAAAGTCCCAGGTGGAGATGTTAGCGAATCCCGCGTTTTAAAAGGTGTTATGCTCAATAAGGACGTGGTTCATCCAAAAATGGCAAGATATATCGAAAATCCACGCGTGGTACTGCTGGACTGCCCTCTGGAGTACAAGAAGGGTGAATCTCAAACAAATATCGAAATCACTCGCGAGGAAGACTGGAACCGTATTCTACAGATCGAGGAAGAGCAGGTACGTCTATTATGCGAACAAATTCTATCTGTCAACCCAACGGTGGTGATTACTGAAAAGGGTGTTTCGGATCTTGCTCAACACTATTTGCTGAAAGGTGGCTGCAGCGTCTTGAGACGTACCAAAAAATCTGACAACAACCGTATCGCTCGTGTAACAGGTGCTACAATTGTAAACAGAGTCGAAGATATTAAGGAATCCGACGTGGGTACGCAATGTGGTACTTTCAAAGTGGAGCTGATCGGTGACGAGTACTTCACTTTCTTAGACAACTGCAAAGACCCAAAGGCGTGTACCATAATCTTACGTGGTGCTTCTAAAGATATTCTTAACGAGATCGAAAGAAATCTTCACGATGCTATGGCTGTGGCACGTAACGTCATGCTTTCGCCCTCGCTATCGCCGGGAGGTGGTGCCACTGAAATGGCTGTGTCTGTAAAATTGGCCGAAAAGGCCAAACAACTCGAAGGTATTCAACAGTGGCCATACCAGGCTGTCGCAGACGCGATGGAGTGTATCCCACGTACATTGATTCAAAATGCAGGTGGAAACCCAATAAGAATTCTTTCACAGCTCAGATCCAAACATGCTCAAGGCAACTCAACCGCCGGTATTGACGGTGATACAGGTAAAGTTACTGACATGGTTGAGTATGGCGTTTGGGAACCAGAGGTCATCAAACAACAGAGTATCAAGACCGCTATTGAAAGTGCATGTCTTCTGCTGAGAGTTGACGACATTGTAAGCGGTGTAAGAAAGCAGGAGTGATAGCAAAGCATGATCACTAACCCTGCAATGTAATGTAAAATGCCTTACTTATCTACATTGTATATATCAGTCTGTAGCTTTGATTTACGAAAGATCAGATTGGCCCGTAAACGCTGTGTCTTGCGTTAAGTTTATCTCATTTCCTAGATTTCATCAAATCGGATTCCAAACTCAATACCTTAGCTTTCAATCTGTGTCCGTTTTCCTCCAAAGAGTTTTCTAAGCTTAATCTATGCTCCCTCAACCTCGATGTAATGGGCAACCGTTCCTGTGAACCACTATTCAATAGCATATCGAAGAGAGGACGCCAAATATCTTGTCTCCAATACCTTTTGAAGCTGTGCGCCAAAGCATACTGCTGATTTGGTAACGCCCGCGTTTCGATAAATCTTCCGAATAACATCGCATGAATTATCCCTGCCAAACCGTAGTAATCTGCTTCGTATGTCCATGCACGTCCTTCTCGCATCTCCGGACAATCCTGTTGATCTGTCTTCCAATTCGCCTTGAATTTCGCTCCTACGGGCACTAGCGTGAGGTCGAAGGATCTTCCAAAATCAATTAGGTAGACACCTTTCTTGTCCCATCCAGTTCCTGAATTGACTTTGTAGTCCGAAAGTGCCTGTGAACCCATTTCAAATCTTACCATGCAGTTATCAGGCTTCAAGTCACCATGAATGATTCCAACGTCATGAATGCATTCTAGCACCTTCATGAGCTCGACAGCGAAATACATGCACAGCAGTTCATCTAGAGGCCCACCATTTCGCTCTTTCTCCAGATTGATCAGATCCAATATCGTACCTTGGCTGGCATAATGCAAAACCAGGTAGCTCTCATCCTCAAAACAATGCAGGGAATCCACATTTATTATGGAGGACAAAACGGGCTGTCCGTTAAGCCTCTTTTGAACTTGTCTCAAGATATAGAATTCCCAAATGCTGGCGGGTTTCTCCACCTTCAGCGCCTTCAATGATCCTGTGCTAGATTCTGCTAGATACACAGTAGCATACCCACCTTCCCCAAGCTGCGACCTGATACAGTATAAATCGTTTGTTTTTTTGAAGTCAACAATCGGGTTCTTGTTTGCGTTCTTGGAAACGGTGTGGATTTTGCGAAGCAGTGCACTCATTTTGAGTGGTTGGTTGTACTGGTAAAATGTCTTATAGCTTGAAAGTGGCGGGTTTACACTTTGCAGCAACAAATGCCTATTATTATCACTTAATGGGTTGCTTATCACGATTGGGAGGGCCGTCATTTCGTCGCCACCGCTTTGAGGTTGTGTCAGAAAAGGTGAGCTTTCAGCTGTATTTGCCACAAGTGCATCATTTTTGTTGTCCGTTACAGCTCCGTTGAGTTGATCAAAAGCTAGATTGACATTGAATTTAGATTCAGTCTTCTCCTGAATGGGGGTCATGTACTCCTGGAGTTTACTTTTGTAAGTGGGAGTGATGTTCTCTTTGTAAACGTTGGGTTCAGAACAAGAAGACTGATCTTTACCAGGCGTCTTTTCACCATGTTCCGACCGTATATTCGATTTGATTTCGGTCAAGTCGTCTATATGTTTACGCGTGAAGTCCTGAGTAAAGTTCTCAAACATCGCGAATTTGCTTGCAGTGTCATCATTATCTAGAGTAGATTGCGGAAGCGAAAAGTTTTGATTGAACATGGAATACACTTCGTTGATCGCATTCTTTGAGAAAAACGTTACAGTGGGAGACGCCGGTTGGTTTTTCTTTGAAGCACCTGGAGTCTCGCTGGCGTCGTCTTTTAAAGGTAGAATAGACGTTCTTTCGATCGTTCGATAGCCTTGTGCAATGTGCTCTTCCACTGAGTTTTGAGGCTCCTGAAAAACAGGCACAGATGTAAATGATGAGGGCGTTTTTTCACGTAAGGGAATCTTCAGTTTTTTCGTTTCCCTTCTATGCTGGTCGTGGTTATCAGTTTCCGCCGTGGGCGGCCTTTTGGACTTATTCACTTTATAATACACGTTACGAGACATTGCTAGTCTCTCTTCAATGCAAAACTCTTCATCTTTCGTTGGATATATCAAATCGAAATTGCAGTCTATTTGTTCTGGCTTCCGACCGGGTGTTTCTAACATTTTGTAAATGGGCCCGGTTCTCCCTATTGAATCTTTGAAAACGGCCAACCTGGATGTGGAAGTCCTTGTTGGTTCTTCCTGCTTTAGAGATCCGATATTTGATCCCGACGTGAGAAGTTGCTTGCTCATTTCATTTTCTTTATTCCGTTGGTGTTTGGAGTCAAAGTAATCCCATCCTTCTACTCGCAGGTCGTTGTTTGATTCCACTTCATTTAAATCTTTGAATATCTCGTGTTTGAAAGAAGACGATCGTGGCAGTGGAACGTTTCTTTGATCGCCTTCTTGGATTTCAGCTCTATGTTTACCAAGAACGCTGGAAAAGAGATCGCCATCCAAGATGCTTTCGCCACCATGAACTTCTTGAATCTCAATTTTGGAGTTGTGCATAAGTTCATCAAATTCTTGAAACGTTCTTCGCAGTCTTGCAAGTGGTCTAGCGTTATTTTCGATACCCTTTTTCAAAATGTCTCTTGCCTGGGAATACTGTTTCTGGTGCTGCAGAAAAGCACTCAAGCTCTCGTAGAACACCGCCAAAGAAGACCCAATTTGTTTGCGCGTCATGTAAACGTAAAGTGTCTGCCTTTCCAAGGCAGAACCCGCAAAAAGCTCCAAATAACTCATCCATAACTTCACGTAACGAGGATCATTTTTGTAGGTTGCAAAATCGCGGAAATACATAAGACACCGTTCCAGCACCTCCAACATACCGCTTTGTTTCGATTGGCCACCTTGTGGATACGCATTGTTGATCCATGTAATGTACTGCAGGAAAAGTTCCAAAGGGTCATCCAAATCTTCCAAATCCTGCAAAAGTCGTTTTTCGAACTCCAAACGTTGCTTGACAATCCCATCCGCATTACCGTTATCCATATTAGTCGCCTTTTGACCTAGGTTCTTCGAGAGGGCCAATGCTGATCTTCCTGATCGCAGAGGGATGATATTCTCTTTTTCGCCTTCTAAAACATCAAATTCAACCGGGATTTCTCCCAAAGTTGGCATGCTATTGCTCAATTATTACGCAAAAGCAAACAATAGCTTTTTATGTGAGTTAAACGGTCCTTTTCGGTCTCAAATAGTTGTTTAAGTTCCTTGAATCTCATGTTTTTGTTTGAATATTCTGTCAGTTATGATAATTAAACTACAATATATACATGAAAGCTACCACAACCGAGAGCTACAGTGTGTCATGGGACATTTGAAGACTCAGAGGATTCCAATTGATCTTAAAGATATTATTTAATTGTTGATTAGTATTTGGTTTACAATGCTAGCGCGGTGGCAGCTTGTTTTGAAGATTTGTGGGACTGTAAAGACATCAGTAGTCTGCCCACTTGCAGTAAAAACTGAAAAGTGTTGATAATACCAGGAAACCGCACACCAATGGGGGTCCAATCTTATCCTGGTAGTCGACAGCATGCTTCATACGGATGTTGACGACTCTTTTGCAATAGACGTAACCATTGTAGATGATGGTGACCAGAGCAGTAAGGAAAAATCCGACAGAAGCAACCATCGTGGCATCAGTACCGTAGTTGAGCATGGAAATGGCCACAGCGTTTAGGGTCAGTCCGATAGACAACCAGGATAAAAAGGTTCTTTCCGTGGCAAAATATACTTTGGGCTCGACTCTCACGGGCACGCAGATGGTCTTGCCTGGAGGAGCAGAAACCTGGGTGTCGAAAACTGTGCCTTCGGGCACTTTGGTGATCTGATCGCCGTGCAGATAGTGGTCCATAGCTGCGTAGGCCTGACGGTACACACGTAATATTGGGTTGGAGGAAGTTTGGGGGGTCTTGCGTGCAGCATTAGGCCTAGTTCCAGCATGTGGCGCAGTGTGGTCAGCGCCCGCAATGGCGCCGTAGCCCACGCTTTCTTCCACATCAAGCAAGTTACCGTTAGGATGCGACTGGCTCTCGTAAATGTCATCGTCGGAATCGTTTTCGTCACGACCAGGTCTGCTGATGTTGATATGAGTTGGGATAGCGGGCTTTCTGATATCCACATCCATCTGCGGTAGCCAGAACGGAATTGAGTCAGTTTTATCGCCCAACAATGAAGCCACACCGTGAATGAACTTGGAGAACTTGGGGACGGGTTCTACCAAGTGAGATCCGACCAATTCACGAACCCAAGCAGGTGGTTCCTGGCCCAATTGGGTCTGCAGCTTGACTTCCAGGACGGCATAAGGGAATCTGCAAACATCCTTTTCGGGCAATTGCGAGAATGGCCAATCAACGCCGATATCCATACGTCTCCAATTGTTGTTGGTTCTGTTATGACCATCAAAGTTGTCTTCTCTAACCATGGTCAATTCTGTATCTAACGAAATACGCACACGGGCGTCACCAGGAAGCTGGAAAGCGGTTCTGTTGTAGAAAGAACGCACAACAGGCCGCAATTTCTTCTTCAACATAGTGTATTGGACTTCAGTGGCCAAAGCCTCCAAGTTTTCGATTTCTTTCAAACTCTTCTTACCGTCTTTGCGCATTTTGGCAAACGCTTGTTCCACAGTGTACTTACCGTGCAAGAACTCGTTGATGTAACGCTCTTTCAACGCAAATCTGGCCTTCACGGACTTTTCACCTGTCCAGTCTTCTCTGTGAGTTTTCCGCTCGACAAAAATCGTGTCAGAACCCATTCCTCCGTACCATCTTAGACGGTGAGCCTCGGCGCCTTCATCTTTTCTTAGACGACCATAGTATAGATCCAAATCCTCATTATCGTAGTAGATGGAAGTGATGGCAGAGTCCTCAGCTTCAAACTCTTTGTTGCTGTTGAACACCAAAACGGGCAAATGCTTCAAGATAATCAGTTTGAGCTCTGTGATATTGTCCGGGTGGACCCAGTATTTGGTGGTCTGCCTAACGAAATTTTGCTGTTTACCACCCGAGGCGGCGTCACCTCTGATTGGGTTTCCACGGGTTCTGACCAAATCGTAGAGTTGCGAGATTTTCACCACTAAATCGTCGTAATTTTCTTTGAAAAATGGCTTAGAGTCCAAACGAACTTGGAAAACAGGTCTCAAAATGAATTTGGTCTTTTTGTCGTGTTTTTTGATGATTTTCTGGAACCCGGTGTAGTTGAGTCTTGAGAACTTGGCGAGGTCGTGCACATCGGCGATAATGTCCGATAGCTCTTCTTCCAGAATCTCGAAGTCCAGCTCCGATGGGGGCACATTCGAGTCCAAAGCCCGCACAGTCGAGTGTACTTGTTCCTGAGCCTCTTTGACTCTTCTTACGACCTCGTTGTGCTTGACTTTGCAAAAAGTGTAAACTTTGTCCAATTCCAGTTCCAAGGATTCCAAAAACTGCGTTTCCAACGTCTCACTCCATACTTGACCGTTTGACTCCAAATTTTCTTCCAGATCGTTTTTGAGATCGTCGTAACAGATGTAGTAGTAGCTGTATTCTCTGATAAGCGCCCTATTGAGCTGTTCTCCGAACTTCATCTTGACCCGATTGTCTTATTTAAAAATTCCAATGTCTTGGCAAAAAGGCCGAGCTTAAAATTGACCAAAAAAAGACGCCGAAAGTTCTTGAACCGCACTATTTCGCAAGCCAAATCCAACTACGGTGTCTAAAAAGGGCTGGCAGACGACACTAAACCGTTAAATAACAAATAGGATTCGTTTGGGATGGACTCTTTTGATGTAGACGCTTTCAAAACTCTCTTCCTTTTATAGTTAGATGCAGAGAGGGCCATTTTTGAAATTAATATATCTATTGGCTTATTATATTAGACGATAGCACGAGGCACGTGCGGTAAAAATCGTATCACGTGTGTGGATAAAGAGCACGTGACATCTTAAAAGTTCCAAGAAAACAACGACACGATACGATAGTCAGGGTCTTGGGATTGGATGTGAGCTTTGAAAGGTCTATGGAAGCTTCAAATCGTTTCAAGGGATTTTCATGATTGTGCTGCGGCCCAGAAGGCCGAAATATGCATGTATAGCAACGTATGTGTGTGCTGCAATGCAATGACGGTCGAACGCAGGGGCTGTCGAGTGCAGTGAGCTTTTTAATCGGAAAGCTCCCTGGCTCAGTAGTTTGTTTCGATGCCAATTCTCATTGATAGTGCCAGGATCATGACGTGCGCCTGCAATGTCTAACCCAGTATCACTCTGAACGTACTGTCGCGAAACATAAACACCCACACGCTTGCTCCCAAATGGTGCAATCCTATCTGAAATTCTTCCCTCCAAAATCAGCAGCACTCCTGGATCGCACCTATAATTCTTTCAGTTTCTTCCGGGGTGAATCGCGAATCGCATTCTTCCACTATCGAGTACAAATGCACCAGATTCAACGGCATCTGGTTCACGATCTGCAACTTCTCGGCTTTGAACAGCGAGAATTCATTTAGCACGCCCATTAGCGCGGAAAACTTTGTATCGTTGAGTCTCGTTAGAGGGGACTTGGCTTCCTTTTTCGCACCTTCTTCTTCCGTACCATCGCCATCACCAGTCCCTTTTGCCTCCGAAAGATATCGGATTGTGTCTCTCGTGATCGCTTGTAATTCTGGATGGTTATACGGTCTACGCTTACGTTTTTTGTCGGTCATGTCCACATCATCGCTGTTAGAACTCCAGTCGTGTCTGCGTTCTAACTGCGCCAAAAACTGCAAAACTTCGTAATCACTTATGAATGCGTCTCGTACCGTGTCGATTTTCATGATGATTGTGAAGCTAGAATACCTGTAGATCAGTTTCTTGCCGTTTTTATCAGCGATCTGTAGTGCGATGCTCATCGCTAACCAATCTAGAAAATATTCAATGTGTACGAAATTGACGATAGTCAGAAGATCGTTGCTTTCCCACTATACTAAAATTGACTTACTAAAATTTCAATAAATAAGGGCCTTGTTGGCGCAATCGGTAGCGCGTATGACTCTTAATCATAAGGTTAGGGGTTCGAGCCCCCTACAGGGCTTATTTTTTGGAATTTTGATATTATGATGAAGGAACGTCAGTTAAAAGTTAAAGTTCGGATATGAAACATATACTTTAGGAAGAGTACCCGTCGTTGCTTGAGCCCACGAAAAATGTCAATGATGAAGATGCATATGCTTATTTGACAATGGCTTTCGCTGTTGATTTTTTGATGTATTTGCTTATGTATGAAAGGTTTCGAGTGACAGAAATAACTTCATCAGCATTTTGATTTGTTCGAAGCGCTCGAAACATGCTTTGTCCTGTAAGTAAATAGAATCACTTGAGCTTTGTTGAAATACGCGGTATCAGTAGCAATTGTATCCCAGTCTTCTAAAAAATCTGCTTGACCCTGGTTCAAAGTTATGATACGTGGAAATGCTATGTTATTCAAGTATCCATATACCTATATGCAAAGAGGGGTTTGATTATATTAGGAATGCGACAGCTGCAAAGAGAGCTGGTAGACTCATTTTCATAGCGTATGCTCCATTGGTCGTGTTTACGCGAACAGAATAAGAGCTACTAGCAGACGAAACAGTTGAGGTCGAGTTGGCAGAAGATTTGGATCCTGCAGCAGATGAAGTCACAGCAGCGGCTTCAGCAGAAGTAGTCAAACTCTGTGGTTTGATGGAAGCGCTTGCAGACTTTGAAATTGCAGAAGCAGACTCTGAAGATCCAGAGCTGACAGAGCTGACAGAGACAGTGGATGGGGAGAGGATGGAGGTGGAGTTTGAAAGAGTGCTGTAAGGAGCGCTAGAAGAGACAGTCGAGTTAGCACTGGAGAAAGCGCTAGAGGAAGCACTGGAGGAAGCACTGGAGGAAGCACTGGAGGAAGCACTGGTGGAAGCACTGGTGGAAGCGCTAGAGCTGGCACTAGAGCTGGCACTAGAAGAAGCACTAGAGCTGGCACTTGAGGCAGAGCTCGAGCTGCTAATGGCCTGACCATTGGTCAAAGACGAGAAATCATTCTGTGCCTCTTGGTATCTGCCGTAAACTTCACCGTTCTTGGCCTCAATAGATTCCCAGCTTCCGGATTGGCCGTTGTAAGAGTATTGCTCACCAGTTGAGTAGTCGGTGATGACCACACGTTTGATGTACATGGTGAAAGGTGCCTTGGTGTAGTCAGTGAGACCTCCAGCCCACTCAATGGTACCTGGCTGGTTGTCAGGATCACCACCGGCCCAGCAGCCCATCATGACGTACATAGGGGATTGTGGGTAGCCCTCGCTAGAATCGTTTGTCAATGTTCTCACGGGAGCGCCATCTAGGTACCAAACGGTCTTGTCCATGGCCCAGTCGACTGTGTAGTTGTGGAATTTTTCTTGTGGGGCGTCCACGCCGTGGAAGGCGCCTCTGTCCCACGTTGTTGTGTCACCTTTGGAGAAATAGTTGGATTGGAACTGTGTGGTGTCACCTCCGGTCCATTCCAAATCGATTTCGTCCAGATCGTCACTTTGCAGGTAAAAAGACGAAATGATACCTTGGCCTGCAGCGGCTTTGAATTCGACCTCGACCTTACCGAACATCAGGTAGAAGTTCGATCTGAGACTGGGGTTGTCGAAACGCTTGTTGATGGTCATAGCCATGCCTTCATCGGTGTAATTGATTTGGCCTGTGGCATATTGCAGCTTGTGGAAATGCTCGGATTCAGAGGTGAACGATTCGGCAAAAGAGGATCCCAAAGCTGGGTCTGGCGAGCATCCAGATGTCTTAATTGGGTTGCAACTGGCGGCAGTGCTAGAGGACTCTGCAAGAGCCGAGGCTGCTGAAAGTGCTAGCAGAACGCTTTTCAAAAAGGCCATTATTTCGCTAATTAATGGGTAGTAGACAGCGAAGCTTAAAGAAAAACCTAGGTACTGGGAAAAGGAAGAGGAAATGGGATCATCAAAACTGCTTGCATTGGGATGTTACTTTCATCAATATATATACACTGTTTTGATCACTCCATGCAAAACCCAGCATCGCGAATTTTTTTCGCTGTCTCACCTACCGTTCGTGTCCATGGCACCAATTTCGTGACGGAGTTACTGGTAGCGCGCGAACTGTATGAAGTGAAGGGCGGGTATTAGGAGATGGATTAATTATAGAAGCGTTTCGTGGTTATGGCTAGAGATGACCGCAGTGGGAATGCTACATTTTACCGTGTCCCTGTCTCGAGATGAGATTCAACCAGCCTTCGAGGATATCTTGCCGAATCGGGTAATGTATTTGCCTGCGTTGGGTGCGAAAAGAATTCCCAATGCGGAAACCGGATCTCCTAAACAGGCAATAAATGCATACGACGTACAATTTCGCGACAAGGCTGGTGTCAACGGTGTATTTTTAGAATCCAAAAAATTAATTTTTTAAAAATGAAACGGACAGGAATTGAACCTGCAACCCTTCGATTGCAATTTTCCGTATAAACCAGAATTTAACTGGAGTCGAAAGCTCTACCATTGAGCCACCGCTTCATTTCGTGAAATAAGAGGAAGAAAAACTGAGCTATACCTAAAGCTGTTGGTCAGATGACTGCTAGGTGAATAGTGGTTTGCAATGGGGGCGAAGAGCTATGGAAAAGGTTCAGAGATTGGTGTTCGTACCTTGGTGAAAGGAAGTTTGGCTTGCTGGTGAGTGTTCGGGATTCAAGAGTTGAAACAAGTTTGGCCTGTTGATTTATTGGTTTCGGGTGCCAGCTACTTAGGTTTCAGCCAGCAAGTAGAGGAATGTGTAGATAATCGACTGGAGGTTCGGACTTTGAGCAACTGAGACCACTAGCGCAACTGGCTTTGAAGAGTTTACAATAGCTTTTTACTTTACAGACAGGGTATTTAGAGACTTTTATTCCCAGCATATGCATATTCCCTTTTTCTGAGCTGCTACCAAAACTTCAGAACGATAGCTCTTCTTTCATCACACGTAATCTCACCATCGCACGCATATAAATGCAGATTTCCATCTTGCTATCACTAAACCGTAGCTTCTACTACATTCAACACACCCCTCAATTCATCCAAATTACAGGCTTAACTTCATCGGCAACTATCCTGTTTCCTCGCACCAGGGTCTCTTTACCTATACCAATAGAGTTCCTGGTGACGCTAATATTACCTAGTTTTCACTACATTGAAAAATCAAGCAGGCCATCGGACGACCGTAAAAGCTTGAAAAACTACGCATTAAGGGGGAGAAAGGCCCTGTCACTCATATCCCAGGCTGCAAACGAGCTATGGCTCCGGCTTTGATTTATAAATCCGGCTCAAGAGGGCTCAAAAACGGACTTTTGCGAAGTTTGGCCATCACTTTTGGACCAGCCGCTAATATCACCATTGAGGAACAAGACGGCGCAACAGAGCCATCCAGCGCACCAGATCTTATAGCTCGGCTCTCAAACAAGGATCGTGGGTATGACGCTCGAAAGGACACTGCAACCGAAATTTTGGACGTCATTAAGGACTTCCCAGCGGAGTCTGTTCTTAAGGTTTGGAATGGGGCAAATGACCTTGTGGAAAGAAATGTGTCTCACGACGTTCGTGAAGTAGCTTTGAAGCTTTTGCGCTCCTGTTTAGAGCGTCTTGCACCAAATATGAACGGTACGTTGGTGTTGGCGTTTTATCACAGTTTGATGAGCTCCAACTTCTGGGAATGTGAAGAAACAGAAGCAGAACTCAATGTTTTTGTCGATTGTCTTTCCATTCTGACTAGCGGAGGTACGAAACTATATTCACTTCTTACACCCCAGGGCGATGTTAGTGGGTTGGGCGAGTTTTTGAAGAATACTTTAGCTCGTCTAGCGACAAGAGATCTGTACGGACCGGCGACCACCACCAAAATTCTGGAGTTTGTGTCAAAATGCCTAGAAAGTGGTGTTTCCCTAGGTACAGACTCACTGGAACAAATCGCGCAAATAGCTAATAAGTCCTCACAGGACGATGTGCGACGAGCTTCTTTACAAGGCCTCGCTATCGGTACGCATAATATTCCAGTAGGTTCTAAGGATTTGGTTTCTAGAGAGGTAACTTTACTAGTGGAACTACAGGGTCGCGAGGATCATGTAAGAGAGTCACTCGAACCGACATTAAACCTTCTTTTCCTTGGACGCAATGCACACGATTTACTTAGGGCGTTTCTGCAATTTAACCATACCAACAATAACCGAGTTGGATATTTCGTTTTGCTCATAGAGCTTCTGACTGATAAGCAATTCAAACAGTTATGGAACCACCATGAAGCACCGGCGGAAACTGTGGGCCAGCTTCTGACTGTGCTTATGAACTCTCTGTATGAGCATAAAGACAGCATCGAGCACGTAAGCTTCTTATTGTTAGGAGCGCTCATGCATCTTCTACAATCTGATGATTTTTTAACGTACATGAAGAATTACTCATCGTTCTGGAGTCATACTGTTCCAAACCAAGCCGATGGCGGAGTTTTCAGATTATTGAGATCGATACTGAAGACTGAAGATTTGAGCAATCCTAGCAAAAGACGCATTCATTCAATTTTTGAAAGGTTGGTTAAATTATTGGCTACCAACAAGAAGCTGTACTTGGGCTACAACGACTTGTCACGAGCGATATCTTTCTTGTTCGATTACTGCGACTTACTGGACGTTGCGCTGGCCGGACAATTCCTTGAGTTTCTAGATCAAAACATAGAAGAAGCAGTTAAATGCGAACTGTTCTTTACTGCTGTTATTTCCAAGTTTTATGAACCTCACAATTTGTCGGCAATAAGATGTCAGGTTCTGGTGCTTATCAGAAAAGCTGCTAAAGAAGCCTTCCATCAAGACGAAAATACTAAGAATCGATCCGTCCAGGTTTTACAGCAGCTGCTTTCTACTTTGGAGACAGAAGAGAATGAAAACGTTGTGGTCAACTTGATAGATCTTTATTCAAGTACCTGCAAATTCTTACCGGCTTACATCGTTGAACTTTTTAACGATAAAATAATGAACCCGGTTTTCACGGTAGGCTCCAGTAGGAGACGTTCCAGCGGTATTCATTTCCCACTAAGTTCCCCTTCAGGCTCGAAATGGCCGCGTAATAAACAATTATTACTTGCGCAGGCTTCAGCAGACTTGGCAACGTGGAGCATTGCATGCAGTCCAACCGACCTATTCGCATGCTTTTACCGCATTCTAATTCAGGCTGTTGAATATGCTTATCGAATGGAAGATACCGACTTATATCTCATTCCTGCAAAAGTCTTGACAAAGATTCAGTGTCGTGGTGTTGATGACGTCGTAATGGCAGAGGTCATAGAAATCGAGGGTATCTCTACAGCTTTAGGAAAAAACTCCAAATTTGGTGCATTCTGCGAAGATTCAAAGTGGTCGTTTCCAGAGGACATATACTATCTGCATGAAGCACAACAGAAATGCTTTACCCAAAATGCTGTGCTTCCAAAGTTTGAAAGAGAGGAAACAGTATTGAGATCGTCAAAAATAAACATACGATTGTGGCTATCAGTTGCCATTCTTACATTAGAGAAACCTTTCGACTGGGAAGTGTACTCATACGTTCTGGCATACATGTGCCCCCAATTTGCAAATTTGATATCACTGAGGGCTATTGACGATATGGCAAGACGTTATCAAGAGGTAATCTGTAATAACCTTAAACATGGTGTGGGTCGAAAAGTGAAAATTCCTAAATCTCTGTATACTGACGATCTGCATGTCGCGTATATCAGAAGCCTTTCTTCAATTCTAGGGTATCACCGATTTGCGCCCAAAAGTTTCGCAGATGAAATTACGGACTCGTTGCATCATGGAATGCAAGCCACTGAAAAAACTTTAACTCCTTCTTTGAACCTTCTTACTATCTGTTCACATGAAATTCCGGCTTCATTGAAGCGCTTTTTAACCCCGATTCTCGTCCAACTCCAGACAAGAATCACTAGTCCCTTCAGTACACCTGCAATTTTGGAGTTCCTTTTGGCTTTGTCGGACACGCCAACCATTATTTCTCATTTGACACTTGACGAGTTCAAACGAGTGTTTGCCATTGCATTCAAACTTATTGAAAGCTCGAAAGATTTGAAAAAGAGGGCGCAAATCAAAAACGTTGAACAGAACATATCATACGCTGAACAGGACGCGGAATTCTCGCCTTCTAGTTTATCGTTCACTATAACACCGTCTGTGGCACATTTCTTCCTAACGTTGGCCTATAAGGTCATTTCGAACTGGTATTTGAGGATGAGTTTACCCAATCGAACGGAGCTGGCTCCGTTCGTAGTGAAAAACTTGAAATCAATCATCGCCGATGGTGACGGATTTGATTTTGACGCATATGCTTATTTGGATCTAGTGGCACGTTTCACTACATCCCGCAACGATGCTACGCTATATTCAAGAGCGATCAACGAAAGATCTCATGAAGAAGATGATAAATTCAGTTTCGGTACTTGGATTGTGCATAATAAAATCTTAGCGATTGAGACTCATAAACAGACGGGTGACTCTATCGTAACAATAAGAAGCAGCTCTGGAGCTGAAACAGTCGAATCACGATTGGTTCGCTCTGACATCCCAACTACCTACGACATTTTTTCTATCGGGCCTGAGGATGCGATAGAAACCGGACACGCAGACTCGGAGGAATCTTTGTTTACTGCTGGGTATACTCTGATGCGCCTTAGCTCATTTACCGAAGCACCGCTGAGGGTGCCTGACACCGGGCCGATTGCCAGATCAATCCAGCTCTTTGACAGAATTCCCTACAGAGATTTTCACAAGATAGGTTTATTGTACGTGGGACCTCAACAGTGCGAGGAATCTGAAATCCTCGCTAATACGTCTGGCTCGTTGCAGTACAAAACTTTTTTGTCAAGATTGGGCCAGCTTATAAAGCTTGACGCCTCTAATAATATTTATTTGGGAGGTTTAGAGCCCGAGACGGACGGCCGTTATGCCTTGGTTTGGGGGGATGAAAAAACTCAGTTGGTATTCCACACAATTACACTGATGCCCAACAGTCCAAACGATGAACAATTTTCTTTGAAGAAGAGACATGTGGGCAACGATTTCGTGAGCATTTTCTATGATGAGTCTGGTCGTCCGGGGTTTGATTTCAATATCATCAAGAGTCAGTTCAACTTCATCAACATCGTGATCAACCCTCTTGGAGAGGGCCAAAGCGAATTGTTCAAAGTTCGCATGTACAGGAAATCTGGTGTTCCTGCTTTCTTCTCTACGTCACATTTCAAAATAATGACCTCTTTGAATTTGGCTAAATACATCCGCCAAGTATCCATTATAGCTGACACATTTGCTGCAAACTGGTTTGCGGCAACTGCTCCTGAGGTTTGCACTACCTGGGCCCGGAGAGCTCAATATTTGCAAGGAATAAGAGAAAAACTAGGCGATACTGATGGTCCGCAGCGATTCACCCAAGATTTCCTTGATTTTACGAAGTACGTATAGTTGGCCGGTTGTCAAAACGGCGTGACAGTGTTATTCGAGAGTGATATTCGAGGTATGGGCTACAATAGACTAATTTAACGGAAATGAGTACAGCCTCACCGGCTGAAATTGAATGTAAAGAAAGAACAGGATATGGAAAGCGGTTACCTCTGAATCGTAAGCTTTGTTCATGGAGAGTTGCAGCTTGAATCAAAGAACACGTGATTATTTCTCACCCCGTGACCTTATAACTTTGAATCACAAGATACGAAACGAATAAATGAATTATATGTAGAGTGAATATCTGTTTCAGCGGCTAAACAGAAACTTGGCAAGAACAAACAGCTTTGAACGAGCGGAAAATGGCTTAGAAGTGTGTGCTTTGGTGAATTATTCATCAGTTATAAACATGCTCCAAGTGTGAATGCGTGTTCTATGCGTTTTAAGCCGTTTTCAGCGCAGAAATTGATTCAATAATGGTAAAAGGAGCTGATGGTGTTGTTTGCCTATAAGGAATAGGAATCGGGGCCGAGACAATAGTTTAAATTGAATCTCAAAGCTGTGAAGGTCCTGAAAACCTGGGAAATATGGCATAAGAACCCTTTATCAAGAAATCGCAGAATTAAAATAGGACTGAATATACCCCTATCGAGACACGTAAAGCAAGACCTTTGAAAACTTGGCTCAACGGGATCAGGACGGGACTGATATACAAGGGTCCAGTCATTTCAGGCGAAGACCTCAAAAAGCTTGTCATTCCTCAACCCTCAAGAACCTACTGGCAAACTTGTGTTCCATGTCCGTGGGGGTTTAAAGGCATTTTGATGAAGGATGTAATACCCAGGTGCACAAGATGCTAGAACGGTAAAGTGGTTTTAAAGCAAAAAGTAGTGAGGCGGTGATTTTGACAAATAGGATGAGATCGTTGCATATGGTTCCGAGCTTTTGGCAAGAGAGACAAGTTGTTTTCCAAAACTCGTCTGCGAGAGAAAAGCTGTTTCTAATTTCAGTTATTGAAGCCAGCATAAGGCTACTGAGATGCTATCTGTAACCCTTGACGAGCTCAAAATACATTCCTTAATGCTCGTCAATGCTGCTTCTTTTCCAATTAAGCCAAATGCGTTTTGAGCTAAGAAGTATATTCGAAAAATGCTGCGACGAACTTACCACTCTCATCCGCAACCGGTCCAGCACGACGCTAACTCTGACTTGTTTTATCTCAACAATACCTAATGACATTCCGGAAAGTCCTCAGTTTCGCTGCCTCCAGCTTTGCTGCTTCCAGTTCACCCAAGACCTCCCACCATTCACCCATTTCACCACTCTTTGGGCTTGTCAAGACGGCTATCCACCTCATCTATTCACCTTAGACGCCCAACATGTGACTGTTGATCGCTGTGAATACCTTTCCAAATGTGAGTGAGTACCTTCAATTCAAAGAAAGTATAAAAAATTTTCTTTTAAAGAGAGCTAAGAAAGCTAGAATCTAGCCAAAGATCGTGGGAATAATCGAGTCATTCAAGAGCAATTGAAACAACTATTAACGTGGCGGTTTATTTCGAGCATTAAAGAGCGGAAAACACGAGTTTTTAGCTTTCAAACAAGACCAAAGACGCCGGGAATTAACTAAAGATATTCAACCTTTGAAGCTGAATTTTTGACAAGATGTCGACATCCAATTGCCGTTTTTACGAGAACAAATACCCAGAAGTGGACGATGTGGTGATGGTGAATGTGCAGCAAATCGCAGAAATGGGTGCGTACGTCAAACTACTGGAATACGACAACATCGAAGGTATGGTACTGCTGAGTGAACTTTCAAGAAGACGTATCAGATCGATCCAGAAACTGATCCGTGTGGGTAGAAACGAGGTTGTGGTCGTTCTGCGTGTAGACAAGGAAAAGGGTTACATCGATTTGTCCAAACGTCGTGTTTCGTCCGAAGACATCATCAAGTGTGAAGAACGCTACCAAAAATCCAAAGCCGTCCATTCTATCGTCAGACATTGTGCTGAAAAGTTCAATTTCCCCGTGGAACAGCTGTACCAGACCGTGGCATGGCCCTTGAGTCGAAAGTACGGCCATGCTTACGACGCCTTCAAGCTCTCTATCGTCGACGAAACCGTGTTCGAGGGCCTTGAACCCCCCAGCCCAGAGATTTTCCAGGAACTACGTTTGTACATCTCGCGTAGACTAACCCCACAGGCCGTCAAGATCCGTGCTGACATCGAAGTGTCGTGTTTCAGCTACGAAGGTATTGATGCCATCAAATCGGCTCTTCGCGCCGCAGAGGACCTATCCACAGAACAGATGCAGATCCGCGTGAAATTGGTCGCTGCTCCACTATACGTGTTGACCACCCAGGCTCTTGAGAAACAGCAAGGTATCGAGCTACTTGAGCAAGCGATTGCCAAGATCGCAGAAGTGATTTCCGTCAACGACGGTTTCTGCAACACCACCATGGCACCCAAGGCAGTCACTGCCACTGAAGATGCCGAACTACAGGCCCTATTGGAAAACAAAGCCCTCGAAGACAACTCCGACTCCGAGGAAGACGAGTCGGACCACGAGTAAGGTTCATTCTCTTTCCGAAAACTCGAATTTTTTAACAAATTGCATCCTAACTCGCTTTACAGGCTCTCTCTCGTGCTCACATTTACCTCGAAGCTGCCTTACGACCCGGCGCTTCTTTTGCACATACTGCGGAGTCTACAGGTCACTGTTTCTCCTTGTCTTTGCCTTGATTTCTACTGTGCCCTTTTAATCTGGCGGTGCTATATGAAATTGTATATAAAGTATAAAAGGGCTCTTACTGTACAGCATCGATCAACTTTAAGGAAAACTGAAGCAGGAGTCATAGCCTTAATAACTAACATTTAAACGCAGTTCAATCTTCTTGATCGAGACCTGTTTGCCATGAATATTCGTCCAGCGACCCACAGTGGTTCCTGGTACAGCTCTGATGCGGAGAAACTATCTTCACAACTCTTGCAGTTTTTGGGCTCCAACGATGTGGTCAGTGGTGCCAGAGTGGTTATATCGCCACATGCTGGCTATACGTATTGTGGTAGCACGATGGGCAAAGCTTACGGGGCTTTGGACTTGTTTGGAGTGAAACGAATCTTTATCTTGGGCCCATCGCACCATATATACTTCAAAAATAAGGGATTGTTGAGTGGATTTAGTGAATTGTCAACGCCAGCCGGGTCTCTAGTTGTAGATACGGCTACTGTGAGTGCCCTGGTACAGCAACATGAGGGATTTGAATTGATGGATCCTGAAGTTGACTGCGATGAGCATTCATTGGAAATGCAGTATCCCATGTTACACGCAACTTTGCAGAAACGTAAAATTGATCCGAAAAGCGTCACGGTGGTGCCCATCATGGTATCTCACAACTCGGCTCGTGTGGACTATCGATTGGGCAAAATTTTGAGCGAATTCGTCAAGGATCCAACTAATGCGTTTATCGTGAGCTCTGATTTCTGCCATTGGGGACGTCGTTTCAACTTTACCGGCTACGTAGGTGACGTCAACGAAGTTCAAGAGGCCCTGGCGGAAGACACAGAGATTGAATCGCTCACGGCTCGGAGTAAGCTATCGCACCATCAGGTACCTATCTGGAAGAGCATCGAGATCTTGGACAAGTTTGCAATGTCCATTTTATCGCAAGAGAAACCGCACGACAAATACGACCTATGGAAGCACTACTTAGAGGTGACAGGAAACACAGTATGTGGTGAAAAGCCTATCGGTGTAATGTTATGCGCACTGAGCCAGGACAAAAGTTCCAAGGTCCAATTCGAATGGCCTGGTTATTCACAGTCGAGTCAAGTAAGCAGCGTGATGGATTCGAGCGTGAGCTACGGTGCAGGATACTGCAGAATTTAATGGGTATTACCGGGTAGTCTACATATGTGCAAAAAGGAATTTGAATAACAATGCTGATGGAAAATTGATGGTGTAATGACGGCCTGTAGTTCAGCGGCTTGTGAGATAATTCGGGCCCAGCGTAGCGCAAAAAACCGCTCTTGGCTTTCTTTTTAGTGATGCGATGACCTCGAGAAAAGAATACACACAGACCGGGTGGAGGGTGTGGATCATGCCTTCGCACTCTCATTGATGTTGCAAAGGTACCTTTAAAATGAAGTGAAATGTTGAGAGGACAGCTATGGTGCATGTGCTGGGAGGGCGGGAGGAGTGCTGTTGACAATGTTACTGGGAGTGCGTATGGCATGAAATACATTTGATGAATCGTTGAAAGAAGACGAAATGCACAGTGGAATGATGGCGAATGGTATCTTGGATGTGAAGAGAGATAGCTGCAGGAAGATTTAGTCTTTGGTCAACTTAGAAACTATGGGAAGAGAGAACGGTAGAAAAATAGTGATTAGGAAAGGCAAGTGAGCTGAGCTAGTTGTTTGTTGCTATAGGGATAAACAGTATTCAGACGAATGGTACAGCTTTATCGCAGCATGAGAAAAGAATTAGAATCAAGATTTGGGACCATCGTGGGTACAATAGGAAAGCTGTTGCGGCTAAGAAATATCCCAGTGTGTCTCGCAATTACATTGTAACAAACCGTAATTCCGGCTCATAAATGGGAGAGTAAAACTAAAGGGAAGAAAGGCGGCACTGCCCTTAAAGAGATACATCGTCGGGACGAGAGTTATCGATGAGCGCAGCTTTCAAAGTAGAGCCAGAAACTGGATTGTATGGATCGCTAAGATTTCTCGTCCACGTGACCTGGCGCGCGCCAGGCTTACTACAAAGTGACAGAAATGCAAGATCACCTTTTTCTGAAGCAAGAGAAGTCAGGAGGCATCCATGCAATTTTCAATGGCATAAGAATTGAACTGTCCATGACGGCAGCTGTGCGAAGCCATTGGTCACTATTTGTCAGTTCTCTACGAGATACGTACATAGTTAAACGCCGTGTATCACCTGCGACGACGAAAAGTGAGTATTTGTGACCCCAGTGAGGTAAAGCGACAGAGTCGAATTAGCAAGCGAGTCCTAAAATGTGTGTGATTATATGACATGCACCACAAGATCCTTGCAATTGAGTTTGTGATGCGTTCGAGATCCATTTCAAGGACTAAAATAAAGCACTATGTACGAGAACATTATATCACTTTGTACTAAAACTAACCAGTAGGATCACATGTGTACACTACATAATCAAAAATAGCCCACTACATACGAAACGCTTACCTAATCATTACATAAGCGACGGCGTCAGATAAATTCAATTTATAAAGCCTTTGCGCCAGGGTGGGAAAAAGTGATCAAAAATACGTCCCAGAATCCTACTCTTCCCGAGTCAAACAGTAATCCATATCTCACCATTACTTACCAGCAGCACAGTTCTCCATACTAACGACTGTCCAACCTCCGAAAAAACTCACCGTCATTTCAAAAGTCACTATTCTCACAGTATATTACCTTATTACATCGCAGATCCAACTAGTAACCACATTATTCCAGCGCAGAAACACACACATATTCACACCCACACTCACTACATCAGTATTAAAATTAGCCTGGCTCTAAATATGCGTTACCGACATCCGTGTCCCCGTCCCTTACGACTTTTAAGCTCATCTGCTAAAATCGCTAAGAACACATGATTTGATATAGACCTGCCAGCCACAACGCTCGAGAAGAACAAACTTTGACGCTTCCCGCCCACTGGGCTAGCTTACGAACAGCGTATAGATTTACATATATAAATGCACATTTATAAGCTTGATTTCCCACCGGACGTACACTTAAACGAGCTTCCCTTGCACTCTCTCTTTTCTTACACTGCAACTCTTTACAAGTACTCAAGCATCTTACCATATTAAACCAAAAATGCCAGCTCCACACGGTGGTGAATTGAAAGATCTGCTTCAACGCGATGCTCCTATCAAGACCCAATTGTTGCAAGAAGCATCTGAAATTCCTTTGCAATGGAACTTGACCGGTAGACAAATCTGCGATTTGGAATTGATCCAAAACGGTGGGTTTTCTCCATTGGCAGGATTTTTGAATAAAAAGGACTACGAAGGTGTTGTCCAAAACTCCAGATTGAGCAGTGGTTTGATCTGGACAATGCCCATTACTTTGGACGTGGACGAGAAATTCGCAGCAAAACTGCAACCGGAGACCAGAGTGACTTTGTTGCAGGACAACGAAATCCCCGTCGCTATCCTCACTGTCACGGACGTTTACAAGCCAGACAAGAAAGAAGAAGCCAAAAAAGTGTTCAGAGGCGACCCTGAACATCCAGCTGTGAAATATCTGTACGAGACCGCAGGCGAGTTTTACGTCGGTGGTGAGATCCAGGCGATCCAGAGCCCTGTCCACTACGACTACCCAGGTTTGCGTAAGACGCCAGCTCAATTGAGACTGGAATTCGAGTCCAAGAACTGGGATCGTATTGTCGCTTTCCAGACCCGTAACCCAATGCACAGAGCTCACAGAGAGCTTACAGTCAGAGCCGCAAGAGAACAAAACGCTAAAGTTCTGATCCATCCAGTGGTGGGTCTAACCAAGCCAGGTGATATCGACCATCACACCCGTGTGCGTGTTTACCAGGAAATCATCAAAAGATACCCTAACGGTATGGCCCAGCTATCGTTGCTACCTCTAGCCATGCGTATGGGCGGTGATCGTGAAGCTGTGTGGCACGCAATCATCAGAAAGAACTACGGTGCCACTCACTTCATTGTTGGCAGAGACCACGCTGGTCCGGGAAAAAACTCTGCTAATGTGGACTTCTACGGCCCATACGATGCCCAAGAGCTTGTTGAATCTTACAAGAACGAATTGGACATCGAAGTTGTCCCATTCAGAATGGTTACTTACTTACCAGAAGAAGAACGTTACGCTCCAATCGACCAAATCGATTTGTCCAGCACCTCCACTTTGAACATCAGTGGTACTGAATTGAGAAACCGTTTGAGAACCGGTGGATCCATTCCGGAATGGTTTTCGTACCCCGAAGTGGTCAAGATTCTAAGAGAATCGAACCCACCAAGACCAAAGCAGGGTTTCGCTATTGTTTTGTCCAACTCATTGGTTAACAACAAGCAACTTTCTATTGCTCTGTTGTCTACTTTCCTACAATTCGGCGGTGGTAGATACATCAAGGCCCTAGATCATAAAAATGACGCTAACGTTTTGGAATTGGTGCCAGACTTTATCAAGAGCGGAACTGGTTTGATTCTAAACGAATTCGACAACGTCAAGAGCGTCACTAATGCCTACCTAGTGGGAGCCGACGAGGATGCGACCATCAAGCTTGACAGTAACGACGAATCCATCTTGCACATTGTGCAAAAGGTTGTGTTATTCTTGGAAGACAATGCTTACTTCCAGTTTTAGACAGCTGCGTTTGAGCTTCGTGCCCTGTAGCCAGTACATACGATACCGTTTTAAGAGTTTTAAAATAGTTGATAAACGTTGATGTGGTATGTGTTGTTGGGTTGTGAATTGTTGAGAAAAAGATGGAAAGTTGATAACACACTGGGTAGTACATCTGATTGGTGACGGTATTAGCTCCAAAAATAGGGACAGATTTTGAGATAATGTTCTGCGCTGAATCCTGCTTTTCGTAGGTGACTTAAGTATAGAGACTCTTTTTAATCCATGCAAGAAAACAGATATAAGAGAAGAGTGAGAGAGTGGTTAAAGTTTGGTGAGCCAAACACTTTTGATAGGATGCGAGGGAGGTCTAGGGTGTATTTGCAGTGGAGTGAATATGATGACTTAAATATTTATATGTAAAGCCAGTCGATACGAGGCCAACTTCATTGCGAAAACTTGAAATTTGAAACAGACGTAAACAGACGAACTAGGTGGTTGGACGGCTGGACCGTTGGAGCTTTTGATTCTGGTAATCTTCGCAGACAGTTGGTGTAACCATGTTTATTTTGAATCATCACTATTTCACGAGCTGTCATCTGTCATCAGTCACATGACTATAATCGAGCCAACTCTGTTCTGTGTCAGTCTAATGTCTGACATGTACGCGAAGATTCAGTTTTTTCACAGTGGAAGTAGTTTATATAGCTCAATCAACTCATAGAATATCTTCATACATCAAATAGAGTTAAGAAACCACCAATTCTACGTCGCTGAAGCTCATTTAAGATAGTTCAGTAGAAATAGTCACTCTATACGAGTACTACACCTGTTTTGTTTACCGATTCTTTTAATGTTTCCCACTCACAAATGATACCAATGCTGCTCTATTTAATGAGAGAGCTGCATTGAAATCCATCACACTCGATACCTCCATTCAAATTGTCTCTTACTTCAAAATTCACATGTCACGTGATCAATATTATAAACCACCTTTCAAATTAAACCCAAGTTCAAGTAAAACCATGCTCATCGCCTATCGACTAGAGATTTCTACGAAGACCCAAAGCTCTTTCCGATGCTTTCTCTAAGCCCCAAAACATGGGAAAAACTCAAAGATTGGATACTACAAGAAATAATCGAAAAAGACCCCGATATCGCTGCTGAACTGGCTGATTTCGTCCTTGAAATTATAAGAGATCTGCCAAACGTCAGTGGTAAGGCAAGTGGCTCTGGTGACCCCGAAGAATTAGCTCAGTTGCAGCTCAAAGGAATTGTTAAAAATCCACAAGAAATGCTAACACAACTGCCGTCTAAAATTCACACGGTTGAATCAACGGAAAAAATTCCTGGTCCCACATCGTCTGTTAAAGTGGTCAATATTCCAGTCCGAAATTTATCCAGAGATCAGATCAGAGGACAGTTCAAACCTTTCGGCTCCATCAAATACTGTAAAATCTCTATACAGAAGCGTCAAGCTGTTGTACAATATCACAACGAGTCATGTGCGATCCGGTGCACCAAGGCTACCTCCGTCATATTCAACAACAGGTTTGTCAAAGTCGAGTTATTTCACGGAAATATTGAAGACTTCGAAGGTGTTACAATCATACCACCGGTCTGTCATCAGAAAACTGAACAATCTAATACCATATCAAAACAAGCGTCGTCTTCCTCAGAGCAGAGCACCGTGAACAAGCGAATAGAGCGGGTTCAAAATGTTCAGCAGATTCTATTTGAGAATAACCAAAAGTCTAATGAGACGTACAAGACCGATTTCAATGAGCTTTTGCTTTCCAAAGAAAAGCTTCTCCGTGCTCATCAATCGCTCCTTCAAGAACTACAAAGAAAGACTACAGAGTTATCCACAGACGATAAAAAACCAAGCATTGGCCCACTTTTACTGGAGTTTAAACGGATCCAAAAAAGCATGGATGAACTAAACATCACACCCACCGAGATGACAGACATCAAAGTACGAAAAATGAATATGGATCATCCCAACGAGTTCGAGGTCAAAGACGCTCGCACAGCAGCGGCGAAAAAGAAGCGAGCTAAGAAGTTAGCTTCGATACGTAAAAAGATTCGGAGGAAAAGATGAATTCCCAGATCGGCCTAGGGCTGATCATGAAACGAAAAAAAAACAAACAAACAAGCAATACATTACAATTTCAGACACCAAGATGCCTCACGCCTTCATTTCCATTCTGTGAATTCCGTTTCCTTCTATTTAGTTTTGCCGGCAATCACAGACTGCCCATATCTCGCGTTTTGGCACGCATTCGTTCGATTCGTGCTTTCAGCTGAGATGTTACTTCGGCTGCGCGTTTCCAACTATCGTCATTGAAAAGGTTACTACTGGTGCTGGAAAATTGATCGGCACTGGAACTCCCGGATTGCCTTCCAATTAAATTCGCCTCATTTCTCAGTTGTAAGGAGTTAACCCTATGGGGGAGATCATCACTTGACTCGCTGGGTGACCTCACTCTATTGCCTAAACTCGATACGCGACTGTTGAAATTTCTTTCCCGTTGACCTTCTGCTGATGGTGAACTTCGTCCGTTTGACGATGATGATATTACTCTTCTAGGTGGCGGTGTACCGGGTGGTGCCTGTGAAAGTGGTGCAGAGGGGGGATCGAATGATAAGGCAGATCTTACCCCATAGGTTGAGGAAGGCAGCGTGGTCTTGGCTTCTAATTCTGCTTCGAGAATTGATACGCGGTCTTGGAGGCGGGTTATTTGCATGTCTTTGGAGCGCAGCTCTAAATTCCGCTCATGAAGCGTCGCCTGGGCTGTACTCAGCTGTTGTTGAAGTGACGATTTTTCAGAATTTATTCGAGAAGATCGACTTTGGAATTCTGTGATAGTGTTCAGGAAGTCTTGGCGCTCTTTGAGCCACTTCTGCTTTTGACCACGCAGATCATCCAACTCTACACTAACAGCTTGGTTCTTGCTAGAGGCCATTGGAGAGTCGGTGGTCAAAGAACGCGTGGTGAGCCTTGATTTTGCTGAGGGCAGACCATTATGATGGGGCTCAACTCTATTTCCCGTCTTTAAGGGCGAAGAAGGCCCTCGTTTGGATGGTAGCGTAGAAAGTGGCTTACGAAGAGAGGTCGCTCCTCCATTAAAGCCTGGAGATGTCAATCCGGACTTCATTGGGGCCTTGCCGCGATACGTATCTGGTCCGTGGGATGGAATAGGATTTCTTTCTCCAGCCGTGTCTTGTGGTCGCTGCGTGCGTAGTCCACCAGCTACTTGTGCTCTTTCGAAATGCTCGTAGACTTTCTTCTTCTTCAAATTGTCGAGATTATCAATCACATCTGAAACCTCTCTTTCACCGACAAGCTTCATCAACGTCGCGATACATTCGTACCCAGTGTCACGGATGGCAGGCTGTGTGTCACCGACAATTTTAAGCGCTGCTTGAGAGATGTCAGGAACCAGCTTTATTACTAGTTCATCATTAGGGTTATGAGCTTCTGGCTTCCAGGTTTGTAAGAGATGTGTCAAAAACTTTGTACTTTCCATTCGTACCTGGGGGGTCTTGTGCGCCATGAAACGCAATGTTTCCTCTAAGCAGGAATCAACACCGCAACATTCTGAAATTTGTATAAGAGCTTGACAAATTGCTTCATTAACCGATGCTTTCTTTTCTTTAGATCTTTCCAACAATGCAGTCAGCACTAGCGAACCATACTGTCGGTTAAAATTGATCGATAATTTTGAGCACAACTGTTGGATACATTGAGCTGCCAAGGTCACAGCTTGAACATTGGCATCTTTTTCTATAACCTGAGCTAAGGCTCTCAAAAAATCACTATAATCCTGATTTTTGGCCTCGAGCTTTTTGACAGGTAGCAAGATTTGATTTAGAATTTCTTCAAGACATTCGACTCTGTCTTTCCACTTAGATGAAGAAATTCGATCATTGAAATCGATAGGAAACTTGTCCAGTATCAAACTCGCGGGTAATAGATCAAAAGCATTGATTAGAGGACCTTGCGAGCCCTTGGTCATGTTCCCACCGTTCTCCTGACCGAGCTTGAGAGCACCGCCCATCAGGGTGTCACCATCTTTATCAGTTTCCGATTGCTCGGTATCCTGCTTTTTTTGCCATTGGAATGGCCTTGGTTGAGAAGAAGGAGGAATTTCCCCTTTGTATTGCTGGAATGTCTTGTCCAAATCACGCTGTTGGATTGGTTTCAGTCTCTCAAGTAGAACATCCTGCAAGAGATCACGTCCCAGCCATTTGTATAATTGTAAAATCAAATCCATGGTCTGTGAACGAACAGTTTTGTCGGCATGACTGGAAAGACGCGGTATGGGCTCCAAGAATAGCTGGAGAAAAGCCGGAAGGTTTGTGACCTGCTGCAACCCGAAAAACTCAACTATTCGAGCCATGCATTCTACACAGTTTGCGACAAGACGCGGCAGTTTGTTTTTTAGCAATGGTTCCAAAAGCTCGATGGATGCAGTGATGGATTCGTCTAGTGACACCAATGTCAGTATACATTCTTGTGTTTTCTGCTTTGTAGCAGCTCTAGAAGAGCCCAATCCTTTTTCGGCTAGAGGTGGGATCCATTGCACTCGTAAAGAATTGGAAGACGGATTTTCAGGAAGTTGACACAAATATTCTAGAAGACTTAGTAGCGCTGTCACAGCTTGTTCTTGCGCCACAACGTTGGAATCCACGATGTATTGGGCGAAAAGATCCGGGTTCGTCCAGTACTGAGATATTTCACGTGGAATCGACCTAATGGAAGCTTTCTTGAACGCATTGTTCAGCTCCTGGTAACCGTGCATCCGTGCTTTCCATAGTTTGTGGTTTAACCTTTCTGACAAGGGAAGAGAGGTAAAATCGCCGTCTTCTGTTTCGGACATGGTTCACTAAGCCAAGGACGTCAAATTGACCTAAGATCACGACGAGGGACCCGGGATGTGGGGATATATCGGAGCTGGTGGTGAACAACATTTCAAAGAAGAGATGAGTTTTGAAAGATGATCTGTGTTTACTATTGATATTTCACGAAATTTAGAGATCACAAGGTACGTATGTGACGCACGGTGTAGGACACGACGGTAAATAAAGAAAGTGACAATGGGTTTTTGGATGAGTGAAACTATTCCGAGACCAAACGGCTGTATTCCGAGACATTTTAGTAACCATGGGACTTGAAATGGGTTCCTGGACGGTCTTGGTACGTCAATTGTAGCATATTTCTAGGTTCCATTATAAGTGGAAAAAGTACATCTCTCCGTACTGTACATAGTGTAAAAGGGACCATATTATAGGCAATTCCATCAGTCTGGGGGAGCGTCACTCAGTGCGATTGGATTTATGGTCTCGTAGAGAACTAATTGTGAACTTTTGTCGCTGTCAACGTGTCACGTGGATGTGATCTTTTTGTCATAGATCTGACGCTTGACAGACAGAGGTTCCCATAATCTGACATTCTGAGCTTAATAGAAAAGGTGAGATTACCGCTGATAGCTGGATAGTACAAACATACAGCTTTCTTGACATGTAGACTATTGATTCGAAGTTCTGGACAGTAGGTGTATAACTTTTACCCTTCCCTTCGCAAATCATAGATCACGTGATACCTTTCCATCAAGACGTATATATATCAGTATTAGTATACCCTACAAGATCATTCCCTAGTACCCGTAGTTTTGTCGCTTTCTTATATAGCCAGCGGGCTTCTTTAAAATTGTAGATCAAAACCACAATTATTGTCGGTTAGCTAGGCAAACATTCATTTAATGCCTGAAGTTGGTACCCACCATTGAAAACACATGCACGGGGTATTTTTAAGTTTTGAATCGGAAGCCACGGGAGTATTGGAGCCGAGTTAGGTCCTATCACAGCATTCTTACCACCGTGATAAACTATACTAGCATAAAGTCATGACCTGACAGTTATCTCGTGACCATTTTTTATCTATATTGTACGCACTGCCTATTTGATTTACAGTTCAGGGCAATTTGGCCGAGTGGTTAAGGCGTAAGATTAGAAATCTTTTGGGCTCTGCCCGCGCAGGTTCGAATCCTGCAGTTGTCGTTATTTTTTGAAGATCCAATAAAGTGTGTACGACGTCTTCCATTGCTGTTTAGTCGCTAAGTCAACGAGTCACACACGCATAATTGCTCTATCAAGTCTACAACGTTTACACTCCCGCCTCCAATTCCTCGAACGTTCGTCTAAGCCATCCTCATCGCAATGAATGTCTATTTGTCAATTATGGCAGTTTGAACTCGATTTTTCTCGTAGTTTCTACCATCATTCGAAAATCAATCCATTAGTCAAGCTGTCACAAGAGTCTCTAATTACAATAGCTATAATTCTCGCAAATATCAAGACCTCTTTAATGAAGGTTAGTTGTTTGTCATAAAGCTTAGTAAAGTCGATGAGTTCCAGCTCAACCTTTAAATTGGTAACATTCATAAATTTTGCATATAAAAAGGGCAATGAAAAATACCATGGAGGGCATTTATCGAAAAACTTGTAGAAACCAAAGTTAAACACTGGTTTATTGACCTTTTTTAGCTCTATAGAACCCCCCTTTTTACATACTCACATATCATATTTCACAATGGTCGCCCAAATCGCTAACGTTGCAGACTTCGACAAAGTCATCCAAGCTGATAAATTGGTCGTTGTCGACTTTTTCGCTACCTGGTGTGGTCCTTGCAAGATGATCGCACCAATGCTAGAAAAGTTTGCTGCTGAATACTCGTCTGCCGATTTCTACAAGTTGGACGTCGACGAGGTGCCAGAAGCTGCTTCCAAGAACGATGTCTCTGCCATGCCTACCATCGTGCTTTTCAAAAACGGTAAGATTGTGGACAAGGTTGTCGGTGCTAACCCAGCTTTGATCAAGCAGAAGATCGCTGCCAATGCTTAAACAGCAGGAACATCCTTCAAAAAGATGCCACTGAAACGAACGACAAAAGTCAACATGAACATGCTTTGTATCTTATCTAGTCTATCTACTCGCAATATGACACATTGACAACTCTGCATTGACGAACGAAGATCCCGGTGTGGTGAGACTTTGGTGCTACGTTCCTGATTCACGCCAATAGGGCTGCAATCTCAGCGTCCGTGAACCCAAATATGTAAAACGCATCTAGCAGCGATTGGGTGTTCAGTTTCGAAGGTGCGGCCTCCTGGACCCTTGGTTTCGCGTTCCACGCGATCCCAAACCCTGCAACGCCCATCGCAGGTAAATCGTTTCCTCCATCGCCCACCATCACGGTTGATTCCACGGGCAACTTGTATTCACGGGCCAGTTCCAGCAAAGTTTGCGCTTTGCATTCACCGTCCACTACATCTCCAATAGTGTGTCCGCTAAGGATTTCAACACCGTTTTGACTTGGGTCATTTTCCGTGGCCAAAACATTGGCTCTGGCAAAATCTAGCTCTAGCACGTCTTTCATGTGGTTGGCGAATGGAGTGAACCCCCCACTCAGTACCGCTAGCTTGCACCCCATCTTTTTCAATCCACGACACAATTCAGGTACGCCTTGAGTGACCCGCAGTTTCTGTTTTATTTCGTCGTATAGCGTGGCCGTCTTGATGCCTTTGAGCAACCCTACACGCTCCGCAAGTGACTGTTTGAAATCCAATTCGTTATTCATGGCACGCTCTGTGATCTCAGCGACTTTTTCCTCGACTTGTGCATATGCAGCGATCAATTCGATCACTTCCTGGTAGATCAGAGTGGAGTCCATATCGAACACTACCAAACCCTTTTCTTTACGGAATTTCGAGTTTTCCTGCACAATAATGTCCGAATTGTCGCTTTCAACAGTCTTCAGCATTTGGCGCAAATTTGAAACGCTTTGGGAGGTACTGAGGAAGTAATCCTGGGCACGGGCAGATAGTTCCACTTCAGAGTCAATTTTTACGTCTTCTAGACCACGTAGAAAAGTGGTAATTTCACCTTTAAATTCCTCGCTCAAAGCTGGATCATGTCCGATGACTGTCACCACAATTTGAGCACTCATTCCGTCTGATTAATTCAATATTCTTTACCTGATCTCACACACTGGCTCTGCTCATCTTCATTAACATCGTTAATTTTTCACTCTGAATTCTGTTAAGTATGGGCTTATGTAAGCCAATAAGTCTAATAATCTGGAAAAAAGCCAGACTCACCCAATAATTAACTAGGTGAAAAGAGAGATATCCAGATTCAAGTGAACTTCGAAGGGTCGATATCCATTCATTAAGCACCATCTAAAGGCCCTAGCTGGTTTCTTTCGTTTCATACAGTTTTAGGTATACTGCTACTTTTTTTGCGGCCTGAATTCGACTAAAAACAAGCAAGAAAACCTTAACATAACGATCTCGACGTTGCTTGCGGATCGCTAACTCTTGATTCTAATCGGAAACCGGTACAAAACATACTTCCCCACTGTCCACACATCATGTCTAAAGCACTGCGTATTTTGGTGCCCGTTAAGAGGGTCATCGACTATGCCATTAAACCAAGAATCAATAAAGCCGGCACTGGTGTCGAGAAAACAGGTGTGAAATTCAGCATGAACCCATTCGACGACATTGCCGTTGAAGAAGCCGTGCGCATCCGGGAAGCGCACAAGAAACTGGTGGAAAACATCCATGCAGTGTCGATTGGACCTACTAAGGCTCAGGATATCTTGAGAACAGCACTGGCCAAGGGCGCCGATACGTGCACGCTGATCGACGCAAAGGAGACAGAATTGGAACCGCTAGCCGTGGCCAAGATTTTGAAACAGGTTGTCGCCAAGCAAAACGCGAACTTGGTTATCCTGGGGAAACAAAGTATCGACGACGACTGCAACAACACAGGCCAGATGCTTGCTGGGCTCTTGAACTGGCCACAGGCCACGAATGCGGCGAAAGTGGAAATCGATGAGTCGTCCTTGGTGGCAAAAGTGACCAGAGAAATTGACGGCGGAGAAGAAACCATTAGCGCACCACTACCGCTCGTCATTACCACTGATCTGCGTCTTAACCAACCGCGTTACGCCACATTGCCCAACCTGATGAAAGCTAAGAAAAAGCCCATGGAGAAAATGACCCTAGCGGACTTCTCAGACGTCTCTACCGAGCCTAGACTACAAGTTCTCAAGCTTGAAGAGCCACCTACCAGATCTGCAGGCGAAAAAGTAGCTTCTGTCGATGAGCTCATTGAGAAATTGAAATCCGTGAAGGCTATCTAGACCCACACGTTTTAGTTGGAAAGATTAGAGAATTCCAGCGACGAACGTTTTGTAAATATATTCTCCCAGAATGCCTCTATGTACGAGAAAAACACCGGGTTCACATTTCTTCGACTAACCCTCTTTTTCATCCGTTTGCGTTTCAAACCAAAAACTCTGCTAGTTCTACCGGTCAGAGTCCCTTTTCCTTGCGTCGTGCTGGTGATAAAACCCCGCCAGTAGTCATTCCTGGTGGTCGTTTGGATAGACAGTTTTCTGAATACCATGAGTCAAATTCCGCGGTTTTTCGGTGTCGCAAATCAATTGCTTGTTGAATTTGTTTACATTCGTTGATCCAGGCTTGTAAGTGTTGTTTGACAGGAGTTGGTTGCGGCAAGTTAATAGGTGAGAGATTCAACTTGGTCACCGTTTGAGGCAAGAGTGAACTGTGGCCATTGCGTAAAGTTATTTGACGAAGAAGATCTTCTGCTGATTGGATCATGAGGGACAAGAAGTTGAAGAAGGCAGAGAGACCTGTTAGAGATGGAGGTCTTATGGGATGAGAGATGCGATTATGCTGGTTAATATAGGTTAAAGGTAGAAGTTGACGAGTACTCATGAGTACGCCGGAACACAGCGCAACATAGGAACTAAGGTAAGTCGTATGAAACACTTGTGGGTATCGTATCAGAACTGTTTAGTGGGTGGTGTAGATGAGAGGGTTGAAGAGTCCTTCCACGTTGTGCGCGGAGCGAATTTCTAGAATACTTGAAAAATGTCCGAGAAAAACGAAGCCCTCGAGAGTTCCAGAAGTGCCGGGTGTCTTTAAATACAATAAAGTGCTGGGATCCAGCACTTCTCTCTACTTCTCCTGGCACCGTCTTCACAGGCTGGTGTGATTGGCGCTTTTGACATTCTTTGTCACTTTTGACCACCGCCGTCGCTGACGCTGGACCACGTGATACAAATATCTATATACCATTATAAACATAAAGAAAGCCAGTTTCCGGCTCACAGTATCGCTGCCAATGTCAGGCACTCATCATTCTCAGATTCCGCCAATCTGTCTTTGTCTTATTCAAAAAACTCAAATTTCAAAATTTCGAGGTACGCACACAACCCCGAAGTTAAAGTACATCGACGACGGAAAAAAGCTCTTCCAAATAGGTTCCAAACAACTCCAAACCAATCCAGGTATCTATCCAGCGTTCACAGCCGATAGTTTATCACCATAACTCACGCTTTCCGTAAAAAGCTATCTCGCTCGGACATTAACGCTATATATACGACGACGTATAATATATATATAATCAACCCATAGGAAAACCTAACCTACAATAAGTATCCACTTCCGCTCACAACTTCAACAAGTCCATAGCTTTATAGCCCTTTCATCTAGTCTCAAGCGGCCTTCATTATATATAATGCTAAATACGTCTCCTATAAATATCGAACAATGGCTTCAGGACAATGGCCACCTCTTGCAGCCTCCGGTTAACAACTTTTGTCTGCATAGAGGCGGCTTCACGGTGATGATCGTGGGAGGACCCAACGAGCGAACTGACTATCACGTCAATCCGACTCCGGAATGGTTTCACCAGAAACGCGGCCACATGACCCTGCGGGTCGTGGACGAGACTTTGCAAGGTGCAGATCGCTTCAAAGATGTGACGATCAACGAAGGTGACTCGTACCTGCTGCCTGCAAAGGTTCCACACAACCCTGTTCGGTATGCAAACACCGTAGGTATTGTTGTGGAGCAGGACCGTCCTGAAGGCCAGCACGATATGCTGAGATGGTACTGCCGGAAGTGCCAGTCCGTGGTGTGCCAATTCGACTTCCAGATGCGTGATCTGGGCACACAGGTGAAAGAGGGAATTCTCGCGTTCGACAGCGATTTGAAGCACAGGATATGCTCCCATTGCGGAACTGAGAACTACTCTAAACCGCAGTAGAGAGAGACACCTGAAACTATTGTTCAAACCGATATATTCAAAGAGAAAATATCCCGTCAATGCTATAACAGAAATTTCTTGTAAGAGTGCAATTTGTTGAGAGAGTTCAATGTTGGTGACTTCGATTGGAGTACTGGAGCAGAGTTGGTGGAATTGCGACTAAGAAAACGCTATTATCCTTCACTTTCTCACATTGCAAGGGAAACTGACGCTGCAGGAAGATAGTCGTTAATTAGACGACATCGAAGTGAAAAATTCATGGTAATAGCCAAAATTCGTTAAAAGTATTGAAGAAACATCTCAAGACAGCACGAAAGCAGCTTTAAGATGGCTTCCTGTTACTGTGGCGATATACAAGACTCTATGTCTAAAAAATCTGCTTTCAAAGATGCCAACGATGCGCTGGTAGCGTCGACAGATCCGCGTCATCCTGCTAACCTTATTTGTTCGCTGTGCAAACTGTTCTACTACAACAACTGGGTGACCGGAACCGGCGGCGGAATATCTATCAAACATCCAGAAACTGGCCATATTTACATCGCCCCCTCGGGCGTGCAAAAGGAACAATTGAAGCCTGAACACATGTTCGTCATGGACCCAGTTTCTAAGGACTATCTACGCACTCCGGAACTTTACAAGCCCAGTGCATGCACACCCTTGTTTATGTCTTGCTACTCGCAACGTGATGCAGGTGCTGTGATCCACACTCATTCACAACATGCAGTGATGTGCTCTTTAATTTTCGACAAAGAATTCCGTATTGCGAACATCGAGCAGATCAAAGCCATTCCAAGCGGCCAAAAAGACCCCGTTACTGGAAAGGATATCAATCTGTCGTTTTTCGATACCCTGGTTATCCCAATCATAGACAACACTGCTCACGAAGAAGATTTGACGGACGGCTTGCAGGAGGCGCTAGATAAATACCCTACCGCAACGGCTGTCATTGTGAGGAGACACGGGATCTACGTGTGGGGTCCTACAGTCGACAAGGTCAAAGTTTTCAACGAGGCTATCGACTATTTGATGGAGCTCGCATGCAAAATGCGCCAATTGGGAATCCCACCGGACTGTGGTATTGGCGAGGAAAAAAAGTATTTGAAGGGATGAAAAGAGAGAGAGAGAGAGAGAGAGAGAGAGAGAGAGAGAGAGAGAGAGCTCTTTGAGTTATTAAGTGGCCCGTTTTTTCTTAAATTCCACTATTATTATTTTTGGACCTTCTATTACTATACCATTATAAAATGACGTGGTGTGTGTGTGACACGACCAAAATGCTAATTCTCATGCGACGTTTGCAGTGTGTGCTGCTGTTGTTTTTGGGCCCAAACCTGTTGCCACACAACGTGCTCGTCAGGCACATAATTTCGCGTGTCTTTGAGCGATTTTGCGCCCTGAAAAGCCAGTTCCTTTTCTGAGTCTTCCAGAAGCCCACAGCAAACGATCTGGTTTCCACGTAATACGTACGAGCTGGCCAAATTTTCGCCAGATACACGGTCTTTGACCTGAGAAATCAGCAAGTTTGTACTATTGTCAAAGCCCTCCAGCGTTGCACACACACATTGGCCCTCAGTCGTGACCACTACCACGCGCTTGTTGAGGAAGTCCTTCAGCAAGGGCGACATAAGCGAACACACACGCTCCGTGAGTAAACGCGTGCGTGGTTTTTGACAAGTACTCAATAGCCCAACAAGCTCGACGTACTTGACGGGTAAACCTACAGACTACTTGAGCTAGGTTGGACTTTATAGTCCACCTTTGATGTGATGCTTTCTGTCTTTCTTTATACTAGAATGCGTTTAAACATGAATAATTTCCAGGTCACTGAACACGGACATATCCGTATATAGTGATACTCTTCTTTCTTAAAAATTTGATGATTAGGTAATACAACCTAGCCATCTGGATATACCTTTTAGTAGAAATTAGCCGCCGAGCCTACGAATAGGCCATAAAACACACAGAAGTTGGTTGGAAACAAGCGATTTTAGAGCTGTAACATGTCCGATAGTAACGTCCCAACGGAATGCTCGACGCCCAGGCCATCGATGTGCGAAGAAACGGACCGTCAGATCCTCAAATGGGCTGGGAAACTCGAATTGGAGTCTATTGATTTGCGGGACAAGTCTTCCAGGCTTTTCCAGATGCTGGAAACAAACTCACGGCTGCTGAAAAGCTCCCATGAGAAAGTGGCATTGGCCACAGCGGGTTTAGGGGATCTCAAAGGTGTGTAAAGACAGTTGAAAACCCGATATTCTATTTTGCTTCAACACATTTCTAACAAGCAAAGCTTTGAAAAGAGCTGCAAGAACAGGTCAAACAGGTGTCACAGCATTTGGAAACGTTTGCGAAAGCACAAACAGCAAACGAAGCCAGTGTAAAAACGTTTTATCAAAATCTGGGGGATTTATCGACCAAAAACGTTGCACTTAGGTCGTCTGAAATCGAAAGAATTGCACTCAACAATGAGGATAGGATCGATCAGATTATGCATCGTTTTAACAACCAAGCTCATGCTACTCTTGCGGAGCAATCGGCACAGAACGTGGCTTGTAATGTAAGGGCTGAAAGTGCATTTACAAACTTACTGGGCCAAACAGTTGCAGCTTCACAGGTGCTGAAATCGGTTTCAGCGGAAACTGCCAGGAATTCGGATCGAATGGTGGCATTGGAGGAGCAAGTGGGGATTCTGAAAGGGAGCATTAGCGCTCTTTGTGAGTTCAAAAAAGAAGTGACAGGGGTTGAAGAATTGAAAGACGAAATGAAGACTCTGAAAGAGTTGAAATCAGATATTGCCTCTTTACGAAAATCCACACAGGGTTTGGACGTTTTAAGTAGTTTCAAAGCAGAAGTGGAAGAGTTGCGAAGCTTGAAAACGGATGCTGACGCCGTGCTCAATCTGAGAATGGAGATCAGTGCACTTCGAAAACTGATTGTTACAACACTACGAGAAAAAGAGCACAAGCCTCAGGAATTGATGTCCAAACTATCGCCAAAATCGATTCATAAAGTGTCCAAGCCCGTGTCACGACAACTGCCTAAAAGGACGCAGACAACTGCTGGCACACGTTGGATTATCCCCTGGGATGAAGTTTCAGACAACGATTCCGCTACATTGATGTCATCGGAGTTGTAAAGCCAGATATATGACACTTGAGATTTGTGCAGAGCATGAACACGGATGTCGCTGGAGCTCGAATTCCTTTACTAGGGTCGGCAAAAATTTCAAAATGACTTTATCACATTGCAACATACTTCAAGAAATCGAGATAACCACTTCATCTCTGGTTAACGTTGACGACGGAGCGTTGTTTATCTATGTTTACAACAAGCGTTCCCGCATTGCCCAAGTTACCTTTGGTTTTTAACGTGCGGTAGTAAAGCTCGTAACAGGGCATGTATCGCAAAACAAAACTCCGGACTTGCTCTTCGCTCATGCCGTGGCCTGTTTTCGCAATCAAATCATTTTCCTGTTCCTGCCGCCAAGCGTAAACGTTTTCAACATCTGCGGCGATTATAACCCCAACTGAGAATTGCTTGGTGTCCTCCCAAAGCAGATCAGCATAAGATTTTAAAGATGCATTGATCTCTGTGTAGTTGTTCAACGGATGCACACCAAGAACATTTCCACGTTGTGTTGACGCTTCGTTCCACATGCAAGTGAGGCTTTCTCGAGACACACTTTCAAAACCTAGAAACCAGCCTTCAACAATCACGATATCCACCGGTAATTGCACTTCCTTGCTTGACTCAACTCTGTCGCCTTCTCCAGCATATTGGGACTTATCATAGGCCGGGATTTGTGTTGAGCCAGTGTTTTCACACAACCGGCTCATAAACTGCTGCAGCAATTGCATGTCGTGGGTACCTGGCAGGCCTCGACCCTGTAACATGGCGTTGTCGGGATAGTGCTGAGATAGTGTCTGTTGATCTTTGTGGGTGAGGTAAAAATCATCAATGGAAACAACAATACTTTCCAAATCGGGTCTGGTCTTTCCAAGGATTTGTTTAACACCTTCAGAAGAGAACGTTTTACCTGATCCTTGCGGGCCTGAAATGTACACAACCAACGGCTGCCGAATTCCATTTAAAGTTGTTCTTGGATCATTGAAATGATCTTGATAACGCTCCAGAACAAACTGGGTGGCCACCTGCGCGACAGTGGCTCTCGTACTCATTGCTAGGTTGTACGTGCCGTTGGAGGGGAAAAAATCGGGGAAGTGGTTTATGAGCTGACTCGAGGACGATTACCCGTGAAGAAAGAACAATAGGAAGCTTTCGAACGAAAAGGTGCAGAAAAAGAGGCAAAAGCGTTGAGAACTCTTAGTTTTAGCCTTTATCAACTTTTCGAATAGCTTCGTTAGCAAAGTCTAAAGATGCTGCCTCGTTTACTTGCCTTAATTCGCACATCCGAAACAAAATTCGTTTCCGCAGTACCCGGGCACGCTCCACCTGGTGCAAAGGCTACGTTCGGTGGAACAATAGTGGCACAATCGTTATGGGCAGCGATTAAGACCACCAGCTCTTCTTTTGAACCTGCGTCGCTCCAATGTTACTTTCTAGTGGGTGGTGATCCAAAGGAACGCATTAACTACGAGGTAGAGCTGCTAAGAGACGGCAGGAACTTTGCACATCGCCTGGTGCGCGCGTACCAGTTCAAAAAAGTCATTTGTGTTACTACAATTATGCTGTACAATGCACAAGCCTCCCGTCCTCCACCGAGTGATGACTCCGTCTCCTTTCTCGAAAACATGGGAAATTTCCCTGAACTAACAGAAATGCGCCCTGCCGCCCAGCTTTTTGAACACAAAGTTGTTGGGAACTTTGATAAATATCAGCATTTGCATGCGTCTTGGAAAAGCCCTGAAGTTCTTAAGCCATTTATCAAGCGGTTCGAGTCAGGAGCGGTAGAGTACCGATTCCCAGAAGACATTTTCGATTCAGCTGAGTACCGCGGCAAAGACAAGCAACAGCATCTTACGAAGCTCGACTATTATCAGCGTGTGAGGAGACCCTCTTCTAGGCACACCGAAGAAAGTGAAGAAATAAACGATCCCAGATTCCAATACGTTCAATTTGCATATTTGACGGATGCGTATCTGTTACTGTGTTTACCATATTTCCATTTACTCCCGCTATATTGTCACAAATTCAGTGTGTCCCTGGATCACACAATTCACTTTCACAAACGGCCCAACGTCCAAGAGTGGCTGGCCTTGAGAGTTACTAATCCTAGATCACAAAACGGGCGACATCTTGTTCATGGAGAGTACTACGATAGCAATAAGGAGCCTGTAGCTTCGGTGACACAAGAAGGGCTTGTGATCTACGATAGCCCCGCCAAGTTGAGGTCCCGTTTTTAAACGGATCATGGATCATCGCGTCATTTGCACCACAGAAATATTGATTAAGAATCTAGCTTTTAAATCTCAATGTCATCTATTATACATTCACTCTTAAAACATGCCCTCAATTTCACCTTCGTCATTAACCTCGATGTTCATGAAACCGCAATGAGTGGGCAGGCCAGGGATAGTCTGAATCTCAGCTGCGAGCGCGTACAAGTACCCAGCGCCAACAGATGCGCGTATATCACGGATTGGGAACGTGAATCCCGTTGGAACACCCTTTAGATTTGCGTCATGAGATAGAGAGTACTGAGTCTTTGCTATGCAGATTGGCAATTTGTCAAAGCCTTGCTTGGTGTAAAGCTCGATCTTTCTTTGAGCTTCTGGTAAGAACTCGACCGAGCCAGCACCGTACATTTTCTTAGCAATAGAACCGATTTTGTCTTCAATGGACAAGTTTTCGGTATCATAAAGAAATTGGAATTCCTGATTTGGCTCATCACAAGCCCTTATCACACCCTCTGCCAAATCAGTCGCACCTTTGCCACCTTCTTCCCAATGGTTGGAGACAATAGCATCGAATGCGCCAGCCTTTATAGATTCTTCTTTAACAACATCGTGTTCCCGGTCTGTGTCTGAAGACATCTTATTGATAGCAACAACGACGGGAAGGTTATAAGTTTTAACATTCGCGATATGTTTGGCCAAATTGGCACACCCCTTTCGTAGAAGATCAATGTTCTCGTTCAGGTACTCAGTAGGCAATGGTGCTCCCGCTTTCACCTCAGGACCGCCACCGTGAACTTTCAGAGCTCTAATAGTAGCCACAATGACCACGGCGTCTGGAACAAGGCCAGATGATCTACACTTGATGTTCAAGAATCTCTCACCGCCCATTGTAAAGTCGAAACCAGCCTCCGTGACAACATAACCTTGAGTTTCTTTCCGGATTTCGTCGCTGACGCCTGGCTCAACACCCGCCAGCTTCAAGGCAATCTTGTCAGCAATAGCGGAATTGGCACCAATGGAGATGTTAGCAAAAGGACCGGCGTGGACGAACACCGGTGTACCTTCCAAAGTTTGCATGATGTTGGGCTTGACAGCATCCTTCAAAAGGGCCGTCATTGCACCCGCACAACCAATGTCTTCGCAAGTGATGGGAACACCAGCTCTCGAAGTACCAATCACAACGTTACCCAATCTTTCCCTCATATCAGCCAAAGAGTTGGCCAATGCCAGGATAGCCATACATTCCGAAGCAACAGAAATGTCAAACCCTGTCTTTCTGGTGATACCACGTTCACTGGGGGCTTCACCAATGGTGATGCCTCTCAAGAATCTATCATTACAATCCACAACTCTTCTCCAGGTGATGGACTCAGGATCGATATCTAAACGAGCAAATCGGGTCATCTCCTCAGTAGTCAAGGAGTCTGGGTCCTTCTTGTCGATGCCCAACTTTCTTAGTCTTCTCAACATGGTAGGTGTGAATTTTCTAGTTCCACGCTTTGTGGGCACCAGCCTCTTGTACAAGGCTGCATCTTTCTGTGTTTGTTCATGGAAGATTCGGGTATCAATTGCAGCTGCCAAAAGGTTGTTTGCCATAGATATGGCGTGAATATCACCAGTGACATGCAAGTTAAATTCATCCATGGGGATGACTTGAGAGTAACCACCTCCTGCAGCACCACCCTTGATACCGAAGGTTGGTCCCATAGAAGGTTGACGGACATTGGCAAATACGGTTTTATTCAGATGAGCTCCAAGAGCTTGAGCCAACCCCACGGTAGTAGTCGATTTACCTTCTCCGAGAGGAGTAGGCGTAATGCCTGCAACAAGAACATATTTACCATTTTCTCTTGTAGCCAAACGGTCCAAAATGTCCAATTTGACTTTAGCCTTGGTGGATCCATACGGTTCCAGTTCAATGGGCAGAATACCAGCCTCCGATGCAATTTGGGTTATTTCTTTTGGTTTCTGTGCTCTTGAGATCTCGAAATCCGAAGGCACAGGTTTCTGAAGGTTCAATGACAGAGGAATAAATTCTGGTTTGGCATTGCTGTTAAGCGAACGCTTTGCAGCGGTGAATACATTGCTCATTAACATGGCAACAGTCATGGGGCCCACACCACCTGGAACCGGGGTTATTAGTTTGACAGCTTCACGAGTCGCTTCGAATTCCACGTCACCTACACATCTGTAACCGCTTTTTTTAGTGGAGTCGTCAACGTAGTTGGTGCCCACATCGATCACAACACAAGTGTTGTTGCCTTTGAACCATTCACCTTTCACGAATTCAGGCTTCCCGATGGCCACAACCACAATATCGGCAGTGGCCATGTACGACGAAATGTCCTTGGATCTGGAATGAAGAACAGTAACGGTAGCGTCTTTGGATTTGAGCAATTCAGCAACGGGAGACCCAACAATGTCAGATCTTCCGAGCACAACGGCTTTAGAGCCAGCGATAGGCACTGCAGACCTTTCCAATAGCTCTATGATACCCTGAGGGGTGCAAGGATGGAAGAAGGGTTTCCCGTTTTTCTTATTGAGTTCACCGATGTTGTGAGGTCCAAATCCGTCCACGTCCTTCTGGCCAAGGACAGCAGATGTGATTTTGTCCTCATCAATGTGGGGTGGCAGTGGGAGTTGCACTAGAATACCGTGGACATTGCTGTCATTGTTTTTTTCCTGGATCTTAGCGAGTAGCTCGGATTCCGTGACACCCTCGTGCAAATGCACGAAAAGCACGTCGATACCGGCTTCGCTTGCAGCTTTCCGTTTCATTCTAACATAAGTTGCAGAGTCCTGACGGTTGCCAACTTGAAAAATGGCCAAAGTTGGCCTGAGAGACGCATTCTGCGTTTGCAATGTTTTGATCTGGTGTGAGATCTCATCGCGAATTGTCTTGGCAATGGCCTTTCCATCTATCAGCGATGCTACCATGGTTGTATATTGTAGTCAGATAGAACCTACTAACCTGACAAGTTTCCGGTTCTTGAATGCTAAAGCGATCCCAGCAGGTACTGGCCTTATATATAACACCGCTTATCGTGATCAATCGCCTACGGCGTGATGAAATCGGTTGTATTCATGCCCTTATGGGTTATTATTTTCCTGACTCGGGTATGAAATACGACGGAAACATTTCGCCACAGTGAACGGGCCCATGTGAAGGCATGAATTTTCGCGATGAAAACGTCAGTGACAGCACGCAACGAGCTGGGTACGCTATGATGGCGATTATGGAAGTATTTAGGCAGAAAAGACGGGAAAAGACTATACAAAAAAACTGACATTGTAAGTAGAGCGGTGAAAAAAGAGTGCTGTAAGGGTGTGTGAGGGGTCAAGAATACATTTTCTTGGGTTCAAAAAGACGCTGAACACATCTAGACGGGTTGCAAGACCATCGTAGTACGTCCAGACGTAGTTTTGGTGTGGTCATCAAGTGGTATATAGATGTGAGCTATTGATCTTGGACCATTGGTGTTATTAATTTATATTTTAGGTCACTGAAAACGAGAATCGAGATTATATTGAGTATCACTATTACGTAATCTACGTCACATGATAATGAACAATAAGATCTTTGAATTTTTGAGATCCATGGCCTTTGAAGCCATTGATACGTTGCTATGCCGTTTGTTATTTGGAGTTTGTATTTTCTAGTGTCTTCTTGTGCCTGTTGAGAAGCGGGAGACGACGGAAAAAGCGGCCGCACTTTATAGCGCTAATCGGTGTATCCTTTTTCAACGCGTGGTCCAACTTAGAGCACACTGGTCTCAAGAATACGAAAAGCAAAGTCTCGATGGGTTGTTAGACTCGCCAGGGGTTTGATTACAACCGTTTGGAGATGTTGTCACTTTGTAATAGTGCGACAAGTATCACGTGACTCTTTTTTCTCATGGCTTTTCAGATCGTGTTTTCTACTCTCTCATGAGCAACACCTTGCACCGCAGTTTTGTCTCAGCTATCCTTTATACTGTCGTTCACAATGGCCGCTCTACCGACCATATCACAAATAATCATCCCAACTTTCTCGATTCTTGTCCGTTTCGGTCCGTTTAAGCGCTAGCTTAAATCTTTTACAATCCTCAAATGCCTTGAATTATCAAAACTACCCATGAAGCTCCAAAAAGGTACTTTTTCTGATCCCTCCACCATTATCACGTGACCTTAAATTGGCTCATCATCAATTAAATACTGTTCGAATACGAGGATAACACCATTATTCATACAAGTAAACCGACCTGTTAGCTAAGATTCGTCGTGTGAACAGTCGTAATACTCATCTGCTTTTATTCCCACGTTAACGCGCTTACTCAAAATGTCTAGTAACGGTTTGCCCGAGCCTTGGACGGTCCGTTTTAGCAAATCTAAAAGTAGACAATATTTCTTCAATCCGCAGACCAAACAATCTCAATGGGAAGAACCCGAAGAAACGGACCATGCAGCGCTCAAAAAATACCTCGTGGAGCACCCACTGAGGGTAAGGTGCTTGCATCTGCTTATCAAACACAAAGACTCGAAAAGACCTGCTTCACATCGCGCTGATCCCATTACAATTACGAAAGAAGAAGCGCTTGAAGAATTGTCCGTATACCAGCGTAAAATCGAGCAAGGAGAAAAATTTGAGGACTTGGCGAAATTCCGTAGTGATTGTTCATCTTTCAAGCGTGGTGGAGACTTGGGTTTCTTTGCACACGGCGATATGCAACCGTCGTTTGAGAAAGCTGCGTTTGCATTGAAAGTGGGCCAGATTTCGGGCCCAGTGGAATCTGCTAGCGGAGTCCATCTAATCAAAAGGGTAGCTTGAACTGAGAGGGAGAGAGAAACGTCCTCATTCAAAATCTATTCGTACGGCTACCTATAATGCTCGATTCTAGTGTTGTTTTTCCTTCTCTACAATACATATTACGTCTTGGGATCATTCAGTCACGTCCATAAGTCCTTCTGATACGACTCAGTGACACTCTGGTCTTCGCCATAGAGACTCTGCCAATGATTGAACCCGCCACGCAGTACGTATATCCTAAAATTGGATAAATCTTCGTCTTCCAGCAGGCGCAGAAATCTCATTGCAGCAGAGGGACCCCTCTGCTGAGACAATGCACAGTGGAAAACACAATTTACGACGCTCGAGCCTGCTGCGTTTTTCAATTGGTTCTGCAGTTCGTGGCACTTCTCTACATCGTCACGAAGCTGACGATACGGGACGTTCCACGAACCTTTGATGTGTCCACCTACGTAGTCGCTACCCCGGACGTCGATGATCTGGAAAGGCTCATTAGACGTAGAATGGCCCGATTTGAGCCATTTGAATAGCTCGGAAGCATCTATATACTTGATCGCAGCGATAGAACGCGATTCCATGGTTTAGAGAAATAACAGGAGTGATCTATTCGATAGTTCTGTGGGTATTGAAGAGTCTGTTTGACAGTTGGTATGCGTTAGATACGTAATTAAGACGTAGGTAAAGGACTCAGTCATATTCTACGAATGCCTATCGATGATTCACGTACGCTGTAATATGTTTTAACAAGTGGCGCGCGCGTGCTCAGGCCATAGTAATTCAATGAGCCTTTCCCGTGATCTACACGCCAGTATGTTGCACTGACCCACCATGCTTCTTCCTTGGTCATCTCATTCACTTAAAATCGTCGACTCAGAATTCCACAATCCATGTGATGCACCGTTGAGAGCATTTGTATAAGAATGAATGCTGTTTACTCAATAGGACAGTCGTATACCATCTGAAAACCTGTAACAGAAGTCGTTTCTGAGAGGCTTAAAAGTTTGGACATGTTCGACTCGCAACGCATCAAGGAATCCACGTGATATGTACTCGTGAACAATTTCGGTACTCATAAAATCAGTTCTGCTTACGTAAAGTAATATATATCATTTTTGCCCAGACATTAAAATTGGGACACTAACTCACTGAATTAAACGATCACAACTCATCAGGGTCCAAGAAAAACCAGCCATTGCAGCTACACAAAGCCATCTTCAGGGCCTGAAACCTATTTAATCGGCTTCACAGGGTCCCGTTTACCTAAGAATCCAATTTCCAGCTCGAGAAAAAACGATGGCTAAACGTTCAAATGAGACACTTCGAAAATCAAACTCCACAAGCGGTGGATCGCTCACAAATTTGTTCAAATTGAACCGAAAGCGCTCCGCTGACGATGTTGACGAAACCAGATCTAATTCAACGTCATCGCATTCCGAAACGTCCCCTAACGACCAGGAATCGAGCGAAAACGAAGAGAATCCGGGTCACAAATCCAAGAAAAGACGGACACTGTCAACGGCTGAAGCTGAGGCTCAGGACGCCCGGGAACGTGAATTGGATGAAAAACTACCAGAAGAACTTCGTAAGTACCGCCCACGCGGGTTCGCACTCAATCTGCCGCCTAAGGACAGACTGGTACGTGTGTATGCAGATGGAGTTTTCGATTTGTTTCATTTGGGCCACATGAAGCAACTTGAACAATGCAAAAAATGCATGCCAAACGTTGAGTTGATTTGCGGTGTTCCTTCGGATCGTGTCACGCATAAATTGAAGGGTCTCACGGTTCTGACGGACCAGCAGCGCTACGAATCGTTGCGGCATTGCAAATGGGTCGACGAAGTGATTGAGGATGCACCTTGGTGTCTGACGACTGACTTCCTCGAGCAACACAACATTGATTACGTCGCGCACGACGATTTGCCCTATGCTGCATCCGATAGTGACGATATCTACCGTCCTGTTAAGGAATTGGGCAAATTTGTGGCCACACAGCGCACAGACGGCATTTCCACCAGCGACATCATCACTCGGATTATTCGCGATTACGACAAGTATCTGATGCGTAACTTTGCGCGGGGTGCGTCACGACGCGATCTCAACGTGTCATGGCTCAAGAAAAACGAATTGGACTTCAAGAAGCACGTCCAAGAATTCCGTTCTTACTTCAAAAAGAGTCACGACTCCATCAACCACGCTTCAAAAGATCTATACGTTGAAGTACGCGAAATGCTGCTGCGGAAGACCCTGGGTAAAAAAGTTTACGCCAAGCTAGCGGGCCAGAATCCACCCCAAAAATCCATCAGAGGATCCTCACCGGCTTCTGAATTTGCCCGCACCTACGGTGATCAATCAAGCTACGGCGAACACTTCCAAGACGACGAAGAAAACGGCAGTGAAGACGGCGAGAAAGAAAGTCAAGATCCTCACGACGACCAACATTCAAATTCTTCTTGAAACTATCCCCAAGTCGATTTTCCAGCTATCTGAAAGTACGAATCTCACAACTGGTTTGGTCTTTCCCTGTTATTCACTTATGCTCTGTCACTCGCTTGACGGCTTCTGGTTCTACGAGAATGCCGGTACCGGCGTTTTTTTTCCACTACTCAGGTGACTGAAAAATTTTTGAAATATCATGACTGATTGGTTCACTATATGATTTAAGCGATGAGATGAGCTTGGTAACATTGAATTCCGTTATAACACACCTCCAGAGCCGGGTATTGAATCTTTCCAGTAGTTTATCGACTTCAAGATGGTGTTCCTTGGCAGATTGTCAAACGCGGCAACTAGAAGACAGTTTTCAAGCTCTCAAAATGTGTGCAAGAAGTTGAACAAATATTCTCATATCATCACTGAACCAAAGGACCAGGGTGCGTCTCAGGCCATGCTTTACGCTACCGGATTCAAGCAAGCGGATTTCGAAAAGGCGCAGGTCGGTGTTGGGTCTTGCTGGTGGAGTGGTAACCCATGTAATATGCATTTGATGGACTTTAACCACAGGATCACGGAATCTGTTAACAAGGCCGGCTTGAAAGGAATGCAATTCAACAGCATTGGTGTTTCAGACGGTATCTCCATGGGTACGGATGGTATGCGCTACTCCTTGCAAAGTAGAGAAATCATCGCTGACTCTTTCGAAACTATTATGATGGCCCAGCACTACGATGCTAACATTGCAATTCCTTCGTGCGACAAGAACATGCCTGGTGTCTTGATGGCATTTGGTAGACACAACAGACCCTCCATCATGGTGTACGGAGGTACCATCATGCCTGGAAGCCCCACCTGTGGTTCGCAGAAGATCCCAGAGAAGATTGACGTTGTGTCCGCTTTCCAATCGTATGGACAGTACTTGTCCAAGAATTTCACCGAAAAGGAACGTCTAGATGTGGTGCAGCACTCGTGCCCTGGACCAGGCTCCTGTGGTGGTATGTACACTGCCAACACAATGGCCTCGGTTGCCGAAGTGCTTGGGCTCACTTTGCCTAACTCATCGTCCCACCCTGCAGTTTCCGATGCAAAACTTGCTGAATTGGACAACATCGGTGAAGCTATCAAAAAGACCATGGAACTGGGTATTTTGCCCCGTGATGTCATGACTAGAGAATCCTTCTTGAACGCTATCACATATGTCGTGGCTACAGGTGGCTCTACCAACGCTGTGCTACACATGGTTGCTGTGGCCAGTTCTGCAGGCGTGAAGATCACACCAGATGACTTCCAGCGCATTAGTGACAAAACCCCATTGTTGGGTGACTTCAAGCCTTCTGGTAAATACATGATGTCGGACCTTTACCCTCTTGGTGGTACTCAAGCCGTTATCAAGTCGTTGTTCGAACAAGGTCTGCTAAATGGAAACACCATCACTGTGACTGGTGAGACCCTTGGCGAGCGTGCTGAAAAAGCTACTGCTCTACCAGAGGGACAAGACCTTTTCAGACCTTTGTCCAACCCCATCAAACCTCAAGGTCATCTACAAATTTTGTACGGGTCCCTTGCTCCAGGCGGTTCGGTTGGTAAGATCACCGGTAAGGAAGGTACTTTCTTCCAGGGTAAAGCCCGTGTTTTTGACGAAGAAGCAGGCTTCATTCGCGCATTGGAAAACGGGGAAATCAAGAAGGGAGAAAAGACTGTGGTTTTGATCCGTTACCAAGGCCCTAAGGGTGGCCCTGGTATGCCTGAAATGTTGAAGCCTTCTTCCGCCTTGATGGGTTACGGATTGGGTCAAGACGTTGCCTTGTTGACTGACGGTAGATTCTCAGGTGGTTCCCACGGGTTTTTGATCGGTCACGTTGTCCCAGAAGCCGCAGAGGGTGGTCCAATTGGTCTCGTCAAGGATGGCGACGTTGTCACTATCGATGCCAACAACAACAAGATCGATGTTGCTATCTCTGAAGAAGAAATGGCCCAGCGTAGATCCGAATGGGTCGCTCCTGCCCCTCGTTACACCAGAGGAACGCTTTCCAAGTACCACAAACTTGTTCGCAATGCTTCTTTGGGCTGTGTCACCGACGCATAAGTGAAACTTCCTTCTAAAGGAGTCACCAGCAAACGTCACACTTCAAATTCGTTCAATTTTTTTGAAGAGAACTCATAGAATGAAATCTAAGAGTTGTCTAGATATTTATAACAATCACTAAATAATGTAGCATCCAGAAATTAAACCTGTCCATTGAATGGACGGTTCACGCACTAAAGTTCTATCTATCGGCTAACTTGAGTTGTTCAAGTTGTGTTAGCTAGCGAGCATTGGAATATTTGTATCATTTTGTACTAAGGAATTTTTCACCATCTCATCGCATCTATCTCATCTCATCGCATCGCATCTCATCGAATTCCAACTCCATTTTACCGCCTAACAACAAGGGACTGCGATGATTGTACAAGAGGGTATTTTCATCGGTGGCAACAGACAAACTCAAGTCAGCTGTTACTCTTCTGAGCACGAAATTCTGGCTTTTGGAGCTGGAAAAACAATTGCTTTATGGAAACCTTTGGATTCCAGTAGTTATGGGGTTTTCAAGACTTTAAAAGGCCACAACGCTGAAGTCACTTGTGTCAGATTTGTTCCTGGAACAAATCTGTTGGTTTCAGCATCGGAAGACTTCCAGATCAGAATCTGGAAAAAGCGTAATAGCACACTAGAAAACGGTAGCGCTACTTTCGAATGCATCCAGACATTGACCTACCATAAACATTCCATTACTGCCATTTCAGTGCTCGAGACTATGTTCGTTGTTGGCTGTGCAGATGGATCGGTCTCCATATGGAGTCTAGGCGATGCAGACGAAGCACAACTGATTCACGCCTTCGAGCCCAGAAAGAACACTTTTCCTCTATGCTTGGCTTTGCAGGAGATCCACAACAACAAAATCCTGCTGGCCATTGGCGGGACTAGCACTGACGTTCTTATATATTCTTTTCTGTGGGAACCGAAAACTTCAGAACTATCTGAATTCCAGCAGGCAGCTGTCCTGGAAGGTCACGAAGACTGGATCAAAGCCATGGATTTCCACAAGGAATCACCCGGGAACTTGATGCTTGCCACGGGGTCTCAAGATCGATACATTAGGCTGTGGAAAATACGAGTGAACGAGCTCATCGATACTTCAGACGAGGACGAATCTAAGCTCAAGCTCCTGAGCAACAAACAAAACAAGTTCTCAATCGGTCCGGATTTCAAAGTTGCCATCAGTTTTGAAGCTTTGATAATCGGTCACGACGACTGGATTTCCAGTGTGCAATGGCATGAAAACCAGTTACGTCTTTTGGCGTCAACCGCGGATACCGCAGTTATGGTGTGGGAACCCGATGAGGAATCTGGGGTGTGGGTGTGTACTTCCAGACTTGGTGAGCTGTCATCTAAGGGTGCATCCACTGCTACAGGGTCTGCAGGGGGATTCTGGTCGTGTTCGTGGCTAATCAAAGATGGAGAAGACTACATTGTAACTAATGGAAAGACCGGATCTTGGAGAATGTGGAAATCGGACAGTTCAGGCTTATGGGATCAACAGCTCGCTCCAACTGGTCCGGTCAAAGCTGTCACAGATGTTGCATGGGCGCCTAATGGTCGTTACTTATTGCTGACGTCCTTGGATCAAACAACAAGACTGATTGCCAAATGTACCGACCGTCAATCGAAAAGTTCGGACTCTTGGTTCGAGTTTTCAAGACCTCAGATTCATGGTTACGACATGGTGTGCGTCGAACCCATTTCAAATACGAAATTCGTTAGCGGCGGTGACGAAAAGATTCTAAGATCTTTCGAAGAGCCAAAAGGTGTTGCTCAAATCTTGAACAAATTCTCTAGTATCTCTATTGAGGACGAGAACAATATGCCCGAGTCCGCATCGCTCCCTGCACTTGGTCTATCTAGTAAAGCTACCACAGAAGCCGAGCTAGAAGAAAATGATGACCCTGACGTGAGGGAATCTAACGAAACAAAGAATATCTCCTTTGATCTCATCACATCTTCATCAGAGCCGCCAATTGAAGATCAGCTTCAGAGGCACACCCTGTGGCCAGAAATCGAAAAGCTGTATGGTCATGGCTACGAAATTTCATGCTTGGACGTGAGCCCTGATGCTAAGTTGATAGCGTCGGCGTGTAAGTCTAACAATACGCAGCACGCTGTGATACGAATGTTTGACGTGGACACATGGCTACAAGTGAAACCTGCAGAACCTTTCCACAACCTGACCATCACCAGACTACGATTTTCGAAGGATAATACACATCTGCTGAGCGTAAGTCGCGATAGACAATGGGCTATTTGGGAAAGAAACTCATCAACCAATGAACTTGATTTGGTCCATAAGAACGAAAAAGCTCACACCAGAATTATTTGGGACTGCGAATGGGCTCCTTTGGACTTCGGTCAAGTTTTCTTCACGGCTTCAAGAGATAAAAGTGTCAAAGCCTGGCGCTTCACTCCTGAATCAGGAACGTATACGCAGATATCCCACGTAAAGCTGTCTGAACCAGTAACGGCCCTAGCGGTATACCCTGAACTTATCAATGCAAAAGTCTTATTGGCGATCGGGCTAGAAAGTGGTTCTATTCAACTACAATTGTATGATGATGACTTTGACAAAATCATCGAGCTAAATGACGAAATTACAGCAGCGGACAGAATCAATAGACTAAGGTGGTCGTCATATCACGAAGATGGTTCGTTCACGTTGGCAGCTGCAAGCGCAGACCATTCTGCTCGTGTTTATTCCGTTGCGCTCGAACAGGTGAAGAAAGCATCAGGAAATTAACACTACCCAAAACTCGGCTCAGAGATCAGAATGTAACTGTCCAGGAACTTAACCAATTTAAATTCTTATAGTTTTTTGCAGGACCGTCCATTCCTTGCGCGAGTGGTGAAAGTAGAATGTAGATGTAGATACATCCGCCGAACAAAAACACGTACAAGAAGTCTCTGACATGATATCTGTTAGGAATGCATCTCTCCAGCAGAAATCCAAAAACGATTATGGCAAAATACAACGCAGGAACGTAGTGATGGACGTAAGTGACTCTCCCCATGAAAACAAAAGGTAGGTAGTGTAATAGCCATGCCAAGAATGGCAAAACACCTTGTATTCCCAATTTGCAAAGATCATCACTTGTAACTCTCAAAGATTGTCTTTTCCATCTAAGCGTTAGTTGTGCAAAGTACAGCACGGCTAGCGCTAAGGCGGCGGTTGAGAGCCAGGTTTGAAATGGCGAGCCCAGCAGATAGTATCTCACATTTTGGAGGCTCCATCCGCACATTCTGAGACCGGTATGAAGTGTAGGCCATTCCCATGCTTTAGTTGCCAAAGAATCATACTTGTCCTGGTCTGGAACTAAGGCGTTGTTAGAAGAAGCCATTGCAAAGTTTATCAAGACAAAATCAGCCCAGAATTTAGATTTTGGAGGAACGTAACCCTCTGCCTTTTCTCTATTTTCATTCCAATGGTCTTCGATGTTCCACCACGTTGATTTATCGCGACTAGTCCAGGAGTGCTTGCACACAATTTCGGCCTGCTTGAACCCCCAGGCCGGATAAGCCAGCCCCGTCGATGCAAGGTAGCATCCGAGTTCCTTATGTCTTAGCCGGAAACTGGTAGAGATGGGATGAACCACGGTAGAATCTTCTTTTGGAAATGAAGAATTGGAAGAGTGGAGCTGCTCAACGATCTCAACAATCCAGTCGTCCTTCGTGTCGCCGACCATCTCGTCTCCATACCCTGAAACCTCGTAACAGTTTTTAGAGACATGAGCTGGAATGTCATGCGAATGTAGGTTGGCTTTGGTGTTTTTATGAACAAGACGAATCTCTGAGTCATGGTGCAAGGTGATAGAGTCGCCGCGAAGTAAGCCGTTCGCATCAACATCTTCTCCAGATCCTCTAGAGAAATTGATCACCCAATGGTTGTTATTATCAGAGTGACCATAGCCGGTTATTTGATGCTGACCTGAACCAAAAGGATAGAGCTGGACATGTGAATGTAGTAGATTGGGACTGAGACCATGCGATCTGATGCTTACTGTTGACCCAAAAGCGACATCTCTGGGTCCCATTTCGATCTTATTTCCCTCAAGATTCACTTGAAATAGCGTGTTCGTAGAAGCATCGCCTGTTCCTGACTTATGCAGAATGGTGAAGTGGATCTTAAAACAAAAGAGGTAAATCATGAATGGGATGATTATCAAATTGATCACACGAATCACCCAGTGCTTATAGTATTGGATTTTACTCATTCGTGGATCGTGGTAGCTAACGAAAAGGTCCGTAGCGGTGTAGATGCCGGCCACCAAAGTGATGAACAAACCTACCCATTTTACAGAGCAGACACATCCGATGGATATCCCCAGCAGGAGCATCCACAAAGACCATTTTTTCGTGAACTGTTTTTTGCGCAGCGTGTGGATCTTAGTGATGCAATAAAACGTTGTGGCAGTGAAGAACAATAGAATGGAATCCAAAAGAATGAATTTGGATAAGGCTATGTAGGACAATTCCAGAGCCACCATAAGTCCAAGTAGCATCGAGCCCAAAAAACTAAAGCCGATGTTCCGTGCTGACAGTACCATGAGAGGAGCACAAAGGGCGCCAAATGACGCATTGAATTGGCGCATGAATTTGAAGTTAACGCCCTCTGGAAATGGTGCTCCGGAGTCGAATTCAAAGCTTCCGTCAAACCCGGTTAAATACTCACTGAGTGCAATGAGCATTTTACCTAGCGGTGGATGAACGTCGTGGTAGAATTCATTTTTGATGTAATACGCTCCAAACTTCCCAAAATGCGCTTCATCCCACACCACTATGTTGCTGGCATCGATTCTTCTAAATCTCACATAAAAGGCCAAAATTGTAATGATTCCAGCCCCTAAGTACTCTATGATTGAGCTGATATCTTTTTCACGGTATTGGCCCTTTTCTTTCTCGCCCTCTGGTAGAATTTCAGATTCTTCAGCTAACTCTTTGTTCACAAAGTTCTCATCAAAGTTCTTATTCCGGTCCCGAAGCCTCAGCTCAGATGACTTGGGTAAAAACCCAGTTGTGGTCATTGCTTGATGAGATGCAAATACTAGCTTGGCCGGAGCTTCCTTTTGGTTTTTTTGAAGGATTCTTTGATCAAGTTTGGCGTTCAACTTTGGTATAAATAAGGCTATAAATTCAGGAAAGAAGCGGAAACAGTGACATCTACAAGAAGATCCCGGAAAAGATGCCTTGTAGTTCAACTTTAAGTAGTATCAGCTAGTTCGGAAGCTAGATGATTTCTTTCTGGCTTCTTCTGGTAAGAATTGAGACATGAACCTAAATATTACACATTTTGAAATCGCGAATGGGTCGCAGTTCTTCGAACTTGACACAGTTCCATAGAGAAGACTCCATTCTTTCGCGGTCCCCGTAATTCTCGTAAACTTGTGCCAAATACCACCAGAGTTCTGGTGAGTGGTAACCGTCTATAGATTTGTCGATGATCGCTTCGAGTAAAATTTTGAGTCTGGCAAACGCAGCAGATTTGTCTTTATCACCAATGAAAGCGTCATTTTGGGGAGCATCTTTTTTCTGTACAGCCATGTTGTGCACCTCGTTCTCGTCAGTATCCGGTATCAGACATTTGGCAAATCCAACGGTAGCGTCAATGTTCATCGGGTCGTAGAATAATACTTTCTCGAACAACTCAAGAGACCGTTTTTTGTCTGTGGCCAAAGACATGTAACCCTCGGCCAAGTCGTTATTGAGGTTTTGGAATTTCGTAGTTTGAGCGCGGGACTCTGCAAGAGCTTCTCGGGAGTCGCTTGGAGACCAGCACATATACAGCTTCACGACGAATAACCACACAGTTTGCTGGAGATACTCTTTGCTTTTGTTGAACTCAGGACCTAGGTTGCAACCATCTGTCATTTCGGGAGGAAACGCAGAATCGAGGAGTTCAAAGAGCTCGGGAAGAAGCTCTAGGGCGTCCTCGACACCAAACATATCAACGGTTATTTTAAGCTGGGTCAGTTTGAGATGCACCATTTGCCATCTCTCGGCGGTGGATAACGTCGTGCCATCTTGTAGCGCTTGTTGTAGAGCCTGTAGTACCGAGCACACTATCCTGAAAGAAACTGTTTTGTCTTCGTTCGTCGACTCGCACAGAGCGAGCAAATGCCAAGCACGATAGTTTTCGGGCTCTTTTTCAAGGATAGCGCTCTTGATGAACTTGATGGCTTGAGCTATTTCGCGCTTTTGCGCCAACGTATAAGCATAGTTGAAATTGAGAGTGTCAGAAGTAGAGTCAACAGCAGTTGCGTTAGCCAGGTAGTATGTGTGGAAAGACTGGAAAAAACTGTTTATATCCTCGCGCTCGTATTCATATAGGCAATTCCAAGATTGCGCCAAGATTCTCAAAAGCTTTGAGGGCAAAAAAATTCTGGTCGCGTTTGAGGCCACATCCAAAGATTGTTCTCTCTCTATCAGCGGCAGCGAAATTTTGTCGTAAAACTCGCGAAGTAAGGTCTTGAAGTTGCGTAGAAAGCCATCGACACTGAACACATTTTCGATTTCGAGATCACCGGGTTGACTAGCAATGAACCTATAGCTCTCTAATATCGAGACGATATCTAGCCAACGGCCATCATTTAGATGCTTATAGTTCTCGTTATAGCTCATAAAATTGACGAAATTCAAAACCGCTTCTTTATTTTCTTTAATCAGACCAAAATATATCATGGCTGTTCTTGAAACCTCCAGACTTTGAAATGTTTTACCCAAAGATTGTACAATGAAGTTGCGCCATTCCGCTTTGGGAGACCCGCGATTGAGGAAGTAGTATTGAAGAACCACATGGAATTGTTCTAGATCGAAATCGTTTCGCTCTTCAGCGGTGGGAAACTTGGCGGCCTTGAGTAATCTAGTTCCAATCTCGAGTAACTGCTGCTCATGGTCGGCAGAGTCTGCTTGGACCGCGATATAGTAGGTCACGTTAGAGGGCTTCAAATGCTTGAGCACCTCATTCCAGTTCATTTGAAGTCTAGCCACCATTAAATCCAAGTAATGAAACGTTAAAGCGTGTGCTTCGCGCGGTAGTTCCGTGAGAAGCTTGGGGATATGTTGCAAATAGTGGTGTACTGTCTCCTCTTCAGTTTTCAACACTCCAATGAAATATAAAGTTTCAAGTTGCAAAAAGGTTTCAAATGGTCCCGGTACGAGTGCCACCTGTTGTGCCTCTTCCAAAGACCGCTGTGCTGACTTCACGTCTGACAGCTGATATTTTAAGATTCCTTGCAGGTTCACCCATATTCTCTTTTTGACCAAATTAGAAAGACTATGATGGTCAACTTTGTTCAATTCACCTAGGAGAACCTTGAAAACGTCTTTATTGGCAGTGCTACTGCCAAATACATGGTAATGGGTCCTATAATGCAGGCTCAAAAGAGCGTTCAACTCTTTGTCTGAACAACTGAACACGCCACAGCCTAGCAAACGGTCCTGGAGTGCAATTGAGTTATCTTCAAGTTCCTGGGTCATATTGGAGCGAGTTGCGAGACCTGGATCGACACGGTTGTGGCACAGAGCTCGATCTGGAGATGATTAGTCTGCGCTAGCGAGGTCTATCTGTTTTCTACTATATATGAATAGATATAGACCTGGTGGTGTCACTATGTACGAGTGTGGAATCCAAAAACTTCAGTTCACTCCTCTGCCGGAGTCCCATCAGCATTTGTGGTAGGTTTCTTCTTCTTTTTCGTGTCAATCTTCTCGACTTTAACGTCTTTCATTCCCTTTTCCTCCAGCAATTTGTGGATGTAGGCCTCGACTTCGTCTGCCAGATCACCTTGGATGACAATTTCTTCCTTTTTCTCGGCGTTCTTGGAAACTGAGCAGCCCGTAGCGAATTTCGATGCAAACGTCTTGGCCAACTTCTTCATATCGATTTCAAACACCTCAAGCCCACTAATGGCTACCATACTTTTCCGTTTAGTACGGGCTTCTCTTCTAATGATCACTTTGGACGAAAGCTTTTTCGCCAATTCTCGTTGTTCGCGGTTTTCTTGTTTGGACTGCAGTCTCTTGAGGTCCTTTTCCAGTTTTTCTTCACGTTCGTCGCCAATGGAGCTGGCGGCCAGCTTGCTGGTTGTTTCTTCGACCGCTGCATCGTCGTAATATTTGGAATACAGACTTGGATGCTTTTCTTGCACCCAGACCTTACAACGCTTCAACTTCCCGGAAAACTCACAGTAATCTAGGGGGTAAGTGCATACATCACAGTAGACAACAGATTTGAGAGACATGGTGCAGAGATGCAAGGGAACAGTGCTGTTGTGAATGATCCATTTGTCGGAAAATCGATTCCTGCAGAGCTAAGCTCATCTACTAATTTACGATCTTGGTTATTGAGATTTGTGATCTTGTTGTACGAGAGAGATGTGTTCAAATGAATCTTTCTGTTTCTAAGAGCCTGACTTGTAGACTTTGGACGTTTATGATGCAATGTGTGCTATTTTCCAGCACTGTGGAGCCTAGTGTGAGTTTGCTGAATGTGTGAAGGTCTTGTTTGGGGTTATTTTTGTTGATAACAGTAGTGGTAAAAATGACAATGGTCTTCCCAAAAGCCTTTGACTACCCGTGGAGTACGGCATATACTTTGATGCAAAATAGGCTTGTTGCAACAGAGCTTTCAGAGCGAGTAGGAAAGCCGATGGGAATAGCCAGAATTAGTGAATTGGATGTCACTCTGTACTATTCTGTCGCTGACGTTCGAGAAAAGGTTGAAACCATTGAACAGGATTTCAATAAGCGTCCAAAGCAGTTTGATTTCCTGGAGCACTAAAAACTAGTCTTTAACATAAGCCAGGAGTCCATTAAAAACCTAAGTCAAGCTTTATTTAATGAGGTCGCGTGATTTCCAGTACATCTCACTCTTTTCACAAGACACACTCTCTCCCCTCGCCACTCAGCCCACCAAATATGTTCTGCTCTTGAACCTTGTCACAGCTTAGTCCATAACTGGCTTCAAGTAACACTCTGGCTCTCTAACACGTATATCACTATACACGCTGAGAGGAGCCCACAATGTATAATTCAATACCGGAACAAGAGAGAGATGCCCATCAGGAACACCCGGTGAGCAAGCCCAAAGAAGTCGTCAAGTGACGGTTGAAGGCTTGTATTAGAGCCTGGTTTAGATACTGTGATCGATTTCTAATGAGCGATAACTTTGGGAGGAAAAAATCGCAGCGATGGGTGAGCGTTTCCAAAGGAAACTATAACGGTCAAGAATGGGACAGCAGTGACGAAGAAATGGACGGTTTCGATCACTCAAGTAATCCGTCTGGGTCTAAACCGATCAGTAAAAAAGCACCACCTCTGCCTGAATTGAGCAATGGTAATCCCACAAACGAAATAATAATAAAGAAGGTTGAAGATTCCCAGATAAATGAAGGCACAGACGAACGTTCATCAACGGGATCGGCTTCAAGTGGTCAAAAATCCGATAAAGAAACTCCAAATCATGAAACGGACTTGGCAAATGCTAATAAGGAAGGTGCCAACTCTGTGGCTTCGGAATTTCAGTACTCAGAATCTGATGACGACGATGACGAAGAATACAGGGTACCCCAGACAGGATACTTTGCAAGCTTAATGAACAAACAAGAGTCAACAAGTGGTAATGAGCTTTCGCAGGAACCAATTGAGACGGCAAGTTCTCTCGAGGATGGCCATAGAAACAGTACAGAGACCAAAAATTCCGCTAACGTAAAGCCGTCGTTGGACTCTCCTAAAGAGTCTTTGGGTGATAGAAAGGATTCAGTTTCGGAATTAGAGTCCTCAAACATCCAAAAAGAGCTGCGTCTTCTGAAAAATGATCCAGAAATTGGTTCTGACGAATTTGAAGATTATTCAAAATCTAAGGGAGCTCAAAGTGATGCTACGCACAATTCTAGTGGTTCAGACGAGATTCCTCAAGAAGAGAAACTACGAGGCTTGATTTCGGCAGAAACGTCTTCTAGCGCTCCGTCGGAAAACTTACACGCAGATCACTATTCGTCAAGTCAGGATGAAGTTCGAAGGTCGCATTTCGGGTCACGTCGTTCAAACCGGTCACTTAGTGAGGAGCGCAATCCACTTGGCGAGTTACATGAAGGACTCTCAAATCAAAATACGCCAGTGAGGTCCTCACATTCGCGAAGGAGGAGCGTGGTAACAGATGCTTCTGAGGAATCATCCACGAATCGAAAATCCAGCATCAATTCATCTGATGGGTATGAGGATAATGCTTCATTTTTCAATCAGTATGGAAACAATAGCCCGCAATCTTCATCTGCAGGTGGGAGCTCTAGATCTCCGCATAAAGGACAAGCTTCATCACCTTTGCATTTAAGGTACACATCTAAAACGGAGCTTCGTCCCTCGGACCGGGCGGAGCAAGACTCCATAGCAGAAGAGGAGGAAGATGTCACGAACGACAAACAACACTCTTACGCTGATACTGGTGTCATCGATTCAGATGACGATGACGACGCTGAAAGTGTCATAAGAGTTCCAAAAAACGGCTACTACGCTCAGATCATGAAAGATCTTCCAAAGGATGCCACCAAAAACGAAGAAATTGAAGCTGATGGCAGCCAAGACGACGCGGAAAGTGACCTGGTAAGCTCCGAAAGTGGCTCAATCACTGACAGTATTCAGGCCTCTCGTGAAAGGCCTATAGACAGTCAGAAAGTTTCTCACGAAGGGAAGAACAGCGGGCCTGAATCTACAAATGATGCTGCGGATGATAGTGACTCAGTGGGTACCAATGAGGATCGTAAAAAGTCGGCTTTAAGACAGTCGATCAACTTAGGTAAGTGGCAACCAGACACTGACGCGACAAGAGCGGGATTCTTGGGTGGTGCGCCATCTACATCCCAGGTTCCTGACGGATACGTGATTGATAGAGATGGCCAAGTGGTTGACCTCAATCCTTCAAAAATGAGAAATGATAGAGCGATATCTATGTACTCTGATGCCGCAAGTGCATGGAATGCATTCCCGGCATCAGCTGGTACTATGGGCGGTGACACCGATACAGTTTACGACACCAAGACAATTTATGATAACCAGACTATTTTCAATGTACCAGGTGCAATTGTAAACCATGGTACATTACCTCCATTACCTCGAGATGTGCCCAATAGTGCGCGGACCAATACATTCGCAGATTCTGACTCTATACTGAAGCACCTCAATGGCGAAAAGAGGCAGCATTCTTCTAACCTGAAGGAAGACTTCTCGGTACAAGCCCCGAACTCCAGCGAGATCGCACAGTTGAATAAAAAGACAGTTCCATCGATGAATCTGGATGCCATACTCCAATCGAGAAGCAAAACTCATGCAGGCAAAATAAGTGAATTGGAAAACTATTCGAAGGACCTAAACGACTACGATAGCGGCCTGCACACATGGATTAACTATGCTTTAAAGTCATCTGCGTCAGATAGAGACTACATTTTCGACGATTACAAGGTAAACAAGCACGTCAAAGACGCATACGCGCAAGCTGATGAGCTAGGTAAGAAAATGACAGTAAGCAATACAGTAGCAAATGTCAATCAGAATGTCTCCCACCTGAAGCGTAAAGTTTTCTCACACTCCATGAAGGAGAAATCAAAGGGTCTTTTCTCATCGATTGGAATAAAGAAGATCTGATTTGCAGCATACTCCCAGAGGTTTGGGGCTCAAAATGATAGCGATTACGAAAAAGGAAGGTAGGATTTGATGCTGTGGTTGTTATATTTTCGTATTTAGGTAAAACCATTACGAGTTATTGATTTGATGATACGTTCGCTAGTCTTTTCTCGCCGTGTTTCCTCAGCTCTTTGTCCATGAGGTCTCTGATGCGATGGGCACCCGCAATTCCAATTGCAAGAACACTTTCCATGCGGTCGAGTGCTAGTTTATCTTCAACAAGCAGCAACGATAGCTTTTCCGATCGCCCCATTACTCCCAAGGTAACGCTGCTCATAGCATTTTCTTCGACTGTATTCAGATCCAAAAGTGGAGTCGTATCGTACAGTCCTATTGAAACCCCACTTATGTAGTCGTAAATCGCAATACCAGCGTCTATCAAAGCCAGAGTAATACCGTTGATAAGAGAGCCCATGAGGCCTCCGTCTTGTTGTAAAACGTGAATCTGGATATCGATTTGAGTCCGAGGATACAGGTGCATCAGTATGTTTTTTTCAAAAGTGCGTACTAGAGCCGTCTGCATTTCGAGCACTCGTCTTTCATTTCTATGAGATGACTTGCTTCTTTCGGTTTTGGAAAATCTGGTGATATTAACAGAAACGGTCAGCACTGCTTTCGTTGCATTCGTATGTGAGCGTAGTTTAGGTTCTTGCGGTCCATTCACTAGAGTAATGATCTTATTGTTGCCCTGTTCCAAGTAAGACGAACCATCCGATGCATTGGCATGTGTATTTATTGAGCATTCAAATCGACGAAGCTCATTCCACCGACGACCATCCACACGGAGACCCTCGGGAGAGTATATCTCAAGTCTAGACATGGCTTGAAGAGGTCTTTACTTCTCTTTTTTGATGTACTCGATTTAACTAAATGTTGAAGTCTTCTCGATGAACCTGTAATTTTTCAAAAATACATTATACTGGGATCAACGTAAAACAAAAATCGACGATATGGAAATATGTCCAAAGGACTCAGCTCACAGTACCTAAATATCCTTCTTTTGCTGGATGTGGGCATTAGAACGAGCTAAATCTTGAATGAATTGACCCAGAATCCACACATTGGCAAGGAAAAATGATATGCTAGCCAAAAACAGACCGGGAAAGAACACATTTCGGCCCTTAAACTCCAATAAATAGCCTTGGAGAAGCCATAGTGCCTGTGTAACGCTCCATGCGATAGCTATGCAGATTCCTTTGGTTTTAGAGAGCTGAGTCCTTGCGAGGTAGAAGGGAAGGAAATTCAAGTACCAAATAAAGTACTGCGACGTGCACACCTTGTTGAACGTAACGAAAGCGTAAGTCTGTAGGAACAGTATGCAGAGCAGATTCAGAAAGCTGCGGTTGCGTAACACCAGCACCGATAGTCCTAGTGTCACCAACGCTTGGGGTAAAAAAGCCAGTTGCGCACCGTATGACTGGTCGGGAAGGGCAGACTGGAAATACAACAGCATGTGGAAAACCGAGAAATTGTGTCTGTGATCAGTGCGATACAAGTGGTAAAAATATGCTTGGTCCAGAAACTCGTCTCCGTAAAGGCGGTACATCCCGTAGCAACAAGATCCCAAAGAAAAAAGCGTGGCAGTTCCGATTTTGAGCAGGGCTCCGAGCCCAGCCTTTTGGTTAAAATAAACGTATGCCGCTATCGGAATGCTGTAAATGATTGGGTATATCTTGAAATGAATAGAGAGACCATAGATCAGGCCGGAAACAACGTACCTTCCTTGACGTAGACAGTATAGTGAAAGCAGGATCAGGAAACACAGCACGCTCTCAGCGTTTCCGCGGGTGCTTATAGTGATAACCATAAAATTTAGAAGCCATATTGAGCTCAGGACAAGACGCTTGCGATGTGTCTCTGAATCTAGTAGCGCCAAAATCAGTGCTCCTGTCAACAGATCAAACACTACAAAGAGCATCTTGCCAAAATGGATCCAATTGAGGTAGTGATTGGGCACTAGCAGCCAGCTCAAAAGTGGCGTATAACGGTAAGTGTCTCGCAGAAAGGGAGAGAGACCTCGAAAAACGTATTCTGCAGCATCGTGAAACACAAAATAGTCTATATCTGTGTATTTGACGTCGAAATGCTCATCTTGGTAAATGCCATAGAGAAAGAACCCAACTCTTAAAACAAACGCAACGAAGAAAAGCGTTCGAGAGCTGAAAGTTACCATGCTAGTGAAACACGGCACCTGAAACTCAATGGCGTCGTAATTGAGCTTGCAGAAGCACTCTGTGGCTCACAGCTTATGTTTTTGAGTCAATTTAATGCTAAGATTCCATACTTTGATGAACTAAACTCACTTAATTTCACTACATTAACGACAGTGAAGAACAAAGCTTCACCGGCGTTCACACAACGTGAACTTGCGCTTCACTTGTTGAACATGGATGAGCACCAACTCAGTTATGAAGAGTTGGTGGATCATATAGTCAACGACAAGCCCGTTCCTAATATTCTGCATGTACCAAACGTAACGCTTTCATCATCTCTTAGTAAAGACTCCAATATGCACCAACGGCTTAAACCGTGGGAAGCGGCAAGAATTGTGGCCACGGCGAGTGAAACTAGACCGAACCCCAAACCGCCGGCTCTGGTAGTCCCAAAAGGCGAAATACATCAATCTAAAAGCTTAGAAAGCCTATCGAAGTACTATTCCATCGAAACTGAGTTCGAAGAGCAGTTACAGAAGTTCTTGGGAAACAGCGAAGGTAGCTCAAATAGTCCAGAAAAAAGAGTGTGACCGCATTGCATAGGTCGTGTCATTATCCCTCATATTTTGCACATACATACATACATATATATATTCTAAAGTTTAAGCTCCGGAATGGAACATCGATGCATCCACCATACAAGAAAACAAAAATGACACATTTTATAAAGCCTACTGTTGTATCGTCTATCTAACTGTGATGGGGGCGTAGCTGTCCTCTATTTGGCACCGCTTGTCCGCAGAACAAACTCGAAGCACGCTAGGGCAGCAGCGTTCGCAGGGAAACTTCTCAAGAAACTAGGCACGAAACCTTTGAAAAAGCCCGGCAGACCTCGGGTGCGCCAAATATCCGACGCTGCCATTCTCCAAGACTTGAAGCTCCCGTCGTACTTGTCGCTGCAGAGCACCACCTGCTTGATAACGTCACTGGGGTAAGCCGTGGTCCAGAATCCAAATGAAGCACTAAAGCCACCCGCCCAGAAATTAATCGCAGTGTCACTCATGTTGGTGTTTTTCTTAAACCACCGTGTGAGTAGCTCGTAGGACCCCCACCAGTATACAAAATTGGTTCTGAAGATCAGAGTGCTAATCAACCCTTTGTACAGTCCTCGCACACCATTGACGCCGTAGACTTTGCGGATCACATCGATGGGTCCTTTGTATTTGGCAGTAGAGGCATCGTATTGCACTTGTAATTTAGCCTTTGCTAATTCAACTGGCGCAGCGATAAAACTGACGGACCAGCCAGCCATGACCCCACTTAATATACACCCCGAAAGCGGTAGTTTCTCCTCATGAGTGTAAACGTATTTTTTCAACAACATCCGGTAGTTGTGAAGACATCCTAGCATGACGGAATCCATCAAAATCCATCCAACCAGTGGAGGAGTGAACCCCAAGTAAAAACCCCGCACACCTTGCTGCTTCATCGTTTGATAAACACAGTCCAAAGGTCCCCTGAATCGTCCAGTATCCTGGGACGTCTGTAATCTCACTTTGATGGTGTCGAATGGGTGTCCTACCGCATTTTTAGCAAATCCTGAGAACATACCCGCAACAAATCCCATTAAACGCGAGTACGTCTCATTCGGTATTGCCACATTTTTTTCAGCGGTACCAGCCATTGTAGAGACACTACTTTGGTTGCAATGTTGCGAGAATTGGACGTTTTTCAAGAGTGCTCATCGAGCTCATCGCCTAAATTTTTCATTTTCTAGTAATGACACACACTGTTTAACAATGAGATACCACTCCCGGCGACGACTAAAAGCACCTGAGCAAGCGCTTTGAAAGACCTGATCTTTATTTGTTGGTGTTGGTAAAATTGTAGACGAAATTCCGACTATGTAGACGGTGTTAGGTATAGGTATCCTACTTCGCAATGAGAACCTGGACATTAAAATCAGAAATGGAAATGGGAATTACACTATATTCTGGTGGAGCGGTGAGTATTCCTGGTCTATTCTAAGGCGGTTCCAAATGTTTTGTTAGGCCCTACAATCTGAAATTAGAAACTTGAGTGAATAAAACTCTCGGATTGCCAGCTGTGATCACAATTTCGAAAAAAAGATGGTCTATTAAAACTGCAAGAGGGATGTTGTCTCAAACACATGTTTAATAGCAGTTTAAATCTCCAGTGAATCTTTACCAGCAACTGAATCTGTTCGGTGATCATCAAAGATGTCTCATCAATGCTGACGCTATCCTACATCTGGGTTAACTTCTTGTCACTTCGTCCTCTGCTGTCTGTCATTTCGTACCGTCCTGTCATCGAAAAATAGTCATTGATCTTTCAGCATAGGAACAACCATACCGCGGGGTGATAGTCTGATATATCACCCGTACGAATCGACGCTTACTCGCCACTGCGTTCTACGTTTCGTTTCCATATTTGGGACAGTTTTTGGTAAAAACTAGGAAGAAGACATCGACCTAGAGAAGGGCAAACGAGCAAGACATTCAGATTTGATAAGTGTCGTAATGTTCACCATGCATCAGTTGCACAATTGCAATGAAAGTATAGCTTCTTTTTCTCATTTTCGTTAAGATTCATCGTTCATACTTTGTTCTTCTTGATCGCGGTTGACAAGCTCAAACGCTTAGCCGTTGACTGAGGAAATTCCAGCTCCGGAGTAAACAATACTAAAACAATATATCAAAGATTATATATGCCATTTTTCCAGCCCTTGAGAGCTCACCCTGTCGTCTTTTCTTAGTCTTTCGTTATGGTCTCATCGACCTCGAAATATAGTATAGTTAATGTAATTATTACAAGTTATTCAAGTTAAGATTTCCCTTTTCACGTCGAATGAACCCGTTTGTCTGAAATTTTAGGTCTTCTGCTACCTCATAAAACTGTTCTTAAGATCTCATCACGCTCCCTTCTTCTGTTTGGCTTCAATTCACTTCCCATGTCCGAGGTCACAGTGGAAACGACACAGCCTGGTGATCTCAACGAACAAATGCGTAACTGCACACTCGCTCTAGAGCAATATTTGCAGAGCTTTATAAGCTTAACGTTCTTCGTGTGTTTCCATAAATCAAGGGAAAGCGATACCGCAGCTGCAGACAGGACGTTTGAAGAACTGCGCTTAAAAACGAAAGGGTTAATGTCTCAAACACGAAAAGTGCTCGAGTCCTCGAATGAACTTGGTCCAGCTACGCTCAAGACATTGCTAAGCCCTCAATTTCTACACGAAACTCGTGAATGTTCACAAACCCTTTATGACGAAATGGCAGAGGTTTTAAGGCGAATTGAAGAAAATGACCTTGAATTTCTTGTGGGGATGCTACCAACACTCCGAGCCATGCACAACTGCATTCTAGGTTTCATACAGATATGCCATTTTGTTCGAAAACTACCCGTTCAGCAACAATACTCTTTATCTGCGCTTCAAACCCAAGTACTGGAAAAAGAGCTGCGGAGCGATCTTCTCGATCCTTGGCAAACACAAGTCAACCGTCTGGTCAACTGTGTCAATACAAGCGTCTTCGTGATTGAGTTTTGTACACAGCAACACAAGGTGAAGGAAAAAATGGACAACCTTCGAGAAAATGGAGCTCTCGAAGACGGTTGGCCCTACTGGAGAAGTAAAGAAGAACGTGCAGCTGCCCGCGTCGAGGTTCTAACAGAACTACAAGAACACTCGAAGGAAACAGAAGAGAACAAAAGAGAGGACAAATCCAGATAACAGCCTAAGCAAGTACACACAAACCACCTGGTATAGCTTCAGCAGATGCAGCTCGTTGATCGAAGATATAAGGCAAGCATACTGATTTGAATGGAACATCTTTAAACACCCGTACACCACATGCAAATGTCAGCTGATTATAGCACGCTACACGAAATCACCCAATAAAAGATCACTTCTAGTGCCCAGACGATACATCATCCCGTTGAGAACTCCTAGACATCCAAAAAAGACATGTCTGAAGTGCTCCAAGAGATCCAGAAAAAGCTAGTGTTCCCAATTGACTTTGCCAGTCAGCGTCGCACGGACCAATTGGTGCATCGTGCTCTACTTTTCGGCACTATTTCAGCAAGTTTAATCGGGTTTCTCACCCAATCGCTTTTCAATCTAGTGATCGGTTTTGGAGCCACCGTCGCACTATGTATGCTTGTGACTCTTCCCAGCTACACAACGTACAACAAGAAACGCCTTGAATGGGTCAAGCCCAAGATTCGGGTGTAAAAATTTTGAAATCGCTCTGTTTTTCGCGCAATTCAAGCCCTTTTTTTCAACATTCTCGAAAACGAAGCCAATTGAAAAGGATCTCGTCATATCAACTCCATTGTACGTTTCGAATCCCAGAGATTTGAACTCTTGCTACTTCGACCCAGTTTGAGTGAGTTGTAGACGTCTAGGAAGGCAGTTTGCCCGGTTCGGTCATGTTATCGCAAACAATCTCGTGATACTACGTATACAGCGGAATACACCCAATTGGTATAAAAGCTCGAAGGTATAAATAAGGTGGAGGAAAGAAAAGATCCTAAGGATAAACAATCAACGGCTTCGTCTCCGATCGCTTATACCTCGGTCAACAACTAAAGGCTCAGAAATTCAAAATGACTGACCATTTGGGGGCTCTTTACTTGGGATTCGATCTTTCTACTCAGCAGCTAAAATGCTTGGTCATTGACCAAAACTTGAGATTAGTTCATTCAGAAACGGTCGTTTTTGAGAAGGATTTGGCCCAGTACAAGACGGAAAAAGGAGTCTACTTCCATGAAGACGGTACAGCCGAATGTCCGGTAGCAATGTGGCTCGAAGCAATCGATATAGTATTCGAGAAAATGAGCCAGCAGACTAATATCGACTTGTCAATGGTGAAGGGGATGAGCGGATCGTGCCAACAGCATGGATCCGTGTATTGGTCGAAAGAGGGCCCCGAGCTGCTTCCTCAGCTTACCGAGGATGCCAGTTTAAAGGATCAACTTGCAGCTCGTGCGTTTTCTAGAAACGTGTGTCCAAATTGGCAGGACCACAGCACCGGAAGTGAGTGCCAACAATTCGAAGAAGCATGCGGTGGAGCTGCGGAATTGGCGCATGTCTCCGGTTCTAGGGCCCATCATCGCTTCACGGGACCTCAAATCCTGAAGATTGCGAAAAAAGAACCTGAAACGTATGCCAATACGCACAAAATATCACTGGTATCATCGTTTCTGGCTTCTGTTTTGGCCGGCCAATTCACTACTTTGGAAGAAGCGGACGCTTGTGGTATGAATTTGTATGATATTGAAAAACGCGCTTACGACGACACCCTGCTCAAGTTGATCGACGAAGACACGCAGAGGCTTAAAGAAAAGCTTGGGGGTACTCCTATACCATCTGAGAAACCGGCCCCCGTAGGCATCATCTCATCGTACTTTGTCAAAAAGTACGGTTTAAATCCCGAATGCCAAATTTACCCTTTCACCGGAGACAACCTAGCCACCATATGCTCTTTACCCTTACAACCTAATGATGTTCTAGTGTCTTTGGGTACCAGCACAACGATTCTGCTCGTTACAGATCAATATCATCCGTCCCCCAACTATCACTTGTTTCTTCATCCAACGATCCCCAAACATTACATGGGCATGATTTGCTACTGTAATGGTGCACTTGCGAGGGAGAAGATCAGAGATGAACTGAGCGAAACGCACGACTGGGAGCCTTTCAACACTGCTGTCACTTCACAGTCTCTCAATAATGATAACGAAATTGCATGCTACTTCCCCCTAGGAGAAATTGTGCCAAACGTTCCTAGCTCCTACCGTCGAGCAATCTTTGGCAAATCCTCCGACGGGAAAGGTGTTGAGCTAAACTTGGTCGAATCATTTGAAAACGTGGCCCACGATGCCAAAAACATTGTTGAATCCCAGGCGTTGAGCTGTCGCGTCAGAATCAGTCCGCTTTTGTCGGAGGATTGCGCAGACACGAACTGCAGAATGGGATCTTCTCTAGTGCATTTCGACTGTGACAACTTTCCACTTACAGAGTACACAAAACGTCCCAGGAGAGCATTCTTTGTTGGAGGTGCCTCCAAAAATGATGCGATTGTTACACGGTTTGCGCAGGTCTTGGGAGCCACAGAGGGAAATTTCCGCTTGGAAACGCCCAACTCTTGCGCGTTAGGTGGATGCTATAGGGCCCTATGGTCACATCTGTCGTATGAAAAGCTGACGTCGTTGACCTTCGACCAGTTCCTAAACAAAAATTTCAGATGGGACACAGATGTCAATTCCGTAGGCTCGACAAAAGAAAATGACTGGCTGTATTACAATGGTAAGATTCATGCACTAAGCGAGTTGGAGAAGACCCTGTGAAAATGTAGCGTACACACTGAATACCAAGAGTAAGTTCTGGACTATCGAGCGTATGTACAAATGAGATAATTAAGTTGATTTTCGTTGAACCCTTAGAACCATTTTATAGCTGGTTAATCACACCAGTGCCCCAAAACCTGTGAATACTTTTGAAAGAAGCGCCAGCTACGGATTGGTAGCAGGTTCAGCTTCTCATGCATTTCCCCACACTGTTTAGTCACCGATAACTTCCCGTAAAGATCTCAAAATTCCACACGGGAAATTTCACAAAATAGCCAACAAAGGCCTTTATTATTCTGGGAAGTTGTGCGTCTTATTGGAGTCTGCTGCTAGGCTAGTAATTTTCGTGACGCTTGCTTTACTGTGATATCGCGATCTTGTTCACCATGTTAAATCTTATTGGTAGGGAAAAAAATTGTATGTTGAATATAAGAATTGAAGCTCATCATCAAAGATAGATTATAATTTCAAACCACTAAAAGAGCGTTTAACACAGGTTTGTGGAGTACGTGAGGCATCTAGAATGTTTGTTCGCAATGCTTTGACTGGTTCTGTAAAAAAAACGGCTCTCTTCCGATGCCTACACAGCGGACAATCGCTTTTCAAAGCCGAAGTGTTTGCAATGCCAGCTATGTCCCCTACAATGGAAAAAGGTGGGATTGTGGAATGGAAATTCAAAGTTGGAGAGTCCTTTTCTGCTGGTGACGTTCTGCTGGAAGTGGAGACCGATAAGTCTCAAATCGACGTGGAGGCCCAGGATGACGGGAAGCTAGCAAAGATTATGATCGATGATGGAGCCAAAGATGTGAAGGTTGGTGAGCCCATTGCTTATTTGGCAGAGCCCGAGGATGACTTGGCTACTTTGGAATTTCCTACCGAAAGCGCTCCCAAGCAAGCAAAACCACAGGAAACCGCTGAACCTAAAGCGTCTTCGAAGACTCCCGTAAACGACGACTCCAAGCAAAAGAGCGAAAGTCGCGCTGCCAACAGCGGTTCGTCTTCATCTGGGAAAGCCAATGCTTCTCAAGTGCTGCTCCCATCGGTGCAGATTCTACTGCACGAAAATGGAATATCTAATGAACAGGCTTTGAGCAGCATCCCTGCGTCCGGTCCCAAGGGCAGAATTCTCAAAGGTGACGTTTTGTCGCATCTAGGTAAAATTTCTGAGGGCTCGGTCACCAAACTTACGAAATACATTCAAAAATTCGAAAAACTAGACCTCTCCAACATAGAATTGAAGCAACCAGAACCACAACAAAAGCCTAAGGAAAATGCCCCTGCAAAGCCACAACCTGTGGTGCTTTCGGAGCAAATTCATTTCAAGACGGCTCCTGACGTCAACACGGAGCAACTTCTACGGTCGTTGAAAGCTTATATCAACGAGGCCAAATATTTATCGCATGAACAACCTGTTGCCAATGCAAATTCGGTACATTACGATTCTTTGTTTGAGGAATTAATCACTCCTGAACCAAGACAGCAAAGATTCCAAGTTTCGTATGATGTCGTTCCCCTATCGACCGGAGAATTGATCTCCCAACAGCAAGACGATATTTTTGACCTTCTAGCGGGCTCTTCTACCAGAGCGAAAGTAGAGCATGAAATCGCTTCAAGTAACGAGTTTTTGATAAACTTGGACGTTAAAGTTAGCGATGAATTTGCGGATGCTAAGGTGAAGGCTCAAAGGTTTGTGGATTACGTTAAGGACTTAGAGATTTCTTTAGAGAAGTAGTCAGTCGGCCTCGTCGAAATTATTGTATATTCCCACTTAAAAGAAGCAATTGGACACATTAATCAATGTTGATGGCGGAGACGAAAACATAAATGATAGGTAAAATTGTAAGGATGCTGGGGGACTTTGTTGAGTGGTGGAGTAGTCGAGAAGGAGCGGATAAGTGATAAGACGGAGATTTAGGTACCGTATAGTCCAAGTTTGGTGTGTTTGGGGTGATATTGATGGTTGTGTTGCTAACATCACTTTATACTATTCTGTCATTGCATCTTAGTTGGGTCAAGTTGATTGTTTTGAGAATTAGAGAACCGAGAGACGAAAGTCCTGGTTCGTATTATCTACATTGATCGTTTTGAAACCACTACGATTACCAGGGGTTGATTGTTTCCCAGTGATTGATGTACAGGAAAATAGTCGATATTCAGAGATCCAGATATGACCTGCAGGTGCTAAACGTATGCGACATAAGGTCGCACTACTCAAGATATGGTGTGTTTGGAATGTCATCACACGGCAAGCGTGCGAGACATTTGGCGATGTTTCTTATTGTTTGTTTTAGCTATATGACAAGAATTGACAACGCAGTGGAACATTTTATACCCGGCACTATGAGGAACATATACTATGACAGCCAGCCTACATCACTTTTATCCAAACTGGCGCAGGGAAGCTTCGTGAACCGCTACTAATGATAAAGACGGCAACTCAAAATTCTCAATTGGAAAAGCCCCACAATCACACGTAGCAATAGGAATCAAGCATATTCGGCCACGTATGCAATTCCAACAAAGGAGAAGTGCTTTCCAGTAAAAGATTCTACGATAAAGTGTCACGTGACGAAACGACCATCATATGATGTTCAATTGGAAGCTTGGAGTTCCCAGAAAAAAAAAAGAGAGATGAGGTAAACAGGATGAAGATGAGGTGGTAGTGTATTATTGGAAATATTTTCTAACCTTCACGGTTCAATATGGTTGCTAGCAACTGGGTGAAAAGAGTTTGAAAAATTGTTGGTGAATTGAAGACGTCACGTGATGCAAATTTCAGTACTTATCTCGTTTCGCGATCCGATTTCCTCCTATCTGCATACTGCATGGTATGCGTTTAAAGGGAAGGGATTATGAATATGCGCTTACGGGGATGGATGCAAGAGGCAATAAGCATGGATGAACAATTGAGAGCGTCAGCGATCAATTGTGAATGACAGTAATGGCTAGTGGCATAGTTGAACAATTGAGAGCGTCAGCGATCAATTGTGAATAGTAGAAAGGCTATTGGTATAGTCTAACAATTAAGAGCATCAGCGAAGCAGCAGCAATCAACTTTTCAACTATACTAATAGTCCTATAGCCCTCTTTTAGGATAGTCCTATAGCCCTCTTTTAGGTTCACAATCGAGAGCGTTAGAATATTGGAAGCAATCGATCGCAGATGAGAGGTTATTCATTTATACTGAAAGTCATCACCACGATGCACAATTATGCTTCCAATATTCTCTACTATTCGCAACTGTAGTTGTAGTCATCTTTATTCACAATCGATCGCTGTCGCTCTCAATTGTTCAACTATAACAGACGCCACCATTATTCCGAATTGATCGCTGACGCTCTCAATGGTCAGATTATACCAAAAGTCATCTCTACAATTCACAATCGAATGCTGACGCTTTCAATTGTTCAACTATTACAGTCATCTCTATAATTTCCAATTGATCGCTGATGCTCTCAATTTTTCAGATATGTTACTAGCTATCTCTACTATTCACAATTGATCGCTGATGCTCTCAATTGTTCATCCGTGCTTATAGCCGCGTTATTCACAACTGATCGCTCACGCTCTCAATCGTTCAACTATGCCACTAGCCATCACTGTCATTGACAACTGATCGCTATCGCTCTCATTGTTCAACCATACTTCCGGCCTCCCCATAAACGCATATTCGCTTATGCTTCACCACCCTCCATCCACATATGCACATATGCAATTATGCGTTTATGCGGTGGCGTGATGTTCTCCTCCAACGCGTGGTGCCACCCCAATATCCCTAGAAAATCCCGTACAAAAACAACTCCCTCTATAATAAACACACCATTACACAAAAACAAAAAAGGGTTAACCCATACATCTCCGCGCATCGCCCAGATCGACTATATAAGGAAGACTTCAGCTACCTTTTCCCACATTCAAATCCATTCCCTCTACTTTCATTATTCTCTTTTGCTTCTTTCCCCAGCAGTTGTTTGAATTTACATCAACACACTCAATACCAATCAAAAACCACACATTAACAATGTCTGAAATTACTCTAGGTCGCTATCTTTTTGAAAGATTGAAGCAAATCGATGTCACCACCGTTTTCGGTTTGCCAGGTGATTTCAACCTTCGTCTTTTGGATGAAATCTACGAAGTCTCCGGTATGAGATGGGCTGGTAACGCCAACGAATTGAACGCCGCCTACGCCGCCGACGCTTACGCCCGTATCAAGGGTATGTCGTGTTTGATCACCACCTTCGGTGTCGGTGAATTGTCGGCCCTAAACGGTATTGCCGGTTCTTACGCCGAACACGTCGGTGTTCTACACGTCGTCGGTGTGCCATCCATCTCCTCCCAGGCCAAGCAGCTATTGTTGCACCACACCTTGGGTAACGGTGACTTCACCGTCTTCCACAGAATGTCCGCCAACATCTCTGAAACCACCGCTGTCATCTCCGACTTGGCCACCGCCACTTCCGAAATTGACCGTTGTATCCGTACCACTTACATCCGTCAAAGACCAGTGTACTTGGGTTTGCCAGCCAACTTGGTCGACCAAATGGTCCCAGCCAAGCTATTGGACACCCCAATCGACTTGGAATTGAAGCCAAACGACCCTAACGCCGAAGAAGAAGTCGTCGCTACTTTGCTAGAGATGATCAAGGACGCCAAGAACCCAGTCATCTTGGCCGATGCTTGTGCCTCCAGACACGACGTCAAGGCCGAGACCAAGAAGCTCATTGACGTTACTCAATTCCCATCTTTCGTCACCCCAATGGGTAAGGGTTCCATTGACGAACAACACCCACGTTTCGGTGGTGTCTACGTTGGTACTTTGTCCTCTCCAGAGGTCAAGGAAGCCGTTGAATCCGCTGACTTGGTCTTGTCCGTCGGTGCCTTGTTGTCCGATTTCAACACCGGTTCTTTCTCTTACTCTTACAAGACCAAGAACGTTGTCGAATTCCACTCTGACCACATCAAGGTTAGAAACGCCACTTTCCCAGGTGTTCAGATGAAATTCGTTTTGCAAAAACTTTTGACCCGTGTTGGTGAAGTTGCCAAGGACTACAAGCCAGTTGCTGTTCCAGCTTTGCCAGCTCCAAACGCCGAAGTCGACGCCAAGACTCCATTGAACCAACAATGGTTGTGGAACCAAGTTGGCAAGTTCTTGCAAGAAGGTGACATTGTCATCACTGAAACTGGTACCGCCGCTTTCGGTATTAACCAAACTCACTTCCCTAACAACACCTACGGTATCTCCCAGGTCTTGTGGGGTTCCATCGGTTACGCCACTGGTGCCTGTTTGGGTGCTGTGATGGCCGCCGAAGAAATCGACGTGAACAAGAGAGTTATCTTGTTCACCGGTGAAGGTTCTATGCAATTGACCGTCCAGGAAATCTCCACCATGGTCAAGTGGAACCTAAAGCCATACTTGTTCGTTTTGAACAACAACGGTTACACCATTGAAAGATTGATTCACGGTGAAACCGCTCAATACAACGACATCCAGCCATGGAAGCACTTGGACCTATTGCCAGCTTTCGGTGCCACCGACTTTGAAGCCCTCAGAGTTGCCACCACTGGTGAATGGAACAAGCTAGCTGAATGCTCCAAGTTCAACAAGAACGACAAGATCAGAATGATCGAAATCATGTTGCCAACCATGGACGCTCCAGAATCTTTGGTTAAGCAAGCTAAATTGACTGCTGCCGCCAACGCCAAGTCTGCTTAAATGGACTATTAAGGTGAAAATAACGAACAATTAAAAACCAAACGTTTTCTGTTTATTAGTTGAATAGTGTTTATGTCCCAGCAAGTAGGTTTGTTATAGAAATGATTGACGAACTTTTTATCAAGAAGTGTTATAAAGGTTGTTAAGTGCCTAGGAATGGTAATCGAAGGTCAATGGGCAGCTGGAAGAAATGTTGCCAAGTTCGTAGGATACCAACTCGCGAAATGAAAGGATAACTGAGATGTCATGAAATCAGATGTTTAGATTTAGGTGAAGACGATTTGGGGGAAAAGTCGAACTAATAGCCACAGTGGTACGGAACTGATGCTTAAGAGAGAAATATAAAGTTTCCAGTGCCTGATGGAATTCGATATAACGAGCGCTAAGGCCAAGTGCGAGATACGTGGGTGACAAGTTTTCATCACTGATTACCCACGCGTGCCATTTGTTTTCGTGGAAAACAATTCAAAGTAATGAATTGCCCATCTGTAAGCCCTGTAAAGTAATCCTCACATTTTGCAACCTTATTCATATAAAGCCCACGGAGTTCGTTTCGATCTAATACTGTCATTACAGACAACTAAATCTAGTCTGAATTTGCCAAGCGAATTTTAAGTCTGCCTTGAAAAGATTTTGACCTGTACTCTTAGAGTGATGTGAAAGGGCAATGCCCTGCTATAGCTTAATAAAACCACTATTGTTCGAGACTCAGTCAATAATCTGCGATAGGTGCGTTTCCTCAAATTCAACAAATGATTCTATGGTCCTGATGCCGCCTTGCGTTCATTGGCAAAACGAATGAGTTCCGGGTATAAGCTTTTTTTAGTGTCATCGTCGGGAAGCGTTAAGGCCAGCAATGATTCAAATTTGGCATGGCAATCCTTCCCGTCAAAAAACACCCTCCTCTCTGGCAAGACACCCTCCTCTCTGGCAAGACACCCTCCTCATTTAAATAGATGTTCATTTTCTTCGCAACCTCGTCCCATTTTCTAGCACTTTCACCAAACTCCGATTGTACCTCAAGATTCATTAACGTCAATACGTGTATCGGTGTAAAAGGAATCCATTTTCGTTTCGCTATAGTGAAGGGACAGAAAAAACACAGTAGTTGGCAAAACCCTAGCGTTGAAAGTATAACTGTCACTCTTAGGTTTGCTTTCCAAGCCATGAGCAAATATACAAGCACGGCAACAGGAAGACATTTTAATGCTTGCTTGCTACCGTAAACCAAATCATACACTAACGAGCAGTGATAGGTGTCTCTGGGCAAGCTTTGGCCTGCCTCTTGAACCGTTGCAATTTTGCCGCATCCTTGCGAACTCCAGTAATTTCCATAGCTGTTCTCATAAAGCTCAGCGGCGAGTAGCTCATCGTGATTTTCGGATGGATCATTGACGATCGGGAGATAAAATTGAGCCCTGAAATAGCTTAGACATTCCTCACCGTCGTAGATACAATGCTTGGAGTGCCAGAAACCTTCTTGAAGCAAATATTCGTTTGCATGTTGTGCAATCGAATCCCAGTCGTCATATTTGAAATCTGATCCAAGCCCGACAACTTCCTTCACCAGCCGTGACCGTAGCTTGGAAGTGCTATCTACTTTTCTAAGCTGACAAGCAAGGGGCAAGGATGCCAAAACAAACTCAGCACATAATAACACAATAACTTTAGTAATCGGCGAAGACCACGTACCAGTTTTCTTCAAAATACTTGCAGCGATCACCGGAAAAATTGCCAATGTGAAGAGCCAGAGGTAAAAGTATTTTGCTTTCGCCATATCGTGCAATCTCCACGATAGTTTGCTGCTAAAAAAGTTAGCGGGCAGTTGAGAAACGTCTGGCCTCTGCCTGCAACACTGTGATCCTCTAAGCATGGCTAAAAGCTGTAGGGTCCGAGCTTTCCATGAATTAGATGCTCGAGTGCTGCGGTCAGAGTGATGAGTGCCAAGAATTGATTTCCACATACGTATGCTACAATGCGTATATATCTCACGTGATAAAGATCTGGCTATCTCGAGACGTTTATTACGTAAGTAAAGAAAAGTCCGAAAACAAAAAGAAAAGGCACTTTCATACGATATGATCAAGCTTTCGATACAGCGCTACCATAACAATCAAACTAAGATGAGTGTACACTACCATTACACATTCATGTGTCAAAGTATCAATGATGTTCTTTCAAATTTCTGGCCTGTTTTATTGCATGGATTTCAAGCCAATTTGTTAAACATCTACTTAACCTCAAGCGCGACCCTGAGCCTCGTGACAAAAGTGAGGGGGAACAATGCTTCAACGAGGAATGAGCTTTTCAAGTTCAAAATATTTCATAGGGACCCAAGTAGCCGGTGCCTCTAGTAAAGAAGTATTCCTCTCACTGACAACTATTCTAGATCAAGAAGTCACGCGGCATAGTCTGCGATATGCGCTGTGATTGATAGCCGAGTACGGTCCAAGAGCCAAGCTTCCCGGTGGTTGACAAGAGGGTCTTGGTTGCGACGATAGTATACTACAAGATAAACCACCCCAAAAAGTTAAAATGTGTTGGTAATCTAGGGTAATTGTATGGGCTAGTATGTTGTATGTGCCCGATCAACTGAACGAGAGTGACCGGTTGGGAATAGTGTACGTTGCCTGCCTACGTCAGGCGTACTCGTGGAAATTCGTGAGTGGAGTAAAGAGCTTGAAGCAGCCATACTTAGTGCGGTGCACACGTCCGGGATCGCAGGCTTTGATAGTAGATCTCTTTGCTCTCAGTTTTTCGAGAAATCAACTTTTTTTTGAGGCGGTGTGAGAAAGAACACCAGACAAGCGATAGTCTATTGGTTAAGGCTCCAGAAGTCTAGATGGAGCTGCAAATGCCGGTCCTTGTGTTGCTTTTCGGCACATGGTCATCAATGTCTCTCTTTTTATGAAGATTGGTAGACCAGCCTTTCCAAGACTAATCAGAATGTTGGAAAGGCTCTACTCCCATTAACTTCAAAAAAATGCTTCCAAAGTCTCAGGTCCCTATGCGGCTCTGAATTCACTCGCAAAACGAATAAGTTCCGGGTATAAGCTCTTTTTAATATCATCGTCTGGAAGCGTTGCGGCCAGCAATGATTCAAATTTGGCATGACACTGCTTCCCGTCAAAAAACACTCTTTTATCTGGTAAGACACCCTCCTCGTTTAAATAGGTGTTCATTTTCTTTGCAACCTCATCCCACTTATTTGCGCTTTCACCGGGCTCCGAGTGGTACTCCAGTTTCAAAAGCGTCAATATGTGTAATGGTTGAGAAAGAGCTCTGCCTCTGCTTCTTCTTGTAAGGTGACAGGACGAACACATAAGCTTCAAAAACCCAAATACCGACGCCGTAGCTATGATTTTTAAACTCATTTTCCACTTCATGTAGAGGGAACTCAGCACAACAACTGGAAGAAACTTCAATGCCGGCTTGATGCCATGGATCAAGTCATATACAATCGAGAATCGGTACGTGTCTCTTGGCAGATTTTGATTCGGTTCTAGGGCCGCTATTTTCGTAATCAACTCTTGCGAGCTCCAGTAAATTTCATAGCTCTTCTCATAAATTTGAGTGGCGAGTTGCTCATCATGCTTTTCGGATGGATTCACAACGAAAGGAAGATACACTTGGTCTCTGAAATAGCGTAGACATTCTTCACCATCGTAGATACAATGCTCAGAGTGCCACAAGCCTTCCTGGAGCAGATATTCGTTTACATGTTTTGCGATCAGATCCCAATGTTTATGAGCGAAATCTGATTCAAGCTCGACCACTTCTTTTAGCAACACTGACCGCAGCTTCTTAATATTTTTCCGTTTTTTGAACTGGGATGCAAAAGGTAATGTTGCCAAAACAATCTCAGCACTCACGAACACAGTGAATTTGGTTATTGATGAGGACCACGTACCAGTCTTCTTCACAATGCTTGTAGTAACCACCGGAAAAATTGCCAGTGCGAAGAGCCATACGTAGAAGTACCTTGCATTCGCCAAATCGTGCAATCTCCACGATAATTTACTGCTAAAAAATTTAGCGGGCAGCTGAGAAACGTCCGAACTCTGCCTGAAAGACTGTGATTCCCGAAGCATAGCTACAAGTTGAAAGGTCTAGGGTCCTGGCTTTCCATGACTTGGGAGCTCGAGTGCTGCGGTCAGGATGATAAATGCCAAGAGTTAATTTCTGCATATACACTTCACGTGATGATATTTTGGTTGTCTCGAGACGTTCATTACGTAATTCACGAAAAGTCCGAGAAAGACTAGAAAAGGAGCATTTTCAAATCTTCAAATGATATATTCAAGGTCTCGATACAGCGTTACGGCAACAATCAAACTGAAATAAATGCACGCTGCCATTAAATAGTCTAGATGCCAATGCATCAAAGATGCTCTGCAAAAAATCTGGTTTGTTTCATCGCATAGTTTTCGAGCCATTTTGTTAAATGTTTACTAGATCCTGAGCGTGACGTAAAGCGTTGCGGCTGAAGTGAGCGGTAAATGTATTTCAACGAGAAACGACCTTTTCGAGGTCGGAGTATTCCGGGGGGAGCAAAGTAGCCGGTACTTCTGGTTTTCCTATTACTATACACTACTATGACGCCAGAAATCACGCGGTGTAGTATGCAATACGCGCTGTGACTTATCATGTACGGTTCAACTGTCAAGCTTCCCGATGACTGAAAAGAGGGCTACGGTTGTAATGAAAGTATACTACAATACAAACCACTCCAAACAGTGGGAATGTCTCGGTAGTCAAGTTTAAAACTGTATTGGCTTGTAATTGGTTGGGAAGAGTGTATGTGGGCGAGTCGCGTTAAGCATACTGGTAGTAATTTGTGACAGACCAGTATGTAGCTTGGCGCACCAGCTATAGTGCGGTGCACACGTTCAAGATAGCTGGCTTTGCTGCTAAATTTCGTTGCTCTAGATTATTCGAAAAATCAACTTTTTCAAGACGCCCTCAGTAAAGGCTCCAGAAGTCTAAATGGAACTGCAAATGCCTGCCTTTGCGCAGGTTTTCAGCGCATGGTTTTCAATGTCTCTTATCCTGTAAAGATAGGTGGACTAGCCTTCTTAAGAACAATCAAAATGTCAGTAAGGTTCTGCTCCCACTAACTTCAAAAAATGCTTCCGAAGTCTAAGGTCCCTATGCGGTTCTAAATTCACTCGCAAAACAAACAAGTTCAGGGTATAAACTCTTTTTAGTGTCATCCTCCGGAAGCGTTGCAGCCAGCAACGATTGAAATTTGGCATGACATTCCTTACCATCAAAAAATACTCTCTTGCCTTGAAAGACACCCTCATCCTTCAAATAGGTGTTCATTTTCTTTGCAACCTCGTCCCATTCCCTAGCACTTTCACCGGGCTCCAACTGTAGCTCCAGTTTCAAGAGCCTCATCACATTCATCGGTGTGAAGATTACATGTTTCCTGCTCATTCTCGTTAAGAAACAGAAGGAGGCCAGTAGTTGTAAATACCACAATACCGAATATGTTACTAGCATTGTTAGGTTAATTTTTGAAACCAAGAGCAAAAAAAACAGCATGACAAGGGGAAGAAACGCTAATGCTTCCTTGGCACCAAGGATCAAATCATACACTAACGAGAAGTGATAGGTGTCTTTGGGAAGAGTTTGGTTGGTCTCTTGAACCGTCGTAAACTTAACGCATTCCTGCGAATTCCAGTAGTCTTCATAGCTCTTCTCATAAAGCTCAGTAGCGAGTAGCTCATCGTGATTTTCGGATGGATTATTGATGGATGGGAGATAAACTTGAGCCCTGAAATAGCTTAGACATTCTGCACCGTCGTAGATACAATGTTCAGAGTGCCAGAACCCTTCTTGGAGCAAATATTCGTTTGCATGTTGAGCAATCAAGTTCCAGTCATCATAGTTGAGATCTGGTCCAAGCCTGACAACTTCCTTCACCAGCAGTGACCGTAGCTTGGAAATGCTTTTAAGCTTTTTCACTTGGCAAGCTAGGGGTAACGATCCGAATGCAAGCTCACCACTGAATATCACAATGTATCTGGTGACCATGGAAGACCAAGTATTAGTCTTCAGCACAAGAATCGCAGCAACCATCGGAAAAATCGCCAGTGAGAAAAGCCATACGTAAAAGTATCTTGCTTTAGCTATGTCGTGCAATCTCCACGAAAATTTACTGCTGAAAAGCTCTACAGGGAGCTGAGAATAACCCAATTCTCTCTTGCGGAAGGTGGAATCCAGAACCATAGTCAGAAGCTAGATAATGTAGAAACCAGACTAACAGGCTTTGACTTTTGAGTGTTCTGATGAGATCGATGGTTGTTAATGAACAAGTAATCTACTCTATTGATATATAATGACAAGAAACGTGATAAAGTCCGAGTTCTCTCGAGCCGTTTCTTACGTAAGCCGTGGTCGTTCTAAAAAGAAAAAAGGGTCCTGGAGCCCTAATTATGCCTGGTTCCATACCGAGCGGTATCGAGATCGAATTAAGCCTTAGTATTATTCATTCACAAACTCTAAAGATACAACATTCAAGCCACCTGTTCCGTACGAAGCCCTTTTTTCAAATTCGCGTTGCTCATTTATCATCCGATTCAGTCCATTGGCGTTGGACGGCATCGCATATAGCTTATTATCTATCTCATCATTCATTCGAATGAAATAACGATATTCAACGCCACACATGTCGTGCTTGCGCTATCTGAAAGGCTTAGGATCTGCACCGTTCGCCATTCATCGTTCCGTATGGCACGTCAATGACTTGCCTTTTTCTTTCCAAATGTAAGGCAAACGCATCCTTTCTACCCTTCTTGCCCGCGGACTTAAGTCTTTTCAAGTAAGGTCGCGACGATATCCTTAGAAGAGAGTTAGAAGAAGAAGTATTCCCAGTACTCACTGCAAATTATAAAATCCGACCACGCCAGATAAGTCCAGTATACTGTATCAACAATAGTCTTGTCAGCTAATATCAGGAAAATCACTTAAGTCTTTAAAGCTCTCAAAATTCTTGCGAACGCCAAAGATGTTCGGTCCGTTTCTGCTTCTGTTTACCGTGTTTTAGACCGGATCCCTAATTTCCAAACACCGCCCAAAGTATCTGAGGACTACACCACGCAACCACAGGTGAAGCCCAGAAATTATTTCAGTTCCCGGGGTTGACACGTTGGTATTGGCAGCTTCAAGAGCACTTCATCACCATCATGCTGGTTTATCAAGCGAGCGAAAAGACTGATTGAAAGCTGATGCTATCTGAGCCAAATCTACGATGGAGAAAGAGATTATACCCGCAGCATGCAGGGACACGGCGCAGGTGAAGTTTCAAACACCTTGTGGCACTCGCCCACGTTCTAGGGATTTTGGAGGATTGGACATGCATGAGCTGTACGAAAATCATCATCAAATAGTCGCACCTGAATTATATCCAGCAGGATTGTAAGATGCGAAGCGAACGATAATAACATTTCGACCGTCTTCACAGGGAGAAATGAGTATAAGTACCGGACTCAAAGCAGTCAAACTTGTGCAATTGAGAGGCCTTAAGGTAAACAGAATTCATTCACCAAATTAGATCTGTATGAAGATCTGGTCTCCCAAAATGATCACCAAATTCAACAAGCGATGTTAATTTTCTTCGTATTGCTCTTCTTTCTGTCTGCTCTCTCTTTATCAAGCATCATCCTGCCTTTGTCGAAAAGTACTCGATTCAATCGAAGGCGACAGCAGCAGCTGTAACTAGTGGTGGTGTTGTTGCAAAGTACCATCGGAGGAGGGTCACTTGGATGTGAGCTGCAAAATGCAGCAAGTGGAGGTTTAAAGGTCACAGCCGCGGCCATCTCGGACGTGATTGCTGTAAATGCCTACACGAATGAGCTTGCTGATCCATAATGCTGGATCTCCAGTGCAATTGCGCTTGTATATGGTGCGCTAAGTAATCCGTTTAGCCTAGCAGCCGTAGCTGCGGCAAATGCGGGCTCAGCTGCCGCCTCCGCCAAGCACGGTGAGTCTATTTAACCAAGTGCCTATAGCGATAGCATAGGTACAGCAGATTATTACCACACAACGTTGACTGGATTCAGCGAGTATCAGGACATGTTCAATCCCAGTGGGCTGACATTGTTGGGTGCATTGACCTTCGAGAACTGAAATGGTACTGCTTCAAGGAAAAGCGGCAATGCTACAAATGGTCTTTCTCACGCCTTATACTTTTCGTCTGGTGCGCATCTTAACGTTGCAACACATCTCAACAACAACTTCGACGCCTTGGTGTATGCAATTTTGCCTGCCGTCCAACCCAACAAACGAAGGTGGCTTGTTTTCGCCGAACACTCTTTCCTCGCAGTGTAAGCCGTTGAATGTCTTACGAAATCCACGGCAAGCTTCAATTAACCAGCAGAGAAGCCAGCATTGACTTGGAAGATATTGAATTTAAGTGATCCAATAGTTAATTATGAGGACGTTATGCGGTTTTGCATTCAATTGCGAAGCGAATGAGCTCTGGATACATGTTCCTTTTAATATCACCATCCGCAAGTATTGAGGCCAGCAAGGATTTGAACTTTTCGTGGCATTCCCTCCCGTCGAAGAATACTGTTCTATCGCGCAAAATACCCTCCTCATTTAGATAGGTGTTCATTTTCTTCGCAACCTTATCCCACTCACTAGCACTTTCACCGGGCTCCAAGTGTAGTTTCAATTTCATTAGCGTCAATACATGTACTGGTCTAGAAAGTACTGTTTTCCTACCTTGTCTTGTAAGAGGATAGGAGAAACACATCAACTGCAGAAACCCAATTACCGACGCCGTAACTATCAATTTTGGGCTTATCTTGAAGTTCAAGAGGAGATACGTTAGCACAACAACAGGAAGGTACTTCAGTGCTTTCTTGCCACCATAGACCAAATCATATACAAACGAGAAGTGGTAAGTGTCCTTGGGCAGATTTTGGCATGGTTCTTCAGCCGTTGTAATCTTGGCCAATTTCTGCGAATTCCAGTAATCTTCATAGCTCTTTTCATAGATACGAGCGGCTAATTGTTCCTCTCGACTCTCAGATGGAACGTTAACATATGGGAGATAAACTTGACCCCTAAAATAACGTAAACATTCCTCACCATCGTATATGCAAAGCTCAGAATGCCAGAATCCTTCCTGCAGCAAAAATTCGTTTGCACGTTTAGCAATCATATTCCAGTTTTCGTGCCTGAAGTCCAACCCCAGTTCGACAACTTCTTTTATCAACAGTGGCCGCAGCAGCTTAGGGATTCTATTCAATTTTTTGAACTGGCATGCAAAAGGCAAGCTTGCCAAAACAATCTCAGCACTCAAGAGCACAACAAATTTAGTAATCCATGAAGACCATGTACCAGTCTTTTTCAAAATGCTTAGTGTGACAACTGGGAAAATTGCCAGTGCGAAAAGCCATACGTAGTACTTCTTCGCTTTCGCCAAATCGTGCAATTTCCAAGATAATTTACTGCTGAAAAGTTCTACAGGGAGCTGGGGAACTTTACCCCCTCGGAAGCCTAAATCTAGAATCATAGTCAAGAGTTAGAAAACTTAGGATCAGGGTGGTACATTTAGATTTTTGAGTGTTGTGATGAGATGAGGGATGGGAACTCCCAGGAACTCTACTCTATTAATATATAAGAACCAAAACGTGATGAAGTCCGAGTTCTCTCGAGCCGTTTATTACGTAAGCCGTTGCTGCATCGTTACACGGTAAAAATCAACGGTCGTTGCAACGCAGTGACTAGCAATCGCCGGTCGACATAGCAGTTGGAAACTCTCATACGCGAACAATCGAGATCGTAGCAGTAGCTTAGCAGTGACTTAGGCATCTGAACAATTATATTTATCAGCTACTTCACTTTCGAAATTCGGGGTTAATCGATAGATGCCAACAGTAACTTTTTCAATATCGTCAGCGTGAGCGTTGAATTCTCTGAAAACATGGCGAACCCGCTCGTTCAGAGCTCAGTTTGAAAGCCAAATATACCTCGTTGCCCCCCACTGCAAAAATTGTGTCCATGATTCTCAGATGGTTTTGAACTCGCTTGCGAATTTAATAAGCTCCGGGAATGAGCTTTTCTCAATACCACTGTTAGGAATCACTTTCGCCATTATCAATTGGAACTTGGCGCGGCATTCCTTCCCGTCGAAAAAGTAGTTTATTATTCGCAAACCGCCCGTCTCGTTGAGAAAAGCGTTCATTTTCCTCGCGACCCCATCCCACTCCATGTCGCTTTGGCCAGGTTTCAATTCTGCCACCAGCTTCAGGAACTTCAAGATTTGTATTGGTGTAAGAGGAAATTCCTTGGCGCTTGGCCTTTCCCAAAACATGCAAATTGTGTAAAACACCACAACCAATCCACCAAATGTCGACAAATCCACTGTTCTTGAATCATTTTTCCGGCCGCTCCACAGGGAGCACAGCATCCAAAGAAGAGGAAAGTAGGAGATATGTTTCGCTCCATAGGCCCAATCATATAAAATTGAGAAACGATATCTGTCTTTGGGCAAATATTGTCGAGGTGCTTCCACTTGTGTATTTTCAGCAGCTTCCCAAGCATTCCAATAGTTACCCAGGCTTTTTTCATAAATCTGAGCAGCGAGAGCGAGTTGGCCGTTGCGTTTTTCAGAAGCAGTTCTTACTGTTGGGAGATAGACGGAACATCGGAAACAATGGAGACATTCCTCCCCGTCGTAAAAGTAAAGCTTGGAATGCCACAACCCTTCTTTAAATAAAAATTCATTTGCATGCTGCGCTAGCAGATCCCAGTCTTTGGGGCTATAGTTCGGTCCTAGCTCTGCAACTTCCTTTGCTAGCTGTGGGTACAGTTCGGGAACAAGCTTCGCTGTCTTCCAGAAGGGAATCGATTTGAAGAGAGCCGCTAAACTGAGAAACACACAGACCTTAGCAGTCTCGGAGAACCAGTTACCCATTTCCTTCGAAATGATTGCAGCGGCGAGTGAAAAGCAAGCCGTTGCGAAGAGCCATACGAAAAGGTAACTTGCTTTCACTAAATTGTGCAATCTCCAGGATAAGTAGCTGGTGAAAAGTTCGGGGGACAGCTGGGGACAGTCCAAACTTGGGGCAAACGAAATTTGAACCATGGCGGAATGCCCAATGTTCAGATATATGCCTGGATATATAGTTACCATGAGTTTGCCAAGGAATTTATAGATGTATATCGAGAACATTAATGCAGAAGAGCTTCTGCACGTGACAAAGTCCGAGTACTTTTTTCGAGTAATCTCTTTACGTAAGCAGAAGGGTCTAAAAAAGGAAAAGTGTAGTACGCCCATACAAACTACTGATGTCGTTTATCGAGTATCCACACAATGAATGAGAGGGAACGAGTATCTGATTTTTTCAGACGTTCATGTCATGAAGTGCAAACACAAAGGTGAACCGTGAATGGAAGCTGCCAAAGTATTTAGGTATCATTATGTACTTGTTTGACATATGGCACGTGATTCCCACGCATTAAGATACCTCATGGTATTGCTAGAACTAACGACAACAACTGACCAGTTTCGGAATGGGCTCATGACGAGCCAAGAGATAGGCATCGCGTAGTATAATAATTGGGCCCCAACTCTTGAGGTTTTTTTGTTTTTTCTCTCTTTCTAGCTAAGCACCATATTTGTCGAGTCAATACCTGTTGATTCGTCCAAAAATGTAAATTTGAACTTTCCGGAGTTGTAGTCACATACTTGCGCTCCGTTTGGGGTCAAAAAGTAACCTTCATCCTCCCATAGTAGACGGCCATTTCCAATTTCCAAGCGTCAGCGTTTATCCGCATCACCATCTTTGAAAGGCCTTTCCTACTCACACCGGTCTCACCAAGTCACTTACAACTGCCTCTTGAAGAGCATCGCATAAACATCAGTATAGAAGACATGAATAGTAATAGTATTATATGTGTATGAGTATATGCAATGCTACATAAAACGACCCTTACAGTCGCTCAAGTAACTTAGTAGCAAGTTTCTGCCTTGTTAGAAGAGATAAAACTACTACTGGTTTCTGTGCCGTCTAACCCTTTCATTATCAGTGTTATTTACTCCAGTAAATACAGCCCACCGCAACGAGATTTAGAATATCCATCCCAAAAATCTGTCGTAGATCCAGTCGAGACTCCATTTCTCGTTCTTCAATTTCTCTTCATGCTCAGCATCGTAGATCTTGCCTTCTTCCTCCTCGGCATCAATGGCTGCTTTGAATGTGTAGAGATCAACGTCTTCTGGAGCAATCAGCTTGGTACGCATGATTAGCTTGTAGCCCACGTAGCAGATGAAGAACACTGGAATACCAATGTAACCTGAGATGAAAGTCTTGTAGTCAAACTTGTGGCCTAGGAAGACGGTATAGTTCTTGATCAAACCGACCAAAATGCAGAAAAACAAGCACACGTATGCAGACCAAGGCTGCATGGCGGCCGTGTAGGAGAGACTAGACTTGTCGCCAAATTGCACACGCACGGCCTTGTCAAATCTGATGTATGTGATTAGAATGGAGATCCAACTCAATAGACCAAAGATAGACACAACGTTGACAAAGTAGGTGAAAACTTGTCCTGACGACGAGGCAACGTTCATGTATGCAAGCAGGCAGAATAGAACCGAGAGCATAAGAGCATTGTATGGAACACCCCATCTGTTGGTTTTGGCAAAGATTTTGGGAGCCTTGTTGTCGATGGCTAGACCGTAAAGGGTTCTGGATGCCACGTACAAATCGGAGTTGCAGGCGCTGAAGACAAATACCAGGACGCATGCGTTGAAGATGTGGGGCAAAACAGGGATTTTTGCATTGATGATAGCCACGACAAACGGAGAGGCCGCGGCAGATGTGCTCATTTTCTTCGCTTTCAACAGCAGTGGGTCGTTGTAAGCCACACACATTCCCAAGAGGAAGATTGTGATGACGTAGAACACAACAATACGGTACAGCGTAAGCTTGATGGCGCGAGGGACACTCTTTCTAGGGTTTCTAGCTTCCGCAGCAACAATACCACACAGTTCGGTACCTGTGTAGGCAAACAAGGCTAGGGCAAAGACCGAAGCGAAGGAAACAAATTTACCCTTGGATCCGGGAATGCCAGGGTATGGCTTGAAAGCACCGGGGTCTTTCCAGTATCTGAAACCGGTGCGGTCGTGGGATGGTCCGCCGCCCAACATGATGACAAAGAGCAGGATGATGAGTCCCAGCATCACCAGCACTTTGACGGACGACAGCCAGAATTCGAATTCTCCAAAGAACCTGACACCCACGGTGTTGATCAACACGATGAGCACCAAGAAGATTGTGATCCAAACACCCGGGTTGACTTTGTCTCTGCTGACCCAATATTGCATCACCATAGCGCCCGCTGTCAGCTGGTTAGGCGTCACGATAAAGTATTTGAACAAATATGAGTATCCCACGGCAAAACCGAGAGCAGGGTCGCAGTAGCGGGATGCGTACGATGTAAACCCATCCAGTGGGATAAAAGCGGCCATTTCGCCCAGACAGCTCATCACTGTGTACACCAACAGACCGATGAACGAGTAAGAAATCAAAATTGACACTGGGCCTGCACTGGCTAGAGACCCACCGGTTCCAATCAGTAGACCGGTACCTAGGGACCCACCGATGGCAATCATCGATACGTGACGGGCCTCTAGTTCCTTTTTAAGTCTAGTTCCTTCAACTTTACCGTCTTCGCCGTGGATCACCGCTTTTCCCACGGACTCCACAGACGTCTGTCCGTCATGGATCGATTCATCTATGTACAGGGCAGTGCCTGGTTTTTTTTCCAAGTCGTTAGGTAGCACTGACATTTTCTTATGATACCACACACTACTTGAAGACTACCAATACAAATTCAAGACCTACCATACCAGGATTTCCACAACGTAGTCAATTCTCCTCTATTTTATACCAAGTTTCCCCGCCCGAATGGTATCCTACCAAATGCTCGTTATCAAATGACCGACCGGCAAGAACTTGCGTATCGAGTCGCCTCCATCCGACACTGATCACGAATTACTGGCACAGTCTTGAGTCGAGATTTTCTACACCGAGTTCATGCTGAGCTCAGTTCTACTCCACCGCTAGCGATAGCTGATGTGATTAGTTCAACAGGCTTCTCCATCGGCCTTGTTCATCGTTCCTAATGGAACCCTTTGGGACCCTTCTTATCTGTACCGGTTTTTCTAAGGCCGCAGGGTTTTTTCCACCACAGTAAAGATGAGTCGGTTTTTAACATATGATAAGAATTGCCAGGCGATGAGCTCGAAAGTTGATACGGCTTCTAAAAGACTACTGACCCTAGGGTCCCTCTTTTCATGCCAGAGGGAAAATAGTGCTGAGAAGCCGTGGATTTTGGGATTCTAGAACGAAGTGCCGTATGCCAGGGTCTGAAGTTTCGCTATCTGTAAAGTAAACAGAGTTTCCCTGCGCCAGCTAGTTCGAAAAATTGTTATCTCTGGAAGAACATCACACGCGGAAGTTATGGCGAGAGCAGAACGTGGGAATAGAGATGGGGAAGTAGACGAAGGTGAGAGGACTGGTTTGTCCAAATGTTGGATTACGAGGTACGACAAAATTTGGATGGTGGGATTCGAAGGGTAGGTGTTCGGTGAGCAACCAGGGGAAGACGCCGTGGTGAGAGGGAGCCTGGTCTTTAGAAGAGAAATGCTTTCTATTGGTATTTGGGGCCCGTTCTTTTAAAGTGTAGGTAGAAGATGGAAGAAGATGGGTTTAAACGACGCCAGCTGATCGGGTGTTTTTCGAGAAGATAATTGAGTAGAAAAACAAGTGGCGGACACAGAGAGAGCAGGGAGATCACGCGATCAATGGTGGAAACGCATAGAGGAGGGGGAGAAGGAGGAGAAATGGGAAGATTACTTACGTTGATAGACGAAGGGCCAAGTGACCCGATTTGACCGCTAACTGCTTGCGCTCGTTTCTTCTATCAGGGCGTGTGGTTGCATGGATGAGTTTCGTCGAATGTGATCACGTGCTTCGCAACACTGGAGGATAGTTCTTCTGGGTCAGTGGTATATTTCGACCCTTCTCTGGTTTTGCAGCAGCATCAGCGATCTGGCTGCTCTCGAAGAGAGTCCGTTGGGTGTTCTTTTTTAGCGAACGCTCCAAAAAGCCTCTGTTTCTTAACTTGTCTTGTGATCGGATTGCCCACACCAACTGTAGCCGGTGACGGTCAATTAGCTTGTATTGACATTTTATGCCCCATCATGATGTTTCCAAGTTGGAATCTCCTCCCTGGATGCTATTGACTTACCCCGATACTCGACTACAGGATCTTTCACAATCGATTTTGCAGTGCTATTGCTGCCTTAGCTCAACGTAAGGTCTCAGAAGAGTGGACGCTCCACGGTAAATACTAGATACAACTGTACTATAAAGCGGGTCACTCAAATTCTTTCTGTCAATAAAGAGATCTTAGTGCGTACCCCGCTGGCCATTTGATGGGTCACCACTTTGGCCGATAAGAGAGATCTTACTTCGCACTCATAGGGCATGTCTGCATTAATGGGGTGAGCGCAAAAACTTTTGGCATATAGCTTTTCAATTGAAAGCCGTAACACTCTGCTTGTTCGACCTTTTCCGCTTTTCTTTCGGACGCTTGCCTCGTCGTTTAACACCCGCAAAATACACGCTATCACATTATAACTATCCATGACGCTTGATATATAAGAGGCTCCAAACAGGCCCACTTACCTTCCACGCCCACCTACCTTCCACAATTAGCATTCTGGATATCTTCACCACTATTCTATCGCCTTCTATCTTGTCCAACGGGTTCTTGCTTTCATTGACCCGTACTTCGTTCATTCATTCCTCAATTAACGCTCTTGGGTGCCAGTTTGAACGTCAAAATGTCATTTTGGCCCTTTTCCACAATGGCGTCTTCACTTACTCTTACCCCGTTCACGGTCTCAACTGCGGCGATGGTGACTTCGCCCATAACGTAGCGCGCCACTTTACCGACGGTCGTACCTCTTTTAATCAAAAAACAATCTCTAAAAACCTCTTCGCCGTGATTGCCGGTGAAAGTGCTGATATTTCTTACGGTGTATACCGGTATCAGATCCAAGGTGTCAGCAGCGGCTTGTAAAACTTGAACCACACCGGTTGAACCAAACCGGTACAGCACTAAGTCTCTGATATTCTCGATCCGCTGTAGTAGCTTGTCATCCAGGACCTTCAAGGTTTCAGGGTCGTCCTCACAGGTATCGACAAACTCCGTGCCTTCCTCATAGCGAATGAAACCTTGTTTTTGCAGCTTTCTCAAGAAAACCTCAGTGATTGCGCTACAAAGAATAGCCTTGGTTTCTGGATACTTCAACATAATTTTGGAGACGTTTTTATCCGCATCGGGGTGGTCAATCTTGTTCAGACCTAATACTGTAGGGAACTTCTCCATCATAAAGGATTTAACTACTTTGGTGATCCATTCTTTATCCCATTGCTCCAAAGGTGGCAGTCCTTGGATTCGTTGCAAAGCACGCTGTATCATCGACGCATGCGACCCATATCCACCAAATTGCGCTTGTAACGTGTCTACAGCACTAGATTTGGTGGCAGTGTGTCTGCGAACGATGGAGCCCCATCTTTTCTCCAAATTGCCTTCGATCCACAATCGTATTTCATCTTGAAGCCACTCTATGTCGTACAACGGGTCGTAGCCTCTTGTATTTTTACCCTCTGAGTCCGTGGTACCACTAACGTCTACAACGTGTATCAATGCGTCTGCATGTCTAAGGTCGTCCAAAAACTTGTTGCCCAAACCTCTTCCTGAATGAGCACCAGGTACCAACCCGGCAACATCCAAGAGCATGATTGGAATGTGTCTTTTACCGTTGATACACCACCCGTAGTTGGGCTTGCATCGTTTTTCCAGGCCATATCTAGCACAAGCACAATCCACTTGCAGATATCCAGTAGCTCTATTGGGTTCAATCGTTGTGAAAGGAAAAGAGCCTACCTGTGCGGCCGCATCAGTCAAAGAATTCAAAGTCGTTGACTTTCCTGAAGATGGCTTCCCAACAATACCAATGAGAGGATCTCTAGGCATCTTATATGCTATCTTTTTGGCGAGATTTCAACTAGTACATTGCTCATGAAAGATGTCAAAGCTAATATGACGGTCTGAAAATTTGAGATGAGCTGGTAAGCCCGACCATTCGAGAAAAGGGCAAGCAAGCGAGCAACGGAATAACTTTGTAGATGTAATGATCGCTTTCTCTTTTAACGTTTGCCCGAATTCTGCGAAAAAATCGGTTCAAAAGAAGCTTTAGCTTCTCGTTTTGGCAGTTTCCACTGAAATGGGTTGAAGAGATTCACGGCTGGATTTTGAAGACATATGGTATTCACAGAGCTACATAAAACATATGTAAAGATCGTTTCGTAGTGGCATCGGTAGATTTCCACGCAAAATCTTCGGAGCAAGAAACTGACACGCTTCATACTTTCATTTGAATCGCCCTTGTGTAGGTCGATTCTGTCAGATCTTGAACTTACTGCGATTTGGTGGCCTTCTCAGCTCTTTCAGCATCTCTTTTGGCGTAGATCTTGGCCGTGAAAGGCTCCTCGAATTGCTGAGCAATGTTGTACATCAGGTTCACCAATAGTGTGGCAAAAACGCCGGCAGCTTTGCCGTAGTATAGGGCGGTTCCTAGGAAGGAAAGCGTGGAGCCGTGGTACATGGGATTGTTGCTGACATTGAAGGGGAAAGAAGTCACAATATGGTCCATCAAAATACCAAAGTAGTCACCCAAATAGGTACCTGTAACGCCCAATTGGTACATAGATGTTACCACGAGCACCTGTCCGGCACCAATCAAACCCATACCGATGGTCTTGACGATGTCGTTGTCAAGCGCAGCAGACGTTTTTTGCAGTCCGAGAGCTTGGTGGTAGAAGTAGTCGCGCACTATGCCCAGAGAAAAGATCGTGAATGCCAGCAAGTAGCACCCGCGTTTCGCAGAGCCCGCAACCTTTGTAATGAAGTGCGTGCTGTATTCCAAACGGGCCACGATATTCCAGAACGTTGGGTTGAAAACTACAAAAAATAGTGCTATCTGCAAGTTCTTTTCGGATCCATCGATGTCCGACAACAATTCTATGTACAAGTCCTGGGCCTTATGGGCCAATTGACCTAATTCCTTTGGGATATCCATGATTTAATACACGAGCGAGTTTCAGACGGTATTGAGCTGGACTGAGTGAAGTTAAGAGAAGTGGATGAGGTTGAAATTGATCTGGAGTTGACCTTTAAACTTTAAATATATTTTATGAGTGGTGAACCTTAGTAACAACATGTGAAAAGAATAATTAAGGTCACGCGACATAATCGTGATCGACCTCATTCGTTCAAAATGGCGAGGTTTTCTGGGTTCGAGGTTGAGGGTGAAGTTAACGAGTAGCTTTCATGTTCTGCAGTGTTTATGTCAAGTTTGATTTAGAGCTCTTATATCAAGCCCACATTTCTTCCCGCTTTTTGTAGTTAACCAAAATTAACATCTGTGAATCAGTGAAAGTAGCTTCAAATGAGTTGCTCAAAAGGGATTTGAACAACGTGAGCTGTTAACTATCCAATTTGTTGATAATCTTTTGCTGATGTCTTCTCTTGCTGCTGTCTTCTATTAAGTTCAAGCTTTAAATATCACTTTTTCCCATAATGTCGTTAATTTGATATATGCTCATATAAGCTATGACAGGCCCTCCAGCTACAACGAACTGGACAGAAAACGATAAAAAGGGCACCGGGACCACTATGAGCACGCGAAAGGTAATGCTAAGTATGAAATTTGGATCGGAAGTACGGTAGCCACAAATTGTGGGGCTTTTCAGGACTTGAGGACTAATTTTAGGGCAAAATTACTGTCGTCTTTGCCAAATATACGAATAATGTACCTACGAACAAACCGCAGATATTATCGCATTTGCAGCTTTTCTAAGTTTGTGGACCACGATTAAGTTTTGAGGACGTTGAGACACAATTGAATCATATCTCTGTTAAAGCTGAGGTTGATCCTCACAGTTTCAGGTCCTATGGTGCTCCATTGGCTTACACGAATTGGGTAATTTTCGCTTGATGCCAGAATATGCAGCAAGTAAAACTATTTCTCTCCTCAAGGATGCTAGTCTAATGAGCTGCTGCTGCACATCGCTTTTTGTGCTCCATAATTGTAGGAAAGTTGGTCATCTTGAGTGAGATTGCATCTATGCCGCGATCTGGCCTATAAAAAAGACACCAGAGTTTTAATGGTATCACTAAGTCTGCCACAATTTCGGCCACAAACCGTCTTCTCAATTGGTCAATATTTCATAGCCATGAGGATGCTGCAAGACCTAAAGCTGTCGCATGTCTACATGCATGTCAGCATTTCTCAAGATTACGGACTTTTGGCCATCATATGCACTTGCACAACTATTTACGGAATTGTTCCGGCTATCATATCGATATTGATGGGTTTGGTATTCGATTTGCTGCGAAAACCGGATGTTCACCAATACAGCACTGTTAATGATCTCATGCACCAACTTACACTCAGAAGTATGGCAATTATGCTCACAGGCGTGGCAAGTGCTCCCTTGTGCTGGCTTTCCATTTCAGCATGGATGTCTTTGGGCGAAAGACAGGGCTTTAGAGTGCGCCGCAGATTGCTTCACTCGTATCTGCAAAAGAGCATGGCCTGGTATGATGCCAATGACAAGCTTTCCGGTGAATTCACACAACTTAATAGATGTGCAGAAGAGTTGAGGTCCAGCTCAGCCGAAGCCTCAGCTATAATTTTTCAAAACGCGATTACAGTGTTCGCCCTACTGGGAACTGCGTTTTACTACTCCTGGTCATTGACCCTGGTTATAATAGCAAATTCACCCTTAGTCATTGCATTTGCAATCTTGTGCTCACGGAAAGTTGAAAAGCACAGCAAGCTCGAAAACTCAGAAACTGCACATGCTGCTAACATCCTAGCATGGTCACTAAACGCTGCCAAAATGATTAGGTTGTTGGTAACCCAGAGTATCGAAACTAGCAAATTTCAAACCAGCATTGGGAACTCGCGCCAATGTTTCAATAATACTGCCTTCTACTCTTCTCTTAACTACTCTGTTCTTCGGTTTTTGACACTTTGTATGTTCGTGCAGGGGTTTTGGTACGGAAATGTACAAATAAGGGCAGGTCATCTCAAACCTGGAGATGTAATTACTTGTTTTTCGGCCTGCATTTTACTTGCAAGCACATTGAATACTACCCTTCACCAAATAATCACAGTTCAAAAGGGTGCTGTGGCGCTACGCAAGGTGCTAGATTTTATCGAGGCTCCTGAAAGCTATCATAAAGAACAATTGATAATGAATCAACCCCATATACCGGTAGCATGGTATGGGAGTTCCATTGTTCTTGAAAACGTTTCCTTTTCGTATCCAGCAAGAAAAAGTGATCAGGCTCTAAGGGACGTAACTATGGAATTCAACGCTAATCAATTGAACTTCATAGTCGGTAAGTCAGGATCAGGCAAGTCGACGATTGGGAATCTCATCTTAAAACTTTATGATCAAGACAGTGGCGCTATCAAAATAGGAGGTATCGATACAAGAAAAATCGAGCAACATTCATTACTTCGAAATGTCACATTGGTGGAACAAACCACTTCTCTTTTCAATGACACGCTGAAGCACAATATCCAATTAGGGACATCCACTTCCAAGGATGACGAAATTCTACTGAAACAGGCGTGCCAAATGGCAATGCTAGAAAACGTTCTAAGGGATCTTGCAAAAGGTTTAGATACACTTATCGGTAATTCTGGCACCGATCTTAGCGGCGGTGAGCGACAGCGGGTCGCGATAGCAAGAGCTAGGTTTAGAGATGCTCCAATTTTAATTTTGGACGAGTCTCTAAGTGCACAGGATCGTTTGCATAAGAGCCTTCTCATGGAAGCCATAAAACGGTGGAGAAAAGGTAAAACAACCATTATTTTGACTCACGAATTAAGCGACATTTCGAAAACAGACTACGTTTTTCTCATGGATGCAGGAGAAGTCAGAGAGAGAGGATTCAAGTACGAACTTCTTGAATGCCCAACCTCTTCATTCGCCCAACTCAGCAGGCTCCAGGATTGCGAAGAGGACAGTGATGATGTCGAAACACTTGATAATCGTGAGTTTTCTGACTTCAAGTCCAAGGACATTCGTGTGGATGTGGAGGAATTATATTCAGAAATTGGTTCGCCTTCAACCCAAAAAACTTGCAGCGTCTTCGAACACGATGATCCCGAGGAGCCTGCCCACTTTTTGAGAAACTCTGTGGACCTTTTGCAGTCTAACATGATGATACCACCTCGCAAGAAAAAAGTTCAGACCGAGGGCAGAATTGACTTGAAATGTATTGATTACGGCTACCAGTCACCACGTTCCAGCGATTGTAAGAAACCAGAAGGTGAGATGCCACTAATGAGTATCAAAAACATAATGTACAAACTTTTTTGGACCATAAAGGACAGAAAGACTCTAATGTTGGGGATTATTGCAGCGCTTCTAGCTGGTATCGCCAATCCCGTCTTTTCTTATACGTTTTCTAAATTGTTAGGAGGAATCGCATCGTCGGCTCCGAGACAGAAGGCTGATGCCTACTCTACGAAATGGTCCCTTATTGTACTACTCGTAGCATTTTTGGATGCCGGCTTCAATTTTTTGAAGTCCTATCTACTTTCAAGAAGCAGTGAGACATGGATCAGAGACTTACGATTTTTGGTTTTCCAGAGTGTACAGCAGAAAGAGATGTGGTGGTTCAACCGAGAATTGAACAGTACTTCTAAGGTCTCTTCGCTAGTGCTGAACGATCTTAGAGATCTAAGAGCCCTAGCGTCTGAATTCCTTGCAGCATTAACAACTTTGTTGGTAGTATCAGCCTGTGGTTTGATATGGGCACTCGTGTCAGGGTGGAAGCTGAGCCTTGTGTGCATTTCTCTAGTTCCAATATTCATTCTCTTTTCCGGATTTTATGGAGGACTATTGCAAAAGCGAGAAACTGACTACAAAACCAGCATTGCTGCTTTGGAAGGTCATTTTTACAATGCCGTTAAAAATATCAAAGCCGTGCAATGCTTCCAAGTCGAGGAAAATGTGGTCGATGTCTTCACAACGCTGGAATTGTCGGCAAGAACTCTTGGGCGCAAGCGTGCAATCGGCACAGGTTTTGGAGTAGCAGCTTCTAACGCTCTTACCTTCGCCACACAAGCCATCCTACTGTACTTTGGGATGAAACTCGTAATTACAGGTGAATACACCTCTGGGAAAATGTTAGAGACCTTAACACTTTTACTGTTCACTATTATGACTTGCATGTCATTGATATCTCAGGTCCCCGAACTGAGCAGGGGCCAGCGAGCCGCAACTTATATCTTTGAGATCCTTAAAAGTAGGAACACTGCTAGTTTGAGCCACGTCGAAAAATCTACATTCAGTGAGCTGGTGGGTACCAAGACACCTTTGATTCAAATCAAGCATCTTCGCTTTTCCTACCCGTGCGCTATGAACACGGTGGTATATCGAGATGTGAACTTGAGAATCAATAAAGGAGAAAAGGTCGCATTCGTTGGAAGATCTGGTTCAGGAAAGTCCACACTGTGGCAATTAGTGGCGCGCTTGTACCCAGTTTCTGAGGAGACCATCTGGGTTGATGGGGTTGACATCAATCTCTGGGATGCCAATGCCTTGAGGTCCCAGATTGCGACCGTCGAACAGCAACCACAAATTTTCCCAGGCTCGTTAACTCAGAACTTAACGTACGGACTTCAAAGGGAAGTATGTGAACCCGAAATCCTAGACTTGTTAAATCTAGTTGGTTTGAAAGAATTCGTACTTTCCCTACCGGGTCGTTTAGACGCGGAAATCGACACGCAAGTACTGTCCGGAGGACAAGTTCAAAGGCTGGCAATTGCGAGAGCGCTTTTGAGAAGACCGAAAATCTTTATCTTCGACGAGTGCACATCTGCATTGGATGCCCAGCACAGCTTCATTATGTCCGACATTGTTAAGCACAGGCTGAGCGGAACAACAACAATTGTTGTTACTCACAGTGAGCAAATGATGCGCGCCTGCGATCGAATTGTTACTTTCTCTAACGGCGCAATAGTTGAGGATGGTACTTTCGAGCACTTGCAACTTCAAAAAGGAGAGCTGTTCCAGATACTTTCGTCAAATAATTGAGGGACGGCAATTGATATTGTGATTCTTGTTCAGCGCGTGAAAGTTGACTTAAGGTCTCATAAGGGGTCACATAGGTACGTATACTACAAGTGAATTGTTATATATGGGACTTCAACGTCCTCACCAGCTTTATCATCAGCGCATATTTCCAAAATCATAGTTTTGACATGTGAAGCTACCGCGTTCTTCGTTACAAGTTTCACGACTTCGGTAATGGGCAAATGCAGTCTGTCTTTCAGCTTCTTGGGAGGGAAGAAAGAAGCATAAAGCAGGGACACCCCATAAGATAACATAGTGATTTCGAGGCCCTCCTTTTCATCAAAATGATCAATTAATTCTTTCAGGGTGACGTTTCCGTTGATGTCAAACCTGTCCCATATTTTATCATAGGATTTATCGTTATACTTGCCCTGCGGAGAAGCAATGGGGTCGGAGAAACCGAAAAATGGTAGAGCCAAATTTATGAACCCATTGGAGTACGCTTCTAAGTCAGTCTTCCCAGCAACAACCTTGTATAGTTCCAAATTAACCAAACCCGTCACCAAACCTGTAGTTGTTGCAATAGCTGGGATAATGCGACCTGCAATAAATTTGGTTTTCTGACGGTCCGCGGTTTCGATGGAGTAATTGAGCGCTCTGTCATTAGATGCGGCAGCAATAAACTCTATGTGGTGATTGGTATCATCATCCTTTTCGAACTCCACTGGCACAAGTTTGAAACCAGCAAGCGTAGATGGCTCTGGAAGGGATCCTGCTAAAGTTTCCAGAGCGTCACCCCCGACAGCATCGTTGGCATTTGGATCAGGCTCATCATCGTTCGCTTGTATTTTAACGTCTGACCTGGGTGAGAATGCGGGCACTTCGATCTTGGAGAGTATAGACTTGTAATAAGTGATATCTGGTTCGCCATCATCACCTGTCAAACCATAGTTGAACGCTCTTAAGTTAGCACCTGCAACCACAAAGTGCAAGTGATCTGGATTCTCTGGACTGAATTTCAACGGTTCTGGCGCGCGCTTTGGCCCAGACCAGAACGGAGCACCGTTTGATGTTTTGGCATCTTTTGGGAAATTGTATAGAAGCTGTTGAATTTCATGATTGAACTTTTTCTCAAACTCCAACCGAGACCATTTTATGCAGTCTTCAAATGTATAAGGCCTGTTTGTGAGCGAATCAGAAATGGATTCTAGAATACCTTTGACATCACCTGCTTGCTTCAAAGTTTGCTCTACAAAATTAGGTTGAGTCAAGTACAGGTTAACATTTTCAGGACCTTCAGTAAAATAACCTTGAAATAATGATTTCGCCCACGCAATAGTGTGGTCGATCTTATTAGGAAATGAGCGCAAGGTACAAAGCGGGATGGACTTCTCTGGTGGGTCCCTGGAGGAGGAATATGATTCGGTCACGTTTGGAATTACAACTTGGGTATTACCTTTCGTACCCAAAGTTCCAGACTCCAATAACGATTTCTTGAAAAACACGCATCGCCGGTCCACATAAGTACGAGCGTCAACATTATCCAACGCGTTCGTGACGAAGTCCAAACTGTTCCAGAATTTGTCGTCAAACAGGTCTTCAGACTCCGGCCCCACCTTATCCGTTAGCCACGTAATTTTACCAGCTAGATCAGGATTCATTATAGACACCGCTTCTGATGCGACTTCTGATTTGCATCTGCCCACATCCTTAGGACGGAACAAAAACTGACGATTCAAGTTAGACTTCTCAATCGTATCGTTATCGGTTATGATGATTTTTCCTTCTGGACCGGACCCCAAACCTAACAATGCCCAGTTCTTCAGCATTTCACAACCGATGGCGCCAGAGCCCACCAAGAAGACCTTAGAGTTGGCAAGAAGTCTTTGAAAATCAAGCCCAAATACCGCGATTTGAGCATCATACCTAGAATTGATAGACTGCGTCGTTTCTTCTGTTCTAGGAAATTTCTCCGGATCTGGCAAAGATTCAAGAGAATCAAAATACATGTACTGCTTTAAAGGAGTGAATTTGCCGGAGCAAGCTTTCAAGGCCTCCTGTGCAACGAGACCTCCAAAAAAGGCAACTACAGCCGGTATGTCACCTTTAGCTTGGAATGAAAGCTCTTTGATAAGCTCCTCGTTGACCTCAACTTCTTCGCCAAGAACTAAAGGCTGCTCTTTAGCCAAATCTTTCACAATTTTGACCAACTCAGCGGCGTCCGCTTTGTTGACGCTGCGAGGCAGCTGACATTGATGATCAAGCTGAAATTTCTGTAGAGCTTGGAAACCTAAGTGAAGTTGAGAAGCCCTGTCAAACTTGGCATAGTCGCAGAATAAGTGTTCTGGATCGTGCAGAGAATCCCGAAGGGTCTTGAAAGATAATTTCAAGGGCATCTTCACCTGTGTGAATACACCGCCCTTTTTGTAATTACCAAGCTCTTTCACGGAGCCGATTCTAAAGGCAAAAGGACCAAGAACCTCGACTTTGTATGGTTCTCCATTATTCAGCTTTTCCAGACCCTCAATTTCAGAAAACCTAACGTAATTTCCGTCTTCCAGATTGTGTCTGTTGTCATCAAGCATCGTAACAGTTCCATCCGGTTCAATATCCGAAACAATTCCAGAAACCGCTTCTTCACCGGTGGGGTCAATCACAGTGAATTCTTCGCCAAAATCATTGAAGACACTGCCGAAAAGACCTCTAGTTTCTGTGGCTATGAACATGATACCCTTAGCATGGCACAAGTCGTTAAGCTCGATTTTACGTTCCAATGGCAATGTGTCGGTCGCAACCACGACTTGAAAGTTGGAAAGTTGCTCTTGATCTTGAAGTGAGCCCAAGACATCTATTGGCACATACGAGTTTAATTCCGCCAGTTTTGCGCGAGAAACAACATCTCTTGGTTTCCCTAAATCCTTTTCCGATAGAAAGAATTGGCTGGATAGGTCCTGTAACTCCACTGGCTCAGGGTCATGTAACGTCAGCGATTTAACACCAGCAAGTGCAATGTTTTTGGCGATTTCCACACCCAATCCTTTCAATCCAATAATTAAAACTGTGGAGTGCTGCATTTTAAGCATGGCTTCTTTGCCAAGCACGTAAAGCTGACGAGAGTACAAACTCTCATCAATCTCACCCGGTTTGGTCATCTCGAGAATGGTTGGGTTCGCGTTCAAAATTCAGGGTCTTTAAACAGCGAATGATGCGCCATAAGACAGGGTTTGCCACCAAAGTATATTTTAATAATCCGTATTTGAATTTCGACATCCTTCAAAGTAACAACTTACGAAATTGGTCTTTCATGAATATTCTGTCATCGCTCGAGCGGTGTTGACAACGACGGTGACAGTAACAATCTCGTGCTCGCATTAAGGCGATGCATTCATAGTTGAGACTATGTTTTGGAGTGGTGAGTCAATGCTTTTGGTTTTTTTTGGACGCGCTTAAGGGTTGTGCGTTTTATGATAGCATAGAGGATCATGATCAGGAGAACTAGAAAGTTTTGAGGAATGTTGAGAAGGAATGCTGGTGTATGTTGAAGGCTTTGATTTCTGGAATAAAACTTTGAATATCGTGGAAGTGCAAAACATTCGCTGCGAAAAAGCTGACAGTGCTAGAATTTTGGTAAAACGATACAATTTAAGACCGTTTCTTTGTAAGTGCTCGAATGTGACTTCCGAACAGTTGTAGGATTCTAGAGAGGGTCCAACTTTAAGATGCGTAAAAGTTATTCTTCAAGGCAGAAGAATAAAGTGCTTCAAAAGTCATCACTCGAGTCTTCCTCGCTGTTGTAAGGGTTTGAAAATTGATTTAATTCACTTGATGAACCTTCATCCACATCCACTGATTGATGTAGACCGAACCTCAGGAATCGGTCCCGAAGCAGAATTTGAAGTCGTCTGTATTCGCCATGATTGCCATCGCCGCGCAATAATGTGTCCAAGCCAGAAAAATCGTGCTCTGCGCCATGGCTGAACTTCATGCTCAGTAGTGATGTAGCAAGTGGAAAGAGAGAAGGGAATCTCTTTTTGTTAGAAATCCACCATTGAAAAGCATCAATTCCATTTTCAGGTTTTTCAGTGTCGCTAATGTACAAATACCACTCCGTCATACCAACTTCCCTCTCGGTCAGGCGAGAGCCCAGCTGCAAAGAAACCTTCATGGTATCCTTTGAAAAGCAGGAGACATTATTACAGATAACCGGAATTCGCGTTGTTGTACCTCCTTGTTCCCATTTCTTCAAGTGACATCTGATAATCCCCATCCCCCTTTCAACATAATCACCAGTGTCGACCTCTGACATGAATTGACGAAAGCCGTTTAGTTTCATTGCAGGATTGAGCATCGCGGCAGCGATGTAGGCATCGTTTTCTTTGAAGGAATCAAAGTACGCAGCAAAGATGCCTACACTTTGTTGTACGGCATTAAGCACTTTACGCTTAATCCTATTAGGCAGGCCCTCATTTCCATTGATGAAAGAGAACTCGGTGCTTTTGCTGCCAGAAGATACCAATTGACCGAAAGTTGCCGAATGACATGCGTCGTAATATCTTTTCAATGTGAAATAAAATGTAAATGCGTTCGACAGGCGGTTAAATCCATCTGTTTGTATCATTGTGTCTAAATGATAAAAGATCGAGCAACACGAGACAAAGTAGCTGAGAAACGAGATGGACACATCGAGCACCTGGAAAGATCGATTGATTTCTCTCATTTCAGCGTTGTGATCGGGTCTTTCAAATTTTAACCAGTCGTGGTAGTGGTTCCAGTTGGACAAGACGATATATGCTCGCTTCCAGACACACATAGCAGTAGCCATGGGAAAGGCCGGAATGGAACAAAGTCCAGACTTTGCTAGTGACTGTCTGATACTCCCTGAGTTCTCAAAAGCATTCCCCAGCTTATCCAGTTCGTCAAAAGCCTTTGCCATACCTTCATCGGTGGCCCGGATGTGAGAAATGATCGTGGCTAGAAGTTTCTCTAAAAGTTCACTGACACACCTAATTGGGCTTAAATCCTTCGTAATGTTGCTCGCATTGGTACTTCCATCGCACAAACACTCTTCACGCAATGTGGACCATTCTTGATTACGGGTCAAAAGTATAGCTTTACTAGAGACTTGAAAACGCTCAAAGACATCAGCCATCTTTCTTCTCAATTCGACAGCACTCTCTCCTTCTGATTCCAGTCTTATAATATCCAACAAGTGGGTTTCTCCAAGCTCCGATTTGTCTTGTGCATCCTCATAACGAGTGTCCAAAATGAACTTAGCCAAAAGAGTCAAGTAAGTCTCACCACTTTCGACTTGATGTATTTGGGATACCACGGTAACATAGTCAACCGTTTTCATCATTTCAATCAACTCATCATCAAAACTGCGGAGGTAAATTGCGAGCCTTTCAAGGATTGATCTAGGCTCCAATGCCCCACCCTTATTCTTGATAAACCTTTCCCATGCCCTTGAGGAAGCTATCGATATGGGCAGTTGTTTCTCGATCAAAATATCGATTTCGAAAAACTCCTCTGGTCGCGCTATGGCTTCGGCGGCAATGAAGTTTGGGAGATGGTTTGTTTGAACCACAAGCGCCATTGATTTTGGCTTTTCTGCTGTCTTATCTTTTCTTCTCCTGCTGTCGATGAACAGTTCTGGGTGAATGTTTTTGAGGTGTTTAGATAGGTTTCCGGTTGACTTTCGTTCTTTGAATACTTTGCTGCAATGTACACAGGTTGCTATTTTACCTCCATGATAGTTTGACACCTGGAAATGTTCCCGTAAGCTAGATCGACGCATCCATCCCGATGCTTGGGTCTCTACTAGTGTCGTTTCACTCTGTTGTGTAATATCATGATCAATCGGCTCGAACAAGGCGGTTTCGCGAGTATCAAACATTGCTGTCTGGAAGATACACTGTTACATGTACTCTGGAAGTGGCTTCTTCAAGTACTACTTACACTCAGTTGTTAAAGTACTGTTTTCGATATTGCGTTAGCCGCTGTCGAGGCGCATCATTACTCACGAAAACGGGTATTTACAAATGGGTCTTAATTGTGGGGGTCTAAAAGTGGATCCTCAAAGTGGGTTTTCGATAGTGGGTTCTGAAAGTGGATCCTTAAAGTGGGTCCTGAAAGTGGGTCCCACAAAAAAAAAAAGAGTGATGAGTTATAGAGGGCATATGAGAGCCCATAATTCCAAGTTACAGTGGCTATTTTACAAACCCAAAAAGAAGAAAAGACGTTGCTCGTAACGCTGTCGAGAGACCTGAAAACCGAAAACTATGAATTAAGAGTAATAGATCAAATAGAAATCTGTCACTCCCGCTTTCTTTGTTTCTCCTGGGTGAATCTATCTTCACATCACTTATTACGAATGAATCATAGATTCTTGACATATAGATAGATTAATGGTACGAGTATAAGTCCGCCAATAGATGTTGAGTTCATACACCGGAAACAACCAAGGCTTCTTAAACCTCCACTCAAAATGACGGAACTCGAGTTCTTGCTCAAGCCCCAGGAGCTTTATGGCGGTGCCATAGCGTGTGTGATCCCTGAAGGCTTTTTAGATGTCTCAATGCTGCGTGAGGTGCCTGATACGCAAGAAGTTTTCGTAAACTCTCGAGACGCAAGCGAAAAAGACAAAATTCCAGATGGTTTGGGACTAGACGAAAGCATAATCATCGATCTCCTGCAACGCGTGGACGCTGCTAACGACCGTGAGGCACTCGATATGCATTTACAGGAAATTGCAGGTCTTAACGCCAGCAAGGAGTGGACAGTGGCTAAGCTTGATACTTCAAAAGCGTACCAAACCTGTGTCGCCATTGAAACGGCGTACAAATGGGGCAAACAGGACCTTAAAGAAACTCTCGTTCTTTGTCTGGCTCTGTTGCGCCTCGAAGACGTGGAAACTGATGTAATCATTAGCATCAACATACCTATTTCAAGCAAACCGGCACTTGAAGACGTACACAATTGGTTACAGGACAAAACACAGCCATTGCCTCCCAACATTGACTCCGCTTACTCCATACTCAGAACTATGGCGAACAAGCTTGAAGTTCGCGACAAGACCCTGTTCGTGTAGAACGATTGCCGATCAAAATTTTGGCCATTTTCTTCTCCAGATCAACAAACAGTAGACTTTAATTATTATTATTATTGAATTCTCATTATCTGGGAGTGGGAATTGAAAAAAAGTGCTTGACATTTGAAACTTCTAAGATCCAACAAGACCAAGAGCGGGATCTCCATTGTGTAAAAACGTTACCTATAGCGTGTGGCAAAGGGGCAAGCAGCGACAGCAAAGATTTTAGAAGGAATTGAGAGCGTTGGTTTAGCGTAAATCCGATTTGAGACAGATCATTTCCATTAACGGAAAAGTGAGCTTTTCAATACGTTTGAGTCGAGCAACTTAAGACCATTTCCGTAGTAGGCTGGAAAATAGGATGGTGAAAGCTAGGAGGCCGGCCTGGAAACGGTATATCTACATAATAATCCCATTGGGCCTCGCTAGCATATGGTTATGGCGTTTTTTGAACAATGCGGAATCAACAGACCTGCAGGCATTGTTGCAGAATTTACCTAAGGAGATCACACAAAGCATAGACTCAGCATCGCAGCAGAAGCAAGACGCGTCGATGGTTGAGATGTTTGAAAAACTTTCCGCCGATTTGCTGCAAAAACAGGACGAACAACTTCAAAAATTCGAAAAGGAGCGTAGAGCGCTGGAAAAACGGATACAAGATCTGAAGCAGCCCTCTCCGCATGCCTCGCTGCGCGAAAACTTGGCACTGATCTTCGAGTACCGTCCGTCGTACCGGTTTCCGGCGTTTTTATGGCAAACTTGGCCCTATTCCGACACGGACGGTAGAATGGATCCTGTATTGCAAAGCTATGAGAGACATTGGGGTGACAAAAACCCGGGCTTTGTTCATGAAATCATCAACGATGATGCTGCGTCTGCTTTAGTGCATTACATGTATTCTGCGATTCCTCAAGTGGTGGAAGCGTATGAATTACTACCATCTGCTAATCTGAAAGCTGATTTTTTCAAGTATTTGATTCTGCTTGCACGAGGTGGTGTTTACGCCGATATCGATACCGATGCTTTACAGCCAGTGCCCAACTGGATTCCCGAAAATGTGTCGCCCCGCGAGATAGGTTTGATCATTGGGATAGAGAACGACGCTTCCAATCCAGATTGGAGAAGTAACTACGTCAGAAGACTGCAATTTTGCAACTGGGTCATTCAAGCAAAGCCAGGCCACCCTGTGGTGCGAGAAGTGGTGGCCCGTATCACGGAGATTACTCTAGAACGACGTTCAGAGGGCGAACTGCGCATGAACCTCAGAAATGACCTGAACATCATGGGCTGGACCGGATCTGGGATTTGGACAGACGTTGTTTTCACGTACATGAACGATTACGTGCAAAGTGGTATCCTCAGCAAGATCACTTGGAAAGAGTTCCATAAGCTTGAGGTTCCAAAACTTGTTGGTGACGTGCTGGTTTTCCCCCAAAGCTCTTTCAACGCCCCGGAAAAGGACTCCATGGACAAAGACTCGGACAGCAATAAAGCTCTACACTTTGCCACACATTCGGGACTCAAGAGCTGGAAAGCAGGTCCTAAGATTGGAGATGAAGAGTAGTCGATATAAAACTAAATTTTCTTTGCCTTAGCAGACAAGTGTAAGAAAAGATGTATACAAGAATTTAGCTGTCAAACTTAACGTTTTAATTTAAGACCAATCAGGAAAGGCGCCCAAGCTCTACTAAAAACTGGGCTGAAAAAGACTTTCCTCGTCATTCAAACGAAGTCAGTTGTCCCTATCTGGTTCCTCATCATTTGGTCATACTATTTGACAAGATTTAAAGATACCTACGCAAATCGAGCAGAACTTATGATTGAATTCCCATCAAATCTACCTGGATTCGACGCACTTCAAACCATATGTTACTGCTCGAGGGCCTTGATTATTATGGTACAAACGGTGGTGATAGAGGTGATCCTTTATTCTTTTATATAGTTGCCAAAAATTTTCATCTCGTATAAAATGACTCAACATTAACGCGTTAAGTCCTCGAGCGTTAGGGCTTTCAAACTCGATTGTTCAATCAAGACATGGATTCCAATCGACTTTTCTTGTACTAAAACAGGCCAGATATTTATTCCGTCCACTACATTCCGTTTTCTTTCTAGATGCTATTTTCTTGTCTTATTGGATTTTCACTGAAGACTCTCGGACTCGGCCCTCTGTTTTGCTTCTCTTTCAATTCTTTCCTCTATGTCTCTTAGCTCTTGCTCCCTTTGTAGAAGTTCTTGTCTTTTCAAAAGCAGCTCCTGTTGAACGCGCTCTTCGAATGCTTTCAGCCTCTCTTCTTCAAGTCTTATCTGCTCTTCACGCGCGAGGTACGTGTCCTGGCCTCCCGCGGACTGTTTCAATGACGACGTGGCAGACTCATGGTCTGCAGCGTGGAATGATGACTTGCCGGACGCCACTGGGGAAGCAGTGCCGTTTTCATGAGCCGCTAAATGGGCTCCGCGCGAACTGGGAGCAGACGGCTCACCGGAAAGTGCCTCAGTTCTATACCGCTCATACAGAATCTCATGGGTGTAGTCCTTCAGGTCATGCAAATGCGAGATCAGTAGCGTATTTCTTAGGTGAACAAAATCAGAAATAGTAGAATCCTCCACGTCCAGCGTGCCCCATGGGTACTGACGGCCGCGGATGAGGGTGCCATCGCCCAGATCGTACACCTCGTTCGATCCGACCACCGAAAAGGGCATCAAAGAACGTAGATGCATGTTGTTTTCATAGTCTTCGTCGGAAATATCCGTTTCTTCGAATGGGAAGTTGTAAATGGGGAGATGGTAATAATCAATGTCTTCCATGATCAGCTTTTTGTTGAGTTTGAGTTCCGCAGGGGTCAAAGAATCTGCTTTGCTGATTATCGGGATCACATTCACGAGTGGAGCCAGCGTTCTCATGAATTCCACGTCCATTTCTTTGAGCCCATGTCCCGTGGGGTTAACCAAGTAAAGACAGCAATGCACCCTTCCATCCTTAAAACGTGGGTTTCTTCTCACACGACTTTCCTCTAGCAGAATCTCATCGTATTGATGTTTTATGTAGTCCGAGATCACGTTAAAGTTTTGAGAGTTGTCCAGAGATCCGCCAAACCCTGGGGTGTCTATGATGTTCAGCTGGATTTTGACACCTTCGTCGTCTTCCAATTCCACCGTTTCTTCTCTGAGTTGCAGCTCGATTTGTGTAGACGCATCTGTTGGTAACATAACCGTCGTGGAAACGTCCACCACTTGCTGGCCGCAAAGCGTGTTGACAAAAGTTGATCTGCCACTTCCCGACTCTCCAACGACCATTAACGTGAAGTTAATGCCTCTCTTGAGATTTTTCCGCTTTCTCAAAGCAGCAGATGCCTCTATGATGCTAGCCATGGTTCAATTGAGTTCGTATCTGGCCTGTTTTGCTGTTTAGATCGTGCTCAAGAGGTATTGTTTTGAAGTTATGTTCGAAATTTTTAATAAATTCCTAGTTGATATGCAAGCTAGACGTTTAATTTCAAGATGTCAGTAAAAACAGCATTCACCGGATAAAACGGAGTCATCGTGAAGAGAGCGGCTTATATGGTTGTAGCCAAACCAGCTTGTTGCGGTGTTGTGATTGTCTGGTCGAAAAAGCCTTGAAAAACGGGTGAAAATGGCACCATGTTCGTCAACGTAAATCTACAAAACAGCGTCATTATGAAGCAACAAAGTTCAAATTTAGAGCACACAAAATGCAAATAAGTTGTGTACCTTTTAGAACCTCATCAATGGAATACCATGGGTTTTCTCTAAAGAAAAAGACATGGTGACAAAAGGGTGTCCATATTCGCCTTAAAAAGTCTCATGGAAAGTCGCTTCCATATATGCCAGCATCGTGGACAGGGAAAACCTTTCTGAGGTGAGATTCTCGTTTAAGCTCTCATTTATTTGCAATACACATAAATACTCAATATTATTAAAAATCGTCTCTAGGACGAACAGAGATTGTACAACAACATCATCATAAATTTCCACATACGTTCCACATACATTTCACATACATTCCACATAGATTTCTCGTATGTTCCCCTATCACTGTCGCCAATCGCCCTGGTAAATGGCTCAAAATGTCACTCTTACTGAAACATCAAAACTCATCAGTGTCGCTGTCATCGTTAATCACCACTCACATGACCGAGATTTTTCAGAGCTAAAAAATTTTGGCCTGCATCTATAATATTGACTGACTCACTCATCGGGCTGGTGAATCAGAATCTTTGAAGGATACTTAAGCAAGCTATCCGTTTGCAAGATCAACATTTTTGTTGTAAAATTCAAATATTATTCAAGAATTCGCTGGTAATCATGGGTATTTCTTTGAAACGAAAGGTTGTGCTAATCGATAATTACGATTCCTTCACTTGGAATTTGTATGAATACCTGTGCAGAGAGGGTGCTGATGTCCAAGTTTTCCGAAATGATAAAATAACGTTAGAAGAGGTGATAGCTTTGAAACCAGAGATTCTGTTCATTTCACCTGGTCCAGGCCACCCGCAAACCGATTCTGGTATTTCTAGAGACTGCATACGGCACTTTGCTGGTAAAATTCCCGTCACCGGTGTCTGTATGGGACAGCAATGCATGTTTGAAGTGTTTGGCGGGAGCGTGGCATACGCTGGAGAAATCGTGCATGGAAAAACCTCCCAAATCGAGCACGACAACAAAGGAATTTTCAAAAACGTGCCACAAGGTGTTTCCGTGACGCGGTACCATTCTTTGGCTGGTGAACACTCTACCCTTCCTGATGAATTGGAAGTTACTGCAAGAACCGAATCGGGTGTCATTATGGGCGTCAGACACAAGACTTATACTATCGAAGGTGTTCAGTTCCATCCAGAATCGATCTTGTCAGAATCGGGTCGCACCATGATCAGAAATATCCTCAGCATTCAAGGTGGGACCTGGGAAGAGCACGAAAAAGCTGCAAAACAAAAAGTGAACAAGAATAGTTCGATCCTGGACAAAATTTATGCTCAAAGACAAACGGACGTTGAGGAACTTTCTTCGGTTCCCGGCTTCACACAACGCGATTTGCAACAAAATTTCGATTTGGGTATAGCACCTGCTGTGCAAAACTTTTACGACAGACTCATTGCTGGAACTCAGGGTGCTGCAGTAATAGCTGAAATAAAGAGGGCCTCACCCTCCAAAGGAGATATCGATGTGAATGCCATAGCTGCAGAGCAAGCGGTCAAGTACGCAAGAGCCGGTGCAGCCGCAATTTCGGTACTGACCGAACCTCATTGGTTTAAAGGAAGTATTCAAGACCTTGTTAATGTAAGAAAGGTATTGGATAACGAATTCAAGGGTAACGTGGCACAAAGGCCCTGTGTGCTCAGAAAGGAGTTCATATTCAGCAAGTATCAAATTTTGGAAGCCCGGTTAGCAGGTGCAGACGCAGTTCTGTTAATTGTAAAAATGCTGTCACAGCCCTTACTTCGCGAACTGTACGAGTACTCCAGATCTGAAATGGGGCTTGAACCGCTAGTGGAGGTAAGTTCTAAAGAAGAAATGAAGAGGGCTATAGAACTTGGAGCCAGAGTCATTGGTGTCAACAACAGAGACTTGCACTCTTTCAACGTGGACCTAAACACGACTAGCTCGCTGGCCAGCTCAGTACCTGTCGGTACAATTTTACTCGCCCTGTCCGGCATCACTAGTGGAGCAGATGCGAAAAACTACAAGAACGAAGGCGTGCGTGGCCTTCTAGTAGGGGAAGCCCTCATGAGAGCATCTGACGTTAACGTCCTAATGGCAGAACTTCTCGCCTGATAGAATCATTATTTACATATCAACGATGAAATAGTAAGCAATCCTTATCGAATCAATCATTTTTGGAAGTTCCAGGTCTAGAAAACTCTGAGCTCTGAACGTATTTGATGCCCTTGAAAGTACGCTCCTTGTTGTGAGTCTGAAGGGCGACCAAGAACCCCAGGTCTGTTAGCTTGGGCCAGTTCACAAACTGCTCACCGTTCTTGAAAATATAATTCAAAGATAGCGCCACAATAGCACTTGATAAACAGAAAAATGAAAGATTCTTGGAGCTTGTAAAATGGCTTTTGGGGAAGAAAATGGTGGCCGCAATTACAGTGAGGGCGGCACAGATCACGGTGGGTATTATTTGTATTGTAAATGGCCTTCTATCAGTGAATGGAGATTGAAATCCAATATCAGTCATCGAGAAATTGCCCAGAAATAAGTCGTAACTGTCTTGTCTAGGGCCATCGGTAAGGTTGTTCTGGTAGTAGCGAGAAACGGAGTTCAAAAAGTCCTTAAAGGCGCCAAGACGGGTGCGTTTACCGGTTCTCGTGAAGTCCGTCTTGAGCGCACCAGTGCCGGAATAAGCAAAACTCACCGCATCTGCGTTATCCGCCCAGAAACTTTGGAATTGTACCAAAAGTTTCAGGTCTTGTTCCCATAAATGGTCCTGAGAAAGTACTTTTGAGGTGACAAACTCTTGTTGCAGGACCCAGTGAGCCAGTACCGACTGAACGACATTTGTTCTATCCAAACAGTCCATGCAGTTCGTACGGACGATAGATTTTTGTTCATTTTTAACGTCGATAGTGCTGCCATTCAAGGCCACGGTCTTGTGGAATACGTCTTTAGGATCAAAACCCATCTTCTCCAAATGGTCAAAGAGCAACTTGACTCTGTGCCACTTCATGTTGCGGCATTCGTGGTGGAAATCGAAGTAAATGTAACGAATCTGAGGGTCGTCAAGACCGCTTACAGCAGACTCATAGGCATTTTTGACCGGCAGCTCGTGACCCTTTTGGTTAACCAAATTGACCAAGTAATTGTCACCGTAAAGCTTTTTCTGCTGATCGAAATGTTTGGTGGTGGCATCCAAGGTGGCGTTAGGGCCCAGCACCACGTTGGGCTTGTACTTGAGGTTGTTTATTTCACCCCAGTAGACAGGAACAGAGCCACGAGTTTGCAAAAAGGCGAAAAAATCGGACCGGTCCGTTTGACCGGCAGCTTTTGTCACGAGAAATTGCTCCGTTTCATTGAAATTGGCAACATTGCCGTCCGCATCGATACCACGACGAAAGTATCTAGTGCCAGCTCTAAATCTGCTCCGTCTGGTCACGAGACCGATTGTTATGGGCGTATTATGGATGTTTGAATCGATGAAGTGGGCGTATCCGAAAATCATGGGCTGAATGAAAGACGCGGCTCTATGGTCCTGAGCAGCCAGCCTCTGCAACGGTTTCGTGGCGTAATGGTTCCAGAAAAAACGTGTGTCTGCGTTTTCCCACGAGTACGGTCCCAGTTTCTCGTTTCTCTGCGCAGAATTTGTCAAATCGTAAGTGTACGAGAAGAACAGCGTAGCGTTTGATAGCTGTAGCTCCAGTAGTGCCAGATACTGCTGTTCGTCTCTGTCTTTTCTGCCCTGCTTGTTCAGGGCAACGATAGCATGTTCCACGACCTTGAACACTTTATGGCCTACCAATGCACCGTATTCCTCCACCCTGCGAGCTATGATAGCGTACGAATTGGTCTTTAACTTGATACATCCAATGAGACCTGCCACTTTGTAGATTTCGCCATTGGCTGGAAACGAATCTACCGAATCCATGCTGACGTCTTGGTCAGAGGGACCAAGCGAAAGAACCGAATCTTTTTCATTCGAAAAGGATGCCAGCTTGAAAACAAGTCGATTGTTGATCTGCGCGTACAGTAAAGGGCCAGACATCGCAGCTTTCGAAGTGATTTGAGCTCCTTGGTGCTATGTTTTGGCTCAATTCCTTCAAGGTTTCTCGAATTTGGTTCTATGTTGTTGGCCTAATTTCAAAGCTGAATGAATGAATATAGTTGAGATCACTGTAGAGGCTTGGCTAACATCTTCTTGGTGTATGGGTTTCTGGTCCCTATCTTCGGAGAAAGTCGGAAAGAAGGGGAGAAAAAACTGGTGACAGTAGGTCGCGTGACTTTATTGAGGTGAAAATAGATGTCGAGGTCACGTTAAGGCGATATTCTGCGTGTAAAATGATGCCAGTTTTGTAGTCACGTGATTTAGGTTAGTCAAAGGGGATCTAAAACTGGTTGAATGTCAAGAGAGAAGACGCGCATTCGTGATTTGACCATACAGATGGACAGTTTAAGCTGAGATTTGCAGATGGTTCACTTTTGCGTAGTGTTATTTTCCCATGCTTTGGTAAAATTGTCTTGTGTTTGCGAAATGCACTGTCATATCACAGGCGACACAGCTCCCGTCTTGTAGAGGCAGAATATGCTGTGGGCGTTTCAGCAAACTTTCGCTGTACAAATCACAAAGCTACGCTGATCCAAATGCCGATTGTGTGGAAAATGAGCGCATCACGTGCGTGATGACAGCAACAGCGTTGACGAAACAGCTCCAAAAACCAAAAGAGAAGGTGCGGCGGCGCATAATGTGTAGTTTCTAAATGGAGTCACCGGGTCAAAACGAAACACCATTCAAAAGCTTAGAGCTGATTGGTCGATTCAGATTTTGTCACTTGTACTTTGTGCGCCGCGAGCTTCTTCTTTGAATACCAGAGAAACATCTCAAATGCTTATCAAATACTAGTATATGAAACGATATAAACAGCTCAACATCGTTTGGCTAAACCAAAACTTTTCGACAGATGCTCAGGCAATGAGAACTACATGACAGGAATCACCAAGTAAAACCTGTCGTAGTCCAAATGCACTTAGTCACTTTTTATTTATATGTCGTGGTGTCAGTTGACTTCCATTGTCTTTCTAACAGATTTAAGTCACGTGAGCATAAGCTATGTCAGCTTATGTCATCATAGATCGCCCTGCACGAATATCCATCCTTTAGATTTACCATCTGACATTATTCCAACTCTCCAGCTCTGCCTCTCACCAACCCACCACCGATTCTTCTTCCACAGCACCTTTCAATACTGTAATCGGTATGTCCAACAGCATTTTTCAACTCAGTGCAGTTCTTTCAGCCCACGAGCAAGATGTTAAGGGTGTAGTGGCCATCGATTCCAACAAAATTGCAAGTTGTTCTCGAGATGGTACCGTAAGGGTCTGGCAAAAACAATTAGAGGGCATTTGGCAAGCCGACATTGCGTATCAGTCAGATAAGTTTTTGAACAGTCTTTGTTACGATGTTTACAGTCAGCTTCTCTTTTGCGGCGGCCAAAACACTTTAATCAACAGCGTGGTACCAAGTTTCGGCGAATTGACATCCGAACCTGCATATGTTCTTGTAGGTCATTTAGCCAACGTATGTGTGCTTAATAGTACTCAGGGATATATTTTGAGTGGTAGCTGGGATTCCACGGCTCGCGTTTGGTTTCAGGGCGCTATCAAGCACGAGCTCAAAGGCCATAAGGCTTCTGTTTGGGACGTAAAAATGCTACCTCAAGTTGGCCAATATTTGACCGCTTCGGCAGACCAAACCATTAAGCTGTGGCATGGCGAAAAAGTGGTTAAAACTTTCGATAAGATTCATTCAGATGTGATAAGACATCTAGATATAAACCCCGCAGGTGATGGGTTCGTCAGTTGCTCAAACGATGGGACCATCAAGATTAACGACATGGAAGGACATACACTTCGCACTTTGACGGGTCATGAAAGTTTTGTGTACTGTGTGAAATATGCACCTAACGGCGATATAGTCAGTTGCGGTGAAGATCGCTCTGTGCGAGTCTGGGGTCCAGATGGGGCTATCAAACAGGTGATACGCATTCCGGCGGTCTCTGTGTGGGATTTAGACATATTGGACAATGGCGATATTGTTGTGGGTAGCAGTGACAGTGTAGTGCGCATTTTCTCTAGCGATCCGAGTCGTGTGGCGAGTCAAAAAGAGCTTGATGTATTTGCCAAAGAGATAGAAGAAACAGCGATTAGTTCCCAAGCGGCTGGATTCGACGAATCGAAGCTCTCGTCACTGGACGTTTTGCAAAAACCTGGGAAAGAAGGCCAAGTCGTCGTGGTGAAGAGCGCTTCTGGCGTAAATGAGGCCCACCAATTTTCCAGCGGCAAGTGGGCGAAGGTAGGCGATTTGGTAGGCTCGGTTGGAAATGATCAAAAGAAGGAGTTTGATGGGAAGATGTACGACTATGTGTTCGACGTCGATGTTGAGGAAGGTGCTCCGCCTTTGAAATTGCCCTTCAACGCGAATGATAATGCTTATCAAGCTGCAGACGACTTTCTCGCAAGGTATGATCTACCGGCAAGCTACAGAGAGGAAGTCGTTCGCTTCTTGATCACGAACACGGGTGGTGTTGATCTTCAGCAACAGGATGCGTCGACTCAGCCGAATGCTGATAGCCAGGCACAGAATCATGCACCAACCAATACCAACATGGTCGTACTCCCCGTCACGACATATCTGGACATAAGCTCTTACAGCGCAGACGCTATCTTTGGGGCCATCGCCAAACTCAACGAAAAGGAAAAAACATTCGACGATGAAGATTTAGCTGCTCTGGGAGCCGGTTTGCACAACCTTAATGACAGCGCAGAATTGCTTCTCGCCCAGGCTTCAATAATCCGCTCAAATTGGGAGAATAAAACACCTGCGTACGACATACTGCGCTTGATTGTCAATCGTCTACCGCAAGCTGATGACATCAGCGACTTCGTGGAAGAAGGTTTGGGTTCTTCGAATTTGCAGTTAGAAATGCTCACGATTAGAGCCCTGGCTAACGCCTTTAAGAACACTGAATGGGGTACCGATCTCTTATCAAAAGCTTCTGTATACGAATCGGTTTTTCAGACTATTGATGCAGACCGCGCACAGACCGCCAAGACGGGAAATCTGGCTATCGCTGTCACTACTTTGCTTCTGAATTACAGTGTTATGATTCTGAAAGACCAGAAAGTGGATGTTCTTCCCACCATAGCCGATGCGCTGAACAACAAATATGGGCCATCAGAAATAGTGCAGAATTCTGAAGAAGCTGCATATCGTGCTCTTGTCGCATATGGTAATTTGGCTACAGTAGAGACTACACTTCTACAATTCGCTTCATCCGTGAAATGGGTCAAATTGGTCAAAAACAACTACGGTCATCTTTCTCGATTTGACCAGATACTGAACGATTTGAACATAGCCTGAGTAAGTGTATTCTAGTTGATAGGTTTCCACAGCTACAGATGGAAAATCGTCAATCTAAATAATATCAATATAAATTACACACTCAGGTTACCAGAATTTCATTTCATCAAGGCTTGTAAAGCGGACTACAACAGCGATGTCCATCGACGATGACCTCAACAGTATAATTGGTGATAATGTACGTAATTGTATCTATCCAACCGTGAAGGGACTGATGCCGCCTCACCTTCCTTCAAAATAGTAGGATTCAATTCGGTGAACATTCAAAGGTTAAGTTAGCAACAAGTTTGTTTCGTTTACAATACTAACAATGAAGCCCGGATAACCTTAGTCCACTACCAGGAAAACGACAGTATGTGGTTGATTTTTAATGTGTTTCTTTCTAAGGGTGATAAGTTTTAAATGTATTAACAGCTTTTTGAGAAATATCGTCGTCGTGATTTGAGAAATGGATTGGCTTCGCGAATCGGACGCGATGCCAGTGAATCTAGAGAGGCTTCCAGAAGAGATTTAGACCCCCGTTCATATTCAAAATCAGCCCGGCTATATAACGATGAAGACATCAACAGCTCTATTGCAAAGCCGAAAAAAAGACTTCGCATTACGCAAATTCCATTAGACGTTTCCGACTTTGTGGTGGAAGATTTGGTAAAAGAAGTAGCCGCACCGATCTACGCAAACTTTTATGACCATCCTGAAAGCCGGACAGGGATTTTTGAGTTTGAAGATCCAACTCAATTGGAAGAGGTGGCTAAAGCCTTTGCCGACAGGGAAATAAATGGTTCGAAAGTTTCTGTAGAAATCTACGAGCTTAAAAGTCGTCAAAACCGTCGTGTGCAGAAGAAAGGCCACGGGGGAAAACGTGGCGAGCGTGGTGGTCGCAGAGGACCAACCGAAAAGCCAACCGCGGAGCAATTAGACAACGAGCTTGATGCCTATATGAGAGACTGAATAGATAGTAGAAATTTAGATCTACTTAAGAAAGTTGTATGTTCATGACATTATTCGAATATATTCATCTTATCTATACTAGTAGGTGCACATGGGGCGGTTCATCACATAATTTAGAGTACACGGTTGTTTTTCATTCCAGGTGATCCATGATAATACCTGGTGATCGCTATTGGGGCAATTATTTGCTAGCGATTTCGATAGCTGGAGCGCAACCTAGCGACTTCTTCAATGAGCCGTAGATACCGAACTGCAAAGAGGTCAAGGTACCGACCATGACCAAACGAGTTGGCAGACCGGCGAAAGAACCGACGAAACCTAGTTCCTTGGCTAGCTGACCCAACAAGCCGATAGTGGATTGACCAGGAGCCTTCTTTGCCTTGTTGACCTTCGACAACAAAGTGTCAGCTGGCTGGGAAACAATGGCAGCGGCCAAACCAGCGGTCAAACCAGAGAGCAAGTTCAAACCTGTGGTTGCAGAGGTGCTCAAGCCCTCCTTTGGACCTGCGAGGCCAAAGTAGACTTCGGCAGCACGTTCGTAGACCAAGAATTTGGCAATGTTGTATGGAATCTGCTTGAACAAGATAGGAGTGAAACCGTTGTAGAAAGAGCTTAGACCTTCTTCCTTCATAATTCTAGAGAAACCACCGACAAGACCGTTGGAGAAGTTTGGCTGAGACACCAATCTAATTCTGGTGGCTTCCAAAGGACACAAGGCAATATCGGCGAAGAACTCAGCAATGGCGGCAGAACCGATGTAGATGGAGTTCTTGTAGTTGACGGCCTGGTCATAACCCAAAGTGTCGATGAAAAGCTTCTTGAACACTTCGTAACCACCGAATTTGAAAGAACCTTGTAGGGAGTATCCCAACAAGGTAGGACCGAAACCGGTCAAAAGAGCGCCAGCACCCTCGCTGGAAATGATCTGCTTGAAAGAGCTGACCATACCTTTGTTGTAAACAGTTGGTTCCAATTGGATTCTGGTCTTCACAACATCGATAGGGACCATGGCAGAGTGGGTAACACCACAACCAATGGCACCAGCCAAGGCAAACTTGGCGTAGTCAGAAACAGTGTATTGAGGGATCGCAGCAGACATCTAGATAAATAAAACTGGGGATGGTGAACGTCTAGTTCGTTTTGTATACTTGAAGTGCTCGATCGCAGGACTTAAAGTTAATTTTTCACGACTTTATATACCAACGGTCTGTGGAAATTGATTCGACGAAAAATTGTTAATAAAAGAAAGAGTACTCGTTGATAGGGATAAAAAAGTTTTTCTCGCTATTTGATGTAGTTGTCGCAGTGTTGAAGCCTTCGAATCCTCGACTGTGATTGGCTGATCGGGGGCAACGACGAACACGACACACTGGGAAAGGCAGGTTGACGAGGCAACTGGCATGAGTTGCCTAGGGACGAGAAGAAATATTGTGTTTGTAAATGCAAGTTCGACCCGGAGTGAGACGGCTAATTATGGATAAGGCCATCTGGGGTACGTTAGAGATTGTTCGAGGAATGTCTATGGTAGCGTAATCAACGAAACTGGGAGCAGTTATATGTAGTTTGATGCACACGCACGACGTTTGTGGGTAGGATCACTATATAAGCTATTAGCGATATTAGCGGTTTTGAAGAATGGTTCTTGATGACGGCAATGAAAAGGAAAATGGTAAGGTCCGAGATGGGGCGTTAAAGATCAAATGTTTTGGATTCTCGAAAGGAGCTCGCTTTACGGCTTTTCGGTAATAGAATGACGAATGACAGCGGTATGCTGAAGATCACTTTATACTAAGTGTGTCGCTGTCACTTGCATTAAGTGAAACCAAATTCTGGGGATCAATAGTCTCAGGGGCCTGTAAGGAATTTGACGTTAAGCAAGACGTCTCACGACGTTACCTCACTCAGTAAAGCGAACAATCTCTTGAGATGGAAGTTACGTTTCAAGGGTATGATTGACACGTGATGTGTCGATAAGGTTTAATGACAATACGATAAACCCAACCTCTCAGCGGTATATCGGTCTTCATGTAGTGTATGGTTCTTGTTTGCCCGCTTGCACAGGCGGCTTGGCTAAGATAGCTATAGGATGGAATGCTTTCATTACTATCGCTTGGAAAACGGTAGCAATTGTATAGTGCAATTATGTAATTCCAGTCGAGCGCGCGAGGAAGCCTAAAGTCTCCCGACGGGGCGAAAGACATTCTTATTTTGAGTCCAGCATCATTGTAGGGCATCTGGATACATCAAACTACGCTGTAGCATAGCAGTCTCGTCCTTAATATAAACCGGAATACAAATGACCTACTACGGCCCACATTAGTCCGTCGCCGGACTACAGCCGCCCGTCACGGACTGCATTCATCCGTCTCGGACCAGAGCCAAACACAGTCGGAACACAAGCATCCGCTGCCGGATTCTTGTCTCGGACCTCTATGGCCTTGTTCGGAGAGCAGAAGTCCGTGGAGACGACTTTTTCCCGGAGTACTAAGCGCCGTGAACGAAAAATACTTCAATCCTACCAAGAAAAAAACTGGCGGACTTCAATAGATGTGGTTTTCTTCGTCGTTTCGATCAACAATCGAGGTTGATTCGAATGCTGTCAACAGTAGCAACCATACGTGGCTGTCGCTTCTCCATGCCAATACAAGATTAGAAAGTTTAAAAAGTCATGGTATGAAATCTATTAAGAACTCTATAATTAAGGCCGGTAGAGAAATCAACTGGCATTAGACGCACAGCTGAAAACAGTTCCGTAAGCATCGGCTTGATAGTTCAAAATGATACTTTGAACTGCAGCGTAGAGACCAGGCCCCAAAATGTAAAGACCTGTTCCGATAAGGAAGATGGCAATGTAAAAATGAATTTTTTCAACAGCAGTTAAAGACTTGAAGTATTTTGTCGTGTGGTATTTCTCTTCTTTCAGTTTGAAATAGGCCATACCCCAAAAGACAAATCCGAACCAGCAGTCGAACAACGATGACATCAGAGACAAAAGATCAGAAAAGAAAGGCACCACTTCGGCAATGATGAAGGCAACAATCCAAGTGACGAGTAGAATACCGACCCATGCGGCCCAGCCCAAAGGAGTGTGGGAGTACAAATGCTTGGAACGCTTGAAGAAGGTGAAGAAGAGTAAACGAGCTGATACGTTAGCGTACAACGACCCTGCGAAGATAAGCGTAGGCACTGCAAACGAAAACGAGATGATCTTGTAAGTTCTGGTTAAAGAACCGAAAGCTGGTGCTGTGACGTATTCGTTACCCACGTAGACATAGATAATAACGCCGGCAAGTGTGAAAATGATCACTTCCAAAAACGTCACAATGTACAAGACCTTTCTGAACTCCGCAGGTCTCTTCATTTCGGAGATGAACTGTGGGTAGGTAATTTGGCCGACGAATGTGTAAACAATGTTTAGAAAAGCACCCATTCCATCGACAAACGTGGTGCCCTCTTTAGGGAACGCCCGGAACGTCACTGGCGTCCCATCGTACTTCGCCGGGTGATCTTGCACGCCTGCGAAAATCATGGCTAAAATGACAGCGATGAACATCGTGATGGCCGAGAAATAAGCAACTTTCGATAGTGACGAGAAGGTTCTGGGGATCGAAACAACAAATGCGATACACGCTACGATCACGCCAAAATCCACTGTGCACAGCGAGTGGTTGGTGATCGTGTTCAGATACTTGGCACCCACCAGCACATGCAACCCTTGAATGAGTGTGTTGTTAGCCAAGAAACAGAACAGGGTAGCGTACCATGCCCATCTTTTGCCCCAAAATAAGTGTTGACCAATGTCACACACACTCGTCAAGTGTGGAAACCTCTCGCAATAGTCGATAATCGTAAGACCCGTATATAGCACGGTTGTTGCGACAAACAGCGTCAAAATGATACCAGGTACGATTCCCAGCACCGAGTAGGACCAAGGAAACGACATGATGGCTAGAACGATGTACTCAGACAGTAGAAGTCCGGTCGTGTGATGCCAAGAACACGTCTTGTACTTGATGTCGTGCTCTTCTTCGTTATGCAAAGCTCCCAGAAGCGAGTCTGACGAGTTGGCAGACGCTGTCTTTGCCACAGGTGTCAGCACAATGTTTTCCGAAGCTGCATCTGACTCCGCATCACGCCTGTCGCTGTACTGGCGTTGTTTTTCGACTCCCGCCGTTCTTTCGATGTCCGGTGTGCTCATCTTGAGGGAACTTGGGATGTTGTGTAGCAATAGTGAAACGCCGACCGATGAAAAGTTTCATAAACGCAGAAGATACAACCACAAATTATTTCGTTCTATTCAAATACAACTGGTTTGGAGTCTCTATTCTTTTTTATATCGAAGGGCCGTGAAGAGTCTTGAAAAGCTATTACCACTGCCATCTGACCCTTTAACGTATATTTCCTGTCACAGTGTTGTGGTACTTGAAAAACATCACAATGTTAACGTGGTAACGGCAACGTTGAAGACATAGTGACGGCAGTGAAAGTTAGGAAAGCCCAGAAAGCCCAGATGTGGGGGTACGGGGCTGTATAAATGTTGTGGCGAATACGAGAGATGCGGGTTCCTTGTTTGACACAAGATGCGATGACTGGGTGGAATCTTGCCACATCGCGTGATATGTCAATACTGTTTGCTTTTTCGGTGCCGTAAAAGTATACAGGTGCGGAGGGTCTGAGATGTTTACCTAATAGCCGTGATGAACCCATTTGACGACGGGGTGGCTGTCCCTGAGCTGAAGGGCATTGGCATGGCGATCTGTGCGGGATTCGATACTTTTGCAATCGAAATAATTGCTATGACTTCATGGGCATTGGATGGCGTGCTTGCGATGCCATAGTAAGTACCCGAAGTCACTCAAAAGTCAGACTACGTCATAATGTCTCTTCAGGAAACCGTTACAGCGGTCGCTCTATGGCACCTATCTGACAGTTTGTCTATAACTGGTCGATAGAGCCCATGGTACATATGATAAATTTGTCACGTGATCGTCTAAAGCCTGATCGGAGCTACCGTCCAGTAGCAGTGAGTGGAATCAAAGGCCTGCATCTTCTTTCAGCCGCGGCTAAAGTTCGCTTGGCGCCAAGTTGGTATATTCGTAGACGCTGAGTGCAGTAGCTTGAGATTTGGACGCTCAAAAACTATTTGATACTTTGTCTTGGGCATGAGATTAACCATCGCTGAACATTGAAACCGCAAATGAAGTATGAAGAAGCTTGATTTCTATTCATCGCCAGATAAGCAGAGGATAAGCAGAGGAGCAAACTCTTATAAGCATATCACCATCCAGGAACCTGTTTCGATGCACATCCTGACTACTGAAAAGTACGGCTGTATTTTACTGTAAGTAGAGAAACTCACTATTTAAACGATCTGATCATCATTGGTACGTGTGCGGGAAACGAGTATTTGCTAAGGCTTCTGTCCCTCGGATATTACCGTTTGCCCTGCTCCGCGCGTATTACCACCGAGACACTCTGTGACGATTTCGATTCCAAAAGCATCAGGAGTTTTAGTTCCCCGATGAGGATAGACCAGAACGTCCCATTATATGTGCTTCGGGAGAGGAAGATAGAATGTTGCAACACGAAATACTTACTTTTTAATACACAACGAGATGTACGTAAAGCCACCCCTGCCGCAAAACGAGAGTTCGGTTGGTTGGCTCGATCATTATTTATTGAGAGACATCGTGAGCGCACTCTGCAGTACAGGATACCGTTTGGACAGGTTCGTAAAATGACGTCACATTGGCCAACATACTGCCGTTGGAGTGATACGAACCGAACGCATCGGCTGGCCTCTAGAAACTTCAAAACGGCTGACTGAAGAATAAGTCGAGCCTGACATTATCGTTTTTCATCCATTTTACACCGCACAGCCGAATTTCGTCATCACTGTCGAAATACAAACCATTCAGAAGCCACGACAACCAAATAATTTCTTAACAGAATCATAATTCGCACTACTTGTGGTTAGACTTAAAGCTACCCACACTACACACTATTGAAAAATAACAAGCTAAAATTTACCGCCGTGGTCAACAGCCTTCTGTTTGGCAACTGAATAAGATTTTTCCGTCTTAATCTTTTTCAACCACTTGTCGATATTAGGGTATTGATCTGCGTTAGCAAACCCACGCTGGAACGCCATTTCTAATGGGAAAGACAGCATAATATCTGCTCCGCTGAACCTGCCATCCACAAGGTAGCCGTTGTTTTTGGATATTTCACTGTCGACAAAGTCTAGTTGGTTTTTGGTTTCACCGCGCGAGTATTTCTCGCTTATCGTACCAGCCACTTTTCTGGCCACCCACGAGATTGGGAACGGGATAGGCGCCTTGTTTACCATGGATAGAAGAAACTCGATCATGAGCGGAGGTTGCAAGGAGCCTTCGGAATAGTAAAGGTAGTACTCGATCTGATCGTTTGCATCAGGATTGGGATTATTCAATATGTTGGACTTGTCGAAGTTCTGCAAAATGTGGTGAAAAATGAACCCTGATTCAGCAAGAGTCTTAATCTTGTTGGTGGTCTTATCTTCAATGGTAATTATAGGTGCTCTCCCCAGTGGGTGTACCTTCCTTAGCTCATCAGGAGCCCGGAAACCCTCATCTCTCTTGTATGGGATGATTTCGTAGGCCAAGTTCAGATGATCTAAGAGCCACAATACTCTGAAGGCTCTAGATTCGTTCAACCAATGAACTCTGATTATAGGAAGTGACATTTTTGCTTAATGATCAAGGTGTACTATAATGAACTGGCTACTTAAAAGTTAGCAAACTACTTTCCCTGTCCTTAAGTACTGTGAAGGGATTCTTTATCAACGTACGACTTTGAAAAGGGCCCTAACTGCTCACGTGCGACCTTGCGGCCATGCCGGGGTTTACCCCACCGCAGCATTTGCAAAGGTCCCTTTTAAGTTACGCAATCGAGCTCGAAGTCGGTGACACATCTGTGGGACAGTTCGTTCTCATTACTCGTAATCTATGTCTCTTCCATTGGTAGAGTAGTCCCTCCTCCAAATTGGTGGTCTAGAGGAAACCGATGATGTAGTGCAGGCGTAGATACAGTATTGGTATGCTAACATGACATTCAAGGCCTTTACAATGCCATGGTATGATTATGTTGAGAACTCTGAAAGAACTTTGCTTATTTGCCAATCTTTTTAGCTCTTCTTCTTGTTGTCGCATTACGTTACTGCATTACGTTTCGTCGACCGACGAAAATAAGCATTGTCTGATGTCGTTTAACTTTTTGAAAGCCACTCAAGCTATTGTCTCGGAGCCCTCGTCCCATGATTGGAATTCAAAACGTCTACCGCTACGTATAGTCAACCCCGCGCGTCTTGCTGCATCTTATCTGTCGTTTTAGTAATACTTATCGTCAGACCTTGGAAAACTTCTGTTTAGGGGCATATGAGATTTCCAAGAACTTTTAAAGGTGCCAAGAGCTGACTATTTAAGAGTAAGACCTTCCATATATATACTGGAAATGCTGGAAGGTGTTCGAGATGACCATCTACTCTTCGTCACACAGCAATATCCCTCATATGCAACACTGGACCACCATCGTCGCTGAAAAGCGAGCCAGGACGCTGTCGCGAATTCCAAATGAGTGGATGCATCCGAACATCATTCAAGACATGGCAGAAAAGAATGTCAAAAATGCGTGCAAATACCTCGATGGTATACTTCCTGTAGATGAAGTGAACATCACTTCTCTCGATGCCACCGCACTAGTGGAAAATATAGCGTCAAAAAAATTAACAAGCTATCAGATATGCTACGCATTCTGTCACAGAGCTGCCCTTGCACATCAAATTCTCAATTGCTGCATCGAGATATTTTTTGAGGAGGCTCTTGAAAGAGCGAAACAACTAGATGCTTATTATGCTTCAACGGGAAAACTGAAAGGTCCTTTGCACGGCGTTCCATTTTCACTCAAGGACCAGGTAAACTTGCCAAATATTGAGACTACAATTGGATATGTTTCTAAGGTGGGGCAGAAAGCCGACAAAATGTCACTCCTAGCTAAATTGTTACACGAGCAGGGTGCGATTTTCTTCGTAAAAACAGCCGTCCCGACTGCTATGCTTGCATCCGAGACTGTCTCAACTTTGCACGGACGAACCCTAAACGCAGTGAACACTTCATTTTCTAGCGGGGGAAGTTCAGGCGGAGAAGGCTCTTTGATTGCAGCCAAGGGATCTCCTTTAGGTGTCGGCACTGATATCGGTGGCAGCATTCGCATTCCAGCAGCCTTCCAAGGCTTGTACGGACTCAGACCTTCCCACGGTAGAGTGCCGTATATGGATGTAACGAATTCTTATGAAGGACAAGAATTAATTTCTTCTGTTATTGGTCCCATGAGTTCCTCTCTCAGAGACTTGGAACTTTTCACAAAGCTTGTTGTTGACTGCGAGAGCTGGCGCTATGATCCTGATGTTGTTCCCATCCCATGGAGGAATTTTGACGGACAACAGACCCAGAAGCTGAGATTTGGAATAATGACCTGGGATGGAATGGTTTTGCCGCATCCCCCAATTTTGCGCGCTTTGGAAGAAACTCGTAAAGTGTTGATACACCATGGCCACGAGGTTGTCGAATGGAACTTTCCCCATAGCGAGGAGCTTATTGACGTTGCCGAACAAGTCTATGGAGCTGATTTCTTCAATGAGGTGGAGGAAATACTCAACGAATCCGAAGAGCCTGTCTCTGATTACATGCAACTTGCGCGGAACAATATCCTGGCAAAAGGTGGTTTGGGAAAACCTCTTTCAGTTAGGCAGTGGTGGGAGGTTTCTCTCAAAATTCGTAAGCTGAAGCAACAATATTTGGAGCATTGGAGAGATACAGCAAATCAAACGTCAGATGGGAAACCGATTGACTCAATAATCTGTCCCGTGTGGCCGTCGGCTGGTTTCCATGATCGAGAGGTCGAACACGGTTGCGAAAACTACACAATGCCGTTCAACCTTTTGGATTACTCTTGTGTTGTGCTACCGATCACAGAAGTGGACGAAATGAAAGATAAGCCAAACCAAGCACATTTAGCCAAAAACGCTAGCGACAAAAAGATGCAAGATTTCTATGACGCTAAAAAGTTCGGAAAAATGCCCGTCTGTCTTCAAATTGTGTGCAAACGTCTGGAAGAAGAAAAATGTTTGGCCATAGCATCCATCGTAGAGAGCTGTCTTTCTACGATGCCCTAAAGAGCTGTTACTGACAGTTCTCCAAAGCAACCCTCATCATAAGGTGAAAGGTTGCAGGTCTTATGGCATCCGTATATAAGGTGTTCTAAGCGTGATACCGGTACCAATTATGGTCATTAGGTATAGACTATCATACAAATGTAAAACTTCAACTGGCATGGAAGAACAGTCCTTCATGACACATTTTTTTGCCGATGGCTGTGAACTCGCACGCTATTCAATGCTTCATGTCTACCTGCCGTACCGATTTTCCAGTAGCCATGATCACCCTCTTTCAACCATGAGAGGACTACTCGGTAAGAGGGCCATTCAGTCTTCGTTCTAATCGAATCCCTTGCTGGACCTACGCTTGCAAAAGCTCACTGAATTTTACGCAGATGCCTCTACCAGCAGCATGTCTCCGGTCCCAAATTACATGATCATCTGCACGAGACACTGCAGACGGATTTTTTTACATAATGGGAGCGTCGATGTAACTACTAGACGCTACTTACCTAAAATTAGGTGCGCGGCTCCACTTGCTGACAGTTTCCGAAAAGGCCGCTCACCATAAATGGAAAATATTGAGAGAGAGTGTGTGGCATCTCTTGATTTCTCTGGGCTCAATCAACAAGCCTTGCACCGAAGAAAATGCGACACTACATTTACTCTAAATCATACGCCTCAGCAACTCGTAACACCTACTACCTAAACAACGTCTAAAATGTCATGGCATCCTGAAATGTTCTGAGTTAACCGGCCCTTGTCCGGTTACTACTAGACACTATTCAGTATGGATTAAAATTTTACGACGGTTCATTACCTTGCAGAGGAATACGGTAATAATTATGACAGAAAAACATTATAGAGCCGTTCTTGGCACTAAAGTGAGAGTAGATTGAATAATGGTACGACGCGATCAGTAAATGCAGCTGAAGTGAAGTGGATTTTCTTTATTGAATAAAACGAAGACATTGATAGTTTCTTGACAGTTTCTTTCCTCTACTTCCACACTAAGGAAAGTCAGAAACAACGATTTAGAATGCTTTCTGAGCAGACGCGCAGCATTGTGAAGGCGACAGTGCCTGTTCTCGAGCAACATGGTACCACCATAACGTCAGTATTCTACAAGAATATGCTTTCTAATCACAAGGAGCTCCTCAACATTTTCAACAAAACCAATCAGTCCAGAGGGTTGCAGCCCACTGCGTTGGCCACAACGGTGCTGGCAGCTGCCAAAAATATTGACAACTTGGAAGTTCTTTTACCTCATGTTGTGCAGATCGGTCATAAGCACCGTGCGTTGCAGGTGCTTCCAGAGCACTATCCTATAGTTGGTGAGAATTTATTAGGCGCAATCAAAGAAGTACTTGGAGATGCGGCCACCGATGACATCATCAATGCGTGGGCTGAGGCATATGGCGCAATTGCCCAGGTATTTATCGACGTTGAGGCCGGCCTGTACAAGGGCGCCGCTTGGAGTGGCTGGAAACAATTCAAGATTGCCAAGCGTGAGAACGTGACAAACGAAATCGTTGAGTTTACTGCCGTTCCATCAAAAGACTCCGGACTTGATCTCTCGAAGCCTCTGTTTGTTCCTGGACAGTATGTGACTGTCAAGACGCACCCTACTAATGACGACAACAAGTACGATGCATTGCGTCACTACTCCATTTGCTCTTCATCGAGCAATGACGGTTTAAAGTTTGCCGTGAAACGAGAGCAAGAAGCAGGACATTCTGGCCTAGTCTCTACTTTTCTCCATGACAGCGTTAAAGAGGGAGACGATATTTACTTGAGTGCACCAGCGGGAGATTTTATGCTCGACAACGAGCTGAAGAAGCAAAACGAAGTGCCACTTGTTTTATTGAGCGCAGGAGTTGGTGCCACGCCTTTGGTCTCAATGCTCGAGGAACAAGTGAAGGTCAACCCCGAACGGCCCATTTTTTGGATCCAATCAGCTTACAACCGGGAAAGACAGCCATTTGTCTCTCGCATCGAGAAATTGCTTGATAAATGCAGCAATAGTAGTATTGAATCTGTCTACACACAGAACATGCCCCGCATAAGCTCGGCCTACCTCTCAGAAAAACTCCCAAAAAACTCAGATGTATACATTTGCGGTTCTTTTGAGTTCATGTCTGCGATTATTAGCATGCTCAAGGCTCTTGAACACAGTGATGAAAGAGTTCACTACGAGCCTTTTGGTCCAAAGATGGCGACCGGAGCTTGATGTGCAGAATTAACAGTATACGCAACCTTGCTGCTGAAAGATGCCTCTCTCAAGCGCTGTGCATCATTGTGACCGATGGTTCGTTCCTGCTGCCTCGTTTTACCTACCGCAAGTGAAGTATAGACACCGACAACACACATTATTTATCATACTAGATACGTAAGTTTTTAGCCCTCTCAATGTCCACAAAGCATTCTGTCAAGGGTTGGCCCATTGGATGCTCTTATATCTTTTATTGTGCCCTTATTGAGATTTACACCATGTTCCTTTGAGACTCCTGGTAAATCTACAGGTCAATTACGAGATATCTCTTGTTCGCTTGGATTCGAGACAGGATTCGAAGTAAGGGAAACGCGTGGCAGCACAAGCGTTGTTCTTTTACTTGAACGAGCTGCAAAGTCAAAGGTGAGGTCATTTCTTTTGATTCTCGTGCTAGATAAATATAAAGGACTAAGCAAAGCAATTTCAGAATATTGTCTACCTACACAATCGTTTTCCGATGCTGCTTCTCAATCTTCGGCCCAAGAGCCGATCGCCCTTTAAGACATTGCACGTTCAATCCGATATCTGTAAGGGCTGCTATTTCTTTCAAAAGCACAACTATTACCTAAGTGGGCCGGGCCCTGCAGGGCGCAAGCCCACGAGATTTTTTTTATTTCAGTAATTAAGCACCATTTGACAAATTCTAATAGCTAATGTCCTTCAAACCTAGAACTCCGTTCAGTACGTTCAGAGATCCGTTCAGTATGTTCAGAGATCAGAGGACTTACGGAGTTTAGACACCAATGATGATAACTGTGAGGATGAAGCCAGCTTATAGCACTTCAGCATAGCGGCTTTTTGACCCTCTAAGTGCCGATCGTTTGTCAAAGTATGCTTGAAGCTCAATTAACACCGAGCCCTAGTGTGATCCTCAGGAGTGTAATGGCAAGGTAACATTAGGTATCTCCCTTCTATGCTATCTAAGTGCCAAGACCCTGGGGCTCGAGTCACGCGTTACCTATACAAGATATACAACTGGGTGACTTTTTTTTCTCCACGAAGACAACAACTTGGCTAATCAAGATGCAACGTTAGTTCTTTTTTACATTAATATGGATGGCTTACAAGCATTGCTTGACATTGCTGGTGGTGTGTTTGCCTCTATGTCCGCGAAGCAACATCGTGAACAGCAAAAGCAGATTGACGATTTGCTTAAACAGAATGAAGAATTACGCAAGAGAAATAGGGAGCTGGAGGAGGAATTAGAGCGTCACGTACAACCTTCAATAGACAGCGGAAAGCCTTATTCCGACGAAATCGAAACTACAACCTCAGGCCAGTACCCAAGGCCGACATCTGAAAGTTCTAGTGGATCTTTATGCAAAGGTGAAAAGGGCTATTATTCCTAAATTTTGCTCGCGGTTTCCGCAATGACATGCGGTTTATCAAGGAGATCAGTGGCGTGTCCTGATTTTGAATGATGTGGCTGCCGATCGATCTCTGACGCTGAAGGTGTAGAAGCCTCAACGGCCGGAGTAATGAGGCCTTATAGAGCTACTTACCTCCTAAAATTTTTAAAAGAAGCCCTTTGAGAAAAAACGTTTGTGAACCACGTCTTGTCAAAAGTCACCGACATAGAAGCCCAGAAGTACGATAGGAAAAGCTTTCTTGCAAGCTCTAAAAATTCTAACGCTTGCAACTGAGTATCAATGTATCCAAGATAAGTACGATGAACACAGAGTTGCGTTCATGCGTAGGGACTGCTATCATGTCTTGGAGACGTAGCACATGTGCTTCGTACCAAACTGGACGAGATTTGGGGCCGATTGGTCAAACGCGCTGTCATCACAACCTTAAAAATCGCTTCCAGAATCTATTGTTTGTTCCATGGGTTTTTTCCTGCGCCTATCTCTCTGTCCTGTGCCAATCAAAACTCCTCACGCGCTTGGATTATAGCTGTTCATATCAGTGTCAGTAACGTCGGTGTAGGAGTATTTGATGATATCCTCTGTAGCCAAAGCTCAGAACTGATTCCAATCATGCTGCTCTAAGAAATGCTATTGCAATTGCTTAGAACAAAAGCTGTGATAAGCTCTTCCAGGACTATCTGGCTGATGGCTTTTGTCATGGTGATCGCATTTTGAATTTCATTGAAAGATCGTAAAGGCTGAACAAGCCATGCCTTTCTGAATAATTCCAGAAATCATTTCTTTCGAACAAAGAAGAAGGTCTACCATACAAACTGGCTGTATCACCGTGGCCCAATAAGTGGTACCACCTACCTTCTACAATTTATGATCATAAGATGGCAAGTGCTATCAAAGCTTTTTGTCTTTCTCCCATGAACGTGACGCCATAAAGAAAGAAAATGGATCGGCCACTTGGTGACTCCATCCTTTTGTGAAATGCTACAAAATATACAAATCTTTATTATTCGAGATGTGTTATTCATAGTTCATAATGAGCTGACAGACATGTTGATAGAATGAACAGTATGATCCGGAATCTTATTCCAGACATTTTCGAGAGAAAAGATATATATTTCAAACATAACCATATTTGCTAAGCGTTTGAACCGCCATCTTCATCTACAAATACCCCCGAGAAAGCCATGAGTTCGTGATTTTTCGTGATTTTCGAAGAAACATTCGACAGTTCGGGAAACTTATGACAGATAATGAGAACGCAACTTTTTTAACATTTAGATCAGGATTTTCCTTTTAAAAAGCTGCGAAGCTGAGTCTAGTACTAATTGTATCATTATTTAAGGCTCATCTGCTTCACTTTAAAGTCTAAAATAGTGTAGACATCATCAACACCACTAGAGATATCCACAGCGCCTATGTAGTTCTCCTCAGAAAAAAAGAACAAATTTGTAGAAGTGGATGATCCATCGTTGAAGAAAAGCTCAATGAGATTCCGGTCGATGATACCCCGAACTTTGAGGATAGGTAGACCATCTTCGGCAATCTTGTACGTTTCAATGTTTTGAGTGACTTTGTTGTTGAAGAAGGGATTTTCGCTAACGAAATCAACCTCGGTGTTACCTCTGTCAAGGAAAAAAGCAGCTGCATTAAGTTCGTAACCCAATCTCAAATATTCGTCATCATCTTCGGCGCCTCTGAAGTACAAAGATAGATCCGCAAAGTCGTGTCTTGAAGTAACGGCAGTTGCGTTAACTTTCCACTCAAGAGAAAACTCTAATAAGCCCTGTGGATCCTTTCCCAAGCTGTAACTTACAGTTTCTTCAGAGTCCAGCAATAGAGAAGTTTTGTGAATTGATTGGTTCGTATGCAGATGGGTATAGTTGACTAGAGGCTCACTGTACAAAGTGAACTCCGTGGTTTCTGGGTTGGGATTGTAAGGCCGCAATGTGAGGTTACGGACTAAGGACATTGACGATCTGTAATCTACCGCCGGAACATTCACACCGTAGTCCCAATTAGAAGCCCACGCAATGCCTAAGACGTCGTTGTTGGGAACATCAGAGTAGGTTTGGAATGCATAAAAGTCTTTTCCATGGTCCAAAGCGCGAGTAGCTGAGTCCTGAGCAGTGAAAGTTTTACCGTCAAAATCACCAATGAAATATTGGTTGAAAGAACCTCCCGTGAGAGCGCCAGGGTTTATACTCAAGATCATAACCCATTTGTGATCCACCGAGGTGGCGTTGGTTTGGGCGGTAGCGTTTGTGGTGGAGTTAAGTCCATGCAAAGTAACGTTAGAAGGGCTTTCGTGAACGATTGGTACCTTTGCCAGACCCGGACATTCATACTGGTAACCAAGAAGACCGTGGTGGGAAAAGTTGGATTGGAATTCCCATGAAGTTAGGTTCTTTGAGCTGTAAATCTGCAGCTTGTATTGCTGCGACAGAGCCAAAACCATGATCCAGCGCTCCGTCTCCTCGTGCCAGAAAACTTTAGGATCTCTGAACTGCGTGGAGTTGATGTCCAGAACAGGGTTCTGCTCGTAATACTCGAAGCTGTACCCACCGTTCAGAGAATAGGCAGCAAACTGACTTTCACTTATGTTGCTATGCTCAGTGTAAAGAGCAACGATTCTTTGGCCTGGTAAAATAGAGTCGTCAAAGAATCCCGAGGTGTTGTTGTAGTCCACAACAATGGAGCCCGAGAAAGCGCCAGATTGTTCGTCTTTGGGCTCAAGTGCAACGCCGTGGTGATCCCACGTTATCAAATCTTCTGAAGAGGCATGGCCCCAATACAAAGGCACGCCTGGCGCAGTGTCATTGGGCTTGTACTGATAATATGTATGGTAGGTCGAGGTCTCGTTATCGTAAAACAGTCCATTAGGATCGTTCATCCACCCAACACTGGGAGTCAAATGCGCTAGTGGTCGTTCTGGACCGTGAGTACGATTGGACGCAACAGATGTGTCATTGAGATCAAGACCATAGGCCGCGAGGGCAACCGCCAGACCCGCAAATACGTGCGTTGCTGCTTTCATTTGTCTATGAACTTTATCTTCCTTGATATTCACAACGATTCGAACGATCTAAGAAAATTATATTTATGCCGAGTCTTTTTATAAATCGAAATCGTAGCAGTCGAACTAAATGACTGATATCCTTACCGGGTCGGGTTCAAACGGAAGATTCTATCCCCGCAAAAAATGCTCTCTTGTCTTCAGGAAAAGCAACGAAGTCAAACCTTCCGGTTTCAATCGTCTCGAGACTTTAAAGGTACAACCTACAGATTCGTCAAACTTATTTCGTAAATCTCAAGTATGACGTTTACGTTAAAAATAAATTTCATTTTTTTCCCGGGGAAACCCTGCAGTCATGCGGTGACTTTAAAGTAGCTCGAGGACAAAAGAAAGAATATTCCGAGGACGAGCATACCAAGATAATTTTACAGTAGTAGAAAGTAACCGGCAGCTGCTACAGGTTACGGGAGTGCGGCTTAACACTTGTACCACGGAATTGAAGTTCTGTGTTGAGCCAAGTACGACGAAGCGCAGTCCACAGAATGAGCTACATGAACAAACACAGGAATTCAACAGGTCTCGGAAACAGTAGCTCCGAATTGGGCCAGTGCGGTTTCGGAGATTGGGCCGGACCACAAACTCGTACCCCAGTTTCTGAAGACGGGTGCGAAATGGGCTGTTTTTACGGCTGCGGCGGGTCGTTTGGGTTATAGGTTGTTCTTAGGATTTAGACCATCGGAAACCCGTTAGCAAACAGCTTGGCACCCGGTTAGATTATATCAATAAACGAAAAGTGTGCTTGTTCTCTATCCCAATACGGGGACACGCTCCGGGATTGAGAGAGGAATAGCAAAGGGATGAAGGCCCACAGTTTTGGACAGTCCGAGTGCTAATGCGGGACGCACCTGAAAAGTTTTCAGGTAAAAACCATCAACTTTATCAAACTTTATACGATTTTTCGAATAGGGATTTGAAGAAGAGCTTCTTGTTGGTTGAACTGATCTCTTTCACTTGTCTTAGCTGACAGGAAAGGCAAGCTATGGGTTGGCAGTGAATAGTTTACACCAATTCAATTGAGAGACATCATTACTTCAGATCGGTACTCGCACCTATCGCCAGGGGTATTTCGTCGTTTGATGACACAGAACCTCATGCTTCCAAGACGTCCTGAGTGTGCTGTTCTAATAGCTTTATCAGGTCATCGTGACATCCTCTAACGTTGTTAACAGACAGCGACATCCCACTATATCACATTGTAATAGTTGCGTACAAGATGATTCCAACTATTCTCTTATCGGTTCCTACATATGCAGATCTTCGAGCATCTAAAACTAGGACCCTTGCTTATCTACCGACCTGCACTAAGGCTTAGGAAGTGGAATCGTAGCTCGAATGAAAAGACGGGTCCGTACTATACCGAAACAAGGAAAATACTGCAAGTTTCAAGAATAGATTGTATTGCGTCGAAGCTAACACCGGTAGTGGGCTTTTCTGTACTAAAAACCCTCGCGTTCCTCATTAGCATTGTGAGTATCGTGTCTATCATTCGTCCGGCACCGAAATTAGACCAACGGACACACAGATATGCTATGGTGCTATTTTAACGGGACAGTAAACCCCTGTGGACGCTTTTGAAATCTATTCATGCATGAAAACGGCCACAGCGATAACTGCTGCCACGGCACAAAAACCCTTCCCGTGGCAAAGTCGGTATCGATACTCTGTGTGGCTATGCCGAGTCTGATTTTCAGTAGAATAGCCGGCTTGTTGAGAGTAGAGCTTTGTAAATGTTTCTTCATTTACTCACAAGCGGGACATAACCGTCACCACTCCCATTTGAGGCCGGTTCAAGGGTCATGTAGCAGAGGGGCGCGTTTACTAGTTCTAGTGATACGGAATGTCATTCAAATTTTCTACTAGCAACTCTATGGTTGAAAAGCTGACTTTCCGTGATGACAACTAGGCAGTCCAAAGCTACACATCCATCTATCGCCGGGATTCGCTTATCTACAGTGACATTTAATTCGTTAGGTATTTTGTTACAACATCCAACGAAGGCTAAATCCAACGAAGGCTACAGACCGCATCCCTGTATGATTTTTTGAAATTTTAGCAGTTAGTGTCATGATGTAAAGTGATTTCCTTTGCACAACTCATCGAGGCACTACAGAGACTTGGTCCATGCGTAGACACAAACAAAGGAACGTGACTTCATTTTCTTTTTTGTTTCTTTTTTTGTTTCTTTCATACGTAGCTCTTGCAAGGTTCCTACTAACTCTGGTGTTTTTATACATCAGTCTACGGATCCCTAGAGCCAACATGATTAATTCTTGGCCTGATTGTCTCACTGCTGCTGTTGCCTCTAAAATAAATCATCTTCTTTAGATAAATTATCTAATTCCAATGGATTTTACAACAATTAAAGAATCAAGATTTAATTGTGATTTTACGCAACCATCAAATATTATGGTTGAATACTCAGATTTATTCGAGTGTAAGTGATGAATTGGATCTAAGCTGAATCATGACCACCCATTACACCAACCTCGAGGTAGCTTTAGTCAATCACTGAAGACCCCTTGTGTTTTCTTTTCAAATTTACGAACTCATGCTAAAGGCAGGAACACCCGAAGAAAACGATAACAACTTATCGTTGAGCAGGTTATCGCTAGTTGCATAGGAATAATTTTAGAGTTGGTGGAAAAGAGAGCCAAAATATCGCCGAGACCGATCCTAAGGGAAGAATAATTGATTCGTAACAGAAGCTTGGTCGTTAAACTATCGGCCTTTCCAAGAATCTTATCTGATCATTTTCAACCTGTGGGCCCGTGCATAGTATGCGGCAACAACTTGACTCAAAAAAATTTACTTTCCCAGAGCAGGGTCATATTTCAATCAACTTCATATCTATCAAAACACCGATGGTCAGTGGAGAGTGCCTGCTGGACGTAGTCCATTAACCAATGTACTAAGCGGTACCGCTGTTCTCAGAAATGCCAGTAAACTACTTCTGCTATCAGGAAGAAAAAGAAAACGAGGTTCTTGGCCATTTTCCTCTGCTTAGAATTTCCATTTTATTATCATCGAAGTCGTAGTCAGAGGATGCAAGGTACACATTATAAGTATAGTTGAGTGTTTAAATGTTAGCTCAAAGTTCGGGCGTTTTCGAACGAGGTAAACGAGTATAGCGGTTTCGGCAATTCACAATGCCATCTTCATCCGACAAAACCTTTGAACTAGCACCTGTTGAAAATACAACAACCCAAGAGGACAAGCTGGAGGGTCAGGTTGTAGATATACAAACTATTGCAGAAGAAGAAACTGGCGTTTTGTACAATGACAGGTCCAAGTTGAAACAGGGCTTGAAAGAGCGCCACATTAAAATGTTGACGCTGGTAGGGGTTTTCGGTACTGGGCTTTTTTTGTCCTCGGGTGGTACCTTACGCAAGACAGGCCCCGCTGGAATGTTCATCGCTTACCTTGTCGTTGGTATCGTTGTGGGTTGTAACCAAATCGCCATTGCAGAGGTGGCCTCGTTTATGCCTGCCACTGGTGCGACCATCAGACATGCGGAGCAATTCATTGACGAATCCGTCGGCTTTACGTTCGGCTGGATCTCAACCTACTCCTCTTTAATGCCAGGTGAGCTGTCTGCAACGGCTGTAGTTATGAAATACTGGACAAATTTGAATTCTGGTGTCTTCATCACAATCTTTGGCATACTCTTTGTTTTGACCAATATTTACACAATCCGGTTCTATGGTGAAGTTGAATACATATTTGGTTGGCTCAAAGTGCTTTTGATTCTTATTTTGATCATCACTGGCCTCGTGATAGACTTGGGTGGCACCAAGGGCCAGGAGAGATTGGGGTTTCACTACTGGAGAGATCCAGGTCCATTTGCTGAATACCTAGTCGATGGCAGCATTGGCAAATTTGTTGGATTTTGGTCTGCGCTTTCTTCCGTCGTTTATTCCTACAGCGGCATTCAGAACATCGCTATCCTGGCGGGAGAAACGAAGAACAGTAGACACGCAATATTTCATGGTGCGAAGAATGTTTTTGTTCGCATTATTGCCTTGTACCTTGCAGCTGTTTTGATTTTAACTATGATTGTTCCGTACAATGATAAACTAATTGCCACTGGTACTGGTACAGCCAAGTCCAGTCCCTATGTCATTGCCATGAACAGAGCTGGAATCAAGGTTTTACCACACATCATCAATGCGATTATATTGACCTCAGCTTGGTCGGCCGGTAATTTGGCCATTGTCGAGGGCTCCCGTAACCTATTTGCTCTCGCGACTAAAAAGCAGGCTCCACAAATCTTCTTGAAAACGAACAAAAGGGGGATACCATGGGTTGGTATCCTGTTCATCTCTGCTTTTTTGCCCTTGGCCTACATGTCCTGTTCAGAGTCTTCGTCAGAAGTCTTCGGCTGGTTTCAAGAACTGGTTTCTTCCAACACGCTTCTTCGCTGGATTTTGATTTCCGCGAACCATATTCACATGGATAGGGCACTGAAAGCTCAAGGATACTCGAGATCCGATCTACCTCACCACACACCTATCGCCCCCTACGCTGCCTGGTTCTCAGGTATCATGTCTGTTATCTTTCTCTTGACTGGAGGATTCTACAACTTTATTCACGGACACTTCAACATTGAGTCATTCTTCACCAGATACTTTATTATTCCACTGGCCATTGGTTTGTTTACTTTCTGGAAACTTTTCAAAAAGACTAAGTATCTGCGCCCGGAAGAGGTTGATCTAAAGGCCATTTTTGAAGATATCGCTCAGAACCCAGAACATATTCCGCCAAAATACTCACTTCGTAAGAAAATTGTTAGTGCATGGAAAGATCACAAGTCGCAATAGGGGGAAGACGACGGCCATGTTCGAGATTCTTAATATGTTGTGATTATTAGGTGGATAATCAGGCTTCAAACCCAGCCATGTATTTTACAGTAGAGCTTTTCAAATCTAGGGTCTTATAAACGCATTTTCAAAGCAAAAGTACCATGATCAGTTCTTTTGGCAGCATAGTTTTGAATTTTGTTTTCGAACGAAGCCTCATGCTGCTAAATAATTAGAGGCATGTCATTAGAAGCACCTCGTACATTCACAGTGCCCAAAGCTTAAATAATAATTCGTCAAAACCCAATTGATTTCACAAAATGTTTTCGGTATATTGTAAGCGCATGCACATACAGCAGCAGCACAATATCAATTTTAGCGTGTCTGTTGCGTTTAAATGAGTCTAGTAGAGCGACCAGAATGAGTATATTGGAACTTCTGTACGTTTAGCGCCAGATTGCGCGTACCTGGGTCAAATAGTACGGGTCCTAAAGAAGGCGTCCGAAGTGAGAAACGATCAGTTTCAGCTAATACATTCTCGAAACCTCAATACCATGATATGGCTGATACCAGGTATCACGGCTGATTTGATTAAAAGTCGAACGGCTCAGATCCAACCAAAAACATTTCACTTCTATCAATGATGGAATCATGCCCATATTATGTCATTTTTAGGAGACTACAGAGGAGAAAATTCAATTCAAAGGTCGCTGCATTTTGTTTGGTCGAAAAGAGTTGTTCATCTAAAGCTTTTGACCGCTTTTTTATTCTGACGCTGTCGTATAGCCACGTGATAGCGAACTTTCTGACAGATATACAGATGCCAATTTAGGACGCCAAGAAACCAAGATTGCCATTGCAAAGGTGAGTGTTCATAGACTCAAATTTTCAAAACCGTTTCAATCGACTAGACGATTTGTTATGCTAAAAACCTTCAACTTCAATAAGTCGTTCTGATTTGATGACACTAGCAACTAAATAAGCTTACTGAAACGCGGCCGTCCACACTAACTTAAGCCCTCCCAAGAAAACTTTTATACTCAATGATATCAGCGCCAACTATGGTCTCACAACTGAATAGCGTGTAGTAACATAACGAGCTGTGTCTTGGCGCGGCGTTTATAACGTCTATGAGACACATCCCACGATTGCTGTCAGTTTTACTTTGGTTGTCATTTAGGACCGCCTCTATAGGCGACGCACGTCACCAGTGGAATTAAGAATAGGCATCGTTTAACATTTCAGAAGCAAATGCACGTCGATTGAATCCGCAGACTACATTTCGCGACTTTTGTACCGCGTTCAGAACTCATGTGATCGGCACGCACTTGTTAGAATACTCGAAAATGGCTCGAGGTCTACGGTGCAAATGATCCCCGGATCCGTATAAATGCTACAAAGCTCGCCAAGTGTGCTCTTTGAACCTTCACAGGCTCGATGTCTCGTTTGAAAACCTTGATTTTTGAATATCATCTCGTAACTCTTACGGGAAGCTACACTGCAAAATTCGAACTATTTCACGGCCCCATAAGTAGATATTGATGCACTACAAGGTGACCGCAGATTGTTACTCCGGAGACTCATCTTGGGAGACATCATGATGAAGTAACTGCTGAAATACCATTTTTGCACAGCAAGTCTAGGCGGTGTTTGAACATTTCACTAAAAGTCCTTATGCGCCAGAGATGCTTGTAAGATACGACACCGCGTCCAAATTCTGCAAGGGGAATCCATGACGATACACAGCAAAAATCAAACTAAACAAACAGCTATACCCGTTTCTCTTTCGCTTGACCAAAACAGCTATGATAGGCCGCAGAAAGAGCTTTACGAACTGGTTGAAAATGCGTGCTGTCTTCTCTAAAAATCTTATTCCAAATGCATCCAAATTATGTTGATTATGATGTCGAGACTGGAATCTGTCTAATCTTGATTAATTAGACATCTCGAGAGTTTTTAAAAATCTGCGACAATCAGCCTAAATCAGAGATCAATGTACAGGAGAGACTTACACTTCTAATGGCGTTAATTGTACTGTTTAATATAGCACCGGGTTTTGATGCAGACCTAGCTGCACGATATAAAGCGTCAAAAACCAACAGCTGCACCTACAAAGCTCTTATTGATTTTCATCGCTGCAAACGGCGCATCAAATGTGGCTGTGTGATAAAGGGCACACCTTACCGAATGTGGTCTACCCGCTAAACCGAAATCTTAGGTGTAACTGAATGATCAATCAATTAAAGCCATCTGTCGAGGAAAACCAATAAATATATAATCATATACATATATGGATGGATACGAATATGATCCGTACAAAACACAACAACTCCTCAGGATTTCGAGCATCGAAACCAAACTAGGCTAATAGCCAGCCGAACAATTGTTTCACAATGGGTGTAGCAGTTGATAAGTCTGAAGTGTCAGATAAGAAGTTGGCTGCTTGTCAATCCACCACGCATTCCAAAGCCGAGAAATTTTCAACAGCGAACGCTTTCCAAGAGCCATCCTGCATTAAAGGCCACTGCAAAGATGGTCGAGGTGCAGTTTTAGGTAAGGATAGTGGTAATACTAGCTTTGAAGACGAGAGAGGTTGTGGGCTTGCACGTCAACGTGACCCGCCTTTTAGCTGTGAAAAAAGAGATGCTAAGAATTGTTCCCATGAAGAAAGCCGTGGCGATCAAAGAAAAAGCGGCGGCGAGTTATGTTGTGAGTATGCAAGCGTTGAATGTGACGAAGACGATATAGCAGATGTTCGGGAAGGTGGTTGTCCAGAAGTGATGGAAGAAGTTTTGAATCTCACTTCCACTCGAAACTCTTTATCCGATCTCGAGGAGGCCGATTGCTGTGCTGAGAAGTCATATCCTTGTTGCACTGATGCTTGTGTAGATCGTCTTGTTGACCGCGGGTATACTGCAAATACGGGTCTGTCGCCATTCAAGGATGGCACAGGTACCGAGTTTACCGAAGGCAACGGTAAACCTCTTCGCACTTCTATTCGTGAAGAATATGGTGCTAGGCTAAGAGCGTTAGGCTGCTTGTGCCGCATGTTGATTGCGAAAGGAATGGAGTCGTGTTGTGAATCACGCGCTCATCGGACGTCTTTTACCAAACAGTGTAGAGATTCTGTAAAAGAGAAAAGGAACAGATGTAAAGATGCCCGAATGGATCGCAGACTATGCTCAAAACAACTTTCTTCTTGCACTCAAACGTCGGAATTTAAGACTGAAAAGCAAGTTAAAAATTGTAACAACAGGGATGAACCAAACATACCTACTAAGGCCACGGGTTGCTGCGCCAAAGAAAGCTCAGGCACGAAATGTGCTTCAAGAAAAGCTGTTCTGGCAAGTAACGAAACACAGGAGGAGATTGTCACCTCAGCTCGTACGGGAGCTCCAAATTCCATCGAGCATGTCGTCATTTCTGTGTATGGGATGACGTGCACAGGCTGCGAGACGAAGTTGCTGAAAACACTTCAAAGAGTTCCTACCTTGATAAATTTAAAGACAAGCTTAGTTTTAGCCCGCGCCGAATTTGACTTGGATATCGAAATTTCCCCAGTTTCCCAAGTGTTGAAACATTTGGAACGAACCACGGAGTTTCGCTGTGAACAGATTAATCTTGCAGGCATGACTTTGGAAGTAGTTGTCCTAGAAAAATTGGAGACTTTTCGGAATCGTAAGCTACCAGATGGAGTGACAGACATGATTGTCGTTGAAAAAAACTTGGTTAGAATCAACTATGATCCAAACGTCATAGGAGCACGCGATCTCTTGGAAACCATTTGGGCTGGAATTGTGTCGCTTGCTCCATTGTGTGTTGATCCAGCTTTGAAAGCTGGGAAAACGCACACACAGTTTATCGGACTCATGACAATTCTCTCTGCAGCTTTGACCGTTCCTATCTTGATCATGGCTTGGGCTCCCCTACCTGATCGTCCAGTGGCCTATGGGATAGCATCTCTCACTCTTGCCACCTTGATCCAGGTTCTCGTCGCTGGACCCTTTTACCCAAAAGCACTAAAAGCTTTAGTTTTCTCTCGTGTGATTGAAATGGACCTTCTTATTGTTTTGAGTACCAGCACAGCGTACATTTTTTCCCTTGTTTCATTTGGATTTCTCACAGCTGGAAAACCTCTTAAGACTGGTCAATTTTTTGAAACTAGTTCGCTCCTTGTTACATTGATAATGGTTGGCCGTTATTTTACGGCCCTCACGCGTCAAAAAGCCCTAGAAAGCACCTCTATTCGATCACTACAATCGAATGAAGCTACACTAGTCAACAGTGCCAGTGAATTTGAAGGTCGGAAAATAGATGTAAGACTCCTGCAGCGCGGTGACATTTTCATGGTGATTCCCGATTCAATAATCCCGACAGATGGTGTTGTCGTCAATGGAGATTCGGATGTTGACGAGTCTATGCTAACTGGAGAGTCCGTTCCTGTTGAAAAACACCTTAACTCCCGTGTAATTGCCGGTACTATGAACATGTCAGGCACACTGCTCATTCGCACAGCTCGACTGCCTGGTGAAAACACAATAAACGAAATTGGTGCGATGGTAGACGATGCAAAATTATCAAAACCTAAGATTCAGCAAATCGCAGATTTAGTGGCTTCTTTCTTTGTGCCCGTTATCGTTACAATAACAATCATCACCTTCGCAATTTGGATTGTTGTTGGCATAAAAATCCAGAAGAAGAACAACTCCGACGCCATTGTTCAAGCCATAAGCTATGCCATTACCGTACTTGTTGTCTCTTGTCCTTGTGCTATAGGCCTTGCTGTTCCGATGGTTATAGTTTTTGCAAGTGGCCTTGCAGCCCAACGAGGCATTATTATAAAAAGTGCTTCTGTGATTGAGACGGCACACAAAATTTCTCACGTTGTTTTCGACAAGACAGGGACTTTGACTAAAGGAGAGTTAAAGGTGGTATCAGAACATTTTTCCGAGGGTGTAGAGACACAACTGGGGTTACTTTTGAGCCTAGTCTCAAATAGTAAGCATCCTGTCTCAATCGCAGTTAAAAAGCATCTCTTGGAGAAGAACCTTACCGGAAGTTCCATAAACAACAGTAGAACAATAGTTGGTCAAGGAATAAAAGCAGAATTTAATGGAAAAAGTTTACGAGCGGGAAGTGCCCGTTGGATAGATATTGAAAACCATGACGTTGTTCGGCAAATGCAGAGCGAAGGCTATACTACATTCTGCTTTTCCGTCGGTGGTTCCGTCAGCGCAATTTTTGCCCTCGAAGATTCGCTCAGAGATGATGCGCCTGACGTCGTTGCTCGACTGCAAAGGCAAGGTGTGTCTGTTCACTTACTCTCGGGTGATGATGAAGTTCCCGTTCTCTGTGTCGCATCCAAATTAAAAATCCCAGAAACCAATGTTAAAGCAAAATCTTCCGCAATAGATAAGCGGCTGTATGTTGAGAAGCTGTTGAAGAATCATTGCGTCGATGGAAAAGCAAACGTAATGTTTTGTGGTGATGGCACAAACGACGCTATTGCGCTGGCCCAAGCAACAATTGGAATTCATCTCAACTCAGCAAGCGGTTTGGCGGAGTCTGCCGCCGATGTTGTATTGGCGAGACCAACTCTTTCAAGCATTGTTAGTTTGATGAACCTCAGCAAACTTTCCATGCAACGTATTCGATTTAATTTCGCTTGGAGTTTCATTTACAACCTTTTGGCTATCCTATTAGGTGCAGGCGTTTTTGTTAAGGCTAGAATCCCCCCTGAATATGCTGGTCTTGGTGAACTAGTCAGCGTAGTTCCAGTCATTGTTGCTGCACTTCTTTTGAAATGGGCCAAGATTTGAGACCAAAATAAAGAGTACTTATTATGGGGTAAACGAAATGCTGCAAGTGTTACGCAACGTTTTTAGAATTGGGGTCTCGGAAAAGTCTACCAAAAACAAGCCCTTCTGATGCTCTGCTGCCAGAAGCTTGGTCTACACCTTTGAACAATAACTGTCAAATTCAACTTTCACCACTCTCAATGTTTTGAAGTCAGGCTTTTTTGAAGCAGCATTGAATCATTTCAAATTTTCATTAGGTTTCGCTTGAAGTTCCTAAGAATTTTAAGTCACTTCATCTTACTAGGGTGAATGAAGTCCTGATTATAGTTGATTTATATGTATAGCAGCATCTCACCCGTACAAGTAAGTTTGAATAAGGCTTGTTATTGATCAGATATGTAAAAAATACTCGTCGCATCTGAAGTGTATGCGACACCATTGTAATCTGGTGTAACACTTCTTGCATTAGAGCTAAACCTTGTTGACGCCCTCTGAACATTTGGGCCTTGTAGGTCAATTAGAGCCTCTTCCTTACTACCTCCCGTTTCTTGCTTTCTACTATTTACCAGCTCAAGAAAGCTGTAAACTTTATTGAACGCTGAAGATCGCACTTACAGCAAGAAAATATCATTTCCGATGGCCATCGTTATTGAAAGGTTTAGTTTATTGGTATTTTGGGTACTCCCGTCGAATTAAGTTGAAACTTCTTTCTCAAACCAAGCAGTTTTTGAAACGATCACGTCCTCAAAACATGTCCAGCTTTGATTCACATTACACTACCCAACTTTCTTCACATGCCATCTACTTCTTATCTCGGGTTTGGCGGTAACAAGTGCATTGGTCTTTCATTAGTCAAAATCTAGTTCTGGCGCAAAAAAACCTATTGTGGCCACTACGAGTATGCCTAGGCTGCCAATGACTTTAGGGACTGGGCCGCAAAGCACTCTCACAAAAACTCTTTCATGAGATGTCAGTTCAAGTGTGCCAGCTGCTTCAAACATTGTCAGCGTGTTGGGTTAAGGTAATCCAGCCGTCTTAAGTGTTTCAGGAGCCCTAGGCTGTCATCAAGCCTACCGCTCCCAAAGTACAAAATATTGGGTCAGTAAGCAATGATGAATTACAGGGGCTACAAACACAGACAGCCTATAGATAGTGCCACTCTTTCAAACATCTAGCCCGCTGTCTCCATCTTACCCAGCTGTAGCCGCCTCTCGAAGGTGAGGTTAATAGTGTGGCACTTGAACTACTTTTATTTTGCTCTAGATCTGGTCTGAAAGCATTTTGGAGAACTTTACTAGCGCCAAAAGTATGCCCTGTGATTTGCGGATCTCTGCTCATTCGAAAGTATGGAAATTCTCTAACCACATTTTTTATTTCAGTTGTTGGGATAGTCTGTTCGCTCAACTTCTGCTTCGACCAAAAATAGTTGATTGGGCCTTTATGTGAGGAACAGAGGTAGCTGCTTTACTCAATACAATAAACGCTCTGGAATAGGGCAGAGAAAAATACTCTTCTTTAATGAGAATTTAACAGGAGAGGCGTAGGTCGTTCTTAAGAGTTGCTCGCTTTGACTGATTTCAGTCCGGACAACTTTGCTGGTAAAGCTCGCCACTAAATAGCATGAGCAAAATACGGTTATTCGCAGGGAGACATTTTGCATCTTTAACGGCTGATGTGAGACGAAGTCAGTTCACATCTATCGAAATTTTCGACGCAAATGATAGAAAAGGGCATTTACAAAAGCTAAACCATCGGGTCAAAGTGCCACGCATGAGGACTTTTGTTTGAAAGTTAAAAGGGCCGACGGACTGTGATCTGAGCTCTTTGACAGACATTTCTATGCACCAACAAGCAAAATTAAAAGCTCATTTGACGCTAAAAGAGAACGTTAATGTAACGCAACGCACTTTAATGGGATCACATCTTGAGGTCTACACATATTCTCACAAGTTCATAACATGCGCGTGGCATTTAGATAATGAGAGCCAAGACGAGTCTGCTACCTAAATGCCAAATCAGGAGCTCATGACGGCGTATGTTTTGGACTAGCGCCAACCACAATAAAGTCAATAAAAAGTGGCCCTACAGTGAAGTTTAATCGAAAAATATAGCAATTGCCCGTTGCGTAAAACACGAAGGGGTACTTAATAGCGAATTTATAAGTTAACAGATCGACGGTGATGCACAACGGCCCTAAACTAATTAGCGAATGCGGGGAAAGGTTCAAATAACATTTGTTAAAGAACGCAGCTAGAAATGTTGATTTAGCAACGTGGGGCATATATCGCAAAAATCGGAACTTTATCTGCGCAGGTCAATGATCTCATTATGGAATTATTCAAACGGATGACTTTCCCACTATTTTAGTAAGCATAGACCAAAAATTGATGCTGTTTCCCATGCAATCCGTGGAAGGTTACAATCAATGGTGCAGCATTGTGGTGAGTCCTTGTCAGTATCAGTCATAGCCCACAGAGTGTATCATCGGCATTAAACAGTAATATTTTATTATACGCAACGATTAATCTTAGTCCCGTGACTCATGATTGTTATTTTTTTGACAGTGTACGCATGTTTTTCAAATGCTTCTTTGAGTGATTATGACACGCTGCTCCACGAATCCTTCTAGCGGGACCCCTATCACCTCATCACGCTGAAGTCCGGGCACTGCACCTCTTGTCCTGCGGAGTGTTCTGCGCTCGAGCGATGCGGCCATAAGTAAAGTATATTATTAGAATGAGAGGCGCTGTACGCAGGGTATGGGTAGTATAAGGTATAAATAGTAGGGAATCTGGCAATTCAAGCTCAAAGGCCCTGATCCTGTGTTAGACCAGTCAACAGGGATAATACTATGTCCACTTCACGGCAGAAGCAAAATGAACACCTGACACTAGTCACTGACTCCATAGGTAGCCCCCCTGCCTGGTACTCGCGCACCGCGTTTCTAGTGACGGTTCGAGTCGCACAATTCGTCTCAAGCATCACGGCGGTAGGTCTGCTAGCTACCCTTTTTGACACCGGCTATGGCCGCAGTTTTGAGCTCGCGGTTTCCGTCATCTCGTCCGTGTATCTGATTGTAATTGCTTCCGCACCACTGCCGCTCAATATATACTCTCTGATTGCGGTGTTTGTATTCGAAACTGCCATATTTGCACTATGGGTAGCGGCAAGTGCCACTCTTGGCGACGGCTACGGCAACTATACCTGTACATCCAAAGCACGACAAGGTGGCGGTGCTCCGTACTCCGGCTTTTGGTCAGATTATTACCGTTCCTTATTTTTGAAACAGTGTAAGGTGGGCAAGGCGTCGATAGCAATTGCAGCGCTTTCGGCGTTCCTCTCACTTTGTGCATTTGTTCTACTGTGCGTGAATGTCTTGATGCCCTTGAAAGCAGTTTCTGTTGGCCAAATGAATGCAGAGGATAATCGTGCACACCTGTCTCGTTTCACTGCTTTGGCCTTCATAAAAAGTCCTCCCTTGGTTGGAGACATCGAAAGAGCCTGTCCCGTGGAAGCTGAGGTCGCCGAACCCGTTGTTCTTGTGGACGCTCAGGACGCCGAACCGGTTCTTCCTGTGAACGCCTAGACATGCTCAACATTTTGGTTTGGGTCAGTTAGGCACAGCAGATCACTACGCGATCATTTTTCTTGGAGCCCAGGCTCCAATAAATACCTGATTGTTACAACCTCTGATCCTCTTCGCAACGGATCTTAGGTTGAACGCCCTAAAATTATGGACAAATAGTCTAATACCTAATCTCACGTCCTCTAAATCGTACGTCAGAGTCACAATGATATCTCTGTGGGCCAAGTTTTATAGGGAGAGGATATGCGATTACTATAAGCGGAAGTATGGTGCCACCGCGGATCTTTTGCCAGCCGCGACAGTTTGTGGACTCGTCATTTTGTTAATTTGAAGAAGATGCGCAGGGCAGGAGTGGGTACACACGGGAAGCGACAACATCAACAGGGCCCTTGTAAAGGACTTTGGGTTGATGCTGATAAACGACTTGCTTATCTGTATTTCTTTTCGTCCGGTTCATGTCAATAATCGTGTTGTTGATGTGATTTTATTACATCATCGAGTGCGTGAGGTAAGCAAACCGCCGAGATTCAATCGAGTTCTCAGTCTGCCGACCAGTAATCAAAAGCGCAATAGAGTCAATCGATGACTCGGATGAGAACAATTTTTGCTGGTCAAAGTGCTATCAGCAAATTAACTGGCTTTGGCTTACTGCTGTTATTCGCAAATGCGCGATATAAAGGCACATGATCGTTTAAGGTCACAAGCTACAACAAATCATATCTAGACTCTCGTTCGCGCTGATACCCTTACGCTTTTGTTCTGATGCTCACTTGGTTTACATTTTTATGGGCGAGGTCCCCGTCCGGAGTCAGATATTCTTTCAGCGGTCGATCATTATGACAGCGCCTTTCAATTGCTTTATTTTTCAGGGAATGTCATTAGAATCTTAAAGTACACTGCACATCCTCAGATATGCCGTGGCAGGCAGATCGTTCAAGGTTTAATGCGTAATTGACTTAACGGTTTTCCAAAATGCTCTGTTGGTCTGAGTCTGAGATATTCTCAAGCAAAGCCGTACGTTCTGGCTTAGTATCTAACACTTCTCTCTTCATCATGTTAAGTTATCACACATGATAACTGGATATGGCCATAAGAGGTAGCACTGCTTACTCAGCTAAAAGGATTGGACAGAAAGCATTGTTCAGACTGTATTGGCCTAGCAAGGGCCTTTTACTTTCGCGGATCATAGCTAAGTGTAGCACTTCACTTCCTCAAGCTTCAGATACAAAACGACTCTGCTCAGAGCGCGTGGGGTGTGTAAAATATAGAGAGAAAGCTCAGAGCGCTAGCTTAAAGATTTCGAAACGTAAAGGTACAAGCAGCTCAGACGCAGATGAGAAGGAACTTTCGAAGATTCAACCGAGCCATCGACGTGGATCATCTTCCTGGTTCGAACGCTGTGCGCTGGAGGTATATCAGGTAATACCTCCTATGTGTATCTGATCATAACATGTAGTTTTGTCACTTCTTGTCATCTGCATTTCATATTCGAACCACCTCCTAAACGAGTTGAGACGTACGTCTTTTCCTCTCTTCGAGACTCGATGGAGGCATCATAAACTAAATACCCGGGAAAACCTGAACGTAGACAACGACATATCGTCAAGAATCTGTTTCTCTTGATCCGGGTTCCAGTTTGTGATCCGAAATGACCC